CTCCATTAAGAAGTATTCTTTTGCATTTCACTGCACACTTTATCCCAATATATGCATCTTTTTACACTTTAGTTAGCTGGAGAATTGCATTATGCAATTCAGAGAGCTGTGAATTTTGATGGAGGGTTGTGTTTCGGTTCACAAATTGTTTCAAATCAGTGTGAATCTGGTAGGTTAGCCTTTAAAAACTAATCCAATTTCTGTCCCATCCTTACCTGCAGCTGATTCAAAGATGATCGTGTGCGTACCCCACGCAGTTCCTCTCAACATCTACATAATTGCAAGTCGGCCATAATGTTATTTTAGCCCTTACGCATAGGCCGCCCCGGCCAAGCCTTATTTGCAGCAGGACTTAAGAGATCATTCTTTATTACATTTTTATCCTCCCTTTCCTCCAGAGCTGTGGAGGTAGCCCACATGCTGATTCTTCCTCTCCTTTTAACCTCCCACTAACAACCCTGTGAGGCAGTTTACGCTGTGGGACAGCAACTAGGCCAAGGCCAACCAGTTAATTTCCTGGTTGGGGTGGAATTAAATTCAGGATTGGCAAAAGACAAAAGAAAGTACTTCACACAGTGTGTATAGTTCTACTTCCTCCTGTTCTGTTCTGTGATGTGAGGGATAAGAAGCCACCATTTTGGAAATCAATCCTCTTCATAAAGCAAATCGGTTTGTGTGTTTGCCTTTTTAAAAAAGGCTTCATTGAGCAAATTCACTTGGAGGCGGCCAAAATGGTTTGTTGGCATCAGGAGAGCATTCCCATGCTCCATTCATGGGGTTTTTTGTTTTCTTTTCCTTGCTTCTTTCATATCGAGTTTTTTCCCCTTCCACCCAGCTGAGTCTTCCAGTAAAATTAGGAAGACAGCTGTTTGCCAGGAATGTAAAAGCCTAATTCCCAAGTGCAGCTTGCCATCCGTAAACAGATTCAGGATTTTTCCTTGATCACATGGAAACATGAATTGGAAGATGACTTGATCGAAAGGGATAAATGACTATTCATTTCTGCATTGAAAAGAATTTTTCAAAACAACCCCTGGAACTGAGAGTGTTGTATCTATGCCATATGTCTGGGACTTCAAAAAAACAGCTCAACAAGTTTGGGGCGTCCTGGTTTTTACTCTTCAAAGTATGGCAACCCTCAAAGTCAGGACAGGCTCAAGGCCCTAGTCAGCTGAACGAGTAAGAGGACCCCAAATTAATAGGATGTGGTAATGTTTCTAAATACCAGTTGCATAGCCGTCAAGTGTCCCGATTATCCAGGGAGAATCCCAGAATAACAAAAACCATCCTGGTTTCTGATTTTACCCTGGAATGTCCCCATTTCCCCCGCCAGAGTGGCAATTTCGTCCCAATAATCATGCAAATAAAGACGGCTTTTTCTAACTCCACATAAACATTCTATATTTGCACTTAACTGCCTTGCGGTCCGCATGCCGCTCTTATTTTTAGCCTGGCAATGTTGGCACTGGAGGATCAAGGAATGCAGAAACCATTGCCAGTTGGGCAAGCAAGCCACAAGCAGGTGGCATACAAAGGCGCTTTGATTCTCCATCCTCTCCCTGACTCAAAACAACTCTGTTTAGCTTGTGTGTGTTTGCTACCAAGATATCAAGTCTGAATTAGCTTCGTTCTCTCACTGGGGCAATAAAGCTGTGACTGGGCTATGTTGCCTCGGTCTGCAGGGGGCGGTTCAAATTACGGATCGACATCCCCGCACTTAGAAGACTAGCACATCAAGAAGCACTCTTCTCTTTGAGATGCTAAGGAAGTGCCAGTGTTGCACTCTACCCCAATCTCTGCATGGTGTGAGATTCTAGGTGCCTACCCAGGGTTCAGTTTGGCACCAGCTTGGCTGCAGGAGTTGCCAGAAGGTGCCATCCTACTGTCTTAGGGGCTCCACTCCAGATTTTGTAGGGTTTACTCCTTAGCCTTTTATTTCCCCCAAAGACACCCCACAAGGTAGCAGAGGTTTAGGATCAGAGTTTTTCTTTTCCTAGATGGGCTACCTGCCCTGGCTCATGAGTCCCATCTGCACCTTCCTTCTGGGCATAACTGTCAAGCGTTCCTTATTTGGCGGGACAGTCCCTTATCCCAGCGCCATGTCCCGCTGCTGTCCCTTATTGATGAGGCTTCATTTGGCTGCTGGCTGGGCTTTCTGCCTTTGGCTCGGATGGGCTCAGAAGTTGAACATACCTGTGCCCAGAAAATCCCTTATTTTGGCTGCTGAGCCCTTATTTTCGAGGCTGCTGGTCCCTTATTTTCAAATCTGTAAGTTGACAGCTATGCTTCTGGGGAGAATACTGCTAGTGCAACACTATATATTTTATAAAATATGCATTTTCTCATTTTGATTTTTTTAATGGTGTTTTATGGGATTCCTGCCAGCCCCCTGCTGATTTTATTCTAATATGCTACCTACCACCTTGATACGTTTTTGTGGAAGTTCAGATTATAAATACATGAAGAATTGCGATAATGTTCTAATCTGGAACGACCTGGAAAGTCTAGTGTGAAGGAAAGTGACATTCCAAAAATTCTTTCAGTGGGTTCCGCCATCGCCTCTTACAGAAGTTCCTTGTTCACTCATTACCCGTCTATGAAGGAAGCTTCTGTTCGGTACCTATTTTCCTTGGTCAAAAAGCCAGAGGGGCTTTGGAGACCATCACATTGGGGCCCCAGGCGCATATTTCTTCAGGATTGACTGAAGCAGAGCCAATCTCACCCACTTCAGATGGACGGATGTTTATACGCCCTTCATTAAAATTATGAACGTCAAGTGCTGGAGCTTTTACAAACAAGATGCCATTTGAGTGTCTTGTTCTGCAACTCAGACAGTCTGGAAAGGAGTCAGAACTTACGGCTGGTGCTAAAACTTCATTAGTTTGTCCTTTTCCATCCCCCTGGCAGCCAAAAAGGGGTATGAAATTTCTACCACACCCTTTCTGTGCAAATTAGACTGAGTAGACAGGCCGTGCTGCTTGTCTGAAGTACATTTAAAGCACACAAACACCCCCAAAATTATGGAAACGGTTGTTTTTAAGGCAGTTGTAGCCCTATTAGGGGTCAACTACAATCCCCAGGACCCTACTTTTGGGAGGGTGATTTAAATGTATGGTGTATATGCAGCCTTAAAATTCTGGTGCCCTGTCTCTATCCAACCCTTCCCTGAATGCTGTCCGGCATTTCCTAGAATTGAAATGTGGACATGGTTGTAACCTGTTGTGCAGCTGAGGGAGCCAGAGACAAACGTGGCCAGAGCAACTATTGTAATTTTTACCTTTGCAGAGTAGGTTACGTAGTTTCTACACACATAAGTCTCTTCAAAACTTGCACTTGAATCGGAACAAATGGATTGATGTTTGTTATGATTGAGTGGTAAACAACAGGTTTTCTGGGGAAAGAGGTGGGGCAAATGGAAAGCTGCTCGGACTCATCATTCCTAGAAAGGACATGCAGAAGTGTGGAGAAGCCCTTAATCACACACTCTTCTCTATCTTCTACCCAGGCAAGTAAGAGGCATTGTTAGAGTTCCAGCCAGAAAAAACACTTAAGGGAGGGAGTAAAGCTAAGCCAGTGTGGTGAGTGACCTGGGGAGACTGCCAAGGGCCAGAGAGAAAGAGATTATTGCATATATTAATATTGTGCAGTTTGAAGCAACTGGATGCGTGAAAACCGAGTCCTTTTGGAATGAAGCATTGACCAGAGCCATGAAAATATTATTCAAGGTTTACTTGCATAACTTTCTTTAAAAGGTAAAGGTACCCCTGCCCGTACAGGCCAGTCGTGTCCGACTCTAGGGTTGCGCGCCCATCTCACTTAAGAGGCCGGGGGCCAGTGCTGTCCGGAGACACTTCCGGGTCACGTGGCCAGCGTGACAAAGCTGCTCTGGCGAGCCAGCACCAGCACAGCACACGGAAACGCCATTTACCTTCCTGCTACAAAGCGGTACCTATTTATCTACTTGCACTTAGGGGTGCTTTCGAACTGCTAGGTGGGCAGGAGCTGGGACCAAAAGACGGGAGCTCACCCCGCCGCGGGGATTCGAACCGCCGACCATACGATCGGCAAGTCCTAGGCACTGTGGTTTTACCCACAGTGCCACCCGCGTCCCTCTAACTTTCTTTATAACATAACAAAAACCAGTAAATGATACAGCCATACAGCTCCATATCTTGTGCATATCCAGCACAGGCAGAGCGTATTTTCAGAAATAACTTTAAACGAGGGTTACCATATGTCTAAAAGTGAAAATCCGGATACAAATGTTGTTCAGCTCCCCCCCCCCAACATGGGGGGGGGGGAGAAAGGAAGGTATTTTTGAGGACATTCACCAAAATCTACACTTCCAACATGGGTTGCCATACTTCCGGATTTTCCCAGATATTTCAACCATTTCCGCCCGGACACCGTTTCCGACGGCACATGGCAGCCCTATTTAAACAGGACTGAGATCATAACACCACCCTGTTCCAGCCTCCATTAGCCTGGAGCTGTTTACAGAGAAGAGAAGCTGTTTACTTCAGAAGAGTCTTATACATTTTTATTCCGCAGAGTCTAAAAGAACCAAAACGGCGATTTGTAATTCAATACCTTAATCGTCTGACCTAAGGTTGCTCACTCACACTGTTAGCTAGCTAGAGAACAACAACAACCAGAGAGTGCTCTTCTAACATAGCCCCCATGGAAAATCCCCATGTTAAAGCCTTTCGCCTATGCACATTTAATCATTGTCAATTAAACCAATAATACTTAACAGATATTCCCCTCACAGAGCTGAAATTTCCCAGAGTGGTTTGACCATCAGGGAACTCTGGAAATGATAGCCCTGTGAGGGTAATGGGGGTTTCCTAACAACTTGCAGCACCCTTAACAAACTACAGCTCCCTGAATCAATAATTATTGGGGGGGGGGGAGCCACAATTGTCTAAAGCAGTATCCTAGCGCTTTAAATGCATGGCATCAATGTGGCCTTTGTCGTGTGTGTGGACAGAGAGAACAGTCAAGAAGGTTGCTTAGGAACGTGAATTCTGAGGCCTGGGAGGGTCTCTGATGCCACCATCTTCTAAAGCTCTTGCAGATCCCCCCCAAGCTCTTTTAGCCCCCTTGACCAAAACTCTCAGGGAGGTCCTCCCAGTTTGGCGCAAGACCTCCAAGCACCAATTTAAGGCTCTTGCTTCATTTCTCCCCATCCAGGAGGATGGGGAGCAAACAGCAGAAACCCACAGCCGTATCTGCACCCGGGTCGCTCAAAGTGAAGATCATCTACTGGTGAGGCGGGGAAAAGTGTGTGCATCGTTCGGTCAGTCCTCGGGTCTGACCGCAAGAGGGTGTGCTCCTCTGTTACCCACCGCCACTATACAGCGAGCGTGGCAAGAGTGGTTGGGCAAGGACCCGGAGACCAGGGTTCAAATCCCCACTCAGCTGTGCGTCTCACTCAGGGTCCTTGAAGGCCAATGGCTGTCTCTCAGCCCAACCTACCTCACAGGGGTGTTGTGAGGGTAAAATGGGGGAGCGGGGAGGACCATGTATTTGAGCTCTTTGGAGGAAATGTGAGGTATCAACTTGGGCGCCCACCTGCAATTTTTGGGGGGGAGTGGGTTAAAATAAAGTACTAAAAGTTTTTTTGTGGGGGGAGCAGGATAATTTATCACAAAACAAGTTGTGCCTGTACATTTTGCCCTGTAGCTCAGGTTCTACTAATGCTGAAAATGTACTATTTATATATAAAAGAAATCTGTGAATGTGGAGATTATGATACATCGGGAAAGGGGCCCCCAACTGCCTCTCATTCCTCCCCCCTCCTCAGATACCCATGGATATAAATGTAGTCTATACTGTTGTGAGTTTGGGGGAGGTAGACTGTATGCCTGAGCCCCTTCTAATTCTTAAATCAAAAGAAGGATTCAAACTGCTGAATTAGCCAGGCAAGGGCTATAATGGCCCCCTAAGTATAGGTCCTTAAGGTAACAAAGGAAGTGGCTCTGTGCCAGAAGACGAAAGGATAAGCCCCCTCTCTCTCAATTGCCTGGAAGTTAATAAAACAAAAGGCCTGAGAGGTTTGTGAGGGTAGAAGCTAGGTAGAGGAGGAAGCCAGAGAGAAAGAGAAAGAGAGAGGCATGCTTGGTTTCTCTTTGAATCCATGACTTTAGCTATAAGAGAAACAAGATCCTCTTGGGGTGTTCATAATGCTGTGAACCCCTCCATCATAGGCTCAGGTGGTATATAGGTGTAAATAAACCATAAATCCTAAAGACACCACAGCCTCCGCTGTCCCTCATTCCAAAGAAACCAAACCCTGGAACCCCTCACACCACTCGGAGATTGGGGTGGTGTGCAATAATACTGCATATTTTGGAAAGTTGTTTGTCGTCTTTGGTTAAAATATATCTTAACTCAATTTTGCGTGATGCGGCTCCTAAGATCAAGGCGCAAGTTTCTGTCCGTGTTGTAATACAGTTGGGCACCATTTTGAATCAAGATTGCAGATGGAACTTTTCAAACCTGCACTTATTTCAAAACCGTGCAGGTTCTTTTGGTTTCCTAGAATTCCTCAGCCAATCTGGATATGAGGCTGCTGGTAATAAAATAAATACAATCATAAAATGTTGGCAACTTTACAAACAGACCTTTTTTTTTTTTTTGTCTTTTAGAGCCGAATGAGGGTACAAAAGTCGGGTAAGTGTCCCTTGCAGGAGGGCTATTGCTCCTCCCAAATATCACCCCCCCTTCTTATTCTGCCCTGAGCACCCCACCACTGCTGAATCCCCCAATTCATGCCCTTTGTGTTTCCTTAGTCCCCTTCAAATCTTGTGATTCTCTGAATACCAGTTTCTGGGAATTACAAACAGCTGCTGTTCTACTCAGGTCCTGCTTGCAGGCTTCCCTGAGGCATCTAGCGGCCCATTGTGAGAATCTGACTGAAATATACTCAGAGTCGAGAGTGGATTTCATGCTCTTTATTCAGCTCATAGTGGTGAGGAGGAATGAAAGTCCCCTCAAAGTATCTGCTTTATATACATTATTTACACAATGGGCTGCACGTGATTGGCTAATTCTGGAATTCTCCTGTAGGTCAATCAGGTTGTGGATTCACTTCCATCTGGAGCCGGATTGGGTGGCTCCTGCAGGCCAATCACACTGCTGTATTGTTCTAGGACCAATCAGACTGCTGCATTCTGAATCCTATTGTTCTAGGACCAATCAGACTGCTGCATTTTGGATCCTATTGTTCTAGGACCAATCAGACTGCTACATTTTGGATCCTATTTAACTCAGTAGCACATAACACTGACCCAGCCTGATCCCGATTTGGCCTGATCCTGCAGGGCTCTGAGTACCAAATAGTTAGGGGAGAGTTGCTATCATACTCAGGTCCTGCTTGTGGGCTCCCTTCCCATTGGGGCATCTAGCTGGCCACTGTGAGAACCGGCAGCCAGGCTTTTATGTTCTTAAATACCCCTCCTTTCTAAACCCCAATGTTGAGAGGTGTGGTGAGGAGGGGTAGGGCACATAGTGCTGCTTCCCCAACAGGATAATAATAATAAAAATAAGATTTTATTTATATCCCGCCCTCCCCAGCCGAAGCTGGGCTCAGAGCGGCTAACAATGGTAAAATAATACAGCATTCTAAAATCAATGTGGGATGTGGGATTAGACCTCTGCCTGCCGCCTTGCTTTGAAAGAAAGGAAAAGAGCTGACTACATTCTTCTGTGATTCATCTCTCTAGTTCTTGCAGATTAAAAAGCTCCTGGAAAAATGCTTCCCGAACATGCTGGAAATTGTAAGTGACGCGCCTCTGCGGGCGGGACCAGGAGACAACACCTGGGGGATAGGAGGGAGTTTGGATGCGTTGCGGTACCCTCCACACCATACATTTAAAGTTCTGTACGTGGCTTCCCCCTGTTGTAAACAAAAATTGCCCTTTTCCCTTATGGGGTATCCAAGAGCCCATATAGAGTCCTTACATAGGTTCCCTATTGGTAGGAGAAAATAACAGTGGCCAACCAGAGAATATTGAGAAGCAAAGCAGCTAGTAAGCTTGATCTTTACTGATCTGTTGCAACAGGGTGCTCCCCTCACACGCAGGAAAGGAGGAAGACCCAGAAAAATGGCATGCAAGGCCTTATAAAGACTTTTGAAATTGCCACCCTGTAGATCAAGGGTCATGCTGGCCACATGATCCGGAAGCTGTACGCCGGCTCCCTCGGCCAATAAAGCGAGATGAGCGCCGCAACCCCAGAGTCGGTCACGACTGGACCTAAAGGTCAGGGGTCCCCTTTCCCTTAGATCAAGACCACCCCCAGAAACATCATACATACATCACATAAGGGTTGTAACCTAAGACCACCCCTCAGATACATCACACCTACATGACAGAAAAGGCGGTCCAAAATAGAAATTTTAATATTGTTCTTCTCCTGTTTTTGTTTATCTCCTGTCTGGCAGGTTACTTGATCGGATTTCCTGGGTAGCCTGGCCAGTCTTTTGTAATGATAAATACTTAGTTCCTGGGCCAGGTCACAGGCTCACACCCTATTCAAACACAGACATACCCTTAAGACAGGATTTGTGAAGGAAAAGACAATGGGGAGGCTTTTCCACTTTGACCATGCAGAGAAAACATTTGCTCAGTTTAGGAATCAAAATGGTTGCAGGTTGGCCTTCCTGTGCTGATCTATGTATGTGCTTGGTTGGTACACTTATGAACATTACCATATATCTAAGACCTCAAAATTCCTATCACACCCCAAAAGGTTCGTGGAGCTACAATTCCCAGCACCCTTAAAAAACCTGCAGTTCCCATGATCCTCTGGGGGAAGCCAAGTGCTTTATAATTGTGCCTTCAATGTATGGTGTTGGTGTGACCATGAATAGTGATCTCTGGTGTGAGCACAGGAATGTTTATTATTCCATTTATGTCATGCCCTTTCCCCCAAGGTGCCCAGGATGGCATCGTTTCCCCACATGCACTGTGACCCTCACAACGGCCCTGTGAGGTAGGATAGGCTGAGTGTGAGTGACAGGCCCAAGGTTTGCCCCATTACATGCCCCATTACATGCTCAGTGCAGTAGATTAACCCGAGACAGTGACTGGCCTCACCCCACCCCATTGTAAGTGTACAACAACCCTGTAAGGTAGGTTAGGGTGAGAGGGAGTCGTGGGCGCAAATGCACACCCAATTTTATTCTCATAATGACTCTGTGTGGTCGATTAGACTGAGGGAGAGTGACAGGCCCAAAGCCTTCCTCCCTCTTTTCCTCTCTTCTTTTCCTGACTCCTCTCCAGGTTGGGGAAGTTGCTGGTCAAGGTGCCTTTGAGGTGGTTCTCCCAGCATCCGGTCAGGTTTTGCACTCAAAGACGGTGAGTACCACCAAAATGGACTCTCTGATTTGGCACACACACCTGGTACACACTGTACATTTAAAGCTTCCCCCTAAGAATCCCAGGAACCATAGCTTGTTCATTATATTATATTATATTATATTATATTATATTATATTATATTATTTTTATAATTTCTATACCACTTTATATTTTTAAGAAAAACCTTGAAGGGGTTTGCAGCATATTAAATCAGTAAAATATAAATAAGACAATCTGAAGAAAGTCAAATATAGAGTATACCAGGGGTCTGCAAACTTTTTCAGCAGGGGGCTGGTCCACTGTCCCTCAGACCTTCTGGGGGGCCGGACTATATTTTGGGGGTGGAAAATGAACCAATTCCTATGCCCCACAAATAACCCAGAGATGCATTTTAAATAAAAGCACACATTCTACTCATGTAAAAACATGCTGATTCCCGGACTGTCTGCAGGCCAGATTGAGAAGGCGATTGGGCCGCATCTGGCCCCTGGGCCTTAGTTTGCCTACCCATAGAGTATACAATCAAAGCAACATAACACAAGCTAAAATATTATCTTAAAGATTTCAAATTAAACATTAAAAAGGAGGTTAACTATAGAATACATATTTAACATAGATGAGAGATCTATAGATTCATAGCTCTGTGCAGGATAAACTACAGTTCCCAGGATTATTGGGCAGGGCAAGAAATGTGCATTAACAAACAAATGCTTTGTACGCGGCTGTACTACATCCACATAGCACATTTCTGGAGTTCTGACAGCATATGGGTTTGATTCTGCCATAAGTTGCAAAAACCTACAACCTAAGACAGTGGTACGCTGAGGAATCAGTGGTGTTGCAACGGGGGGGCAGTGCGCCCTGGGTGCCATGTCTGGGGGGGTGAGAAGAAGGCACCCCGGGGGCTTGCAGCAGCGCAAGCAGCCATGTGAGGATCCTCCGTTCACGGCTGCAGCCGCCAGCAGAGGATCCCAGCGCCGGCGGCAAACCACTATGTACAGCGCATGTGCGGCGACGCATACATGTGCTGTACGTAATGATGTCGCACATGCGCTGTACATAGTGGTTTGCTGCTGGCACTGCTCGAGCGCCGTACGGATGACAGTGGGATCCCTCTGTCGCCGCTACAGCCGCATGTAGAAGATCCTCCGCAGCTGTAGCGGCGATGGAGGGATCCCGGCACAGTCCGTATGGTGCTGGAGCGGCACCGCCAGCAAACCGCTATGTACCCATGACATATGACCATATGACTCCTGCTCCCTTCCAGAGTTGCCAGCTGGGATGTTCTGCCTGCCTTCTACATTTCTATGAGGTAGCTGAATACTCTGGTCCATGGGGTCACTAAGAGTCGGACACGACTAAACAACAAAGCTGAATACTTAGAGCTGAGGTGCCCCCTAGTGCCCATAGCTCCCCCAACATTTGAAAAAGCCCAAATAAGAAATGAGTTGGTGCAGGTACCACTTCCAGATGGGCAGTTGTTGTCAGAATCATTGCTGCTCTTGTATGCAGGTATTTCACAGCATCTAGATGATTCTCTCATCCTGAAAATGCCAACCTGTACTCTTCTTTTTTTCTACGTATAATCTGGATTTATCATTACTATTTCTTGTTATTTAAACAATTTCATTTTTATGTAATATACACCCACCCACCCACACCATCATATCATAAAATATCTGGGCAGTGTTCAACAATATATATATACACACTGATATATCAAACACCATGATAAAAAGTACAAAATAATATTTTAAATGACTGGCCAGTCAGCCTGCTGGCATAAAAAAAGTACTCATGAGATGACAAGAGACCATCTATATTTCTGTATTGCAGGGGGGTTGACTAAATGGTTCTTGGTGTCCCTTCCAACTCTACAGTTCTATAATACAATGTTTAACAGCTCCCCTTGGCATCACCAGGGTGACTGTCCCATGCCTCTCCTTTCTGTTCCTGGCCCAGACACTCGCTTCCCTTAACCCACCTCTACTCACAATGATACAGCACAAAGAAAGACGGATTGAACCATCCCAGCCAGAGACCACCCCACCTCTCACCTGGGGCTTTGCCTCCCCTTCCCCTTGCCTCTCACCCAAGGAGACACTCTACCTCTCACCAATACAGACTCTCACCCTGAAAGGGTCAAGAGGCTTTGTCCTGTGGTTATCCATCTACAAACCACTGATCTCTTAACCTGGAGAGCCCCAAATGAGCCTCAATTTTGCAGTGTTTTCTTGCAGGACCTCTGACCTGAGCTATCTAGCAGCTCAGATTTGGCAAAGTGCAATGGTTTAGGGAGGAGCTCCTCTCTGATCTAGCAGGTGGTTTCGTGTGTGAGAGACTGGCTCAGTTTCTTTGGGAGTTTCGCTCAATTTGTCAATCTGACTCCATAGTAAACATCAACAAAACATGGAACCAATTGGTTTTCTATTAACTTGTGATTAATAAATAAATAAATATTGGCTTCCTGGAAGGGGCTGGTGGGGTCTAGGGGTAAAACTTGGGAGGCCTAAGTAAGAGTTAGGGTGAATTCTGGTAACTCAGGATTTATATGCAAGTCCTACTACAAATTGCAAAAACACATAGGGTTCCTCTGAGCAAATGTAAACAGCAGGTGACCAGGTTTCTACTAGAACTGCACTTTGCACAGTGGCTGGTTGCTCTGCAAGCAAAGTAAAATACTGTAAATATATAAAGTTTTTAAAATGAGGGAGGGGCAGGAAAGCCCTCTGGGCCACCCCCTGACGACACCCTTAGAAAAGTGCACATCTTAATTCAGTTTGCAGAGGAACTGAAATTGTGGAAGAGGAGCTTCTGTGTGGTTTAGCTGCATCTTGCTAATCTGATTGGTTCATGTGACTGGTAGTGATGTGCTTCTGAGAATTGATAGCCGTACCCCCACACAAAGAAAACTAAAGGAAGGAGGGATCACTTTCCACGCTGCATCCATTCGTTCCAGTTTTTACTCCTCTGGACATTAAAAAAAATAATCAAAAACTTTCCTAACCATTCTTTGGGTTGTATTATCCGATGCTAGTCCTGCTCAGAGAAAGCCAATTGAAATGAATGAACCTAAGGCCAACCTGTTCATTAACGTCAATACGTCTATGCTGAGTAGGACTAGCATGCGATTTAAGCCTTTCTCCCCAGTTGCTCAGACTGTGGCACATGATCCCCCTTTCATCCTTGTAACACCCCTGTGAGGCAGGTTAGTCTAAGTGGAAATGCCTGGCTCAGTGTCACCCATTGAGCAGGGCACTGGACCCAGGTCTCTGCAGTCATCACATTATAACACTGCAACTGAAGGATGGGGGAACCTGCAGCCCTCCAGATGTTGCTGGACATTGACTTCCATCAGGTTCTGCTGACTGAGGCTGATGGGAGCTGAAGTCCAACAGCACCCAGAGGGCCACTGGGTCTCCCTCCCTTCTGCTCTAACCACCGTGAAGCCTTGCCCTGCAGGGCTGTTCTGCAAAAGTCAAGAGAGGGACTAGTAATGCGTCTCCCTTCCCCTCCCTTTAAGAATGGCGATGGGTTCGTGGACACCAATGATAAGGTGAAAAAAATCTGCACTGGCCTCAGAGCGAACCTGAAGACCAAGAGCAAATGGAATCCCACAAAAGAATTGGAATCGTTTGCAATCGTGGGTGCGCAGTCGTCAACAGAAAGCCAAGGGATGGGCAAATCAGAAACCAATCCATCATTGCAGCGGGCTTCAGACCATCAACCGTCAACACTGGTGCAGGTGCAAGAACGGCGATCAGTACCGAAGCCGAAGTTGGAACAACCGCCAACGGTGAAACAGGTGCCAAAAGGCTGATCAGCACCGGGGCCGGCATTTGGGCAACCATTAACGGTGGAACGGATGCCGGAGATGCCAAAAGGCTGATCAGCACCAAGACCGCCGTTCGTACAACAGTCAGTGGTGGAATGGATGCCGGAGGTGCAAAAGGGCTGATCAGCACTGAAGTCGGAGTGCGGACAACCATCAACGGTGGAATGGATACCGGAGATGCCAAAAGGCTGATTAGCACCAAGACCGCCACTTGTACAACAGTTAACGCTGGATCGCTCTCTGAATGTGCCAAAAGGCTGATCAGCACCAATGGCGGCATTTGGACAACCATTAATGGTGGAGCGGATGCCGGAGATGCCAAAAGCCTGATCAGCACCAAGACCGCTGTTTGTAGAACAGTCAACGCTGGACCGCATGCTGGATGTGCCAAAAGGGTGAACAGCACCAAAGGCGGCATTTGCACAACCATTAATGGTGGAACGAATGCCGGAGGTGCAAAAAGGCTGATCAGCACTGAAGCCGGAGTTCGGACAACCATCATCGGTGGAACGGATGCTGCAGGTGCAGAATGGGCGACCAGCAGCACCAAAGCCGGCATCGGAACAACTGTTAACGGTGCAACGGACGCTGGAGGTGCAAGAACAGCAATCGACATCAAAGCCGGCATCGGAACAACTGTTAACGGTGGGACAAATGCTACAGGTGCAAAAACAGCAGTCAGCATCAAATCCAGCGTCGGAAAGATCATTCACAGTGCAACAAATGCTGCAGGAGCAAGAACAGCAGTCAGCATCAAATCCAGCGTCGGAAAGATCATTCACAGTGGAACAAACGCTGCAGGAGCTAGAACAGCAGTCAGCATCAAATCCGGCATCGGGACAAGTGTTAACGTTGGAACAAATGCTGCAGGAGCAAGAGTCAGCGAACGACGAAGCCCCCATTCCAGGGAGGCCCGCATTCATCAAGACAACCAGGTATTGGGGTGCTGGGGGATTGGTAGAGTCTTGAAGTGATGGGCAGAAATATTTGCTTGGGGAGGCCCAGGGTTCACCCCCACTCCCTATAAAGACAAGGGATGAGAAACCTCAGACCAGGCATCTCTGGCTGACCCTTGGGCCACACTCTCTCCTCAGGCACACCACTTCTCTCCAGGTCACACCCCTAACTGATACTCCTCTTTTTCACTCATACAGGAGGGAATCCAAAGATTAAAACTCTGCCACTTGGCTAAATGGCAGTAGCAGTTCTTTGCACTTTGCTTGAAATGTTTTGAAATTTATTGACCAATTTAGGGTTCCTCCTGACATCCTTCTTAATGTCCATGATTATTTGTGCTCATGATGGTGTCTTGGCTGTCATACAAAACCCCAGTTTCAGTACTGTACTTGTTTGTGCCACAAAGATTTTGGGGTGGACACGCTTCCAGTCTGCCCATGCCTTGAAACTTCCTGCTGAACTCTTGCAACTTCTCCAGCACTCTTTCCCCGCTCTCCATAACAGCATAAGAAGAGTCCAGCTGTATCAGGCCAGGGGCTCATCTAATCCATCATCTTGTTCTCGCAGTGGCCAACCAGGTGCCCCAATGGGAACAAGACCTCAGCACAAGAACACTCTCCCCTTTTGTAGTGTTCAGCACCTGATATTCAGAGGCCTAGTGCCTCTTGACAGTGGAGGGATAATAGTCAACACAGCTAGTGATTGATAGGCAGTGACGTAGCGTGGGCTGCCAGTGCCCATACAGAATATGCATGTGCATTGCACTTACTAATGGCCTCTGCGTCACCCAGGAGATAACAGCCGCAGAGATAAAAAAAAGAAGAGTTATTTTGTTGTCTGGAGAGGTCACTTCTTGGTTCGCATGGAGCAGCTGTTTTAAACAGAGTCCAGCAATGGAAGTGCATAGCTTTACCGAGGCAGTACCTGGTGTTGAAATTCTGCACCCCTAACAAATTTTGCATGGGTGGCGCTGTGGGTTAAACCACAGAGCCTAGGACTTGCCGATCAGAAGGTCGGCAGTTCGTATCCCCATGACGGGGTGAGCTCCCTTTGCTCGGTCCCAGCTCCTGCCAACCTAGCAGTTCGAAAGCACGTCAAAGTGCAAGTAGATAAATAGATACCGCTCTGGCGGGAAGGCAAATGGTGTTTCTGTGCGCTGCTCTGGTTCGCCAGAAGCGGCTTACTCATGCTGGCCACATGACCCAGAAGCTGTACGCCAGCTCCCTCGGCCAATAAAGCATGATGAGCTCCGCAGCCCCAGAGTCGGCCACGACTGGACCTAATGGTCAGGGGTCCCTTTACCTTTAACAAATTTTGCACCCAAGGCAACTGCCCCTGTGGCCCCCCACGCTATGCCACTGTGGATAGCCTTATTTTCCGGCATCAGATCAGATCCAGTAGTATAGTGGGCCCCTGTTCAGGCCAAGATGAGAGGGCATCTCAGGCCACACAGCTCTTCCCTTAGATTAGCTGCAAAGGAGGGACCTATCACTCAGCAGCCGTCCAGTGTACACTTTGCTGCCTCCTTTGCCTCAGTCCAGCCTCTCACTCACGCTTTTAAGGGCGGGGAAACCCCTCCAGAAGCAGATAAAATAATGGCGGGTGGGTCCTCCTGGCCTACTCATTGAAGTGACTGCTGTTCTAGGACGGCCAAATGGCTTGTGCCAACCACACCTTGCACTTGCCACAACTGTGGAACAACTTCTGCCCCCCCCCCAAAAAAAAACTCGGCAGCATCGAGTTGTGAGTGCTAGGCTGGCCAAACCTGCCAATCTGAATTTCTCAGTTTTCCTAAGTTTGGTTCTCCACATTTCCACATCAGTTTGCTATTTTGTTTTTTTAAAAAGCCCTCTTGAAAATTCATCAGCATCTTAGTGTGAATTCCTCTTAATTTGCATTCTTTTGGTATGCAGTGCACATTTTTGCAAAGCTGTTTCCCTGGATGCACTGCTTTTGTGCCTTTTATATTCACAGATACATGCAGCTTTATGCACACGTTATCCTGGTGTTTTCACATTACTTGGCTGGGGAACTGCACTGCAAAAAGCGGAAATTTTTAAGGGTGGCTGTGTTTTAATTCACGTATTGTTCCAGGAAGGGATATGGGTGGTGCTGTGGGTTAAACCACAGAGCCTAGGACTTGCCGATCAGAAAGTCGGTGGTTCAAATCCCTGCGACGGGGTGAGCTCCCGTTGCTCGGTCCCTGCTCCTGCCAACCTAGCAGTTCAAAAGCACGTCAAAGTGCAAGTAGATAAATAGGTACTGCTCTGGTGGGAAGGTAAAAGCGTTTCCGTGCGCTGCTCTGGTTTGCCAGAAGTGGCTTAGTCATGCTGGCCACATGACCCAGAAGCTGTACGCCTGCTCCCTCGGCCAGTAAAGCGAGATGAGCACCGCGACCCCAGAGTTGGCTACGACTGGACCTAGTGGTCAGGGGTCCCCTTTACCCTTTTACCTTTATTGTTCTAGGAAGTATGAATTCCGTAGATCTGCAAGCTGATTCAAATTTCTCCTACATCCCTCCTTGAGTACCCCTTTCCTGGGTGGGTGCCCTGCTGATCCGCTTTCATTCTTCCTTCAGGAAGTAAAGGTGCCGTTGGAGAGCAGATTATGCCGGGATCGTCCGAAAAGGTGGAATGACCTTGGGCAATCCTTGATAACCCCCTGCCCTCCTCAGCTAGGATCCCCCACCTAGCTGGCAATAATATTAATAATAAAAATTTGGAAAATCTATAGGATTGTATTATTCTTTGCTTTATCAGGGTGTGGGGTAAGGAGTGGGGAGGAAATAATTCCTGCTGCAATCCTGGGAATCAGGTTTTAGAAACACCAGTCCCACATTTTTTTCTTCTATTTGCCCTGTTTGCAGTTTACATTATAGCAGAGATGGCGGCATCCGAACTCGGCACACAAAGGCGGGAAGTGGGGTGAAGAGTCCTTGGGTGGTATCCAACTAAATCATAGGGATGGGGAAATCTGCGAGTTTTGGTTTATCTTAGTTTCTCATTTTTCCAGTCGTAAATTCAGTTATCCACATTTCCACTTTGGTTTGTGAACATTTTTATAACATCATCAGCATTTTAGTGCAGATTTTGCAAAGCATTTCCTCCATGTTAATTCCGCAAACAAATGCATTTTTAATGCTCACTTTGCTGCATTGCAAAATCCAGTGAGGCGTGGATTTCAAAGGACTGCTGTGTTTCAGTTTTCAGATTATTTCAGAAAGTGCAGATTAGGTACATTTGCCTTTAAATGTGAACTGAATCAAATCCCCCCCCCCATCCCTCCTTGGATTACAGTGGTACCTTGGGTTACAGACGCTTCAGGTTACAGACTCCGCTAACCCAGAAATAGTACCTCGGGTTAAGAACTTTGCTTCAAGATGAGAACAGAAATCGCACCGCGGGAGGCCCCATTAGCTAAAGTGGTACCTCAGGTTAAGAACAGTTTCAGGTTAAGAACGGACGTCCAGAACAAATTAAGTTCTTAACCCGAAGTACCACTGTAGACCCTACCTCTGAAACCAATGCCTATGATTCTGCATGCAATAAAGGAGGATTCTGTGGCCTATATAAATATTTCATTCGTATCTGGTGGACTTCTCTTGATTTGCATAATTCACTTTGCAAATTGTATCATGAGAACTAGAAACTAGCATCTAAAAGAAAGAATGCTGAGATTCCCAGGAACCTCAGCATCGCGCCCACTCGTTGTTCGAAGGACATGGATGATGTTTGGCAGTGGAAGAGACTATGTTGGAAGGTGGTAGACTCTCCTTCGTTGCAGGTTTTTAAACTGAGATTGATGGCTATTTAGCTGTGGCACCTGCATTGCAAGGGATTGGACTAGATGACCCTTTGGGGGGGGCTCCCTTCCAATTCTAGAATTCTATGATTCTCTATGAAATTGAAGCTGCTGTGCCTTTCTGGTGCCTCCCTTTGCTATTGTTAAATGCACAAATCAAGCAATTTGTTAGAAGTTTGTTTGGAGATATATATTAAACACTAAATCACCAAGAGGCACAGCCCACCATTATTTCTCGTTGCTTCTCTTCAGTACCATGTAACAGTGCATGTGTCCCAGTCGCACAAAGGCTGCAAATAGTCCAGTCAAAAACCTGCAGTTACAAGTCACAAATCTCCCCCGCACCTCCACCAATTTACTGTATTTTTCGCTGTATAAGACGCACCAGACCACAAGACGCACCTAGTTTTTGGAGGAGGAAAACAAGAAAAAAAATATTCTGAATCTCAGAAGCCAGAACAGCAAGAGGGATCGCTGTGCAGTGAAAGCAGCAATCCCTCTTGCTGTTCTGGCTTCTGGGATAGCTGCGCAGCCTGCATTCGCTCCATAAGACGCAAACACATTTCCCCTTACTTTTTAGGAGGGAAAAAGTGAGTCTTATAGAGCAAGAAATACGGTATTACTGCGGACACCCGTAACATCACCTAGCTAGAAAGCAGGACGTCTGTAGCAGATAAAAATGGAAATTTATGAAGTACTCTTCCCCTACCCCCCACCCTGGTCTCCCACCCACCCACCCCCCAAGTGGTGCATCTGTTCAGCTCACACCGTGGTCTCATATTCCATGACCGTGGCAGGGCACGGGGCCAGGCACCTCTTTCGTGGCGCCCCCTCGCACCACCCGCCACCCGGACAAATGCTGAGATCTGGTTGAACCGTGGCGGCGTGAACGCCATGCTCGCAGAACACCCGCTGGACCCTGTCCATCACGGCCTCGCACGTGGCCACGTCCCGGCAGTGCACGTGGGCCGTGCCCACTAAGCTGCTGGGCCCGTCGAGCTGCCAGACGCGGAGGTCCCGCACGGCCACCACGCCTTCCGTGGCCCGCAGCTGTAGCTCCAGCAGCCTCAGGTCCAGTTCTTCCGGTGCGGCCTGCATGAGGACCAGAGCGGAGCTGTGCAGCGCCGGCCAAGCCAAGCACAGCAGGGCCACCGACACAGCCACGGCGAGCCCAGGGTCCAGGTAGAGCAGCCAGCAAGGGGCGCGTCCCCACTGCAGTGCCTCCGCAGTATGCCAGGCCCAACAGGTTGACCTGGGGCAGTGGCTGAGGCAGGCTGCGTTGCCCAGGCAAGGAGGCCACAGCAGGTGGAACATGAGAGAGTACAGAAGGACGGCCGCAGGGCCCAGGCAGGCGACCACCCGACCAAGGCAAAGCGTTGTCCACTGCCCCAATTTTTCTGAGGGTGGCGTGGGACTGGCCTCCCTGTGCTCCTCCATCCAGGGCTGCCCGTTGGCCGAGGAGCCGTTGCCCAGCAGATCTGTAGATGAGGAAAAAGAACCAGAAGCTTAGAGAAGGGACAGGCAGGACCAAATTACAGTGGTACCTCAGGTTACATACGCTTCAGGTTACAGACGCTTCAGGTTACAGACTCCACTAACCCAGAAATAGTGCTTCAGGTTAAGAACTTTGCTTCAGGATGAGAACAGAAATCGTGCTCCAGCGGCGCGGCGGCAGCAGGAGGCCCCATTAGCTAAAGTGGTGCTTCAGGTTAAGAACAGTTTCAGGTTAAGTACGGACCTCCGGAATGAATTAAGTACTTAACCCGAGGTATCACTGTAAGACCTTTAGAGGACCTAAGCACTTAAAATATTTTGGCGCCCCCATATATATCTAATTCGAAATAATAACCCTTTTTAAAATTTTTCGAAATGAAATGAAACCTACAGTAAGATGGAAAATAATGTTCATTTTTGTATGCTTCTGCTTTATTTGAACACATTTCCCCTACTTTTTCTAATTGCCAAGTCTTTGATCAGATCCTCAAAACTAACCTTAGGTAACATGTTCGCTTCTGTACTTCATAGAGAAGTACTGCCTTGTTGCATAGCTCAGTTTCAACTGAGCTGAGCAATTGGTGGCCATTAATGTTAAAAAATCTGGCAATGGAAATGTTCTGTGGTGACCTGCTTCCCTTGATGCCCCAAGCAGGTGATTATTTTGCTTAATGGTTAATCCAGCCCTCAGGACAGGCCTGAGACATTTCCTTATGTGGGAGTTAAGAGGTGGATGAGCTTGTCAGGTTCAGATTCTCTCCGTTTCAAATATTTCCAAGTTTAGAATCGTAGAACTGTAGAGTTGGAAGGGACCATGAGGGTCATCTAATCCAACCCCCTGCAATGCAGAAATCTTTCACCCAACATGGGGTTCAAACCCATGACCCTAAGATTGAGTCATTAACATATTCATTTTTATGCACACTTTAACTGAATATATTTTTGTGCACAATGGTGTGAAGAAGTCCAGTGCATAACCGTGAGAAGTGCAAATTTCTATGGATAGGTGTTAGTGTCTTGATTCGAGAAGGGCAAATAGGGTCGTTTTTCATTAAAATGCAAAAGGAATCTAATTTCTCTGCCATCCCCAGATGTACATCACAGAAAGGAGAACTGGGGGAGCAAAGAAGGTAAGATTTGTCCTGCTAGATCAGATCCAAGGTCTATCTGAGCCAGCACTATTCCAAAAAAAAACTGCCTGAAGCCTCTGAGAAGCCAATAACCTTCCCTGGTTGTTTCTCCACAGCAGTTGAGAGCAGATTGCCTCTGAATATGGAGGTGCCATTTGGCTATCCTGGCTGGCTGTGCTGATCAGCCCTATCCTTCACTGCAGGTACCTCTACTGTGGAAGAGGCAAGCCATTTTCCCTAATAAGCACAGCTTGCCTCTTCAGCCGTCATCAGAAACGTCTTTAGAGCATTAACCTTGTTATTTTCCTTAAGGTTTCCAATTTTTGAACTACTGGATTGGAACCTGTGGCCCTCCAGATGCTGCTGGACTCCAATTCCCATTGCCCCCAGGTCAGTGGCGATGCTGGCTGGGGCTGATGGGAGCTGAAGTCCAAGACACATTTGGAGGTTCTCCACCCCAGGATTTGATAGCCCGAGTGTAGCCAACATGGTGCCTTACACAGATCGCTGGACTCCAGCTCCCATCAGCCCCAACCAGCATAGCCAACAGTCAGGGATGATGGGAGTTGGAGTCCAAGAACATGCAGAGGGCACCACATTGCCTATACATGAGACAGTCCATTCGTTTCTTCCTACTCTCCTTCCCTGCCCCCCTCACTCACAGTACAGGCTGATTCATTAGGGCAATTGGGGCACTGCCCCACCCACCTCAGTCTGCCCCCTACCAGCCATACCTGCCCGTCTTAATTTCTTACAACCAACCCAGAGGGTGCCACAACCTGCCAGCTTCTTCCTCCTCCTCAGTCTGAATGTTGTCGTTGTAGAACTCAGCAGGGAAGAGAATGCGGGCTCTTGACTCCATCTGTTACTGGCCCTGATTCTGCCTTCCATTGGGCTGCCTGCCCTCCGCCCCGCCGGTCCCGATGCTCCCCAGTCACTCCTTTGCACGAACTCACCTTCCATCTCCTGGGCACAGCTGTCTCCTTTGGTCACCCTCCTCCTGCTGCAGCACGGACTGGTGCCCGGGTCTTGGGGCTGCTGGCCACGCAGTCCCACCCTGGCAAGGTGGATCGGGATCCCCACGGCCCCGATCCCCATCAGAGCCAACGCATGCTGTGTGACGTGTGGATCGGCCACCCTGCGGAGCGCCTCGGGCAGGAGCGCAAGGCACAGGGCGCTCAGGAAGACGGCGCTGGCCAGGGTGCCCGCAATGCGGGCTCGCACCCACCCGAAGGTATTCCTCCGACTGGGGTGTCCTCCGGTCGCCAGCCAGGCATCGGTCAAGGCCACAGCAAGAGCCAGCGCACCTCCCAGGGTGTGGAATGCGCAGGAAAGCAGGAGCAGTGAGCCGGTCACCCGGCTGGCCACCAACTCTACCAGGAAGAGGCAGGCGGAGAGGCAGAAATGGCCGACAGGCCAACCTGTGGAGCCCACCACTGCCCACAGAGGCGAGGAGCCCTCACCCATCCAGGATTTATTTCTTGGCTGGGCTCCCATCTCTGCCTTCTACTCCCAGTCAGCTGTCACTCCGGCCTCCGATCTCCTCCAACCTGTGTCCTCTTCTTTGCCTTGATGCCCACCTCTTCCGAATCGTCCTGTTGGCTCCAGCCCCTCGCCCAGTTCTGGACCTGCTTATTCCTCCTTCCGCCACCCCTGCAGCCCCTGGTGCACGCTCTCTCCCAATCTTAGATGTTGCCCGGTTTCTCCTTTGCTGTGCCCCTTTGGCCAGAGACCCAGGCCTGGCCTCTGCCCTGCAATCTGTTCCCAGTTTCTCGCTCTCTCGCTGTGTGTGTGCTTTACACTTGAATAAAGTTTTGCACTCGGAGACCAGTGCACACTGCCCCTTGGATTCCAGGGGTCCTTTAAAGAGGCAGCTCCCTCTCTCTTTCATACACACTCTCTCTTGCCTTTGGCCTTCTGCCCAGGCTTCCACCAGCTGCAGAAACCAGGTCATAATGATGCATGTGATTCTCCCCCTGCCACAATAGGAGGGAGGAGAGTTGCAGAGATTCCCCCCCCCCCCAACAAACCCTACTAGGGTAAAACGCGAGGGCTTGCGAGGTCACGGCTCTGGTGTATGTGAGATCTTGCAGAATATTCCCCAACAGCTCCCATCCCCATGACTGCTCTGCAGCCAAAAAAACGGCTTAGCAAATGCCAGTCGCCACCAGCTTCAGTGGGGTGGGGACAGAGAAATGCATTTGCCAGCCTGGCTGAGCTTTGTGTAGACTGCTGAACCGTTGTCTTGCCTTGGTAATGGACTGGATGAGAGCCAGGAAACTGGAGCTCCATCCAGACAAGGCTGAGGGACTGTTAGTGAGAGGTTCTCTAGACTGGATGGATGGGAGGGTTGCCTGCTCTTGAGGGAGTTACACTCCCTCTGAAGAAGCCCGGCTTCGGCTGGGGAGGGCGGGATATAAATAAAATTTATTATTATTATTATTATTATTGGAGGTACTTGTGGATCCTTTGCAGTCGCTTGAGGCTCAGGTGGCTTCAGTGGCATGGAGTGCCTTCCGTCAGCTTTGGCTGGTGGCCCAGTTGCGCCCCTGTCTGGACAGGTATAGCCTAACTTCTGTCATCTTTGCTCTGGTAACTTCTAGGTTAGATTGTGGATTCACTTCTATCTGGAGCTGGATTGGGTGGTTCCTGACGACCAATCATACTGCTGCATTGTTCTAGGACCAATCAGACTGCTGCATTCTGAATCCTATTTTTCTAGGACCAATCAGACTGCTGCATTTTGGATCCTATTCAACTCAGTACATAACACCGGGAATCTGGGGGTCTGGCTGATCACTGCGAAAACAGGATGCTGGACCCAGCCAGGGCCTTGCAGAGCCAGGCAAAGGCCCGAGCCAGGTAGATAATGTGCCCCCCCCTTTTTTTACCCTGGGGATAACTGAAATCTTATAAATAAGTAAGTATATAAATAATTTTCACAAAAGTTATGCTGACAAATAATTTTATTTCAAGGCTTGAACCGTATCTGCATATAAAGACAAAATGGAAAATATAGATGTACAATAGTGCGTTCGCCCCAGTGAGTATGCGATTGTGAATATGCTGACCGAGGCCCCCTTTGGAGTCGGAGGCCTAGGCCAAGTGGCCCATATGCCCCCCCCCCGTCTGGGCCTGGACCCAGCAGAGCTTTTCTGATGGTCTTAGGGGACCTTGGGTCTGGCTGCAACCCTCACCATCCCTGCATCAAACCCTCCTTGGGTGTTTTTGCCTGGCAGGACTCTGACCAACCTGCCAATCACCTGGCATCATTATGTCAGGTGACTGATGGGCATGTTATCCTGCTCACCTGACAAAAGTCCCTTGTGCAGCTCTTGGGAACCGCAGAAGAGGCTTTGCCAGCCCTATGCTCAGTAAAGCTCCCAGCATAGGGCTGGCAAAGCTGCTTTCTTCTGGGATCAGCTGCATGATGGAGCTCCCCACATGAAACCCAGCTGCACAACTGGTCCTGCCACACACCTGAAGTCTCATGCGGTGTCAGGTATGGGCAAGTGGGTATAGGTTGGGGGAAATGGACCCCCCTGCGCCAAATTGGGATCTGTGCAGGGTCAAATCTGGCCTGCAGGGCAGAGGTTCCCAACCCTTGCAGCCAGTGAATGAATGAATGAGCAAGTGAAAGAGAAAATGTGAATGAAAGGGATATGACAGAAAACAGAAGAGAAAGAATGGGAGGAAAAGGAAAAGAGAGCAAATGAGAAGGAGAAAGAGAAAAATGGAAGACTGAAAAATGAAAGCGTGAAAGAAGAAATAATGAATGAAAAATAAGAGAATGAAAATAAAAAAGAAACAAAAGATAGGAAAACTGAACTAAATAAACGTAAGAGAAGAGAGAAAGAATAATAAGAGAAGTGAAAGAAAAAAGAAGACTACAAGAGAGAGAATTCAAAAAAGGGCAGGCAGAAGGAATGGAAAATAAATAAAAGGTAGAAAGAACGAGGGGAAGAATAAATGAGGGAAAAGGTATGATAACATAATGAAATTGTAAAAAAGAATAAATCAATAAATGCAGTAATAAATAAATTAATTAAATGAATTGAAAGAGAACACAGGTGTGTGGTGGCCTTGGGGAGGGATACATACATACGTACATGTGTGTATATATGTGTATGTGTGTAATAGGAGATAAAATCGCTTCGGCACAGATTTGACCACCTCGAACCGTTTCCTGCCCCTTTAAGGCGAAGCTCTCAGCCGACCCTACCGACCGCGCACCCTTTCTGTCCCTCGGCGGCCGCCTTCGCGCATTCCGGCAATCTGCCCACGTGAGCCAAACAGCGGCCGCGCGACAGACCCGCCGCTTCCGGTGCGCTTTTGCTGCCGCCGCCGCCGCTGCCGCCTGGGAAGAGAGAGCGAGAGCGCCGGTCCCTCGGAGCGCAGGTGAAAGGCGGGGGGGGGGGCGCTCCTTCTCCCGCCCCCTGGGAAACGGCAGTAGGGGGAAGGGGGCTCGCTCGTACAGGCCCCCTCCCCACCTGGCGCAGCCTGCCCTGCGGGGTTCTCCCCCCATTCCCCAAATATGCGGTCCCTTTAAGAAACAGGGAAGGGCCCCGCCTTGACACCCCCCTTTTCCAGCCTCGCGTTTGGCTCCTCCCCCTTTCCAGGTCATTTGCTCTAAATACCTTTTGGGGGGGCTTACATTTAACCCTTTAAGATCTATGGAGGGGAGGAAAGCTGGGGCCGTTAAGCGTAAGATATGGTTGGGTGGGTGTTTATGGGACCCCATAGGTCCTTCCCCTGGGGATAAGTAAATAATACATGCATTTTATTTATTTGCAAAGATTTATAAGAGGCGTAAATTGAAACCGCAGATAAAATCCACTATTTTGAAACAGAAACAATCACAACCAATAATTAAAAAAAACTGAAACACTGATGAGGTCAGTAAAATTTTGAAAGCGAATCTAGGTAACTAAATTTGTGTCTTTGGGTAGGTTTGCTATAATAATGATAATAATAATTTTAAATGTATTCAGCAGGCTTCTTAAACAATATTGTGAGGGTGGACACATCATGCTCCTTCTGGGGTAATTTTCCACCTTCGTTCCCCAGACTCAGCTCTCACCTGTGGCTCCCAGAAGCTATCAGCATGTGACAGTGGTCTCAAACCCTCAGTGAGTCAGGGACTTCACCTGCATGTGAAGACAGGCTCCAGTGGATTGAGTGGACTAATAGTGGGTCTAACAGTCAAGAAGGCCCAGCTAGTCCAAAAACGGCTAGAATTATTGATGTTTAGAAAAACTGCTATAAGCTGCTCTGAGCTTGTGGGGTAGAACGCCTGACCCTAAGGTTACACAGTTGACTTAATGGTTGAATAGGAATTCGAACTTGGGTCTTCCCAGCCCTAGTCTTTCAGTCAAACTGCTATATCCCACTGTCTAAGTTAGAGTCATCTAAGGGTGGAGAGGCTAGTTCCTTCATCCCACCTCCCCCGGCAAGTCTACTGTAGCTTTTACAAACAGCTTAAGACAGGATTGGCCCATGTGGTGTCCTCTAAATGCTGTTCGACTCCAACTCCCTTTTGTCTGGGGTTGATGGGAGTTGTAGTCCAACAACATCTGGAGGTCACTGCATTGGCTAACCATGTCCTCAGATACCGTCAAACCTCGGTTGTCGAACGTAATCCGTTCCGGAAGACCATTTGACCTGAAACGTTCGACAACTGAGGCACGGCTTCCGATTGGTTTGCAAAAGCTTCTTGCACTCTGTGTCGGACGTTCGAGTTCCGAAAACCGGAGCATTTACTTCCGGGTCTTTGGCGTTCGGGAACAAAAACGTTAGAAAACGGAGCCATTCGAGAACCGAAGTTTGACTGTGTAGAAATGAACCAGCAAAACCTCCCCTGGAGTGGAAATGCAATGATAGACGGACTTTTCCCTTGCTTGTTTTTTCCTACCTTAACAGGCAGCTGTTCAAGGCAAGAGTGTGGGTGGCCTTCACGCACTCAAGGCCTTGGCTGCACACACTGATCTGATAGTCCTCTCCAAGGCTGGGAGGTTTGCTCTTTCTTAACTACAGAGAGCGCAAAAGAAAACAAGACACATTCTGGAAACAGAATGGTGGCGGAGTTGTATTAACACGACAAAATCGTGACCAGCAATTCTCTCTGTGTGTGACTTTTAAGCCATTCTTGGCAAACAAACAAAAAAAACACCTCCCAAACTGGCGTACAATAAAGTATCAAAAGTATGACAAACAAATGAGAATTCCATGTATTATCACTGTGCCAGTGCAGAGTGATAACTTTTGACTTCGAAGATAACTTTTGACTGTAGCTTTATTCCAGAAATCTTAGGACAAATGTTTGCTGGGTGGCACAGATTGTTCTGTTGTACAGATTGCTCAGGGCTCTGCCTCCGTGGTCACAGGCAGCATGCTTCTGAATACCTGTTGCTAGAAACCACAGAAGAAACTGCTTGCCAGTTTCCCACAGACATCTGGCTGGCCACTGTGCAAACAGTGGAGGCTGGACGGATCCAGCAGGCTTTCCCTTACGTTCTTATATTTAAAAATTCTGGCTCCTGGAATCTTATTTCCCTTTGCTAACCTCTTCCTTTCGCTGTCGCTGTTAAAGGAACTAACACAAATTTCCGGACTCCTCCTGTTTCTTTTGCAGAGTTTGCTGGCAGTGGTGGTGGCAGCCCAGCCCAGCAGCATGGAGGCTACAGCTCTGGAGAGCCTCATTGAGATGGGCTTCCCCCAGAACAGAGCGTAGGTGTCTGCCCCTGGGGAAGGGTGGGAGGCATGTGAGGGTTCAAATGGCAAGGCCAGCCCTTCTGGTCCCACATCTATTGCCCAGAAGGCCTAGAAAGAAGAAAACTGGATCTGTGCAAGATCCCTTCTCTGCTCCCAGTGTATATGTGTGTTAGCTGGCAGGTATATATGTGTATATATATGGGCCGCAGGTGGCGCTGTGGGTTAAACCACAGAGCCTAGGTCTTGCTGATCAGAAGGTCGGCGGTTCGAATCCCCGCGACGGGGTGAGCTCCCATTGCTTGGTCCCTGCTCCTAGCAGTTCAAAAGCACGTCAAAGTGCAAGCAGATAAATAGGTACTGCTCCGGCGGGAAGGTAAACGGTGTTTCCGTGTGCTGCTCTGGTTCACCAGAAGCGGCTTAGTCATGCTGGCCACATGACTCGGAAGCTGTAGGCCGGCTCCCTCGGCCAATAAAGCGACCCCAGAGTCGGCCACGACTGGACCTAATGGTCAGGGGTCCCTTTACCTTTATATATGTATATGTATATGCTCCCAGTGTATATGTGTGTTCAGACAAGCAGTACTAGACCATGGCCATTGGCCTTAATTGAAAGTCAGCCTTTACAAAAAGCTGTAGCTCAGTGGTAGAGCATTGGCGCTGCCAGTCAGTGTGGGCAGTATTATCTCAGTGGTCTGACTCAGTAGAAGACAGCTTTCTGTGTTAGTATTTGGGAAGGGCTACAGCGTCTACCTGGCCTGCAGAAGGTCCCTGGTTCAATCCCCAGCGTCTCCAGGTTGGGCTGGGGGACATTCCGTGCCTGAAATCATAGTATAGAGCAGCTGCCAGTCAGTGCAGACAGTATTGCGCTAGGTGGACCAATGATCTGACTCGGTACTGTATATGGCAGCTTCCTTTGTGGATTTTACTTAATTGTTGCAGCGAACCCTGTTGTCCCGCAACCCCCATCCCACCCTAGATGAAGGGGAAGTTGGGCTGGGGTTATGAGTGCCCTGTGCTTCCAGCACTTCTCAGAAAGGCACAAAAAAAATGTAGAATAGCCCTGTGTTCATATGTAGTTCACTACCTCTTTCCTCTCCTTTTTCCCCAGAGAGAAGGCCCTAGCACTAACAGGGAACCAGGGCATTGAATCAGCGATGGATTGGTGAGTATTGGCTCCCTTCTTCCCTCCTGCGGACCCTTGCAGCCCTCTTTTTACCAGTCTTCTCCTGAATGGTGCCTCTCTCTTAACTCCCAGGCTCATGGAGCACGAAAATGATCCCGACCTGGACGAGCCGTACGTGCCCCCCCAAGGCCACGTTCTGAGCACAGAGGAGCCCCCCGAGGGAAGGACGCCGGAGTCAGTGCAAAGTGGATCAGGTCAGAGCAAATCTGGAGAACTTGAGGTGGGAGGGAACCTCATCAGGGGGTCCTGTGCCTGGCCTAGTTCTTACTATCACCTGGGAGAGGAAGGGGAGATTGGAAATTGTTCCATCCAGCCAGAATTGAGCTCCTTCGAACCTCCATCTCTTTCCACTGAGGGCAACTTTTCCAGAGGTTCTAGAAGAGGAATAGCCGACATCTCACCCTCCAGATGTTGGACAGCTACTCACATCATCCCATCCCAGGCTGGGGCTGATGGGACTTAATAGTTCAGTAACAGCATGCTGGCCCACCCCTGTTCTGGAATCTGCTTGGTCAGTTAGATTTGTCCAAGAAAGATCAATGCTAAAAGCCGCAAACCAAAATCTGAATGTTTCCGTTGCTGCTTCTTTGTCAGCCTTCTTCCTTAACATTGTTGGCTCTGGTTTTTCTCCCTCTCTCATCATTCTAGAACAGACATCCCCAAACTTGGCCCTCCATTTTTTTTGGGGGGGGACTACAATTCCCATCATCCCTGACCACTGGTCCTGTTAGCTAGGGATGATGGGAGCTGTAGTCCCAAAACATCTGGAGGGCCGAGTTTGGGGGGTGCCTGTTCTTGAACTCTGGAAGTACAGTGTGGGAACGGACAAAATAAAGTCCTTCTTCCCAAACAGTGTATGGTTAAATCTGTGGAATCCACTCACATTAGAATCATAGAGTTGGAAGGGACGCTGAGGATCCCTTCTTCAGGGTCAGCCACTCGGATGGCTTTAAAAGGGGGTTAAACAGATTCATGCAGGATAAGGCTACCAGTGCTTCATTCTCCAATGCCAGAAGCAACAGCTGCAGGGAATCACAGCTGGAGAAAATTACTGTTGCACTCAGATTCTTTGACCTTTATGTTGTGAACCGCTCTGAGATCTATGGGTATAGGGTGGTATACTACTACTACTACTACTACTACTATTAATAATAATAATCCAGTGAACAGGCTCTGGTTATGTTCATATGTTAATTTTCCTTTTCCTTTTTTCTTTTTCTGCTCATCCTCAAATATAGGAATTTCCTTGCTTGTCTCCTTGGGTTTTTCCAAGCCCAGAGGGTAGCAACATAACAGGTTTATCTCCCCATAGATCCCACGTTAGAGGAGCTGACAGAGGAAGATAACCGACGCCCCCTGAGCGAAGAAGAGAAGCGGGAGCAGACAAAGAGGTAATCATAATTCTGGCGGCTTTAAATTCTGCAACCTGAAAACCCGGATTCCGCGACTAGAATATGATTAGGCTAATCATGCAAGCCTGCATGTTTCTCCCCCCACTTTGTGTGGAACTTGGGTCCCTATGTGGTACTGCACTTCCAGCATCCCCAGCCAGAATCACTGGTTGTCAGGGATGATGGGACTAACGAAATCTTGATGGTTAGGTAAGGCATCTTTGCATAATTATGCCGCGAGGTGAGCAGGGCACAGCTGCACCTTCCAACTCCACCCTCTCTTGTTTACGGCAACGCCCCTGTGTGGCTTACGAGATCTCCCGGGGATTTTGCCCATGTGCTTTCAGGATGATGGAGCTGATCACTCAGAAGCAGCGAGAGCGGGAGGAGCGAGAGAAGCGGGAGAGCATTGAGCGGGAGAAGCAGCGCCGGAAGCAAGGCCAGGAGCTCTCCCTCATCCGCCAGAAGCTGCAGGAGGACGAGATGAAGAAGCTGGCCGAGGAGAGGCGCAAGGAGAAGCTGGAGGAGAAGCTGGCCAAGTGAGAGCCTGTGGGAGGGTGTCAGTGGGGACCCGGAGGGGGGCTGGAAGTGGGGAGGGGGCTGCTCCTATAGTGGAGAACAGCAGCAGACCTCTCATGGTCTGCGGGTGCTTTTAATGCCTTCCCAAATCAAAGCAAAGGAGCTGCGAATGTAGGAAGTTGCTTCTCTGTCGAGTCAGGCCATTGGTCCATCTAGCTCTGTGCTTCCCAAACTTTGACCTCCGGCTGATTTTGGACTACAGTTCCCATCATCCTTAGCTAGCAGGGCCAGTGGTCAGGGATGATGGGAGCTGCAGTCCAAAAACAGCTGGAGGCCCAAGACCACTCCCCGAACCCCTGGAGTGTTACTGCAGATGAATACTGAGCTAGGTCTTGACTCTGTACAAAGCAGTTTCCTTTTTGCTGCTGGGATAACCCCATTCTTGACACCAAGACTGCTCTCGAATGGCGCTCTCTTGTGATCGAGTTGCAGCCTCCCTTGCTCTCCTACCCCCCCAACATGAAAACTCTTCTCCTTTCCAGGCAGCGGGTGCGAGAGAAGATAGAGCGCGACAAGGCCGAGAGAGCCAAGAAGGTAAGCAAGCAGCAGAGACTGGGAAAGGGGTGTGCTCTGAGAGTCGTGTTTTTGCTCGTGGCTTCCTTCCACGAGAGACGTGGGACCCACAGGTGGAAATAAAAAGAATTAAAAATCAAAAGGGATAATCAAGGTAACGAATGCACTGTCTCCAGTCTGTTCTGTTTCCTTATAATAATAGTAATAATAATTTTTTAAAAAATACCCCACTCATCTGGCTGGGTTTTCCCAGCCACTCTGGGCAGCTTCCAACAAAATATTAAAATACAATAATTCCAGTCTCCTCAAGGCTGACCCAGAGGGAGAGAAAGAACAGGGCAGCAAATAAGCTGAGGCTGATTCACAGAGCATGAATTCAAGACTTGGGGAAACAGCTCTCCAAACATGATTGGGCTCCCATTTGCTATCAGCGCTGACCGTTGACCCTGTGGCCCGGGGCTCATGGGAGCTGGGAGTCTATAAACAGCACCTGGCTACCCGTATTTCAGCACTGCATCCATTTTAATGGAGTATTTGTAGGAGGGATGTTGCGGGAGAGAACTTTCAGAAAGGCCAACTCCCACCTTCTGTGCAAAACGGTGGAAGCCAGCAACAAATGCATTGCAAGGTGCTCCTGCTTGTTTGCCAGAGCTCTTAGGCCAAGGCCCTGCCTGTTGGGTAAACCCGCCAGTGTTGTTAAACTTATAGAATCGTAGAGTTGGAAGGGACTCCAAGAGTCAAATAACAGACCCTGTGTTTATCACCCGAGGCCTTTTTCATATGCCTCCTCCACAAATGGTCTGAAGGGCGGCAATACGAAAACGGGCCTTTTCTGTGGTGGCTCCCTGCTTGTGGAACGCCCTCCCTGGGGAGGCTCCCTGGGTGCCTTTGTTACATATCTTTAAGCATCAAGCAAAAACATTCCTCTTCTCCCAGGGTTTTGACTAATTAAACAATCTATGGCCTTTTAAACTGTGGGGGTGGGAATTCCTTTTGTTCGTTGCTATGGGTTAAACCACAGAGCCTAGGACGACAGAAGGTCGGCGGTTCAAATCCCGGGGTGAGCTCCTGTTGCTCTGTCCCTGCTCCTGCCAACCTAGCAGCTTGAAAGCACGTCAGAGTGCAAGTAGATAAATAGGTACCGCTCCGGCGGGAAGGTAAACGGTGTTTCCGTGCACTGCTCTGGTTCGCCAGAAGCGGCTTAGTCATGCTGGCCACATGACCTGTACGCCAGCTCCCTCGGCGAGATGAGTGCCACAACCCCAGAGTCAGCCTAATGGTCAGGGGTCCCTTTACCTTTACCTTTAATGGTATGTACTTTAGTGTTTTTCTATTGTAAACCACTCGGTGACCCTCGGATGAAGGGTGATGTCAAATTTAATAAATGGTAATAGTAATAACAACCTAGTCCAAGCCCTTGCAATGAAGCAGTCACCACTACAGACTCCTTGACAAATGGCCATCCCTCTGCTTAAAATGAAGACCACGGCCTCTCATGGGAATCCGTTCCCCTTTCGAACAGCTCTTGCCACCAGAAAGTTCTTCCAGATATTTAGTCAGAATCTCCTTTCTTGTCTTCTGAATCCATTGATTTCAAATCCCCCCAGAGCACCATCTTCTATGTGACAGCCCTTTAAATAGCTGAAGACTGCTCTCTGTCTCCTTCTCTGGGCTAAAGGTTGCCCAGCTCCCTCAACTGTGCCTCATCTGGCTTGGTTTCCAGACCCTTGATCATCTTGTTCGCCCAGCTCTGCACACTTTTCAGCTTGTCAATATCCTTACGGGGTCCTCGCCGCGGGATCACATTCACCTGGTGCTATACCAGCTGCACTGGCTCCCGGTGGAGTACAGGATCAGGTTCAAGGTGCTGGTTTTAACCTTTAAAGCCCTATACGCCTTAGGGACCTACCTACCTACGGGACCACCTCTCCTAGTATGTCCCACGGAGGACCTTACGGTCTTCAAATAAAAACATCTTGGAGGTCCCGGACCACAGGGAGGTTAGGCTGGCCTTGACCAGAGCCAGGGTTTTTTCAGCTGTGGCTCCAGCCTGGTGGAACGCTCTGTCACACGAGACTAGGGCCCTGCAGGACTTGACATCTTTCCGCAGGGCCTGCAAGACAGAGCTGTTCCACCAGGCCTTTGGCCAAGGCACAGCCTGACCCCCTCCTTCGGTAATCCCCACAGAACTCTAGCCCAATGGTTGCCATGAATTTGATTTTGAATTGATTTTAGAATGAATTGGTTTTAGAATGCATTTCAATCAAGTGATTGTGATTTTAGAATGTTGTATTATTTTATTGTTGTTAGCCGCTCTGAGCCCGGCTTTGGCTGGGGAGGGTGGGATATAAATAAAAAATTATTATCATTATTATTATTATTAATTTGTGAACAGGGCTTTCTGCCCCTAGGGTGCAAGCCTGCCCTGAGAACAAACATACTTCCGGGGTGGCGCCATCGGTAATGGTGGACTCCCTCTGATCTGGAGGGACCAGCTCCACGGGAATCAGGTCTTTTCCGCTACGGCGAAGCGGGGACCCAATCAAAAATCACAGGCGGATGAAGCCTGTGACCATGGGACTCGGCGGGCACCCTTAGCGCCCCCCCAACCCGCAAAGGAACCCACTAACGGGCTCCGAAGCGAAGAGGGGGAAGTGGCGCGGTGCTGAGAGTCAACTGCTTCTTCCGTGGAGCGAAGCCGCACAGCCGTTGCCGGAGAGCGCTGCCTTTTTCCTGGGACAATTTGGCTTTTAAAACAACCACCCGTGAGTACTTAAGTTTCGGACAATTGGACTCTAAATAAGGATTTGTGAGCAGAAAGGAAAACTGGACTTAAAAGTTTAATTTAATTTGGCACTGAAACAGGAAGGTCTAAACAGGAAGCCAGCCTTCCGCTTCTTTGTAGATAGATTAAAGCAAAGACACAGCAAACTAAAGTTCTGAAAATCGCTTCTAAAGGATTAACTTTCATCATTTAAAATTGTGGAACCCCCTTCGGAAGCAGGAGAAGAGGGGGGATTTTTTCTGGACTGTTTAAACCTGCAGAAGTGAGTGTAAAGTAAAGTAACTTTCCACCGTCTTGATCCTGGAGCGGGGTGTCAGGACTGACGTTTTGAAGCTCATTGACCAGAGACAAACGTTTTTGACAGATAGCTAAAGGAAGAGATACATAGTGATTCCATTGTTCCCCTTCGCATTTTAAAGGAACAAATATTGACAAAATATCTGAAAAAGGAAACTTTGTTGTTAGATTTGTTTTTAAAAGAAAAGAACAAGCAGAAGTTTTTCCCCTAGAGGGAGCCTGTGAAACTGTAACCAATTTTGAATCGGGAAGCTCGCAGCTGTTACAGATTACGATTGTGGGAATAGACTTCTGACCTTGCAGGACAATGTATTCAGAAGCTCTGTTGAGTGCTTTCTGTAAAACAAGTGCCCTACTGGAACAGCTACATGAGAAGACGGATTTTATGACTGATGCGATTAGAAATTTTGGACAGGCAGTGGGATATTATATAGAGCCCACCCAGGAATTAGATCAGGAGTGTGCCCTGACAGAACAGATGAGGGAAGAGGATGTTGCTGAATCTTGGGCGCCAGGGATGGAGGGAGCTGCGGCCCAGCAGGAACATGAATTCTTGGATTTGACAAATGAACTTGGAAAAAGCCAGATTTGGAAAGATAAAGTTTGGTTTGGTTTGGAAATGGGGGGTTGGATAGACCCCCCTATGCAGGGAGGTTTGGACTTTTCGAGTCTGGCAATGGGCCGTGAGATGTTTGGGGTTGTGGGGGCTCTCAATTTTGGAGGGTTTTTGAAACATGTTCTTAAATACCACATGGAACTTAGTGGGGACTATGGAAAAGGGGCTGATTTGTTGAGAAGGGTCAAAAGCATTGTCAAGCTGGAGTTCCCAAGAGTGATAGAAGTAGGAGATAAAGGGAAATATAACTATAAATATGAAGAAGAGCTGCGGAAGGGACATGGAAGAGACTTAAGGGCCTCGGACATAAGGTTACCAGGTTAATGCGCTAGATTGATGGGATAGAAAGGACTGACAAAACCCGGGTCCAGGAGGAAGAGACGCTGGATGAAGATTGGATTGTTATTTCTTTTATTATGATTGTTTTATAAAATTGATGAATGTTAGAAAAATGTTGGAACGAAATTATTTGGCTTTAGCAAAAATGTTTAAAGAATTATGTAAGAATATTATGGTTATGAGAAATTGGTAAAAATAAGATTTAAGTTTTAAGGTTTTCATAGTAAGATAAGATTAAAATAGATTAAGGTAAAGTAATGACAGAATATTATGAAATATGGAAAGGATTTGCTGTGACAATTAATAATCAGGATACAAAAAAAGGGAGGAGGAGGAGGTCAAAGAAAGAAGGTAATGACAGTTAAAGATATGAGAATATTGGATTTGTTTTTAAATGTTTGCGGTATATTTTTGTTTTTTAATTGTGTCGTGTTATTTTTTGATTTTGATTTTGATTAATTTGTATTGTTTGACTGTGGTTTGTCTTTTCTTTGTTTTTTCTTTCTTTTTTTTCTTTTTTTATTCTCTTTTGTAATTTTAAAATTTTCAATAAATATCATTTTTAAAAAAAAGAGAACAAACATCAGGATGATGCTGGGCGGCTGTCTTTTGTCCACTGACCCACCTCTCCTTTTCAATTCAGTTTGGCGGCGGCTGCAGCAGCTCTTCCCAAGGCTCCACCCTGCCTGAGCAATCGGCACCCACACCTGTTCCCTCGTCACCCAGCCAGGAACCCCCTGTCAAGCGAGAGTATGATCAATGCAGGATACAGGTAACTGACTGCGGGGCAGGCTGTGTGTTTGTGTGTAGAATGCTGCTTATTCTCATCTGTTTCTTGCACATACCATAAGCCACTCTGCTTGCGATATACAGCCATGTCGTGGCCGGCCTTAACCTTTTGCATTCCTGCCGTAAAAGACTCCCTGAAATCTTCCCTGCCTAATGCAAGCAGGAGTAGACCAGGACAGGTTATCAGCAGTCCAGCCATGCAAACTGGAGGAGACTGCAGTTCCAAACTGGTCCCTGCTGTGAGCCTCCTTTCACCCGTCCCCCTTTCATTTTATTGATCTTAAAATAAATACAGAAGTAGAACCATGTCGAAATGCAATTAGCAGAAAATGCAAACAGCAGTTCAAGCTATTTGCCCAGGATGCACAACCAAAAAGGGACAGCCTAGTTAGATAATACTAAATCTATACACCCCGTTCCTTGATCCTTATTGGCACATCTCACAAAACCTGTCAGAGAGTAAAGAAGGGATATTCTCTGGCTCCACACAATGGATAATGGAAATATGAACCTACTTTTTCCAAAATAATGGTAATATTTCTTAGTGTTTCTGTAGTGCTTTCAAGTGCTTCAGTGCATTATCTAGCTGTAATCCTTACACAACAACCCTGCAAGGTATTATTATTCACCACATTGCAGATGGGCTGGTGGAGGGGGGCTGAGATTGAGGGCTCACCTAGTAAGGCCTAGTATTTTCATGGCAGAGGCAAGGCTCCAGATGTTGACTTCCTGACTGCAGCTCAGTATACTTCACATGCAGAAGGCACCAGGTTCAATTCCTGGCATCTCCCGGTAGGGCTGGGGGAGCCACTCCCTTCTGAAACCCTGCAAAGCTGCTGCCGGTCAGTGTAGACAGTACTGAGCTAGATGGACCAAGAGTCTGACTTAGGAAAGGCAGCTTCGGTGGCTCCCTGATGATTTTCTGGACTTTGTGGTGGTGTCACTTGAGATAGCTTTAGGCAGGCCCCCACTTCTGATCTCTATCCCCACATTTGCAACAAAAAAGGGGTGATGATGATGATGATCATCATCATCATCTGCCCTGTGGTTAAGGATTATCAAGAGCGTGTGCAGGAAGCATATGATCCACATAAAGCACTAACAATCCTTAAACCTTAGCATTCTTAATTATTAATGAAATAAGCAATTACCATTGCATGGTTAAAACCTTTGGCAGAAAAGAAATCTCTGAGTTCTGAATGAAGGTCTTTAGTAAAAAAAAGTTTACATGTGCATTATCATCCCAATGACTGCAGTTAAGATTAGCCACAGTTTAGGGTTCAGATATAACACTAAACTGCAGCTGGCTAAAAACGTACATTTTCCCATCATCTCCCTGTGGAGAGGGAGGACAGCCCAGAACCCCCAAGGCTTATTCATGTTCATGGATACGACACTCATGCACCATTTCAGATCCTCTCCTCCTGTGTTTTCCTCAGGTGAGACTGCTGGACGGCACGTCGCTCACCCAGACATTTCGAGCCAAAGAGCAGCTGGCCGCTGTCCGGCTCTACGTGGAGCTGAACCGCAAGGACAATGGTGACGAGCCTTTCCACCTCCTCACCAGCTTCCCGCGGCGTGTCTTCACTGAGGAGGACATGGAGAAGCCCCTGCAGGAGCTGGGTGAGTCTGAGATTGCTGGGGTAGGAAGAGGGAAGGGGGTGAGCGTTGCTTGCAGTGTTTCCCTCCTGCTACTCCGTGGAGGACGGAGGAATTCTCGGGCAGGCGCTGGGAACCTCTGGGTCACGAGCCCAGTTTGCCCCAGCACGGCTCCCAGTTTGGCCTACGACGCCCACCAAGCTGCGTCTCGCTCCTAATACCTTATGTGACGTCAGGTAGAGACGCAGCCGGTCTGGCTGTGCGTGGGGAGCTCAGTTGCGCAGCCAGTCCCTGCAGAAAGCAGGCTTGAAATCATTGCCTGTCAGCTCACGTTTTGACTTCAAGCTTGTGGATTACTTGTGCGCTGTGTAAAGCGCTTTGCAAGCCCCGAAGTCCTGGCAATCATCACCCCACGTCAGGTGAGTGACAGGTGAGCAGGGGAGATGAAGACCCGCCCCCCAGCAACACCAGGTTCCAGACCCATCCTAGGCCAAAGCACTGTCTGTTGGAAGCTGACCCATTTTATGCTACATCTAAGAACAGAGAGAGCCTGCACCAGAGGAACTGGTGACCTAATTTTTTTAGTTGCTGTTCTGTTAATATTGTTTTATAGATTCTAAGTGCCATATTGATTTGTTGATCATATGATACGACTTTTGCTGCAAATGTGATGGTTAGCTTTTTTTTTTTAGTTCATTTTGTTAATAGCGTTTTATAGATTGCAATTGTTTTATTGAGGATTTGTTAATTATTTCATACGATTGACGCTGCATTACGTGCTTACGTATTGTTGGTAAGCCGTTTTGAGATCCATTCGAATGAAAAGCAGCCTATAAATACATCAAATCAACCCAGAAGCTGCTGAACTCCAGCTCCCATCAGCCTCTGCCAGCATGGCCCAACGCTCAGGATGGGAGTTGCAGTCCACCAATATCTGGAGGGCCAGTTTTTCCCGACGCAATTGGAACACACACATTTCATCATCCCCGACTGTTGCCTGGCCCAGTTCTAGGGAGCCAGTTCCCAACTTCACCAGAACAGTACATAAATATTGACCGTTTTGCTTTGACCCAAAGTCCTAACACCACCTCATCCGCCCTGCTAACTGCTGAATGTGAGTTTCCCCCATTACCTCCTACTCTCTGCCTCTCTCTGTCTTTCCTCTGCAGGTTTGGTGCCTTCTGCTGTGTTGATCGTAGCGAAGAAAGGCAACAGCTGAAGTGGCTCTCCTCCTCGCTCTCTCAGCCCCCTCCTTCCCTTGCTGCCGGAGGTGACTCTCACCTGACCCATGTGCTCTGTCTCTGGGGGGAGCGCACATCCCAGCCCCTCCTGGTTTTCCTAACCAACTCTGCCCACAGAGACTCCAAAGCACAACCATGTCTTGGGGCTGGGATTCCGAATCAATGACGACGATCGGGCTGGGGTTGGATGCGATGGAGAAAAGTGTTGGGCTTCCCCTCCTGTCGGGGAGGGAGGGGCAAGGTTGCAACTTGACTTCCTCTCTTCATGCCACACACACACCATGAATAAAACCTATTCTCTCTTTCCTTGCTTCTTGCGAGAATTCTTTTATCCCATTTGTTAAGAGGTAGGGCACTCAGAGTCATCTAGTTGGCATGGGGGGGGCAGTGCCTGGGGCTCTCTTCCAGGAAAAGGCTACTATCCTGCTGCCTTGTCTCTCTACTCCGGGGTAAAGGTAAAGGGACCCCTGACTGTTAGGTCCAGTTGCGAATGACTTTGGGGTTGCGGCACTCATCTCGTTTTATTGGCCGAGGGAGCCGGCGTACAGCTTCTGGGTCATGTGGCCAGCATGACTAAGCCGCTTCTGGCAACAGAGCAGCGCACGGAAACGCCGTTTACCTTCCCGCTGGAGTGGTACCTATTTATCTACTTGCACTTTGACATGCTTTCAAACTGCTAGGTTGGCAGGAACAGGGACTGAGCAACGGGAGCTCACCCCGTTGTGGGAATTTGAACTGCTAACCTTCTGGTCGGCAAGTCCTAGGCTCTGTGGTTTAACCCACAGCGCCACCCACGTCCCTTCTACTCCGGGGACTTTGATGTTGTCAAGGCAGATGTATTTAATAGGGTTGTGTTTTTTTAAAAAAAACTGAACTTTCTAAAAAGAAAGAAAAATGCAGACAATGCAAACCAAACCATAACAAAGAGAACATGTTCTGTGGGTACAAGCAAAGGGAGGAAAGCTGGTGGTCCAGACCAACCCAGCACTCAGAATAGATCTGTACAAAGAATCCAGATATCAGAGAATCTCCTGGTCACCTTCTCATATGCTGCCAGTTGAGTCATGGCTTCTGTCCTCTGTAGGGGTGGTGAGGATGTTACCTTCCGGTATTAGAATGTAGACATTTAGCCACCCTGAGTGCCCTTAGAAGCCATTTACATTGTTGCTCTGTCTGTTTCCAGAAGACTGGTACATAATTCAAGAGAACATCCATAAATCTCAAGGTTCTGAAAACTGTATTTATGCCGCTGATGACCTCTGGCCAAAAGGGTGTGACTTCATGTATTCATGAATGAAGTTTCTACCACACACTCCCCTTCCAAGCAATTAAAAATGTAGTAAAGAACATACTTTGAAACACCCCTTCATTATTGTCAGCTTTTAGGCACCAGGTTAAGACAATTTTATATACCAGGCCTTTGATAGTTAAATTAGCCTCTACAATGGTATTCACATTTTTGTAGGCTCAGATTATCATTTTAGGAATTTTGTGTTGTACATCATTTTAATTATTTCTGGTTTTTATATTTTTTGTGTTTTTTATTTTTTAAGTTGCTTTGAGACTTCCTGTCTAAAGCAATTAACAAATGTAATGAATAGCAACAATTTTAAAACATTAACATCTGAAAGCTTTTTAAAAAACCAGTCCTCGCATAAAGTTCCTAGAAACTACATACCAGATATCAAAAGACCTGGGTGAAGAGGACTGTTTTTAAATTCCACCTGATTGCTCATGAGAAAGACAGATGCATCTCAATTGGGGGGAGGATTACACAAATGAGGAGCCACCACTGAGAAGGCCATGCTGCTTATGGGGGTCACTGCCAATTGGACAAACCTTCCATCAGGGTCCTGGATGGTTGGTATTTGAGCTGCTATTTTAGATGTCATGTTGTGCAATTGTAGGAATTGGTGTCTCTTGCAACTGCAGCAGCCTCTTTTAACAGCACTCAACAATTTCTAAATTAGTTTTGCGTCCTTTTAAATCCCCTATTGAAGCCAGTGGCCCTCCTTGACCTCTTTCACAAATTGTGTTGTGGGAGGGAGCAAGGAACCTCTTCCTTCCACTTCTCTTTGCATGCTGCTGCAATTAAGATAAAAACCAGGGAGGGGAACCCCTAAGTGAAACTATAGCCCCTGATGCGGAAACAGAGCTTGATTTAATTAAAACAAATCCAGTTAAATATTTACATAGAATACATGGTGCTTAGGGTTGGGGTTTTTTAATGCAGGAGGAAGCAGATTTTCTCCCCTCCCAGCTATGACATACATCACAGCTTCTACTGACAATCTCTGTCATAAGGAAAGCATGATATGCTAAAGTCTCTGCAGAGGCTGCACGGTGTCTTCTTGGCATATAAACCAGCTTGCCACGGACATCACAAACAAATCCAGGGTATTTCCCTCCAGTAGTCTTTTATTGGCTACGGTTTGAACTCCTGCCAGATCCGGAAAAAGATGATGTGCATCCAGTAAAGAGCTATTCACTCATCTTTCTTGTAGCTTCCAACTGGGTTTACCCAAATAGTAACACCCCAACAGAAGAGACCTGGAAGGGAGAAAAAGAAAAACATGGGTGTGGCCCAAGGAAGAGTTCCAAGGGCCAGATAGAGGGGCCCATTTGGCCCCCTGGTTCTGAGGTCCCCCCCCCCTTGATCTTAAGTCAGCCAAGGATGTATGCCACAAACAGCAGGAAGAAACAAAGTGCAGAGCTGACTTCAAAACAGACATCGCCAATACCCCGCAAGACGAGGGAAGAGAAATGATTGCTAGTCTATCTGATTTAAGGGCTGGTTTCCTGCCCCATATATGTTGAATGATTTGGACTAAAACTAGGAGAGATATTAGCACTCCCACTGAACCAACTTTCCCAAGTACAGTTTTTTGGGGGGTCACCCTAGAAATAAGGTGCACCTCTCAGCATAGATCAACATCTGAACAAGAAATGGGCCTCAGTAATCAGATCAGTGGAAGATAAAAGTAACGACAATAGTTATTCACCATGACAACAGAGCCTCCATGGTCAACAGCAGTCTACTCACTGAGGACCAGGTGCTGGAAACAAACAGGGTGGGAGGGGGACAACTGCCCTGACGCCCTGCTGAAGAGCTAATAAAACACTTGGCCATAAAAAAGTTGCTGGCCTAGACAGGGATCTGATTACAGTGGTACCTCAGGTTAAGTACTTAATTCGTTCCGGAGGTCCGTTCTTAACCTGAAACTGTTCTTAACCTGAAGCACCACTTTAGCTAATGGGGCCTCCTGCTGCTGCTGCTGTGCTGCCGGAGCACAGTTTCTGTTCTCATCCTGAAGCAAAGTTCTTAACCAGAGGTAATATTTCTGGGTTAGTGGAGTCTATAACCTGAAGCATATGTAACCTGAAGCGTATGTAACCCAAGGCACCACTGTACTGAGGCCCATGCTCGCAGAAGGTCCCAGGGGCTGAATCCCCCAAGGGCATCCCCAGAAAGGGCCAGGAGGAGGGACTCTGCAGAGCTGGGGCTATGTTGTAGTAGGCAATATTGTCCCGACGAGCTACAAGGCTTCCTATGCTCCCGTTTGAAAACAGCGCCTTCAGTTCACAACCATGAGGACTTGAACCTTAACTTTTCCAAGAAGCAGAGGCAGTTGATGTCCCCTGGGATGGGCAGGGTAAGGTCTGAAATCCACACCCACCAGCTCAGAAGGGCAGACGCAGTTACCTTCACTACGGCGAGGGCAAACGCACACTGCATATGCTCAGAGGCGACTTCACCCAAATGTCGATCTCTCAGTCAGTCCTGGCGCTGAGCCCAGTGCCAGATTTATGTATAAGCTAAACAAGCTATAGCTTAGGGCCCCACTATCTTGGAGGCCCAAAAAAAATTAAAGGGAAAAAAACTGGATGTACATTTCCAAAATATACGATAAAAAACAAATAAAATAAAACCTACATACAGCAACAGTGTTTTGTGTTGTGTAGGCTCCTATGCTGTAAGTAATGGGCCCCGCCTGCTAGTCTGCTCCCTAAAATATCACTGGTTTGTTCATTTCTATATATAGGGTGGCTACATTTTGCATGGACTGGTTGCAGGGCAACATGTAGCACGCAGCTGCAGACTGCAGTGCAGCACAGTTGAATGTAAGTCAAGCTGTTGTACCTGTTATCTAATATTAAAGAGTGCTTGCAGACTGATGATCAGGCAGCACAGACTAAGGGTATGAGCATATATTCAACACAAAAAACAGCGACAATTTGTTGTAGACAACAGACAGCTGGACATATAAAGGGCCCCATTACCTTCAGTAGCTGAGGGCCTCATCAAGCCTAAATCTGGCCCTGGTGAGCCGCAGCTCAGCCCGGAGCCGCCCCCCCCCGCCCCTCTCTGCGCCCCCCACTTACAGACAGCGAAGGTCATCTGGGCGATGTTGCCCATGCTGGGGGGGATCCTCTGGCTCATAATCCGGAGGGGCCCCGAATAGACGAACAAGGAGGAGGCGATCAGTGCCCCCCCGCTCAGGGCGCGGCAGCTGAAGCAGGACCAGAAAAAGGACCGTTTCTGCTCCGGTGAGGAAGCGACGCGCTCGACGCTGGAAGACATGCCTCGGCTTTCCTGCGGGGGCGGGAAAATGGCGGCGCCCAGGACACCGCGCCGGAAGCGGCTTGCGCCCAGAAGCCGCTCTGCTTCCTGTCCCTCGTCTCGGTGGAAGCAGAAAGGGCGGCGTGCGCCGCAATGGGTGTCCGGCATGCCTACAACTCACCCATCGATTGGTTCCCCCATCGATTTGGATTGTCCTGCTGGCTCCCGTCAGCGTTTGCAAATGGAGGCAAATCTCAAGAAGAGAGGAAGGGGGAATTTCCTCCCTCCAGGAGGTATTAGATAGGGAACATCAAGCAGATTACGTCCAGCTATTTGTCCACCTCTCCATCTGTATAAAAGCCAGCTTTCCAATATTCTTCAGTGGAAGAATAGAACTGAGGATAAGGCTTTTGCAGGGGAAAGGGGCTTATGCAGGCTGTGGCCATAGGAACAGATTTGATTCTGATGGGTGGGTTTCACAGAGAGCGGGTTTAGACCATGCTTAGGCAGACCTGGGCAAATCACAGAGTGGGAAAACTCCAAGTGTCATCTAGTCCAACCCTCTTGCAATGCAGGAATCTCAGCAAGAGGTCCCCCATTCAATGCGAAACCATACGGGGGGAGTGCCCTGTCAATGCGTCATCCCACAGCTAGCCGTCACTTGCCTGCCTTCTGATATACAACCAGTCCAGGAGGCAGCCCTGCCTGTCAGATTCCTACTCCTTTGTGTCAGTGTTGCTTCCTGTAAAACAGGAGGAAGATGGGGACAGTACTAGAATTATATGCTTCCATCTCCTGTTGGACTCCCTGTCTTCTGCCCCAGCAGTTCCAAGGGGCACCAGCCACCACACACTGCACCCAAATGGTCTTCATAAGGTTTCTCATTTTTTTCTACCCATGCCAATGAATAGCTGACATTCAGTCTAGTGGGAAAACATTTAAGTCAGGGATGAGGAACCTGTTTCTCCAGGTGATGACAAACTCAAACTTCCATCAGCCCTGATCAGCATACTGAAAGAACCATGGATTATGGGAGTTCAACAACTTTCAGCAGTGCACCGGTTCCCCAAGTACTGTTCATGGCAATGTCACTGCCATGAGGGCCCAACCTACCATTTCATGCCTGGCAGTGGGTGGCCTTAACCTCAAGTGATGAGGTCATGGAAGACGGGGTAAGAAAGCTTTTTTCAACACAAGAGGACCATGTTCCTTTCTGGGCAACCTTCTGAGGACCACATGCCAGTGGTAGGCAAAGCCAAAGGCAAAAGTAGGCACTACAATGAATGTTACCTTGGTACAGTGGTCTAGTTTCTACGCAATTACCTCTGTACCCTCCACCCAGGCAAACAAGACACAGGATCAGAGTCCAAGGCTGCATTCCAGCCAGGCAAACACTTCTGGGGCACAAAGCAGGTGAGGGGTGCAACTTGAAGAAAGTTCTGAGAATCAGATAGGGAGGCTGAAGGTCTGCATTCGGCCCCTGGGGCTGAGGTATCCGGCTATGGCTGTAAAGTGTATGATGCCATTGTACAGACAACTTGGCAAAATATAAGCCCTCTCTCTACACAGACATATTTCTATTGTAACTACAAACTTTTTTTGTTGTTGCTAGTTTACAACAAACCCTTAAATAAGCACAGATGTCAGTGTGATGTACAAAGGAAATTTTATCGCTCAATGTTTACACCAAAGCAACCCTTACAGCATGAAGAAAAAACAGAAGAATCTTTCCATTGAAGAGACAGTAAAGTCCTCCTAGATCCAGCTTCTGCAAAGTTCTCAGTTTAGAATAGAGTCCAGCCAGCACAGACTCTTTTTGCTTCACTGCTATTTTTTCCAGGGCCACGGCTTGTGAGCCACATTCTCATCGGTCTTCGCTGCCTCTTTCAGGATCTCCATTACCATGGCGTTATGTTTTTGCCGCTCAGTCAACACCTGTGGGGTAGCATCAGCAAACTCCTGGGGAAAGAAATAAAGACGTTTAGAAAATCCAGGAGAGGTGCCTTCAAGGGTGAAGTCAAACCGCTGGAGAGCTGCAGCTACGGCTATAGAGACAGACACGGGAGGACTACATGTGCCCATTGGGGCCAGCATCCTCTACTCTGACTGGCAGCAGCTCTCTCAGGATCTCTGGGGTCCCTTTCTCGTCAGCTGCTACCTTTAGCCGGAAACGCCACGGGCTGAGCCCGGGGCTTCCCGCAAGTGCACCGTGGCTTCCTCTGACCTCCACCTCAAACCCCGGAGACTGGAGCTTTCGCCCACCTTCGCCATCTCCTTTCTGCGCGCTTCGTCCGGCGCGACCACGGCCCAAAGCACAAGCCCCGCGCCCGTGAACCCCGCCACGAACAAGATCCCCTTTGCTACGCGGTAGGCAGCCTCCATGGAAGCAAACGACACCCCACCGCTCCAAAAACACTCCCCAAGAAACAAGCAGGAAGGACCAGCCTCCCTGGAAGGGCGAGGGGAAGAAAAAAGGTGGCGCACCACCTAGAGAGCAGAGGTGTGTCTGGGCTAGAGTGTCCCGGCCGCAACCTAGAGATAAAAAAAGCGGAGAGTTATGGAGACGTTAAAGGAGCGCCAAAGAGGGAAGGGAGTCTTGCTCTTTCTAACTCGGGTCTTCATTTGTGTTAGAAGAATTATTTCGGATTTGGTTTTTAAAATTGGTTTAAAAAATTGCCCTGAAAATGCCATAGCTCAGTGGCAGAGCATCTGCGTTGCAATGCCCAAGGTTCAGTCCCCAATGGCGTCTATGGAAGAAGCTCCTTGCCTGAAACCTTGGAGAGCCGCTGCCAGTCAGTGTAGGCAGTATTGAGCTAGAAGGGCCGGTAGATGTGACGGGTTTCTTTCCCCCCTGTTATGTACTGAGTTGAATAGGATCCAAACTGCAGCAGTCTGATTGGTCCTAGAACAATAGGATCCAAATTGCAGCAGTCTGATTGGTCCTAGAACAATAGGATCCAAATTGCAACAGTCTGATTGGTCCTAGAACAATGCAGCAGTATGATTGGTTGGCAGGAACCACCCAATCATGCTCCAGATAGAAGTGAATCCACAACCTGATTGGCTTACAGTAGAATTCCAGAATTAGCCAATCATGTGCAGCCCATTGTGTAAATAATGTATATAAAGCAGATACTGTGAGGGGACTTCCATTCATTCCTCCTCACCACTATGAGCTGAATAAAGAGCATGAAATCACTTTGCGACTCTGAGTATATTTCACCCCTGGAAAAATAAAGCACAAGGGGGGGTGGGAATCCCACCTCACATCACTGGTAAAAAGATGCCAAAGGGGTGATTTTATGGTGCGTTGGAAACCGTATACAGTATCGGACATTGCAGAAAGAGCTCACAGCTTCCTCCCGCAAAGGATCTTAATCTCTCATAATGACCAAAGAGCCGAATGAGATTATCCTCGTATTCATTATTTTATATAATATTTATTGAGTTTTCCAATTTAACAATCCAACAAAAACCACATTAAATACATTCCAAATTATAATACAACCAAGAAGACCAAATTTTATGCCAAATTATATATCTTTGGGTGACTTCCCATGCTCTGAAGTTCATATTCATTATTTTAGGAATGAGTAATTAACAATAGAAATAAGTAAAGTGCATCTACCTTGAATGCAGCAGATTGCAGGTTCAAGCCCCAGAATCTCCAGATCTGAAGCCCTGGAGAACCGCTGCCAGTCAGTCTAGAATCAGAATTGTATAGGGCCCTGAGGGTCATCTAGTCCAACCCCTGCAATACAGGAATCTCAACTAGATCATACATGACAGATGGGCATTGGATGGACCTCTGCTTTAAAACCTTCGGGGAAGGAGAGTCCACCCGGTCTCGTGGGAGTGTAAGGCACTCCCTATGTTACTTGAATGGGAAGTTGGGTTCTGGCTAATATTAGCTTGCATTCAATTAAATTCTGCATACCCATTGAGATTCATGGACTTCAATTAATCATTTCCATTAATTCCAATGGGTCGACTCTTGAGTAGAGCTAGCCCTGGTACAACCTACTGTTTTGGATTTTTGCTGGAAGCATGTTGTATACTCTGAGCAATTGTATTTCCACTTTCAATGCCTTTTCGTTCCCTTACAGAAAACTGTTACACAATAATAATATCGGTAATAGGGTAGTATTAAGCTAGTAATTATTTTAGAATAAATAAGAACATCGGAAGCTGCCTTATACGGAGTCAGACTATTGGGCCATCTAACTTCGTATTGACCAGCAATGCCTTTCCGAGTCTCTTTACACACTATAGCTCTGAAGCACATTGAAAGCAATGTTTCCTTTTGAATAATTTTAGGCATTGTGGTTTGTTCAGGGTTGATGGGAATAGTAAGTCTGTGAGAGGTAAATGACAGTGGCAATCTAGTAAGGCAGTGGTACTCCGAGGGTGTGGCATGCAACATTGGTGTGGCAGGAGAGGGTGGCAAGTGTTGTGGGAAGATTCAGGGACAATCAAAGAAACCTTTAAACATTTCAGCGTAGTATAGTATCAAAATAATTATTTTTATTTGCAGAATGTGGATAGATATCTTTTCAAAACGAGAGCAAGAACATCAAGTGATACTGAAGACAATCGTAGCTGTGTTTTCCAACGTATTTATTATTGATTAAAAAATTGGTGTGGCACGAGCACATTTTTATTCCCAAGAAAAAAGTTTGAGAACCATTGTTATAAGGTGGTTTTAGCCTGGAACACTCTGGCATGGAGAGAAAGTTATCTTCTTCACCTCTTCAATTTCTGGGAGATAAGTTGCTTATGAAGGGCCAGGGGTGGGGCCGGTTAAAAACAAAGAAGCAACTGGCAAAATGTGGCAACCCTACACCTCACTATTGGCTTGTCCAGTGAAATGTCACCTTGTGCATTGAAAAACAACAGTATGATATCACAATGTACTTCAGTGTGTCCGCAGTCGGGTAATGTGATTTTGTGGCTATGTACAAATTGAAACATGTGGACATAGGGACATGGGTGGCACTGTGGGTTAAACCACAGAGCCTAGGACTTGCCGATCAGAAGGTCGGTGGTTCAAATCCCCTTGACGGGGTGAGTTCCCGTTGCTCGGTCCCTGCTCCTACCAACCTAGCAGTTTGAAAGCACGTCAAAGTGCTTCCAGCGGGAAGGTAAACGGCATTTCCGTGCGCTGCTCTGGTTCTCCAGAAGCGGCTTAGTCATGCTGGCCACATGACCCGGAAGCTGTACACCGGCTCCCTCGGCCAGTAAAGCTAGATGAGCGCCGCAACCACAGAATCGGCCACAACTGGACCTAATGGTCAGGGGTCCCTTTACCTTTACACATTGAAAGGCCCCATCTGTCACGCTGTGTTTCAAGTCAAATTTCTGCATTCCTGTACACACCAGAGAGGGGAACAGTGTCTTCACCTGATACTGCTTACCTGATTTGTTTCCCCGAACTGGCAAACCCCACCTGCCACAGAATTCCTATTCAAGGAAGACGTCTTCTGCACATGTGTTCCATCATCTGCCTGAACAGTACACATCTCAGCTTGCATTTTCAAACCGGGTGGCAGTTGGTTTGTGGGGAAACGCATCAAACAGCAGAATTTCTAGATAGACTCCGGGATACAGATGAGTGTGAGGCTTTAAATGCCGGTGTTGGGAGCACATTGAAGCCAGAGTTTATGACAATGTGCCCATGATGGGTTCCCTTCTCCCCTTAATTGGATTATCATCAGAACTGGGAAATCCAAATTAAATGGAGGGCAGGGGACTTGACTGAGGATGCTGGGAAACCAGACACAAGTAACTTAATATCCACATTAAATTTATGAGTGGGTGAGCCCATATAATCTCAGAGGATGCTTCACAAAAATGGATCACATGATAGGAGATGTGAGGTTGTTGCCTGGATGAACTGAAGCTGGATAATGCTGTTAAATGTTGATTGCCCCTTGAGGGGCAATCCTTCAGGTGCCATATTGTTTACCAGCCCCTGCTCCTGTGCTGTTAGAGATGTTGGCTTGCGTGCGTCAGCAGACTAGCACACTCATCTCCGTGCCATTTAAATAGAAGCCCCAGAGTTTGCTCTTGCCTTGCTGCCTGGGTGGACAACATTCTGATTTGAATATCGTTTTTCATCACTCGTACCTTCTTCCACAGTACAGTGGTACCTCGGGTTAAGAACTTAATTTGTTCTGGAGGTACGTTCTTAACCTGAAACTGTTCTTAACCTGAGGTACCACTTTAGCTTATGGGGCCTCCCGCTACCGCTACACAATTTCTGTTCTCATCCTGAAGCAAAGTTCTTAACCTGAGGTACTATTTCTGGTTTAGTGGAGTCTGTAACCTGAAGCGTCTGTAACCTGAAGCGTCTGTAACCTGAGGTACCACTGCAATTTACTGATGCTGGGACTTTATTGTGAGATTGCCTTTTTTAAATCAATGGATGCCTCCTTCAGCGATGCACATGAATCAGAAAGGTTAGATACAAAAATGTATTATTATTATTATTATTATTATTATTACTTAAAAACCCAGAAGTCTCACTTGAGGGTCAAGTCACTATTAAAAGCAGAGGTGCAGGCCCAGTTGGATTTGTCCCATCAGTTGGCAACCCACTTACACCTTGATATTTGCGATGAGGCACACACAACGGACAGGCACCACCACTGTCTGCTTTAAGTAAGGCATTCCCCACCCTTCGCACTAGCCCTGTGACAATCTCTGCCTTGAGCTCATTAGCTGTGCTTTGAGTTTCCATGATCTCAGAGGGCGATTAATATCCAGGGAATAGAGATGGATGGCCAGTGTCCCGGGGTGACCTCAACCCCCTGGATCTGGAAGCCCCTCCCCCCCATTGCTCTGTTATTCTTTCCAGAGCCTGGGGAAGTGAACATCCTCTCTGCCCCACCAATTCCACCAGACAAGGAAGAGGATATTTCCACTTCTGCCGGAAGAAGGTGAGCCCTGGGAATTGGAAGAGGATCCACCCAAGATCCCACAGGATCGATTTCCAGGAAAAGGTGAGAAAGGGGAGGGGTGGAGAGTTCCTCTTGGCAGATTCCCAACTGAACCTGCCTTGTTTTCGAGGAGTTCCTATAGGAACATAGGAAGCTGCCTTAGGCTGAGTCAGGCTGTCGGTCCATCTAGCTCAGTATTGCCTGCACTGGCTGGCAGCAGCTCTTCAGGGTTTCAGAGGGGAATCTCTTCTTCCCAGCCCAACCTGGGTTGAATCAGGGGCATAGCTGTCAAGCGTCCCTTATTTGGCGGGACAGTCCCTTATTCCAGCGCCATGTCCCGCTGCTGTCCCTTATTGATGATGTCTCTTAAGTAAGCTACTGAAGGTAATGGGGCCCTTTCTATGTCCAGCTGTCCTCTGTCAACAACAAATTGTTGCTGTTTTTTGTGTTGAATATATGCTATAGGTAATTTATGGACCTAATAGGTATCTAAAGCCATTTGCACGCAACAAATTATGTATTTTATCAAAGTAATTGTTGATCCCTTATTTTGACTGCTGATCCCTTATTTTCAAGGCTGCTGGTCCCTTATTTTCAAATCTGTAAGTTGACAGCTATGATCAGGGGCCTTCTGCATGCAAAACATGGAACCACTGAACCATGGTTCCCTCCTCCCAAATAAAGTAAGATTCCATGGTTCCTCATAGTTCTGAAGGCAGAGCTGATTTATTTCATTTTATTAAGTTTATATCCAGGCCCAGGGTGGCAACCAAGAAGTAATAAAACAATTAAGAAATACGGGGGGAGGGGAGCCAGTATAGGTGCAGACTGGGAAAGGCTTCCTCAAAGATGAATGCTTTTAGCAGGTGTTGAAAATAATATATAGGAACATGTGAAACTCCCTTTTAGCTCAGTCCATCTCACTCAGTTATTGTCTACACTGACATATGAACCATAGATAGGTTGAATGGTCAGTTCTGGCAAGGAACGTGTAGCCTCTTTAGTTACACCAGCTACCTGTTAATTCCCAGACCCAATTTCAACATGCTAGTAAATGAGGATTTCAGTATGGTATACCACACATTCTGCAATTCTAACTTTTCCCTTTGGCTCTGCTCCTGTGCCTTGTGCCCCAGAAATATTTTTAAGAAGAGTGAAGCTTTTATTCAGGGTAGAGACAAAATACTTGAGGTGGGGAGGGGAAGCTTCACCTGTTTAATTTCTGTATGTCAAAAATATGTTTGTTTGTTTGTTTTTTAATGTGGCAAAGTTCCCAAACAGCTTCTCTTGAGAGCACTCACACCCACACTCTCCATTTAAAGCACATCTCTACCACTTTGTGCCTTCCCTCTAATAATCTCGGGAGTTGTAGCTTGTTATGGGTGCTGGGAACTATAGCTCTGTGAGGGGTCTCCTCTCAGCACTCCTTCGCAAATGACAGTTCCCAGGATCCTTTGGGGGAAGCCACGACTGCTTAAAGCAGTATAGGAGCGTTTTCAACATGTGAAGATGCGACCTCAGATTCTGACCAGCCCAACTTTGACATTGCTGCAAATCCCTTAGAGTTTAGGGTTGCTTCAGGAGTTATAAGACTCTGCATTTAATGAGTCTGCCATGCTTCGGAGGAGGATAATATTTCAGTTCCAGGGAGAGAAGGCTCCCCCAGCTGGAATATTTTTGCCACAATAGCACCCTGTTATAAGAAAAACTGCTCCTTTTCCCCTTTTAGGGTACCCAAGAGCCCATATAGAGTCTTTAAGTTGGTTCTCAATTGGTAGGAGAAAATAACAAGAGGCCAACCAGAGAATATTGAGAAGCAAAGCAACTAGTAAGCCTGATCTCTATTAAACTGCCGCAACAAGGTCCCCCACTCCCCGCATGCAAGGAGGAAGGAGAGGAACCCAGAACATTGGTTTGCAAGCTCTTATGTAGACTTTTGAAATTGCCCTCCCTGTAGCTCAAGACCACTCCCCAAAACACCTGTAGATCAAGACCACCCCCAGAAACATCATACATACATCACAGAAGGGGTGTAGCTCAAGACCCCCATCCCGATACATCATACCTACATCACAGAAAGGGCGGTCTACAGCAGAAATCTGAGTGCTGTGTTTACCTCCTGTCTGCCAGTTTACCTGTTTAATGATCACTTGACTGGATTGCCTGGAAAGCCTGGGCCAGTCTTTTGTAATGATAAACACTTAGTTCCTGAGCCCAATGTGCCCTTAAGACAGGATTTGTGAAGGAAAAGACAATGGGGAGGCTTTTCCATTTTCCTTTGACCTTGCAGAGAAAACATTTGGTCAGTTTGGGAATCAAAATGGTTTCAGGTCGGTCTTCCTGTGCTGATCTATGTACAGTGGTTACATACGCTTCAGGTTACAGACTCCACTAATCCAGAAATATTACCTCAGGTTAAGAACTTTGTTTCAGGATGAGAACAGAAATCGTGCGGTGGCAGCAGGAGGCCCCATTAGCTAAAGTGATGCTTCAGGTTAAGAACAGTTTCAGGTTAAGAACGGACCTCCGGAACAAATCAAGTATGTAACCAGAGGTACCACTGTACATGCTTGGTTGGTACACTTATTAACATTTAACATATATCTAAGATCTCAAAATTCCTATCACACTCTCCTGTACTATTTCAGACACTATACTTATACATTTGTACATTTATGAACATTTATTCTCTCTCTCTCTCTCTCTCTCTCTCTCTCTCTCTCTCTCTCTGACCTTAGAATTCCTATAACAACCCCTTCACGCAGCATGTTCCACGTGGGTCTGCTCTTCTCAGAAGGAGGGAGCAGGCTGCCTATGCAGCCAGGGTCACGTCACCACAGACCCTTTGCTCCACATGTAGTGATGGGATATGTGGGCATATCTTATGGCTGAAGGATTATCTGGCCACGAGGACAAAGCGCTTTAGCGCTTCCGTGAGATCCCAGGCCAGAGTCAGGGCACTCAGACCCTAATCCTTCTTAAGCGGCCGCACCCTGAGCTCTCTGCTATCAGAGAGGGACACGATTCTGAGGCTGCATGCACACCACACATTCAAAGCAAAACATGAAAGAATCATGGCTTCCCCCTCAAAAAAAAGAGGGGGGGGAGCCATTGTTTGTTATTACAGACCCTCCAAGTGTCCCTGTTTTCCAGGGACAGTTGTGGATTTTCAGAAGCCGTTCTGGTTTCTGATTTGATCTCAGAATGTGCTGCTTTTCCTTCAGACATCCCTATTTTTTATCAGATTAATGTTGGAGGGTATGTGTTAGGGTTGATGAAAGTTGCTCAGAGACCTCTCTCTTCCTCCCACAGAACTACAAGTTCCCCGTGAAAAGATATTGATTGTTATACCTCTTTGGGAACTGTAGTTCTGTGAGGGGTCTCCCAACATCTCTCTGCACCCTTGACAAAGGACTGCTGCCAGAATTCTTGTCGTATTAAAAGAGTTTCAAATGCTTGTAAAACTGTTGGTTCTGATGACACAAGATTAGGCTGTGGTGACTGCGTCCCCTCAGATCTTGTTTTGCTTTCGTGTGTATTCATTATTATTTTTTTGTGATGGATAGGGACCTCAAAAGCTGGAAGGGGCCTGAGTCTCTCTGGATCTCTCGAGAGAGCCTGCTCCCAGATGCAGTCATGACTGAAATGATGAGGGGATGTGAGGGCCCTGACACCCAGGGCGAAACGTGTGCTGCGTGCCAGATGTCTACAGGAGGTCTGGATCCTGCCATGAGTGGTGAGCCTGGTCCGAACACTGATCAGGAGATGCAGTGGATCTCAGCCAGGGAGGACAGTTCCCACCGAGCACCTAGTTTGAACACCCAGGTATAATTCCCTCCTATGCAAGTTGAGGAATTTCCCTTATCCTTCTCATCCAGTGTCTAAAGCACGAATCAGAAAGCCAGTGCATGTCCTCATTGACGTTCCCTGTTCACTAGGGTCTCGGCAACTGGGACATCCAAATGCAAGCTTTGCAGGAGTTGAACTGCTAGCTCAAAGCAGAGTCTCTGTGTGTGAGCTCAGCTGCTTTGTCTACTGCAATTGGAGTCTCCCCCCCCCCCAAACAAGTTTTAGTTATCGGAAGAGTTTTATTTACCAGAAAAGGAAATGGCAAACTGAAGATGACGTGAGCAACATAAACCTTATCACAATTTGCTAACTGCAGAATTGTAAAGTTGGAGGTCAGCTAAGCTGCAGCTGGCATAGCTGATGGTCAGGGATGATGGGAGTTGGAGTCCAGTGAGGTTTTCGGACTCCAACTCCCATCGGCCCCTTGCCAGCATGTCCAATGGTCAGAGGTGAAGGGAGTTGTAGTCCAACAACATCTAGAGGGCTACAGATTCCCCACAGCTGAGCTAGAGCAGCCCAGCAGGTGGTTGTCCGGCTTCCGCTGGAGGAAGGGAGAACCCACCCATTCCTCTAGGGCGGGGGGGTCAGCAAACTTTTTCAGCAGGGGGCCGGTCCACTGTCCCTCAGACCTTGTGGGGGCCAGACTATATTTTTTGGGGGGGAATGAATGAATTTCTATGCCCCACAAATAACCCAGAGATGCATTTTAAATAAAAGCACACATTCTCCTCATGTAAAAACACACTGATTCCCAGACCGCCCGTGTGCCAGATTTAGAAGGCAATTGGGCTGAATCCGGCCCCTGGGCCTTAGTTTGCCTACCCCTGCTCTAGGGCATTGGCTCCATTGTCAGACTCACTCTATCCCCCTGTAACTTGTAAAGCCCACCATGGCTGCATGCACACCACACATTTAAAGCATGCAACTTCCCCCAAAGAATTCTGGGAGCTGCAGTTTTGCCCCTATTATTCCCCGCACCCTGGCCGAACTACAGTTCCCAGGATTCTTAGGGGGAAATCCTGCGCTTTAATTAAAGACATGGTGCCCAGCACCCAGCCTCTCTCTTAGTCCTGAATTTAAAAAATCGTCAACGTGTGAAAAGGCCTTCCGTTCTTTGATTTGGGTTAAAACTTCTTTTGCACTTCTCTCTCCAGCTCTTCCTAAGCCCTCCCCAGGGCCTGGGGGCAGATCCCTTCCGCGGCTCCCCCTCGGAGTCATGCGGCGACCTCCCTGGCGAGACCTACGAGGAGATGTCCAGGGACCCCCTTGAGCTGCCCTGCGAGGAGATGTGCGTCCGGGCAGCCCCTTGCGGGGGCCAGTGCCCGGAATCGCCATGTGAGGAACTGTGTGAGAGTGTCTTCAAGGGGCCAGCCTCCCGGAGGCTGTATGAAGAGGAGCGTTATGTGGAGACGTGGTCCGGGAAGGCTCGCCTGCCCTCCATTGTAGTGGAACCCATCGAAGTGGGCGATGTGGAAAGCGGGGAGCTGCGGTGGCCCCCCGACTTCACGTTGCTGGAGGAGGCGGAGGAAGACGAGCTCTTTGCTGACGGCGAGGAGGACTTGGGGGCAGGTGAGTGTCCTACTAGTTCCCACCCCCCAAATCCCAACTTGATCTGTGGGTGGGGCTTTGTTCAGCCAGAACTTGCTGGAACTCAGTTCTGGCACCTCTCAGGTGGGCACCATTACAGTGGTACCTCGGGTTACATACACTTCAGGTTACAGACTCCGCTAACCCAGAAATAGTACCTCGGGTTAAGAACTTTGCTACAGGATGAGAACAGAAAGCGTACTCTGGCGGCGCGGCAGCAGCAGGAGGCCCCATTAGCTAAAGTGGTGCTTCAGGTTAAGAACAGTTTTAGGTTAAGAACGGACCTCCAGAACGAATTAAGTACTTAACCCGAGGTACTACTGTAGTGTTATTTTTGTTGTTTTGGTTTAATTATTTACTTAGGTTTTAGCTTGTATTTTATTCTTGTGAACCGCCCTCAGATCTTTTGAAGAAGGGTGGCATAATAAATAATAATAATAATAATAATAAGACGTTCATGGTGAGTTCTGGCACCTCTGTTTCTAGAAAAATAGCACCCTAGTACAGTGGTAACTTGGGTTACATACGCTTCAGGTTACAGACGCTTCAGGTTAGAGACTCCACTAACCCAGAAATAGTGCCTTGGGTTAAGAACTTTGCTTCAGGATGAGAACAAAAATCGTGCTCCGGCGGCAGCGGGAGGCCCCATTAGCTAAAGTGGTGCTTCAGGTTAAGAACAGTTTCAGGTTAAGAACGGACCTTTGGAACGAATTAAGTACTTAACCCAAGATACCACTGTATGCCACATTTTACTTAGTGAATACAGCCCAGAATCCTTTGCGAGAGATTTTTCAGGTTATCCGGGTCCCAGGTCCCCCTGTAACCTCCTCCCCTCTTCTTGTTTCCCAAGGATTGTCGTCTTTTGACAGCGACGTGGAGGAGGTGCTTCTGTAACATTCTGCCCAATGTTTCCCTGGGACGGATGGACAGAAACGGCACCTTCCCAACGCCACCCACGTCTAATCACGACTTGGCGACGTCTTGGAAAGGGACTCTGGGGCATCGCCTTGGAAAGAAGCAAAAGTAGCATCCTGCTGTTTTGTTTCGAGGTGTCTCTCAGAGGGGTAGCAGATGTCAGGAGCTCGTCCTACACTCGAGTAGGACCCTGGCAGAGACACAGGCCCGACTGGCATGTTCTCTCCCTCCTGGTCGATCGTTTGGGAGCTTCAGAAGCTTTCTTCAGCCCGAACATCACAGCGACCGATGCCAACAGACACCGGCACACTTAGGGATCCGCAGAGTCTTCGCAGCTTGCGTAACAGACCTCAGCAACTCCGCATTTTGGCTAATCCACTTATTTACATATAAACACACGCGGAGCACTGCAACATGGCTCCCTCCCTCTCTCTCTCTCTAGCCCACTTCACGGAACACAGTAACACAAACATCCTATCTCCGTCATTTCCGCTTTCCCAGGCAAAGGGACCTGAAGACAAACATGGAAATGGTGACTTCAGTGTCATTCTATCAAGTGGGATGAGCGTCTGTCAGCGGAGGATTAGGCCTGAAGCGCCTTCCCACAATTCCTACATGGTGCCACCTCCTTTTCCATTTAGCTCTTGGCTTAAACTGGAGCAGGAGAGCCAAATGTGACTCTCTAGATCTAGAAATGTGAAGGCTTGGGAGAAAAAAAACACATGGAATAATAATATTTTTTAAAGAAACATCCCCCCCCCGGCCTTCACATCTCAAGCCAAAGCTCTGTCTGGCCCTTGGGACTCTTTCCAGGCACCTCTGCTCCTCAGACACACCTATTTCCCCCTGAGGCCCCCAAAAGGCTGTCTAAAAGAGAACGTGGCCCTCAAATTGAAAGGGGTTCTCCATCCTTGGTTTTTTGCCTGCGGCTAAATCTATATACATGCAGCTGGAAGGAGCAGGTCTGTAGCTTGAGGGTAACTCCTGGATCCAGCCCTGTCAATGAAGCTTCAGATACTTATTTCGAGCTTCAGCTGGTTTGCCAGCTTTTGGACAGAAATTGCTTGGCCACTGTATTCTGCACTCTGGTAACTTCCAGCTGGATTACTGCAACACACTGCATGCGGGGCTGCCCTTGAAGATAATTTGGAAACTTCAAATGGTCCAAAATGCAGCAGCCGGGTTAAGGTCTGGAGTTCTCAATTACTTAGGCCCCAAATAACTGGTATCTGAATGGCTGCCTCTTGAGTGTTAGGATTGGCAAAGGGGCCCTGTTGGTAGTTCCACCACCCTCACAAATTTGGGGTGGTGGAGGCCTGGGCGAGGGCATTTTCCTTGGCAGCCCCTCTATTGTGGAATTCCTCCCCACAGAGCTGTGTATGGCACCTGCATTATGTAATTTTTGTCATATGCTGAAGTTTAACCTCTTTGACACCTCAGATATACTGGTATGTATATCTTAGAACCCATCCTATTCTCTTGACTGTCATCTGTTTTAACTTATTTTAAAATAACGTATTTTTAAACTGTTGTAACCCGCCCTGGAACCTGATGGTGAAGGGTGGATGAGAAATGTAATAAATGAGAATAACTCTCAAACCGGCTCATTTTCATTCCCTTTTGCCATTCCTGTTGTTTTCTGCCTCCAGCGCTTTCTTCCCTGGGTAGGCTTGCTTGCACAGAAAAGTTTTTAGCAGACGTCAAAAACAGCACAACAGAGGCGTCTGCCTAAGATCAAGTGGCAGGGAGTTCCAGAGAGCAGATGCTGCCACACTACACGATCGATTGCTTGAAGAGCATTAGCTAGCACCCAATTTCTAAGCCCCAGCTGGCCTCGAAGGTTTTACTTCACCCCATAGGATACAATTTTTCTTCTATTTGACAGCTCCACTGGTCCCTGAAGAGTCTGGGCTTAGTATGTAAGCATAGTAACAGATGCCACCGATATGCGCAATTTCCTTCACGGTAACTTTCACCCCCCCTGCCTGTTCCAAAAACGGCACCCTGGCGTCCGGATCCTCATCGGAAAACTGAAGCAGGTTCCCCGTGGGCCTCAGCACCCTCAGGCACTCTGACACCAACGTCTTGGCTCTGCCCGGGCCCTGGGGGCATCGCAGCAGCGTATCACAGGTTCCCTTGTCGAGTATGAGGTGGAACGATCCCTCCTTGAAGGTGCTGGTCAAGGCAGTGGCATCGGCCAGGTAGCAGTGCAGTTCAGAAAGAGGGTGCCCCGGTGGGGGGCTCTCCCTCACCAGCTGTTGCAGGGAGTCAATGGCTGGAGGGGAGAAATCCAAACACGAGATGTGAAGTTGCCGGGGCGAGTCTCGAAAGAGCCCCAGGCTTAAAGCGGATGTGCCGCAGCCAACGTCTAGTATTTGGGTCTGGCCGGCCGGCGAGCTCTGAAGGAAGGAGAGCAGGAACCCTGAGACATCTTCGTAGGAGAAGAACCAGTCAAAGTGGCCAGGACACAAAGCTCCTTTCTCCTTAGCGGTGTAGAAGCGGTCCCAGGCGTCACGCCGGTCCATTTGCCGAAGGAGATCATCTGGAAGATGGATGGAGGCAGAAGGTGCAGTGTGTCAACTGCGAGGCCACATATTTGCTGGACCTCAGCTCGCCTTGTCTTTCTCTGACCCCACAAAAATTTAAAACTAAACACATACCGGTATGTAACGAACAAAGCTTTGCAGGGTTAACAAAAGAGAAAAATGGTGCAAAAAATATAAAGATAGAGGTAATCTACATTAGACACAACAATTTAGAAAGAGTAAAAATTTTGAGGTTTTAGAACAGAGGAAGGAAATCAATATGTGTATATGTACATAATGATTTAGAATGACGATACGGTTTTATTTGTAGATGTGTGTTGTTGTTTTTTTCTTGTGTTTTTTTTGTGTTCTTTTTTCTCTTGTGTTTTTTTCTTTGTTTGTACTGTTTTATTTTGGATTCAGTGTTTGTAATTTTTGTTGTAATTTTGCATTGAAAATTAAAACAAATTAAAACTAAACACACAGGGTATTCTCCAGAGCGCAGTCCTAAGCACATTTACTCAGAAGTTGAATCCAAGGTGGTTTACTCCCTTGGCATTAACCAGCCCTTTTTTGTGACTTAGAACCGTAGTTGGAAGGGACCCCAACGGTCATCTAGTCCAACCCCCTGTCACAAAAGCAGGACATTTATTATTTGATGTATATTCAAATTTATTATTTGTCCTCATTGCAGGACAAAAATAAACCAGAAGATTTGTGATATTAAAAAAGTTACAGGATTCAAGCAGAAGGTTGCAGCATTATGCGCCGATTTGGGAAGAAGCAGTGTGGCTGCCCCAGGACTTTTGCAGGCTCAAACTGTATTGAAAGCTGGATTGCATACAATTGCCCTGACACGGCCATGATAAGTACAAATCATCATGCATAAGCATCAGACAGGATGTTGGGAGTGGCCCTCAGTGCCTTAAAAGGCGGGTTTTGCCCTTCTGTGGGACTCCCTTGGGGTAGCCATTTTCCCAAAGCATAATTCAAAAGTTGGAATCAGAGTGGGGAGGGACCCTGAGGAACATCTAGTCCAACCCCCTATTATTCCCTCCAATCATGAACACAGGTGTTGTGTGCCGACCGAAATGCAGCAAAAATGGGATCACCAAGAATCAAGAGGAAGGAATCAGCATGCTCAAGGCGCACTGTGAGATTTGCAAATGCACAAACACCATCGGAGAAGGGAAAAAAGATTGGTTATACTGTTTTTAAAAAAATTGTTTGGGGAGAAAAATGATAACTTATACTTAAATCCTGCTCTTACATGGCATGATCTCTCATCCAAGGACTGATGAAGCACAAAACTGCTTAGCTTCTGCAGCTGATGCTCTCAGACCAATTGTGTATGTGCATGTGAGTGTGTGCGCAAACGTAAAATTGCAGACAGCATAAGACTCTTTACATAGCAGAGCATTCCTGTTTGGGGTGCCCTCGGTCTGTGGTTGTGTATACATTTAAAGCACTCCCCTTCCCTCAAAGAACCCTGCAGCTTACCCCTCACAGCGCTACAATTCCTGGCACCCCTTTAACGAACTACAGCTCCCAGAAATCTTTGAGGATTTTTGCACCATAGATGCCAACACCATCTAATAAATCTCCAAATCCAGAACCCAGCCGCCGCCTAAGCTTTGATGCAAGCGGATCAGGATGAATGCACAGATCCCTTGAAAGGAGGAGCCTTTTTGCAAACCTCAGTTGTGCAAAAGCTCCCTGCCCTCCCTTTTTCTCCTTGGCGTGAGAGGCACCCACCTGACCAAGAGGAAGAGGAAGAGGAAGAAGAAAGCGAGGAGCGCACCAGCGTCCTGAAAACACCCCGAGGACCTTTCAGCCAGCTCGCTGCTGTTGCTGCTGCCGCTGCCATCTTCAGGGGGGCGGGAGGAAGGGGGAAGGAGGAGCTAAGGAGATCTCTAGACTCTAGAGCACAAGGAGGAAGTGGCCGATCTCTGCAAAGCCGCATCTGCAGCCCCAGCAGCAGCAAGAAACAAGCGGCATCTGGGTCAACTTGCAAAAGCAGGTCAAACATTTGCCACCATTTCCCCGATGTGTTTCGCTACTGCTCTGCAACGTGGGAGGAGAAATATTGAGTAACGCTTGGAGGGAGCATGAACCCACCGATGTGATCTAGGGAAGGGGATTGATGAGGTTGTCGTGATCTGCTAATTGGGTGGGTTTGTATTGCTTTGTTTGCTGTTTGGGTTTTGCTAAGGTTGCTTGTTAGTGTTTATGGGGCTGCGGTGCTGTTGTGATTCTTCCTCGAATTTATTTATTTTAGTTCATAAAATTTATACACCGCTAAAGCCCTCAAAGAGGTCTACTGTTCAAGACTTTTGAAACGTTAAAATAACATCCGACTAGAGTAAAGTGAAGGCATGATATCAATCGGCAGGGAGTTCCAAAGGGTACTTGTGCTGCCATCCTAAGAGACTTGAGTTATTAAAAATGCAGAATGGGTCCTATGTGGCACGTCTACGTTGCAGAGACGGTTCCCCTTTAAGCTCCATATAGGATCTAATTCCCAAACCTTCAAATATTGTTATGGGGTCGAAGCCCTTTGTTTTTATGAATATATGAATGAGCATGCTGGGATAGCTCAGTCCGTATAGCATGAGACTCAGCTTCAGGATTGTGAGTTCAAGAGCCGCCGCCCCCCCTTGGGCAAAAGAGCCCCGCATTGGAGACGGTTGGGCTAGATGACCGCCGGAGATTCCTCCCAACCCTTAAGAGCAAGCAAATATATTTAATAACGGGTGTATTTCCTTGAGACAGGAAATCAAACCGAGCTTACATACAGCACCGAGAAAAAGCATATTTTGAGAAAAAAGGCTGAACTATTGCTGAGCATAAGACAACAATGAATATAAGTTTTATCTATTTTTTGCACCAGCACTATTCCCCCCGAAGGGAGGTGCACCGTTCCTGGAGGTACTGCAATACCAGGTCGATGCATGGAGTGGATGGAGCAAGCCCCTATTCCATCTCCCAGCTCCAAAAATCCATTTAATATATAGTCCTCAAATAGAGGACATATCAGATATTAAACTGATAAGAACAGATACTACACTTGATCTTAGCCAAAAGGCCGAGAAGCGATACCAAGCTGAACAAAAATTACGCGGGTCTCCTTTTCCGATGGCTTTTGAGGTGATGGTGGGTACTTGGCGCCGCAAAGCTCTCACCGCCCCATCAGAATCAGCACCGTTTCCAATTCCACAAAATACACTCTGACAACATTTCTACCTGTTTTCCAACTCAGCAGCCTCTAGATCGACAATTTAACCTCAAAACTAGATTATTCTTTCGATTTTATCAATTTCTCAGCAATCTGCCTGGTTACTCCGATGGCGATTGGTGCTAAATCTGCATAGACCCGCCCATTTACACGTCAGTGTCCTTGTAACTGTTAACTCATTGCGTGCCAGTACAGGTCCCCAAAGTTTCCCCTTCCTAACTTCCTGTTCCCCTTGAGAGCATCCTGCAAAAACTCAGCTGTCAAGCCAAGCAAAGCAGAGTTGCAGAATAAATATTTCCCTTATTCCAAGCAACGTTAAGGAACTGCAGGTTCCAGGGCGTGGTGCCTGGTTTGCATTGGGACTGAAGCGGGAAATGCAGGGAGCCCAGGCAGGAGGTGGAGCCAGAATGATAGGTGGGGCCAGATAATTCTTCCTTGCTCTTCCCTGCTGAGTTCTGCAAAGACAAGTCTGCCTCTACTCTAAGGAGAAGGAAGCTGGCAGGCAGCCCACCCACCCACCCTTTTCCCTAGGAAGGCAAGCAGAAGGGGGCTGGCTGAGGACAGATTGTGGTTGGTGGGGCAGCAGCCATTCCCTTAAACGGGCAAATGAGAACCAATGTCCCCATTTGCATGGCATTACCTTTGCACGGAAATGAATGGCCTTTGCACTGAAACGAGCCTTGTAAAATAACATAATCATACTGTAATTCATTGTGTAAAATTCTGGCACAGCGAACAGCTAGACAAATAACTTGACTCTTGATGGAAGGCAAACTGCAGCAGAAGGGAATCAGTGCTGCTTGTGAGGAGCAGGAGTAAGGACAGAAATTGATGCCTTCTTAAATCTCTAATTGATTGGGCGGCAGTGTTGGGGGGAGTTCCTGAAATCTGCTGCATATTTGTTAACCTGTTCATTGAAATGCCAGGCCTTATGTAGTCAAAATGGCGCCCTCCCTGGAGATATAAGCGGGCAGGACGGTTTGGAAAGTACAACAAATATATATATTTTTAGGGACAAAACAAATGATGACTAAGTAAAGTCAGTGGCCATGGAATGTTGAGCGGTTGGGTGGGGAGGTGATTGGAACATTTTGGAAATAGAGCCTGGCTGTTAGAATTTGGAACTAGAACATTCTGAAGCAGAACATTATGCTACTTGTTTCATTTTTTATATTTTCTGAACCAGTGGTATTCCTCCACAGAGATGAGGCACTGCAACCCCAGGCTGACGCAGGGCTTTTTTGTATGTAGTTTTGACTAACACACACATTTTTGCAGGCAAGCTCTTTTTAATACAGTCATACCTCTGGTTGTGAACGTGATCCATACAGGAGGCACGTTTGCAACCTGCAGCGTTCACAGCCTGAAGCGCCGTGTCTGTGCATGGGTGTGACGTGATTTGGCCTTCTGCGCATACGCGTTATGTCATTTTGTGCTTCTGTGCATGCACGAGCGCCGAAACCCAGCGCGGTCTGCAACCTGAAAACACGCAACCCGCAGCGTTTGTAACCCGAGGTAGGACTAATGCACTTTTGTGTGTCATTTTCATCACTTCATTTATTTTCTCCAAATATATGCATTTTTGCAAACGTTGTTCCGTTAGACAATTCTATAAAACATCCAGAATAAGCGCAAAGCGCTACTGTGCTTTGGTTTTCAAAAAAACTTTGTAGAGCATAAGCTTGGTGAAAGTCAGAACACATTCCACATCCCAAGCAACTTCGATCTACTTTTTGCACCAGCAATATTCCCCCCAAAGGGAGGTGCACCGTTCCTGGAGGTACTGCAATACCAGGTCGATGCATGGAGTGGATGGAGCAAGCCCCTATTCCATCTCCCAGCCCCAAAAATCCATTTAATATATAGTCCTCAAATAGAGGACATATCAGATATTAAACTGATAAGAACAGATACTACACTTGATCTTAGCCAAAAGGCCGAGAAGCGATACCAAACTGAACAAAAGTTATGCGGGTCTCCTTTTCCGATGGCTTTTGAGGTGATGGTGGGTATTTGGCGCCGCAAAGCTCTCACCGCCCCATTAGAATCAGCACCGTTTCCAATTCCACAAAATACACTCTGACAACATTTCTACCTGTTTTCCAACTCCGCACCCTCTAGATCGACAATTTAACCTCAAAACTAGATTATTCTTTCGATCTTGTCAATTTCTCAGCCGTCTGCCTGGTTACTCCGATGGCGATTGGTGCTAAATCTGCATAAACCCACCCATTTACCCAGCAGGCACTGTGAAACTATTAATTCATTGCGTGCCGGCAGAGGTTCCAAATCTATCCCTTTGATAGTTTCCTGTTCTGTTGAAAGCTTCTAGCTTGAAAAGCTTGAAAAGGAATTTCCAGCACTTAATGACTGCTGATAATCTATCTAGTGACACGTAGCCTTAGGAACAATTTACCGGTAAATCCAGATCCTTTTAAGTTTACCACATTTACTTGCTTTTACCCTTTCAACTTTGATTTCAGCGTGAAATGCACAAGTGTCCCGAATTATTAAGAACACCTTTTCATTTGTATTTGTTTTCTTTAATTTAAAAATTGGAGATATATCCGCCTTCAAATCAACTCATTATGCTTTAAGCACAATTAAAATAAATAGCAAATATATTTGAGACACTAGTTTGTGTGAGCCCATAAAAGCAAATGGAAAGGCATGGTGGTGGTAAAATAGTTTAAGACTTAGTAGGTTTTTTATATAGAAGTTTATCGTTCTAGCCCAAAGCAATGACAAAACCACAGCAACGTTGTACCAATAAAATAAGACAGTACAGAGCTTACATCCCCAATATCCATTATTTGAGAGGACACCAACAAACTCAAATTCAGCCTTTCAGCTGGATTTATAGCTATTTTATCTAATGTTCTGTTTTTAATCTTCTGTTGAAAGTCGCCCAGAGTGGCTGGGGAAACCCATCCAGATGGGCAGGGTAGAAAAATTATTATTGTTATTATTATTACTCCTTTCTCCCACTTTTATTTCCTTTTTTGAAGCCAGTGCATAGGGAGCCACTCTGTGTGTGACAAAGGTATCGCGCTCACTCAAAAGAAACTAGACCATTTCTATCAGGGTGTACCTGCTTGCTTGCGTCAACAAAGCTTTCAGAAAGTGATCTCTTGGGTCTCTATATGAGGAACAGGCAAACAGATGAGTGATGTCTTCCACCTAACGTTGGCCACAAATACCAAGGCTGCCTGCATAGGGCACAACACAGTGGTCATCAAAGACTGCAGTCGTGTTTATAAAGTGATGCCTAATTCAATAAAGACATTGCTAAAGGAAGCTGGTAAGAATTTGGTCAGGTAACTAGCTCTAAAATGCTGTGCTCTCAAGTGTGGATACCAAGGCAAAAATCTGGTTAATAATAGTCTAAAACAGGGGTGGCCAACTCCCAAGAAACTGCGATCTACTCACAGGGTTAAAACCTGGCAGTGATCTACCCCCTTTTGTGGGGTTCATGTCAAAGTTGTTGAGCATTTTGTAGGAAGGAAAGCCCTGTTATTTGGGGTTCAGGTCAGTTGCTGAGCTTTTTTAGAGAGGGAAGTCCCATTTTTGGGGGGTTCAGGGCAAAAATGTTGAGCTTCTTTTAGGAGACCCAGTTGTTCAGCTTTTTGGGGGGGGAGCCACTGATCTACCATGCGACGTCCTGTGATCTACTTGTTGGACGTGCCTGGTCTAAAATATCTTGACAAGCGGCTTTTCAAACTTGTTACCATCCAATTCCATATAGCACAGTGCAGGAAAACACTCAGTAGGCATAGTAGCAAATTAAAAAATATATACTTTAGCTGAGCTCAGTCCACTCTTGCCTTAATTGTTGGCCATCTGTATTCTGTATGAATAAGAGCTGCTACTTCTGATAGTAGAGTATTGCTTGTGGGGTGTGTGTGAAATATACTGCAGTTTCCAAAACTTTAATGGAGTTTGAATCTGAACCTGAGTTTTCAATACCATAGAGCATTTGGGTAAGCGCTTTACTACCAAATATCTTCAGGGAAGGTTTAATCAGCTGCCCTCTCCCTTACGGTTGACAAAACTCTGAATCAATGCTCCTATGCTTTGACTTTCACTGCCTCCATATGACCAAGAGAGTACAGTGGTACCTCTGGTTATGAACTTACGGTACTTTGTTCTGGAGGACCGTTCTTAATCTGTGGTACTTTAGTTAATGGGGCCTCCCGCTGCCGCGCAATTTGTTCCCATCCTGAGGTAAAGTTCTTAACCTGAGGTACTACTTCTGGGTTAGCGAAGTCTGTAACCCAAAGTGTTTGTAACCTGAGGTACCACTGTACACCCAGGTATCTAAATGAGCAAGTTTGTTCTAGAGCCTGCTGATAAAACACCATCAGCATGCTTAGGGCTGTGTTTGCCAAAAATCACAATATTGTGATAGGTGCTGAACACCTCCAAGAGATTTTTGAGGCCCAAACAAGAGAGGGGAGTACAGCGGCTTTTTCTACACCACCTACAGCATTCAGCTTCATTGGCTGTCCACATGTTCTAGAGAAGTTTCCCAACCTTGGGTCTCCTAGCTAGCAACACCAGTGGTCAGGGATGATTGTACAGTGGTACCTCAGGTTAAGAACTTATCGTATTTTTTGCCCCATAGGGCGCACCTAGTTTTTTTTGGGGGGGGGGAATAAAGATAAAAAAATTATTCCCCCCCCCAGGCGCAGGGCTGGGGTGGGGGAAGCCCGAGCTTCCCCCAGAACAGGCTGCTATCCGCAAGCCTAGGGAGCCCGGCGGGAAGTTACGCTCCTGGGCTCCCAAGGGTTGCGGAGAGCTGCCCAAAGCCCGGGGCACACTGTTCAGCGCGCCCCAGGCTTCGGGATGCAGGCAGCTCTCTGCAACCCTTGGGAGCCTGGCGCGACTTCGCGCCGGGCTCCCTAGGCTTGCGGAGAGCTGCCCGAAGCCCGGGGTGCGCTCCGCTGCGTTTCCCAGGTTTTGGGCTGCAGGCTGCTGTCCGCAAGCCTTGGGAGCCCGGCGGGAACTCCCGCAGGCTCCCCAGGCTTGCGGATAGCTTCCTGAAGCCTGGAGAGCGAGAGGGGCCAGTGCACACCGACCCCTCTCGCTCTCCAGGCTTCAGCGAAAGCCTGCATTCGCCCCATAGGACGCACACACATTTCCCCTTCATTTTTGGAGGGGGAAAAGTGCGTCCTATAGGGCAAAAAATATGGTAATTTGTTCTGGAGGTCTGTTCTTAACCTGAAGCACCACTTTAGCTAATGGGGCCTCCTGCTGCTGGAACACGATTTCTGTTCTCATCCTGAAGCAAAGTTCTTAACCCGAGGTAGTATTTCTGGGTTAGCGGAGTCTGTAACCTGAAGCATATGTAACCCGAGGTACCACTGTAGTCCAAAAAAACAGCTGGAGACCAAAGGTTGGGAAACACTTGATAATTGTGGTTGCCCTTCCCATCACTGGGCACTGCTCCCCCTGCCACCCAATGGTTTTCCATGTGACCTAGAACATGTCTTTGAAGGCTGATAATGCCTCTTACTTGCCTGGAGCTAAGAGGAGTGTGCATAGAAATTGACCTACTGTACAAGGTTAACATTTCTATCAATTGCTCCAACCACTTTTGCCTGTGGCCCTGCCCCACCAATGGTTTGTGGCCCCTGGAAGGTTGCAGAAGGGAAATTGCCCTCAAGTTGGAAAGTTTCCCACCCCGTTTATAGTGCCACATTGAGAGTCCAGAGGGTAGTTTTCAGCCACATTTATTATAAACATATATAACACACAAACATGCCCATCAGCAAATATTTCATGGAAGACAACAATGTAAGATAGCAAAAAAATCAGAGAGAAAAGTTTACAACAGAGACAACCTAAAATTCTGAATTTAGCACAATTACAAGTCCTGGGTGAACTTTTAAGGTGGCAATACTTGCCACTGAAGAATACAGTGAGGGTGCCAGGCGAGCCACTAACAAGGTAACCTATAATCTACAGCGCTAGCTGAAAGGCTAGTGGCAGCATCCCATCAAAGCCCAGTTTTGTGCACGAAAAATCAAGGAGTTCAACATTAATGCTTGAATCAGATTTTGGCTGCGGTGTAAAACCTATGCCAGGATAAAGCCAGCTACACAATTGTATTTATATCCAGCATCATTTGAACCCGGATTCCCAGGGGCCCTCAGCAGACTAGCTGCTGCCCCTACTGCAAATATCCACCTCCCTGTAACTGGACACCCCACCCCACTGGGTCTGCGCCTTTCCCTTTGTGGCAGCAGCTTCACCACATCCCTCTTCCCTCTCGTATTTTTGGCACCATCAGCACCGAGGGCTTCTCTGCCACTTCCAGGCTCTGAGAAACAGCACAGCAGGTCAAGCCAATTAGGGAACTAGGGACTCTTCTAATTCCTGGGGCCTATAGTCAGTGCCCAGTAGGGCTGCGTGCTGGCACCTGGCCTGCTGAACCTCCTCTCCAGATTCTGGGGCCCAGCCTTTAAGACCCGTGGGCACCATTGCCCCCTTCTACAGTAGCCTTTAGCAGCTTGAATAGTCTTGCGCCTTCAGTTCCAGATCTCCGCAGAAGTCTTAAAAAGCCCTGTGGAGAAAAAGGAGAAAATATGCTTAAGGGTTTCTCCCCACACACAAAACGGCCCTCTCTCTACAGGCTCTAGATCAGGCATAGGTAAACTCGGCCCTGCAGATGTTTTTTGGGACTACAATTCCCATCATCCCTGACCACTGGTCCTGTTAGCTAGGGATGATGGGAGTTGTAGTCACAAAACATTTGGAGGGCAGAGTTTGCCTATGCCTGCTCTAGCTGTTCCACAGGTGCCCCCCCCCCAATTTCCACCGGCTCTAACCAGGATGGCCAAAGGCCAGGGCTGAGAAGGGGTTGTAGTCATCCCTCGTCTGAATGGGCACCATGTTGGAAATGGCTGTGGTAGATCCAACATGTCTTCTGTCCCAGTGCTTGAGGATAGAACCAGCAGATGGCAAAGCTGCTGGCACCGAAGACAGAACACTGGGTGGGCATTCCTGTACCTCCGGACATTACAGAGCCGGGCACTGGGGGACCCGGGCCTGCCAAGAAAAGGAGGAGCTGTACTGAGGGGAACCCCCACCACCATTGTAGCAGCTACACAGTTAAGCAGTAAGCAAAACCCCCTCTTTATAAGCCATAGGAAGAGATCAAGAGTAGCCAATGCGGCTTTGCAACTCCTATCATCTATGACAATATTGGCCTCGGGCCTGATGGGAGATGCAGTCCTAACAAAAAGTAGAAACAGGTGGCTCTCCAGAACTACAACTCCTATAATCCCTAGTCACGCTTGCTGGTGCTGATGGGAGTTGAAGTTCAGCAAGATCTAGAGGGCTAGAGGTTCCCCATATCTTTATAGCTAGATGCACCATGTGAAATGCTTGAAAGCAGTGTTCTGATAACGTGAAGTATTAATAAAGTAGGGTTGTCATATTTTGAAGAACAAAAAAGGGGACACATTTGCAGACTTCTACTTTTAACTATGGATCACTATGACAGCTCTAATTTTAAATACCCCTATTATATGTAGGCTATAGAAGCTGTGATATATTGCTAGTAGCAACGCTCTTAACTTTCAACAACAAAATAATAACACAATTTAAACTCGTGTATCGGTACAAATATAAACCAATACCTTTCCGTCACTTTCAGATGCACTTTGTTCTTCTTTCTGACACTGTCTGGCCTAAGCATATTTCTCTGTAGATCTGATCCTGTTCAACAACTGCTTATTGCTTAAGAGATAGGCATGAAATTCCTTGCAAGTAAAGTGCTTATAATTATATTGTACTAGCAATATACTTCGCAGTGATTCAAAGGGTAAGTTGCCTCTTTCTTTGCTCCACTGACTTTGCATCAGAGAGAAGATGCGTTCCACATTCGCATTATGTGGTGCAATAGCAAAAAAAACCTGTGCAATTTTCAGAAGTTCTGACTGGCACATGTTTTCGGAAGTCTCAAAGTATTTGGCCCATTTCTGATGCGCCTGTAGATTAATGAACTCCTCATCACCTTTGTATCGATTTACAAACTTCCTAAGGTTGAAGAATTGATCAAAGCATTTCCCATAATCTATGGACACATGCCTGTCCAGGAGAAATTTCATGGAAGATTCTACCTTGTCCCACTCTAGTGACTCACTAAGAGACATCCACATGAAGCACGAAAACTCCTTCATGGGCTCCATCCATTTTTCCAGATATTCTATGCAGCTGCCGTATAAGCTATTTACTTCTGCACAGAATTTGTCACACTCCGCACTAAGACCATGCTTACGCTTTTCTGCTAGGAGGCTCTTAACTTTGAGACACATAAAGTTGTTGCTCTTACGTTCAGTAAGCATGTTATGAACACAAAGCAGAACTTTCAGAACCTCTACAACTGAATTATTTTCCCTTTCGAGTTCCAAAATATTTGAGTGAAAGATACTCATGAGAGACTGCAAGTGCAATAAATAAACCTCACTGAACTCATGTTCAAAAAAGTTTTTTAACACTGTTGGTGGTTTATTCTGCGAGAGGAAAAACGCCTTGACAGCTGGAAACAGGTGAACGAGTCTAGTGATGCTTGGAAATAAGGACAACCACCTTGTTTTGCTATGCGATAGCAGCTGTTTGTATTCAATGTCCACAAATTCACAGTACTCCTTTAACTGCTCTGTTCGGACTCTATAGATATGAAAGTACTGGTATATCCTGAAAAGGATGCCCTCAACATCAACGTCCAACGTTTCTGCTGCCTGCTGTACACAGTTATTCAAAATGTGTGCTGGACATCCCACACCAATTAAAGTTTTGTTATCTAGCTCATTCTTCAACTTTGCAAACACATTTCTTCCTTCTGAATCCCATGGCATCCCTCCAAACATTGTGTTGCAGTTGTCACCTGTGAACGCTATACATTTATTTAATAGTCCTTTACTATCGAGAGTTTCCTTCACGTATGATGAGATTGTATCTGCACTCTCGTTGGGTTGGCTTTGCATTTCAATTATTTTGGACTGCAAACCACCACTTTTCCAGTCAAAATATTGAATAACTATCGGAAACACCTTTACCGAACCATGGTCACTCCCTCCAGTAGAAACTCCGCAAAAATCTACTTCATTTTCTTCAATGCTTTTCAAAACATTTTCTAAACAATCGGGTGCCAAGACAGAATTTACAAGTGCCTCAGTCTTGGTTTTTGCGCTTGAAAATATCCTTGCAATATCGTAATCTGGAAACGTGGTCCTCAGTGGGCCTGATGTACACACCATCATGTTATAATTGTTGTGGTGCTTAACAGTGTGAAAAGCGAAAGTTCCCTCTGCTGCGGTTACTTCATCTTCCAAATTGCTACCTGGTGTTACGAAAAAGTCTGTTAAGAAAGAAGCTTCTCCCTGAATTGCTCTTTTGTGTTTTTCGGAGTCCACATGCGATTGCAGGTTGAGTCCTCCTTTACATGCCACAGAAACAAACGTACCTGGTTTACATATCATGCATTCACCTTCAAAATCATCTCTACCTCTTCTAAAACAGGTATACTTCTTCTGTAGCTTGACAGAAAATTTACATTTTCTTTTTGGCATTTTGACACGTAGACATACAACACCTACAAAAAACAGTTGTGAAATAAGTTACTGAATACAATGCTACAGTATATGACCATTAACTTTCCCAAGAGCACCTAACGGAGTGACACGTAATTGTCCGTGTGGAATCTATGGTAAATGAAGCACATTCTGCAGCTTATGTTGAAAGCCCTGTAAAAAAATGGAATGATCTTGACCCACGCAGAAGCGGGTTGTGTTCGCTTCAGGATGCAAACGGGGCTCCAAAACGGATCCCGTTCGCATCCAGAGGTACCACTGTATTCTAATAGATTGAAAATCCATCCCCATTTCCCTCCCACCCCACAGGCTTCCTTCCTTCCCGCAGCCCAGTTTTAGAGGAAGGGCGGGGGAAGTCACAACTGTAAAAAAACCACAACACAAATCCTTGGTGGTCTATTCCAAGCAGCCTAGAGATCCACCGGCGGCAGGAAAAATCTGAAACCAGCGAGATCAATTATTCCAAAAGGACTGGAGTAAATTTATACAATGTTTGAAAGATTACTGTAAGCAATTAACATCACTAGCAGGGTTGACTTATGACTTGTAATGAGAACCCCTTCTCCCTTTTTATTTTAAGTAAAACTTGAATGTCTTTTCGTAATGAGTGAAATTAGAACTGGAAAATGTATAAAAAGAAATGATATAAAGGTTGACTTTGAAAGCCATGAGGCGGGAGGGAAGGAAGTCGATGGGCTCTGAAGAGCCAGAAAGATAAAGTGGATAACAATGTTATGATTGTGTATCACTAAATGGAAAACTAATAAAAAATCTGTATACACGTGTATAAAGAGATCCACCGGCGGACCCCCGATCTGCTCATTAAACAACTTTCCCCGCTGCTTGTTTACCCAGGAGGAGGAGGAGACAGGAAGGCTCGGTGGCTGAATTCCGGCGGGGCTTATGATCCCTGCTATGGCGCGCAGGACGAGCCGAGGAGCAAGCGGGAGACGCGAGAGGCAGCGCGGGGAAAGCGAGGATGGAAAACATGGAGGCTCGTTAAGGCGCACAGGCCTCCAGAACCGCCACGTGGCTCCCCCGCACCTGCCCTATATAGGCTCCCCCAGCCTAGCAAATAGGATCAGGCCACCTGCACAAAGCCGACCCAAATGCCCCTGCGGATCCCATTTGACCCCCAGCCTCTGTTGACCAACGAAATCCAGGCAGCCAGCCTCCCTCCCTCTCTCCTTGCTACTCACCTCCCTTGCAGAAAAGAAAGAGGAATCCTCCGCCTCCTCAATTTATATTTCAGCCTGGAGCTATCGGGCGCCACCTCGTGGTCATTTTTCAAAAGTAGTACAGAAGGAGGGGGAAATAGTGAGGAGCCCATCCACAACTCCTGCCCTGATTGGCTGTTTCAAAGAATCAGGGGCGTGGCCTTGAGGAGGGGGCGGTCCTTCTAGCGGAGGTTCTCGCTATGCCTCTCCTACCCGGAAGTTAAACTACACAGGGCGGTATAAGGAAGTAGGCGAGGAAGGGCGTCACGTGGGTGAAGCATGGGAGCCACTGGGAAAATCAACCGGCCCCGGACGGTAATTGATCTTTTCTCTCCCCTCCCGCATCTTGTTCCGGGCTTTTGTTTTGTTCCGTTTCATGGCTCTTATTTTTTGATGTTTTTCCCAATGGGGCTAATAATGTCTAGCATTAGTCTAGAGGAGGGATGGAGAGCCCGCGGCCTCTCCGATGTTGTTGGACGCCACCTCCCGTCAGCACCAGCTAGTATGGCTAGCGATTGGCGATTGTGGGAGTTATAGTTCAGCGGGGGTTTGGAGGGCCACAGGCTCCCCTATCTCTGGTTTGTTTGTTTATCACAATCGCATCCCATTAAATTTTTATTATTATTATTATTTTACTCCAAGGAGCTTAAGGTGCTTATACGTGATTCCTTTCCTCACAACCTCCCTGTGAGGTAGATTAGGCTGAGAGACTGACTGGCCCCAGTGAGTTTCATGGCAGAGTAGGGGTTTGAACCCTGGTCTTCCAGGCCCTCCCTTTAAAAAAGCAGCATATGAAATGGGAAGGGTCGTAAGGTGGTAGACTGAGCTGCATTTGGTGCGTGATGTCTTTTTTGAAAGCTTGCCTTGTTTCAGATTTCCTGCCTTTTGAAAACTAATGCACAGGGGAGATAAACTGAATGCTGTCGTTCTTCCTTGTGTGCTAGCTTTTTACTTGTGAGGATGGTTGTTGAAGCTCAAACGTCAGTCTCAAGTATTGTAGTATAATCTATTATACTGCATTTAATAGGTTATTGTATTTTAGTGTTTTGTTGGAAGCCGCCCAGGGTGGCTGGGGAAACCCAGCCAGATGGGCAGGGTATAAATAATATATTATTATTATTATTATTATTATTCTCCCCTTTTGTTCTGCTGCCCTGTGTGGATCCAACATTGAATTGTGGTCATAGGTTGGTGTGGATGTCCTATTCTTGAATGCTTCTCTGGTAAGAAAAAAACACCCTGCTTGTAGGACTAAATACAGTGCTACCTCAGGTTAAGTACTTAATTCGTTCTGGAGGTCCGTTCTTAACCTGAAACTGTTCTTAACCTGAAGCACCACTTTAGCTAATGGGGCCTCCTGCTGCCGCCACGTCACCGGAGCATGATTTCTGTTCTCATCCTGAAGCAAAGTTCTTAACATGGAGCACTATTTCTGGGTTAGGAGAGTCTGTAACCTGAAGCGTATGTAACCTGAGGTACCACTGTACATTAAAAACAGTTAAAAACAGAAACAGCATACAGCTAAAATTGGACCGGCAACTAAAGATCAGGCAAATTCATGGAGGCCAAGTGGCTACTAGGATGTTGTTGAGATGGTGACTTGTGTGTCTCAAAGTGGCTTCTCTCTATTTTAGGAGCTACAGAAAAACCTTTTCAAAAGGCGCCGTGTCCTTAGCAAGCAGAAGAGGAAGAAGCACCGGATTGTAGGTGCTGTGGTGGATGAGGGGCTCATCACCATTCATCACCTAAAGAAACGTTGGTGAGTTATGCTTTGCCTTGGAAGCTCTGGGAGAGTTCACCCACTGAGAAACCAAAGAAGAAATCAGAGTCTGGTCATTAGGATAATTTGGAGGAAGGCAGTGCCCAGTCCTGCTCCCAGCCTTGAGATGGGCATGGGGACTGGAATCTAGAGAAGTGGGGAGAGTGTGAGCTGGATTGCTTGGCTTTTTTCTGTCATACTTGCAAGAAAAGTGGAAAGGATTCCCTTTCCCGCCCCGACCTGGCCACAGTGATCTATGCGACGGTCACCTCCAGGCTTGACTACTGTAATTCGCTCTACGTGGGGCTGCCCTTGAAGCTGTCCCAGAAACTCCAGCGGGTGCAGAATGCTGCAGCGAGGCTCCTCACAGGGTCTCTGCCATGGGAGCATATTCACCCAGTGCTTTACCAGTTGCACTGGATCCTGGTGGAGTACAGGGTCAGATTTAAGGTGCTGGTTTTGGCCTTTAAAGCCCTTCACGGCCTGGGACCCTCGTACCTACGGGACCGCCTCTCCCGGTATGCCCCACGGAGAGCCTCAAGGTCCATAAATAGCAACACCCTAGAAATCCCAGGCCCTAAGGAAGTTAGATTCAACCAGAGCCAGGGCCTTTTCAACACTGGCTCCGGCCTGGTAGAATGCTCTGCCTCATGAGACCGGGGCCCTGCAGGATCTGATTTCTTTCCACAGGGCCTGTAAGACAGAGTTCTTCTGCTTGGCCTTTGGCTTGGAGCCAATTTGATTCCCTCCCCCTCTTTCTTTTTTCTTTTCCTTTCTCCTCCTGTGATGAGGCTGCATTTTAATATTTTAATGTTTCAATATTTTAATGTTGTATTTTAATCTTGTTTTTAAGTTGTATTCATTCAACTTGTTTTTATTATTGCTTGTTAGTCGCCCTGAGCCCGGCCTTGGCTGGGGAGGGCGGGGTATAGATAAAAATTATATTATTATTATTACTACTATTTGGCTGGGGGTCACATCTGTGCCGTGCATTTTAAAACACATTGCAATCCAGCAATGTGTGGTTTTAAAACCCAAACTTCTCCTCTTTGCGCATCACCACCTCCCTGCCATTTCCCTCTCCAGTTCTAGCTCCCGAGCAAACATTACCCTCTCTGGGAAAAAGAAAAGGAAACTGCTGAAGCAAATCCGCCATTCCACAAAGGAGAAGACAGAAATGCAGGGTAAGCATTTTTTAGGGCCAGACCTTCAGTTCTCCCCCACCTCCTACCCTTGTCCCTTAAGCAGGGAAGCCTTAAATCAGTATTTTAAATACTGAAACGCTTAGGTGCCATGGACCATTTTATGCATTCAGCAGATGTAATGGGTGGGACTTTTCTTGGATTTTGCCACTTTAGGTTCTGGAAGGGGTACTTGCATATTTGAATGACCCTGTCCCTGTATAGTAGAAAAAGATTAAGCTGAGTCCACTTTCTGGGCATGCTGGTTTTCTGCATGCAGGAATTACTATGTTTTGTTTCCAGGGGGTGAGGGTAAGGCAGATGGGAGCCCCACTTACACTCTGAAGTGGTGCTATCAAAGAAGAGCTTTAGTCAGTATTTGGTTTTGTGGAATGTGTAAAATTGGTTCTCTGCTACAGCCTGATTAGTTATGAATATATGAAGCCTCCTTTTAACAGGGATCTCATTGCCCCCCAACTCCCATCAGTTCTAGATATCATGGCCCAAAACATCAGGGGTGATGGGAGTTGGAGACTAGCGACATCCAGAGTGCCACAGACTTTGCACCCCAGTCCTTAACACAGGTCCCAGCCAATCTGGGATTACATATGAAAGGCACCGACAGAGGTGTAAAATAGGAATGGGGTTCCAATCCCCATCAGCCCCAACAAGTATGGCCAACAGTCATGGGTGATTGGAGTGGCAGTCCAGTAACAACTAGAAGGCCACAGTTCCTCCACTCCTACCTTTGTTGATGCAGAGAGCAGGCAATTTTGCTGCTCAAATGAGGGACTGCTCAAAGGAGTACCTTGTTCTCACAGGTGTACTTAGCTTTTAGTGTTGCAGTTCCAGCCCTCTGGATACAAATGATTGGCTGAAATCAGGGGGGTGCTTGATGTCATGTTTTTGGTGTACCCATTGAAGACATGTTTTGTTCAAGGACACTTCCCTTGATAGGTGTTACAGTCATGTATGAAAATTGATTGTCTGTTTATGGATAGTTTTATTGTTTTTAGAAATTACAGCTTTTAGAAACGGGTTTGTGTTTTATCCCATTTTTAAATTGCTTTCATGGCAGTTGCTGTACCACTGAGCTACTGTTTTTAAAGTTCCTTTTCTCTCTCTGTATTGCAGTTGGCCTTTCTCCAGGTCCAAATAAAAATGCCCAGAGTGGCAAGCGGCAGAAGAAGAAGAAGAATGGGGGGGAAACAGCTGGCCCAGATGTAGAGATGGCAGAAGTGGCAGAAGTGGAGCCTGCAGCAGAACCAAGGAGCTCAGATCTTCCTTTGCAGTCTTAAAGCTCAGTCTCTTCACTCTCTTTCGTTGCCTGCTGGCAGAACTCTGGGGTTAGCAGCAAAGGCCATCCATGGCTGCAGAACCAGGAAAGTCATAAGGATTGGGCTTGGAAGCTCTTTAACCCCATGGACTTTGATATGGCTAGATTGCCATTAAAAACACACATAGTCTTGAGAGGTTTGCTGGACAGGCTGCAACTGTCTAGTTCCTTTGGATCTCCAGATATTGCTGAACTACAGCTCCCATCATCCCCTGGCCTTTGGCCATCTAGATGGGGGCTGATGGGAGTTGATGTCCAACAACTTCTAGAGGGGCCCAAATTCCCCATCCCTAAACTAAAAGTAAGGGTGAGGAACATTTTTCTCTCTCTGAGGATTGCATGTTCATGTTCATGTCAAAACAAAAGTGAGTTGGTGAAATGCATACCATGGATACTGTGCACACATGCAGACTTTCACTCTTCTTCTGTCATCCCCCCCCCCCAAGCTATGGGGCTTGTTGGGGGTAAACATTTTGGGGAGTGTGTGCACTTAATGGAGACTGCAGCTGAGGAGGGACATTTTCTGCTCAAAGATCTCTCACCCTCCAGTGCAATAACTGGAAAGGCTGGAAAGCAGTCTTCGTTTGGCACCAATATAGAAGGCTTTTTGCCCAAGCCTAATTCGGGGGTACAATTTTTGGCAGATGTTCCAGGGTTGAAATATTGTCCCAATAAAATAGCAGAAAACCAGTTCTGTGTCCTGGCTTCTAATTTCTTCCTTGTTCTTTGTGTGTTTATAGTGGTGGTGGGGAAAAACATGTTTCTGGGTTATTGGAAGGAGGTGTTCTGAATGAAAAATAAAGGAAATCTGAAATCTATAATTTACTATACAGTAGTTTAGAAAAAGGGACACGGGTGGTGCTGTGGGTTAAACCACAGAGCCTAGGATTGCTGATCAGAAGGTCGGCGGTTTGAATCCCCGCGACGGGCTGAGCTCCCGTTGCTCGGTCCCTGCCCCTGCCAACCTAGCAGTTCGAAAGCATGTCAAAGTGCAAGTAGATAAATAGGTACCGCTCCGGCGGGAAGGTAAACGGTGTTTCCGTGCGCTGCTCTGGTTCGCCAGAAGCGGCTTAGTCATGCTGGCCACATGACCTGGAAGCTGTAGGCCGGCTCCCTTGGCCAATAAAGCGAGATGAGCGCCGCAACCCCAGAGTCGGCCACGACTGGACCTAACGGTCAGGGGTCCCTTTACCGTTACCCTAGTTTAGAAAAGGAGGGAGTGTAGCAACTGTTTACCAAGTTGGGAGCTGCTTATGTGAATTGATTGCCACCAGCCCAAGTGCTGGCGCTTAGTTGACATATCAATAGAATGGAACCCCCTCAAATCACGGGATTAAGTCCTTGTGTACTTGTACTGTGTGTCAAATAAACAAACAACTGCAAAGGGGTCTTGCGGCACCTGAAAGGTTAACAGGGTAATGAATAATGCAACAGCGAGTGGGCGGGACCCGCGGCGGAGCGGCCGGCCGGCCGATTCGAGAAGCGAAGGGGCGGGCTCATGCCGCGGATCCAATAAGAAGCCTCGGTGGTGATAGCGCTCTGCGAGACGGGGGAGTCAAGCGGGATCCAAGATGGCGGCGGCAGCAGTAGTAGGGAGGTGAGAGCGAGGCTCACTTGTGGGGTGGCGGCTATGGGGGGGGGAGGGCTGTTTTCAGAATGGCTTCCCTCCCTCCGCCCCGAAGACCACCAACTCTTCATTCCTCCTGAATGACCCTTTAACTTCCGGGGCTCCCCTTCAGCCCCCGCTCCCTTCCCACAGTCGCCTTATTCCCGCCCTCCAACCCCACATGGTCTCCCCGCCCCCATTGTGGGCTCCCCGCCTCCACGTCGCTTCTGGAATTGACCTCCTTCCCTCAGGGCGCCCCACAGGTGTGCGTGCTGCTCCTTGCCCCGCATCGCCAGCCCCTGCTCACCCACCCAGCCCATGGTCCCCGAATCCCTTGCAGGACCCCTTTCCATTTCTGCACCCCCCACAAGCCCCTTCTAAGGCTTGCAGACCCCTTACAGTGCAGCCACCTGCCTGCACGTCTGTCTACCTGTGCTGTGCGCACACGATGCATTTAAAACACCCTGTGCAAAGAATCCTGGGAACTAATTTACCCTGTCAGGGATCTACAGTTCCCAGCGCCCTTAACCAACTGCACTTCCCTGGATTCTTAGAATCACAGAATTGTAGAGTTGGAGGGGACCCTGATAGTCATCTAGTTCTGCTCCTTGCAATTCAATTGGTCATCTAGTCCAACCTCTCCCCACCCCCAATTCTTTGGGGAGAGCCGTGTACTCTAAATGTATAGTGTGGATGTGATCCATCTCTGCAATTATTTTTTATTATGAGACAGGTAATCCAATATCTCCATTTGACAGACCGAGTTCAAGAGACACTAGCCCAGGACCCCCAAACAAATCCGTGGCTGCACGGTGATTTTGAATGCAGTTTCTGATGGGCATCTGCTTTAGACATGAGAACAGGATGTTGGACTAGATGGACCTTTGATCCAGCAGGACTTTTCATATGTTCATATGTTGTATTCCACTGGTCAGTCTAAAACAGGGTCCCCACCTCCCACTAGTAGGCGTTTCAGGATTCTAGGTGGCCGGTAGGGGGTTCTATGGCACAAGCTGAACCCTCCTTCCATCAAGCACTGGTGGGCGGCAAGGAAATTTTACCATCGAGAAAGATGCATTAGTGGGCGGTAGGTATAAAAAGGTTGACTACTCCTAGTCCAAAAGAAGTCATAATGACACCTTTCAAATTACAGGCCCAAAGCCAGGATGAAAAGCTGCCCCCACACCTTTTGATTTTCAGAATTATTTTTAAGTAGTGTAAGTCAACGAAATGTATATTCCTACCCCATTTGTTTCCCCGTTTTTAGCTTGTAAGGCCCTTGAGGTCAGGGATCTGTTTTGTTACTTTGCCACCTGCTTCTTTCCCTTCCTGGTTAATTGATTACTATACTTGGTCTTTTGTTTTCCCTTGTATTTGTACAGAAATCCGAAAGGACTGGTATAAAATGGTGGGGGTGGTGGTGGAGGGTGATGCACTTTCATGATGATGATGATGATGATGATGATTAATGATAATACTAAAAACAGATCATGTAATTAAAAAAACCCTGTTGGGCTTTTAAGGTGCCACAAATTTTCTTCTTTTTTTAACAGGCGACGCATACACCTCAGTTTTGGCAACTGCCCTGTAAAAGAAGCAAAATACCATTCTGACTGGCAATTGGCAAGTCAAGGCAATTGAGGAACGCTCCTCCGGCTAAAGCAAAGAGTGACACGGCGCTTGCCTTCCATGGGTGCCAAGCTTTATAATGGAAAGTGGAACGCTAATCTGAAGGGACGGCAGGCCTGCATGGAACTATTTTCCAAGGGGGCCCTTTCTGTGTGCTGTTTGTATGCTTCCCTCAACGCCGCTCAACCGCGCGCAGGCGCAGAAGGGAAGTAGGGGGGACAAAGGGACTGGTTCTTCTGCAGCTTTTCTCCCCCTGGGCGGTATGTCTGCTCTGTGCGATCCCCCAGGGGTGGCAGGGCATCCGGGGTCCACCCCCAGCCCCAAACCAGCAGCTGCTTCTCCATCGCTCAGGTACTGATTCTCTTACCTCTTCTCTCTCCTCCCTGCAAGGGACTAGGACACCCCCTTTACGCTGGCACCACCCAGTCCCTTCATCTTTGTACAGAGGGTGTGTTGATGGTCACTTGCTCTGGTGGCTCTGGAAAGGAATAATTACGCTTGTGACATTTTACAGAGGTCCCTGCCTCAAAGAGCATGCAGTCTAAAATCCGAAGAGAAGTGGTGGCAGGGAGGGTTAACACAGGGAAAGCATATGTACCATTTATGTGCATTTTGGGTGAAGTTGCGGCTACTATTGTGCACAGCAATGGGGGTTGGACTAGATGACCCTTGGGATCCCTTCCAACTCTGCAAGTTTATAAGGCCTGTTGGGAAATTCAGAAGTGACAGATAGGGTGCCTTGGGTTGGGAAGTAGGACTGGAGGCAGAGCATCTGCTTTGAGCGCAGAAAGTACTAGGTTCTATACCCAGTATGATCTCCAGGCAGGGCTGGGAAGAACTGCCTGAAGCCCTGGAGCTACTGCCAGTCAGTGTAACCAGTACTGAGCTAGATGGAGAAAGGGTCTGACTTGGTATAAGGGAGCTTCCTATGTTAACATATAATAATATAATAATAATAATTTATTATTTATACCCCGCCCATCTGGCTGGGCTTCCCCGGCCACTCTGGGCGGCTTCCAAAAAAATATTAAAATACTATAATACATCAAACATTAAAAGCTTCCCGAAACAGGGCTGCCTTCAGATGTCTTCTAAAAGCCTGGTAGTTGTTGTTCTCTTTGACATCTGGTGGGAGGGTGTTCCACAGGGAAGGCGCCACTACCGAGAAGGCCCTCTGCCTGGTTCCCTGTAACTTGGCTTCTCGCAGTGAGGGAACCGCCAGAAGGCCCTCAGTGCTGGACCTCAGTGTCCGGGTAGAACATGCTGGATCAGACTCAGGGCTAATAATTACAGAATAATTTTTGAAAGGAAGCTCTCACCACTGGACAACTTTCCCCTAACCTGGTCATGTTTTTCTTGTGAAAAGACACATGCATAAAGTTCAGATATTTAGCAAATCACATTTTAAAGCAAATTTTAAAAATCATTAACACCCGCCATTGTTCTTAAAGTGGACTGGAGCTTATGAATTAAACAGAACACTTTTTCAAGCTGTATGGGGGGAGCGGGAATTGAAAAGGGAGAGAAAGGCCTCTGGGAACACATGGTGATTAACCTAGTTTCTGTTGTGAGATGGTAATAAAGTAAGCCAGGCATAGGCAAACTCGGCCCTCCAGATGTTTTGGGACTACAACTCCCATGATCCCTAGCTAACAGGACCAGTGGTCAGGGATGATTGGAATTGTAGCCTCAAAACATCTGGAGGACTGAGTTTGCCTATGCCTGGAGTAAGCCCTTGCAAGCAAATTAAGGCCCCACCTGCACTACACATTTAAAGCAGTATCATACCACTTTAAAACAGTCTTGTTTAGGAACGTTGACCGAGGATTGATGCTATGTTTCCTTCTTTTTCCTTTGCCTCCTGTAGTTCGCAAGAGCTGGCCCAGGAAATCAAGGCCTTCCTTAGCGGTGTAGACCCTTTGCACGGCAACAAACTCACCCTGAAGGAGCATGCCCGATGCGCCATCTTGCTCCTGCGCAGTCTGCCACCTGCTCGCAGCGCCGTCCTGGACCACCTCCGGGGTGTCTTTGATGAGTATGTGTGCACCTACTTGCTGGACCTGGAGAGCAGCGAGGGTGGGCTGGGCTCCATCCGCTCCCAGGGTCCCAACCTGGACGACGTGGTGCAAGAGATCCAGGCCGTGCTGTCCGAGTTCGTCCGCATGAACCCCAAGGCGTGGGCAGGCTTGGTCTCGGCCTGGTCCATCGACCTGATGGGACAGCTGAGCAGCAAGTATGCTGGCCGGCATGGTGTGCCCCACGCCAGCAGCCTCAACGAGCTGCTGCAGCTGTGGATGTCCTGCAAGGCGACTCGGACGCTGATGGAGATCTACACGCAGTGCCTCTCCTCCATGATCAGCACCTGCCCGGACGCTTGCGTGGATGCCCTGCTGGACACCTCGGTCCAGCACTCTCCGCACTTTGACTGGGTGGTGGCCCACATCGGCTCGTCCTTCCCCAACACGATCATCAACCGCGTGCTCTCCTGCGGGCTGAAGGACTTCTGCATGCACGGCACGGCCTCGGCTGACCTTCTCCTCTTCCCTAGCGCCACAGCGGCAGACAAGAGGGTCCCCAAGATCGCCTCGGTGGTAGGCATCCTGGGCCACTTGGCCTCCCGCCACTCCGAGAGCATCAAGCAGGAGCTGCTAAGGATGTTCCATGGGAGCCTGGGCCCCACGCGGGACCAGCAGCAGAAGGCCACCGTGCCCTTCTTGCTCCAGCTGGCCGTCATGTCTCCCACTCTGCTGGGCACCATCTCGGCCGAGCTGGTGGACTCCCTCAAGCCAGGCGTGCTCAACCAGCTGCACCAGCACTTCGCCTCGCTCCCTCGGGAGGATCTGGAGAACATGGTCAGCATCGTGGTGCACCTCATCTGCCAGACGTCGGGAGGAGCTTACCGCACCCTGCAGTTCCTCATCAACACAGCCATGCCGGCTTCTGTCATCACCACCCCGGGCCTGGCTGTCCACGACAGCGTGCGGGAGGCTTGCGACCGTGTCATCCAGCTGCTGCTGCTCAACCTCCAGAAACTGGTGTACAACCGGGGCTCGGCCAGCTTGGCGGAGGCCCCTCCGCGGCCGGTGCCTTTCCTGGACGAGCTGAAGGGCCACGTGCGGGAGCTGTGCGTGGAGACGCTGCGGCTGGAGAGGAAGCGGTTCCTCTGGCAGCACCAGCTGCTGGTCCTCCTCTCCGTCTACTGCACCCCCAGCTGTGCCAGCGAGGCCCTCTTCTTTTTGCTGACGCTGGCCAAGAGCCAGGAGGAGCTCAGCCTGGCCACTCAGCTCCACGCCGTGCTCAGCTCTTGCATGAGCGACCTGCTGCCGGCCACCGTGAAGAAGTGCGTGTGCCAGATCCACGCTGGCGGCCTCTCGGAGCAGCACATGGCTCAGCTCTTCCAGAACCTGGCCTTGATCATGCAGAGGGAGAGCGAGGGCCCCGCCTCCATGGGCCACCAGCTGGGTGAGGCTGTCGCGGCGCACCTCTATGACTTCGGGCAGCTCCTGCTGCACTGCAACCCGGAGGTGGCCCAGGTGGCGGCCTTGTTGCTCTCCGTCTGCCCCATGCCAAAGGCCATCCGGCCGGCTCACCTCCTTTTCCTCATCCGCTCGGCCGTCCACCACTTCTTCCTGGTGCTGCGCTGCAAGTGCCCCACGGGCATCAGCTACGGAAGCCGCCTCCTCTGCTGCCTCAGCGGGGCTTCGCCCACCGCTGGCAAGGCCATACTTCAGTACCTGGTGGAGGGGGCCCTGCACCCAGGGAACGCCGAGCTCTTTGGTGGGCTGCCTGAGCCTCCTGCAGTCGGAAACGACCCTGCCGCCCTGGAAGGCACCAAGGTCTCCCTGTTGGATATCAACCGGCGATTTATGGCCGCGGTGAACTTCTCGGGGAGTGTGTGGTCTGTGTTCCATGCCGGCGTGATTGGGAGGGGCCTGAAGCCGCCCCACGCCCCCTACCAACGAGAGCCGGAGGAGGTCTCCCACAACGTCCAGACCTTCCTGGGGTTGCTGCTGCGGTGCTGCGGAGCTGAGCACTGCGGCCCGGAGCCCTCCCAGCACGCTGCCGTCAGCCCCGAGGCAGCGAAGACGGTGGCGGTGGTTCTGGTGGAGACCGTCTGCCCTGACATCACCAACAGCGAGTTGGCGTGGCCTCCGGAGGAGCACACCCGCAACACAGTGGAGCGGGACATCCAGATCGGGAGGGCTTTCCGCGACAACCCCCTGCTCTTCCAGCTGCTTAGCCTGGTGGCGGCAGGGAGGCCGGCCCTCTGTTACTGCTCAGTGCTTCTCCGCGGCCTCCTGGCGACTCTGATGGCGCACTGGGAGGCTTCGCGGGAGAATGACACCACCAGCTCTCCCTGGCACCTGCAGGCCTCCTGCGCCCTGGTGGCCTGCATGGGTGAGGGCCACCTGCTCCCGCCTGTGCTCAGCAACATGCATGAGATTTTTGACCAGCTGGCGCCCTTTGAGGTCCACCTCTTGCTCCTCAGCGTCTGGGACTACATGCGTGACAACAGCCCGCTGCCGCAGAAGTTCACCTTCAACGCTGGCACGGGACTCTTCTTCCGGGACTTCAGCAGAGACACCGACATTGGCAAATACCTTTGCGTTCTGCACAGCGTCCTGCATAAAAACATTGACCGGCTGGGGCTGCTCTCGGGGCGCTTCCAGATCTAGCGCCCCTTTTGGTGCTTTTGCCCTGTGGGATTGGTCATCCTGCCTGCCACTGTCAGGGGAGGGAACATCCTGCCTTCCTGCCTTTTTAAAACTCTGCTTTTGATTGTAAGCAAAGGGAAAACTGTCATATGACTTGTCCAGGTGTGCAGCAGTTGGGGGTTGTCATGAGAAAGAAGGAACAGAAGGTCCTTCTTTCCCAGGCCTCATCTCTATCCTCAGCTTCGATGTGATGCCACCCCAGCTGGTGTTGGCAGCTTAGTTTGCAGAAGGACCTACGAAGTGTGAGCTGAAAATGCAGTTGTATGTCATGAGATGTTGCTTCAAAAACACAACATGCAGCAAGTAGAGAAGTTGCCAGGGTCAGAGGCCTCGGTTAAAGCCAGATGGTACCAGTATGGACACAGTCTTGTGTACTCTGCTGTGTGCCATGTGATATGGCTGTCAGTGTCCGTTGACATAGCCATACCCAGGTAGCCTGAGGGGAGAATGCCTGAAGCTTTTGCATTTCTCTATCTTGTTTTTCCAGATCTGTTAGCTCACTTCCTATGGTCATATATGGCTGGTTTCTCAATGTCTTGCTATGATCTGGAAATCTGTTAAGAATCCCACAGAAGTTACAATCACTGAGCAGGTACACATTCCTAAATGCACAAGAATGGGGAGGGGACAAGGAGGGAAAATTTGGTGAATAAATTCTGGTACAAACCACCCCTCCCCGCAAAAAGACCCAAACCTATTTCCCTGTAATAAAGGACAAATAGATTAAGTAATAATCAACTTACTGGGCTGCTCAGTTGGTGAGTGGGTATAAGAATGTGCAAATATTTCTAGTTACACAGAGCTGGTGAAATGTTGCCCTCCTGAAGAGCTCTGCATAACCTGAAAGACTTTCATGTTTCATGCAAATGCTTCAACACGAGCAGGGCCCAGTCAGTACTGCCTTGCTTGACGTGAGAGTGTTTCCCCCAGACTGCTTCACTAAAGTAATGATTTGGGCAGGTGAAGCCATTTGCCTGTTTGGCTGCTTCTTAGAGTGGCTCTGAGCTGGCCATTGATTGCCCCCCCTTCCTACAATTCCTGGTGATGGGGGTTTGCCACATGGGGTTGTAGCCAGCTAAGTCCTATTCATTGAAACTTTGGTTTCAGTGGGCCTTCTCTGAGTAGCACTTGGATACAACACTTTGCATAAAGAGATGTGGCCAGCTTATCCTACAAAACTGAGGGCTCTTTTCCGGAAGGTTTCTGATGCTGTTGTGTGGGAACAACTGACCATAGTGCCAGAACTTAGCTAAACTTATCCGTGCGTACTTGAGCACTGATCTATATAGCCAGTCCAAAGAGAGATGTCCCCCTATTGGTACCAGAGCTCCGCTTGTGTGTGACAAGAGTCCTGCTTGACCTCCTTGTGCCTAAATGCCGTCTGGGCAATTGCTACTTTCCTTTTCAGGGACGATTCAAGTGCTAGAAAGAGGTCGTGTGTAGCACGGGGTTCTTGCTGTCAAGTCATTTTCAGCAGGGCTGGAGGGTTGCTGGCCTTTCTGCTTTTGCATCATCACAGCCCTGTTGGGTGGTTTTTGTGGGAGGTGATGGGTTAAACCATTTTCTAAATAATAAAGTGAAGAAGGAACTTCTGTCCCTTTGCTTTTTTCAGTTAGAGACAGAGGGTTAAGAGAGTTTCCATCTGGATTGCGAAATAAGCAGTTGCAACAATGTGATTGAGCAAATTTCAATTTCTTTTTAAAAAACGGAAAAGGAGCTTATATGACTCTGCAGCTGGCTTGGCATACAAAGAGCAGCTCACACAGCACTGGCACTTTGTCCAGAAACAGTGTTACTGCAAATTCTTTTTAATTTGTAAAAAAATAATCATAATAATTAAATGACAAATTCCAGCCAATGAAAGAACACCAGCGGCCTTCCACCTGGGGTTGCTCAGGGGTTTAGGAAGCCAAGGAAGCCAATTTTGTGATCTGCGGTTAGAATCAGTGCTGTTTCAAAAGGTTCAGTCTGCCATCTTGATTTAAAAAACCTGTCCAAACACAGAGAAAAACTTGTTCCTTGATCTCAGGAAGCATTGTGCAAAATTTGGTTATGGTATTTTAAGAAGTGTTCAAAATGCAGAGCGAGCCAGCAGTAAATCACACTCTGCAAGTTGGAGTTAACTCTTTATTAGCAAAAACACAATCGGCATAGGAGTGTCAGGCCTAATGAGCGACTCATCTCCAGTAGATCCAGTAGATACCTCCATGAAGCAGTTGCTGAGACTAAAGGTCCCCGCCTCCCCACAGCTGCCTACGTCCCCTCCTTTCCAGGGTTTTCCCCAAGCAATCGGCGATGGCGACTGCGCGTCGCCAATCCTTTCTCCACCCTTTTCATGTGTCTTCTGGTTCTGGGAGGCAGGGAGGAGAGCTTGCAGCAGGAGTGGGAGACACCCTTGACCTCTCTCCTCCCACCCTCCTGCTTCAGCTTCTGCCTCTGATTCCAGACTTCTCTCTGACACAGACGCTCCAGCTCACTAGGCCCTATTACCTCTTCGGCTTCTGACACCTCCTCTTCCCAGTCTTCTCCTTTGGACTACTACTCATTGTTATCCCACCACCACTCCCCAAGTTCTGAGCCTTCTCCCCTTGGTGCTTCTCCATCTGGTTTCTTCTGCCATTCCTTTGTGTCCAACCAATCCATAACAACAAAGAACTGTCCAAAATATGTAGTAGATATACATAGATACATACAAGAACCCTGCTGCATCAGGCCATTGTCTCATCGAAGTCCAGCCTCCTGTTCACACTGACCAATCAGATGCCTCGCAGGTGGACAGAGTGCTGTTGTGCTCATGTCCTGCTTTCAGGTTCTCCACAGGCTTCTGGTTGGCCACTGAGAGAACAGGATGCTGGACTAGATGGGTCAATGGCCTGATCCAGTGGGCGTGTTTTACTTTCTTAAGACATTCTTACCCAGGGATGTGTTGCTCTCCAAGTGTCATTGGGCTCTAGCTCTCATCAGCCCCAGGGAGCACAGGCAACAGGGAAGTTGCAGTTCATGAGCACCTGGAAGGCCACAAGGTCACCTCAACTCTAATCACTACACCACACTGCCTTTCTTGATAGCTTAGAATTCAGTGTGGCTTTTACCATGTCAAACTTATTGGCAGCAGCTCTGTAGGGTTTAATTCGGGGTAAATTCTTAGCCTTACATGGAGACACTAATGACTGAATTATTGGGACCTTCTGCATGCGAAGCAGGTGTTCTGCTGTTGAGCTACGGCCCTCTTGCCATCACCAGCTACCTGATCCTGTTAACTGACGACTGATGCCATATCCACACTGTACATTTAAGCCACATGGCTTCCCTTGACTAATAATGGGAACTCTAGTTTAAGGGTGCTGGGAATCGTAGCTCCTAAGGGTAAACTGCAGCTTCCAGGGTTCGGGGGCGGAGAAGCCACGACTGTTAAAGGTTTTTAGCTTTTAAAAATTTTATTTGACTAAATCATTCGAAGAGAGATGTGTGTTGGAATAAAAGAGGATATATACAGCCCCAAATGAAGAGTGTAGTATTAAGCCCTCAAAAGAAAAATAGCTCCGTTGGGTTTGGGGCATTGCGGCGAGGGACAGCTGGCTTCGCGGTTTTGGCTAGATCAGGGGTCTGCAACCCGCGGCTCCGGAGCCGCATATGGCTCTTTTACACCTTTGCCGCGGCTCCGGGGCGGATACTAGCGAGGGGAGGAGGTGCATTGTGTGCCCCGACACTCCCCACTGTGGCGGGCGCTGTACTGGCTGTGACGTCGCATGGGGGCAGTGCGTGCGTTAGTCACGCACCGTCCCAACGTCACCTTCCCGCCCGCTGTCAGATTGGAGGGCAGCGGCGCGCATGCTTTAAATGTCGCAATGGTTTTGCGGCTCCCATGTTTTTTTTTCCTTCGGAAACGGGTCCAAGTGGCTCTTTTTGTCTTAAAGGTTGCAGACCCCTGGGCTAGATGAACACGCATCCTACTGCTCACTTTCTAAGATTTCAGAAAGGGGCCAGGACCAGTCCAAGACTCCTTTCTCAGAATCAGATCCCTGACGTTCATTCCCCCAGAACGGGACCCAGGCGTTCGAGTTTCCTATCTCACAATAGGATCCAGGCACCGAAGCTTCGTGTCATCATGATTTCCCAGAATGGGACCCAGGCGTCCGAGCACTGCCTGCCCCCATCCCCCGCTCCCGGGAAACGTGCCTTTGCCGCCGTGCCTTAGCGGCATCCGGTGTACGCACGCGCCAGGAAAGCCCGCTCATGAATAATGCAACAGCGGGTGGGCGGGACCCGCGGCGGAGCGGCCGGCCGGGCGATTCGAGAAGCGAAGGGGCGGGGTCATGCCGCGGGATCCAATAAGAAGCCTCGGTGGGGACGGGGTGGGGCTGATAACCCTCGGCGGGAGGGGGGAGTGAAGCGGGATCCAAGATGGCGGCGGCGGCAGCAGTAGGGAGGTGAGAGCGAGGCTCACTTGTGGGGTGGCGGCTATGCGGGGTAGGGCGTGGGGGGAGGGCTGTTTTCAGAATGGCTTCCCTCCCTCCGCACCGAAGACCACCAACTCTTCATTCCTCCTGAATGACCCTTTAACTTCCGGGGCTCCCCTTCAGCCCCCGCTCCCTTCCCACAGTCGCCTTATTCCCGCCCTCCAACCCCACATGGTCTCCCCGCCCCCATTGTGCTTCCACGTCGCTTCTGGAATTGACCTCCTTCCCTCAGGGCGCCCCACAGGTGCGCGTGCTGCTCCTTGCCCCGCATCGCCAGCCCCTGCTCACCCACCCAGCCCATGGTCCCCGAATCCCTTGCAGGACCCCTTTCCATTTCTGCACCCCCCATAAGCCCCTTCTAAGGCTTGCAGACCCCTTACAGTGCAGCCACCTGCCTACACATCTGTCTACCTGTGCTGTGCGCACACGATGCATTTAAAACACCCTGTGCAAAGAATCCTGGGAACTAATTTACCCTGTCAGGGATCTACAGTTCCCAGCGCCCTTAACCAACTGCACTTCCCTGGATATTTTGCGGTGTAGCTAGGCCTCCCAATGTATGGTGTGGGTGCGACCTTTCTCTCATTCATCTCCACAATTATTTTTTATTATGAAGCAGATAATCCAATATTTCCCTTCTGGCAGACCGAGTTCAGGGGACCCTAGTCCAAAACCACCTAAGCAAAACCAAGGCTGGGCTTTGATTTCAAACTTAGTTTGCAAGATTCCTCTAGGGATCTGGTTTAGATGTGAGAACAGGATCTTGGACTAGATGGACCTTTGACTTGATCCAGCTGTCGTTTGTAGCCCATTGGCTAGTCCGCCGTGCTCTGTACCAGTTATTAAGAAGCACAGCACTGACCCTTTTTGCTTGTTGACCATTTCATATTCAATTACATTCATTTTGTATGTTCTTGAGGACTGGAAACTTTCTTCTGCTGAGATTTACAGAAAACTATGAAAATGATTTGTACTGTGGACTGTGCTCTGCTCAGTTGTGAACACTGATCTGCACATTTTTGCATAGCCATCGGTCTCTGCTGTAGAGCATCTGTTTGGAGATGCCACTGGCAGTCAGTGTCAAGAACGCTGGGCTAGATGGACCATTGTGCCAACTCAGTACAAAGCAGCTTCCTATGTACCTGTGCTGTGTTCACAGCTCAGTGGTAGAACATCTGCTTTGCATGCAGAAGGTCCCAGGTTCAGTCCGCAAAATCTTTAGATAGAGCTGGAAGAGACCCCAGCCTAAAACCCTGGAGAGCTGTTGCCAGTCAGCTTAGACAAGACTGAGCTAGGCAGACCAATAGTCTGATTCTATATAATATGGTTTCCTATGTTCCCTAATACCCATCCCTGTTGTAGTTCTTGTGAGTGAACCATGGCATGGTTGTGATGATTTCCCTTAGTTTTGTTCTTGTTCTGTGCTTCAAAATACTTTTCAAAATAATGTGAACCACCAAAAAGGACAGATCCTTGCCTCAAGAAACTATGTTTCGAAAAAGATGAGCAACCAAAAAATAAAGGGGCAGTTTTTCTTTTTATCTTTTTACTGAAACTTCCTTCAGAACTTAGTGCTTTTGCATGTGAGGTCTTGGCCAGCCCAGGGTGCTGATCTTGCTATTAGCACATGGCTCCTGCATTTGAGCCTTTGATCGCTCAGATGCAGCATGTGTGGAAACAGGCACTGACCTTCACACCAGCAGTGGAGAGCTCTCTTTGCCCTTTGCACTCTCCCTGTGCCCATAGTTTTGTCTCTAGAAGCTGCTTCCTGATCACTGAATACACAGCAGATGGCTGGATCACATCTTGGCATTCCTGCTATGAATGAGTCTGTTCTTCGAGAACAGGTGTTGGCAGATTTTACAGTTGCATCTACTCTATACACTGAAAGCACTCTCATGCCCTTTTAATAATCATGACTCCCTGTTTCCCGCTCAAGAATCCTGGGAACTGTAGTTTGTTAAGGGTGCTGAGAATTGTTGGGAGAACCTTCAAGAGCTATGATCCTCTACATCCTTAACAAAACACAGAATTCTTTGGGGAAGCCTTGATTGCTCAAGTGGTATAGAAACACTGTTCTTATTATGTATTAACATACCCATTTATTTATTAAAGTGTTTATAGACTGCATTTTCAAAAAATTTATAGCAGGTTGGTATACAGTGTACAAAATTACATTAAGAGACATAAAAACATCAGTAAGAATATCAGCAGATACTCATTGGCAAAAAGAAATCCACATTGCAAAGGCCTGTCTGAATAACAGTTTTTTGGAGATACATGAAAGGAGGCGGAGATGATTCCTGCCAATCCTTCACTGGCAGGAAGTTTCACAGAGCAGGGGTCACCGAAACCCAGGGTTATGGGGGACCACGAGAAGCACCCCATTGCAGGATGCCAGTGATCAAGGTAGAACATAATGCTGAGGCAGGGCTTTCAACGTGTTGTGGATGTGAGCAAGGGCCGTTTAGGCGGAATCCCACTCTGGTGTTTTTACTAAGGCCCCAAGCTCCACCATTCAGAGACAGGTATAGTGGCTGGAGAAGAGAAGGAAGCACCTCATGAGCCAGAAATGGGGATAATGTGCGTGTACAAGTACAAATCCCCTTGAATGAGCTGCATATGTGGAATTCTAACTGCCTAATTTTGAGAGAGAGAAAAGCTTTTTCTTGTTGCTGTTGTTAAATAATTAGGAGCCAGAACCCCTTGTTGATGTTCTGCCAATGCTGATTTGTGTGTGAGTGCATTTTTGCATGCCTGCCCAGACATATAATTTGGTTACCTACATTTTACTCTTTTATTCTGCCTTTTAATCATAATGGTTTTGTGCATTTCTAATTGGTTAGTAGATTTCAGCTGTTGTTTATCTATAGTTTTAGTAGTACACCATGTAAAGAGGTTTGTAAAAAATATGTGATTTATAAATCTCCTGCATCAAAAAAAAAAACATGTTGTGTAGATCAGGCACATGTTTAGTGCTCTACAGATCCTAGCTTCGATCCCCAGTACATCTAGGTCAGGCTGGCAAAGCCTGTTGTCTGAGACCCTGGAGAAACGATGCCAGTGTAGACAGCAGTGAGCTAGATGGAGCAATGGTCTGCTTTGGTGTAAAGCGGTTTTCTGTGTTCCTATCTGGTGATCTTTCTTTTCGTCATTACTATACTACAGATGAGATAAGGCAATCCAGAAGCCATCTTTCAGTTGAGAGCTTGCACAGGACCTGTGTTTTTTAAACACTGTGGGGAAGGGCTGTAGTTCCGTGGTAGAGCATCCGCTTTGCATGCAGATGGTCTCAGCAGCCCTGATTACCCCCCACCAAAGGATGTTGTTTAATGCTAGAGTATGATTCTCTTAATGTCAGAGCCAAGGGTTTGAGCCACACATTGGGCAAAAGATTCCTGCATTGCTGGGGTTGTACTTGATGACCCTCATGGTCCCTTCCAACTCTACAATTCTATGACTCCATTATTCTATCTATCTTCTGGAGACCATTCCCATTCTCCTTTCCCTTTTTCATTGAAGCAATTGAGCAGCCTGTGTCAGTGGGATCTTAGCTTTGAAAAGGCATTCTGTGTCTGTGCTGCTTGGGTTAGGCTAGTGTAGGAATTCCAGATGGCATCTGGGCCTTAAACATCCCTTTTGAGCACAATCCAGGTAGTTGTAGGATGAACCTTGTTGGTTAATGCTAGCTGGCCTGGAGCAGGCACCTTGAGTGAGACCCTGGTCCATCTAGCTCAGTATTGTCTGCACTTACTGGCAGCAGCACCCCAGGGTTTCAGGCAGGGGGTCTGCCCTACCTCTGCCTGGAGATAAATCCGGGGCCGTTTACATCAAAACGCACTTGCTGTCTCTGTGAGCCAACAGCCCTCAAGTACAACTGGTGGTGGGGAGTCTGCAAGTTAACAATGTGTTGCATGGAGAAATGTCTTCCTTCTCAATAGACTCGAGATGGCAGCTCTTGCTTGGTTAGCTCTTTCCCTGGCTGTTGTCACTGCTGTGGACAGAAGCAACTTCAAGACATGCGACCAGAGCTCTTTTTGCAAGTAAGTTGGGTGTCTTATCTCTGCTGTCAGAGGAAGACTTTCGAGTGGGGAGAGCGTTGCTGTTGCACTCAGGTCCTGCTTGTGGTCTTCCCTTACTGCTTGCGGTCTTCCCTTACTGTTTGACCAGTACAGTGGTACCTCTGGATGCGAATGGGATCCGTTCCGGAGCCCCATTTGCATCCTGAAGCGGACGCAACCCGTGCGTGCGCGGGTCGCAATTCGCCGCTTCCGTGCATGTGCGTGACATCATTTCGAGCGTCTGCGCAAGCGGCGAAACCCGGAAGTAACGCGTTCCGTTACTTCCGGGTCACCGCAGAGCGCAACACGAAAACGCTCAACCTGAAGCATATTTAACCCGAGGTATAAGAACAGGATACAGGACCAGGTAGGCCTCCGGCTTGACCCAGGAGGCTCTTATTGTCTTACAATAAAAGCATCAGCCAGCTACTGGTAGCCTTAATTCTGACTCTCCCCACCGGCCAGAGTGTGCCTCTGAACAGCAGTTCCTGGAAATCATTTACTGTTGTCGTCAACAGGCTTCCCACCGAGGTATCTGGCTGACCAGTGTGGAAACAGGATGCTGGACTTGATGAGCAGTGCTTGTCTGATGTTCTTGTTGTTTATTTCTTCATTGTATTGCTCCAAAGGAGCCCAGAGTGAAAAATAGCAGCATTAAAACAATATTAATAAAAGCAGCTTAGAAACATTTTTTTTAAAGAAAAAAGTTTAAATGTTTGCCCTGGCTGAGGAAAAAGGGCTGGCACTCATTTCCTCAACAGGATTCCTGTTCCCTGAGGAAGGGCTGCGGTCCTTTCCCTGTGCCGTGGAGTTTCCTCTTGTGGCTACGAGTACAGAAACAAACAAGCTTCCTAAAATGGGAGGGGGGGATAGTAAAAGGTGGCCCTGATCATTTGCCTCCAGTAACCATGGTTTCCTCTCCCTAGGCGCCAGAGGAACGTGGAAGCTGGGAGTTCACCCTACAGAGCGCTGTTGGAGTCGTTGCAGCTCAGCCAGGATTCCATGAAGATCCAGCTCATCAATGAAGCAAACAAGGTGAAATGATGAGTTGAAACCCCAGGTAGCCAGGGTGGTGTAGTGGTTAGAGTGTTGAACCTGGGAAATCGGGGTTCAAAGCCCCACTCAGTCATGAAGCTCTATGGGTGACCTTGGGCCAGTCACATTATCTTGACCTACCTCACAGGGTCCTTGTAGGGATTAACTGAGGAATGGGATGAACCATGCACTCTTTGGAGAAAAAGGTAGGATATAAATGCAGTAAATAAGCTCTTCTGCTTACCTGCTTAAGAAAGCAGAAGCGGCCAGCCAGATGGAGATGTCAGTCACCAACCTGGCGCCCAGGGATCTCCATGTGGTCGCGATGGGACCCATGTAATTTGCAAAACACGCCTGGTACCTAGCTAATTTTGAACACTGGTTGGAGGGCATCTGCAAGAGAGACCTTGGATAACTGCTGCCCTGGAGGAGAGAGTGCTTGACTACAGTGCCAAATTTATGACCTGGTATAAGGGGACGCGGGTGGCGCTGTGGGTTAAACCACAGAGCCCAGGACTTGCCGATCAGAAGGTTGGTGGTTCGAATCCCCGCGGCGGGGTGAGCTCCTATTGCTTAGTCCCTGCTCCTGCCAACCTAGCAGTTCGAAAGCACGTCAAAGTGCAAGTAGATAACTAGGTACCGCTCCGGTGGGAAGGTAAACGGTGTTTCCGTGTGCTGCTCTGGTTCGCCAGAAGCGGCTTAGTCATGCTGGCCACATGACCCGGAAGCTGTCTGCGGACAAAGGCCGGCTCCCTCGGCCAATAAAGCGAGATGAGCGCTGCAACCCCAGAGTCGATCATGACTGGACTGGTCAGGGGTCCCTTTACCTTTTTATAAGGCAGATATCCTACATCTGTGTAGCTCAGTGGAAGAACAGATGGCTGGTGTAGAGAAGCTCACAATTTCAACCCCCCTCAGCTCTTCACTAAAAACAACCTCCATCTGCAAGGCTGGAAAGGCCCTTATCTGAATTTTTGGAGAGCTTCTGCCAGCCAAACAGGCCACGCTTGTAAACATACATGTATCAGGCAGCAGTCTCAGCTTTGGGGCTGGAGCCTCAGTGTAAAACAGGGACAGGGAACCTGGGGGCCCTCCATATGTCATTGGACTCCATCAGCCCCAGCCAGCACTCAGGTACAATGGGAGCTGTACTCCAGCAACATCTGGAGGGCCACAGATGCTCCCACCTCTGGAAAAAGACAGGACTTGACCCTGCTCTCTGCCTCCAGGTCCCTCTCCTCCTCGAGCTCTACGGCTTGAAAGGGAACATGACCCGGATCCGGATCAATGAGTTGAACCCGCTCAAGCCCCGCTATGAGGTACCAGATGTGTTAGTCCAGGACCCGCCCACTACCAGGTATGCAGATGGAGGGTCATTTATGCATCCTAGCTCACTGTGGGTTGTGAGGAGAAGGCACAGCGGTTTAGTGTAGGGGCAGGGAACCTCAGGCCCAGGGTGGGATGGGGAATTTGCGTTTGTTGCCCCACCCACTTCCCCCTCAAGCCCCACCCACCACTTGCATGGGGCCTCCAGAAGGTTATGTCACACTTGTAAAGGTTCCCTGCTTTAAAGGGAACCCTTTTCCCTGGGGCGGGGGAGCAAAACAGCATCTGCCCTTCCTTTCCTCGTGGGAAGATCCAGCAAGATCTTGTCGGGCCCTGATTGATTCCCACCACAAAGTAGCAGCAGTCTATAGTAGGGCTGGGTGATAACTGATTTTCAACATCGCGATATATCACCAGCTAAGCATCGCGATATACTGATATGTCACAATGTCAGAAATAAGGATGGAGCTATGTAGAGGCATTGGTTGGCTTTACGGTTTTTCTCACATCATGATTATTGCGTAGCAAAAAATATTTGCTATGCGAATCACACATATCATGATTTGTGGTGCATTGCTAGGTCAAAGACCACGTTATGAACTTAAAACTGGGTTTGGACGATACATCAATATATCACCCAGCCCTAGTCTATAGAATAGCGCCCAGGATCTCGCATGTTCGAGATCCTGTTCGAGATAAGAGCTGTTCGACAGTGGAATTTGCTGCCAAGGAGTGTGGTGGAGTCTCCTTCTTTGGAGGTCTTTAAGCAGAGGCTTGACAACCATATGTCAGGAGTGCTCTGATGGTGTTTCCTGCTTGGCAGGGGGTTGGACTCGATGGCCCTTGTGGTCTCTTCCAACTCTATGATTCTATGTAGCCATGAGGATATCTTCCTGCCCTCCCTTTGGACACTTCCCTTTCTTCATGCCACCCGCTCTGTTCTTTCCCCTTAATCCTCCCACCCCCGCCTCCCACCAAAGATTATCTGTCACAGGCCGGGACGATAACAGCGTGGAGCTGTCCCTGGGCGAGGGGAACCACAAGCTGATTCTGACGGCCAAGCCCTTCCGCATGGACTTGCTGGAAGGGCGGGAGCTGGTGCTGAGCGTCAACTCCCGGGGGCTGCTTGTCTTTGAGCACCTGCGGCAGCGGAAGGACTCGTGAGTACTGGGGCCGTCGGCACAGGGGAGAGGGAGGGGAATGCTGTTCCTGGCTTCTAGGCAGCTTCTGTCTTCCTCAAACGAAAAAGCTCAAGCAAACAAACAAGGGAAAGGGGATCTGTCAACGGACAAGATTGGGGTGTACCTGACAGGTGGGAGCCTGCTGCTTTCAAGTCTTCTAGGGAAAGCGGCTGACCTGGGGAAATGGGGTGTAGAAAGGAGAGGTCGACCTCCTCTTCCAATTCACATCCTTTCCCTCCCTATGGGTCTACCCTTCCCATTCCAGAAGGGGTTGGAAAAGATATTTGGTATGAGGCAGGAGTCCTGATTTGTGGAAAGCGGGGACGGCCTGTTTCATAGAATAATAATTTGTAGAGTTGGGCGGGACCCAAAGAGTCATTTAGTCCCAACCCTCTGCAATAACCCTTTTAGCTGCAGTCCGCACCCTTTTAGCTGCAGTCCGCTTTTTCCTCCAGCAGGAGCAAGGGGTGCTCCCAGTGAGCTATGTAAGTGCTTCACAGGTGTCTGTAAAAGGGGCCTGTGCCAGAAGCCTTTCTGGATGTGTTTTTAACCCTGCTTTCTCATTGGGAAGTGCCACCAGGCAAGACCTGGTAAGAAGATGGGGCTCTGTGGTGCTTTTCATCTCCAGCCTCCCACCAGCGGGGGTCACTGTAGTGATGTCTCAACCTCCATTCGGGGCTGGGCGAGCGAGCAAAGGCCTCTTTGTATGGGTTTCACACCCTCTCTTTGGGACACAAGGCCAGAAGTTTCTATCATCCAGGATGTTGGAGAAGAGGGAGGGGTATAGCTTAGGTCAGCCTTCCCGACCTGGTGCTCTCTGGGCGGTGCTGGACTATGGCTCCCACCAGGCACAGCCCAGTGGTCAGTGGTGATGGGAATTGTAGTCCAGCAACATCTGGGTGAGCTGTGCTGCAGTGAGATCCCGGAGGCTGAACTACTTCATCTCCAAGATCTCTTCCAGCCCTGTGATTCATTCTCTCGAGCGAGAGCATGTCACAAGCACATCTCTTCAAGCAGGGCTAGGAAACCTGCTTCCTCTGCTGTTGGGACTCCAGATCCCATCAGCCCCAGCTGGCCTGGCTGGGTCTGATGGGAACTGAAGTTCAAAGTGTCTGGAGGACACCAGGTTGGGGGAAGACTGTGCTAGGGAAAGCAGCAGGCTTTCTGTACAAGGGGTGGGAAGGGGGTCTCAGTTTACCCACCCTCCCCCCTTTTCCCTACCCTGCTCCCCAGCCCCGGTTGTCCTGGAGGGGAGAGCAGGGCCATTTTCAGGGGTGGTTGGGGGGCTGGCTGGAGGGATGTGTCTCTACGTCTCTGGGATTCCTTGCACTGACTCTCGTTGTGTTTTCTGTTTTTGTTGGTTTGTGCCTCCCCCTCCCGCTCGGCCCCCCCAGTTTCTCGGATAAAGTTAGTAGCACGGTCGTTAGCATTTGGGATAGGATCAAGAACCTTTTCTCTAGGTAAATCTGCAGCTTCTGCTACTGTTTCTAAAACCTTCCCCACCCACCCCTGCCGCCGCCTAGACAGTGGCTCTGCCATTCCCTGCCCACCTTTACCTGTGCCGTATTTGGGAATCCCTGTGGTTAGTTGCTGCCCTCTCAAATCCTTGAGGGGTGTGCGGCAGCCTTTAGCTTTGTTTCCAAGGTGTGCATGAACGCATTTGACTGTCCCGATTCCCACAAACCTTGCCTTGAGTAAGTTCATGAAGTTGAATTCATTGCAACTCATTGCAACTCAGTGCTGTGCTGGCAGCAGCCAAATCAAAGTGTCCTTGTTAAAAATAAAAGTAAAAAGTCTGGGTGTGATCTAGCCAGAGTTAAGTCGTTTTACTTTCAACATAGTAAAGTTGAAACCCAATGCTCAGGTTTATTCTGTTTTTCCTGAAGTTATATTATTATCATTGTTGTTACCACCCCATCAGTGTACATGGCATCTTAACAGCAGTACATAGGGAGGTGTGGGCAAGCTATGGCTTTCCAGATGTTGCTGAACTACAACTCCCATCATTACTGACTTGCTAGGGCTGATGGGAGTTGCAGTTGAGCAACATCTGGAAGGCCAAAGTCCCCCCACTCCTGACATAGGCAGCCTAAAATCTTTAGACAGTGGAGAATTACAGCAAAGGGTTTGGGCAAAATCCTGGGTTTTGGTTAGGAATGAGTTCTGGAAGGATGAGCCAATAGCCTTGGGGTGAATGGGATTTTGAACGGGATTTGAATAAAAAGGAAGAGGAAGCTGTCCTACCTCTAGCTCAGTATTGTCTACACCAGCTGGCAGCAATTCTCCAGGGTTTCAGGCAGGGGACATTCCCAGCCCTAACTGGAGATGCTGGGGACTGAACCTGGCACCTTCCGCATGCCAGGCAGATGCTCTGCCACTGAGCTATGGCCCTTGCTCACAAATACCCATGCTCAGAGAGATGAAGTTCTAGGCATAAAGGCATCAAAGCATGCTTCACTTTGATTGGATCATGTCCTTTTGTCCTTGCCGCCTATGATTTCTAACTCTGTCCCAGGGTGTTAAGTAATTTTCCCGACTCTTTCACACATTTTGTTTGCTTGCTCTTTAAGAAGAAACACAAAGGTAGTGTGCAAATGAGGCAAATAGATTACCAGATATGATACAAATGCATACCAAAGAAATATTGTGGCACCTTAAAGCAGGGGTGGAGAACATTAGTGGCCTTCCTAATGGTGCTGGACTACTACTCCCATTTCCCTCGATCATTGACCATGCTGACTGGGGGCTGGTGGGAGTTGGAGTCCAACAGCATCTGGAGGGCCACAGGTTGCCCACCCCTCCTTAAAGCCTTACGCCAGTGTTTCCCAAACCTGGGTCTCCAGTTGTTTTTGGCCTACAACTCCCATCACCCCTAGCTTTCAGGACCAGTGCTCAGGAATGATGGGGATTGTAGTTCAAAAACAGCTGGAGACCCAAGTTTGGGAATCGCTGGCTTACATGCTTATTGTGGCACAGTTTCATGTCTTGAGTCCGCAAAAACATCTGCCGTGATAAAAGCCTAATATTCAGAGATAAACGTGTCCCTAAATTCAGTGAAGTTTACTCCCAGGTAAGTGAGTATGGGATTGTAGCCTAAATTTATTAGTCTGTTGTTGAGACTCTAGCTCAGCTAGCATGGCCACCAATCAGGAATAATGGGAGTTGTAGTCCAGCAATCTCTGGAGGGAGCCTCATTGTCTGCCACTGCTTAAAGGTCCTGCAGTATTCTTCTCTTTGTACATCATGCAGTTAAAGGACTGTTTTAAGAGTGCCATAGCTGGTTGCCACGTCTTTAGAGTACGCTGGGTGGCAACGCTGGGCAGTGGTGGAGACCCTGTGGCCCTCCAGTTGTTGTTAGACTCCAACTCCCATCAGCCCTAGCCACCATGGCCAATTGTTAGGGATGCTGGGAGTTGTAGTTCAACAAATGTTCTCATGCTCCATCAGCCCCAGGCAGCATAGTCAATGGTCAGGGACGATGGGAGCTGTACTCTAGCAGCATTTGGTGGGCAAAAGGTTCCTCATGTCTGGTTTACTGCCATGTAATGTGTGGAGAAAGTATTGCGATTGTATCCGCAATTTGCAGGCTGTGATAAGCCTAAGAGACCAGCCTTGATGTCAGATCCAACTTTCTGATATGTTTCTTATGGTCTCGCAAAAAAAGCAAAGAAAACAAATGAAGTGAAATTCCCGAATGTTTGTCTTTTGAAGCAACGTGTGCCAGTGTAGGAGACCAAGACCCATTTTGCCACTCATTGTATATAATGCATTTCCAGTTGCAGAAATGTTGGACTTTTTATTGCCTCTTTTGGTTATTCTCCGTGCTGGTTGGTATCGGGAGGTTGCTGCTAATAGAAATTGTTTCATATTGGAGAGGGAGCTCACGCTTTTAAGTCCTTGCCAGAAGGACAATTCTGATGGGCGCTTGCTGCTGTCTCCTTTCTCTATTTCCGTGTAGACCATGTTTAGTCCTAGATGAGAGCTTGCGTACTTCCAAACCCATGGCCCTGCAGGATTTCCTTTAAACTCACACACTGTGCATCAGGGGTGTTATGTATGGCTTGGTGACAGCAATCCAATTCATGAGAAGAGTCTTCCTTAGATGTTTTTCTCCCTTAAAAAGTACATAGAGTTGAAACTGGAAGTTGGAAGAAAGAGGTCCTGTTTCAGCTCCATGTGCTTTTTTAAGTCTTAGATTAATTCTGCTATATGTGACTTTTACCCAGATCTCTTGGAAAAACAAGGTCCGTGCGTGTGTGCTTTTCTCTTTCTGTCTTGTGGGGGGCAGCGGGGAGAGATCCAGCTGAGGGGAGAGAGAAGTGGCCGGTGGAAGACCCTCACTCAAAATTCCAAATGTGCCCCCAGACATTAAAAAGTTGATGTGCCCCAGTCTGAGGGGAACCATTGGCCTTCTAGATGCTGCTGGACAACAAATCCCATCGTCCCTGACCATTGGACCACAGTGGGTGGGCCACAGATTCTCAAGCCTAAGTGAAGACCTACACACACACACACACACACACACACACACACACACGTAGCGCACAGTTCCACTCTCTCTGAGAAGTGAGTGTAGTTTTCCAAATTTTGTAGCACCTTGGAATGCATTCCATACTGCTTACCTGCCCAGGGGGACCCCTTGGCACATCTGCTGATGAACCCACATGCATTTCAGAGGATATCTGAGTGAGCAAGCGCTCTGATTGTTCAAGGAGCCAACTGTGCTTGTTTAGGGTGCCATCTTGTTTATGCGTTATCTAGCTGTTGCCCCACGCAAACCAAGTGTGCCGAGAACACATGCAGTATTCCTCTTCTCTGTTCTTTATGGGGTAAGGATAGTAATTCCTGGGGCAGCCGCTCCACTGTAAGACCTCTGAGGCCACAACCCCAGGCACACTTGCATCTTGAAGTGCAAACTCACTGAACACCACAGGGCTTGCTTCTGAACTGACATGCATTAGACCTGCCTGGTTTAGTTGTTTGGCCGTCTGGGTTTTCATCAGCTGCTTGTTAGATGTGCAGATGAAGAAATAACATTTCTAGTGAGAAAACCACCCTTGCAAATAAGCCTAGAGCAGGCGTAGGCAAACTCGGGGGCCCCCAGATGTTTTGGGACTACAACTCCCTTCATCCCTAGCTAACAGGACCAGTGGTCAGGGATGGTGGGAATTGTAGTTTCAAAACATCTGGAGGGCCGAGTTTGCCAGTGCCTGACCTAGAGGCACAACTGCAACACCCCCTTCTTCTTTAGGTGCAGGACGAAAAGTGGCCAGTCCAGAATGGGATTGGCAACCATTTCCAAGAGCCCAGTGGATTTGGAGCTGAGGGAACCAGAGCCTGGTTTGCACTGTCCTCTGCCCCACAGCTGCCCACACTTCCCCTTCCCCTGCTAACTGGCTGGGCTGTGAATTGGTGTGTGCTGTGCTGCTTGTAGTGGACTAATGGTTCCAGCATTTCATTTGGGCTAGGACAAAGTTGGGATTTTGGTTTCCTTTTCCTTTCAAGCTGCCTGGCTGGGGTCATGGGGTAGGTGGGGATTCTAGGGCTGAGCCTTCCTTTCTCCCCCTCCCTTTTTTTCTTCCAGAGAACCACCAAAGGAACCAGCGTCAGAAGGGGAGGGGGCTGCTGAAGCCTCGGATGCCCCTTCGTCAGCGGAACAGGAGTCTACAGAGAAAACCGAGCAGGTGAGCACAAGGTGGGAAAGGTGTTCACCTGCAGTAGCAGTGAGGAACCTATGGGCCTCCTGGTGATGGGGGGGGGGGTTCCAACACAAAGCCCCAGCAACCACGGCCAAAGGGTGATGGGAGCTGTGCTCACCGACATCAGATTCTTCACCCCTGCTCTGCAGGGAATAAGGGAGCTGAATTCTGAACCATAATGATCGTGAAGTGAACCACAGTCATGCCAAGCCATGGTTTTTAATGAAGTGAATGAGCCTCTTGGGCTCACTCACTCTTCCCCCAGCGCTGCTTGGAGGAAATCAGAAGCTTCCAGTTCCAGTTTTGCTTAACCACGGTTTGTTGGATTCCAAGACTGAGAAGCGGTTAACAATAACTGTGGTTTGCGTGTGAAGCACATCGACTTGAAATGGTGGCTTGGATTTCCTTTGTGTTGTTCTCGCAGGGTGAGGAAGCACCCAAAGGGGCTAGTGAGACAGAAGAAGAGCCAGGATCTTGGGAGGAAACATTCAAGACACACACAGACAGCAAGCCCAATGGTAAAGTCCTGTTAAGGAAGGCAATCCCAGAAACATTTTGTTACTGCCCACTTGGGTTAACGGACCATGGTTTCAGATCCTGGTTTAGTAGCCTCTTGCAAACCATGGTTTGTTGCCAGTGCTGCCAAACCCTGCTTTGGTATTGAAGTGTAAGACACCTTAATGCTGCTCCACTTGCCTTCTTCCTAGGCCCTCCTCTCTTTCTCACTCTCTCTCTCTCTTTCTGCAGGTCCAACATCCGTGGGGCTAGATTTTTCGTTCCCGGGTGTGGAGAACGTGTATGGGATCCCAGAACACGCAGACTACCTCCGGTTGCGAACCACTGAGTAAGCCTGGGGCCTGACAGTGTTAATAGCAATGGTGGTGGGATTCCCTGCACACGCCACCCCCCCCCGATGGAGCTTAAGCAGTTGCAGGAGGGTTATATATGTGTGCCCTAGAGATTGGGGGGGTTGATGGTGTGCTGATTTCCTAGGCACCCCAAATGGTGTCACGAGTATCAAGGAGGCAGCCGCTCCATTGGATTCTCCCTGCATTTTCCCCTACTGTTTCTAATTGCCAAATCCTTGGCAGGGGAGGGGACCCATACCGCCTCTATAACCTGGATGTCTTCCAATACGAACTTTATAACCCCATGGCTCTCTATGGCTCTGTTCCTGTCCTGCTGGCCCATAATCCCCAGCGCACTCTGGGCATCTTCTGGCTCAACGCGGCAGAGACTTGGGTGGACGTCACCTCCAATACAGCCGGCAAGGTACTGTTCCTCCAAGGGCGCGTCACCCCTTTTACTCCTTGTGTAAAACATGTTTTCATTCCTGTGTCGCAGGGAGTTGGACTAGATGACCCTCGCAGTACCTTCCAACTCTACAGTTCTATAATTCTAGGACAAGGAGATGGCTATATTTTTCCTCCACTGTGGCCGCAGTATTCCTCCAAATATCAATTGCTCGGAATCACAGATGGGGAGAGTTATTGTCACGCAGACTTGCAGGCTTCCCAGAGATCTACATCTGTTTGGCCACTATGAGAACAGGGATGCTGGACAAGATGGGCCTTTGGCCTGGTCCAGCAGGACTCCTCTTATGTCCTCCCTAGCTGAGACACATCGCACGCACCTGTATGAGACCCAAAGCAAATTGAGGTCTATTGACTTATTCCTCATCCAGCTATAATGCAAACTATAGACCACATCTGCACTATACATTCAAAGCACTGTGATACCCCTTTGACGGTCCCGGCTTCCCCCAAAGAACTGTAGTTTGCTAAGGGTGCCGAGAGTAGCTAGAAGACCCCTGTTCCCCTCACAGAGCTGTAGTGTAATTCCCAAAGTTCCCAGGGAAGATGGATTGATTGTTAAACCAATCTGGGAATTGTAGCTCTGTGAGGGGAATAGAAGTCTCCTAACAACTCTCTGCTCCCTTTACCAGTTCCCAGGATTATTTGGGGGAAGCCATAATGGTTAAAGTGGTATTGTAGTGCTTTGAATGACTAGTGCGGATGTGGCCATAGTTTCTTCTTCAGTTTCTTCTTCCATTATTAGTTGGTCTTTTCCACTTTGCTTCAGAACTGGCATCTCTATAGTGAGAGGAGCCTCTCCCAGTTTTAGTCCTGCTGGCTTCAAAGGAACTGAGCTGGCAGCTCTTAATCTATCACCCGTGCAATGTCCACAATAGCTAGCTACGACGGACATTTCATTTGCCTCCCTGCCCATGTGTATTTCGGTGGCAGCTGAAAAGGGGATGAAGCGCAACACCTTTGGCAATCTCTCCCCTGCTGCTGGTGGCTTGAAAGCGATCCTTATTGGAAGAGTGGCCATTTTGCATCCTTCAAAACAAAGAACTGAAATCTGTGTGTAAGCTCCCCTGGCAAAGTGCCTTTTATCAAGCACACACATACACACCCAATGCAAGCCATTCTGATTACCTACAATACTCGGATGTCAAGTGCACTTGGCTCTCCCAGACTCAGGAAGGAGGGGGCAGGCAGGTGGATGCCAGGGGCTGACCTGGTTCAGGTTGTCATGGCAAAGTGGCCTGCTGCACAAGAGGAAGACAAGGCATTGCATGAAAGCTTGTTCATGTAAAGCCAAACTATGGTTTGTTATTCCACCTGAGCTGATTGAATAGTTTGTCACCAGAGCCGTCTTTCCCATAGGGCTTAGTGGTGTGTTGCACCAGGGCGCCCGCCTCTTGGGCGCCCCAGCAAGTGGGGGAGCTGCGCAGCTTTGCCGGCAGCCTCCCCTTTCCCTGCACGCCCACCAGCTGTGCCCCACCAATCATAAGGCTGGCAGGCATGCAACTTCCCTCCCAAGCCTCTGCGAGAGGATCGCTCTCCTGTAGCAGCATGGGGGAGAGTTGCCCCCCCCCCCGGGCTTGCAGTGTGCAGCTAAGGCCTTCCGAACACTAGTCGTGGTAATTTGGGGGTGCTGGGCGGATATTTGTACCCCGGCGCCGCATCTGCTAAAGACGGCTCTGTATGTCACCCCCAAACCCTTTCACAGACTCTGTTTGGGAAGATGTTGGATTACATGCAAGGAGGAGGTGAGACTCCGCAGACGGATGTTCGCTGGATGTCTGAGAGCGGGATCATAGATGCGTTTCTCCTGCTGGGCCCTACGCCCAATGACATCTTCCGACAGTATGCATCCCTCACAGGTGAGTGGGACAGAGATTGTGTTTACTCTGCTTCTGGAGGAACCTGGCTTTAAACAATGGCAGAGATTATCTTTTTCCTTCTTTTCTTACCGTACTAGTCCTAAGGGTAGACTGAAGTCCATGGCCATGATGTAGTCCTTTAAAAAAAAATATTACTTTAAGCAAATAAATTTTGAGTTTATCCAATAAACAGAAGACCCCCAAACAGATATACAAGTATGTAAATATCATTAAGCTTCTGCTACAATCAAATGACTATTTTCATAAAGTTCCTAACAGTATATGTAGACTAGCATTCTCTTAACAAGGCTCCATTTTCCCCACAAAAAGCATGTCTGTCTCTCCTCTGTGACCCTTACTATATTTATTAATTTTATAATAACAATAATTTTATTACTTACACCTTGCCCATCCAGCTGGGTTTTTCCCAGCCAATCTGGGCAGCTTCCAGCACATAGAAAAACTTAATAAAATGCCAAACATTAAAAAATTCCCGATGCAATTCAACCATAGATGCAATATCCCAAACTTTACTGTTCTGTTCCTCCAAAGTAGGGGCTTTCATATTTTTTCCAAATGTAACGATTGTTCTGGCTGCAGTCAAGACTAGTTTTCTGTCCCTGAGTCCACTGCTTTCAAGGGGTTTGCTTTGAGTTAGACTTAGTTAGAGGCTCCAGGACAACATGGGCCCAGCAGTCTGACTTGCTTTAAGGCAGCATTTCTCTGGCCCACCCTCTGCGGGCATGAAGATGGGCAGGCGTCCTCGGCTGACCTTCCTTTCTCTCAGGAACCCAGGCCCTTCCTCCGCTCTTCGCCCTGGCCTATCACCAGAGCCGCTGGAACTACAACGACGAGGAGGACGTGAGCACAGTGGACAACGGCTTTGACGAGCACGACATTCCGTACGACGTCATCTGGCTGGACATTGAGCACGCTGACGGCAAGCGCTATTTCACCTGGGATCCCAACAAGTTCCCCCGCCCCCGGGAAATGCTTCAGGGCCTGGCAGCCAAGAGGCGCAAGGTGAGGTCCCTAGCTCTGGGACACAGGTGGCGCTGTGGATTTAACCACAGAGCCTAGGACTTGCCGATCAGAAGGTCGGCAGTTCGAATCCCCGAGACGGGGTGAGTTTCCCGTTGCTCGGTCCCTGCTCCTGCCCACCTAGCAGTTCGAAAGCATGTCAAAGTGCAAGTAGATAAATAGGTACCGCTCCAGTGGGAAGGTAAACAGCGTTTCCGTGCTCTGCTCTGGTTCGCCAGAAGCGGCTTAGTCATGCTGGCCACATGACCTGGAAGCTGTACGCTGGCTCCCTCGACCAATAAAGCGGGATGAGCGCCACAACCCCAGAGTCGGCCACCTGGACCTAATGGTCAGGGGTCCCTTTACCTTACCCTAGCTCTTAGGTTTCCCTGCAGGGACCTTGGAGCTTCCGCACACCCCACGATCATCTGACGTGTACCAGACATTAATGACATGTAACCATGGGCCTAGAGCCTGGGTGGGGAACCTCAGGCAACAATGCGGACCTCTATCTGGCCCCTGGGACTCACTCCCCAGGCCACACTCCTCAGTGACCCTGCTTTGCACTGCAGATATTTTCGTCTGGCTGGTATGTGGCCTGCAGCTCTGATCATCTTCTTCCTTCCCTGGATGGGGGATAGGGAGGGGTGCTTGAGTACTGTATGAACGTAAAATTAACATTTGTTGCTCTGCCCATTTTTGCATCTGATCTGGCCCTCCACTGGCATGTGGCCCTCAGAGGGTTACCTAGAAGGGAGTGCAGTCCTAGTGCTGAAAATGCTTCCCCACCTCTGCCTTGTTGTTGGCATCCATCTGTCCAGAGAGACAATGGAGTATGCCTCCAGGGGTGAATTCAAACTGCTGTGTTAGCAACTTAGAACTGACCTCCCTGGGGCACAAGCCTGGACAGGGTGTATGGAGGTCCTGGGCTGCCCAGAAGACAAGACTCTCCTCTTGGCTTCTCTGGTGTGGTCCAAAGGAAAGCAAAGCAATACACTTGGCTGCAGGAGTTGCTGGAGGGAGGCATACAAGATGTCATCCCACCATTTTAGGGACTCCACTCCGGATTTCCGTAGGGTTTACTCCTTAGCCGTTTCTTCTCCCAAAGATATCCTGCAAGGCAGCGGAGAATAAGGATCAGAGTTTTCCTTCTCCTAGATGGGCTACCTTCCCAGGTGGACAAGCCCCACCTGCCCCTCACTTCCCTCTGCAGCACATGCAGAAACCACCTTATTGACCATCGGACCCACTATTGGTATCACCTGCTCAATCCTCCGGAGCCTGTCTTTACCTGCAGGGGAAGTCCCTAGCTCACCCGAGGGTTTGAGACCCATCCAGCTTCAGTGCCCTGCATAGCAGTCTCCCCTGTCACTTGCAAACCCAGAATAAACGACGCAGAGGAAGACAAACAATTCAAATTTGGTCTTTCTCAAGGCAGGGGGCGGTGCTCAGCCCAACTACTTTCATCCCTGACCACTCTGGTTTTTCTCAACTCAGATGGTGAGCATTGTGGACCCGCACATCAAAGTGGACAGTGCTTATCGGATCCACAATGAGATTCGCTCCCGGGACTTTTATGTCAAGACGAAGGACGGCAGTGACTACGAGGGCTGGTGTTGGCCAGGTGAGGAAAGTGAATTCGGTTGATGAGGCAGGAGACTTGTTTTGCTGTGCTCCTGGCGTTTGGGGCCAGCACCGACTGGCAGTCATGTGGGTCGGCCCTCTTGAGTGGCAAACCCTTGAGTGCCATGAAAGGACAGAGGATTCTCAGCTTTCATTATACATTATAGCAGCCATCAGAATTTTCCATGGGAAAAGCTGCAAAGGCAATAGGAAATCAAATAAAGTAGGTTTACTTAAGGAAGCTGAGGGAACAACTAAGTATTGTAAAATGAACAGCTATGCTTAGAGACAAAGAAAGATTTAGAGAAGCTATAAATGGTTGGAGTTTAGTAACACAATATTTAAAGAAACCTAAAACTAGCAATCTCAGGAGAAGGAATACATCACAAGTGGCCCTCCTGATATTGCTGAACTACAACTCCCATCATCCCTCACAGTTTGCCACACTGGCTGGGGCTGATGGGAGCTGGATCCAAAACCTTCTACAGGGCAGGCACCACATTGACTACCCCTGGAATAGATTGTATGCATTTTTTAATATAACTTACACACACACACACACCGAAATGTGGGTGGATTATGGCCAATATTTAATTTTGTAAATACAGTGGTACCTTGGTACTCGAACGGCTTGGCTCCTGAACAAATCGGCTCCCAAACGCCACAAACCAAGAAGTAAGTGTTCCGGTTTGCGAACGTTTTTCGGAAGCCGAACGTCCAACGCGGCTTCCACTTTAGTGCAGGAAGCTCCTGCAGCCAATCAGAAGCCGCGCCTTGGTTTTCGAATGGTTTCGGGAGTTGAACCGACTCCCAGAATGGATTAAGTTCGAGAACCAAGGTGCCACTGTAACTGACTATTCAGTGGCAATTTTAATATATATATTTATACTATATAATATTTAAGCTGTTAAGTAAATCTTAGGAGAAAGCAAACCACTCAGAAATATGCATACATCTACCAACGGTTCTATAACAACAATTTTACTGATTTGTGTTTCTTAATATATTGTACTATATTATTTGTTTATAGTGCACCATACATACTGTTTATCATTAATTTTATATACTGCTTGACTATAGAAAACCTCAATGAAAGTGGTTTACAGAAAAGAATAAAGCAGCAAGATTCATAGTAAAAACAAAACATTTTTAAAAACCAGCAATAAACTAAAAACACATCATTTTATTCCGCTTTAAAAAAAAAGAACTATCATGTGTTGAATATTTGTTAAACCAAAATGGAAGGGTCTGGCCTAACTCTTTGCCTCCTTTTGCCCAGGCTCAGCAGGCTACCCGGATTTCACCAACCCAGAGATGCGTGCCTGGTGGTCCAGCATGTTTGGCTACGACCACTATGAGGTAGGCAGGTGGTTCACCTCTTTAGCCAGGGCCTTTTCAACTCTGGCTCCGGCCTGGTGGAACGCTCTGCCTCATGAGACCAGGGCCCTGCAGGATCTGATTTCTTTCCGCAGGGCCTGTAAGACGGAGTTGTTCCGCCTGGCCTTTGGCTTGGAGCCAATTTGATTCCCTCCCCCTCTTTCTTTTTTCTTTTCCTTTCTCCTCCTGCGATGAGGTTTCAGTATTTTAATGTTGTATTTTAATTTTGTTTTTAAGTTGTATTCATTCAGTTTGTTTTTATTATTGCTTGTTAGCCGCCCTGAGCCTGGCCTTGGCTGGGGAGGGCGGGGTATAAATAAATATTATTATTATTATTATTATTACAGTGGTGCCCCGCAAGGCGAATGCCTCGCAAGACGAAAAACTCGCTAGACGAAAGGGTTTTTCGTTTTTTGAGCTGCTTCGCAAGACGATTTTCCCTATGGGCTTGCTTCGCAAGACGGAAACGTCTTGCAAGTTTGTTTCCTTTTTCTTAACACTGTTAATACAGTTGCGACTTGACTTCGAGGAGCAACTCATACAACGCGGTGTGGTAGCCTTTTTTGAGGTTTTTAAAGATTTTGGTGATTTTTGAAGCTTTTCCAAAACTTTCCCAACACCGTGCTTCACAAGACGAAAAAAATCGCAAGACGACAAAACTCGCAGAACGAATTAATTTCGTCTTGCGAGGCACCACTGTATTAAGCAGGCTCAGGCTTCAGTTTTGGCGCAGATAGCCCTTCCTGGGCCCTCTCCGCCAATTGGCTTTCCCTCTCCTTCGGCTTCAGGGCTCCATGGAAAACCTCTACACCTGGAACGACATGAACGAGCCCTCCGTCTTCAACGGCCCCGAAGTGACGATGCACAAGGACGCTGTGCACCAAGGGGGCTGGGAGCACCGTGACATTCACAACCTGTATGCATTCTACGTGGTGAGCACTGCCTTCCTTTCCCACTCCCCCTTTCTGGGCCAAGAAAAGCTGAAGTCCACGACGTGACCGGTCTATTTGCAAATGAAACAGCTTTTGCTAGCTTGCTCCCCTCCAGGGTGGCTGGGGTTGATGGGAATTGTAGTCCAAAGCATCTGGAGGGAACCAGGTTGGTTTGGAACATGTCTCTCATGTGGTCTTCCAAGGAACTCAAGTGGGCTGGGAGGTAGATCAGGATCTGCAGGAAAGATCGCTGGAGGCTTGCGGACGTATTTCTTATTCCCATGGCCAGTGGTCAGGGTTGATGGGAATTGAAGTCTACCAGGCAGAGAGCCTTCTCGGTAGTGGCACCCGCCCTGTAGAATGCCCTCCCATCAGATGCGAATAAAGATCTATCTGACTTTTAGAAGACATCTGAAGGCAGCCCTGTTTAGGGAAGCTTTTAACATTTGATGAATCATTGTATTTTAATATTCTGCTGAAAGCCACCCAGAAACCCAGCTGGGAAACCCAGCCAGATGGGCGGAGTATGTATGTATGTATGTATGTACAGTGGTACCTCGCAAGACGAAAAACGCGCAAGACGAAAGAGTTTTTCGTTTTTTGAGTTGCTTCGCAAGATGAATTTCCCTATGGGCTTGCTTCGCAAGACGAAAAACGAAAACGTCTTGCAAGTTTGTTTCCTTTTTCTTAAAACCGTTAATACCCTATGGGAAACCGTGCTTCGCAAGACGAAAAATTCGCAAGACGAAAAAACTCGCAGAATGAATTAATTTCGTCTTGCGAGGCACCACTGTATGTATAAATAAATACATAAATAAATAAATAAATATCCTTATTATTAGGGTGGGTAGGGGGTGGCACAGGCTTCTCATCCCTGGATCAGTGTGGCGTAGTGATTAGAGTGTCAGACTTGGACCTGGGAGACCCCCTAATCCCAACTCAGCTTTGAAGCTCTTGGGCAACCTTGGGCCAGACACTGTCTCTCAACCTGACCTACCTCAGAGGGTGTTGTGAAGGCAAAATGGGGAGGAGAACCATGGATGCCACCTTGAGCTCCTAGGAGGATAGGTGGGATAGTGAATGAATGAATGAGGTCACCTAGTAAGCTTTGTGGCTGAGTGGGAGAGTCAATCTTAGGTGTCTCTGGTCTAAGTTCTAACTGCTAGAGCACATTTGAGGAAACTAAGCAGGCATGAATCTGATCAGTACTCTGGATGGGAGACAGACAAATCATAACTTCTAAAATTTGTGTTAAATTTAAGAGTTGGATAAATTATAACCAATTAGGTTGTTGCAGATATCTGATTGTTTTCTACATAAAAACGATTGATTACACTTCTGCACACTTTTGTTAGTCATGAGGAGGGGCAAGGCGGTGAGCCAAGCTTCTCAGATTTCAACAGCCCCGCGCAGGAATCCAAGCATGTATAGGCATGAGGGCTAGAAGCTTGCTTTATTTTATTTTATTTTGAAAATCCACGAAGCAGAATTCTGTGCCTAGAACCACATTCTGCGCTTGGTCCTGCGTTCCGTCAGAATCATAATATATATACATGTGCCATATTCTGTTTGATGAGGGCTGCAAGGTTTCTGGGCTTGGGTTTGGGTATTAAGTTTGATCACGGTTTGAAGTGTCCCCATAACCACTTCTTTTTTTCCCCACTGCCGGCAGCAAATGGCAACAGCGGAGGGGCAGGTGAAACGGTCGGGAGGCTTGGAGCGTCCGTTTGTGTTGACTCGCGGCTTCTTTGCGGGCTCACAACGCTACGGTTAGTGGTGCATGAGATGGGAGGAGGGAAGAGCCATTGCTCAGTGACAGGGCACCTGATTTGCATGCAGAAGGTCCCAGGTTCGATTCCCCGTGGCATCTCCAGGTTGGGCTGGGAAAGACTCCCCGCCTGAAACCCTGGAGAGCTGTTTCCAGCCATTGGAGACTGTCCCGAGCTACCTGGACTGATGGACTGGCCCTGTACAATATGGCTTACTGTGCAGCAGACCTGTAGGAAGAAAGGCGGGATATATTTGACAAATAAATAAGACAGAGAATCAGAGAACTGTAGAGTTGGAAGGGTCATCTGGTCCAACCCCCTCCAATGCAGGAATATTTTGCTTGAACTCACAACCCAGCTGTCAAGGTAGTTTAAAGAACATGGCACAACATTAAAATAAAAAAGAACCACTTTGCCATGTAAACTCTGCCACAGGTAAAGGTAAAGGGACCCCTGACCATTGGGTCCAGTCTTGGCCGACTCTGGGGTTGCGGCGCTCATCTCGCTTTATTGGCCGTGGGAGCCGGCGTACAGCTTCCAGGTCATGTGGCCAGCATGACTAAGCCGCTTCTGGCGAACCAGAACAGCACACGGAAACGCCGTTTACCTTCGCACTGGAGCGGTACCTATTTATCTACTTGCATTTTGACGTGCTTTCGAACTGCTAGGTTGGCAGGAGCAGGGACCGAGCAACGGGAGCTCACCCCGTCTCGGGGATTCGAACCGCCGACCTTCTGATCGGCAAGTCCTAGGCTCTGTGGTTTAACCCACAGCGCCACCCGCGTCCCAGCTGTCAAGGTAGTTTAAAGAACATGGCACAACATTAAAATAAAAAAGAACCCGTCTGCCATGTAAACTCTGCCGCAGAGGTTATACCAATTCAGTAAAGACTATTAAGCTGAAAGCTCCTTAAGGAGCCTGGGGTGTGTGTGGAGGGGGCAGGCATCCAGACTGTAGGCAGGCTTCCAAGGCAGGGCTGAGGACACCTTTGACCTTCCAAATGTCGTTGGACCCCAACTCCCATCAGCCCCTGCCAGTATGGCCTGCGGTGAGGGGTGATGCGAGTCCAGCAGGTTAGGGTCACAGGTTAGCCTCTTGTGCTCTAAAAGCTGTCATCAAGGACTCAACAAAGCCGGCCTTCCTGGGGAGGGAGTTTCAGAGCCTAGGTGAGGCCACAGGAAAGTGGCATGTTAAGAGATGATTTGTGCACAGGTTGTTCGCTATTGCACCTTCTTGTTGTCACCCTCTGCAGGGGCTGTGTGGACAGGTGACAACGCAGCAGAGTGGGACCACTTAAAGATCTCCATCCCCATGTGTCTAAGCCTGGCTCTTGTGGGCATCTCTTTCTGCGGAGGTAAACCCTACGGGGTTCAGATAACCTGTGTTGAACCCGTGGCTTAATAATAATAGTAATTGTTAATATGGCACTTCTGAATGCTACACATTTGACCTACTTACCATACAACACTAAACTGTGGTTTAATTCTTCATGGTTGAGCCTCCATAAGTCTGCGGGAAGCATCAGACTCCTTCACGCCCTTACACGGTGAGGAAGAGGACATACACCGAGTTAGAATCTCAGCTTGGTGTTGCATACAAACCGGGAGCCATGCTTTACAGGAAACAATGGTTAGTAGCTGAACAAGCCAAATGGTTTGCTGGAAACCGCGACCTGAAAATTGTACAAGCTACTAAGCTGAGCTTCATTAGAAGTGAAACTGAATTCAGCAGAAGTCATCTTTCCAGCTGCACAGAGGGGGGGGTCACATGAGGCCAACATGTGGTTCGCTGTCACGGGAGGCTCATCCATGCGCTTTAATGTTACTTGTGGACACAACCATTTCTTGAGATTCTTAAGACCAGGGGTGGGGAGCCCTCATGACTCTCCCCAGGCCACACCCCTTACTTTGCTTTGCATCCTGCTTGAGTTTTTGCTTTGGTCAGATGTGTCCAACTTGTGATAGGCTTCCAAGTTCCCCATCTCTGCCTTAACCATCCTGGCTCTTGTTGGCTTGTTAGAAGCAGAGTGCTGGACTACTTTGACCCTTGGTTCCAGCTGAACTGAGCTGCTCTTGGATTCTTAAAGGATACTAAAAGTCTCGATCTTTCTCCTGCCTTCCCTCCTCCAGCCGACGTGGGTGGCTTCTTCAAAAACCCCGAGCCGGAGCTGCTGGTGCGCTGGTACCAAGCGGGAGCCTACCAGCCCTTCTTCCGAGCGCATGCCCACATGGACACCACCCGCCGGGAGCCCTGGCTCTTTGGCGAAGAGAACAAGGCCCTGATCCGGGACGCTGTTCGCCAGCGCTATGCCCTCCTGCCCTTTTGGTACACCCTCTTCTACCACAGCTACCGTACTGGCCAGCCTGTCATGAGGTGAGCGACATGGTGTGAGGGGGTCTCTCCATTTTAGGAAAGGGTGACTTCAGCTACCTGCACGTAGACTGGCTATACAGGTAGGTGGTCCAGTCTCAGCAGAGGTGCTGTTACACAAAGCAGGGGCAGCAACCCTGAAAGCCCTGCTCCAGGTTACTAGCTGTGGAACAGCTGCTCCACCTCCAGAGACCTCTGCCTGAAAGGAATGAGAGCTTTGAGCAATGGAAAGCTGAAAGCAGACCTCATAAACGGCATGAAATTTAAACTGAGTGATGCCTGAAGCCCTAGATTCTTTTTCAGATTTCTAGCCAGCTGCAAACCAGGGTTTATCCGTTCACACATTGCACCAAACCAGTAGTTACGTTTCCTCAAGCCTGGCTTGGTGTGTGAAATCAACTGCTATGGCAGATGGTGCTTTCCCTACTGCTGTGTCTCTACTGCTATCACAACTCTGTTTTCCCCCTCCACAGACCTCTTTGGGTGGAATATCCCCAGGACGCTACAACATATGCCATTGATGACCAGTATCTGCTTGGTGAGTGTGGTGAATCCCAGGGTTGATTTTGCTTCACTTCCTGTTCTCTGGCAAGAATCTTTACATTTTAACGTCCAACAGCCATTTTGGTTCTTGAGCATTTCAACTGAGAAGTTAGGGGCACACTTCCTTGAGTTATCTTTTCTGTGATCACCAGGTTCTATACGTTTTTGTACCATGGGGATATTTGCAGGCTCTGCAAAGTTTTCTATATCCTAGCTGCTGCCAGCAGCCATCTTACCTATTCTTGAGATTATAAGCATTGACTTTTTCCAAGTTTTCACAATTGTTAGAATTGTGTTAATATATATTAAAAAATAATATAGTAAAGGCCAGCAGCTCAAAAAGGGGATTAGACAAAATATTGGAGGATAAGGCTGTCAGTGGCTCTATTTTGCCTGTAGTATCATAAGCAGAATACCAGTTGCTGTTTTGCTCAGGTCCTGCTTGTGGGCTTCTCTTTGGCATCTGGTGGGCCACTGTGGGAACAGAATAATGGACTAGATGGTCCTTTGATCTGATCCAACAGGTCTCCTCTAATGTTCCTAATTCAGAGGCAGATTACAAGAGGAGCAGTTAATGCAAGTTTCTAGATCTCATGCACTTAATCTGTTTTCTTCCCTTTGCAGGCGATGCCTTGCTGGTTCACCCAGTCACAGCACAGGGGGCCCGAGGCGTGCAGGTCTACTTGCCTGGCAAAGGAGAGGTAAGTGAGGCTGGCAGAGCAGAAATGAGGCGTGATGGGGTGGGAGAAGGAGAGTTGGCACTCCTTTGTCAGAGTGTATAGCATAGAGAGTGAGCAACTCTGGCAGTTCCTTGGCGTTACCTGTGTCCAGTGCTAAGGAAATGGAAGGCTGCGATACCCAGAGGGAGAAAGAGGAGACAGAGAAGGGGTGGCAAAGGGAGAGAGAAAGTAAAGGGGATGGCAGAGAGACAGACATAGGCAGAAGGGGTGGTCTTGCCCACTTTAGGCTCTAGACCTATCTACTTCTGGCATGGGGCCCCACATATTGACTATGAGGGGCTGCAGCCCCCAACAGAAGAAAGAACAAGATCGGCCAGCCCTGTTTTAAATTAACCCTGACGCTCCCCAGCACTCCCAGGATTCTGTTTGGAGTTTGGAGTGACAAGTCCTGTGGATGTCCATAGTCCTCTGTCAACCGTCCCTTATTTGGCGGGAAACGCCCTTATCCCACGCCGTGTCCCGCTGCTGTCCCTTATTGATGATGTCCCTTAAATTTCCCGGGTTTCAAAGGAAGCAGCTCCTCTCCCTCCCTCCCTGCCGGCCAGGGAGGAGGGAGGCTCCAACTGTGTTCTTGGCTGCGTTGCTCACCCAATAAGGAGTCTAAGAACGACTGGGGGGTGGAGCTTGCATGCCTTGTGCTGATCAAATCAGCCGCATTGCCTGAGGATTCGCCTTTGCTCAGCACTTCCCAGCGGAGAGGTGACGGTGGTTTTCCTTGCTGCATCCCCTTTGCCGGGTTGCTGCGCTGTGGGAACCACTGCTTGAGGCTTCGTTTGGCTGCTGGCTGGGCTTTCTGCCTTTGGCTCGGAGGGGCTCAGAAGTTGAACATACCTGTGCCTGGAAAATCCCTTATTTTGGCTGCTGATCCCTTATTTTCGAGGCTGCTGGTCCCTTATTTTCAAATCTGTAAGTTGACAGCTATGTCTCTAACGTGCCTTTTTCCACTATGCAGGTTTGGTATGATGTCCACACTCACCAGAAACTTCATGCGCCCCAAACCCATTATTTAGCTGTCACCATGAGCAGCGTAAGTCAAAAGGGGGGAGAGGGTTGATGGGGGGGCGGGGGGGTTCCTGGAGGGAGAAAGAGAACCAAGACAGGGCACGGAAGCCTTGCTTACCTGGCCACTGGAGGCTTTTGTCTCTCACCCCCCCCTTGGAACCACCACTTAGGATTGTATATTTGAATTCCGTTCATGAATCTCTTTCTACGAAACCTCTCGAAGCCATTAACAATAGTGGGTTGCCACAAGCTGTGTTGTACTCAGCGTAGACTCACTAAAATTAATGGACCTCAGTGAGTTTCCTCTGAGTAGGACTAGCATTGGCTTGCAACTCAGTAACACCAATATTTTTTAAAAAACAACAGCAACACCAGTTTTATATACAGTCGTACCTTGGAAGTTGAATGGAATCCGTTCCGGAAGTCCGTTCGACTTCCAAAACGTTCAGAAACCAAAGCACGGCTTCTGATTGGCTACAGGAGCTTCCAGCAGGAAGCCGCAGAAGCCCCGTCGGACATTTGGGTTCCAAGAACATTCGCAAACCGAAAGACTCACTTCCAGGTTTGAAGTGTTGTAAAAAAAAGCACCGAAAAGACAATAAAGACATTTCTATACCACCTTCTTTCAAAAGACCACACAGTGGTTTACAATATAGTAACATACATAGCATAATATCACTATGCTGCAAAAAATTAAACCAGGTGGATAGCAGTCAGTAGTACAGTACATAATAATTCCTAATACACAATACTGTACTTGTTTACACAGAATAGTATAGAATATATCATGAACAATGCAGAATAGTGTCAATACAGTAGCAAACTCTACAACTTAACCCCCTGATCCGCAACGCTTCTCTGCAGATTCCTGTGTACCAGCGTGGCGGCAGCATCGTGGCTCGGAAGGAGCGGGTCCGGCGATCTTCGGACTGCATGTACAATGACCCTTACACCCTCTACGTGGCCCTGGGCCCCCAGGTGAGGTGGGAAGGAGCAAAGAGGGACAGGGCTGTGGGAGAGATGCTCTACAACAGGCTTTCCCAAACTTGGGTCTGCAGTTGTTTTTGGACTACAACTCCCATCATCCCTAGCTAGCAGGTCCTCGCTTCATCTCCTCCTTGTGAATTTCTGCCTAGCTGGGATGCATCCTTGAACTCTCATTTTCCTGGAAGGAGGAAGGGAGCAGTGTGTGTAGGGAACTAGTCTAAAGTGCTATGCTTTACCATCTTTGCCTCTGGCTCCACCCACCACTGGTATGTGGCGCTCGGAAGGGAACGGGGCTACTCAGACTGCAGAGGTTTACCCATCTCCTAAACCCATTCCACACCACTGCCCTGATGGGGAGAGAATGAAAAATCTGGGAGAGTGGCAGCAGCAATGAAGAGGAAGAGGCTGCACATAGTGTGTCTTGACCATGGTAGCGCCACTCTCTCCCAGAACCCACCTGGTGCAGGATTTAACTAGCAGGACCTCCTCGCTTTCTGTGTCAACACACACCCCCACTCCTCTTTACAGGGCACAGCAGAAGGAGAGCTTTTCGTTGACGACGGGCACACATTCAGCTTCGAGACAAAGGGGCAGTACCTCCATCGCCGCTTCAGTTTCTCCGGCAACACGTTGACGGCAAGGTACTGGGCCTCCCTCCTCTTTCCCACAAAATCCCCACCCCAGACCATCTATCCTGCCTGGTTGGTGCTGCTACTTCTGACTGAGGTGGTCGGCCTGTGATTGCACTTCAGATTGCAGGTGGGGCAGTTTCAGGATTAAAGGCTCCTCTCCCCACTCATGGAAAGTTAACGTGCCAGGGAAGAGCAGTCCTACCCAGCCTTGACATGCTAGGTTTCTACAGGCAAGGATTTTTTTTCCTGTAACTGGTGGCCATTCAACCATCAACACCCCCACTTAAAGTTTGGAACAGTACAGCCCAGACGTCATGGGTCTGACCACCTCTGTAATACAAAGACCAGAATTGCCTATTTTAATGTAGTTTCAGAATTATTTATTTAATTGATGCTTCTGGGACGGTTATTTGCTGATGCTGTTTTTGATAATGTTTTATTTGCGGCGGTTGTTTCAGCATGTTAATGTCGTCATTTTGTTAGTCGGCTGTGTAAATCTTGTATTACTTTATTGTAACCTGCCTTGCTTTATTGTAAGTTGGGTGTTATGTTTTGGGGGTGGGATTTAGGTGCCGTCGTTGTTGCCTTTTAAGTAGAGTTTGAGACTACAGTATCACTTCCCCGCCCTCTAACCCCGCTTTCCCTGCCTTTGTTTTCTCCTATCCCCCAGCTCCGCAGACCCGAAGGGCAGCTTTGAAACTCCGGCCTGGATTGAACGGGTGGTGATCCTGGGAGCCGGGAAGCCAGCGGCAGTGTTCCTCAAACAGAAAGGTGAGTGATTGGAAAGGTCCTGGGCTCCATCCACTGGCATTTCCATGTTTTTTTTTTGAGGACGGTAGCTGAGTGGAAGAACACGTTTAACATGGAGAAGGCCCAGGCTCGGTCCTGGGTCCCTCCATTTATAGAAGGAAGTAGGAATCCAGGTGATGAGGGAAGACTCCCCTCTGCCTTAGGCACCTGGGCAGGATAGACAAATTGTGCCTCATTTCAGTAAGCTGAAGTATGGTCATTTGAGCTGGGTCATAGTGGGGTTTTCTTTGGAGGAAAAGGAGGGGGCCAACATCTGCTGGCTGAAGTTGTTGTGGCAGGCAGTGAATACCCCCCAACAGCAAAAAAAAAATATTAAAAAAATTGCTTCCCCCTGCTATCCATAAAACTTGAGCAACGGTTTCCTATGAACTGAACTGCTGTGTTTTGTCTGTGTGCACTGTGAGAATTTTGGGAATGGGAAAAGCGGTGTATTAATTTTAATCTAATCTACGGAACACTTTCAGCTAAGATTTACAGCAATGGGGGATCTTTGGCCCTCCAGATGTTGCTGGACTACAACTCCCAGAATCCCTGATCATTGGCCCTGTTGGGTGAGGCTGATGGGAGCTGTAGTTCAGCAACACCTGGAGGGTCACAAGTTCCCCACCCTTGAGCTAAATCTGACTTTAAACTGTTCTCTATTGGGAAAGGACGGTACTTCTTTTTCTCAGCTGTGCTCACCTCATCTCTCTCTCTCTCTCTCCCCCCGCCCCCAATCCTAAAAGATGTTGCAGAATCTCGCCTGGATTTCACACACGAGGCTGAAACGTCTGTCTTAACCATCCGGAAACCTGCAGTCAACATTGGGGCAGACTGGAGCATTTCCCTGCGATAATGCCACGAGGCTGGGTGGGAGGGCGGGTGGGCAGAGGGGTTCAGCTGGACAAGAGGGCTAAGGAAACACTCAAGCAGTGTTGGGGAGTTCTGTGGTGCCTCCCCTTTCGCGGTCATGTGGGAAGGGAAGGCTAGGTGCTCCCCACCCTGCAGGGGCTCAAGTCCAACATCCTGTACCACTCAGGCATGTCTTGGGAGGGGGCGGTGGCGACGATCGCTTCGACCCCTTCCCCTCCAATCCTGGCTTGGACTCTTTCTTTCCCCCTGCGTGTGGTTCCATAGATTAACTTTAGCAATATTTGCTGTAGAATGAAGAATCTCTGGGTTGGAGTTGGTTGAGACTCTTGTTTCCCCTCTGCCGGGAGTGGTGGCGGCTAAGAAAGATCCCTTCCCTTCCCACGCCACCCCACTCCCTGGAGTTGCAATATTGGGACCAACCATTTTGAGGGGCTGGGCCTTTCCAGAGGGGAGGGATAATTGATTTGGTCTCCTCCGTTTCCTATCCATCTCCACTTCCCTCTTCATCTCTCTCCTGCCCAACCAATTCCTGGCTCCAGTGACTGACCACAAAACGAGTGACCTTGGCAGGGGTTGCCTTTTAACCTTTTCCTTGCCAACAGGTGAATGTATGGAGAACTCCCTCTTTCGTTGTCCCCTGCCCCATGTCACCACTCGCCATAAACAACAGGGCAACATGTACAGCTAGCTCACTTGTGGGGAACCTTTGGCCCTTGAGACATTGCTGAACTACAGTTCCCATCATCCCTGGTCATTGGTCATGCTATGGTTGATGGAAGTTGTAGTTCAGCAGCATCAGATTCCCCACACCTGAACTAGATCGTGGCCATTCTCTCCCCACGCTCTCTTTTACCCACCAGTCCCAATACTTTCTTATTTCTCCCCCCCCCCCCAAAAAAAATAATCCTTAGTACTGTGAGAAGGGATTTCTATTTCTTCCCGGAGTGGGGATGGGGGTTATCTTGGTGTCAGTGAATCACTGGCACTTCTATTTATATAATTTCTTGGGGGAGGGTAGATGAGACAGATCATGTGAAGGGAAAGGGGAGGCATGGTGCGGTTTGGTTAGAAAACCAGGTCCTGGGTTATGAGAGCAAGCCAAAGTGAATGTGGAGCGGGGGGGAGGGGTTTGTCCTGCACAGAGATCTGGAAAGGAAAAAACAAGAGTGGCAGGTGGGCGGGGAAAGAAGCTGCTAAGAAATCAGGCCCCTTTCCTGCCAGAAAGTGAGGAGAGGGGCCCATCCTCCTTGGGGTGGAGTAGGACGGGCAGGATTTTTTCTTTTTTTACTCTTCTCGCTATGCCTTCCATCTCTCCCGCTCCTGCTTCCAGCTATCACTGCTCCTGCCCCCTCTCAGGCTAGGCTGCCTGGCTTGCGTTTGGCCTTGGCCGTCTTGTGTGTGTACGTGGATTAACATTCCTGGTCCTGGCTGGTTCTCCCTCGTGCATTTGCAGGCAAAAGGCCCAGAGCGAGTCTTTTTTCTTTTCTTTTTAAAAAAATGGTCAAAATCCCTTCTTTAACACACACACACTTCCTCTCCTCCCATGCTTTCTTGATTGTGATTTCATCTGCAGGTATAAAGCTTTCACTGACTGGGTGTTTTGATAAAAGATGGACAATAAAAAAACCATTAAAAAGAAGCATTTTGGTTTTTTCTTCTTTTGATAGCTGCCATAGATTACGCATGACAATGTCAGACGCCTCTGTTTTGCTGCATGGATGCATAGTGCATTCGAATCAGGAGACCATGAAAGCAAAGAAAAAGAGGCAAGCCTCATAATAGTAGCACATATAAAACACTTAAAAAAAGGAATACAGTGGTACCTCGGGTTAAGTACTTAATTCGTTCTGGAGGTCTGTTCTTAACCTGAAACTGTTCTTAACCTGAAGCACCACTTTAGCTAATGGGGCCTTCTGCTGCCGCTGCGCCGCTGCTGCACAATTTCTGTTCTCATCCTGAAGCAAAGTTCTTAACCTGAAGCACTATTTCTGGGTTAGCGGAGTCTGTAACCTGAAGCATATGTAACCCGAGGTACCACTGCATTGAGCTGTGTTTGGATTTCCTCCCCTTTTTGAGGGTGGTGGCCAGGAAACTCTGGCCATTTGGACCAGTTTCTTATAGCAGGGAAGGAAACATGGTGCACTTTCAAATGCTATTAGACTCCCAGCTCCCATAATTCCTGGTGCCTAGGAAGCTGCCCTCTCATCCAGACCATTTTGGACCATCTAGCTCAGTATTGCATATCCTGGCTTTCAGCAGGGTCTCTCCTAGCCATGCCTGGAGATGCCAGAGATTGAACCTGGAACCTTCTGCATTCAAGGCAGATTCTCTGTCACTGAGCTACATCTCTTCTGTTCACCATGCTAGGTGGGGCTGATGGGAGTGGAGTCCAGCATGTAGAGGCTCACATGTTCCCTGCCTAAGATAAGTTAAAGCTATCGTTTTCCCAGTAGTGATGTATGGAAGTGAGAGCTGGACCATAAAGAAGGCTGATCGTCCAAGAATTGATGCTTTTGAATTCTGGTGCTGGAGGAGACTCTTGAGAGTCCCATGGACTGCAAGAAGATCAAACCTCTCCATTCTGAAGGAAATCAGCCCTGAGTGCTCACTGGAAGGACAGATCCTGAAGCTGAGGCTCCAATACTTTGGCCACCTCATGAGAAGAGAAGACTCCCTGGAAAAGACCCTGATGTTGGGAAAGATTGAGGGCACAAGAAGAAGGGGATGACAGAGGATGAGATGGTTGGACAGTGTTCTCGAAGCTACCAGCATGAGTTTGACCAAACTGCGGGAGGCAGTGGAAGACAGGAGTGCCTGGCGTGCTCTAGTCCATGGGGTCACAAAGATTCGGACACGACTAAACAACAACAATGGCTACAATTCTCTCCCATAGAACCTTTATTGTTTTCTCTGTTGAATTTGCATGGGCAAAGTCTGCACCCAGTGGTCATCCACCTTTACATAATCCATATTGGGTCTCCCCATAACTACATGACAATAAAACGCCTTATGTCAAAAGCTTATGTAGTGTAGCGGTTAGATTGTCAGACTACGACTGGAGAGACCAGGGTTCAAATCACCAGTTGGTCAGGGAGCTCTCGCTTGGTGGCCTTGGGCCAGTCACAGCCTCTCAACCATAACTTACTTCATAGGGCAGTTGTGGGGATTAAATAAGTAGGGGGGGGGGGAATCCTGTATGCTACTTTGAGCTCCTTGGAGAGTGGGGTATAAATGTATGAATGGGAAAGAAAAAAGGAATAAGAAAGTGAGTTTGATCTGAGGAAGTGTTACCTGGTCCACAAATGTAACACCATAATAAATTTGCTAAATCTTTAAGGTGCAAGACCTTTTGTGCTGTTTTTACTGCAACAGATTTAAGCATGGCACCTCTCCCTCCCCCCCCCCAACAAGGACACTGGTTTGCATAAAAATGGCCAATTTAGATAAACATTTTGCTCTAATTTAAATAGAAATGCATGGGGAGCAAGACTCTGCTGTAAACAAAATCTGCCCTTATGGGGTATACAAGAGCCCTTTATAGAGTCCTTTGTAGGTTCTCCATCGGTAGGAGAAATAGAGGCCAACCAGAGAATATTGAGAAGCAAAGCAGCTAGTAAGCTTCATTTTTATTAAAGCTGTTGCAACAGGGTGCTCCCCTCACACACACGAGAGAGGAGGACCCAGAACCAAGGTGTGCCTGCCCTTAAAAAAGACATTTTAAATTCCCTGCCCTGGAGCTCAAGACCACCCCCCACAAACATCATACCTACATCACAGAAAAGGCGGTCTACAACAGAAATTTGAATATTTTTGTTTTTCCTGTCTGCCAGATTATCTGATAATGCCTTATCTGATTGCCTTTCCTGGTAGTCTGGCCATTGCTTTGAGATGGTGATTACCCAATTCCTGAGACAATGGGAAGGTTCCCTCACCCCCTCCCTCCTTGCAGAGAAAACATTTGGTTAGTTTGAGAGTCAAAATCATAGATGTCAACTTTTCCCTTTTCTTGTGAGGAATCCTATTCGGAATAAGGGAATTTCCCTTAAAAAAAGGAAAATGTTGACAGCTATGGTCAAAATGGTTTCAGGACAGTCTTCCTGTGCTGCTCCAGACATGTGGTCCACATATCTATGAACATGCTTGGTTGGTACATTTTTGAGCATTTATTATATATATAAGACCTTACATTTTTTATTCCACTGTGACCAGGTGACTTCTGTGCCTGCTCCACCCACTGTCCCAAGTAGGGGTGCTAACTAGATGCACAAGTTCAAGTCCTCTCCCTTCATAGGGTGAATTCTCTTTAATCTGGATTTGGATCACATCCACACTATATATTTAAAGGTGCTGGGAGTTGAAGCTCTGCGAGGGGTCCATTGTCCTCTTGACAGCCCTTCAAACAGAGGACCGTCCTCTGCAAAGTAAGACGCGCGGTCACCCTGTCTGGAAACGAAACAGCTAAAAGCGCAGCAGAAGAGAACAAAACGGAGTGCAGTTGAACCTAGGGAAAACATTTCAACGTATTTCAACATTTCAGAAGAAAAGGCATGAAGCAATCAGGCGGCGGGCGGAACGGGCAAGACGGGGAATAGCTGCGCCGGGGGACCCTATACGAGAAGGGACCTCCGAAGGACGGTAAAAGCGGCTGGACCGGAAGTGCTGTGTTGGCCGGCGCGGGGGACTCCGTGGGGACCCCGGATACGATGAAGGGGGCTTTGAGCAGCTGAGGATCCTAGTCCCCCTGACCCTTCTCCCTCCTTCGCCTCGGCTGGCAGTAACAGAAGCGTGGTGAGCCCCGGCCTTTGCTCCGTCGCCATAGCAACGGTGTCACACCGTCTCCCTTCCCATGCCAGGAGAGAGGAGACGGGGGGTGGGGGCGTCGGCGTGGGGTTGCTGCTGCGCTCCTAGGAGAAGATGGAGAGGCTCTGCTTCAAGGGGTGCCCGGAGCCTCCATGATGCTGCAGTGCTGAAGGTTGCCCAGTAACTGCAAGGGGAAGGGGAGGGGCTTTAGCATGGAAAGAGGGAGAGAGCTCTCACCAGGGCTTCGGAGTTCCTAAAATAAGAGGTTGCAGGGGCTTAGGAGTGCTTGCATCCCACAAGCCAGCAAGCCCTTGCTCTCTCGTCCTAGGAGTGCGCGTGATAGAGACGTAAAGGCACTCTGTATGTGCTCAGATGCCATCTCTGCAACTCCAGAGGCATTTACGTAGCTTGCAGGCTTGTCGTTGGCCAGATGGTTTCCTGGTAAAGGTTTGGGCAACATTTCCTCCCTACAGAGATGGGAAACACATTAAGAGACTGTCATGGGATTTGATGGATTCTTGAATGCTCTTAGGGATATTTGGACAGTTAGACAGAGCTGGCAACCCTGGTCTCTGAAGAATGATGAGATGTGAGGGTCCAGACACGATCGCTCCTGATGCTGTAGAGCCCACACTGCTCCTTGTTATTCCCAGGAGCTGTAGGCAGTGAAACAGGCAGGGAATCAGGCTGCTGAGATAGGTTTGCTAGGCACTTTGAGGATAAGAACTACACTTTGGAACTCCCTGCCCCTTGATATTAAGCAGGCACCTTCACTGTACTGCTTTTGGCACCTGCTAAAATCTTTTTTGTTTAAGCAAGCCTATGCAGACATGTTAATCTGGGATGCATATCCAGACATAATTTTATTTTATAAAGTATGTATTTTTTTAATTGCTGCTTTTCTTTTGAAAATATATTAGGCTAACTTGTTTTTATCATCAGATTCTATGGATAATTTAATGTGTATTTTGAGTTGTATCCAACAATGTTTTACTCACAGTAGACCTACTAAAACCAACAGTTTTTAGTTTCATTAATTTCAGTGGGCCTACTCTGAGCAGGACTAACACTGTATGCAACCCTTTATATTTTATGTAAACTGCTTAGAGGTTTTCATGGTTAAGTGATATTTTTAAAAAATCTTGTTAACTTTTTTTTAAAAAAATCTCTTGTTTTTGCATTACTTAGATGGCATGGTTATGACAAGTCCAGTTGAAGTGCCCAGTGCACTGTCTAGTCTGGCTTTATGGGATCAGGTTCAGCTTTTGAGGCCTGAGGATGTGGACAAAGTACATTGAATCATTTGGCTAAACACATGCCCTTTCGATCCTTGTTTGTTGTGGTTTCCTTGAGCTGGCCAGAGAGGGTTGACCAGGTGAGTCCAGAGTGTGGTAAGTGCATTATTGTGTGACAGTGCCTACTGTTTTAAAAAGGTGGTCTGCTGCTTTCTGACAATTACCTCCTGGTTGCAAATACGCCCCTCCTCAGCAAGGGGCTCAAGAGGGTAGTGGTGACCCACCTTTGAGAAAACTATCTCGATATACAGTGGTACCTCAGGTTACATACGCTTCAGGTTACATACGCTTCAGGTTACAGCCTCCGCTAACCCAGAAATATTACCTCGGGTTAAGAACTTTGCTTCAGGATAAGAACAGAAATTGTGCTCCGGCGACGGCAATGGGAGTCCCCAGTAGCTAAAGTGGTGCTTCAGGTTAAGAACAGTTTCAGGTTAAGAACGGACCTCTGGAATGAATTAAGTACTTAACCTGAGGTACCACTGTATTTCTCTCTAGGTTTAGACCGGGTTTTAGTACTGAATAAACCTTGGTTGAGGGGCAAGGGGAGTGTGACCACGTTACTCTTGCCTAATCTCTTTGTCCTGTGAGTTTTGCAGTACAATTTTATAGTGGTTCCAATCCTACTTACAGGACCAGTTTAAGAGAGTGGCATTGGGTGACTATGAGTTGCCTCCAACTCAGTTGAGCTCAGAGTAGATGCACTGAAATTAATGAACCTACCATGCCCATTCATTTCAGTAGGTTCACTCTGAGTAGGAACACTACCTCTAACCCTACATCTCGGCCCCCTGGCAATTATGCCACAGAGTGCTACATGTTAGCATCTGGTTCCCACTTCTGGTTGCTATCTATATGAAGCCATTGGGAGCAGCCGTTTGGGGATTTGGAACACAGTGCCATCAACACGCTAGTGACACCCAGCTCTATTTTTCTGCTACATTGGAGTCAGGTGAGGCTGTACAAGTCCAGAACCAGTGCCTGGAAGCGGTGACTGGCTGGATAAGGGCCAGTAAGCTGAAACTGAATCCAAACAAGACAGAAATCTTGTGTGTCAGCGGTTTACAGCTCTAGGAATTGGAATGTCTGCCTGTTCTGGACAGGGTAGCACTCTCCCAAAAGAAACATGTTCATCATCTGTGTGTATTCCCTGGAGTTGTTTTTGTCGCTGGAGCGCATGTGGCTTCAGTGCCTGTGAGTGTCTTTTTGTGTCTGCTTTGGTTGGAGTGCCAGTAATAACCATTCCTGGTCTGGTATAGCCTTACTACCTTGTTGTACACATCGGTAGCCTCAAGTCTTGATTGCTGTAATGCGCTCAACGTGGGGCTGCCCTGGAAGCTGCAACTAGTGTAGAATGCAGCAGCGTCCTTCTGTGTACATGTTTACACCACCAATTTAACTGTCATGAAGAATCCTGCAGTGTGTTAAGGGTGCTGGAAACTGTAACTCTGTGATGTCAGCACCGTTAGCAAATTACAGTACTGAGGATTCTTTGGGGGAAGCCCTGACTATTAAAGTGGCATAAGAGTGCTTTAAATGTATGGTGTGGGTGGTATCTTAATTTTTCCCTACAGAGCCGTGTGTTGATCTTTGTTTGGTGCTCATCTCTGCAGGCCCTGCCATGAAGGTGAAATTAAAAAACGTGTTTGTCATCTATTTCCTGGTGTCGGTGATCGGCCTGATGTATGCACTACTGCAACTGGGTGAGTAGCAAAGGAGGGATGGAGGTATCCTGCTGTTATTATTTAATGGACTTTCCAATATCTATTAGCAGGCAATACCTTTATTTAGGACCAATCAAATTATGAGCAAACTTTTGAATTCTCAGAACTCTTCTATTAGGCTAGATATTTAGCAATGCTGGGTAAACAATACCTGACTCGATGTTAAAACAGCAAAGTCTGTATTCAATCATAGTCTTATGATGGCCTTCAGGAGGATATAGAAAATTTGACAATGCTCTACTGCAGAGAGGTATACCCTTCTGGGCCCTCCAGATACTGCTGGACTCCCAACTTTACACATCTGGAAGTGCATTTGATATGTGATCCCTGATTGGTTGGGACATGTGTCTAGGATAGGGTAGGTAATCTCCAGGTGCTGCTGAACTACAACTCCCATCATCCCTGACCATTGGCCATGCTGTCGAGCTCATGGGAGTTAAAGTCCAATATTATCATCTGGAGAGCCACAGGTCCCCCACTTCTGATTTAGAATGGAACCCGTTGCCGCCACCCTACCTTACATTGTTCAGGGCTATATCCACACCATACGGTTTCCTTCCCCTTCTTCTCCTGGGAACTTGTTAAGGATTCTGGGAATTGTAGCTCTGTGAGGGGCTATTTACAGTTCCCAGAATTCTTATACATACTGTATTGGCCTGAATATAAGCCGCACCCGCAAATAAGCCGCACCTTTAAAATTCAAGGGGAAAAAAGAAAAAATACAATACCCAAATATAAGCCGCTCCCTTAAAATTGGGTTACAGGCTGAAAATCGCTGTGGTTGGTAGAATTGTAACTCCGAGCCAATTTAAGCCTTTGATCTTGCAAGCCCGCAAAAGTTACCGTACAACTGCAAATCGCTATTCAATTGCTACAATTCTGCAGGCACTCACACCCGTAAATGGCAAATGAACAGTCTTAAGCTCGCAAATCGGCAATAAAACATTTTATTGTTCCGTTTTACTATATTTCTGTTTCAGCAGCGATATCGTAAAAGCCCATTTTTGTAAGGTCGCGAATTTAAGCCGCACTTTAACTTTTGACGGTTGGAATTTGAGGGGGAAAGTGAGGCTTATATTCAGGCCAATACAGTGTGTGTATATATATGAATATTATTGCAGCAGTTGTGTGCTGATGTTCCTCCCTCTGGCCTCAGGACAGCCCTGCGACTGCACCCAGCACCTGAAGTCAGCCAGCGACCTCATCCACGCCAAGGAGAAAAAGCTGTCTCAGCTGCAGAATGAGCTGAAGAGGCTCCAGGGGCGGGAAAAAGTCCCAGAGCCAGCAGAACAAGCCTTGCCGGTCATTTATGCCGTCACGCCCACCTACGCTAGGTAAGGTGCCAGATCCTTGGGGGTAGGGGCAGTGTCGGTTCTGGGTCATAGTTCAGCAGCTGAGGGCATGACTTGCATGAAGAAGTATCCTGGGAAGGAAGGACTGTGAGAGAGGTGCTGCTGATCAGAGGAGACTCAGGGGCATAGGAAACTGCCTTAGAGTGAGCCAGACCCTCTGGTCCCATCTAGCTCAGCATTGTCTACACTTCGACTGACAGCGACTGCAGGCTTTCATACAGGAGTCTATGTCTAGCCCTGCCTGTAGAAGCTGAGGTTGAACTTGGGACCTTCTGTACGTAAAACAGATGCTCTAACACTGAGGTAGAGCTCTTCCCTTAAGACACGGGAAGCTACTGTTAGAATTCCTGCTTCATGATTGCAGTCATGGGATTGTTGTCTATCACATGACGGTATATGTTTTGACTCCACAGAGTGGGAAGTGACGGAGACAGGATATTTGTGTTACTGTGTTCCATGAGGTGGGACTATTGTCCTTTGTTCTTTCTCTTTGCTGTCTAATGCTAGAGAGAGAGGGAGCCATGTTGCAGTGATCCGTGTGTGTTTATATGTAAATACAGTAGATTAGCCAAAATGCTGAGTTGCTGAGGTCTGTCACGCGAACTGCGCAGACTCTGTGGATCCCTGAGTGTGCCGATGTCTGTGGGCATTGGTCGCTGTGATGTTTGGGCAGAAGAAAGCTTTTGAAACTCCTGAACGAATGACCAGGAGGGAGAGAACATATGTCTCTGACAGGGTCCTACTCGTGTGTAGGACGAGCTCCTGACAGCTACCATATACCAAGTCAGACCACTGGTTCATCCATCTCTATGTGGCAGATGATCTCCTGGCTTTCAGGCAGGGGTCTCTCCCAGCCTTGCCTGGAGATGCTGGAGATCAAACCAGCAACCTTTAGCAGGCAGGGCAGGGGCTCTACAACTGAGTTAGGGCCTTTCCCCTAAAAATAAACAGAGGTTCCCATCTTTGTGGTTCTGAATAGCAGTCTGATTTAAATAGGACCATATCCAATAAGCTTATTGTGCTGTCCAAAGCCCATGGTAATTACATTATAATGTACCAAAATACATATGTAGTGATAATAGAAGATTCCTGTGTTGCAGGGGGTTGGACCAAATGGTCCTTGTCGCCCCCTCCAACTCTATGGCTTTATGAAACAAATAAATAACAAACATTGATAGTATAAAGAAAAGAAGAATCAGAAATACCACCAGCTAACCCAACTTCAGATTAAACCTCCCAGTCTCCAAAACAATTTATAGCAACCTTATCTAATTCTCCCTTTCTAATCCAAAAGCCACTTTATGTGTCCCAAAGCAGTTAGTGTCGCTCCAAATAAACTGAGCCGTTTCTTCCAGAAATCTTTCTTTGATCACTGTATAAAGGACAGATGAATAGATAGCGAATAACGTCTTCCACCAGATCTTGGCCACAAACACAGAATCTGTGAAATAGAAACCTAAGAGGCTGCCTTATACAAAGCCGGACCATTAGCAGTGACTCTTCAGGGGCTTCTGACAAGGGACATTCCTTGGCCTGCTTGGAGATGCTGGGGCTTGAACCTGAGACCTTCTGCATGCTCTGCTACCAAAGCTGTGGCTGAAGCCCCTCTAAATCTGTCCCCTGATTTCTCGCTTGCTTCCTTCTCTCTGGCCTCCTCTTCCCCAGGCTGGTCCAGAAGGCGGAGCTGGTGCGCCTGTCGCAGACCCTCCTGCACGTGAAGAACCTGCACTGGATCGTGGTGGAGGACGCGCCGGCCAAGACGCAGCTGGTCTCGGAGCTGCTGGCTCAGAGCCACCTGCACTTCACGCACCTGCACACCGAAACGCCCAAGGAGCACAAGCGCAAGGAGAGCGACCCAAACTGGCTGAAGCCCCGGGGGGTGGAGCAGCGGAACCTGGCCCTGCAGTGGCTGCGGGAGAACCACGAGCTGGGCAAGAAGGCGGTGGTGTACTTTGCGGACGACGACAACACCTACAGCTTGCGCCTCTTTGACGAAGTCAGTGCCGGGAGGAAGGGGTGCAACAGATTGGGAGGGGGGTGGGATTGCGGTTCTCCTAGATTCCAGAATGTTCCATATTCTTCTTCTTCTTCTGAAAAACAAAACCTTTTATTTTAACAAATATAATGGGGAGGAGGCGAAAGAAGCATTGTCAGATGATACTAACAATACAAATCTTCCATCGGTTGTGACTTAGCCCCCATCTGTACTGTACATTTAAAGCAGTATCACGCCACTTTAAATAGTCATGGTTTCCCCTGAAGAATCCTGGGAGGTGTCGTTCATTGGGGTTTTATTTTGGAATCGCTAGGAGGTCCCTATTCCCCTTTACAGAGCTATAATTTTCAGAGTGGTTTTACAATCAACCCCTCTTCCCAGGCAGGGGTGCCAATTTGAATAGGGACCTTGGCCCCTAAGAGTTGGCTCCCATGTTCCCAGGGATTTAACAAAGCTTGGGGTTTGGGTGGGATTCCGTGGGAGTAAGTGGATACTCCGCTATCTATCTATCTATCTATCTATTCTGCAGTTGTGTCAGTTTATTCGGACATAGGTGCAAGCCTCATAGCTGACAGCAGGGGAGGGTGGGGTTGAACAGAAGGAATTACTCCTTACATACTAAGGCTACAGTCCTAACTTATGTGACTTACATGGGAGAAGCCCACACTGAATTCTGTCAGACTTCTGTCTAAGTAGACATGGCTAAGGTAGTCTGGCAAATGAGCATGTGCAGGATTCTTGGGGTGCTTTATTGGGGAGAGGTTCCAGGTTACCACAAGAGATGGGAATAAACAGGTTGTTAAACAAAGAGCTGCAACCAGGCAGCATTGGTCTCCAGAAGGTGGTGGTGTTGTCGTTCAATTTATATCCCACCCAGGGCTGCAAACACAGCCACAGTTTTTAAAGAAAGTGTTCCAGAAAATGGAAGCATTCTAAAAGCAGTTTTATCAAACTCTCCCCCTCTTTTTCCTTCTTTGCTCCACCCTGTCCCCAACCAGATCCGCTCCACCAAGCGCGTCTCGGTGTGGCCCGTCGGCCTGGTGGGAGGCCTCCGCTTTGAGCGCCCCCTGGTGGAGAACGGCAAAGTGGTGGGTTTCTACACGGCCTGGAAGCCCAACCGGCCCTTCCCCATGGACATGGCCGGCTTTGCCGTGGCCCTCGATCTGCTCCTGGCCAATCGGGAAGCTCACTTTGACTTGCTGGCCGAGCGCGGCTACCTGGAGAGCAGCCTGCTGCAGTCACTGGTGTCGATTGAGGAGCTGGAGCCCAAGGCTGACAACTGCACCAAGGTGAGCAGGTTGGCAGACGTCAGTAAAACTGCTGGCACATTTGTAAAGCTAAGCAGGGTCTGGCATGGTTTCAAATTGGATGGGGGACCATGTGTTGAGATTTCTGCATTGTAGCGGGTTGGATTAGATGACCCTCAGGGTCCCTTCCAATTCTATGATTCTATTGAGTCCCCTACAGATTCCCCTACACACTCGCCAATGCAGCAACTATTTCGGACCTGACAATATTTTTGACCGCCACAAGGATGGGGAACCTGTGACCCTCTAGATGTTGCTGGTCTCCAACCCCACAAGCCCTGATAATTGGCCACACTGGCTGGGGCTGATGGGAATTGGAGTAAAACAACAGCTGGAGGGCCAGGAGTTCCCCATCTCTGCTTTACACCTCTGTAAGTGCATTTAATATTGTGATCCCTGATTGGTTGGGACATGGAGACTACAGGTCCCACCAGCTATTTATCATTAGCCATGCTGGCTGGGGTTGATGGAAGTTGGAGTCCATCAACGTACAGAAGACCACAGGCTCCCCACTCCTGGACTGCAACTTCCATCATCTCCCACCAACACAAAACTGTGCTGTCTCCAACTGATTGGAGTTGGTGTCCAAAATATCTGGAGGATACCTGGTCAGGGAAGGCTGCCTTGAATCCTGACTGGTGTTTTAGCAGATGAGCAGGGCAAGGGGAGAGTGTGTGTGCATGACATTCTTTAATACATGGTTTCACTTCCTCAAGCAGCAGGAAGTTTGCTGCAGCTATTTTAAGGCGGTTTGTCTCAGACGAGGCAGGCCTGATGACAGTCAGATTCCCATTGAGAAGTTCCTTTTTGAGATGTCGAGAAGCAATTTAGTGCAGTTGGTACAGTCGCCCCCAAGGGCAGATGGTCTTACTGCTCTTCCTCACATAATGGTTGACGGTGGTAGCCGCTGCGAGTGGAAAACCTTTGTATGTTTGCCCCCGAAACGGTACATGTGTGAAAAGGAAAAGGGGTGGGGTGGGAAGAGGAAAGCACAAGCAAACTCGGGCAACCAGTAGTAGAGAAATTGAAACAGAAACACCCCTTTTGATCTTGCAGGTGCTCGTCTGGCACACCCGGACCGAGAAGCCCAAGATGAAACAAGAGGAGTTGTTGCAAAAGCAGGGCCTGGGCTCTGACCCCAGCATCGAGGTGTGACTGGGCCCCGTTTGGCCACTGAGACAGTGGCAGTGCCTCCGTGGGGCGTGGGAGGAGCTAGAAGGACTCGGCCAAACTCGATTGGTCGCAGATGCTGAAGTCTTTGACTGCCACTCCCCTGCCCATCCATGGACATGTGCTGCCCCGGAACTCTTTTTATTTATTAAGGATGAGCTCCCTGTTCTTGACCCCCAGCATGGAAGGAACACTCTGTCTCCAGTGAGAAGAGACTTGATTCACAACTGCTGCTATCCCCCGCCCCCTCGCCTTCCTACTGCTGGGGAAATGTCTTTTATTTCGGCGCCCTCCCTCTTTAAAAACGTTTCTTCATTGAATGCTGCAGCTTCCTACTGGTGAAAAAGCCCCCTTTGCTTTCCCCTGTTGGTTGCTCTGACCGCCTGCCCCCCCACCCAAAAATGCTTTGTTCCCTCCTCCCTGGCAACAATTGTCTTATAGTCTGATTGCTCTCTCCTGTAACAAGAGTGCTTGAATGTTGGGAAGGGGACCTAAGTGAAATCCAAAAGTTCATTCCTTTGGGAAAAAACCCATTTTAGCCGCCTTTAATCTTCTACTTAATAAAACCAGTTGCATAAGGGAGCACTCACAACACAACTGTAACAGTTCCTGAGCCACATCCCCACCCACAGGAGCAAAAGCAAAAAACAGAGGAAAGAGGATCCCCAAATATAGTGTCTCAAGAATCCAAGTGACAATGAAATCATGTCAGAAGTAATGGCTCTTTAAACGTGAATATGGAAGCATTTACAGATTATGTGTATGGAAATTACAAGATTCACATTTGTATTGTGAATTTGTATTTTATGCACATATATTGGCACCTGCTTATGCCTGTCTGTGGGAAGGAAAAGGGTGCAAGGAGGTTAAGCCTCTAGTAACCCTTGCTGCAATTCTTCAGAAGAAAAGTTGGGAAAAGCTGGAGGCAAGGATAAGGATTCCTGTGTCTCTCCTCCTGCTGATGTCTCTTCCCCCAGTCATATCATTTTTCTTTGAATCAGGGATGGGGGAACCTATGGCCTTCTGGACATTGCTGGTCTCCAGCTCCCTGATGCAGTTGGCCCTCTAGGACTGATGGGGGCTGAAGTGCAACAACATCAGGAGGCCCCACAGGTCCCCCACCACCACCCCTTCTTTCTAGGAAGGACAGCAGCCCTTGCCAAGCCAGGGGCCTGATCCTGGGGAGGGGCTGGTTCCTGTTCCCCATGAGCTCTTGAGTGTTTCTGCGCTGTGTCCACCCCAGTTTGCATGTGTTGGTGGCTGTTCCAGCAACTTGCATGCTGACCGCTCAATAAACACGTTGACTTCCGCTGCTTCCTCTCATTTGTACCTCGGCCTGCCTTAAGACGCCTTGATTGACCCCTGTGTAATGAGGGTGGTCCTCCAGGGGTTCTTGGACTCCAGCTCCCATCAGCCAGTATGACTATTGGTCAGGGGCAGGGCTGATGGGATTTGTAGTCTAGCCACATCAGGAGGGCCTGACAAGTTCCCCATCCCTGCTCTGTTGACTGACCTCCTGTTATTGCGGTCTTCAGCAGCTGGGTGCTGTCTGGATGTTTTGGACTACAATGCCCATCAGGGCTGAGATGGGAATTGGAGTCCAAAACATCTGAAAGGCATCCCAGTTGCTGAAGGCTGCTTTATGGGGTCTCCATAGCTTCCATCTCCACTGTGGACAATATCTCCTGCTACCCTTGCCCCTTTGGTCTCTCCTGCCTCTCCTAAGGTGGTGTGTTCTACACACACAAACACACAAACCTTAAATTCTGTGCCCAGGCATGCCAAATCCTGCACCAGTACAAAGTGAATTCTGCAACTTGCCCAAATCATGCAAATACGTCAAATGTGCATACTTGCTTCTTTTTTGCGTAATGTCTTGGGTGTTTTTTGTTTTCCGCTCACGGAGAGGAGGACAAAGCTTAGGCAGGCGCTGGTGACTCGCTATAAGCTACTGGGAATATTATTCACAGTGCAAGCCTATGGGTGTGTCTGTTCCGAAGTAAGTCACATTGAGCTGCATGGGAACTTCCTGTTTTGGGGAGAGCATCACCCACATAAGGTGATTTTTTAAAAATGAAAGCTGAGAGTCTCCGAAGAATTAAGAAACCACTGCAGACATGCAACCCTGTGTTTCCTCTTGTCCCTTCCATCACCTTTCTGGCATCTTAGTCAAACTTCACAGTTAAATCTGCTTTTTTTTGTTTGCGAACTGATTGCAGCAGACCCCAGGGGATCTTTCTTCCCCTACATACTTTGGCAACGCTTGTACAGTGCTTCACATCCAAGCCAGATTAGTTTCTGAAATGGCTCTCCCATACCCCGTTCATACCTAAGCATCTCTAACAGGGGTGGAAATCTCAAGCCTGGTGGCCAAATGTCACCCCCCCAAGCCCCTCTGCCTGGCCCTCGGGAGACTCTCTGGGCCACACAGCCTACTGACCCTGGTTCACTCCCTGCCTGCGTGTTTTCTCCTAACTGGAATATGCCCTTGAATAATGAGTTTTCTTGTTTTCCAAGTCAGAGAGGAGAGTGCGTAGAAACCACTAATTTGTTTTTTTTACAAGAGTACAAAAATTAACATTCATTGCTCTGTCTGCTTTCACCTCTTGCCCCACCCACAATCAACACATGGCCCTTGGAAGGGAACGCGGCCCCTGAGCTAAAAAGGACTCCCAATTCTTGATCTATAAAATCCCATGCATTTGTTGTTGTTGTTTAGTCGTTTAGTCGTGTCCGACTCTTTGTGACCCCATGCAGAGCAACCCATGCATTTACAAACCTGTAAATCCCATGCATTTACAAACAAAGACTCCCAATTCTTGATCTATAAAATCCCATGCATTTACAAAGCTGCCTCTCAGTATCGAGGCAACAATTAACACTCAAATCTGTTCTAGCTGGCTATACTTGGTGGAAGTATGAAACTCTGTGGCTTGACCATATTGAACACCTTGGGGACAAGGGACAAGCCTGGTGTCACCCTGTTTTCCACACCAGACGGCATTTCCTTCATCGCTGAAGAACTACACCTTCCCTCCCAGCTTCTAGGAGTGGCCATCAGGGCTTCCAGGGAAGAGGGCGTGTCTTCCGGGCAGACTGAGCCTCAAGACAAATCCATTTCAGCTTTTTTAAAAATTGCAGCCAACGTCTCAGGAACTAGTTTCCAGTAGCTTAAAGTATTGCCCAAGAAGCTGATTCAATAGCTGTGGTCAGCGTTCGCTGGGTTCAACGTGTGCCTCTTGCCAAGCTGTATGTTCTGGGAAACGTTTAGAAAAATGATCAAGGAGCTGTAGCAATTCCCCCGGTGAAGGCAGGTGCATTAGGGCAAATGTTGTGCTGCCATCAACCTCAGCCAGACCCCACCTGATTGCCTTCTCCATTGCAAACAGTCCAGAGGGTGGCCTGGCCTGTCAGCTTCCTCCTCCTTAGTCTCAGTATTGACCCTTGCAGAACTCAGCAAGAAGGCTCCACCTATCAGGGCCGGATCAATACCTTTAGAGACCCTAAGCACTTAAAATATTTTGGTTCCCCCATGTATTTCTAATTCAAAATACAGTGGTACCTCGGGTTAAGAACTTAATTCGTTCTGGAGGTCCGTTCTTAACCTGAAACTGTTCTTAACCTGAGGTACCACTTTAGCTAATGGGGCCTCCCGCCGGAGCACAGTTTCTGTTCTCATCCTGAAGCAAAGTTCTTAACCTGAGGTACTATTTCTGGGTTAGCGGAGTCTGTCACCTGAAGCGTCTGTAACCTGAAGCGTCTGTAACCCGAGGTACCACTGTATAAACTATAATAAACTGTAAAATAAAATTGTATTCTTCGAAATGAAACAGAACCTACAGTAATTTTTATTTTTGTATTCTTCCACTTTATATTTTTTGGGGGGAGAGGAATCTCCTACTTTTTCTAATTGCAAAGTCCTTGATCAGATCCTCCAAACTAATCTTACGTAACACATCTGCTTCTGTACTTAGTAGAGATGAGGCGTCCAGCCTGCATAGTTGTTCTGTTGGGATTTTTAATATACTTCAGCTGAGAAAATGAACACTCAGCTGATCAATTTGTGACCATTACCAGCAATGGAAAATGTCTGTGCTGCTCCCCTTCCCTAGATGCCTTAAGCACGTGCCTATTTTAGTTATTCCAGCCCTGCCGCCCTTTATTGCCTTTTGCCCGGCCTACTGTTGGTCTCCCAGCATTCTGCCCCATCAGTCCCAAAGGGCTCCATCTACAGTGGTACCTCGGGTTACATACGCTTCAGGTTACATACACTTCAGGTTACAGACTCCGCTAACCCAGAAATAGTGCTTCAGGTTAAGAACTTTGCTTCAGGCTGAGAGCAGAAAACAGGCTCCGGCGGCGCGGCAGCAGCAGGAGGCCCCATTAGCTAAAGTGGTGCTTCAGGTTAAGAACAGTTTCAGGTTAAGTACGGACCTCCGGAATGAATTAAGTACTTAACCCGAGGTACCACTGTACCACGAAATCCCTCTATGAAGAAAGGTTACGACATTTGGGAGTTTTAAAGTTTGGAGGAGAGGCGGGTAAGGGAAGATAAGATAGAGCTGTGTAAGGTTATGCATAGTGCATAGGGGAAGTGCATAGGAAGATGTTTTTGCTCCCTTTCTCATCATTCTAGAACCTGGGGCTATCCAATGAAGCTGAATCATAGAATTGTGGAATTGTAGAGTTGGAAGGCACCCCGAGGGTCATCTAGTCCAACCCACTGCAATGCAGGAATCTCAACACATGGTCGCCCACCTATTGGAAGATTCAGGGCAGACAGAAGGAAGGGCTTCTTTACACAGCACTTAGTTAAACTGTGGAACTTGCTTGCTCCCCACTGGTGGCAGCGATGGCCACCAACTAGGGTGGCTTTAAAAGAGGACAGGAGAAATTCATGGAGGAGAGGGCTATCGATGGCTACAAGTCTATATGGTCACATTCTCCCTCTAGTGTCGGGAAGCAAACTGCCTCTGAATACCAGTGACTGAGAAACACAAGTGGGGACCTTTGCCGCTGCGTTCAGGTCCTGTTTGCCAGTTTCCCATCAGAATCTGGTTGCCCACTGTGAGAACAGGATGCTGGACTTGGGCTTGATCCTGAAGGACTCTTCTTTTGTCGAACCTCACAAGAGGGACGAGACGAAGCAGCAATTCCCTCCGGGCAATTGATCCGACTCGGCCCAAAGGTCAGCAATGCCTTTGGGGGAGGGATTGGGCCCCCCACTGACTCCACCTTGTTCACTGGCCGCTCAGATCTGGAGTGCAAGTGGTGTTGGGAGTTGGACGTCCACACATCCTGTCCTGCTGGAAGAATAAGTTCCTTCAACAGCTTCTGATTTTCCAGGCTGAAAAAATCGAAACCACCAGCCAGGGCCAGGAGCCAACAGAAGTCGCTTATCTGTATAAAGCTTTCACCAGACACTTCCTCCTCTGCGACTTGCTTGACAATGCAAAGAGTCTTGTATTCCCTATAAAGATGTATATTTGAAAACGTTTGGGTTTTTTTCATTTTTAGCAATTTTATTTTTCCTTTCTTTTTTCATTTTTTTGTATGTTTCCCCCCCTCTTTTGTATATGCAATATGTACATGTATTTGTAATATGTACAGTGGTACCTCGGGTTAAGTACTTAATTCGTTCTGGAGGTCCGTTCTTAACCTGAAACTGTTCTTAACCTGAAGCACCACTTTAGCTAATGGGGCCTCCTGCTGCTGCCGCGCCGCCGGAGCCTGTTTTCTGCTCTCAGCCTGAAGCAAAGTTCTTAACCTGAGGTATTATTTCTGGGTTAGCGGAGTCTGTAACCTGAAGCGTATGTAACCCGAGGTACCACTGTATCTATATGGCTAAATCAAGAGAGAGAGAGAGAATGCAAGAGTCTCCAGTCCTCACGTTCCCCAGCTCAGAATCAGTTTCCAGCTTTATGGGCTGAAGAAAATAAAGCAAAAGCTCCTTTGCTTGGCCAAAGGAGCTAGGGCAAGCTATAGGCATGCCTGGTCATCTATTTCATGGGCTTAATTTGAGGACAGAGGTGATGGTGGGCAAATCCTTCTTCTGAGGGTAGGCAGTTTATGATTTGCTGAGGCCCACAAATTCAGAGAATAGGCAGACTTCAGGCTTGCAGGATCAACAAAATAGAGCCAGTGAAAGCTGTTCCAGTCAGGCTAAGAAAGTGCTGCCCCACCAATCTGTAGTCTTCCTACAGACTGCCTCCACTTGCCTGCCTTCTGACTTACCAGCTGCCTAGGGGATGGCAGCAACTGACAGCTCCCTCCATCAGAGTTGTTGCCTGACAGAACTTGTCAGGGAGGAGGTGGAGGACAAAGCTAGAATTGGTTGGCTCTGCCTGCCATTGGATCTGGCGCCACCTACTGGTGGGCTCCCTCCCTTCAGCCCAACCAGTCCCAATGGGCACCAGCCACCACATTAAAAACTTCCCTGAACAGGGCTGCCTTCAGATGTCTTCTAAATGTCAGGTAGTTGTTTATCTCTTTGATATCTGGTGGGAGGGCGTTCCACAGGGCAGGTGCCACTACCGAGAAGGCCCTCTGCCTGGTTCCCTGTAGCTTTGCTTCTCGCAATGAGGGAACTGCCAGAAGGCCCTCAGCGCTGGACCTCAGCGTCCGGTCAGAACGATGGGGGTGGAGACGCTCCTTCAGGTATACTGGGCCAAGGCCGTTTAGGGCTTTAAAGGTCAACACCAACACTTTGAATTGTGCTTGGAAATGTACTGGGAGCCATGCAAGTCTTCTGCCCTCCTTCCATCTATTTCGGCTCTCTCTCTCCCCCCCCCCGCACCCCCTTCAGTGGTGGCTTGTGCCCAATGCGACTGGTATAGCAGATGACAAAGCAGCCCAAACTCTAAGTGGAGGCGGAGCTAATGATAAGCAGAGAAAACTGACTCAAGGTTTCTCCCCATCCTTTCCCCTGTTGAACTCTACAAGGACAACACTGAGATTAAGGAGGAGGAACATCAGTGCTTATCCGGAGCACTGATAAGCAGTGCTAACCCCTGGGATGGATGTACGTAAGGAGTCTGGCATGTTGGGGTTGGCAGGATGCCTCCTAAGAACATTCAAAGGGCCTGGCTGCTGGATCAATGGCCCAACAAGGTCAACATCCTGTTCTCACAGTAGCCAACCACAGTGCCCACCTTCGATTCCCAGCAACTGTTATTATTCAGAGGCATACTGCCAGTTCCGACGTCTCTGGCCTCTTATTTACAGAGAGTCCAGGGGGTGGCACTGCTTGCCAGCTTCCTCCTCAGTTTCGCTTTTGTAAAATTCAGCAGAGAGGAGGAGGAGGAGAATGAGGACAAAAAAAAGAGAGAGATTGAGTTGGCTCTGTCATTGGCTCTGGCGCCACCTACTGGTGGGCTCCCTGCCTGCCACCCCATTGGTCCGCGCTAACCTGTGCTCTGACCAGCAGCAAGGACTCTTAATAGCGCAGGTATGAAGAGCCAGCACAGACTCCAACTCCTATCAGCCCCAGCCAGCATGGCCAATGGTCAGGGCTGATAGAAACTGAAGGGGTGGTGACATAGGCTCCCCCATCCCTGGGTCAGTGTGATGTAGTGGTTAGAGCACTGGACTAGGATCTGGGTGACCAGGGTTCAAATCCCCACTCAGCCATGAATGTCACTGTGCAACCCTGTGAAGGGGGACAGTCACAGCCTCTCAGCCTAGCCTACCTCACAGGGTTGTTGCAGGGATAAAGAGGAGAAGCTCATATGCCAGCTTGAGCTCCTCAGAGAGGTGTGATATAAACCCAATTGCTTTCAGTTGCTGTTTGTTAGGTACTGAAGTTCTCACCCTGGGCCAGCAGGGGGATACTGTAGATAGTTCAGGTCCACATATGCAAATAAGGGATCGAAAGTGACGTTCAGTGATTGGATAGTTACAGAAAATGGTTACTGTTGCGTTCTAGTGGAGCTCTATATAAGCAGGCTCGCTGAAGCCTTCAGTTCAGTTCTGTTCTGGCCTGTGAATAAACAAGAGCTGTTTGAAGAATTGCTGTGTCGTCTGATATGTTCACCCACAACTTAATACTGGTGATGAGGATGGGATGGATGGACAACAGAGCACAGCCAGATGCAGCCACCCTCTGAGTGGAGCTGAATCACTGAGCTGAATCACTGAGCGAAATCACTGAACAGAACCAATTCAGAGCTGACTGTTCTGGCTAGAGCACTGTGTTCCATCCATCGCCCTCCACGCCAGCATCGGAACCATGGCTTCACTTGTGGCTCTACCGCCGTTTGCCCCAGCCTCTGAATCATGGGACTCCTACCTCGCTCAGTTCGACTGCTACCTCCAAGCCAACGAGCTGACGGAAGTATCACAGGAACGTAAGCGGGGCCTATTCCTCAGCCTCTGTGGGCCTGAGGTGTTCAAGACGGCCCGAGCATTGGTTGCGCCTGTAGCATATGTTCACCCACAACTTAACACTGTTGTTTTTGATTAGTCAAGAGGTATGCAAATGTTATTAACTAAACAAAAATGATCAATGTCATCATCTGAGCATGAGGCTCTTGAACAGGGGTCAGCAACCTTTTTCAGCCGTGGGCCGGTCCACCATCCCTCAGACCCTGTGGTGGGCTGGACTATATTGGGGGGGGGGGGAAATGGACGTATTCCTATGCCCCACAAATAACCCCGAGATGCATTTTAAATAAAAGCACACATTCTACTCATGTAAAAACACCAGGCAGGCCCCACAAATAACCCAGAGATGCATTTTAAATAAAAGGACACATTCTACTCATGTAAAAACATGCTGATTCCGAGATCGTCCGCGGGCCGGATTGAGAAGGCGATTGGACCGCATCCGGCCACCAGGCCTTAGGTTGCCTACCCCTGCTCTTGATCCTCAGGGCATAGCTGTCAACCTTCCCTTTTTTTGCAGGAAATTCCCTTATTCCAGCACCGTTTCCCACTGCTTCCCGCTGCTATCCTGGATTGTTAGATATCCCGTAGACTGTCTCCGGGACAGGTGAGGCTGCTGATCCCTTATTTTCAAATCCGAAAGTTGACAGCTATGCTGCTGATCCCTTATTTTCAAATCTGAAAGTTGACAGCTATGCCTCAGGGTCGTGGGTTCGCGCCCCACCTGGGGTGAAACATTCCTGCATTGCAGGGGGTTGAACTAGATTGACCCTTGTCCCTTGTGGTCCCTTCCAACTCTACAATCCTATGATTCTATGACCATCTTGCCTGCCTGCCTGCCTGCCTGCTTTCCACAGCCCCTTCCGTTCTCCATGGAGAAATCACGGGTTAGGAGGACTTTTCCAACTCTCTTCGATCAATTGGAGAACCTCCAGCGAATATCTCCCACCGCTGCCCCCTCTCCCCACTTTCCAATTTGGTCCAGCAGAGCGCCGGGGTCCCGTCGCCCCTTCATCTCCCCGCTGGCCAGTTCTTTCCTGTCGGCCCAGCCGAGCGCTTGAGAAACTAACTTTTTTTAAAAAAAGTAAAAAACAAAAAATCCCAGCTAGGCGCGAGCGAAGACAGCGCGATGCAAGACTTGCGTGTTTTTTCTCCTCTCCCTGCAAGGGAAATGACATACCGCCCTTCTTGCTTCCTGGGGGTGGGGGGAGCCCGGCCCCAGCAGCGCGATCGGGACAGGGCGGGCGCTTCTGCTGCTTTTGCTACCGCCGCCGCCTCCGCTCGCCGCTTCCCGCAAGTCCCCGGGACCTTTCTGGCTCCTTCATCCCCTGGCTCATTCGCCTGGCGAGGAGGGGGACCGAAAAACACGCGATCGCCGGCTCCAGAGCGCATGGAAGCGCGGCGCGGCGCTGCTCGGCCACCACCATGGACGGCTACCCGGAGCGCAGCCCCAACGGTGAGCTTGTGATTTATTCGGATTTTATTTTTGTTTTGCCCCGTGCAAAGATCCGACGCCCTCCATTTCCTCCCCGTCAGGGGGAACTTGGGGAACAGGAGCGCGGAGGAGAGTTGCCTCGCGCCCTGACGCGAGGGGGCGCTGGAGAGAGGTGGGGCAACAGAAGCGGGGCGAGGTTGCCAAGCGGGTTGAAACGGGCGCAGCGCGATCTCTCCCCGCGACGTCCTTGCTTCCCCCCACTCCCGGATGATGTCGGGTTGGGAGAGCAGAGGACTGGAGATCGCCTCCGCCCCGCGCCCAACAACACAAACGCGGATACTTGTGGCGTAAAAACAAACAAACAAACACGTGGGTGAAGCTGCAACCCGCGTTCAACGTCCTGGAGAATTTAAAAGGCACACAGCAAGCCTTACATCGGAGTAAACAAACGAAGGATCGAGTTGTCCAGCTTATAAACTTAGGCATGCTCACTTGGGCGTTAAAGCTGAACGCGCTTACTGAGTGGTAGACCCCACAGAACACAGTGGATTTGATATTATTATTATTATTATTATTATTATTATTATTATGCCTGCTCTGCTGCTTTTATGGAATAAACAAGCAAAGAATCCAGCTCCCCCAACTTGCAATTATTACTCCTTTCCAAGCACCTTAAAACCACTAGACTGTGATTTGCAGATGTACAAAGTTTCAGGGGGCATTGCGTTGTTGAGCAAGGGCAGATTCTGTTGCTGTTAAGGAGCTCGGAGGCATAGGGTGAGAGAGAGTCGTGTGCCTAGTGCATGCAGTGTATGGTTGCAGAGGAAATGTGGGTTGGTTTGGTGGGAAGGGTTTGGGAAGTATGCACTGTGTGAATCTCTCCCCGGGGGAAGCAGGAGGTTTGTGTGTGTGTCCCTGTGTAAATATACTACGTCAACATAGGAGGAGAAAAGTGTTGTGTATGTATATGTGTGTGAGATTCTGTGAGCAGAGTTTCCACACTGGAAATAACATGCAGCCTGTGTGCAAGAGCATTGTGCATATGAGGTTTGCCCATGTGGTTTTTTCCCTTCTTTAATCTGAGAAGCATGTGCAATTGTCTTGTGGATGCAGATTTCCACAGGTTTACAGTCAGTGTGTTGGAAGACTCTGCCCACTGTAGTACCTGTGGTTGCTGGACTACAACTCCCATCTACCCCTGATCATTGGCCATGCTGGCTGGGGCTGATGGGAACTGAAGTCCAAGAGCGTTTGTAAGGTCTGCGAAATGTCAGTGCTTTTAATATGTGATCCTGGTAGGTTGGGACAAGATTGGTCTAGAACACGGTACAGGGAAACTGTGACCCTCCAGATGTTGCTAGACATCTACCATCGGCCTTGATCATTGGCCATACTAGTGCGGACTGATGGGAGTTGGAGTTTAGCAGTATTTGGAGTTGGCACCAAGCTTTCCGACACACACACACACACACACACACACACACAAAATACCCTTTCCACTTCTCCCCCAGTGTTTTGTTGTTTATTAGGCAGCAATGTCTACACGTGCACACTCCCCTTTGCTAGAAAGACAGGCTGCCCCCTCCCTTCTAAAGCTAAATAGCGTCAATATTTATAATGCCTTCTAAAAGCACCAAAATTTCCCCCCAAGTTTGTGCATGATAGAATCTTTATCCCTGCAAATCTACAGTGGTTTTTTCTTCCTTCTGTTCCTAGGCAAAGAACCTGTAGGGATTCGTTCCCTGCTTGGGATACATTTTTGCATATAAACAAATTCACTCACACCCTGACATACTTCTCATTAGTCCTGAGGCTTAGAGGAAGCCACATATTGCAACATCTGGAGTCAGAGTGAGTAGAGCAGGACATGACCAGTGTGGATGTGGGGCGGAGCTTCTACGTTTTATGAAATCAGGAGCCACCAATTGAGTTCATCGCTTGCCCCCAAGCATTTAAAGCAAAACCCACCTCAAGAAATATTGAGAACTGTAGTTTGTTAAGTGTGCTGGGAATTGTAGCTCTGTGAGTTCCCAGGATTCTTTTAGGGGTTTATAGTGTGCAATCCTATCTGTTTCATCTTTATTTGTTGAGTGAGACATAAAAGCCCACCCTGCGTTTAGGGCCTGGAGTGAGCAACCCTTTTGATTTTCTAGGCCACTTGTCTTTTTTACAAAAGCAAGTATTACTTGTTTAATCATATTCATTATCCCTCCCTGTCCTACGAAGAGCTCAGGTCTGCTGCTTGTCATATTATCCTGCACAACAACAGCCCTGAGAGGTAGGTTAGGCTTAGAGAAAATGACTTGAGCACGACCACCTAGTTTGCTTCATGGCTAAGTGAAGACACAAAGCTTTTTTCGTTTACCACCCTTTGACTATCCAGACCATGACCTGAGAACAAAACAGGGAGACTAGAGGGGTGATATGCACTAACTAATATGTATTAAGAGATCTTCATTTGTGACTGTAATTTCGAGCGGCAGTTTTTCACTGGTGTTCCTCAGAAGCTTATCAGTGAGAAGATTAGTCAACAGTGCACAAGATTTCCTGTCTTATCTGTCATTGCTACCCATCAGATGTGCAGCTACAGAGGAGTATTTGGTGTGAGCAAGAGGCATTATCAGTTCAGAAGAAACAGTCGTGATGAGGCCTAAATATCTAGGATAGTGGCCCATGTGAAATGAGCAGACTCATAGAACATATCCCAGAATCCTTTGCAACCAGCTGTGATTCAACAGGGAACATATAAGTTCCCCCAATGGTGGGAAGCTTTATAAAAAAAATCTCAACCCAACTGGGTTAGAAACAATAATGTTCTGCCTAGTTTAGCAGAGTAGTTAATAGTGTGACGTAGAAAGTCCCTCATTCAAATCTTGCCTCAGATAGTGTCTCACTACTAGGTGTATTTAGGCAAAACTATAGAGATAATACAGGCCGACTTTCAAAGGCTGTCGTTTGCAGGGTATTACTTTACCAACATGAACAAAGAGCTCTGAACACCTGAAATACACTATATATAACACCTAATTTAGCCGCAGCTGAATCCAAAAACTAGCCCCTCCTTTTGCCAGTATAATGAGAGTGCAGTCTCGTTCTTCGGCTTCCAACGCCAGGTGTGTTATATTGCCCAGGCTGGTCTTTCAAGTGGTGTGTCATAAATTGGGCCTTCCTGGACAGGTTCCTGCTTTTGGTTCAAACATACTGGTGGAGAGCGGACTTCATGCTCAAAACCAAACTTTCCTGGAAAAGAGAAATTATGTTTGAGTGTATTGAGACACAACTGCCTTGTACATTTCAAACAGTATTCTACCACTTTAAACAGTAATGGCTTCCCCCCAAAGAATTGTGGGAGCCATCTTTCATTAAGGATGCTGAGTGTTGTTAGAAGACCCCTATTCTCCTTGCAGAGCTACAGTTCCTGCTAACATTGTGCCTTGCAGCCAGAGTTGTGAAATCCAGAGCGGCTCAGTCTCCTGATTGCATCTCATCCTTCACCCCTTGGCCTACTTCTTTTTTGGCCTGCTCTGCCAAACATAAAGCAAGTCGGCAAGATCAAATTATTTCTTTTGGATTGAGTTATCCAGAATCAGTTTGCCACTCTCTTGTTCCTCCTTGCCTGCAGTTCCTCACCTGAATTCGGATTGTGCAAATGTACATTTTGTAAATGTGCATTGGAGGAATGGAGCAGGGGAAACCAGACCCCTCACTCACTGAGTAAGGTGCCTCCCCCGACCTGCAAAATTGTGTAGATTGAATCAACCTCCAAAGTTATATGAGAGAAATAATTGAAGCAGTAGCAGATCACAAGAGTTTGAGAGTGTGTCAAGAAACACAGGCGCTACCGTATACTGAGGTCACATCGACACCATACATTTAAAGTGCATGACTTCCCACAAAGAATCCTGGGAAGTGAACTATAGTATGTGAAGGGTGCTGGGAATTATAGCTCAATTCCCATAATTCTATGGGGGAAGCCATTAAATGTATGGTGTGGATCTGATCCGGAGGCAATCCATTGGTGCACCAGCACTGTATTGTCTACACTGACTGGCAGTGGTTGTCCGGGGTTTCAGATGGGGGTTGTCTCTATTTCTTGTTTGGGAATACCAGGGACTGAACCTGGGACCTTCTGCATGCCAAGCATAGGCTCTACCACTGAGCTAAGCCCCTTCTCCTGTGGGCTCTTTCTCAAGAGAAATATAGGCAATGCTCTCTTTGCAGAATTTGTGTTTTGTTTTGCCTCATTCTGTTCTCGATTTAAAGTCGTCTTCTTTGAAGTGGAAATAAGAGTTTGGTGGGTCTTATCCTTCTCACCTACAACAGACGGACACATTTATTAATTTACTCTTTCTCTCTCTCTCTCTCTCTTACACACACACACACACACATTCTGCTCCCCAACTGGGTGCTGAGGTAAACTGTGGGTGTCTTCGCCCCAGTCCTCTCTCCATATGTAGCCCGGCAACCGGAAGTGACTGAGCCAGACATGAGTAGCTGGGAAAACCCCAGTCAGGCCTAACCCAGCCTTGTGAAGGCTACAACTGCAAAAAAAATAAGAAGAAGAATTTCAAAATGAGTTTAAAAAAAATATTTGGTATCTGCAGTGCTTAGGAAAAATGGACACGCAGTTATGTCACCTGGCACAAGAAATATTGTGGTTTAACACATAAAGACTTAAGTTTGCCACATAAGAATTTCAGAATTGTGGATGGGTGGGACATGAATTTATTAATAAAATGAGGACACTTTTTTGCATCTGTGGTGCTGGGAGTGCGGGGGGTGGGGTGGCGGCACCCAGTTATGTTGCTTGACGCATAAAGTGTTGTGGTTTAACATCTATGGAAACTACATTTGCCACAAAAGAATTTCAAATGGGGAAACTCCCCCCCTTTTAATCAGTGATGCTTTTTAAAAAGGGCACACTTGGTTATGTCGCTTGGCCTGTGAAGCACTGGTGTTTAATGCATTACGGATACTTATTTTATTTATGTATTTACGTACTTATTTATTAGATTTATATACCACCCTTCGTCACAGGATCTCAGGGCGGTTCACAAGATAAAATACTTTCCAGTCTAAGATGCTGTGCCATTTCAGCATATATATAGTTGACAGCCTCAATTTCAAAATGACTTGGCTCTCTTCTCCACCCGCTCTGAAGCCAAGGAGAGGCTTAGGAAGCGCCTGTCCCCGAAGATTTAATTCCTGAGATGAGCACCTTGCCCAAAAATGTCACCCAACGTGTTTGGCGGGGAGGGTGGAGGGCGTGTGTGAGTGTGGGGGCGATTTTTCTAATGGAAACTGAAAGGCCCAAGAGGGAGCAGGAGGATGCTCTGGCGTTCCATGCACACAGCGCACCAGGGCCGGGGCAAGGCTATAAGACTCCTGAAATCCAGTATTTCTTTATTGGTTTTTGGGTGTGGAGCAGGGAAGGTGTGGTGTAGAATTCCTCAGAGTCAGGCCCTGTCAGAAGGTGAGACCAGGAAGCAGAAATTTGAACTAAGAACCTTCTGCCTTATTCTGTAGACTGGGGTGGTGGATCATCAGGCTCAGGGGCTGAATTTGGCCCTCAGGGACTCTCTATCTGGCCCTTGGAACTCTCCCAGACTGCACATCCTCTACTTAGGCAGCATCCTGCACTGGCCTTGCTTCATACCCCAAATGGATTTTTTGTGGTTGGAATGTGCCCTTGAATTCTGATAATGCTTGCCTGAATGGAGGATAAAGTGGGTGTGTATGTGCAGAAGCAAGTCTATTGTACAAAGGTAAAATTAACATGTATTGCTCCGCCTACTTTTGTTTCTGGCTCCACCCACCGCTGGTAGTGGCCCTCGGAAGGCTGCCTAGAAGAGAATGTGGCCCTTGTGTTGAAAAAAACTTCCCTACTCCTGCTGTAGATGCCACAAGGCACCATTCTTGAAAATATGTGGCTGAATGAGGATTTGAACTTGGAATGCAAACTTCCCATTCTAACACTGACCATTGGTCTAGTCTGAAATTTCAGTGAGCAGGCAAGGCCCTCCTGCCCTATCCCTTCCCCTTTTAAGTTGACCATACTGGGGGCGAGGGAGATGTGAATTGAAAAGGTCACGGGGAAAAATGCCTTTTTGTTTAAGGGTTTTTGGGGGATGAGTGTGCGCAGGAGGAAAATCTGGACAAAGCGGAGCCTGTTTGGACTATTATTTATCTTTAAAGCCCATCTGATTTCTGTGTTCCTCAGCACAGAGTCGAAATAAGTCTCCATTATTTTTTTTTTGTACCAGCTTCTCAGAGCCAGGCTTCTTTTGAGTCCTCTCCACATCCTCTTTTTGTTGGACAGAGGCCTTCTTTACCGCCCACTTCTCAGTCTTTGGTGGGTGGGGGGTAGTTGAGAGAGAGGAAGGAGGCGATGTGGTTTCATCAAGGGGGGTGGTATATCCAACAAGAAAATAACCCCAGCAAGTCTTGCTCGTTGGCTCAGGCTGGAAAACACTTCGGTCTGCTTCGTCGCATGCGGCAAGATTGCCAGCTCCCTCTGTTTTCTTTGCATAACTTCCAGCTGGTGTGTTTGGTACCTTGAAGTAGAAGGGGAGGGGGGAATCTGAATACTGCACTATTTTATATTTGCATCCACTTCCATACATTGCGAGCTATTTATGAGCCATTGAGAGTCTCTTGCTCCATAATGGCAAGATCTGGGGCACAGCGAGATCCTCTATGTGCAATTTCCTCCTCACTCTTTCAGTCCTTTTCCTATAGCCTGGATCAGGGGTAGGCAACCTAAGGCCCATGGGCTGGATGCGGCCCAATTGCCTTCTAAATCTGGCCCATGGATGGTCTGGGAATCGGCGTGTTTTTACATGAGTAGAATGTGTCTTTTTATTTAAAGTGCATCTCTGGGTTATTTGTGGGGCCTGCCTGGTGTTTTTACATGAGTAGAATGTGTGCTTTTATTTAAAACGCATCTCTGGGTTATTTGTGGGGCGTAGGAATTCGTTCATTCCTCCCACCCATATAGTCTGGCCCCCCACATGGTCTGAGGGACGGTGGACCGGCCCACAGCTGAAAAAGGTTGCTGACCCCTGGCCTGGATCATCCATGTGAAGTCCCCATCAATGCCTTTGTCCTCTCTCTCTCTCTATCTCTCCTATAGCCCACCTTTTCCTCTAAGTTTGATGTGGCAAACGTGGTTTTCTCCCTTCTCATTTTATCCGCACAACAACCCAGGTTAGGTTGAGAGGCAAACTACAAATTTGAACCCTGGTCTCTCCCAAGTCCTGATCTGACATTCTAACCACAGCACCACACTGGCTTATGTTTATGCTTTTGTTCAGATGGGATGTGTCATTGAGCTGCAACAAAGCCTCTTTCCTGGATGGAGAGAGGGGAGCATGTATATTGAAATCTCTTCTGCACAGCTGGAATGAACCATGGTTGTCTCTAGCACCACCCACCAAAGGCATGCAGCCCCTGGAAAGTTGTTAATGGGGAAAATGTGGCCCTTGGGCTGAAAAAGGTTGAGAGAATAAAAGAAACTTACGGTTTATTAGTCCTGGCAAACAAAGCCATTCTGAATACAAGCTTATGTATGGCCATTATGGAGTTGTGAGGTGTACGAAACAAAAGTCCAACACTAGCACTGAAGAAGCCGCAGGAAGGAACCAAAGCCTGAGAGAAAAGCAATCTGCTCAATAAGGAATCAGCAAGGGAAGAACGCATTGCCTTTCTGACCCCTGCCACCACAGATACAAGTGTCATTGCTTTACTCCCAACAATAAGAACGTACCAACGCCAGGGCTAAAAACACATATCACTTGCCTGCCTGCTCAGACTACTGAAGAGCTGTGTAGCTAACTATGGGTTGGCAATTTCAAGGCCACTCCTAACATCCCTTCTTGTGGTTCCTTACCTTTAAACCAGACTTGGACTGGACAGCCCTCAAATAGAGGTCACTTTAGAGAACTGTCCTCTGTAAAGATGTGCTTTTTAGTTTTTGGGGGGAGGCTTTTAGGTCCAGAGAAAAGGCGCGTAATTGGGGGGGGGGGACAAGATAAAGGTGTATCAAATTGGTAGATGGTCTAGAGAAAGTGGCCAGGCCTCTCTACTTTATGCAGATAGACAAACTAAGGTACATCTTCACACAACACATAGCTAAACTGTGGAATTTGTTCCTGCGAGATGTCTACCAACTTGGAGGGGAAGGTTATCAATGGCTATGTTCTACATACTCTTAAGGAGCCAATATAGCTCTGGATATCAGTTGCTGGGATCCGCAAGTGTCAAGAGTTACCCTCGCACTCGGGTCCGGCTTGTAAGCTTCTCAGTTGGCCACTTTGAGAACAGGATGCTGAACCAGGTGGGCCTTTGGCCTGCTCCAGCCACCCTCTTATAGATTATGGGGAAAGGGTAGTAAAAGGTTAAGCCATCTCGACACCCTTGGTCCTCTGCGTCTCCCACACATCCTTAGAGCACCCAGGGGGGCAGGGGGCCCATGTTGTGCAGCTGACGGTGGCGTCAGGAATGTCTAAGGCGGGAGTCGTTTCCTCCCAACTGCCACTGTCCTCCGCTGCCAGCACAAACAAGGCTGGCTGGGCATGAGGCAAGAACTGGGCTTGCTGCCTGCACAATGTGGGCCAGAGGACCTAGCTTGAACCAAGCAGGCCTCTCCTCTGCCTCCCTCCCTCTGTGAACTGTGGCACCCCAGGACGGGCCTTGTGCGGGAAACCTTAACCATCTCCCCCTGCTGTGTTAATTATAGACACTTGTGACCATTGTGGTTTCTGGCAAAACATGCGTGTGTTTAAATGCAGCAAATAAGGGCCAGTTCTTCTTGGTATAGGAACACACGGACTCTGGAGCTACACAAAAGCCATCACTCGGAGGAACGCTGCAATCTCCAGCGCTGAAATAGAAAAGCTGCTCCTAGGGGTTTTTTTTTCATGTGGGGGCATGTTGCTATTATTGTGCTTTATGTAGGAGAGGGGAACCTGGGGCCTGAAAGTGGCCCTTCAGACCTCTCCACGTGGCCCTCTAAACTCTCCCAGGCCACGCTCCCTTTCCACAGCCCTTACCGGCTCTGCTTCACAACCTTCTTGAGTTTTTTCCCCCTGGCTGGAATGTATCCTTGAACTCTGATAATGCCTCAGGCTTCTCTAGATGGAGGATTTTGTGTGTGTGTGTGTGTGTGTGTGTGTGTGTGTGTGTGTGTGTGTGTGTGTGGAAACTGGCCTAGTGTACAAAAGGAAATTTTACATTCACTATTGCACCCACTTTTGCCTCAGACCTCGCCCGCCACTGGCATTTGGTTGCCCAGGAGGGAATGTTGCTCTCAGGGTCAAAAAGCTTCCATATTCCTGATGTAGGGCTGCCAATGTACCTGGTGTTTGTTTTTTATAGTAATGTAAACAGCTCTCTGCCCTGAGGACGTTACAGTCTGAAGTTGGAGGAACTGGTTTGGCACTGGGTTCAGGACAGACTTGTTTTTTGGTTTTTTTTAAAGCCTTTCTTTGGCGCAATGCAGAATTAACTTTAAGAAATACAAAATAAATCCATGCAGCTAAGAGTAGCTAGCCCACATGGGACCCTTCAGACACAGAGACAGTATGCCCCTACATAACAGATGCTGAGGACAAGCAATGGGGGAAAGTGGCAACCTTCCTTCACTGCTCATAAGCTTTCCAAATGCATCTGTCTAGTTGTTGTTTTGGAAATGGCATGCGAAAGTAGAGCTTGGTCTAGTCTCTAGCAAGGCAATGCTTATGATACCTTAGGGACACGGGTAAACTCTGACTCAGGCTGTTGGTCCATCTAGTTCAGTACTGCCAACACTGACTGGTAGTGGATCTCAAGGGTTTCAGGCAGGGGACATTCCCAGCCCGACTTAGAAATGCCAGAATTTGAACCTGGCACCTTCCGCATGCAAAGCAGATGCTTTCCCACTGAGTTACATCTCTTCCCCAATACAGTAGTACCTCAGGTTACATATGCTTCAGGTTACATACACTTCAGGTTACAGACTCCACTAACCCAGAAATAGTACCTCAGGTTAAGAACTTTGCTTCAGGATGAGAACAGAAATCGTACTCCGGCGGCGCAGCGGCAGCAGGAGGCCCCATTAGCTAAAGTGGTGCTTCAGGTTAAGAACAGTTTCAGGTTAAGAACGGGCCTCCGGAACGAATTAAGTACTTAACCTGAGGTACCACTGTACATTATTAGATAGATCCCCAATGGGAGTTGTAGTTCAGCAACATCCAGAGGGCCAAAGGTTCCCCTTAGCCTGCCCTCCTGCATTTTAAAAGCATGGGTTCTCAGATCTAATTGCAGCTCCCTCCTTTGGCAGGTGAGAACCTCCTGGGTAGCAACACTATCCTGCGCCACCCGGCCTGGCTCACTGAACTCGATTCCCGACTGCGGAGCCAAGAGGAGGAGCTGACGCTGGTGAAGTCGGCGTTGGCAGACGCGTTGCGGAGGCTCAGCTTCTACGACCAGCAGATCCCTCTGCTCAGGCAACAGCTGCTTGAAGGTGAGGGTGTCAAGAGTCCCAATTGTTGGTTTGTTTCATAAAAATGTATATGCCGCTTGATTGTTAAAAAAAAGGAAAGACCCTTGAAGCAGATGGTAGCTTTTAATCGGAAGAAAGGTGCATATATACAGGTGAGGGGAGGTGAACCTTCCCAACTGTACCTCCTTGCTGTTAGGCGCACAAAATTATTCCCTTCACCTCAGGTCAGACACCAGAAGTGAGCCATGGAGAGTGACAAGTGCCTGGGGTAATGGGGAAAAGTGCCTGGTTGAGCAAGGGGATAAAGTGGGGGTGGAAATCCCTACTTCATGTGAAAGTCAGACCCCATCCTAACATGGCAGGTTGCTTACAGCCATCAGATTGCTTCATGGGAATGGTTGCTTTAATTCAAATTCCTTTTTCACTGCAGCAAATTCCGGTCTGTCAGATGCCAAAGATCCTGCACTCCTTCCACAAGACAATGGTGCCTTCTGGAGCCTGCCTGCTGCTTTCTCCAATGATTCTTTCAGGTACTTGTCAAGGGATCTTTGGGGGGGGGAATTGAGGCCCCAGCAAAGACTGCACTTATGGGACCATCTGCAGCTCACTCCCAAACCATGGAGGCTGGTCTGTTAGGGCCTTCCAGCCCTCAGCCAGCTCCCACCTGCCTGCCATCTTATTGATAACCAGCCTAGGAAGGTGGCCCTGCCTGTCTCCTCCTCAGTCTCAGTGTTACTCATTGTAGGCAGGAAGGAGGATTAGTTGGCTCCACCTGCCATTGGTTCTAGCTCTGCGTACTGTACCTGAGAGTGTGGAAGTAAAAGGAGAGGAAGTGCTGTATAGTGGTTAACTAAGTGTGGTGGAGTGAATGAATGAATGTTTATTATTATGACTAATAGTAAAACCAGAATTTCAGCATAATTTTTTCATAAACATTAAAACGGACAAAGTGAAATTTAACAATCAATATACCAATTAAATGGATTTAAAATATGTATCCAAGGAAATATAAACTCAGTGATAAAAAAAAAACCCCAGAAGAATTTGACTGTGAGCTGTGTCAATTTATGACTGTGGAACTGTGTGATGGAGTAGCTAACTATGTTGTTTGGTTGTAAGTTGCTTTGGGTTCCCTTGGGCAAGATAAAGTGATTCACAAATTTAAATGACAACCACTGCTACTTCTGTTTGAGGGAAATTCTATTGTTTTCTCAGCATCTCAAGCTGCAGAATTTAGTCACAGAGAATATAACACCATTCTCCCCCCCCCAACAGAAGTGTTTTCTTGCACTTACTGCTCACTTTATTGATTTGTTATTACAGTATATTCATATCCCAACTTTCCTCCAAGGAACTCTCTTCCCCCTCCCATTTAATTCTCACAACAATTCTTTGAGGTTGGTTAGGTTGAGAGGCAGGGTCTGGTTCAAGGTCACCCAGTGAGAGCTTCATGGCCAAATGGGATTTGAACCCTGGTCTCCCAGGTCCTAGCCCAGCACCCTAACCACTACACCGCCAGTGGCTCTGTTACTGCACAGTAATTGCATAATAACTCCATCATCTGGGAGGAAAGCTTGCCTTTCTGAAACACATCTGACATGTTGACTTTTGAAAGGGGTGTGTAGGGTGTTTACAAGGATGATTGAAACAAGCTGGCATCCCACAACTCACGTTGTGCTTTGGTTTGCAGGTCCACTATGACGCAGCAACCTGGAGGCTACAGGGAGTCAGTGCCTTCAGCTGAAAGAGCCTCACCAAGGGTCAGCGTTGGGACGCAAACAGAGGAGTCCTCCATGCTGGAGGCAAAGCAGAGCCAGTACCTAAGCAACGGGCATCTTAAGCAGACGGAGAGCTCGGTGGTTCAAGGAAAGACAGACCAAGCCCCTTCCACCCTTGGACAGACAGGCTTCACAGAGGGCTTAGTCAGTGGAGGCCCTCTGGAGCCCGTTAAGAACTCCTTTGGGTTGCAGGCTGAGGGAGGAGGAGACCCAGGATTTGCCTTGGAGTTGCAAAATGTTCAGGAAAAGCAAAAGGTTCAGGAGGAACCCCAGGCTCGAGGCACTGGTTGCCACCTTCCTAGGACTTGCCCCCACGAAACTCAAGATGTCGGGGAGCCTCCCCCTGAAGACAGCAGAGACAAAGTCTCTGGCGTGGGGCAGTCCCAACCCCCAGCTCAGTCGCTGGGTCAGCTCCCAGCATCCCCTGAGCCTCCGTTGGAAGTGGGGAGCAGCAACAGCAGCAGCACCCCTGCCTCACCGGTCCCAGCTGTGCAGAGTTTGATGTCGAGCAAGAAGGAGCTGTAAGTGTGAAGGCTGAGGGAACTGGGCTGGATTCTTCTGGGAGAGAAACAGAAAGAGGGGCGAGTGTTTCATAAGGTTATGATTGCTCTGGATTTAGTCTTGTGGGTGTTTAAAAATAAATTAAAATCAGCAAAACTCCAGAGTCCTATTCCCAGATCCAAGAGAAAAAAGGTTGTTTAAGACATGAAGTCTATCTGCCAGAGACCATAGCTTCCTATATGCATATGCCTGGTTTAAGGCTGGACGGAGATGAGGTTTAGTTTAGTAGGTTGGAGCAGAGAGCCAGGATTCCTAGGTTTTCTGTCTGATTCTGGGTGCAGGGCAAGACCCACCCATGGCTTGATATTATGTGAAGAGGCTGTTTGCTCCCTTCTCCCCTTGCATGATCTGATTCATTTAGTTGCCTCCTTTTGTACATGTTTTTTATTCAGTTAACATATCCTGAAGAGTCTTTGTCAATTAGTGTAGGCAGAGCAAGATGGACCAATGGTCTGACTTGATATGAGGTGGATTCCTATGTTCCAGATACCAGGGGTGATAGCAGTGCTATGTGTTTCTCCCTGAGCTCCTTAGCTTGCTGCCCTCAGGTATGGCAGAGGATGTTGCCCCATTGCTGCTGTTGAAGATCCAGATGCTTGTTTAGTTGGATTCAGTACACTGAACATATGTGAACATATGTTCCACCCCTAGTGTGACACACTTAAGGTCAGGATGTGATCATCCTGCAGCTTCCTGCACACCTGTTGAAAACTGATTAACCTACTGGATGGATTTAGGACATTGGTTGGGAACGTTTGTGGCCCAGTGGGACAGATCTTTACCTCTCCCCACCCCACAGGACAACTTTAGCAGGTGGGTGGGACCACCCACATGTCAACCATCTGACATCCTAACTGACAGCAGATGACAGACAGGTTGTTTGCTCCACGGAGTTGGGGGGAAATGGAGACCATTCAGGATTGAACTTCCCATGCACCAGCTGATAACGTGGTTCTCTCCTGCTCTCCAGCCACATCTCTACCTGCTCCACGCCTGACACCAGCTGGGGAAAGCTTCCTCATGGGCCAAATCAGGAGGGCTGGCGGGCCAAATCTGGCCCACAAGCTGGAGGTTCCTGATTTAGGAGAAAGGGAATCACTGGGGCTGGCGCTATCCATAGACAGCCATCTCAGGCAGTTGATTTTGGGTATCATGAAGGAAACAAAATGGGAACCAGTTATTTATTTATAACTCCATATTTCCTGTCGGAAAAGAGGAGAGTCGTTTGTGAGATTTTCTGCCTCAGATGCCAAAATCGCATGACCAACCTTGGTTCTGGTGTGTGTTGACTTGGGGATGCACACATTCACCTCAGGCAGCGAAATGTCTCAGGTCGGCCCTGTCTCTGGGTCACTTATTGTCCTGTGATTCACCCTTTCTCTCCCCCTCTATCTTTCTGAGCTTCTTTTCCTGCTTGCTCAGAGGAGCCCGCCCCTTTCTCTCTTGGCTGAATTGAAGGTTTGGTAAAAACCAGGCTCTATTTGCAGCTGTGGGCAGAGCGTTGCCCCCACACCACAAGGCCAAAGGCAGCTGCTGCTGCTGCTGCTGCTGCTGCTGCTGCTGCTGCTTCTTCTTCTTCTTCTTCTTCTTCTTCTTCTTCTTCTTCTTCTTCTTCTTCTTCTTCTTCTGAGGGCTGTGAAGAGCTCTTCCTCAGAAGAAAGAGCCTGTCTTCTGCTGCTACTGCCACTTCTCCTTAGAAGAAGGGGATGACCAGGGTTGCTCCCTCTCAGTGGCCTAAAGCAATCTGAGGAGAAGCAAATCAGCCAATATCCATGGGTGCAAAATAGACTCACAACAAAGAGAAACAACTTCCACTCTTGCAGGCAAAGGACAACAGGGGAGTTTTTGACTGCGGGATGCATCTCTGTTACTTATTTATTTTATTTAACACAATTTCTATTCCACTGGATCGTAAGCAAACCTCTGAGTGGTCTACGAAAACAATGATTGAGTTGCATCCATAAGAATGTAAGAAGAGTCTGCCTGCTGGATCAGGCCAGAGGCCCATCTAGTCCAGCATCCTATTTGCACAAAGGGAAACCCACAAGCAGGACATGAGCACAAGGACAACGCTACAAACTTGTGATTCCCAGCAGATGGTGTTCAAAGCTCTACTAGCTCTGACAGTGGAGGTAGAACGACTGCACTCTAAGCAGACCCACTAAAATTAATGGACCTGAGTTAGGTTTTGTCTGTTAATATTAATAGGCCTACCTGGAGCAGAGGCGCTTCCAGCTGACCTGTTTATTGAGCATTCTTTCCGATTTGTTTGCAGGGAGATTAGACGACATTGGCTATTTGATGAACATTCCACTCTGATTTATTTGTGGGGAGCGCCAATCATGTTGCACGAAGGGACGTTTCATCCCACCCTTCCCAGTGCATTTCCCTGTCACTTTTCTTATTGCAAAAAGTCTGATCTTTCAGGGAAGTGAATTTGTTGTGCAAGAGCTCCAAGTCAGTTCTATTTGCACATCCTGAATTTGCCTATATGTTCTTGAGTCCCACCTGAAAGTAGCGACAGTCTAGCCCTATAGGACTAACGTTGGATATGACATCATAGTGCGGCACCTTACCTAGTCCCCCTTTCTTTCTTTCCCAGACTGCGGAGAAACAGCTCCTCCGACAAACCCTCCAAAACCAAGCAGCGCCTCTCCAAGAAGGCAGCGTCCTCAGCCAACCTCTTCAACCACTCCAGCAGCTTTGAGAAGTGAGGCGCACACAGGCACCTACCATGTATCACCCCAATTTTTCTGATTTAGGGACATGAGTGGCATTTGGTTGTATTTGCCCTGAGGGTGGGGGAGCCTGCACTCAGTGCATGTTCAAAAGCACAGTGCCACCCCAAGGTTGCACTCTGGATTGTTTATTTGGAGATGCCCAGGGGCAGTCTGCAAAAAAGAAAAAACACACTAATAAAATATAACTTCAATATCTTAAAAGAAAGGGGGGGAGGGAATACATTTTAAAATATTTGCCTGGTGCCAGAAATATAACCATGGTGCAGGTGGGCTTTTCTGGAGAGGGAAATCCACAACCACAGCACCAACACCAAAAAGACTCTGCCTCCCACTTCGGAATGGGGGGGGGGGGATTTCAGTCAGTCCACATTTAAAGGCAAACCCGGTTGATTTGCATTTTCCAAAACAAGGTATGAACCAAAACACAGCTATCTTTTGAAATTTGAATTTCTCCAGACTTTTCAATGCAGTTCTCCAGCCTAGTAATTTGTATAGAAATGCAGAATGTGTGCATAGAAATGCATATATTAGTGAAAATGAAGTACAAAAAAATCATTGCATTACAGGGAATAGGTATTGAGAGATGTTTGCACTAAAATGCTGATGAATTTGCAGGAAGATTTTTTAAAAATGCAAATAGATGTGGAATTGTGGGGAACTGAATTTAAGATTGGAAAAAATGAGGTGCTGAGAGAAATGGAAATGGACAGATTTGCACTCTGTCTCTCTTTCTGGTTGCTGTCCACCTTAACTAACACTGCAGGGCACCTGGAGGAGTATTACTGTACTGAAGATTATCTCTGGTGACTCTGGCTGCTCCCTATAAGCCAGGGATAGCCAACATGGTGCCCTCTGGGTGTTTTAGTTTCCAACTCACATCAGCCTGCATGGTCATTGATTGGGGATAATTGGGAGATGTAGTCCAAAATATCCAGAGAGCAGCATGTTGGCTAATCTGTTATCTACAGCACACACAAATACACATAAACATAGACACACACCATATATTGCCATGTGGGATTTGGTTAGGTTTGCTCTGTGGGGAGTAATAGGGTATTGTGTGCATGCTCAGAGGTCGTGTTCTTCCCAGTGCTATTTTTCTAGAAAAAGGGGTGCTAGAACAAAACACAAACACCTCCCTTGTTCTCTTAGAATGGCAATGGCGCCCACCTGAGAGGTGCTGGAACTCAGTTCCGGCTGAAAAAAAGCCCTGGTTCATTTCCTTCTAAGTTACCTACCACACAGGTAAACCCTGACCGGCCCCTTTAATGTTCTGTTTTCTCTTTGCAGCCGAACAAAGGATCCCTCCCTAAGTCCAGGTGAGCTTTCAAAGTCAAGGATGGTGAAGGGGACAATAAAGCTGTTTGGTGGGTTGGAGATGTAGTCCAAAACCTCTGGAGGGCACCAGGTTGGTGAAGGCTGCTCCAGGCAAAGATGCAGCCCCTTCTTCTTTCCTACAAATCCCTAATGCTTCCTTCCTCTCCCTCTGCATAGGGCCACTGAGCGCTCGACGGATGCACCAAGGTGAGGCTTCAGAAACAATTGCATTGGAGGGTTTGGGAGAAGAAAGCAGGCAGGAGTTTTTCTCCCTCTGTCTGAACACCAGAACTTGGGGACGTCTTATGAAGCTGAAGGTTGGAAGGTTCAGGACAGACAAAAGGAAGTCCTTCTTCACACAGTGCATATGGAAGTTTGTCCCTCAGGAAGTAGAGATGGTCACCAGATTGGATGACTTTAAAATACAATTAGGCAAAATCCAGAGGATAGGGCTACAAAGGCTAACTGTTGGAGGGGGTATGCTTCTAAGAACGTAAGAATAACCCTGCTGGATCAGGCCAGTGGCCCATCTAGTCCAGCATCCTGTTCTCATAGTGGCTGCCAAGATAACTGTGGAAAACCCTCCAACACAACCCAAGCACAAGAGGACTCTCCCTTCCTGTAGCTTCCAGCAACTGGTATCCAGAAGCATTGCTACCATCTACTAGTAGTAGTCACTGATGGCCTTTTCCTCCAACAAGTTATGAATACAGTCGTACCTTGGTTGATGAACGACTTGTGAGTCGAACGTTTTGGCTCCCGAATGCTGCAAACCTGGAAGTGATTGTTCCGGTGTTTGAACGTTCTTTGGAACCCAAATGTCCAGTGCGGCTTCCGTGGCTTCCGATTGGCTGCAGGAGCTTCCTGCAGCCAATCGGAAGCCGTGCCTTGGTTTCCGAACATTTTGGAAGTCGAACGGACTTCCGGAACAGATTCTGTTCGACTGTAGCGGTTTCTGGAAACTGCAGGAGGGGAGAGTGCTGTTGTGCTCAGGTCTTGCTTGCAGGCTTCCCATAGGGATATATAGCTGGCCGCTGTGAGAACGGGATGTTAGACTGGACGGGTCACTGGCCTGATGCAGCTGGCTCTTCGTAATGGAAGACAGAACATCTGGTGGTGCCTGGGGTGGAGTTAGGCCACACCATACATTTAAAGCACTCTTGACAGCACTTTAAACGGTAATGGCATCATCCAAAGAATCCTGGGAGCTGTAGTTTTGTTAAGAGTGCTGAGGGAGGGCTGGATAGAGAGGCCTGGGGGTGTGGGTTGTGTTTGACCCCTAGGCCTGAGGTTCTTCATCCTTAAGATAGGAGCCTAGGCAAAGTTTTATCACTTGATTCTCCTGGTTGCATCAGGAGTCCTGAAAAGTGGGTGATGCTTGGTCGTTTGAGGGGCAGGACCTCCATAGCAGAAGACATGCAGATTGACTTTTTGGGCCAAGGTGGGTTTGGCATTTGTTGTGCTACAGCTGCTGATGCCCACCTGTTCCCTCCTTCTGTTTTTCTGTCCCTTTAGAAGGACGTTCCACGAAGATGTTCCTGCGTGGCCGCCCCATCACCATGTACATCCCTTCCGACTTTCTCAACTACGAGGAGCTGCGCATGGAGCTGCCGACCGAGAAGTTGAAGCTGGACTGGGTGTATCCTTTCAGGAAGGAGGAGGCCTCCTTCCTTGTTCCGCTGCCCTCCCATTCCAGCCTTTCCTAAAGCACAGTAGCCACCACAGAATAACACTGTTTCCCCGGTGAAACCCATTCAGGGAGGGGTAGCCAACCTGGTGCCCTTTGGGTGTTGTTGGACTCCATTTCCCATGAGCCTCAGCCAGCATGGCCAATGATCAATGATGGGAGTTGTAGTTCACCAAGCTGGCTAATGAGAAAATGAGAGACTGAGAAGAATAGACTGAGAGGAATAGAAATGAACAGATAACGCTCATTCCCCCCTTTCTCTCTGTGTTTTATGCCTTATCCCACATGGCAGTGGCACCTGGAGGAGTGCCTCTGAGGAGCACTGACTGTGCCCTATAAACCAAAGGTAGCCAACATGGCGCCTTCCAGGTTTTTTGGACTCTATTTCTCATCAGCCCCATGGCCAATGGTCAAGGATGATGGGAGTTGTAGTCCACAATGTGTGGAGGACATGAGGTTGGCTATCTCTGAATTAAAGCATGCAGATCTAGGGCATAGGAGGAGGAATGTTATTTAAATTTACACTTAGCTTCTACCTTCTCTGTTTTTTGTTTCTAGCTGACTAGGTTGAGGGAAAGAACTGCAGATCAGTGGTAGAAATCTGCTTTGCATGGAGAAGGTCCCAGGTTCAATCCTCAGCATCTCCACGTAGAGCTGGGGTGAAAACTTCCTGCTTGAAACCTTGGAAATCTGCTGCCAGTCAATGTAGACAACACTGAGCTATATAGACCAATGGTCTGATGGGATTAGGCAGCTTCCTATGTTTGTTTGTATTATTATTATCATTATCCCAGCCTTCCTCCAAGAAGCTCAGGGTGGCATACACAGATCCCACACTTTTACCCACACGACAACCCTGTAAGGTAGGTTGGGTTGAGAGTTAAGCAAACCGGTTCAAAGTCACCCATTGAGCTTTGCAATTGAGTAGGGACTAGCACCCAGTTCTCCCTGGTTTGAGTCCCACCATTTGGGCCCCTGAAATAGTAGGCTCCCTCACGGGTGTTATCACAAAAGATGACAGAGCCATCGCTTGAGTCCCCAGTGACACAGAGAGCAGGCAGGCGTGGCTCCCTTGTCCTCCCCGTTTTGCATTTGTGTCGGTTCGTTGCTCCTTGACACCCGTCCCAGATATGGATACAGAGGCCGTGACTGCCGCTCCAATCTCTACGTGTTGACGTCAGGAGAGCTGGTCTACTTCATTGCCTGTGTGGTTGTGTTGTATCATGTGCAACATCGCACACAACGCCACTACCTGCGGCACACTGACTGCGTGCGCTGGTGAGTTGCGGGAGCCATTTCCCAGACCCGCAACCTGCTCCAATACTCCTGTGTATATTACCTGTATGTACACCCACAACATGAGGGATGCAGGTGGCGCTATGGGTTAAACCACAGAGCCTAGGACTTGCCAATCAGAAGGTCAGCGGTTCGAATACCCGCGGCTGGGTGAGCTCCCATTGCTCGGTCCCTGCTCCTGCCCACCTAGCAGTTTGAAAGCACATCAAAGTGCAAGTAGATAAATAGGTACCGCTCCGGCGGGAAGGTAAACGGCATTTCCGTGTGCTGCTCTGGTTCGCCAGAAGTGGCTTAGTCATGCTGGTCACATGACCTGGAAGCTGTACGCCGGCTCCCTCAGTCAATAAAGCGAGATGAGCGCCGCAACCCCAGAGTCAGCCACGACTGGACCTAATGGTCAGGGGTCCCTTTACCTTTACCTTTACCTTACACCCACAGCACAGGGACAGGCGCAGAAAACATACAGACAAATACTTGTGCTCACTCTCACACTCACTCTCATTTGCCAAAGCAAATGACAGGCAGGGACAGAGCCAGTGACAGGCATAGCCAACCATCCTCGCTGCATCACTGAGACAGGAGGAGGGAAAAGCCAACAGGCACAGCCACCCGCTGGCCTGGTTGTAAGTAAGTAAGAAGGCAGGCAAGTGTGCAGGGCTCGGTGGCTGAGAGCAGGCTGAGGTTGATGGGGCAGCACCCCATTCACTGAAATCCTCCAGCAGAGGCAGATTAGGGGAGTGTGACTGGTTCGCCTGCACTGGGTGCTGAACCAAGAGGGTGGTGCAGGAGGCACCGCAAAGATCACTTAGAACGAAAGGCAAGAGGTGGGGGGGGGGATGCTGAAATTTGACGTTGCTTTGGTCCATGGGGGGTGAGGGCAGAGAATCTGATTGAGCAAAGTGGTTTTCACCTTCTCTGGAGCGATGGGGTTAGGAGACTTTGAGTTTGGGAGCAGATGGTGGATCGGGCCCTTTCCTCTTGTGATTCTGTTCTTTCTCCAGCCTAGCAGTGCATCCTGACAAAGTCCGCGTTGCTTCAGGGCAGATGGCTGGTGTGGACAAGGATGGCAAGGTAAACCCCTAGATCTGGGAGGCACCCCAGGCCGTGATTTCCCCCCTCATTTCAGCTACATGGCTTACAAGTTTTTTGTCCAGAGATAAGATTAATTGGCTGCAGTGGTGCCATCAGATTTCAGACTTTGGGGCAGAGAGGTTTGGGGCTCCACTCAGCAAAATGAGCCAGAATGCTCCCAAACACAATAGGACTGGTGGCCTTTCACATTTTGAAGTAATGCAAAATGCTGCCCAAACCAGTCTTCTTCAACCTTGGCACCCAGATGTTGTTGGACTACAACTCCCCGATAGGAACTGTAGTTCAACAACTTGCTTTTAATTTCTTTGTGCTTTTAACTTGTTCTTAGCTTGTTATGATTTCATTGTTTGGTTTTACATTTTTACATTGCTGCAAACCGCTGAGATACAGTGTTATGATACAGTGGTATATAAATATTTTTGTAAACAAATAAACTTCTGGGGATGCAGGGTTGAAAAACATCTCTTCCTGCCTCCCAATCAGACCATGCAAAGTCCAGAATCTAAAATTACCTAACTGCCCCACTTCCTGGTTATACAGACATTAAAGATGGAATTCAATAACCTGTCAAAACAGAATGCGCTTAAATGGCAAAATCTTCTATTGGTCTGGCTACTGACAGCAGCGAAAGTACAAGTAATGCACTCCTTCAGTCAGCAAACAAAGCATTATGAGGTGTGAATAACAAATGGAACCCATTAATAAAGTGTGTGTGCACGCACAAATAAAAAACCAAGCAGGTGTGAGTTACTTGAGGAAAGGAAGATATTCATGTTATTAAAAAATAACATTTTAAAATTAATTACTCTGTGATAGACAGATAGTCCATTTGAATTAATATTCTGCTACTAGCAAACTAGCAATGTGCTTTCTATATGCACTACTGGCTTGTTTTGATCTCTACCTCTTTTTGCTCTACCTCGTTACATAGGGAAGCTGACCTTTCTTATTTCTCTTCCACTCTCCTTACAGCCTCTGCAACCCTCCGTTCACATCTGGGACTCGTCCAACCTTAACACCTTGCTAGAAATTGGTCAGGGCAGCTTTGAGAGAGGAGTTGGTTCCCTTGCTTTCTCCACAGCTGTGAGTGTTACAACTTCTCCATCCTATACGTTGGTTCAAGGAAAAAATAGGTATATAAAAAGGAGAATTTCTGGATGACAAGATTTGGGGCAAGTACTCTTTGGTGAGAGGACCCCAAGAGAGGTTTAAAACCACAAAATATGCAGCAAATTGTGGAAATACAGGATGTTAGACCTTTAAAATATGTGCCCTTTAAAGTGAGTTCCAGAATATCCCTTCAAAAGTTTATTTCCAAAGTCTTACACTTCCCTAAGCACAGAAAAAATCCCACGTTTGGTAAGTTAAAAATGGGTTTACTTATGAACGCTTCAAAGGTCAGGTTCATGTGTTTCAGAGCACAGACAGTAAAACATATCTTATATACAAAATGGTGAAAGTTCCTAAATTATTAGTATAGGAACTCAAGACTGGCTTGTGAGAGCCATGCGGTCTGAGTTGGAGCAATCATTTCAAACCTTTTTTACATGCTGAGCTTCTCAGGTAGACCTATTTCCTCCCAATGTGACGTAGCTAAGCCTGGCAGAACAACTTACTTCATGCATTGACTTAAGCATGTTGGTTATATGAGACTGGTTATCCCACACTAAATGCTATTATACATGCATTCTCTTGAGCGCTGATCCTTATATATCATTTTTATAATTACGTATATATTCCACTTTTAAGTTTGATAAGTTAACCCCATAGGTCCCTGAGCAAGCAGTGAGCTAACTGCTTCACACCATAATGCAGGCATAGGCAAACACGGCCCTCTGGCTGTTTTTGAGACTACAATTCCCATCATCCCTGACCACTGGTCCTGTTAGCTAGGGATGATGGGAGTTGTAGTCCCAAAACATCTGGAGGGCTGAGTTTGCCTATGCCTGCCATAATGGAACCTTGTGTTATGACCATAGGGCCCATCATGTAGGATGCTACTACCTACAATGGCTATGTTCTCCCTCCATTGAATGAAGCTCATGGACCACTGGTGGTCCCCAGATCACAGCTGGGGAACCTCTGTGGTAGAGCATCCCCTTGACATGCAGAAGGTCCCAGGTTTAATCCCTGGCATCTAGTTAGGGCTGAGAAAGACTCTCTGCCTGAGACCTTTGGAGAGCTGCTGCCAATCAGTGTAGACAATATTGTACTAACTCTCTGTAAAGCAGCTTCTTGTGTTCCTATCTCCCTCCAGGATGAGGGGGCATACTTATGTGTGATAGACGAGTCCAACGAGCACATGCTGTCTGTCTGGGATTGTGCTCGTGGCACCAAGCAGGCTGAAATCAAGGTGAGTACTGTGGTGGTGGTTGTTATTTGAACTTGTTTGTTGCCTGTTACACAAAGAGATCTCCAAGCAACTCACAACATATTTAAAAAGCATAAAGATAAGTTAAAAAAATAAAATACAGTGGTACCTCTGGTTACGTACTTAATTCGTTCCGGAGGTTCGTTCTTAACCTGAAACTGTTCTTCACCTGACGCACCACTTTAGCTAATGGGGCCTCCTGCTACTGCTGTGCCGCCGGAGCCCGATTTCTGTTCTCATCCTGAAGCAAAGTTCTTAACCTGAAGCACTATTTCTGGGTTAGCGGAGTCTGTAACCTGAAGTGTATGTAACCTGAAGCGTATGTAACACTACCTCGGGATACCACTGTACATGGTAATAAGAAAACATGCACACAAAATTACATTCAGTTCATAAAAAAATATATGCAAGGCAACCCCCAACAGCAGCAGTAGAAGGTTTGACAGTCTGAGTAACAGCAAACAGCCTCATTGTGGTCCATCAAGAGTAGTCACTTGGTGCTGAAAAGGTGTCAGCAAAGGCACCAGGTGGGCCTTACTGTGGAGAGCTTCCACAACTGGGGAGCCAGAAGACCCTCTCTCTTGTCTGTGTGGAGAGGCCTGGCTTTGCTGTCTCGTCTGATTTAAACGCAGTGGGTGGAATTTGATTTTGCACTATTACGATTGTTACACCAGTCCAAGCGTTTTTGTCAAATGGCAGCTTACCCCCCCCCCCCCGCAAAGGATAATCATAATACATAAGAAACAAAAGCATTAAAATAATTCTAATTGTATAAATAGCATAGTTAAAAACACCATGAAGGCCCAGCAAAAATGTTAGGGTTTTAGCTGGCATATGAAAGAGTCAGGGTAATATGCAGCTTAGCAAGGAGGTCATTCCACAGAGGCAGAGACACCACCTAAAGAAAAAATAAAATAAAATGAGAATAATACTAATATTTTGGGTGGTGGCTCCTCATAACATCATCTCCATCATCATAATCATCACCACCACCATTATTATTATTATTTATTTACTGCTTAATGCCAAAATAAGCTTCAAAGTGATTTCCAAAGCTTAAAAGCCACTTATAAAAATATAAGCATCCATAATTCAAAGTACACAATGAAACAATCCCATTAAAATGACAGCAGTGTAAAAAAGTGCCTTTCCTTCAGAACATTTCAGGGGTGCAGCAATAAGGTGGTGATCTGCTTGTCTGGAGGGTTGGTCTTCCCTACACACACAACTAAGGCACTTTGGGAGTCTTAAAACACTTTGAATAATCCTTGTGGGCATCTTTGGTGGTGCTGAGAGGCCACATCACCCTGATACCTTCTTCCTTCCACTCTCCACCCATCCACCCCATTGCACCTCGCAGAGTACCAATGAATCTGTCCTGACGGTGGAGTTCAACCCGCAAGACAGCAGCAACATAATCACCACTGGGAAATCTCATGTCTATTTCTGGACCTGGAGTGGAAACAGCCTAACAAAGAAGCAGGGAATCTTTGGGGTGAGGCAATGCTGCAGTGTGTGTGTGTGTGTGTGTGTGTGTGTGTTTGTGTGTGTGGCGGGGGGTCATTGGTAAAGTTGGGGGCCTTCAATAAAAGAGAACAGGGAGGGAGAAGTGCGGAGGGAAGGCTTCCGAATTCAAGGCCTTAGATGGTCAACCCCAATTCCTTCCTCGGAGAAAATACCAGTGCTAAACGTGGTCACAGAAAACACCCAGCACATGCTCAGATGCACTCTTTTTAGCTAGCTACGTTTTTCAACCAGAGTTTTCCTCAACTGCCTTAAGCCCTGTCTTGATAACTTAATGGTCATATCCACACTATATGTTTAATTCACATTTAAATCACATGGCTTCCCTCAAAGAACCCTGGGATCTGTCATTTGTTAAGGGTGCTGGGAATTATAGCTCTGTGAGGGGCAAACTACAGTTCCTGGGATTCTTGGCAGTGGGCAGGCTGTGTGGTGTGGGTGTGACCAGTGTCTCTGCTGACATTTTATTCTGTCCCAGTCAATGCTCGCTACTCAAAAGTCTCTCATTGTTTCCATGCCTTGCCTGATGTTAGTTGTTTGTCCAAGTTAATCTTTCTCTTTTCTTCTCCCCATGCAACTCCTCACACAGATTCCCAGATCACTATGCTATCATTTGCTAACTTCTATGTTTTACCCTGGGCAGAATCGCAAATGCAAGTTCCTTCTTGAACAGCTTCTTCTTCCCCATCTTCTTTTTCTTTCAACAACCCAAAATCACAGTAGCAGTGCATTACATTGTTAACATATACAGATAAAAGGAAAGAAAGAAAGAAATGGTAACACACCAGTATAAACCAAAGCCTACATATTTCCCAAACTGGCATGGATGGTGGGAGCAGACTTTGGTAATAGGGTGCCCTGAGCGAGGACAAAATTTGGCACTGCCCACTCCCTAAATATTTCTTATTTTCACAATAATACCCTTTTTATTTATTATTATTTTGTGCCCCCCCTCAGCTCGGCGCCCTGTGGTGGGGACAGGGGACAGCACACACTGCCCTAAATCCAGTACTGCAGACAGTGAATGTTTGGCATCTAAGTCCAAAGCATAATAAATAAAATCCCACCAGATGGTGTAGAAGCATTCTGGATCCGCCATCCCTTTGAAGACACAAAATTTATGTGTTTATTTTTCCCCCACAATAGCCAAACTCCGTCAGTTCTTGTACTACAAAGACAAATGTAGATCCCGCCCCCCGAAATTTTCCATTACTGTACTGCATATTGAAATCCTGGCTGCAGCTTACATCTGTGTTGAAAGTTATTCAGAGCAAACAAACTTTCATGCTGTCATTCCCTATATTCAGTAATGACCATTAATAGAGAAGCCTGAAGAGGCAGTTTAATTATTTTAGATATTTTTTGATAAACATCCTGCTGGAACTTTGAGATACGGGAATGAACCTTGCCCGGTTCTTCCCAGCCATCGTTGTATCAGCATCTCCCCTTCCTGATCTTTCCAGAAATACAAGAAACCCAAGTTCATCCAGTGCTTTGTGTTCGACACCAACAGTGATGTGCTGACCGGAGACTCGGAGGGCAACATCCTGACTTGGGCCAGGGTGCCTGCTGACATCCGTACGCTGGGAAAGGGGGCGAAAGGTATGCGAAGGTGAATGGTAATAGCAAACCATGGTCTGCTAGGGTGGTTCCTTGGGCATATGCTGATTTGCATACAATTTGCATATGCTATGGCCTGTAGACTGACACAGAGTTAGAAATGATTACAGGGGATTCCCCACTTGTCGCCGTTGACTTGCATGTATATGTGTGGTGCTGGTAAATAACGGAGGGAGAGAGCTGGAGAATCCTCATAACTTGCAAAGAGACGCTTCCTGGAGCCCGAAGAGGACTTCAGTTAGGTGGAGAAGAGACTGGAGGCTCAGTGGGGCTTTGTTTAGGCTGCTCACCTTCCCCACCTAACAGCTGATGCATGAGGTAGCGCAGCAGGAGCAACCTCTTTTCCGTGTGTCCTCCAGTCTCCAGCCAGCCCCAGAGCTTCAATTCCAGTTGTGGATATTTTTGGTACAGTGGTACTTCGGTTGTTGAACGCAATCCGTTCCAGAAGACTGTTCGATTTCTGAAACGTTCGACAATCGAGGCACAGAGGGCCGTCTGCAAAGTCAATGGAGAAAATTGGGGGGGAAACGCAGCGGAAGCCATTCGACTTCCAAAAAGCTTTCGAAAAGGGAAGCATTTACTTCTGGGTTTTTGGCTTTCAAAAACTGAAATGTTTGGCTTGTGAGACGCTCGAAAACCGAGGTACCACTGTACAGCATTTTAAAATCTGGAATGGCCGAGCAGGCATTTAAAGGGTGTTTGGAGCGTGCTCCCCAATTACGCAGTTTTCACTTACGCATGCAGGGCACCAGAGCATAACCCCAGCATAAGTGGGGAGTCGCCTGTACTATAATAGAAATAGATATACAATGGAGAGGCAAATAAGATGGACCAATGGTCTGACTGTACAATAGGGCACCTTCCTATGTTCCTGTGGAGAGGCATGCCAACAGAGAACCTGGCACTAATCCCTGTGTCGTGTCACCAAAAAGGAATACAAAACTGAACCAGGGTTTGACACAGGTGTGTTTTTACCTCTCTTGGCAGAGACGTACCAGATCAGCAAGCAAACGCGAGCCCACGAAGGCAGCATCTTCTCTCTCTGCCTGTGCCGCGATGGCTCGGTGCTCAGTGGGGGTGGCAAGGACCGGCGCCTGGTCCAGTGGAGCCCCAGCCTCTCCCTGCTGCAGGAGGTGGAGGTAAGGGAGGTGACTGGATCTGCACAGCAGCTCTTGGAGATTGCTTGGCGTATGTTAATAACCACCATATCCTTTGGTTTTGGGGTGGCTAACCTCATGTGGCCAGGAGGCATTCACCCTTGGCCTACTCTTTGGGGGCTGCGTGTCAGGGGTGGCTAAAAGTGGGCGTGGCCACCTCACACATTTTCACTTGCAGCCTGACGTACAACCACCCACACAAAGTATCCTTTCTGACACATCTGATGATTAAAGAAGCCGTTTGCATCCCCATCAAAGCAATGAGCTCTGTTCACCCCGGCCCTGAGTCTACAGTGGTACCTCGGGTTAAGTACTTAATTCGTTCTGGAGGTCTGTACTTAACCTGAAACTGTTCTTAACCTGAAGCACCACTTTAGCTAATGGGGCCTCCCACTGCTGCTGCACGATTTCTGTTCTCATCCTGAGGTAAAGTTCTTAACCTGAAGCACTATTTCTGGGTTAGCGGAGTCTGTAACCTGAAGCGTATGTAACCTGAAGCGTATGTAACCCGAGGTACCACTGTACTTCAAACATTCTCCCACCTTTTTGCCCCAGCCACCAGAAACAGTAGGGTCTTTGGGGTGGGTTTTTCTTTTACTAAAATGTGTTTGGGGATCTGGGGTTAGCCTCTTAACTGCTTTTGCCCCTCACTGTAGGTTTGCACCCGGAAGGGAGGATACACCTTATGGTTAAGGCTTGTTGCTCAATTAAAGAAACATTTGCCAATTTAATCATATGAATTTTAAAAATTTCATCAGATGGTTCCCTCTGGTTTTGTTTGACCCGCTTCGAGCCCATCCCTGATGGAGAAAAGTGAGTTGCTATAAATCAGGCTCCCTCAACCTCGGCCCTCCAGATGTTTTGGGCCCATCATTCCCATCATTCCTGACCACTGGTCCTGCTAGCTAGGGATCATGGGAGTTGTAGGTCAAAAACATCCGGAGAGCCGAGGTTGAGGAAGCCTGCCATTAATCCTTAAAAATAACAAAAGGAAATAAGGCAAAGTAACTTGAAGCATTGAATTTCCAAGTGGGCATGTGGCCCTCGGAAGTTTGCCCAGAAGCAAATGCGGCCCTCAGACTGAAAAAGGGTTTTAATCCATCCTTGGGTGAATCCATCAAACTTTACACACAGACCAGCTTTATAATGCCTGCTGCTTCTTTGGCAATCAGATTCCGGAACAGTTTGGTGCCGTCCGCACCATCGCCGAGGGTGATGGAGGGGAGCTGCTGGTAGGGACCACACGCAATGCTCTGCTGCGGGGGAGCTTGGCGGAGGGCTTCCGGCCCATAATCCAGGTAAAGGGGTGGGTCTGGTCGCAGGGCCTCCTCCTCAGCTGCTCCTTCCTTCTCCAGCTGCTTCTCAACGCTCTTCCTTTGCAGGGGCACACGGACGAACTGTGGGGGCTGGGCACTCACCCTTCGCGGGACCTTTTTGTCACTTGCGCCCATGACAGGCAGCTCTGCATGTGGGATAGTGGGGAGCACACGCTGGCTTGGAGCACCACGCTGGAGGTAACTGGACCCGGGAGGGGAGGAATGTGTGGCATGGCCCAGGGGTGGCGGCAATGCCATTGATGTGGTACCGTTCCATGGAATGGGCCAGTGGACACAGAGAATCAATTTGGATGGCTTTAAAAAGAGGATTAGACAAATTCATGGAGGGCAAGGCTATCAACAGCAGCTTAGCCATGTTGTCTATGTTTTCCCTGTCGGAGGCATTATGCCAGTTCCTGGGAATCACAGGTGAGCAGAGTGCTGTTGTGCTCGTGTCCAGCTTGCAGGCATCTGGGTAGGCGAGAAGTGTTGTTTCTGCATGATCATCCTACACAAAGCGGACACGAAACACATGAAAGAAGCGAATTCTTGTCCTGTTGGAAAGTTCATTCAGCAAAAAACCCCTCTCTGACTTCTAAGATTTCAATAGCCATCGGCTAACGTGCTTTGGGATTGTAAGGGTTAGAAACGGAAATAATAAAAAAATACAATGAAAATTGCACATAAGAACTTAATGTATTTACTCGAATCTAACGTTCACCTTTTTTGGCCAAATTACATTGCAAAAAATAAGGTACACATTAGATTCAATGGCACATTTACATTTGCTGGCAAATATGGTTTTTTGGTTTCAAGGTTCTGAAAACTGAGGTGCACGTTAGATTTGATGGCTCATTAAAGGTAAAGGGACCCCTGACCGTTAGGTCCAGTTGTGGACAACTCTGGGGTTGCGGCGCTCATCTCGCTTTATTGACCGAGGGAGCTGGCATACAGCTTCCAGGTCATGTGGCCAGCATGACTAAGCCGCTTCTGGCGAACCAGAGCAGCGCACAGAAACGCCATTTACCTTCCTGCCGGAGTGGTACCTATTTATCTACATGCACTTTGACGTGCTTTCGAACTGCTAGGTTGGCACGCTTGTTGTTGTTGTTTAGTCATTTAGTCGTGTCCGACTCTTCGTGACCCCATGGACCAGAGCACGCCAGGCACTCCTGTCTTCCACTGCCTCCCGCAGTTTGGTCAAACTCATGCTGGTAGCTTCGAGAACACTATCCAAGCGTCTCGTCCTCTGTCGTTCCCTTCTCCTTGTGCCCTCCATCTTTCCCAACATCAGGGTCTTTTCCAGGGAGTCTTCTCTTCTCATGAGGTGGCCAAAGTATTGGAGTCTCAGTTTTAGGATCTGTCCTTCCAGTGAGCACTCAGGGATGATTTCCTTAAGAATGGATAGGTTTGATCTTCTTGCAGTTCATGGGACTTTCAAGAGTCTCCTCCAGCATCATAATTCAAAAGCATCAATTCTTTGGCAATCAGCCTTCTTTATGGCAGGAGTAGACTTGAGTAAATACGGTAAGATGAACATGCTGGTTCAGGCCAACGGCCTATCTACTCCAGTATCCTGTTCTTCCAGTGGCTGACGAAATGCCTCTGGGGAAGCCCATGAACAGGATGTTAGTGCAACAGCATTCTCCCTCCACTTGTGATTCCCAGACATTGGTCTTCAGAGGCATAATGTCGCTGACAGCAGAGGGGAAATATAGTTGACATGGCTAATATCCACTGATAGCCTTATCCTCCAGGAGTTTGTCTAATCCTCTTTCATAGCCTCTTTCCACCTGACTGGGGCAGTTCTGTGCTTTGAACACACTGAATGAATAGCACCGTATCCAGTTAGCCACCCTATGTCATGATAGTATTTACAATAAATCTCATGTCGTTCCTCTTTCTCTCTTTTCTAGGAGACAGGGCTCTGTGCTGACTTCCATCCCAGTGGGAAAGTGGTCACAGTCGGGTTCAGCTCTGGACGGTAACTACTTGTTCCACCCCACCCTCGCCTCAACTTTTGCACACTTGGGAAGGGCAACCCTGCTTCGTTAGTAAAGGTTGCCAATTTCTTTTCTGGCCTTGAGAACACTTGTGTGAAAAGCAGAAAATCAACAGGTTAAACTTCTTCCCTCTGGCCAGAATGCAGTTAGTGGGGGAGCTTTGTCCTGTTAAATTTCAGCTTTCTGTGCACCTGCACACCGGAAAAGAAGTGCGCCCTTTGGTGTGGTCACTGGCTGCTGAGAGAATCTCTTGTTTTCTCCCTCCAACAGATGGGTGGTGCTGGACACGGAGACGCAACAAGTGTTGTCGAGCTACATAGATGGGAACGAGCAGCTCTCAGTGGTGCGCTATTCGCCAGGTTAGGCCATTGCTTCCTTTTTCACCAGTCCCTAAGTTTCCACATAGGAAACTGCCTTGTATTGAGCCATATCATTGGTCCATCTAGCTCAGATGCATTTGCATGGACTGGCAGTAGCTCTCCAGGGTTTCAGACATCTGAAGGCAGCCCTGTTTTGGGAAGATTTAATGTTTGATGTTTTGTTCCTTTACCTTTTATTGGAAGCCGCTCAGGGTAGCTGGGGTAACCCAGTCAGATGGATAAGCAATATTATTATTATTATTATTATTATTATTATCAGCTCTACCTGGAGATGCCAGGGATTCAATCTGGGACCTTCTATATGTAAGGCAGATGCCATACCACTAAGCAAAGATTCCTCCCCTAAAAATGAAGGAAGATTCCAGTCCTCATGGTTCTAGCTGGACAGCTGATTTAAATAAGAACATGGGAAGCTGTCTCATCTCAAGTCAGATCGCTGGGTCCATCGAGCTTTGCATTGTATATACTGACTAGCAGCAGCTCCTCAGGGTTTCAGACAGGGGAGCTTTCCCAGCCATTGCTGGAGATGCCAGGGATTGAATCTGGGGCCCATCTGCTTGATGCTCTGCCACAGAGCCTTCGCCCCCACCCCAGCATTGTTTCTCTGTCCTCCCCCTGCCTCTAACTCTGCTTTTACCTTCTTTGGCAGATGGGGAGTTCTTGGCCATTGGCTCCCACGACAATTTCATTTATATCTACAGCGTAGAGGACAGTGGGCATAAATACACCCGTTTTGGCCGCTGCACGGTGAGCATATTATTGATTGGTTCGTTGGTAAGCAAAACCAGACCAGATGCTTCCTAACCTGCACATTTCCTCTCCCTGCACTCCAGGGACACTCCAGTTTCATCACACATCTGGACTGGTCCAAGGATGGGAAATTCATCATGTCCAATTCTGGGGACTATGAAATCCTGTACTGTAAGTTCCATGTCTGAGCAGGAGGGGGAAGGAAGCTACATGTTTTCTCAAGGTGAAAACCCTGAGATGACAACTTCTGAATCACAAACCCCTTTAAAAAAAATTATTCTGCCCTGAAGTGCATTGTGCGGTAATTCCTTTAGCTACCAAGGTGTGGAGCTGCTGTTTTATTTCTGCAGTAAGGTACATTGGTTAGGGAAACAGAAATTTGGGAGAAGTCCCTGAAGTGGTGGAGAAATGGAAAGTCCTGAGCCTTTGGTTAATTCTGAGACCTGATAGTTGTCCCCATGTGGTGATCTGGTCTCTATTTGCTTCCAGACCACCTGCTTATTGAGCATTCACTGTGATTAGTTTGTGTGGAGCTTAGATGACACCATATATTTAAAGGACATCCAACATACATTTAAAGTACATGAGCCTCCCCCCCCCTGCACTCAAGAATTCTGGGAACTGTTGCTCATTAAGAGTTCTGGGAATTGTAGTTCTGTGAAGGGGAAAACTTTAGTTCCTGGGATTATTTCGGGGAAGAAGGTTGATTGCCAAAGAATTGATGCTTTTGAATTATGGTGCTGGAGGAGACTCTTGAAAGTTCCATGGACTGCAAGAAGATCAAACCTATCCATTCTGAAGGAAATCAGCCCTGAGTGCTCACTGGAAGGACAGATCCTGAAGCTGAGGCTCCAATACTTTGACCACCTCATGAGAAGAGAATACTCCCTGGAAAAGACACTGATGTTGGGAAAGATGGAGGGCACAAGGGGAAGGAGACGACAGAGGACGAGATGGTTGGACAGTGTTCTTGAAGCTACCAACATGAGTTTGACCAAACTGCGGGAGGCAGTGGAAGACAGGAGTGCCTGGTGTGCTCTGGTCCATGGGGTCATGAAGAGTTGGACACGACTAAACGACAACAATGTGCTTTAAATGTGCATTGTGTGTACTTTCAGTGTGTAATGTTGAACTTCCCAAAGTGTTATTCCACATTTTCTAGTGCATTTCCTCATCCCTTATAGCAAAAGTCTGGCTCTCTTCGGGGGGGGGGGGGAGCAGACAGGTTTGGTGCACAGGTCTATCATTTGACTTTAACTGTGCGACCTGAAAATGCCAGTATGTGCCTGAATTGTTGTTGCCACCTGTCTGTCTCAGGAGTGCGCTTCTGAGGGTGAAGTCATATGGCTGCTGCATTAGCAGCACCAGAGTGACCTCCCCAGGGTGCAAGTCTAGGCAGTGTCTATGGAGTTCCAGGGTTGCCCAGAAGACAATAACCCCCTCTCGGCCTGTGACTGAATCGTACCGGAAAATATCAAGATCCTAGGAGTGCCCTCTCTCTGGGCAACAGCCTGGTATCCTCTGCAAAATTAACCCTTACTTTTGCATGTCGTGTTCTCAGGGGATGTGGCTGGAGGTTGCAAGCTGCTGAGGAACCGCTTTGAGAACAAGGACCGTGAATGGGCCTCGTATACCTGCGTGCTGGGCTTTCATGTTTTTGGTGAGTTTGGAGGCGAGATAAGAAAAACAAGCCTACTCCGCTGGTTTTGTTGAGAAGCTAACCTGCTGGGTTCTATGTGCTAACCTAGCACATGGCGGCGGGGTGTGTGTGTAGAAAACATAGTCAGGCCATTGGCCCATCTAGCTCATTACTGTGTACTCTGACTGGCAGCAGCTGTCCTGGGTTTCAGGCAGGGAACTTCCCCAACTGTACCTGGTGATTGATCCTGGGACCATCTGCATGCTCTCTGCCACAGAGTTGCATCCCCTCCCTGTAAGATTCTGGCCTTGATTTCACCTTCTTCTCCATAGTACTCATCACATCTCACTTCCCCCTCTCTCTTTCCATCTGCTCACAGGTGTGTGGCCTGACGGATCAGATGGCACCGACATCAATGCACTTTGCCGCTCCCACAACGAGCGGGTGGTGGCTGTTGCAGATGATTTCTGCAAGGTGCACCTCTTCCAGTACCCGTGCGCCAAGCCCAAGGTAGAATGGAGTTGACTTGAGGTGGGGGTGGGAGAAGAGGTTGCTCGTAGGCAAGGATTAATTCAGCTCTGAACTGGGCTAGGCTGGGGATAAGGGCATGAGTTCTGTCTTCTGATCACCATTCTAGGCTTGGGTTGATTTCCTTGACTTCAGAGGGTACCTGTACTTTCAAACTTATCCCACACTGTAGGCTGGATCCTGGTGACTCTAGGCTCTCTCAACCTAATCCAGTCTCTTAAGGATCATAGGCAAGGCTGCTTTCGCCACATTCCTGCATCTGTGCCACTCAGCTAACCTTTAAGGGTATTTCTCGGCCAAAAGATGCTAGCTGTTGTTGGACTACAACTCCCATCATCCCTTACTATTGCCCATGCTGGCTAGGGCTGATGGGAGTCGCAGTCCAACAACAAAATCTGGAGGGCACCACATTGGCTTTCCTGTGCTTAAACATCCCCTTGACGATGCCACCTTTTCAAAACGTTTACCCACCTTTTCTTCTTTTCCACAGGCACCAAGTCACGTCTATGGCGGCCATGGGAGCCACGTCACCAATGTGCGTTTCACGCACAACGATGGCCACCTTATCTCCATGGGGGGCAAAGACACCAGCATCTTCCAGTGGCGAGTGGTGGGTGGCAGCCTTGCCCGCAGCCAATCCCTCTCTTCTGCCTCGGTCTCCTCCCAGGATGCTGGGGTCAGCACCTGAAGCCAGCGGGAGGGGAAGAAGCAAAATCTCATACCCCAGTATGGTGACTAAGCCTTTGCAAGAGAGGATGATGGGGCTGACCTCCCATCCCCATGACTCGTTCTTGTGGACTGAGTGCTCAGGTTGATGGATCCGTGGGAAGGCGGGAGTCTCTTCTCCCTGCCAACTTAAATTTCCTTTGGCTAACAATGTGATTTGCTTTATTAACATAAGGGTGGGATCAGCCAGGATACCTAGCAGTCCTAGGCTCAGGAGAACTGGCACCGTGAAGGAAAATGTCTAGCCTGTTGTGTGTGAGAAGGCAGAGAGATCTGTTCCTTGTCTCTCAGACAGGAGTTTTTGGAGAGAAGGACTACTTGTGAGTGGCGAGGGGACAGGGGTGTAGATTTGGGGAACTCTCTGGAGAATGTTCCCTTTGAACCTCAGTGATGTTTCCCTTTCAAGCCTGAAAGATGCTGAATTCTGTTAAGTCCAGAGAAGATGGGTAAATGTCTCTATCCACACACCCCTCCCCTTACTGCCATCCTTCCGTACTTCGTTTACATTCCTAGTGATTCTGGCAGGGGCTGGATCTGATGTGTAAATAGCAAGCGCAAAGAAGGGCCTTAACACTGTGAGAAACGCAGAGAAATAAACCTTTGCATCCAGAGTTCTGCTGTTCCGTGTCTCTTTTTCCACCCTGGACGTGGTGAAGGGGGGCGCAAGGACAAGGACTGCAGCAGGAATTTGCGGCCTAGCTGGTAACCATGGTTACCCAACAACACAGGATAACCTGCAGCATAATATTTCAACTCCCAGTGACACCAGTTGTATTTTTATAGGAGAGGGGAGTGAGGGGAAAAGATAACTTTTCTTTTTTTAAGTGCAGCTTCAGTGCTGAGTTTTGAAATCTACATGTAGTTGAACAATGACCATATGCCCCATAAGTGGCAACTGTAACAGAAGCCTGGGCCAAATTCAATGTTTGTGAAGTAGAGAGGGGCAGAAAATGTTTCCTTTGCTGAAAAAAGTGTATTTCTGTGTGTGCACATGGTTGGGTTGTTTCTGAAACAGACGGGGGAGATACCAGTATTGCTTATTATTGTTGCACTTTCCCAGTCTCTGAGCGGTGCGAGATTCCAGGGTTTCCAAGTACGCTTTAACCAGGGTCCATGTTTCCTTTTGGAAATGAGGCACAGTGGAGACTGTGGTGTTTTAATGACAGATGATTTATTTGCACATATATACAATGGAGGGGTTCACAATAGGGTCTTGCTTCTCCCATAGCTACAGCCCTGGATTCAAACAGCCATCAGCCATCGTGCTCTGCCTGCTACTTTGCTTCTCGATTACGGTACATCACTCCTCACTCCAACCTCTCTAACCTAAGATCTGGCTTTATATTTTAATTAACCCTGAGTTGAGATTTACCATCTCATACCAAGTTCCTCTGGTCCTTTGTAGTCTCCTTGATTACTTGTTTTGTTTTGTTTTGAAATCTAAGAGGTAAATGGAGCAAGTATCTCCTAGCACAGGGGACGCAGGTGGCGCTGTGGGTAAAACCTCAGTGCCTAGGACTTGCCGATCGTATGGTCGGCGGTTCGAATCCCCGCGGCGGGGTGAGCTCCCGTTGTTCGGTCCCAGCTCCTGCCCACCTAGCAGTTCGAAAGCACCCCTAAGTGCAAGTAGATAAATAGGTACCGCTTTATAGCGGGAAGGTAAACGACGTTTCCGTGCGCTGCGCTGGTGCTGGCTCGCCAGAGCAGCTTCGTCACGCTGGCCACGTGACCCGGAAGTGTCTTCGGACAGCGCTGGCTCCCGGCCTCTTAAGCAAGATGAGCACGCAACCCCCGAGTCGGTCACGACTGGCCCGTATGGGCAGGGGTACCTTTTATCTCCTAGCACATCTTTAGCAGCCCTAAGTTCTTTTGTATAACTGGTGGCATATGAATATGCAATAAGCCTGCATTTTGTGTGCATGTAACTTGTGTACATTTAGCTTCATACACTTGGAAATTAAGAATAAATAAATGAAAGGGGGTGGAAAGGAGTCCAGGAAAAAAGACTTTGGCAATGCCACCCACCACTGCACTCAATGTGTTTTGACTATATGCATTTTTGGCTTTAGGCGTGATCCCCGGAATGTAACCCCTGTGTTAAGTCTAGGGCTTACTGTACTTCACATTTGTAAAATAGTCGGTCGTACCTCACAGGGTTGTTGTGAGAATAGAAAATCACTAAGGACATGGTGGGTTTATAAGTCTGCAGCAACAAATAAAGAGGGAGCAGATAGGACTGTGCACAACATACATTTAAAACGCATCCGGCCCCCTCCTAAAGAAACCTGAGGACTGTAGTTTATTCCTAACAGAGCTGCGAGTCCCAGCAGCCTTACTAAACGACAGTTCCTACGGGTTTTTTTGTGGAGGGGAGAGAACTCTGCCTCAAATACATGGTGTGTATGTAGCCCACGGTTGGTTGTGGAATTATTATATTGCATATAAAGGTAAAGGTAAAGGGACCCCTGACCATTAGGTCCAGTCGTGGCGCTCATCTCGCTTTATTGGCCAAGGGAGCCGGCGTACAGCTTCCAGGCCATGTGGCCAGCATGACTAAGCCGCTTCTGGCGAACCAGAGCAGTGCACGGAAACGCCGTTTACCTTCCCGCCAGAGCGGTACCTATTTATCTACTTGCACTTTGATGTGCTTTCCAACTGCTAGGTTGGCAGGAGCTGGGACTGAGCAACAGGAGCTCACCCCGTTGTGGGGATTCGAATCGCCGACCTTCTGATTGGCAAGTCCTAGGCTCTCAAAGAAGGATGTTATTCTCATTATAGGGGATTGGAATGCTAAAGTAGGGAATCAAGAGATAAAAGGAACAACTGGCAAGTTTGGCCTTGGAGATCAAAACGAAGCAGGGCAAAGGCTAATAGAGGTCTGTCAAGAGAACAAGCTGGTCATCACAAACACACTTTTCCAACAACACAAGAGACGACTACACATGGACATCACCAGATGGGCAACATCGAAATCAGATTGATTATATTCTCTGCAGCCAAAGATGAAGAAGCTCTATACAGTCAGCAAAAACAAGACCTGGAGCTGACTGTGGCTCAGATCATCAGCTTCTTATAGCAAAATTCAAGCTTAAACTGAAGAAAGTAGGAAAAACCACTGGGCCGGTAAGATACAATCTAAACCAAATCCCTTATGAATACACAGTGGAAGTGAGGAACAGGTTTAAGGATTTAGATTTGCTGGACAGAGTGCCTGAAGAACTATGGGTGGAGGCTCACAACATTATACAGGAGGCAGCAACTAAAACCATCCCAATGAAAAAGAAATGCAAGAAAGCAAAGTGGCTAGCGGGGGAGAGAAGGCAAGCAAAATGCGAGGGAGATAGTGAAAGATACAGGAAATTGAATGCAGATTTCCAAAGAATAGCAAGGAGAGACAAGAAGGCCTTCTTAAACGAGCAATGCAAAGAAATAGAGGAAAACAACAAAATGGGAAGAACCATAGATCTGTTCAAGAAAATCGGAAATATGAAAGGAACATTTCCTACAAAGATTACCATAATAAAGGACAAAAGTGGTAAGGACCTAACAGAAGCAGAAGACATCAAGAAGAGGTGGCAAGAATACACAGAGGAAGTATACCAGAAAGATATGGATGTCTCATACACCCCAGGTAGTGTGGCTGCTGACCTTGAGCCAGACATCCTGGAGAGTGAAGTCAAATGGGCCTTAGAAAGCACTGCAAATAACAAGGCCAGTGGAAGTGATGGTATTCCAGCTGAACTATTTAAAATTTTAAAAGATGATGCTGTTAAGGTGCTACACTCAACATGCCAGCAAGTTTGGAAAACTCAGCAGTGGCCAGAGGATTGGAGAAGATCAGTCTACATCCCAATCCCAAAGAAAGGCAGTGCCAAAGAATGTTCCAACTACCGCACAATTGCACTCATTTCACACGCTAGCAAGGTATGCTTAAAATTCTACAAGGCAGGCTTAAGCAGTATGTGGACCGAGAACTCCCAGGATTTAAAAGAGGCAGAGGAACCAGAGACCAAATTGCAAACATGCGCTGGATTATGGAGAAAGCTAGAGAGTTCCAGAAAGACATCTACTTCTGCTTCATTGACTATGCAAAAGCCTTTGACTGTGTCGACCACAGCAAACTATGTCAAGTTCTTAAAGAAATGGGAGTGCCTGATCACCTCATCTGTCTCCTGAGAAATCTCTATGTGGGACAAGAAGCTACAGTTAGAACTGGATATGGAACAACTGATTGGTTCAAAATTGGGAAAGGAGTACAGCAAGTCAGTAAATTGACTCACAGGTTATTTAACTTATATGCAGAATACATCATGCGAAAGGCTGGGCTGGATGAATCCCAAGCTGGAATTAAGATTGCCGGAAGAAATATCAACAACCTCAGATATGCAGATGACACAACCTTGATGGCAGAAAGTGAGGAGGAATTAAAGAACCTTTTATTGATGGTGAAAGAGGAGAGCGCAAAATATGGTTTGAAGCTCAACATCAAAAAAATGAAGATCATGGCCACTGGGCCCATCTCCTCCTGACAAATAGAAGGGGAAGAAATGGAGGCAGTAAGAGACTTTACCTTCTTGGGCTCCATGATCACTGCAGATGGTGACAGCAGTCACGAAATTAAAAGCCGCCTGCTCCTTGGGAGAAAGGCGATGGCAAACCTAGACAGCATATTAAAAAGCAGAGACATCACCTTGCCAACAAAGGTCCGTATAGTTAAAGCCATGGTTTTCCCAGTAGTAATGTATGGAAGTGAGAGCTGGACCATAAAGAAGGCTGATCGCCGAAGAATTGATGCTTTTGAATTATGGTGCTGGAGGAGACTCTTGAGAGTCCCATGGACTGCAAGAAGATCAAACGTATCCATTCTGAAGGAAATAAGCCCTGAGTGCTCACTGGAAGGACAGATTGTGAAGCTGAGGCTCCAATACCTTGGCCACCTCATGAGAAGAGAATACTCCCTGGAAAAGACCCTGATGTTGGGAAAGGTGGAGGGCACAAGGAAAAGGGGACGACAGAGGATGAGATGGTTGGATGGTGTTCTTGAAGCTACTAGCATGAGTTTGATCAAACTGCGGGAGGCAGTGGAAGACAGGAGTGCCTGGCGTGCTCTGGTCCAGGGGGTCACGAAGAGTCGGACACGACTAAACGACTAAACAACAACAGGCTCTGTGGTTTAACCCACAGCGCCACCTGCATCCCTTATATTGCATATACTGGGGGCAATAAATAAAATGGACAAACTGACGTGGACGTAGGCACACTTTCGAGTTAGTCAGAACACTTCGGCATCCACCCAATAGGTTTCTTGCGTTCTGCGTAGCAAGAAGCGCCAGCACATGCGAGGAGGAGCAGGGGCTTCGAGGAAAGGGTTAATCTCTTGACACCGAAAATGAAGACAGCCGAGCGGCGCGGCCTTGCGCCTAATTTGCGAAGTGACGTAAAGACGCCAAGGAGCGTTCTGAACTCTTGCCACTAAAAAGCAGTCCAGACCCGTCCTCCCTCCCGCTTATAGGGGGAAAAGGTTTGTTTTACGGAACGACCCGAAGGCATCCGGAAAAACACGAGTGGCGCTCGTCCATTTCCGGGTATGGTCAGCAGACGTCGCCCTCATTCATCCGTTGGTAGTATTGGGGGAGGGGGGAAACTGGCCGGGGAAATCCCCGTCTCTTTCCGACCTCTTTTCCGTAAAAGCCCGAGATGCTGTAAGGAAAGGCGTGTTCTTTCGACGAGCGAGAACCGGAAAAAGCCGAGGGTTTCCGAAGATTCCCGAGGGGGCTTTCCGGAGGTTCCCGAAGGACTTGAGGCTTGGCCGGCGCCGGCGCTCGCTGCGTGAGAGGGAGACGACAACGGCGGCGGGAGGCGATGAAGAGCGGCCGGGCCCGGAGTTCCTGAGGGGGCCGCGGCGGGCCGGGCCGGGAGTAGTCGAAGCGCCCCACAGGCGTCATGGCGGCCAATATGTACCGGGTGGGCGGTAAGGAAGGAGAGGGGGGCGGGGGGAGAGGCTTTTTTTTTTTTTGCCTGTGGGGGGGAAAATGGGGGAGGGGCGAGACACGAGGGGAGGAGGGGTTGCTGGCTGGAGGGGGGAATGTGAGGGGAGAGGCAGGGAACGAAGGGGAAATTAATAGGTGAGGGGGGCTAAAGGGGTTCAGCACCAGGGGTTAAAGATATAGAGAGGGCTGGTGGGGGAGGGGGGGTCGGGGGTGCATTGAGGAGTTGGGGGAGGGGACCTTGTCTCACCGAGGAGGTGAGGGGGGCAGGGGGGCTAAAGGGAGGGGGGCTGGACCCAGGAAGTGGGACTAAGTTTATTTGTACAGTAATGTGAAAAGGGGGGGGGGGCTTAAAAAAAAAACCACCATGGGGAGTATGGTGGAGTTTTGTGTGTGTGTTTATAAAGTTAGTTGTGGGGGCTGGGTTGTGGATCAGGGGGGTTGCTGAGAGGAGCAAGGAGGCTGGCTGAACTACCTAGTTTGTGGGGTAAAAGGGTTTGAAGAAATAAGGGGGATGCAAAAGAAATGTGGGGTGTTTGGGTGTGTGTGAAAGGAATAAGGGGGGGGTAGTTCCAAGCAGTGGGATGGAGACTTGAAGGGAGGTGGTTTGGTAAAGTGAAAAGGGGTTAGTGAAGGAGGTTGGGGGGTGGGCTGGCTTTAAATTGGGGTGCTGTGGGGCAAAGGGTGTTCCTAAGGGGCATGGAGGGGAGTTGTTGAATAAAATAGTTTGGGGTGGTTTGAGGTTTGTGAGTAATACATGGAGGCACTTGGGTCTAAACAGGTTTGGGATACTGGGGGCACCAAGAGGGTTTGTTCCAAATAGTGGGATAACGTTTGGAAATAGTTTGTTTTAAGGTAAATGAGTGGAGGGAGGTTTTTTTTGGAGGGGGCGCTAATACTGGAAGTGGTAAAATTAAGAAGTAGCAGGCATAGTGGTAGTGGTGGGACTTAAAGTGCATGTGGAGCAGGGTGGCGAAAAATAGAAATATGAAGGTTGGGGAATATTAAAGAGGTATAGGGAGGAAGCTGTTAAGAGGTCTAGTTTGAAGTAGTAGCACAAAGATTGGAAACCCAAGGGGTTTGTTTGTGTGAATGCACATGGATGTGTGCATATTGGAGGTCAGTATGAAAGAATAGGTTGGGGTACTGGGGATAAGATATGGGGCTGGGCAGGGGAGTTGGGGGCATGAAGGAGTTGGTTGGAGGACTCTCCTGATTATGTGGTGGATGGGGCAGGCTTAAGAATTCAAAGCCTTTGTAAAAAGGTTTAACTTGAGGAGAGGTGGCGGTTTAAGAGTCTGGCCAACCCTTGTTTGAGTTTGGAATTTGGGTGAAAGAATTTGCGAGGGGGACACTAAAAGTATGGTGGGAAACATAATTTCCTCTCTCCCCTGCTAAACAGTTGGCTGCAGCAAGTGAGAAGAGGGTGAGCTGTTTTCAGTCTCAGATGTGGTGGTAGAGAAGTGAGGTCCAAAAGATTGGGGTGGGTGGGTGAAACAAGACCAGACTGGTGGGAAATTGGGGGGGTGTTAAGTATTGGTAGAAATGTCAAGATCTGGTTAGTTGTACAGGGAGGTGTGAGGAGGATGTGGTTGGTTCTGGGAGAGAGTGGGAGCGAAGAAACAGATGGGGAAGGGCCTAATACACTTAGGGGCCGCACAACTTAGAAGTTGAGCAAAGGGTCTTGTTGGATTTCAGCTGGGAGTAGTTAGAAGTCTGGGCCTGTCAGACTGGGGGGCAGGGGAGGCAAGGAGAGTGGTTTGTGCGCGGAGTTAAGAACAGGATGCTAGAGAGTTGGTTTTAAGAGTCTGCAGTATGTGAGGTGCTGAAACCTCCATAGTCAGAAGCAATATAGATGATGGGGGAAAAACACTGGAGAGCCATTTCTATGGTGCCTTCCTTACAGACTTCCGGGAGGCATCTGCTTGGGGTTTGTGATGCTGAACTAGGGTTGTAGCCAATGCTATTCCTACTCAGAGTAGACCTATTTAATTTCATAGCAGTGACTAACAAAGGTTCATATATTTCATTGGGTTTGCTCTGAGTACAACTTAGCTGGAAACAACCCAGTGTTTTTCGTCTTTGGTCAATTTAGAACACTCTACCAATATACAGTGGTACCTCAGGTTACATACGCTTCAGGTTACATACGCTTCAGGTTACAGACTTCACTAACCCAGAAATGGTACCTCGGATTAAGAACTTTGCTTCAGGATGAGAACAGAAATTGTGCTCTGGCGGCTCAGCAGCAGCAGGAGGCCCCATTAGCTAAAGTGGTGCTTAAGGTTAAGAACAGTTTCAGGTTAAGAACGGACCTCCAGAACGAATTAAGTACTTAACCCGAGGTACCACTGTACCCCCACCCCCTTGCCATGATCAGTGCCGCTAGAATTCCCAGCGTCACAAGGCCATAGGTCAATGATAGAGGGCACAGCTTGCTTGCAGAAGTACCCAGGTTCAAAAAGTTCCGGTAGCGGGGCTAGGAAAGACACATACACACAGGGCTTTTTTTCAGCTGGAGCTCATTGGAGCTCAACTCTGGCACGTCTCAGGTGGGTGCCATTGCCATTCTAAGAGAACAAGGGAGAAGTTCATAGTCAGCTCCAGCAACTCTTTTTCTAGAAAAATAGCACAGCATAGACACACTCATGTGTGTGTGTGTGTGTACACACACACAGGAGAGAGAGAGAGAAACATGCTACTTGCAGTCTGATTAGATAATAAGGGGCTGGATGGGCATATGTTCAACTGTCTCCCTGTCTTTCTTTTCCTTTCACCTTCAAGCTTCTCATTCTTGCATTTTAAACCTGCTGCCCTCATTCCCTCCTACTCTCCTGTTCACAAGCTGTTGGGCCCCTTAGTCACCTCTTCCCACTCTTATCTATCTCTTTAACCACCCTGCGGCTCCCTTGGCCTGGAATATCCTCCCTCTCCCTGGTGACAATTCCCCTCTCTTCTAGGCCCCTTCTCTGAAGACTTAACTACTTCAGCCAAATGGTTGGCTGCCATCCACCCTTTGCTTGCCCTCCCATTGTTACCTGATTCTCTCTCCAAGCCTGACTCCCCCCCCCCCCCCCGCTTCTTAATTTCTCCACCACCTCCTGTTTAATGTGGGCTGAATCTGAGTCACTCATATACTGTATTGCTTATAGTGGCTAGTACTGGTAGGAAAACAAAGAACTTATTGGTAGTGGTGGAAATAGGCCTTGCGGAAGCGCAACAGGCAAAACCAAACCTTTTCTTACATGTCAGACAAATGACTGGCAACCACACCTGGGTTGGGGCTTGGGGCTTGGCTACTTTGGAGATCAGGGATGATATATATTTATATTGTGTGGCTGGCCGGCCTTCTGCACAATGGCTTTCACCTTCAGCATTCCCATAGTGGTGATATTGGCTTGCTTTTATGTGATTGTCATAAAGATTCAAATATAGTTGTGAAACACTTTAGACAGAATGGTTTCTAGCCTTTCCCTGGCTTTAGCCACTGATAGGTATGATTTGCACCTAACAAAAAACAAACACTCTATAACTCTGTGTGGAGGCAGCCTGCCTTTTGTAGCATGTAAGAAATATGCAGATCAGGGAAATTTGCATGTAGTGCTTCTGTTAATGATGGGGGGGAGCAGGGCACTGAAGCCTCATTCCCTCATGAGGGTTGGTGAACCAGTGTCCCTCCAAAAACTGCTGGATTACAAAATCCAATACAGTGGTACCTTGGAACTCAGATGTAATCCGTTACAGAAGACTGTTCGACTTTTGAAACGTTTGAGTTCCAAGGAGCCAAAACATCTGAGAATGGAGCCATTCGAGTTCCAAGGTACCACTGTAATTCTCAGTGACCAACAACATCATTGGAGAGCCAAAGGTTCCCAGTCCCTTCCCTAACTATTAGAATAGATGTGAGGAACCTTTAGTCCTCCTGATGTTGCTGTATTACAATGCCTATGAGCCCCAGCATGCATGACCAATGGCCAGAGATGATAGGAGCTGTAGTTCCGCAACGTACAAAGTCCAAAGTTTCACCACACCTCCATTAGAAAATTCTGGATTCTGCAGCTTCAGTAGGCTTTTCCCCCCACCCAGCGCTTTCAGGCTCACCTTTTTAAAGGTTCAAATTCTGCTTGCTTTAAAAAGTGGGAAATGAAAGATGCTTATGTTGAACTCTTCATCTTGCTGTCACATTCCATGGGGGTACACAGAGCATAACTGCAGAGAAGTGGGAGGTTCACAGCTCTGAGTGTGGGACTTCTGGTGGAATGGACAGAGGGTGCTGTGGAGGGTGGGGCTGAGCTGCAGGGTGGCAAGTCTTGAGGCTGGGCCAGAGGGGAGAAGTACTGAATAGTCTTTGTCCTGGATAAAATGGGATGGGCTGACCTAGATTAGATAAATCTTCATATTTTTCCTAAGGCACTTTGATGGGTTTGATGGATATAGTATTCCTATACGCAGTACAGTGGTACCTCAGGTTACATACGCTTCAGGTTACATGCACTTCAGGTTACAGACTCCGCTAACCCAGAAATAGTACCTCGGGTTAAGAACTTTGCTTCAGGATGAGAACAGAAATCGTGCTCCGGCGGCGCGGCAGCAGCAGGAGGCCCCATTAGCTAAAGTGGTGCTTCAGGTTAAGAACAGTTTCAGGTTAAGAACGGACCTCCGGAACAAATTAAGTACTTAACCCGAGGTACCACTGTATGTGCTTGAGCAATGGCTACTAGCTATGGTGAATGAACAGAACATCCATGTTCAAAGGCAGTCTGCAAGGGAAGGTGGTTGCCTTTGTGACATGCTTAGAGACTTCTTAGAAGCATTCTTGTTGACTGCTGTGGGAAATGGGATACTTTACGCAAATGGCCTTTGAAGTAAGCCAGCCAGACTTTTAATATATTCTTGAGGTGTATCTATGACAACTCCTGTAGGTGTCAAGAGAATGGGCTGTAAATGGGGAAGTCTTTAGTTCAAATCTCAGCTCGGCCATGAACTTGACAGGTAGTATTAAACAATCTCCCCAGCCTCAGGCCCTTATCTGTACAGCATAACAGGGATAATAGTCCTTCTGGCCTATTTTACAGAGGGGCTATCAGGATCGGTCCAATCAGGGACAGACAGAAGGTGATTGAGACCTCCTGATCTATTTCTGGATGATTTGCATAGCTCAGCAATGAAATAATGACATTTCATTATTTACCAAAACCAGCAACAAAAAAAGCTCCCCACCTTCCCTCAAATAGGTTTCTGAAATGAGTAAAGCCTGGGGAGAAACCAGGAGCAAATTTTCATGTGAAAGGACTTGGAGGAGGTCATTTCTTACAACTTCCAGGGCTGAGCATTACCAATGCCTCCTCCACTGGCAGTGCTTTGCACTTGTTTCTAATTGGTGGACTTTGAAGGTCTCGTGTAAATAAAAAAAAGCACAGGTTGCTTGCACAACTTACCTTTGATGCACATTCAAAGCACATACCTCCCCCAAAAATAAGAATCCTGTGAGCTGTAGTTTATCCCTTACAGAGCTACAATTCCCAGCACCCATAATAAATTGCAGTTATCAGAATGTGCTTTAAAGGTATGGTGTGTACACAGCCACAGTCCTGAAGTGTACCTGCCTTGGGTTAAATAACATCCATGAAGCATTTAAAGCAGGGTTGGGGAATCTGTGGCCCTCCAGACTACAGTTCCTACGATCCCTGACCATAGGCCATGCTGGCTAGTGTTGATGAAAGGTGGAATCCAGCAACATCTGGAAGAACACAGAGCACCCTAGGAGGGAAAAACGTTAAACATCCACTTACATTGTTGTTTCAGGAGCCAGTGTCTCCTGAGAATATGTTCCTGCTTTCCAGCTGCTGCTGCTTCCACTCCCTCATTGCCTTTTGTTTTGCCCCTCTTACAGATTATGTCTACTTTGAGAATTCCTCTAGTAACCCCTACCTCGTCCGCCGCATTGAGGAGCTCAACAAGGTAAAGACAGCACTGGTTGCGGGAGGCAGAGAGATGGGGCAGGGGGGTGCTGGGCCTATTGTAGCCAGGGAAGCCAGGATATTTGGGAGCTGGGGGAACATGGGGGGTGAAGTAGGAAGCTGCTGGGTGTGGTGAGGCACTTGAAAAGGATCCCAGTAGTCCCCATGACTCAGAAGCCATAAGTTTTGTGGTCTCAGGCCTCTGGAGCTTTCTTCCGCTTGAGGTTACATAGGCACCATTCAGGTGCATGGCAAATACTTCCTTATTCAAATGGGCATTTTTAAGGTAGTGTTGATGGTTTATGGTGAGATTTCATTCTCTGTGTTTACTTTTATGTACTTAGACTGGCTAATGATTAAGTGGTATAGAAATGCCTTACATAAATAAGAACAAGATCTTGAGGCCACTGTTGCCTGCCCACTAATAAACAGCATTGCCCCTCTGCTTCTACCCCCAGACGGCCAATGGCAATGTGGAGGCCAAAGTGGTCTGCCTGTTTCGACGGCGTGATATATCCAGTAGCCTCAACAGCCTAGCCGACAGCAATGCCCGTGAGTAGTAGGGTCCCTGGTGTGCTTTGCATGTTCTTTGGAGCCAGTAGCTGTGGAGTATATTTAGATTGGGGGCGAGATGTTGCACTGGGCCTGTTGGGCAGGGTAGCGCGTGGGCCGTGTGTCTGGGAATGGGCCTTTGGCAGCCTCTCTGGTGACACCAGCTGTGCTGGAGGAGGTTGTGGGGGAGAGGAGAGGCACAGAGGTGGATAGGGAGCTGTTGCCCTCAGGCTGGAGCAAGAGGAGGAGGGAATCCACCTAGGAAGAGAAAACAAGAAAGGAGTGTGTGAAAGGCTGCCCTACCCTCTTTCCCAGAGCAGTTGTATCTGAGAGCCCTGGGAAGCTTCTTTCTATCCTAGCAGAAGTGGAGACTTAAGCAGATTGATTTGGGGGAGGGTGTCTTTATTTCTCTCCACCTGCTTGCTCACAGATCCAAAATACAGAGCAGCAGTTAGTTGCTGGCTGTTTGCATAATACATTGACTCTTTTAAAAACTTTGGCAGGGGTCGGATAGGAGAATAAGGTGCATGTAGGTAGGTTTGGAAACTTTATGCTTTCTTCCGTTGGAGAGGGGCCTTTAGGGTCTTTGCGGAACTAAATCCCGGTGGTGAAGGCCAGGAGGTAATATCTGCCTCTGACCCTTATAAAGCCTAGCCTTCTCTGAATCCTGGCACTGTCGTCAGCTGCTGAAGGGTTAACAGAAGTAGGATGGGGTGGGAGGAGCTTACATGACTGCTTAGGGCTTCCTGGCCTCTTGGAGCAGGGGCTGTGACCTTGACTCTGTCCAATCAGGCCAGAGGAGGAGGAGGAGGAGGAGGGCTGGTTCAAGGCTGCCTCTAATCCACAGGCCCACCTTTCCTTTGCAGAGGGTTTCCTGAGTCAAAAAGCAGGGGCGGGAGGGGAGGGTGGAGTAAGCATCCTTCAAGTCCCTCCCTGGGACTCTGCCAAGTTCTGAGAAGCAGAAGGGGGTTGGGAGAACAATGCGCCTCTTGGTGGACGCTGCTTCTTGGCTGCTTCTGGGAGGGTGGCTGAGTGTGTGTGTGTGTGTGTGTGTGTAGACAGAGAGAGAAACTGACATGCAGGCACATGCTGTGTTGCTGGAAAGGGGAGCGGAAATGACGACCCTTTGACAGCAGCGAGTAGGGCACTGTTGTGTTTTTAATAAAAAGGGGAAATTTGGGTTGCTATCCTAATCCTGCTTAATTTGGGAGTAAGCCCCATTGGAGTCAATAGACTCCTGAGTAAACATGGTGGCTAGATCTATGCTGGGAAATGATCAAAAGGTTGGAGTATCTGAGGTGCTTTAGTAGTTGGGTTTTTTTGGGGGGGGGGAATCGATTGGATCGGGGGTCATTATAGGTGTTACAATTGGAGGAGGGAAAATATTTCTCTCTTTCTCATAGTACTAGAACTCAGGAACACTCAGTGAAAATGAGAGGCAGTCGATTCAGGACAGACAGAAGGCTTTTCACGCAATGTGTAATTAATTAAACGATGGAAGCCGCTGCCATAGGATGTGGTGGTGGACTACAACCAATGTGGCTTTTAAAAGAGGATTAGACAACCTTTTTTTTCTTTTTTCTTTTTACCTTGCTCTTCAACCAGAAAAGATTCCTAGAATAGCTTATTATTGTTTGTCGGAAGGGAGTTTTGTTTTGTTTTATTATGTATTTTGTGTTCTCATTTTGTATTTTTATGTTGTGAACTGCCCTGTGATGATGTTCAGTTGTCAGTAAGACAATCTCTGCCTCCAGGGTAACTATCTGCAAGATACGAGATACAAGGAACAAGGGATGGGGACTAGCAAGGGGTGGAAAGAAAGCTCAGGCACCAGTTCTTAAACCTGTAGTACTTAAAACAATCAGCTGGGATGGAAACCATGTAGGGTAGCCTGATGGCATCCCCCTTGCTAGGTGACTTTGTGGGAGAGCTAAAGGCAGCTGGTTTCTTGGCAGAAGTGCTTCTCTTTTCTCCCTTTGTTCTACAGCCTGGTGGACTCATAGTGGGAGAATAGGTGTATTAACTACCGTATTTTTCGCTCTGTAGGACGCACTTTTTCCCCTCCAAAAATTAAGGGGAAATGTGTGTGCATCCTATAGAGCGAATGCAGGCTGCGCGGCTAAGCCCAAAGCCAGAACAAGGAGACGGAGCGCTGTGGAGCGCTCCATCTCGCTGTTCTAGCTTGGGGATGGCTGTGCAAAGCCTCTGCAGGGCAGTGGGGTGCCTGCACCCCGCTGCCCTGTGGAGGCTCCAAAGGCTGTCCCTGGAGCCTTTGGAGCACAGCAGGAACTTGCGCTGCGCTCCAAAGGCTTCAGGGATCTTTGAGGCTGGCGGTGGGGGAAAGCAGCACTTCCCCCCACCGCCACCCCCACAACCTCGGGGGGCAGCGGGAAGGTGGCTTGCTGCCTTCGCGCTGCTCCCCGACCTGATCTTTGAGGCTGGCGGTGGGTTTCGGGTTGCCTTCACTGAAGCCCGGAGAGCGAGAGGGGTCAGTGCGCACCAACCCCTCTCGCTCTCCAGGCTTCCAAGGCTTCCTGAAGCCTTCAGAGCGCAGTGGGAACTCCAGAGGCTTTGGGTGAATGCACCTTGTTTTAGAGGGGGAGAACAAGAAAAAAAATAAATTCCTGTTCTCCCCCTCCTATGGTCTGGTGCATCCTATAGAGCGAAAAATACGGTAAGCATGATACTGAGAATAGAACCTCCATGTTCAAAGGCAGTATACATGTTTGAATTTAATTTATCACCATTAGATCCAAGCCTTCCTCCAGTGAGTTCAGGGAGGCAAACCCCATTTTAAACTCACAACAGTGCTGTGATTTTAGGCTTTGGGTGTGAATGTGTGATGGAACGAGGGGCCACCCAATGAACTTTGTGACAAGCAAGTATTAAAACCCACATTCTCCAAGTCCTATGTTTTAACTATTGGCACCCTGGCTCTAAGACATTAGAGAGAAACAGGAGAAGGGCCATTGCATTTCTGCACTGCATGTGAGTTTCCATATATGTCTAACTGGTTGCCATTGGAAGCGGAGTGTTGGGTTGGGTGGGCCCTTGATTTGATCCAGCAATCTGGTTTTTATGTATTTTGAAAAACCTGATTTTAGCCTTTTGAGTAGTCTCCATATTGATTTGGGATGATTGCTGGCTAAGTCAAAGGAGCCACATTTTGCAGTTTCTGGGGGAGATGGAATTCCTGGAAGAGAACACAGTTACCTTCTGCCTCTTTCACCCCAAAACAGGAGAATTTGAAGAAGAGTCCAAACAGCCTTCAGTGTCGGAACAGCAGCGGCACCAGCTAAAACACCGGGAACTCTTCCTTTCACGCCAGTTTGAGTCTCTGCCCGCTACCCACATACGGTGAGGAGAGGCTGGAGACAATTGTTATATATCACTATATTTGTATAACACTATTAATAATAAAAATATATCAAACAACCATACACACACAGTTGAGAGAGCTGCTAGGCTAGACGCGGGTTCTGTTTTTCTTTGCAGGGGGAAATGCAGTGTTACGCTGCTCAACGAGACAGACATCCTCAGCCAGTACCTGGATAAAGAGGTGAGGCAGGTTGCGTAAAAAGGAATGTATGTGGCTTCTTGCAGAGTCCCAGTGTTCTGGACTTGGGATAAGAGGGTATCATCCCTCAGCTCCATCAAACAGAATAGTAGGGAAGGCATCCCCCCACTTCTGTTCTCTTTAGGCTTTGCAGAAGGAGTGAAGACATCCTCCTACCACCAGAAACTGAAGAGACTGAAGGTTTTAAGGGTACCTCCTTTTAACTTGCCATGTCCCCTTTTCCTCCCAGGATTGTTTTTTCTATTCGCTGGTCTTTGACCCAGTTCAGAAGACTCTTCTAGCTGACCAGGGTGAAATCCGGGTTGGCTGCAAGTATCAGGCAGAGATCCCAGAGCGGCTGGCGGAAGGTGAGCAAGGAAAAAACAAACAAACACATCACTTGATCACTGAGTAAAAAGAAAGAAAGAAAAGTACTTCCCTCGGTTGGTGGGATCATGGCGGTCTGTGCATTGACAACCCCTCTCTCATACTCCCTCAGGAGAATCAGACAATCGAAACCAGCAGAAGATGGAAATGAAGGTGTGGGACCCTGACAACCCTCTTACTGACCGGCAGATTGACCAGTTCCTTGTGGTGGCTCGGTGAGATCCGGCTGGGGGGTGTTGTGGCTTCTCTTGCCAGTCTAGCTCCAGCTCCTGCGGGTCATTAACCCTCCCTTTTCTTCCTTCAATGCCAGGGCTGTTGGCACCTTCGCTCGCGCCCTTGACTGCAGCAGTTCCATCCGGCAGCCCAGCCTTCACATGAGCGCGGCTGCCGCTTCCCGTGACATCACGCTGGTGAGGGGGCGAGGAGGGAGAGAAGGGCAATAGCTGTGGGTGGGGCATGACAGGTGGGGCAGGGCTGTATATTATGTATAGGTAAAAAAACTGCACCCAAGCCCTAGGTCGGGAAGAGCCAAGGGTTGAATCCAGTGTCAGTTCTACTCCAATCCATGGAAGTTACTAGGCATTACTAACTTGGATCCATCAATTACAGTAGGTCTGCTCTGTTGGATACAACCCCGAGATTTGCAAAATGCTAATTTAAAACCATGCCAATTCACTTATTTTCACAAAACTGTCTGTTAAACAAAAAACAAAACAGCTTGGTATAATTTATTCAGTTAAGACAGGTGAGAGACAAGGAAGTCTTCTACTGACATTTGGATCCATATTCAAACATCCCTCTAGCATTGTTTTCAAGCCTGTGTTTGCAACCATAAGGACTAGGGGCTCAATTCAAACACCACACAAAACCATATGTTAACCATAGTTTACCACTAGAACCAACTGGTCTTTGAGCTTCCTTATTTAGAAGGAGCAAGCCATGGTTGTGAGGCTGCTTTTCTGCTCCCTTGCCCCAGCCCCAATCTGCTCAGCAGTCTGCAGAGGCCTCCAGAGGCAGAGCAATGGCTACAACTCAGATTTGTTGATTCAGATATGGCACCAAACTATAGCACAATCTGCTTACCAAACCATGGTCTGGTTTGCTAGCCGATTGCAAATCATGGTTTCTCAATTCAAACTTTGCGTCCAACCATTACAGCTAAGCTTCCTTGAGCTGATGTGAGGGTCTGAGATTCTGAGGAAACCTAAGTTCTGACCCCGTACTACATTCAGCAGACTTTACAATCCCAAGTTGCACAATTGCCTCCTGTTCTCTATCTTTTCTGTCCCCTTCTGTCTTGGCAGTTCCATGCAATGGATACATTGCAGCGGAATGGCTACGACCTGGCCAAGGCTATGTCAACACTGGTGCCCCAAGGAGGCCCCGTGCTGTGCAGGGACGAGATGGAGGAGTGGTCGGCTTCCGAAGCAATGCTCTTTGAGGAGGCCCTGGAGAAATATGGCAAAGATTTCAATGACATCCGGCAGGACTTTGTGAGTTGGGGCCATGAGTTGGGTGGAAAATAATGGTCAGAGTCTCCTGTGGCTCTACTTTTTACCCCCTCCCTTTCCGTTTCCCCCAAAACTGGGAAGGGTGTCTTCTCCCCTACTCTTGCAAAAGGGACATAATCATTTCTCCTCCTGATAAGCAGACAGACCCAGTTTCTAATTTGCCCCAGAACTCAGTCTTTGGGATGCTTGTAAAACTGGTATTGTGTACAGAAGTGGTTTTCAACTGATGTGCCGTGGCACCCTGAGATGCCTTACTGTGAAATAGTAAGAAATACTGCAAAAAAGAGAGTAAGAGGAAAAGGAGTGGGGAAAGGCAAAATCATGTTTAGAAATGCGTCAATAAATAGAAATTTTTCGAAAGATTGACAGAGAAACTGAGGGAAGTCAAAAATTGAAGCATGAGTGTAAAATAATTTGTTGAATGTACAAAAGTTGTTTGGAAAATGAATAAAAATTATTTAAAAAAGAAAAGAAAAAAGAGATGTCTTGGATGATGGTTTGGGAAGCCATGGGCAGCGCCAGCCTCTGTCCCTTCTCCTTTCCTACCTCCTTTTAATAGATAGATTAGATTGCGTGTATAAGATTGATAGAAATGGCCACGCGTGGCAGAAGCAAGGATAGCAATACCTACAAAGCGCACCTCACAGGAAATGTAGTTCCCAAGCCCTGCCTCCACCTTGGAGGGGGCTACACTGCCCGCAGGCAGGCTGAAGGGGAGCCGCAGAAAGAATGTAGTTGGTCAAGGGAGCTGTGGACTCCGAAAGGTTGAAAACCTGGTGTGCAGAGTTCCTTCTCTTCCAGATTCCAACTGCTTCCCTAGCTGTAGTTTGTCCCCACCAACTGGAGGGCTGCCCAGGGTCAAATGCCGGCTCCCCCCCCCCCCCCGCAAACTGGTGGTTCAGGCCAGTAACTGTGCGTTCCCTTGAAGTCTTGTCTCTCTTGCAGCTCCCGTGGAAGTCCCTTGCCAGCATTGTGCAGTTCTACTACATGTGGAAAACCACGGACCGATACATCCAGCAAGTGGGTGAACTGATTTCTGCAGAGCTTTTGGGGTTTGGCAGCGAGGGGGGAAGGGACCATGGCTGGGGTGGGAGAGTCCCGTTCCTTGCCCAGAGGCTGCACCTGCCTGTGGACTCCCCCCCAACCAAGTGGCCTTGATAACGTGACACTCAAGCAGAGACCCTGTGAAAGTCTTGACCTTCTCACGTTCTCCTTTTCCTTACAGAAAAGGTTGAAAGCAGCGGAAGCTGACAGCAAGCTGAAGCAGGTGTACATCCCCACCTAGTGAGTATTCCCCATCCACCTCAGGGACCAGCAGGGACAGATGCGTCCAGAGTTCAGCCTGGCCTCTTTAACAGCATTTGTCTTCTTCCCCCATCCCTTCCACACCACCCAGCACAAAACCCAATCCAAACCAAATCATCTCTGTGGGCTCCAAGCCTGGCATGAACGGGGCTGGCTTCCAGAAGGGGCTGACCTGCGAGAGCTGTCACAGTGAGTACCTGCCGGGGGGCATTGTATCTCTGAGGACAGGGAAATGGCACAAGCACAGTGCAAATTGGTTTCTGTTCATCAGTGGTGACTCTGACAACAGCGTTGCAGTGTTTCACCCAGCGTGGGTGGGCTCCGTGTTGGTTCACCCACCTGAGTTATTTGCCTCCTAACCTGGGGGGGGGGAGAGGATCTAGGGTTTCACCTGTCCAAGTCGATGACCCCTCTGCCTCCCTTTTGCCCCACAGCCACCCAGTCAGCACAGTGGTATGCTTGGGGTCCCCCCAACATGCAGTGCCGCCTGTGTGCCTCCTGTTGGATCTACTGGAAGAAATACGGGGGCCTGAAGACCCCGACACAGCTCGAGGGAGCAGCCCGCAGTGTCACGGTAAAGCCTGCTCTAGTATCGCTAGTCCCTGATTTGAACCCGAAGTATAACATTTGCTGTCTTCACCGAAGCCTCTAAAATTGCTATATTCTTCTGGGTTCTACCTGTAATGGCTACTAGCAGCAGCAAATTCAACAGTGAAGGGGACTTTGCTCAGAGGATTTCCTGGCCACATCGTTCTTATCTCTCCATGAAAGCAGCTTTGCCCAGGAACAAATGGTTAGCTTTTTAGATTTTGATACCACATTGGCAGGTGGTACAGTGCTGGCCTCTTTTTGTTATGTTGTCATTGACATAGCTGGCATCTTGCCACATGCTGGTTCTTTCCTATTCCCTTTACTTTGGGGGGGGGTCATTCACTTTGCAAGCTGAGCGGGGATCTCACTGTATTGCCCCCTTCTCCCGTTTTCCAGGAGCCACACTCCCGGGGCCACATGTCTCGGCCAGAAGCCCAGAGCCTCTCTCCCTACACGACCAGCGCCAACCGGGCCAAGCTTCTAGCCAAGAACCGGCAGACCTTCCTGCTGCAGACCACCAAGCTGACCCGCATTGCACGCCGCATGTGCCGGGACATCCTGCAGCCGCGTCGGGCTGCCCGTCGTCCATACGCACCCATCAACGCCAATGCCATCAAGGCAGAGTGTATGTTTTGTGTGTGTGGTGGAGAAGGGCTGCTTGGAACAACGGAGGAGCTGGCGGATCTCATTCCTGTTGTTTGCTCTCCCCTCCAGGCTCTATCCGGCTTCCCAAGGCCGCAAAAACGCCTCTCAAAATTCACCCTCTGGTGCGGCTTCCGCTGGCTACCATTGTCAAGGAGCTAGGTAAGGAGACTGGGGTCGGGCTTATGTCTCACATCTCTTGACGTTGGCCTGATCTCCAAATCACAATTATTGCCACAGGTTTGTGCACTCCTTTCTCATGTATGAATTCCCCTCTCCCTTCTATGGTTTTGCTGTGATGTTCAAATCAAGCAAAAATATGACTGGGATTAACTGGGATTTCCTCCAAACCATGATTTGCAGACAATCCTGACTTCCTGTGAATTCCAAATCATGGGACATAAGAAGGAATTGCGCACCCCCCCCACCAACCAGTCCACAACCCATTTGAAGATTGTGTCCCTCAATATCGGTTGCTGGGAATTGCAAGTGGGGAGAGTTGCTATTGCACTCAGCTTCCGCTTGTGGGCTTCCTTATGGGCATCTGGTTGCCCACTGTAAAAGCAGGATGCTGGACTAAATGGGCCATTGGCCTGATCCAGCAACCAGGCTCTTAGGTTCTTATGGTGTCAGTCTGGTGTCTTGGTATAGGGGAGAGAGGAAGCTTTGGCCCAAACAAGCTAGTTTCTCCTTCCAAAAACATCAGATGTTTATAAGAAAACATATCTCCCAAAAATGGGAAGCAAGACCACTAGGGGAAAGCCTGTGTTTCTCTTCAGCAGTTGCCCACCTAAGACAATGCTCTTGTTCTTCCAGCTGCACAGGCTCCCCTGAAACCAAAAACCCCCCGAGGCACCAAGACGCCCATCAACAGAAACCAGCTGACCCCGAACCGAGGCCTGGCTGGCATCGTGGGCAAGCGGGCGTACGAGAGTGTGAGTGCCGCTGGGCTCTGGAAGGTGGGCATCGAAGGGCGGCGGTAGCATTTGGGTGTGATTGAGTGTGATGTTATGGAGACCTTGGGCAGGGAGAAGGGGTGTAATAGCAGCAGGCATAGTAGAGAGTGTCAAAGGATTGTATCCGATGTTAACCCCACTCAGAGTGCACCTGTTTACAGTGGTGCCTTGCAAGACAAAATTAATCCGTTCCGCGAGTCTCTTCGTCTTGCGGTTTTTTCGTCTTGCGAAGCACGGCTATTAGCGGCTTAGCGGCTATTAACGGCTTAGCGGCTTTAAGAAAAAGGAAACAAACTCGCAAGAACTGTCTTGCGAAGCAAGCCCATAGGGAAATTCGTCTTGCGGAACGACTCAAAAAACGCAAAACCCTTTCGTCTAGCGAGTTTTTCGTCTTGCGAGGCATTCGTCTTGCGGGGCACCACTGTAAATGAATGAACACAACCAAATTGGTTCCATTGAAATCAGTGAGCCTTCTCTAAGTGGAGCTTGGGTGGGTACCACCTTACAGTTCTGAAAGTTTATTTTGTGTGCTTGAGGGAGGGGAAGACCCAGACATTTGAAACCCTAAAAGGGGCAGAAAAGGTAAATAATATTTTTAAAAAACAAACTGCAAAATGGTTAGTGTTCACTGTGGCTGATGCTACTTAAATTTCCCATAACTCCTTTTTCTTTTTCTCTTTGGGAGAGTAGGAATTTATTGTTTCTGGGGGGAGGTCTTTGTTCTTTCTGGGCCTACAGCACGTGCTCTCTCTCTCTCTCTCTCTCTCTCTCTTTCTCTCTCTGTAAGTTCCTCTCTGCAGTTGGTGGGGAGGATGGGTAGCCAGTTTCCCCCAGCCAGGCAGCATAAGACTCCCCCTCCCATTTCGGGGCAGGGTGAGACTGACTCAGGATGGCGGGGGAGGGCGGGAGCCAGCAAGAGGTGGACACTGCCTTTGGGGTTTCCTCTCGCTGATAGCTCTATGTGCGACTGGGTGCAGGTGGCAGGGGGCGGGCTCCCCTTCTCGGCCAACGGGCGGCCCATGACTTCCGGAATGAGGTCGAGCACTCAGCCTGCCATCAAGCGTCAGAAGCTGAACCCGGCCGACGCCCCCAACCCAGTCGTTTTTGTGGCTACCAAGGACACCAGGTACTGGGGAAGGGATTTAAAACCAAAAAAAATGCAGTTGGGGTGAGCAGGAAGGCGATGGAAAGGGTGGCGCAGTGGGCAGGGTGTTTAGCTTATCCCTTCTCTGGCACAGGGTTGGTACTGGCCTCTTCTGTTCAGGGCTCCTGTCTCAGATATGGAGTTGTGTGCCAGTTTTCTTATCAGGAGCAAACAAATTAAAAATGGAATTCCCTTCCCTCCCCGCAAGTCCTGACAGCTATTGCTGTGTGCTCCATAATGTCCTTGGGACATTTACCCATTTAACCACCCCTCTTTTCTGCAAGAACTCTGGGCGCAGAGAGATGCTCCACTCTTCCAGACGGTCAAGGGCCCTAGGGCAAGAGGTAGCAACCCAGCCTGTAATTCACCTGGGAAATTTTAGTCAGGTTGTTGCACAATAGTGGATTCTCTCTCTCCTCCACCTTTCTGCCACAAACAGGGTGTGATTAACGTGCAAAGAAATGTAGATTTTACTTGATTTGTTTGTTACGTATTTTTGGGTTTTCATTAAATTCTGGAGATTTTAGATAAGAGTGTCAGGTTCCAAAAGCTCAGAAGGAAATATGCACGAGGCCCCAGTGTGTGCTTCTGTTGTTCCCCATTGCACCAGCAAGGTCTAGAAAATGGCCCTTCTACGTTTTAAAATGGATGCAAAGAAGTTCAGAAACCCAGGCATGTGGAACTATGTCCCTCCTAGCCATCATACACAGCTTCTGTCACAGAAGCAACCACCTATGCCTCATAATTGTTTGTGCCCAAGGCACAATCTTTCCCCTTTTTTTTAAGGTTTTATTTTCAGAAATGGCAGATGCTACAAGTTGTGTAGCTTTGGCACTGGCAACAAGGTTTTATAAACCCTGTCCGATGCTGTTTAGAGACAATCCCAATCTCAGGCCAGAGCTGCAGTTGGAGGGAAAGGGAGTTTAAAAAATACAAGCCGCAGTAGGTGCTGGGATGGGTTGAAATAAAATATTGTTTATGGGCCCCACAAAAACTGGGCCGGCCAGGTGTAGGGGTTGATTCTGGCGCTGCCCTGCCAGGCTGCTCACTGCATCTTCCATCACCTTCTGAGGCGCTGCATGCACCACGCGGCCTGTCCTCTTTGGTTAGGCTCTGCGGTGTTTGTGCCCCTGACGCCCTGCGCCTCTTTTGCTTTCCTTCCCCCAGGGCGCTCCGCAAGGCCCTGAGCCACTTGGAGATGCGCCGTGCCGCCCGCCGGCCCAACCTGCCGCTCAAGGTGAAGTCGGTGCTGCCCCTCCGGCCTGTGGCGGCTCCTCTGGTACCCGTACCCCCAGCCCATCCTGCCAGCACCAGCGAACCCATCATCCTGGAAGACTGAGTGCTGTCGCTTCTCTGGCGCCCCCTCTAGGATCCTTGTAGCCATCTCACCCGACACCAACACCCCTTTCCCGCCTCCAAGGCCTGTCTGGCAGAGAGAACTTCAGAGCTCCAGTTGCCAAGCGTTTGCTGGGATTGGGCAGGCGGGAGGGGGACATCTCTTTCCCTCCCCTCCCCCCCCCGCAAAGTTGGATACTGGACACCCTTCATTTCCCCCTTTTTATATATATATATGTATTTTTTAATTTCCACGTTTTCCCTTCCTTTTTTTACCCTCCCCTAACAATTCAGACTTGCGCACAAAGCTGGCCACTTCCCTCCCCTCCCCATGGCAGCACTGTAAATGCAAGTTGTGCCCTCTTCTGTGTGTGTGTGTTTGGGGGTCAGGGTGGAGAAGACTGTAGGGATGGCATGGACTTGGGGAAATACAGAACCCCTTTCAGAGTGACTTCCATTCCACCCCTGCAGCTGTTTTTCCTCCTTCTTTTTTTTTGTCTCTATGTCTCCCCCCCCCCCTTCTTTTTTTTTAAAAGTTGCCCTCTGGTCCCAAATACCCATGTATCTGGGAAAAGAGGGGCAGCCCCAGCTGTCTGTAAACATGGCTACCCTTGCCCCTCCCCTCAAGCCTTTGACAAGCCCATTTTTTGTACATGGTTTGGAGAGGAAAAAAAGTCAGGTTTTTTTAAGTCAACCTCTTACTGGTTCTTATAGCAACAAAATAAATAAATGCTGTTTTCTTCACACCTTCCTCTCCTCTCTTTTTTTCCTTTTGCGTGTGAGGGAGCTTGTTTGGGGAAAACTTGGTGCATGTGTGTTGCTCCTTACAGGGACGAAGGGTTTCACTTTATTGCCTTGTGTTAAGAGTGGATAGCCTGGACCTACATAGGTTATGCCCCTCCCCCTCCTTTCTCCCTTAGGGAACTGGGAGGCAGGAAAACCTGGAATGGCCCTTCTAAATTTTGCAGATGCAGGGAAGAGAACATCACTCACTTCTTAGATAAGACACACAGATAAAGTGAGAGAATTAGCTTTTAGTCCTTGAATTATCCACTGGTACTTGCTGAGGACAGGATAGAAAGGGAGGCTCTCATAGACTCAGTATGTTCACTGTCCGTTAAAAAACACCTGTGCTTTTCAGAGACTTGTCCTCCCAGTGTAACGACTCCGGCTTCAACCCTGGAAAAACACTTAGAGGCTCAGTTTAACTTTTCATTTCAATGGAAAGAAGTCCTCACTTTTACCACTTTCATCCCTGCCTTGTTGATGTGGGCCCTAAAAAAATTCAGTTATCTCATGCAAGAGGATGGTGGAAACGGCACTGCCTTTCCGCTCTTAGCCCAGACAGTCTTCTAAGGCAAATCCCTTATCTGACAGGCCCTACAGCTCTCTGCTAATCTCAGTCCTCATCTGGGATTAAACTATTCAGATTATAGAAATGCCTGTAGACTAAAGTCCGTTCTGGTTGTGAACGGCATAAAATGCACATCAGCTTTTCAGGAACATTGGGAACCTTTCCTGCTGAAGACGGGCTGTAGTGATGGAAGGTGGGGGGGGGTGAGATCTTCAGGAAATCAAGAGACGCAGCATGGGGCCGGTGTTGGAGGAACAGGAAGCCATGCAGAGCCAGGGGTTTGCGCCATCTCCCGCCCCCGCTTTCTTACCCAGCATAACCCACGTGTTTCCTACTCATAACTGTATTGGTCTCTGGAGTGAGGATTTGAAAGTTTCAGAATGAAGGGGGAGTTGGCTGTGATTGGTCACACAGTAACCCGAATCCCTCATGAATTGTCACAAGTTTGGCAACCTACACGTTTGGGCTTTGTACTAAACCACATTCTGGGACCCTGAGGCCCCTTTCCTTTTCAGGGGCCTACATCATCTGGAGCAGGGATTTCTAAACTTCTTTCCCCCACGAACCACTTGAAAATTGCTGAGGGTCTCTGTGGACCACCTGTTGCGCCTTTTGTAGCAACTGTAATGTGCTGTGCTAGCTGCCTTAGGAATTTTATTTTGTATTTTTATTGATTTTATTTCTTATACGATAAAATACAGTATTCCATACTATAGTACAGTAAAATGAAATATGAGCTTTTGCATACTTTCTCCCTTCTCTCACACTGAACCAACCTTGTAGGGCAATGGGAGCTTTGAGGATTAAGTGCAAGATTTAGTTCTAGGAAAGCTGAGAGGATTGAAGGTTGCTAAAACAAAAGTAGGTGCCAGTAAGAATATCAGAAGAGCACTGCTGGATCAGTCAAAATGGCCCATCTAGTCCAGCATCCTGTTCTCACAGTGGCCAACCAAATGCCTCAAAGGGAAGCCCACAAGTGGGACCCGAGTGCAAGAGTTCTGCAGTTTCCAATACAGTGGTACCTTGGGTTACATATGCTTCAGGTTACATATGCTTCAGGTTACAGACTCCACTAACCCAGAAATAGTGCTTCAGGTTAAGAACTTTGCTTCAGGTTGAGAACAGAAATCGTGCTCTGGCCGCGCGGCAGCAGCGGGAGGCCCCATTAGCTAAAGTGGTGCTTCAGGTTAAGTACAGACCTCCGGAACGAATTAAGTACTTAACCCGAGGTACCACTGTAACTGGCATTCAGGACACTGCCTGCAGTTATCTATGATGGCAGTGGGTTTATTCACAGCAAGGGCCAGATTCCCTTCTGGTGTGGCAGGAATATACCAAAGGTGGGCAGCAGCAGAGGCAAAAGTGAGCAGAGCAATGGAGGTTAATGGTACCTTTGTATAGGCAATAATGGGAGTAAAGGCCTCTGCAGCCTTCCCAGGGCTTGAATTTCCTGTTTGCGACCCAGCGGCAGTAGTACCAAGAATTCTGTCTTAACTTGCCCAGGACAGAGAACCCCTCACATGCCTGAGGCTTCCTCAGCCTTTGGCTGCTTCGCTAAGCTACCTTAATGGCGTGGGTGTGCAGCTTGAAACTGCCATTGTGCTCCAAGTCGTTTTAAATGCCGGGAACTTATAAAGGGTATGGCCCCTTTCCCAAAAGAGCTGCCCCACTATGAAATCCGGGCCTCCGCAACTTCTGTAAAAGGAACCACCAACTATTACCCATGAGCAAGCAATGCCAGAGGCCTGCAGGTAGCAGGTAAAAAGGTAAAGGTGCCTCTGACCGTTAGGTCCAGTCGCGGACGACTCTGGGGTTGCGCGCTCATCTCGCTCTATAGGCCGAGGGAGCCAGCGTTTGTCTGCAGCCAGCTTCTGGGTCATGTGGCCAGCATAACAGCTGCTTCTGGTGAACCAGAGCAGTGCACGGAAACACTGTTTACCTTCCTGCCGGAGTGGTACCTATTTATCTACTTGCACTTGGACGTGCTTTTGAACTGCTAGGTGGGCAGGAGCAGGGACCGAGCAACGGGAGCTCACCCCGTCGCGGGGATTTGAACTGCCGACCTTCTGATTGGCAAGCCCTAGGCTCTGGTTTTGACCACAGTGCCACCCGCGTTCCCACAGGTAGCAGGTAACAGCCAACTATTCAAAACATTTTTAAACTGGGCAATTCCTCACAACACACTGTTGGTACCTTTCATATCACCCTTTGCTGACCAACTGGCAATACCTATTTTAACTATCCTTCTGCACCACGGCTACTTTGTAACCCAGGATAGGGGAACCCAAGGACTTCTCTAGGTACACCTTGGGATGTCTCCCTAAGTCACAAACCTTCCCCAGCCTCAGTAGCTCCTGCTCTGCACCCTCCTTGGGCGTTTTTGCTTGCTTGGAATGTCATTGCACTGTGAAAATGCTTGCTTACCAGGACAGAGAGATGTTGGAATGGGAGGTCCCACCCATTTGTGTCTGGCACAGAGCTACTTCCTTTGTTACCTTAATGGCCCACACTTAGAAGGCTATTGCCTCACCTGGAAGCTAGCCTGGCTATTCCTGGAACTGAAGCCCTGTTGGATCCAGGAGTTAGAAGGGCGCTCAGGCATACAATTTACCCCGCCAAAACTCTTAGCAATACATGCACAAATATGTGAAGGGGAATAACACGTGTAAGGAATCTAATATGAGGTAGTTTTGGGGGGGCTATGTAGGTGCAGAAATGGAAGAGCTCAATGGAAGAAATTCGCCTCCACCATCTTAGCTGTAGGCGAGGCGGTCCCTTCTTCCGTCCTCTTTTGGGCGAGAGGGGAGAACCGCAGTCGTATTGGTGGGGGGATTTTTCTCTATCCCTTTGGCAGGAATAAACTCGGTAACGCCACATGCGGCTTCTACCACGCATATGGCGACCGCCGAATCGCAACCGGAAGTAGATTCTCTAAGCACCCCTAGGAGCAACGACGGCGAGTGGAGGAAGAGAGAATTGCGCCTAGACCGGCGGAACCACAGAGCTGGGGAAGTAGCGTGTAACACTCGAGCTCTTCCGGCGGAAGTTGAGGAGCCAAGCATGGGAACCGCTGGGGACCTATTTATTGGAAGAACCGGCCGCTGGCGGTGGGAGTGGCGAGCGCCGGGATGGCGGATTCGGGGCTGGGAGATGTGGAGTCTCTGCCCCGCGGGGGCTTTCGGTGTCGCCTCTGCCATGTGGCGGTGGCCAATAGTGAGTGGGGCCGAAGGTCGGGAGGTGGGGCCTGTGCTGCGGGTGGACAAAGGGTTTATATTGTCCTATGCACACGCACAAAAAGAGAGAACTCGGTCTGGTACTCTGCACGTGGCCAGAGGCACTCTTCTCTCTTGCTCAAATGCTTCCAAGGCTGAACTTGGACCCGAGTCAAGTGTTCTGTCTCGGAAGCGCAGGAGGGCAAAGATGGGGAATCGATGGCCCTTCAGGCTCCCATATCTTGGCCAGCGCTGATGGGAATTAAGAGCCCAGCAACGTCTGAAGGGCTGCAGTTGCGCAGCTCCTGCTGCGGGGTTACTCTTCTCCCCACCCCTTGCGAAATTCCTGTATACTGTATTTCAAAACTTTTCAGCTGAAGTGAAGGTTTTGGTGATATGAGGAAGCTGTGATGAAGGAAAACTTCGCCTGTTGCAGGGTTTTTTGGAGCCTCCTGAGAAGTAAAGTTACACACTTGAGGCAATCTTGCCTTACTTATGAACAGCAGCTAACGTACAAGAGTCCTAAACCATGGAAAGAAACTTCTTTCCTTGTGTTCTTATACAATGAATATATATGTATATTTTTTCTTCTGCAAGAGCAGCTGAGTTGACCTTTTCCCCTTTAGTATGCACATGGAACAGTGGTCTTGCGAAAGGGCCCATGCAGTTAAAATCAGTTTCATATTCCTCTATACAATTTCCAAGCTGTTGACATCTAGAACTAAGGAGGCAAAAGCACTCATGGCGTTCCAAATTTGGTCTTAATCAGTTATTGAAAAGCATTATCCATACCAATTTTGAGTGATGGGGAAGACTATTGATATGTTCTTATTTATTAAATTTATATACTGCCTTTCATCTGAAGATCACATGGCAGTTTACAACATAAAAACATAGTAACATAATAGCAGAACAACAACACCCATGCACATTTAAATGTCATATATTGTTGTATCACTCAGAGGCCTGGTTGAAGAGGAATGTTTTTGCCTGGCACCTAAAAATATGTAATGAAGGCACCAAGTGTGCCTTATATAAATAAATCCTTATTTTTGCAATGTAAACAGCTTACAAACAGATTTCAAAGTGATGGAAGACCACACCTTTGCCTCCCTTACGCCTGATGCCACATAAGATATCAGAGGTAGGGTAGGTGGGTTGTAGTTTTGGGGGAAATGCCCTTGTGAAGCCCACCACAATGACCAGACACCGGTTCAAAATGGCTTTTACCTGATTTTTATGTCAGGTGTGTCATTTTGATGTTTTGGATGTCGTCTGCATATTGGTGCTACCCAACTCTAAATCCCCTGATTTCACACAGCTTCATATGGATGTTAACTATTTTTATTTGTGTGTGCGTGTTTTGTTAACAGATTCATTTGAAAGTGAAGGTTTCAGGGTATTTTAAGTGGCAAGTTACTTTAATGGCCCCCTGAGCCTTATATCTCGGTCATTGAGATAATCCACAGGAGCATTGTAATGGTGCCCTGTGTTACAGAGGCCTGGCTGACCTCAGCTAAAAATCAGCCATTTAGTGTTGCTGGTCCCATGTGATGGAAAACTCTGGCAGAGATTTGGCAGGCACCCTCACTTTTGACTTTCAAACACCTCTTGAAGACTTATTTTTATGTTGATAAGCCTATTCAGTTTTAAGAGTAGACAGGCATTTTAATGATGATTTTGCGTGTTAATGGCATTTTATGTTTTGCTGTATTTGTATTGTATATATCGTAGTAGACTGCATTGATATTTTACATCAGATGGCGGAATGTAAATACTTTTATATTATTACCATTTATTTATTCAACTTGTATCCAGCCCTTCCTCCCAAAGGAGCCCAGGGTGGCAAACATATCACTACCAAAAATCATTCTAAAACCAATATAAGTAACTATCTTGGAGTGCTGTGTTGGAGTAAGTGTGTTGGAGTTCTGGAACTGTTTTTATTATACTTGGTTTGCATCGTATTGCTTTTAAATGTGTATTGATGTAAACTGCTCTGGGGTCATCATGTCAAAAGGGCAATATTAAAAGCTGATTAAAATAAGCAAACCAAAGCCTTGGTTTTTCTGCTGCAGAGCCCAGCCTGGATGACCACCTTCGTGGGAAGAAACACCAGCGCTTGGAAAACCTCCGCACTGTCCGGCAGGCCCAAGAGCTTCGCAGTGTGTTTGTCAGTGGTTTTCGGAAGGGGACACCAGCCTCTGAGCTGAGTGATTATTTCCAGGCCTATGGGGAGGTGGCCAATGTGGTGATGGACAAGGATAAGGTATAGCCTTTGGCATCAAATTAGTAAAACCTCGATAGCTGCTTCTTGGGAATATAGGGAGCTGCCTTAAACTGAACCAGGGGGTCCATCTAGCTCAGTATTGTTTACTCTGATGGGCAGCAGCTCCCCAGGGCTTCAGGGTGGGGTTCTTTCTCATTCCTACCTGGAGATGCTGGGGATTGAACCTGGATCTTTGCATGCCAAGCAGATACTTTGCCACTGAGTGAAAGAAAGAGCACATAGAGCAAGAGACATAAAGCACTATATTAAAATGGTTTCAGTTCTCCCTTCAGTTCATTTCACAGAGAATGATACTATCCAAGAGTGCATTAACTTTACTTTTGGGTTCCTACCACTTTCAATATTTAACACACTCTCCGGTTGAATAAGCTTTGCAGGGGAGCAGGAAAATACCGTATTTTTTGCACCATAACACTCACTTTTTTCCTCCTAAAAAGTAAGGGGAAATGTCTGTGCGTGTTATGGAGGGAATGCCTACGGGTGGCATGCCTACGGATTTTCCTCCTCTAAAAACTACGTGCGTGTTATGGTCGGGTGCGTGTTATAGAGCAAAAAATACGGTAAACGTTTATGAGACAGATAAGAACATAAGGAGAGCCTGCTGGATCAGGCCAGTGGCCTGTCTAGTTCAGCATCCTGTTCACACAGTGGCCCACCAGGTGCCTCTGGGTAGCCTGCAAGCAAGGCCTGAGCACAAGAGCCCTCTGCCTTCCTGTGCCTTCCAGCAGCTGATATTCATTTTTTAAATATTTTATTAATTTTCCAAAAATAACAGAGATAAAAAACAACAACAACAGTACGTCTTCATAATCAAACATAAAAAGAAAAAAGTTGACTTCCCCCTAGTCCCTTCCCTGGTTCTATTGTTTATCATCATACCACATCTCCATTTTATATTGAAAAATCATTGAAATTGCTTATTGTCTATTCATAATGTCATTACAAGTGCAGTCATACCTCGGGTTGAAGTAGCTTCAGGTTGAGCGTTTTCGGGTTGTGCTCTGCGGTGACCTGGAAGTAACAGAGCGTGTTACTTCTGGGTTTCGCCGCTCACGCATGCGCAGACACTCAAAATGACGCTATGTGCGGAAGCGGCGAAACGCGACCTGCGCAGTTGCGGGTTGCGTTCGCTTCAGGATGCAAACGGGGCTCTGGAACGGATCCCGTTCGCATCCAGAGGTACCACGGTATTTCTAAAATCCTGCTAATGTACAGTGGTACCTCAGGTTAAGTACTTAATTCGTTCCGGAGGTCTGTTCTTAACCTGAAACTGTTCTTAACCTGAAGCACCACTTTAGCTAATGGGGCCTCCTGCAGCTGCTGCACCGCCGAGGCATGATTTCTGTTCTCATCCTGAAGCAAGTTCTTAACCTGAAGCACGATTTCTGGGTTAGCGGAGTCTGTAATCTGAAGCGTATGTAACCTGAAGCGTATGTAACCCGAGGTACCACTGTATTAACCTGTCTATCAGCCCAGCAGCTGATATTCAGAAGCATTCTTCCTCTGACAGTGGAAGCACCAAGTGTAGCCATCCTGGCTAATAACCATTGATAGCCTTTATCTCCATGAATTTGTCTCCTCCTCTTTCAAAGCCATCCAAGTTGGTGACCATCCCTGCCTTCTTTGGGGTCAAGTTCCATAACTGAACAATGCACCACGTGAAGAAGAACTTTCTTTTATCTGCCCTGAATGTTCTAATATTCAGCTTAATTGGATGTTCCCAAGTCTATGAGAGAGGGAGAACAACTTTTCTCTGTCCACTTTCTCTATGCCGTGCCTAATTTTTTCCACCTCTGTCACCTCACCTCTTGCTTGCTTTTTTCTTGAAACTACAAAACCCCAAATGCTGGAACCTTTCATCATAGGGGAGTTGCTCTCTCCTCTTGGCCATTTTGGTTGCCCTTTCCTGAATATTTCCCAGCTCCTTTGTTCCCAAGACTTAAAGAGGCTTAACCTTCAAAAGCTTTTCACATGCAGCTTTATTGGCAGTAAATTCCATTGAACACAGTGGGACGTCTGAGTAAACACGCGTAGGAGTGGGTTGCATGTTTTCAAAATAACATTCCATTGGGAAAAATCCAACTGCAGCAGGCCTAGGGAGTTGTTCACAGTCATTTTAATGACCATTCTATTCTGCTTGTAATGGTCTTTTATAAATGTTTTTATATTGCTGTACACTGCCCTGACATTTTTGTCAGAGGACAATACACAGAAATATTTCCTGCCCTCTGGACCACCTAGCTGGAGGAAGAATTACCGTATTTTTCGCTCTATTGGACGCATCGGACCATAGGACGCATCGGACCATAGGACGCACCGGACCATAGGAGGGGGAGAACAGGAAAAAAAATTTTTCTTGTTCTCCCCCTCTAAGTCAAGGTGCGTTCTGTGTGTTCAAGGTGCGTTCACCCGAAGCCTCCGGAGCCCAGCGGGAGTTCCCGCTGGGCTCTGGAGGCTTTGGGTTCCTTTCGACCTGCTCTTTGGGGCTGGCAGGGGGGGGAGCACTGCTTTCCCCCACCGCCAGCCCCAAAGACCAGGTCGGGGAACAGCGGGAAGGCGGCGCTCCGCCTCCCCGCTGTCCCCCCAGCTTGTGGGGCTGGCAGTGGGGAAAGCAGTGCTTCTCCCCACCGCCAGCCTCCCCACCAGGTCGGGTTTGGAGGCTGCTATCCACAAGCCTTGCGAGCCCAGCGGGGACTCCCGCCGGGCTCCCTAGGCTTGCGGATATCTGCCCGAAGACTGGAGAGCGAGAGGGGTCGGTGCACACCGACCCCTCTCGCTCTCCAGGCTTCAGCGAAAGCCTGCATTCGTTCCATAGGATGCACACACATTTCCCCTTCATTTTTGGAGGGGGAAAAGTGCGTCCTATAGAGGGGAAAATACGGTATTTGTTAACTCAGAAAGCCGACATCATGCATTTCAAGTCCTTGTTCATCCTAATAAAGGGTGTTGTTTCTCTTGATCTGTTCATTCTGTTTTAAAGACATTAATCTATTAAGGCTGAGCATGCATTGTAGCTTCTTTTTTCTAGACAGGGCAGGAGGATTGTGAGATGACCCAGAAACTGACATTCTTTTCTTTTCCCTTGCCTCATGTGCTGCTAGGGAGTCTATGCGATTGTGGAGCTACAGAATGAGACAGTGCTGGAGAAAGTATTGGCACAGCCCCAGCACAGCCTGGGGGGTCAGAAGCTGCGTGTCAAGCCTCGAGAGAAGAAGGACTTCAAATACACGCCCCCCAGGAAGCAGGGGTCAGCCAGGCAAGGACAGCTGAGCCCCGAGAAGCTGGCACAAAAGTTGTGCCAAGCTGACAACGTGAGTGAACTCTGGTTTCTTTTTCTTGCCCTGTCTGTAACTTATTTCTGATCCAAGTGCTGGAGGAGACGGAATGGATGTGGTTGCTTGATAGGACTAGCAACAGCTTTAAAAGTATTAAACCCAAAGCCTTGCTATTGGTCTCCCGCCTGCAGGTAGGAAAAGGGCTGTAGCTCACCGGCAGCGTATTTGCTTTGTGTGCAGAAGGTCCCAGGTTCAATCCCTGGCATGGGAAAGATTCCATGTCTGAAACCCTGCACAGCTGCCAGTCAGTTCAGACAGTAGAGAGCTAGATGGATGTAATGGTCCGATTCTGTATGAGTCAATTTCCTGTGTTCCTTTTTAAACCAGCTGTTCAGTTAGGATCATGGGGACTGGAATATTCCCTTGTTTTTTGGGCAGAAACCATAGCTCTGTGGTAGAGTATCTGCATGCAGAAAGTCCCAGGTTCAAGCCCAGGCATCTGCAATCAGAGCTGGCAAAGACTCCTGTCTGAAATCCTGAACAGCTGCTACCAGTCAGTGTAGACACTACTGGCCTAGACGACCCCAATAGTCTGACTTGGGTATAAGGCAGCTTCCTTTGTTCCTATGTTTCCAGGTGGATGCCCAGATGTCTTTGATGGTGCAGCTCTTTGAGTTCTCCGAGAGCGAACGACGCCTGCGGGACTTGCTGGTCACTCTCTTCCAGGAGGTGTTCCTGGAGTTTTTCCCCGGTAAGCTGCTGCCCTGGACCTCTGCTGATGGTCCAACCTTGGATCTTCATTTGACCTTTCACCCCCCCCTCCATGCCCAGGTTCTGCTGTTCTCCCCTTTGGTTCCTCGGTGAATGGCTTCGCTGTCTCTGGCTGCGACCTGGATTTGTTCCTGGACCTTGAGAAGACAAAAAACTTCCAGGCCTCTGCCAAGCGACCTAGCGGGCCACAGGTGAGACCCAGAGTAGAGGACATTAACAGTAGATGGAGTTACGAATGTCTCCTTCAGTCTTTCTTAGACTAGGAGTGGGAAATCCTTTCAGCCTGACAGCCACCTTTCCTGCTAGGCAACCTTTCAGGCAGTGGGTCATGGCATGTGGGCCTTGGAAGCCTACCCAAAAAGGAATTTGGCCCTGAGACTGAAAAAGATTTCCCGCTTCTGGTGCAGAAGTGATGCCGTCCTCCATTAATCAACAGCCCTAGTTGTAGCTGCTGTTATTCTTACATGGATCTGGCTGCCACAAGCCGAGGGTGATGGCTGCTACCTTGTCAAATTGATGGAGTTGAGGTTAGTTGACTGTTAACCACCATGATGTCAAATGGAACATCCCTGTCCAGAGGCAGTCTGTTTCAGAATTCCAGAGGTCAATGGCATAGGAAGTTGCTTTAAGCTGAATCAGTGGAGTCCATAAGGACATGTCCTCAGCTGGCCCCTGCTTACCCACTTCCTTTTTTTAAAAAAATACGATTTTTTATTAGTTTTTTTTAAACATATCATTTTCAACAGTAATTAAACATACTTTTGCATCTTATTCAAATTTTTGACTTCCATCAATCCTGTCTGAAAATTTTCCAATCTAATCTCTCAGTATGCATTTCTTATCTTCCCTATTACATTTCAAACTCATAACCAATATCTCTATCTTTTATACTTTGTAACACTTTGTATATTTCTCCTTACAAAACTTCTTGTAGTCCTACTAGCGTAATTTGTTGATTACAGTTGCTCTTCAAATAATTCATCTACTTCTTCTAATCTTCTGTAAATCTCTGGTCCCGCAAGTTTCGAATCCTTCCTGTCATTTTGTCCAATTCTGCATAGTCCATTAATTTCGTCTGCCATTCTTCTTTCATCGGAATTTCTTCTTGTTTCCATTTCTGGACTAATAATTCTCTTGCTGCAACCCACTTCCTTACTTACTTCCAACCAGTCTAGGAGGTGGCACCTAGTCTAAGTGTTGCCTTTGTAGAATGCTGTAGGGAGGAGGATGGAGACAAGAGCATATCTTCTTGGTTCCATCTATCCTTGGCTGTGGTTTCCCCCTACTGCTGGTTTTCCTCTCTTCCCACCCTGCCGGTCCTAATGAGCACTAGCTCTCACAGCTTCCAAGGAGCCGCATGCAAAAGTGGGTGGACTAATGGATGTGACTCTCTTGCCTTTGTACAGCAGGCACTCACAAATCAGAGGTTGCTACCTGCACAAAATTCTCTCCATCCCCCATCCTGGTAACCTAGACACATGCTTCCTGTTCACTGACAGATTCCAGCCAAGGAAAAGCACTCGAGGAGGGTGTGGAGCAGGGCTGGAGAAGGCGCAGTTGCTGGTCAGTTTGCAAGCCCCCTCCATAGAGGCTGGCCCCTCTCACTGTCCTCGGAGCTTGCTTACCGGTAACCTCCTCTGGCTGATATCTCGGACAGACCAGGGAGATTTTGATAGGCTACATTTTCCCAAGCGTGGGTAAAATGCACAACCCCTCCCTCCTGCTGTTGCAGGGGAAAGAAAACAAGTCAGAAATCTATTTACATGATGTTTATTTCTGACATTACAGCACTAAAGAAAAACACGTCCTTTCAGTTCAGTTCTTCCAGCAAGTCAGACAAACTTCCTGAACATGCGCAAACGGAAGGTTTCAAATTACACTCTTCACAAAGACTTATCCAGCCTGTGAACGTCCTGGGAAATTCTTTCCCACAAATAGGCGCATCATGTGATGTCAACAATCTGGGTGTCTGCAGCGGTGATGTTTCCATATACTGACAGTTGCCAGTTAGCGATGCCTAGAGGTCTCCATTCTCTCCACCCTTGTTTTAGGCCTCATGTCCACTATACATTTAAAGCAGTATCCTCCTACTTTTAAACAGTCACAGCTTCCCCCCAAAGGATCCTGGGAAGTGTAGTTTGTTAAGGGTGCTGAGAGTAGTTAGGAGACACATACCCCATTCCACTCCCACAGAGCTGCAGTTTCTAGAGCGGTTAACAATCAGTCCCTCTTCTCGGGGAACTCTGGGAATTGTAGCGTGCCGGTGCCAGCTTCAACCACCAGCATTTCCAGACAAGGCTGGGAAAGATAGCTTGTCTGAAACCTGCTGCCGCTTGGACAGTGCAGTGTTAGACGTTCTGTTGTTCCAACCTGGTATAAGGCAGATTCCTACACTGAAAAGAGGTCTGCAACGCACTAGAATCTATAAGAAGTGCTGGGAGAGATCTGAAACCCAGGAGAGATGCTGCCAGTCAGAGTAGCCAGCACTGGGCCAGACAGAGAAACACTCAGGATAAAAACAGCTTGTTCCAAATGCACCTTCTCCTCCAGGCTGAGGACGGAGCCAGCGTGGAGCAGGACTCGTGCTCGGAGGACTCGATCCTGAGCGATATTGACTTGGCTTCCGCCACAGTGCCTGAAGTGCTGGAGTTGGTTGCCGCCGTGATGCGGAAGTGCGTTCCGGGAGTCCACAACGTCCAGGCCGTGCTGACTGCCCGTCGGCCAGTTGTCAAGTTTTGGCACAAGGAATCGGGCCTGCGTGGTGACATCTCCATAAACAACAAGTACGGGGGCTGTGTGTGTGTGTGTGTGTGTGTGTGTGTGTGTGTGTGAATCCCTTTACTAAATTTCGCATTGTTGCATTACACCTTTGGCCCTCCTGGATGTTGCTGAATCACAACTCCCATCACCCCTGGCTGTTGCCCATGCTTGCTAGGGCTAAGGGGAGTTTTTGTTTTGCAACATCTGGAGGGCCAAAGGTTCTTTCCATTTTATTAATTTATTGAATTTATAGCCTGCCTTTCCTCCTAAGGAGCCCAGGACGGCAAAAAGTTACACGATTTAAAAACCAAAAATAAAGCAAATGCATTCTACAATACATTAAAACATACTGAAACTAGTTACAGATAAAACGTTCTAAAACACAATTACAATGTAAAACATAGACTTTCTTCCAATGATCTCAAGGTTTCCAGGAACAGTATTCTTCAGCCACCAAATGCCTTGATAAACAGGAACATTTTCAGATTCCTCATAAAAGTTAAGAATGATGGAGACAGGCACACAGTGCTGGGGAGGACATTGCACAGTCAGGGAGCCACCACTGAAAAGGTCATGTCACAGATCAGTGCCAGTCAGGCAGCCCCCAGTGGTGGCACTACGAACACGACCATTTAAGTACATGAGGTCTCAGGGAATTGTTTCTTAGGAGTTGATTTCCTCTCTCATTTTGGTGCTTGATATTTTCAAAATGAGACAGATGTTGCAAACGAGACCCTTTCCCCACTTCCATATTAGCTCTATGCTCAGGGGGTGCAGGGGAGCTGCCTCGTTGTGTCAGGGTTCTGACTTACTGTCCTCTTCTCTGAATTCTCTCTCCGTGGTAGGCTGGCCATCTGCAACACGCGCTTCCTGCAGCTTTGCACCGAGATGGACGAGCGAGTACGGCCTTTGGTCTATGTAGTGCGCTATTGGGCAAAGCAGCAGGCGCTGGCAGGTAAAGTGGAGAAACAAGGGGGGGAGGGGACTCAACAGAACTTGTGAATGGAGATGACAGCCCATAGCAACTCAGTGGTGGAGCATCTGCTTTGCATGCAGAAGGTCTCTGGTTCAGTCTTCAGCATCTTAGCTTGGGCTTGGAGAGACTCCTTGCTTGGGTCCCTGGACGGTTGTCGCCCATCACCTGAGATGTACGTTTTTAGGACCCCTTTTATTCCTTTGACTGCAGTTTGTTGAAATACTGAATTTTAAATTGTTGTAACCTGCTAGCGAAGGGCAGGTAATAAATTTAATCATCGTCGTCATTTGGAGCTACAAAAATGTGCCATGGGTGTCAGCTACAAAATGGCTGCCATGGAATGGAATGGCCACCATATCTAAAAGAGCAGACTGAGAGATGAAGGCCTACAAAATAATGTGGGCATTCCCTGCCTCCCCACAACCAGCCACCCCATCAGTGAGGAAAGGCAGCCTGTGCCAGTCACTCCCTCACTGCATCTGTCCCCTGGTCAGAATGGAGGGGAGGGGTAGGAGCCAATCAAATGTAGGTATGTTTAAGGGGGCGTGTTCACTGTTGATTGGCTGAGCCAGTGCAAACAGGAACTGAACTACAAGAGCAAATGTCTACTGTGCCCTTTGGGTTTTTAGAGATATATTTACCGAGACCTTTTGTAGGTACCATGAGGGTTTCTGGCGACCAAGGGCGCCACATTGGTGATCCCTGCGATAAAGCTTCGAATTCTGCAGGCTGTGGCCCAGGGAGGGAGGGGTCTCGTGGCAGTGGGATGCCAGAGCTTTATTTCCACTTAACACTACCTCCTCTCCTCTCTTGACAGGGAACCCATTTGGCGGAGGCCCCCTTCTCAATAACTATGCCCTGACCTTGCTGGTGCTTTTCTTCCTGCAGACACGCACCCCACCCATTCTACCTACGGTCGCCCACTTGAAGGAACTCTCAGGTACCTACCCTCCCACCCCAAAAAAGCTTTATTTATCGCTTAGCTAGATCCTGGTTTTGCCCCCCTTGTTGTTATTTATGTTGTACAAATTGTTAACACCCACTTTGGGCTTCCTTGTGGGAGGAAAAGCAAGGTGCAAGTCTTGAGTGATATTCCCAGTCCCTGCAGCCACTGGCTACGCACAGATGTCTTTGTACCTGTCCGTTCTGGTGAGATCACCTGGAATGAGGACAGCGATTCATTTGATGCTGAAAGACACTTACCTGGGGAGGGAAGGGTTCAGGGTTCATTTTGTTGTTCGTTTTTTGAAATGTAAAAGATTAATAAACCTGAAGATTAATACACACACACAAATGTGATATTCCTGGCAATGCTTCTGGAAAGAGCGTTCTCACTCTCCTCTGCTCCCTAGTGGAAGAGGAACGCACTGTGGTGGACGGCTGGGACTGCAGCTTCCCCAAGGATTCTGCGCGGCTGGAGCCCAGCGGGAACAAGGAAGATCTTTGTGAGTTGCTCTCAGGAGGTTAAAACCCAGATTAAAGTGCAAACTTTCCTGGTTATTCTCCTTTAAATGTGCAGATGGGAGTCTAGGACATTGGCCATAGCTCAGTGGGACAGTATCTGCTTTACATTCAGAAGACGGCTCCCCTTCAATCTCCAGGTTGGGCTGGGAATGTCTTGTGCTTAAAAGTACTGCTGCCAGTCCATGTGGACAGGACTGAGTGAAACGGGTGGTCTGCCTCCGCATAAGGCAGCTCCCTTTTTAAATCTTCACTTTATTTAGAACGGTGGTTCCCAAACTCGAGTTTCCACCTGTTTTTGGACTACAACTCCATCCCTAGATAGCAAGACCAGTGGTGAGGGATGATGGGAATTGTAGTCCAAAAGCAGCTGGAGCCCCAAGTTTGGGAAACACTTATTTGGAACCATGAGGGCTGGAATCCTTATTTTTAGGGGAAGGGGAGCAGCTCGGTGGTGAAGCACCTGCGTTGACTGCAGAAGGTTCCAGGCTGAATCCCAGGCATCTCCAGGTAGGACTGGAGAAAGATTCCTGGTAGAGCTGGGATGAGATTCCTTCCTTTGAAACTGACTGCTGCCTGTCAGCATAGACAAGACTGGTGCAAGAGGGACCAGTGGTTTGACTTAGTATAAGGGAGCTTCCTATGTGATGGAAGCACTGAATTGCTGTTGGTAGTACTTTGTGCAACACCTCCCTCGCATCTCCATGGCTCACTGGCTGCCGGCCTCTTACTTTCCAGGCTCTCTCCTGTCCGAGTTCTTCCGCGCCTTCGAGGACTATGACTTCGCTGGCTGCGTGATCTCGCTGTGGGAGGGCCGCCCGCTGCCTCTGCCCAGCTTCCTGTCCTCCTCTGAAGCGGGCAGCAAGCTCAAGCTGGGGCCCTTCAACCTCCAGGACCCCTTTGAGCAGAGCCACAACGTCGCCGCCAACGTCAACGAGAAGACGGCGCTGCGGTTCCAGCGCTGCTGCTGCAATGCAGCCAAGTACTGCCGCAGCCTGCAGTACCAGCGCAAGTCCAGCAAGGGCAAGATCTGGGGGCTCGTCCGCCTGTTTCAGCCGGGCGCCACCGAAGCTTCGGTTGCTGAGAACTTTGTCATTGGCCTTCCCCTAACAATGGCGGTGCCGCCCGCCCAAGCCCATGAGCTTCTGGGCCAGGCCCGGGACTTCCATCTACTTTGGTTCCAGAAGGTCTGTGCTAGCGTAGCCTTTGTCTTAAGAGACGTGCTCAAATGTAGCTGTGTGGAGGTGGGGCAGGGGCTTGGGGAGGAGCAGGAAGTCTCTGAGGTGAAACAGGAAGAGGAGGAGTTAGAAGCAAAGACTCAGCAGCTGTCGGTAGGGTCCAAGCGTCCTCTAGACGAGGGAGGGAGCAACGTCTCTCTGCCCGCTAAAAGGCTGCGAGTTGATGATTTGCTCCCTGGTGAGGAGAGCATGACCTGGAACTGCGCCGTCTGGCATCGCGTGTGGCTGGGCCGTCGTCGCATCCGGCGGCAGCTCCAGGGGCCGGAATCCGAAACCCAGCACCAAAAGGCCAACTCCTTGGATCTGGAAGCAAAAGTGTCTGAGGCCATTTCCCAGCAGAAGTGCGAAGCAAGGCCCACAGACCCTCTCTTCCAGTTCACAGTTTGTGCCCAGGCCAGCAGGGGTGGCACTTCCTGCGAGCAAGACACACGCATCAGCCTGAGATTCTCGACAGACCCTGAGCAGGCTTCCGTCTTCCAGGAGTTCTTCCACTTCCTGCAAGGGTTTTTGCCCCGGATGGTGGAGCAACACCTGGTTCGCAAGGCCTGAGTCCCCCGAGAGAGGGCATCAAGCTATGTATTCATGAACAATTACAGATTTGTGTTTATTTATTTTTGCATATTTTTCTTACTGCCAATGTGAATATGAAAATATGGCCAAAACCCTTTTCCACGTCTCTCATTCTTTGTTTCATTTATTCTTATCCCGCCTCAAGGTGACAAGAAGGAACCTCTGTGTCTTTGTTTGTGTCTTTACAGCCTGGTAGCCAAGGGTGGGGAACCGCTAGCCTGCAGACCAAATTTAGCCCACCAAACATCCCCTAGTGGCCCACAAGGCTGTTTTCACCAAGTCATGGCCACCCACCCCATACCTGATGACATATGTAGCTTCAAAGAAACAACTGGGAAATCAAGGTGTGCTCTGGTTCCCTTGCTGCACTGAGACATGCTTCCACCTTGGTCTGGGAGAGGAAAGTGGTTGGCATCAAAACTGCTGCTAAAACAGGGACCCTCCCATTTTAACAGTTGTTTCAGTAGAAACGGCTTTCCTCCCCTGGAGCAAGTGTCAAAGAGCAGCACAGAGGTCCTGTCTGAAAGTCCTTATGCAAACAGTTCACTCAATCTGCAAGTTAAGAACTGCAGCTCCGGTGAACCCACTGAGCCTTGAGTGGTGGCCATCTGGGGCCTTTTGTACCGCTGGCCCACTGCCAGCCAATACGCTTACTTAGGTAGCATGTCAGGTTCTAGTTGGGGAATTCGCCACCTTTACGACCAAACTCATTTCCTAGCGATTTTCAGTGGTAGGTGGCCAGATCCTTTTTGGTGGGGGTCCCGGGCTTTAAAGCGCTCCGGGCTGCATCTAATTCAGTACCATTTTTGATTGCGCAAATAAACTCTGATGGTGATTCTATTTCCACTGTCCCATCAACTGTGTGATAAGCAGTTTAATCTCAAAAACTCGGAATTGTCCTGACTCGGTCAATTTCTTGATAGTCTCTGATTGGCCTGGCAGCCATTAGCAACATATTTGCATAAACATTTCTACTTTGCTGTAATGCTGTGTGGTTCTGCATTTGCACAGGAGATAAAAAGATGGATTTCCTTGTATGAAACTTACTGTAAGCTTTGACTTGCTTCCCAATAATTTTTCCAGGGGAAGCAAAATGTTTTCAGATGATGAGTTTGGGGCGAAACAGCACACCAAAAAGAGGAGGAATCGCAAACTTGTTCGGAAATCCTTTGTATACATGCTCCGGGCAAGGGAAGAATTAGAATTCTGCACATGCTCGGGGCCGTTCTCGTTATCACTAGTACTACACGTGCTCCAGGGAGTGGCAGAAGGAGAAAGACTCGAGATTCTGCAGCTCCATTCCATTCCGCGCCCCGCCGATCGAGGCCAGTGCGCATGCGGAATCCCTGTGTCCTTTGTTTTACACGTGCTTGATGTTTTTCTATTGCGCTTGCGCAGTCCTCTTCCCGCTCTGCCCTTTCGTAATATGTCCTAGAGACAAGAAGGTCATCTGAAAAATTAGAGCGACACACAAAGGCTATACTTCCGGTATCAATTGAAAAGCAGATGAAGATGGCCGCCATTGACCATTTTAAAGAGGAGGGGCAGTAACACGGTTCTATACCTTCCTATCTCCATGGTAAAAGCCCCTTAATTCTCCGCTCCAGAAGTTGTGTCGTGCAGACAGGGACAGAGTATGAAAAATCTGTAATACTATTATCTCTCGAAAATAGTACTGGCTATCGTAGGGATAGAAAGAAGGCCATAGAGCTCTCTCTTTTCTATCTCTATGGTCACGGTCGTCTTCAAGCAGTTGTAAAAGACGGCGCATGCGTTCTAACGTCTCAATCACGCGCTAAACGGCCGAATTTGTAAAAAGCGATGGCCATTGGGCAGAAAAGGAAGGCGGGGAAGAGTTCCCGGCATGCTCCGCGGCTCTGACTATTTAACCCTTCAGCGGGCGGGCACTGTTTCTCTATCTAAGGCAGTCCTGCAGCAAGGTAGGTAAAGGGCGTAGGAGGAAGAGTTATTGCTTTTTAATCCGGAGCCATCCGCGATTTGTGGAGGGTTTCAGGCCTGCAAATTCCACTAAAGGGCTTCTGTACGCTTTCCCTCATCTTCGGGTGTGAATATTGAGTAGCCCTTGAGCGTTTTTGTTGAGAAAGGATGCGGTCAACGGGCCGCTTATGATCCTGCAAGCTCGTGCAACGCTTAATTGGGCGCAAGGCCCTTGGATCTCTTGTAAGACTTACTTCTGAGTAAGCATTCGGCCAGTTCTATTTAAGAGGTGGCTGAAACACAAATGAAGGTTACTTTATTTGCCATTTAACGGCTGGGTGTAATCAATACTTGATTTGATTTCATTTTTTAATTGCTTTTCATAAAATATCTCGCAGCGATTCCTGATGCCTGGAATAGGTAGACTTTTGTACGTGCCTGTGAACGCTTAAAAACGCTACCGACTTGGATGCCTATCAGAAAATGTGAATAAGGGCCTGTGTGCCCATCAAGCATTGCTGCATTATCCATAATTTTTTTTAAAAAAAGTTTTATATTCCATTCATCGACCACAAGGCTCCCAGGCTACAGTGTTTATAAACTAATTTTTACAGGTTTATGCAACACAGGCCATGAAGCATAAATATGATGAAGGCTTACAGCAGCCTAACTTCTTATTATGGATCTGATCCAGCTTGTGTAATACTTTCTGTGCTGTTATTTTATTATCCATTATTCAGAAAATAATAATTGTTAGGAATCCAATGATTTTTCATGGTGTAGCTCTGTGCTGTGTTAAAGAAATCTGAGCTTGGTGAACTACAGTTCCCAGGATTCTCTGGGGAAAACCATGACTGTTTAAAGTGGTAGGATGTATAGCATTGGTGGGGCCCTAGAATTGGCATTATTGTAAGCCATCTGCTCCAACCCACCACATCAAATCCATAGTGAGTGCATTCCCTCACAGACTGCCTTTGCTTAAAAGCTTTTGAGATCAAGTATGGTTTTGGTATAAATTCCCCAGCCATAAGGGGGATATGTCTGGGCCTAGCACTCCCTCTGTATACTTAATGTCTTTCTCTGATGAAACTACACAGACCTGTACTGAAAAGTTCTGTGAGGACATCCTTTTGTTTCTGAGAATGGACTCCTGGTTGCGATAGTCAGTTACTACTTTCTAAGATTATATCACTTTTTAATGTCTAGCTTATAATCAGCTGTTGGCTTTTTCTCCCTCCAGACCTGAATTTGCAAGATCATGTGCAACTGTGCTTTCCAGGTGAGGTGGAAATCAAATGTGTTTAAGCTGTTCTTTGTACATACTTGGAAAGATGAACAGTTGTTGGGCAATTGACGTTTGGTACATGGGAGGTTTTTAAAATATAATATGTTGTGTATTTACATTGATGTCCAAACATAAAACTTGAAAATGTACTATGAGGTGTACTCTATTTGAATGCCATGTTTTAGAAGCTAGTTCTAACCATGATCTAGCATGTTGCAGAGTAGGATTGGGATAAAACTCTGCAATGATCCTTCATTTCTTGCTGGGTGGCTGTGTATGTGTTCCAACAGATCCATGAAGCCCACTTGCTCTTTCTGAAGACCTTAGAATGCTGTACTTGGTATCATATTTTAAACTGTACCGCATAGCTCAATCTGTTAAAAAGAGAACTTCCCTGGGTGCCCTTTCTCGCCATTGTTACAAGGGCATCAAGTGCTACAGAGATGAAATCCACGAACTCTCTCTTTCTGAGGCTTCAGTGGAGAAAACCTTTACCAGATTCTGAGTAGCACTAGCCCTGAGCATCAGTGTGGGAGATGGAAGTAGATTTTGCCAAAGTGCCCTGACAAAATTGTTCTGTGTCCAAGACACAAAGACCATGTGGTCAAGTTGTGTAGAATCTCCCCCTCATGCACACCTTTGGTATAGCAGCATTAGTGATTGAAGGCAGTGTGGTTTTTATTTTATTTTTTGATATATATTTTTTTCATATTCCCCCATTCTACAGCTGCAAGAGTCGTCAGCTATGTGTCTGTACCACATGTAAGTATTTTATTTATATTTATAAAGTCTGCCAAGCCCATTTTTAAAGTGCATTGAGGACATCAAGGAGCTGTAATTAAAAACAAAACACTCCATTCACCACCACTTCTGTAACTGCCACTTTGGCTACAGTGCTCATTGAATAACATGACCAGCTGGATAATGGAGAAGCCAAAACATTTTCCTTAAACTTGAGATATTTCTGTTTATCTAGTCACTAATTTTTGGTGATTTGCTCTCAGATCCTGAGCAAGGGGAACAAAATCTGGCCCTCTTGCATTGTATGTTTACATGTACAGTATACTTGCATGCTATTTAGAGAACTAGTCCATTTGAGGAGAAGCAAAGTAGTCTTGTTGCAGCCAGTGTGGCAAATTTCTAGTGGGAGGGGGCAGAAGTTCTCTGGACAAATCCTCTGGGTGTACTTCAAAAATAGAAAGCTTCCAGCACATCCTACCAGCTGTTTTGAGCTCCTTTTTGCTGCCTTACTGTGTTCAGTGATGTTAAAATTGACAAGCATATATCTGATGTCTAGTGATGTCAGCTTCCTGTCTGAGAACACAAGACCTTCCAGCTTGCTGAGGGAGGAATGAATGGGTATATATACAAAATAAAATAAAAAATGCTTCCAATTTCCTTAATTACAGGATGTATATTCCTGAACGAGGAGCAGCTGTGTGGAAAGCCCTTAAGAGGTATGTTTGAGGACCAGTGCATCTGAATGATGGGGAGGTGAGACCTTTGTGCGCTGGGTGTGTTTCAATTGTTTGCGCTTGACTGTTTAGTTTGAAATGATGACCTACGTTGATGGACGACATTTAGTCTCATGGCAATAGAGTTACCAAAGCCCTGATCAAACTGCTGCTCCTCCGCGTAGCAAATGCATTCTGTCTTGAGCTTCCTTTTACTGAACAAGTTCTTATGTCCTACACAGGTACAAGGGCCCTGGCCAAAAAAAGTGAGTATTGGAGCTACAACTCATTTTTAAATTTATGCACTGTTTAATATAGGGGTGGGGATGTTGTTAAGAGTCTCAGCTTCCATCAGCCCTGGCCAGCATTAGCAGGGATTTTGGGAGTTGTAGTTGAGCAACATCTGGAGGACCTGACATGTTCCTAACCTCTGGATTAGTGTATTGTTGCTCTTGCTTTTGTATTGCCACCCAACTCGCACCTGCTGTCTCCCCAGTGATGAGACTTTTACCGCCCCAGTCTGATTTCTTGTGACTGAGTGGTCCTTTCTGAGGCTTAAGAGCTCAGCAGGACTTGGGTGAGGTTGGATGGTCATAGCTGCAAATCAGGACTTAATAATAATCATTTTCTCTTGCTTTCCAGGATCTGCAGTTTCTTTCAAACAGCAGAATGGAGCAGTTAATTTAAAAGACGGTGCTTCCAACAGGTATGTTTTTTCCCTCGCAATCAAACAGCCACATGCTAGCAAGAATAAGATCTAGGAATCTCAAACCTAAAGCATCACTCTGGTCCCAATGAAGAAATCCTATTGCGTCTTATCTTCTGTTTTGGCGCCAGAACCTGCAAAGGTTGAACCCACTGGGGCCAGCAGAGGGGAAAGATGAAACTTTGCTCCAGAAGGAACTGTCTGATGGGACTTAGGTCTGATGAGGAAGGGCTGTAGATCAAGTTCATTTTTATATGCATTTATGTACATAGATGACTTTTATTTCCTTCAGAATGCAAGACATACTCCAGGGAGCCAGCCCTTGTGGACTGGACTTCTTGTCCTCCTGTCTCCAAAGGAAGAAAAGTGAGTTTGCATATAGCGCTAACCTTGCTTTTATCTTCTCTGCTAATAGTCAATTCACCCACCCATCCCCAGTTCCCACTGACATGATGATCTCACTTGGAATCTCGTTCGGCTGAATTTTGCTGTTGAGAAGCGGAATCTGAGCATCAGTTGGGAGAGTGTCTAAGCTGGAGGTGGTGGTAGTAGTTGCTGTATCAAAACTTGCACCTCACTGCCTGGCTAAATAATGTCCCAGCCCTTACATTTTTGCTCCAGTTTTTAAGCTGATGGGATGCCTTTAAATTTGAACATTTCTCCTTGTGGACTAGAGGGTTGTGCTTGACAATTTGTTTCTTCTGGATTTTTTCCCCTAAATGGCAAAACCATCTTTCTTGCAGAATGGTGAACCTGAATTGGGGGCCTTCCTTCCGTTCCTGGTGGAGATTTAGCAGGTAAAGTTTATCTGATAGGTAAAATGGTAGCATATGTGAAAAGCTTAAAATATAATATAATTCACGTCTACTTGGAAGTTCGGTGGGGCTTACAGCCATGTAATTTTATAGGATTGAAACCTTCAAATATCTGGCTGTCCAGATTACAGAAGCCCTGTACTCTGTAACTTTCCAGTATGCATAAAAAAGAGGACTCCTGTAAAAGTTAGGAAAGATTGAGCAGTTAGTTGCCTGCAGTTTTAATGATGAGTTTCACTAGCTCACTTTGATCATCTATAAAACCATGAAAATGTTTGAACAGCTGAAAAACTGCAAAGAAACAAATTAGGTAGACTAAGCAGGATTTTTGGGCCTTGGGTCTGATGTGTGTGTGTGTGTGTGTTTTCCCCCCTCCTTGTAGATGACTCCCTGAAGCCAACTACATTCCTAAGCTAGCTGCCAGACCACTGGTCCATCCATCTCTGCATTGTCTACATGAACTGGCAGCAGATGCAAAGAGGGTAAGTGCTTGCCCTCTACAGTTTGGGGGGGTGAGAGAGAGAGGGCACTCCTCTTCTTCCCAAGTTGGCTCCAGTGATGAGATTGTTACCGCCCCAGTCTGATTTCTGTGACTGAGTGGTTCCTTCTGAGCCTAGGAGCATGGCAGCAACATTTGTGTAAGAGATGGGAGGTGACAGTTGCTCTTTGACTTCGTTATACTTAACATCTGTTTTTTCCTTTTAATAGAAGAGCTCAGATTAGACAGATTGGGGCTCCTACTGGTCTCTCCAGTAACTGGTAGCTTCCTTAGTTGTGATATCGCTGCAGCATTGATTCCTTCCAGCCCACATCACCCAGACTTCTGCATCCAACAGGTGAGTTTTAAAAACTGACCGCTGCAAGAGAACAGTAGGGCAGGCAAGTGGGGGGAGAACCAGGGTTGATGGGAGCTACAGTTGAGCAACATTTGAACAGGCCACAGGTTCTCCAACTCCTGGGGGTTAGGGGAAGGACTGGAGTATTACATAGTCCCAGAACATGAGCTTTTGGTATAGTGGTGTGGGGAGGAGTCCCAATGAGGAGATAAGGCAACATGTCTTACCATCTGTCTTGGCTCCAGAACCTGCAAAGGTTGAACCCACTGGAGCTGGCAGAGTGGAGAAGAGAAAACGCTACTTCAGAAGGAGCTGTCTGATGGGATTCGTGGGAGGAGAAGCACAGTGGTTGTGTATGGTTTTGATTTGTCACCTATAGTAACTCATCTTTGCTATCTTTGTTTTCTTTCTCCCTCCTGCCCTGCTCCCCTTCATACACAGGCATGCACAATTGCTGGAGACTATTCTCAAGATGATCACCAAGCTGTCAGTGCTCTCGATTGATCCCACCCCACCCCAAGTGCTAAAGCAATCAATCCAGTGTTATTGTTTGTAGCCAATGGCCATTAAAATACAATGTTGAACATTGTATTTAGGCAAAAACTATATTTCATAGAAATGCATTGTGGGCAGTACTCAATAAATTACATATGTGTGATCCCATCAACACATTGCCTTTTGTGTGTTTTTTTCTGAGTCGTGGGTAAAGGGTTGTCTGTAGCAAAGTTGAGGAGTGGATATTTCTTTACACCACAATATATGGGGCTCTTCAGTATCCATTCCAGTAACTTGCAAATGGCAGAACTTGCCTTGTTTCTTCATATGTATTTTCCTGAAATTGGCACTCTTTGCAAACATGATGGAGGGAGAGTTGTGTATGATAATTGATACTTAGGTATAAAGTTACATCTTTTCCTTCTACAAGGCAAGGGAACTCTTGACAGCTACACAGTGCCATCTACTGCGTCTATAATGAATAACACCAATTCACAATGTCAAGCTACTCAATTTCAGTGGATGACAGCTCATAAGTTGTCAAGATGTGTTTCCATACATCCATATTGGTTGACAACCCCAAGCCTTAGCCTCTTGAGACATTCCTAAGAATGTGTTCCCCACTGCTTGTTCCTGCAAAGGACAGCAAGTAATTGTTAGCATATTATTGAGATCAGGATGTAAGCAAAAAACGAACTGGCAGGAAGACATTTTGGGGTGACAAAATCATTCATGCCTGCATAATTTCTGTTTCAGTGTATCTGAAGAAGTGTGCATGCATGCGACAGCTTATACAGTGGTGCCTCGGGTTAAGTACTTAATTCGTTCCGGAGGTCTGTTCTTAACCTGAAACTGTTCTTAACCTAAAGCACCACTTTAGCTAATGGGGCCGCGCTGCCGGAGCACAATTTCTGTTCTCATCCTGAAGCAAAGTTCTTAACCAGAGGTACTATTTCTGGGTTATTGGAGTCTGTAGCCTGAAGCGTATGTAACCCGAGGTACCACTACTCTGGTAGGCCTCTGCTTCTCTCCGACCAATAAGAGACCTTCCTGAGGGACTATGGGCTCTATAAACCCCATAAGGGACTTAGAGAAATTTTTCTTCTAGCCTCAGATGCATTTGGTAGCTGGGCGATACATAAACCTGGTTCTTGTGATACATAAGCCTTTGAGCTGCTGAAGTTACTTAGCTAGAAGGCTCTTTCTGGTGCCTGTCACATCAGCCCAGTGGGTATCAACAAATGTCAAGTTGATTTCACGGAGTCATTGACATTAAAAAAACCCAATCTTAACAGACTTGGCAGAGTATCAGGCCTCACTCATCTCTGCTTTTTCGTCTCCCTCCTTCCCTGCTTCGGCTTCTGCCCCTGACTTGATTTCTTTCTGCCACAATCTCCCAACTCACTAAGCCCTATTACCTCCTGACACCACTTCTCCCTCTGGCCACTACTCCCTGGCCACTGAGCCTTCCCTTAGGGGTTCCCCAGTCCTTTGCATCCAACAAAGGTGCCAAGTTGCCTCCAAGATTGAAGGGGGGCTGGTGTATGTGTGAGCACTCTGGAGGAGCCAGCCGCTGAAACTACCACACCGGCTCCCTCAACACTGAGGGGCCTGGCCCCCTTCCAACAAATACTGAGGGGGCTGAAGACACCTCCGCCCCCTTGAGTTGGCACGCCTGGCGTCCAACCCGTCTCTGGCAGTTTACATCTGTAAAATAAGCTTTCTACACACACTATCCTAGCCAAGCGAAAGCATGATCAGAGTTCGAGGTCATGTTCCAGCCCAACAAAACAGGAAGGCGAGAAGCAGGGCCAGGGAGGGTTGTGGTTGTGGTCTGAGAAGAGCGTGTACCACTGGGGGAGGGATAAGACCTGATAATGAGTCCCAAGGCGTCATGTCTGGGTCTGGGTTGAGGTTCCCTATCTCCTTTCTGTGCTGAAAAGGACCGCATGAGAGATGTTTATTCTGTCTTTTTGCCACTGAGTCATGCGGATGAACAGCTAGGCCTGCAGGAGATTTGGGGTGAAAAGGCAGCAGCAGCAACAACAAAAATCATATACTGTATGTAGCTTGTTGCTAATTGTATTTTTACTGACAGAGCAAGGGAGAGTGTTTGTGGGGTTTTCACAAAGTCACTTGGTTGGCTTTGGGTGCCAGATGCTTTGACTTGCAAATTACAGTGGTACTTCTGGTTACGAACTTAATTTGTTCCGGAGGTCCGTTCTTAACCTGAAACTGTTCTTAACCTGAGGTACCACTTTAGCTATTGGGGCCTCGCGCCACAACCACGTGATTTCTGTTCTCATCCTGAGGTAAAGTTCTTAACCTGAGGTACTGGGTTAGTGGAGTCTGTAACCCGAAGTGTTTGTAACCCGAGGTACCTCTGTATGTAACAATGGGATCTGGTGAGAATCATTTGCCAGACATCCCTGCTTGGGCTTTGTTGTTTAGTCGTGTCCGACTCTTCGTGACCTCATGGACCAGAGCACACCAGGCACTCCTGTCTTCCACTGCCTCCCGCAGTTTAGTCAAACTCATGTTGGTAGCTTCGAGAACACTGTCCAACCATCTCGTCCTCTGACATCCCCTTCTCCTTGTGCCCTCAGTCTTTCCCAACATCAGGGTCTTTTCCAGGGAGTCTTCTCTTCTCATGAGGTGGCCAAAGTATTGGAGCCTCAGCTTCACGATCTGTCCTTCCAGTGAGCACTCAGGCTGATTTCCTTAAGAATGGAGAGGTTTGATCTTCTTGCAGTCCATGGGACTCTCAAGAGTCGCCTCCAGCACCATAATACAAAAGCATAAATTCTTCAGTGATCAGAAATTATTCTGGTTTTACTACACTGATTGGCAGCAGCTCTCCTGAGTTTCAGACATGAAATATTTCACAGCGCTACCTGGATGTGCCAAGGATTGACATGCATGCCAGAAATCTGCTTGGTTTCACATGGGACATTTCCAGCTCTTAAGAACATGAGGAAAGGCTGCTGGATCAGGCCTATGACCCATCTAGTCCAGCATCCTGTTCTCACAGTGACTGACCATATGCCTGTGGGAAACCCACAAGCAGGACCCAACGACAAGACCCAGCAACTGGTTTTCAGAAGTATTACTGTATTACTGTGGGGCAAAGCACAACCATTGTGGCTGGTAGATACTGATAGGCCCCTCTTCTCAATGAATTTGGTGTCCACCAGGAATGAGTCACACAGTTTAACTCTGCGCTGCAGACAGAAGCCTCTGCCTTCTTGCATGCAAGGTCGATTCTTTATCACCGTGTCTGGCTCCTCAAGGCCTTCATCAAGAAACATGCCTCCCGAGTTGTTGTTCTGGGCAGCGTCCCAGACATCAGCAGGGCAAAGGAAGCCGCTCAGGCGCTCAGGCTTCGGCGGCAAATCCAGACCTCGCCCCGGCCTCTGGCATTCCAAGGCCTCTTCTAAAAGCGTCCCTTGGCAGTTGTTATTCTGGGCACCCACCCAGCAGCTTCGCAGGGGCGAAGGAATCCACACAGCCTTCAGCAGCAAGTCCAGGCATGCCGCCGGATCCAGCCCCTCGTTAGCCTGCCCCCTTCCTCTCTGTCTCTCGGCAGCGGGAACCTTGGTCCTGGCACCGACCCACAGCAGGCCTCGGCCCCCCTGCAGCGTGCGATGGGTCATCAATGGCTGGCTTTAGCTCTGATACTGGCTGCCGCAACTGCTCCCAACCGCACGGCAGGCAACGTGCCTGAGTCAGAGGTCCCGGACGCACCCTGCCCTCAGGAAGACGACCCGGAAGCACCGTCGGGAGAGCCGCACGTGGCGCCCAGGTTCAGCACATGCATGCTGCAGTGCGCTGCGCAAGCGATGCTCGGGATGGTTGGCGCCAAGAGCTCCGTCTCCTTGAAGCTCAACGAAGGCAGGGAAGGTAAGGGAGGTGGACGGCCACCCAAAGCGAAGCTGCCATGCCTGCCTTGGAATCCCAGCTGCGTAGCCAATCGAGCAGCAGCAGGGAGGGCTCCACAGGCTCCACCCCAGGGTGGCTTCCCTGCTCTGCTTGCAGCTGCTGGGCGTCACAGGAGCTGCAAGGCCTCCGAGTGCTGTGGGGAGGGCGGTGGAAGAGGCAGGGGGGTCACTTTTGCATCCCACCCCGAAAAAATATATTGCGGGGAAAAGGATGCTGATTTCCATAATCTTTGTGTGCGTTAATTTATATGTTGAAATGCAAAGGTGTAAATGATTATAGGAGACAACCAGGGCTTTTTCCCCAGCAGGAACTTGCCAGAACTCAGTTGGCGCCATTGCCATTCTAAGAGAACGAGGGAGGTGTTTGTGGTGAGTTCCAGCACCTCTTTTTCTAGAAAAATAGCACTGGCGACAACCATTTTATGTGCGTTCAATATGTGCACGACCGCACACATGTGCATCGCCAAGAACCTGGAAGTGGCATGCAAAAGGGAGGTGTGGCCACTGAAAGAGCATGAAAACAGCGCCTAGCAATCCCATAAGCCTTTGCAAGTACAATCCCAGAAGCCTTTGCACCGACCGTTGAGGCCTGTGGAGAGTTGGTGTTTGAGCAAGGAGCTTTTGAGGGTGTTTTCAGGCTTTCAAGGGTGTTCCCAACACACGCAATTTCACTTAATTGTGCGGTGCCTTGGTACGTAACCCCCTGTGTAAATGGGGAGTTGCGTGTACAGTAATTTAAATACCATACTGCTTTTTTTCGGCTGTGTATACATGGTTCCTCTTCCCCTGGGAACAGTAGTAGTTTGTTAAGGGTGCTAGGAATTGTGTGAACTACAGTTCCCAGGATTCTTTGGGGGAATGTCAAATGCTTTAAATGTGCCTTAAATGTATGATGTGTTCACAGCCATAGAGAGGAAGATGGAGATCAGTCTGTGTACCTCCTCCATCTGCTGTCCAGGTGCAAGTGCTGATGGGGGGCATAGGTAGGCTTTACCCTTCCCACTACATGCAATATGGAGCTAATATGGGCCTACTTTACAGGGTTGTTGTAAGGATAGCCAAGGTTGTGCATGGGGACTGTTTTGAAAGCAAGAAGACACAGGAAGATGCTTTACACTGAATCAGACCATTGGCCTGTCTTTCTCAGTACGGTCTACACAGACTGGCTGTAGTACCTCCAGGGTTTCAACCAGGGTTCTCTCTCAGCACTATCCAGAGGTGACACAGATTGAACCTGGGACCTTCTGCATGCAAAGCAGATGCTCTACCACTTTTGCTGCCTTCTGGTTTTGCAAAAAACAGAGCAACTGTTAAGTTGAAGGACCTGGAAGTCCAAACTATATAGCCATTGAACTGTGCAGGGTTTGTGGGTTATTTTAAAAATATATGTTTGCAGCCCTGTCTTAAAGAGGCCTTGCTATCTTGCTCCTCTGCCTGACAGCTACTGCCCTGATGGACTCTGGCCCAGGAGGAGAGAAGTGTTGGCAATCTGATTTGAGGCAATTTGCCTGTGATTACCAGTTGATGGGAATCACAAGCAGGGAAAACATTCTTGCACTCAAGCCCTGTTAGTGGGCTTCCCAAACGTACCTATGAGATTGGGGCCTAATCCAGCAGGACTCTGAATACCAGCTGCTGGGACTTGCTAGCAGCCAGAGCATTGTTGCACCCAAGTCCTGCTTCCCACTGGGGCATCCAGTTGGCCACTGTGAGAAAAGGATGCTGAACTCGATGAAACTTTGGTCTGATCCAGGGTTGTGGGTTCAAGGCCCACATTGGGCAAAAAATTCCTGCATTGCAAGGGGTTGGACTAGATGACCCACGTGGTCCCTTCTATGGTTCTGTGCAGTAGGGCTCTGCTTAGATTGTTGCTGTTCATTTATTTGATTTCATATCCACCCCTTCACCTGAAGACACCAGGGAAGGTTACCGCAACTTAAAATTCAATATTCAAAACCGTTTAAAACAAAGTACAATCACACGAATTACAATCACAGGCACAGGGCAGGTTAAAAGACCTGGGCAAATGTTGTTCCCAGAAGCACCTCATGGTCACTGACACACTCCTTCAGCTGGTAAAGGATGCTGAGGCCTATTTTTCTGGAGGGATGCTAACAATGGCCCCCCTTTGTTCTCTTTAACAGGTGAGGACTACGAATTTTGCTGGATGCTGCATCTCCGCTGCCAGAAGGGAGAGAGACTCACCAAAGCCTTTGTCCTCCTGAACCTGGAGCAGCCCCCAGGGGGAGGCCAGCCACCTCCCTACAGGCTCCTCCTCACCACCCCTCCCTCCCTACGCCAGTACCTGCGAGCCCGCCAAGGGAACCGACGTGCACTGTTGAGCAGGGAAGCCTGTGGTGTCCGCTTCGATGTGACGGAGCCCTTCCTCAGCGCCGAGGGAGGCCAGGAGGCCAAGATGTGCGTCAAGGCTGTCTGTCCGGAAGACGATGCCTGTGGGGCCTTGCGTTGCCCGCCTTTCTTGGCCACTTTGTGGCACAGTGTGCCCAGGCCGGATGGCTAGGCAACAGGAACGTAGATGGGCTCGCTCCACGGTGGAGTATGATGCCTAGCAACTGTTGGGACTTGAGGGTGTGAGGGAAAGGGCACACAGACTGATATACGCACAAACACACACTCCAGTTCTGCCATTAGCACGTCGGAGGTAGTTTCCTGACAAACTTTACTTCAGTGTTCATTTCTGCTTGGCAGTGTCAAAGTTACGTCAAACAACGGAAGTAGATCTTAATATATATCTATATTCGTATATGCTAAAGGGAACGTCGAAGGAACCAAAGTATCAACCAAGAGTCTCCAGCATGGTACATATGGGTGCAATGATGCATTTTCATATCTTCTCCGAGGCTCACAAAGCCTCTGAGCCCACGCTCAGTCTCTTTGCCCCCCTTGTCAAGAGGTCGGTTATCTTTTTCTCCTTTGAAATGTACAAAGAGCTGAAGGAGGAAGTTGGAAGAATGATGCTCTTTCCTGCTTCCTCTTTCAGCTCTACGTGCTTTCCAAAACTCAGATGAATACTACTGGATCCAGCTTTCCCCCAGATCCCTCAGCAAAGCAAAGACTGTCTCTGTGCACGATCTGTCTTGGGTGGGATAGAGAGAAGTGACCAGAGTGGGTGGTGTACACATGGGTCTAAAACGACTGGTGACCATTGGTATAAGCCAACAAGTAGGGATATACATCTATAGTATGCAAAGTGTCACTGCTCCCAAGTTGCAACTGCTGCAACTTAAGGGGCTCAGCTGGGTGCCAGAGTGGGGTAAATGGCTCTAGCAGAGCTCCAGGTCCACATGGTATGCTTAAACTTGCTGACACAACTACCTTAAATATGCTTCACCCACACTGCCATCTAGCAAGTGATGTGCTGTGGGCACCAGAAGCAAGTGGGAATGGAGGCTGCTGAACTAACAGCAGCTGTAGTCTGGAGGAAAGGCCATAGCTCATTGCTGGAACATTTGCTTTGCATGCAGAAGGTCCCAGATTCAATTCCTGGTATCTCCAGGTAGGGCTGGGAATACCCTCCACCTAAACCCCTGGAGAGCCACTGTCAGTCAGTGTATGCAATACTGAGCTAGAGGGACCAATGACCTAACTCAGTATAAGGCTTCTTCCTACAGTAAGACAATGTGAAGCAGGTTTCTCTCTCCTGTGGCACTGCCTGGATGTCTGTCCCGCACACTAAATGCTTATAGATGTAAAGTTAAGATGTATCTTTTTCTTCAAGCTATGGGGATGACTGATGTTTTCTGCTGTTGGAATTTCTGTTTTATAATGTTCTTGGTTTTGTGATTTTTATATATTGATGTATTTTAATGGACTGTAGTTTACTGTCCTGGGAATTTTTGAATCGAAAGGTGAGTTACAAATCTAATAAAACATCATCATCATAAAAAATGATACAGCTCTCTCCCCTTTGACGGTAGATGCCCGAGTAAGAATGTGATGAGCTTGAATCCTGCGAAGGCAAACACACTGTGGATGAGTTGTTGCCATGCCAGAGAAAATGGTCAATTGCCTTCCCTGGATGGGGTTGCACTCCCCCTGAAAGGGTGGATATGCAATCTGAGTGTGCCTCTGGATCTAGCATTGTCACTAGAGGCCCAGATAACCTCATGGCCAGAAGCACCTTTTGCCAGTTGCTACTGGTGCGAAAATTACAGCCATTCCTGGACTAGGAGAGCATGACCAGTGTAATTCAGGCACTGGCAACTTCAATGTTAGGTTACTGTAATGTACTGTATGCGAGGCTTCCTCTGCGGTACATTCGGAAGCTGCAGTTAGTGCAGCATGCTGCAGCAAGGTTGCAGACAGGAGTGGGACCCTGCCTGCATATAATATCTCTGCTCAGAGATTTGCACAGATTCCCCATCTGCTAAGGACCAAGTTCAAGGAATTACTATCATTATATAATACTACTAGCAGCTTGGGACCAGTTTAGTAGCGGGATCACCTTACTTCATATATGCCCGCTCAACTGTTTGATCTGCAGAACTGGCACTGTAAAGGTGCCACATATATGTTTTCCACACTTGGAAGAAATTGATCTTTTAGCAGCTATGCTTTGGAACTCCCTGCCTATTGACACCAGGCTGCGTTCTTTTGGTACTCAAGGTCACCTCAGTGAGGGCTGAGTGCAGATTCAAACTCTGGTCTCCAAGGTCCTAGTCTGACACTCTAGTCTAGCCCCTTCTCGGTAGTGGCACTAACCCTGTGGAACGCCCTCCCATCAGATGTCAAAGAAAGTAACAACTATCTGATGTTTACAAGACATCTGAAGGCAGCCCTGCTTAGGGAAGTTTTTAATTACTGATGTTTTAATGTATTTTTAATCTTTTGTTGGAAACCGCCCAGAGTGGCTGAGGCGGGGTATAAATATATTATTATTATTATTATTATTATTATTATTATTAAGTTATTCCTGCAGGGCTCGCCTGACACTACCCCATTTCGGAGCTCTATTTGCCCGCAAAATAGTCTCCTTCCCCAGCTGAAGCGCACTCAGTGGGGTCTAGGCAGGAAGAAGGCCCATAAACAGTCCCGTCCCCTCGCTACCAGGAAAACAACGGGACCACCAGCAAAGGGGAACGGCGTGCCAGTGGGAATGCTAAGAGTGCAACACCGAGGAAGCTGCGCTGGCGAATCAGCGTGGGGCCTTAGTAACATTCGCTTCCGGTGTTACACTCTAAAACGTCCGGCTCAACAGGGATTTCGGGACAGGACGAGCTTCGGGAAGTCCAGAGGCGGAGCGACAGTAGAAATGGCGTCTCCGGCGCGGAGTAACCACGTGTGGGTGGGGTCCGAGACGGGCATCCTGAAAGGTAATGGAGGGTCCGGGGCTCGACCGCTACTTGGGGTGAGATGTCTATTATTCAGCGACGCTGGGGAAACGGAGAGCCTTGTGTGGCTTTCGGGGAAATAAATGAGGAGGAAGTGTGGGTAGATGCTGTTCCTAGTGGCAGGAGGGGGTGGCGTTGCCCGCATCCTTACAACAAATTATGGTGCTTTGGGCTTCTGAGCATGTACAGAGTGCCTCTCCCCTTTCTGAGACATGTTTTGAAGGAAGTACATTATAGGTATTACATGTGAAAGAAGGGGAGGTGATGGGGAAGAGAGGATGGTTTATGGGTGGGGAGCGTATATGTGTAGACAATGAATGCTTGTTTGGAGGGCGGAAAAAGTGGGATAGGCAAATGAACAGAAGAGGCTAGGCTATTTAGTAGGCATTAGCCATAGTGGCTCAGTGGAACCTCCAGCTCTAGAGGGAGTATACCTCGGAATTTGCTGAGGACAAGCGACAGGAGATGGCAGTTGTCTTCATGCCCTGCTTGTGAACTTTGTGGAGGCATCAAGGTTTGCCAGTGTTGAAACTGTGATCCTGGAATAGGTGCACTGTTGGTTAGGTCCAGCCCAGTTCATGGTATGCTCTTAATGGGGAGGGGGAGATAGGGGCACTGTGGATAAGGTCTCTAGACACAAAGGCCAGAGGAGATATAGAGTGAGGCTTATGGGGGAGGGGAATGCAGCAACAGGCTTTTACATAAATACCCATCACTTACCAGTCTAGTAGCTGGATGCTGTTGCTGTGCCTTTAAAAGGGGCTTGATCAGCTAAGTCTTGTAAAGTGGGGATTCCTTTAAATAATTATTGGCTGGGACTGGTAGGAGTTGTAGTTAAGCAACATTAAAGGGCCATAGGTTAGTCACCTCTGGTGTAGATCAAGTCCATGTTAAAGGTTACAGTGGCAGGAATGGTTGAGAAGTTGCCAAACCTGCGTCGTAAGACTTAGCAGGAGGGAGCTAGATTAGAACACTGCAAGGAGCAGACAGAGGTCCACTAGCCCCTCAGCTTCCCCTTTCCTGGTGGTTAGTGACACAGGGAGAGTATGCCATCGACCTGTTTCTCTTTTCACCCTTCCCAATAATATCCCTTTCTTTCTCTTTTCTCCTCCTTCTAGGGATCAACCTGCAGAAGAAACAGGCCACAAACTATAAGTCAGGAGATGCGGTGCTCAGTCGACACGAAGCTGTTACTGCCATGTGTTGGGGCGATCCCTACGAGTCTGAGGTAATGGGGTTGCCAACTCCTAAGGCAGCTGGCAGAGTTTAGGGGACTGGATGCTGGGAAAGAAAAACGGGATACCTCATTGTATGGGAAGCTGCCTTATAGTGGGTTGGACTGTTGGTCCCTCTAGCTCAGTATTGTCAAAAAAAAACCCCACAACCTTCCCACAAACCCATTTAAAAGGGTGTAGAATATTAATCAGCCAAAGGCCCAGCTAAAGGGAAATATTTTCACCTGAAGCCTAAAGATGTATAATGAAAGACAAGCCTCCCTCACAGCTCCTTGTGCATAAGATCTATGCATCTAAGCCATGGGGGAATACTAACAGAAACTCTCCTGAAGACCTCAGAGTTTGAGCAGGGATCATGCAGTGCCTGAAGTATCCTGGACTCAAGTTGTTGAGGATCAGTACAAGAACGTTGAACCTGACCAAGAGTCATGTGGGCAGCCAGTGCAAGCATTTGGGCACTGGAGTTATGTGCTAGCGATAGTCTGTCACCACCAGCAGTCTAGATGCAGTGTTTTGCACCACCCAGAGCCTCCGGAACAGGCCCAAGGGTAGCCTTTACAGAGTCTTCCTTGTATTGTCTTTTGTGACTGGCAACGTCTCTCCAAAAGCTTTTCCTATCCCCTGCGCTTGAGGGCATTGTAACTTGCAATGGCAGAGGTTTGAACCTGGAATTTATTTTTGCATACATTCTCTCACTGAGGTGCAGTCACCTCTCTGAAAGAATGCAGCCAGGGAGGTGCACGTTTGTTTCTTAATAGTTTCTGTTTTCTTTCCTTTTGTTTATTCCCAGATCTTTGTGGGATGCCTTGATGGATCAGTCAGATTGTTCAGTACTGAGAAGGGCAAGTTTACTGAGTCACGAGACTGTCTAGGAGGCGAGGGACCCTTTTGTGGCTTGGCTGTGCTTGACAAGTAAGTCTGAATCCCTTCAAATCCTTAGCCTTCATCTACCTCAGGGAAAGGACAGGCTTCATGCCACTTGATATGACGCCCATGGATTCAGCAGGGATGATCCTTGGGTGTTTGTACTTTAGAATGCACTCTCTTGGGCTGCCACACACATACGCACACCGAACGTCTGAGGTAGAACTACCAAAAGTACCCTCTGTGCCAGTCTCAGCACCTGAGAAGATCTGTAGTGAAGGAAGCAATCTTTCAGGTATTTTGGGGCCTAAACCTCAGGGGTCCTAATTGGCTTGTAAGACCAATTTTCCCCTAGCCATAGCCACCTGCCACAGGTGTGAGGCAGATAAAGATGTATCTATAAAGGAACAATCAGGAACCTTAATCTGTGCCAGCATGGTTCAAATTCAGAACCTTTTAAGTTTGGCACCCAGCAGGCCCCAGAGATTGCTTCCACTTGGAGGTCCTGAGTGATGCCCGTCGGCTGATCAGTTGTGACTTCAAGCCCCCTTCCTGATTGAACATTGGCTGTTCAGCACACAAATGTGTGTTCTTTTCACTGAGTTGTAGGAGGTAAGGCTTTGTGGGTTTATTCCTTCCTTGGAAAGAATTGCTACTAGCTCGTCTTATGCATTCTCCACATGTATGGTAAATTAATTTCTCTCTACCTCCCTCCCCTCTTATCTCTCTTCCCTTTTCATTCTTCAACCAATTCCTACAGTTCCCTTATCACCTGTGTACAGTCTGGTTTGCTGAAGGTCTGGCGGGATGCTTCGTCGGAAAACGTGAGTCCTATCTTGGTGTCTGAGGGAGGTGGGGAGGGGGAGAGATGGGTTCCAGGCCACACAATAGCCTTTTAAGGAGCCACAAAGCTTTTTATTGTGTGTTTTAATTTTTCTAAATATCTTTGCAGTCTTAAATGCTAGAAACTTGTTGGGTTTTGTTTGCTGAAAGAGCTGATATGTTCAGGAAGTTAAATTCTGCAGATTGTATCCCATACTTGTTCTACTCAGGGTAGACCCATTGAAGCTAATGAGCTTAAAAGGTAAAGGGACCCCTGACCATTAGGTCCAGTCGTGACCGACTCTGCGGTTGCGGTGCTCATCTCGCTTTATTGGCAGAGGGAGCCGGCGTACAGATTCCGGGTAATGTGGCCAGCATAACTAAGCCGCTTCTGGCGAACCAGAGCAGCACACAGAAACGCCGTTTACCTTCCCGCTGGAGCGGTACCTATTTATCTACTTGCACTTTGACGTGCTTTCGAACTGCTAGGTGGGCAGGAGCAGGGACTGAGCAACGGGAGCTCACCCCGTCGCAGGGATTCGAACCGTCGACCTTCTGATTGGCAAGTCCTAGGCTCTGTGGTTTAACCCATTTGAGTGGGACTCCACTGAATAGAACTTAATTGGTTTCAACCTATGACTATACTCCTGTGGAACTGCACCTTTTGCACAAAGCTACTGTAAAATGACAACATTTTTAAAAAAAACAAACAAAAACCCTACAACATAATTGTTGCTTTATCCATCCTTGCAGCAAAAGTGGATTTCTCGCCACCCTCTTCAATGTTGCATATTTTGGGGAGGAACTAAGAATGAAAGCGGCTTCCCCAAGGCCAGTCATAGCTACTTAGCTGAGGTTTATGAACCTGCATCTGGCAGGTCCTCATGTTAGGTAGCCTGTCTACATACAGAACCATAGAATCATTGAGTTGGTAGGGACCCAAGGGCCATCTAGTCCAGCCCCCTGCAATGCAGGAATCTCAACTAAAGCATCCATGACAGATGGACACCCAACCTCTGCTTAGAAACCACTAGGAAAGGAGAGTCCACATGTATTTGTCTTGGCTTTGTACACCTCCACCACCAGCTCTATCTCTTGCATTGCAGCTGGAGGTCCAGGTGGGCCCCGGCGTGTGCCGCATGCGCCAGAACCCGGAACAGCCTCACCGCGTGGCCACAGGCGGGAAGGAGAACTGCCTCAAGGTGTGGGACCTCCACCAACCACAGGAGCCCATCTTCCGAGCCAAAAATGTGAGTTTGCTATACTGTGTAAACAGCCTGGGCTCCTTTCTCCTGTATTAGTGCACGGATAAGGGTGTAAGAAGAGCCCTGCTGGATCAGGCCAAAGGCGCATCTGGTCCATCATCCTGTGCCTGTAGTCCAACCAAAAGCTGGACTTGAACACAACAGTAGCTTTCCCCATTTGCAGTTCTCAGCAGCTGCCATTCAGAGGCACATTTTGCCTCCAACTGTGGTAGGAGAACAACATGGCTAGAATCCATAGATAGCCTTTCCTCCATGAATTTGTCCAATTCTCTTTAAAGGCCATCCAAGCAGATTCCATAGTGCAGTTCAGGAAAGATCTTTTTCCTTTTCAGATTCTTCAGGATGTGTAATGTATTGGAGAATGGCATACTCTTGCCTTCGTTCACGCCATGCCTTGCCCTCTTGTCAACAGGTGCGGAACGACTGGCTTGACCTGAGGGTGCCTATCTGGGACCGGGACATGCAGTTCCTGCCTGGATCAGAGAAAATTGTTACCTGCACTGGACACCACCAGGTAGAAGCTGGGGAAGACAAATATCTCCACTACATATTTCGGAAAGTTGGGCATTTGTTCTCTATGCATTTGGACATCTCTTGAGATATCCTAACCAAATTTTGCACAGTGCTTCCATGTGTCCCTCGGAACATTGTCCAGAAGGGCTGGAAAAGGTTCCCCATCACTGCATTATAACATTTGGGAGTGTTATAGGGTGGTTGCTGATGTTGTTGTTGGGTCTTTCATATGAGGATGAAGACTTCTGCTCTTCATCCTCTTGGTCGTCTTCTGCCTCCAGGTCCGGATCTATGACCCCAGCTCCCCACAGCGGCGCCCTGTGTTGGAAGCCACCTTTGGGGAGTACCCGCTCACTGCCCTCTCCCTGACCCCTGACACAAAGTGAGTTTCTCTTCTCCCCAGTGCTTGGAATGAATGAGTTTGGTTTAACAAACTTCAATGGATTAGTTCAAAGATCACCCCCCTACACCTGAAGGCAGTTCCCATAATTGCCAGGTGAATTAAATGTGAATGAAGTTTGTTTCAGGGTGGAACTTGTAACGATTTCCAGTTCATCTTCAAGTTCATTCTATTACATGTGCTTTTCTACTTCATAGATTCCTTGGGCATTTTAAGTTAAAGATTATAATTGTTGGGGAAAATAAGCTAAATCATTCACATTCCACCATGTTGTTGTTTTTTTGTTAGTCTTCTTAAGTATATTTAATACTTTAGCATAGCAGCTTGTAACATTCTAAATGCTGGAAAAAATTGCTGAGGATTATTTGTGTGAACCTGGACTGAATGAGAGCAGAATTATTTCATATTTTAAAGGGACAAATGTGAACTGGAACTAGTTCCTTTTTAAAAAATGAACTTTTCAAGCTCTGGATACAATCCCCAGCCTGCAGTGTCCTTGGCTGCTCACAGCTAAGGGCCTCATGGATGCTGTCCTGTTGCAAAATTGGAAATCTCTAATTCCTCCTTTTTTCACTTACAGTGCTGTTGTTGTGGGCAGCTCGCGTGGGGATGTGGCAGTAATTGATTTAAGGCAAGGTAAGTAAGAACCAGGATGATGGAGTGGGGAGGGGGTTTTGGATCTGAGGAGAATCTGGAAAGAGAGTTGCAGAGGAGCAAGGTGGGCTAAAAACAGAGGGCAGAAGGACATACTGATGTACAGCTGGAGAGGCAACTCTTTGATGACGGGAAGGTTCTTTAAAGCAGGACAGACAGCAGCATTTGGCCGGGCAAAATTCTCCTGCTGTGTTTTTTAGTCAGAGGTTGTTGCCAGCCTTTGTGGCCACATTTTCAAGCTGGAGTTATAGACACCGCACTCTCACTCTGAAACTACACACACCCTTGTTCTGTGCGGCCTATTCTGTTGGCTACAAGATGGTTCCGTACCCCAAGGCAGACCAAGTGGGGAAACATGAACCGTAGACCACCACCTCCCTTGGGTTCCTGTACTTGGAATCTTGTAGTCTATGAACCACAGCCATGTGCAACAGACTTAAAATTTCCTGTTTAATTCTACACAAGTGGAAGAAAAACCTCACAGTTTTTTCTTCAAGTCTGCCTTTGCAACAATATCTTACTATATAATATATTTGTAAGGCTGTCGCCAAGCTGCAGTTCACTACATTCCAAATACCACACTTGAGTAGTGTAGCCACACCATACCTGCTGCCCTCGTAACTCAGCCATTGTTGTCGTCTTGTGACAGGGCGGTTGCTGAAGTGCCTCAAAGGCTTCGCTGGGAGTGTCCGTGCCATCCAGTGCCACCCTGTGCTTCCGCTGGTGGCCTCGTGCGGACTGGACCGCTTCCTTCGTGTGCACAACCTCCAGCACAAGCGCTTGGAGCATAAGGTGAGGAGGAGCCCAACACGACAATGTTGCTGGTGTTTGCATATAGATTGTGGGGGAACCTCCCATCAGCGCCAGCCAGAATGGCCAACATTCAGTATTAGTGGGTGGTATGATTTTGGATTCTCGACTCCCATCATCTCTGGCTATTGGCCATGCCAGCTGGGGCTGATGAAGCTTGAGTTCAACAGTGGCTGGAGGATATCAGGATGGGGCAAGCTGGTGGCCTCCTCTCTGCTGCTTAACTGAACTATGTCTCTGTTACAGGTGTATCTGAAATCTCGATTGAACTGCCTGCTGCTAACCAGCAGAGAAAAATGGGAGGTGAGTCGAAGGGACCGAGGAGGAGGTATTATAATTCCTGGTTGCCATGAGGCTCTGAGCACGGAGCGGGAGAAGGGTGTGGGGATTGTTCTCTCTAACAAGTTGAATGCTTGCACAGATGGAAGATTGTGTAATAGCACATTTAATTTCACCCTCATACGTAAAATAGGCAATCAAATGTGATGGGTTGTATCATCTGTTAGTCTTACTGAGAGTATACCTATTAAATTAACCAACATTAGGGCCCATTAATGTCAGTGGACCTACTCTGAGAACATAGTTAGGTGCCACACACTTATTGTAACAGGAGACATGAGTCAAGAAATCATGGGCATGCCTGTGTTAAACAGGTGCCTCTTTAAAAGCCAGCAGCGTGCCAATACAGATGGGCACTCTCATATTTCAGCAGGGAATGCATTGCATGCTACTGATGCCACTAGGGAAGCCTGTATTAAGGTGCAGAGACATCCTTGATCTTCTTTCTCCAGGATGAAGGCGCCGACCCTTCAGCTGACCTCCAGAGTGACGTGAAAGAGGAGGAGGAGGAGGTGGACGAGATCTGGAACTCAATGGAAGTGGTTGCCGCCAAGCGGAAAGCAGAACGACAGCCGTTCTCTGACGTGGGGAGGGATGCACCCCGAAGGGACAAGGGCCTCAAAAAGCCGAAGATGATTAAAAAAGCTGAATCTTGAGATCTGGGTGGGAGGGGGTTGAAATGACATTTGCCTTTTTAATAACGAAGGAGGCAGGCATCACCAAAGTACCTGAATCTCAGCCTTGGACATGGGTTTGCCACAAGCAAAGGCCTTGGCTGGTCATGGGAGAAAAAGAGACAGAAACATTGTGAGCTGCTTTCTGCTGTCTCGTAGGACAGGTTTGCCATGGGGGGGGGGGGGCTTTTAACCTCATAGCAGCCCCAGGTTATTTTTTGGATCTGGGGAGCTAGTGTGGCAGGAATGTGAAGTTTTATAGCAGGGGCTTCATTTCAAGAACCTTATGGAGACAACACATTTCCCCCCTGCATGTTTGAAATTCTCCATTTTCCTTCTCTCATTTTGGCTGCTGTGCAGTTAAGACCGCTTGAAGCTGTTAAAAAGTACCTTCTTGCACAATATGTTCTGAATGTGGGCTATTTTTCCCCTGTGCAGGGTCTCGGGTAGGAGAAAGTGTCACCATTCCCTGTCCTGCTTAGCATTTCCATTTCCTTTTTATTTTTAAGGAGTGTGTAGGAGCGATGTGTGGAAGCAACTTCTAACTCCCAAGTTTGGGACCACTCAGGATATTATTATATTCATATTCCAACTTTTCCAGGCCTCAGTGTGGCTTACACAAATTGAAACAACACAGATAAAAGTTGAAAAGTAATTAAACTATAATAGAATTAATACAAAAACAACTTATTAAAATACAGATAGTAAAAATAGCACAGCACTAATGGAAGCCCTTTCCCCTTTTAAAAGAAGTCAGTTCCCAAAAGCCTACTAGAATAAAACATTGTGCTGGCAGAAGGTTAACAAGGAGGGAGTCGGCCTAGCTTCACTAGGAAGTGAGTCCCCACATCTGGAAGGCCTCCTTCCACATTCCCACCAAATGTGCCTGTGAGGGAAGCAGGGCTGAGAGAAGAGCCTCCCCCAAAGATCTCAAAGCCTGGGCAGGTTTGTGTGGCAGAATACGGTCCTTCAGAGAGCCTGGGCATAAGCTGTATTCTATAGGTCATAACCAACACTTTGAATTGAGCCCAGAAACAGCCAGTGGAGAAGTCGAAAAAAGGGAGTAAAAGGCTCCCTACAACCAGCCCCAATGAAGGATTTGCCTGCAGTTCTTCGTTTGTTGAAGTTTTCAAGCACTTCAAATAAAGCCCTACATAGAGCATGTTACAGTAATCCAAATGGGATGTAACTAAGCTAGATGAGAATTCTCCAGGAATGGGCACAGCTGGCACATGAAATTTAACTGTGCAAATGCAGTTTTGGCTACCACGTAAATCTGGGCATCCAGGCTCGGGGCCGAATCCAGCAAAATACCCAGACTGGGAACCTGCATTTTCAGGGGGAGTGTTGCCCCATCCACGATCGGATTTGCAGATTTATCAAAATGCATACTGCTATGTCCTAGAAAAGATCAAAACAGTTTGCAACAAGAATGTCAAGAGTTGTTAAGAGACCGCTATTCCCCCTCACAGAGAGCGACAGTTTCCAGAGTGGATTAACCATGAATGTCTTTTCCTAGGGAACTTCAGATATTGTACCTCTGTGAGGAGAATGAGGGGGAAACTCCAGTTCCAATGATTCTTTGGGGGAGAAGCCACAATAGTTCAAAGTGGTACAATACTCCTTTAAATGTACAGTGCGAATGCGGCCCAAGATTGAGGGGATGAGTGGAAAACCCACAGTCCCCGTGAGGAAAAGCTAAAAGCATTTGTGGTTATTTAGCTTTGAAAATGGTTTTCCCAGTAGTGATGTATGGAAGTGAGAGCTGGACCATCAAGAAGGCTGATCGCCGAAGAATTGATACTTTTGCATTATGGTGCTGAAGGAGACTCTTGAGAGTCCCATGGACTGCAAGAAGATCAAACCTCTCCATTCTGAAGTAAATCAGCCCTGAGTGGTCACTGGAAGGACAGATCGTGAAGCTGAGGCTCCAATACTTTGGCCACCTCATGAGAAGAGAGGACTCCCTGGAAAAGACCCTGATGTTGGGAAAGATGGAGGGCACAAGGAGAAGGGGACGACAGAGGATGAGATGGTTGGACAGTGTTCTCAAAGCTACAAACATGAGTCTGACCAAACTGCGGGAGGCAGTGGAAGACAGGAGTGCCTGGCGTGCTCTGGTCCATGGGGTCACGAAGAGTCGGAGATGACTAAACGACTAAACAACAAAGCTTTGAAAAAGAGATGGGTATGATAGGTCTTTAAAATAATAATAGGGTTAGAAAAATAATTCTACAAACTCAGGGTCCTCCATGCAGGTCTGCTCTAGTAATCCCACTAACAAAAGTGGAGACTCCATTTCCAGCAGTAGTCAACCTCTGAAATGCAGGAAAGGGGTATTAGCAGAGGAAGGTTATATCCAGGGGTCAGCAAACTTTTTCAGCAGGGGGCGGGTCCACTGTCCCTCAGACCTTGTGGGGGGCTGGAATATATTTGGGGGGGGGGATGAACGAAATCCTATGCCCCACAAATAACCCAGAGATGCATTTTAAATAAAAGGACACATTCTATTCATGTAAAAACATGCTGATTCTTGGACCGTCCACGGACCGGATTTAGAAGGCGATTGGGCTGGATCCAGCCCCCAGGCCTTAGTTTGCCTACCCATGGTTATATCCTTCATGAGCTTCCCAGAAGCCTCTGGATTGTCCACTGTCAGAAATAACTGAATACAACCCCTTAGCTCCACTGTAAAGAGACCAGTTGAAGTCAACAGACTTGTTAGTAACGGTTAATAACGGCCAGTGATTTTACTGGGTCTGAGCAGTAAGAGTGAGCTGGATATCACTAATTCCTGAGGGGAAGCCACTGTAAAGATCTGCCTTCAGCCAGGGACCAGATGCCTATTTTTTACTGCCAGATGGGGTGAGTTTGTCTGCCATTGGCTGTGGCTCCACCAGAAAATAGGTTTCCCTGCCTTCCACCCCACCAAGTAGCAACATTGGTCTGTTGTAGCTAAAGAGTGCTGTGGCACCTTAAAGGCTAACAAATGTCATAGCATTATCTTTCAAGGGCTAGAGCCTGCTTCACCAAACAGACCTTTAATATGATCCAGCAAGAGCTGCTCATATTATTCCACATCTTTTTTATTATGTGCTATTACTACAAAGAAACAGGGACGCGGGTGGCACTGTGGGTTAAACCACAGAGCCTAGGACTTGCTGATTGGAAGGTCGGGGGTTTGAATCCCCGCGACAGGGTGAGCTCCCGTTGCTCGGTTCCTGCTCCTGCCAACCTAGCAGTTCAAAAGCACGTCAAAGTGCAAGTAGATAAATAGGTGCCGCTCCGGCGGGAAGGTAAATGGTGTTTCCGTGCGCTGCTCTGGTTCGCCAGAAGCGGCTTAGTCATGCTGGCCACAGGACCCGGAAGCTGTACGCCGGCTCCCTCGGCCTATAGAGCGAGATGAGCGCCGCAACCCCAGAGTCGGCCACGACTGGACCTAATGGTCAGGGGTGCCTTTACTATAAAGAAAACCTTTGAATGCCCCCCACCACAAAAGGACACTTTTATCAGTTTTTATTCATATTCCCATAAAAAAAGCTTATTAAAAGTTAGACTTAAGGTTCTACCCAACACATTTCTCTTTAGTTCTTGCATTTATATCCCACCGTTTTCTCCAACAAGCTAAGGGGGCATTAATGGTTCTCCCCCTTCTCATTTGATCTCCAAAACAACCCTGTGAGGTGGGTTAAGATGAGAATGAGCGGCCCAACTCATTGAGTTTCATGGCCGAGTCGGGATTTGAACCCTGCTATTTCCTGGTCCTGGTCCAACGCTCTTACCACTGTACCACACTGGGTTTTTAATCATAACAGACTAACACAGCTTTCATACTATATATTGTATGTGGTGTGGCATGTGGTTCAAGAGTGCTGGACTAGGACTTGGGAGACTGGAGCTCACATCCCAACTTGGTCACCATGCTGCTGTCTCAGCCTAATCTGGGCATGGGGAACATTTAGTCATCCTGGTGTTGCTGAACTACACTTGCTATGTATGCTTGCTAGGGCTGATGGGAGTTGTAGTTCATCAACAACTAGAAGGGCAAAGGTTCCCCACACCTGGCTTAATCTACCTCACAGGGCTGTTGTGGGGGAACTATGTACTGAGGTCCAGCACCAAGGGCCTTCTGGCAGTTCCCTCGCTGCGAGAAGTGAGGTTACAGGGTACCAGGCAGAGGGCCTTCTCAGTAGTGGCGCCTGCCCTGTGGAATGCCCTCCCAGCAGATGTCAAGGCAATAAAGAACTATTTGAATTTTAAAAGACAACTGTTTAGGGAAGTTTTAAATGTCTGACACTGTATTGTTTTTAATTTGGTTGGAAGCCGCCCAGAGTAGCTGAGAAAACCCAGCCAGATGGGCAGGGTATGTACAAACAAACAAATAAATAAATTACCTGTATGTGATCTTGAGCTCCCCAGAGGACTGGTGGGATATAATGTAATAATAATCATTCTATTATTATTTCATGCTGCAATCTGCAGAACTACCTTTGCTGATTTCTCCACCCAACATCTCTTATATCCCACAACTACTCCATCTGCATTTTTGGATGCAGTTTGGGAAGCTTTCTGTGTCTTTCTGCAAACTATCCCTACTACAAAACTCTCACCATTTACAGGGGCTTGGAGAGGATTTTTGGAGCAGAAAAAAGGATGCCCATGTATTCTCTCCCTCCTCTCTTGGAGGCAATATGCTGGGAATCACAAGCAGGGAGACTGCACCCATGCCCTGCTTTGGGGCTGCCCATTGTGTCATCTGTTTGGCCATTGTGAGAAGAGGGTGTTGGACAAGACAGCCTGATCCTTTGGCCTGATGCAGCAGCCAGGCTGCTCTTACCTTCTCAAGGCAATGGGATTTGATTTTGAGGGGAAAATGCGGCTTTAATGCCCCTGGCAGCGCAATCGTATTTTTATTTTTTGTACCATATATTTGTAAACTTAGAGACTACTGTAGTTAAGCAGTATACTAAATTGCTTAAATCCATACATAAAACCAGAAGTAAGTCTCATTCAATCTGTATGGGATTTACTCCCTCCTAGGGAAACGTGCTAGGATCGCAGCCACCTTGGTAACGAAGGGAGTTGGGATCCGGGATCGGAAGGTGATATATTTTATAACAAATGCAAGTGATATAATATAAAAGAACCTTTTTCCTTTTTTTTAAAGGAAGACGGTGGATGATGGTGGGCAGAGTGAGGCGAGGCAACTTTCCTCCGCCAAAGTTGGAGCCAAGGCGAAAGCGTGACCTCACAAAAGCCGCCTAGGGAATAAGGCTGCGGCGGCAGGCCCCTTTGGCGGGCCGGGCCGGGCCCCGTCCAGGCGCCGCGCGGCGGGCGATGGGCTGTGTGGAATCCAATGAAGTGCTTTCCTCCGAAGCGATAGACACAAACTCAGTAGCAGCACCACCCGCGCCCCAAACGACTGCTCCAGCCTCGGAAAAAGGTGACGCCTCCTCCGCATCCCCGATGGCAGGAGGGAATCCCGCGGAGGGGTTTCCCCTCACCGGAGCTGGGAAAATTCGGGGAATCCCCAGCGCCCTGCGCACGTGGGCAGGCAGGCCCTCGGATGGAACCTAAGGGGCGAGAGAGGTTCGAAGAGGGTGGGGCCTCGGGAAGGGGGCGGAACTCGCGCATGCAAGTGGGAGGAGCTTGTGGAGGAATCGGCCCAGGCAACAGGAGGGAGGATTCCGATGGGAGGAACTTGACAGGAGTTAGGCGAATATTTTCCATTCCTGCTATAAAGCTGAATGAGTAAATGCAGTTTCCAACTGCAATAAACCAGCTGTTAGCATGCTCCCCCATTATTATTAATTAATAATAATAATAATAATAATAATAATATCATTAATTCTGTTGGGAGCCACCCAGTGTGGCTAGAGAAACCCAGCTAGATGGATGGGGTATAAATAATCATAAATTATTATTATTTATTTCACATCATCGCAGAGATGTGATGCTTTCACTTTTAAACAAAACACAGTTGTGTGATCAAGGTCCAGACTCTGGTTAGTAAGAACAAGCCAGGATCAAGCTGAAATCTCAAATCCTAGCAAGTTCTAAAACCCATCACTCAACAAACCAAGGTTTTCTTAATCATATGTGTATAAAAGAGGAAAACAGGGTGCACAAACCCAAATGCTCACTGTGGTTGTTCACACTGTAGGAAACCATCATTTCACATTGCAGATTTTTCGGGGCGCTTATATATTCATACATTTTTTTCCTTGTAGATTTAATTTAAACCAGAAGCTGCCTTATACATTAGAGGATACACTTGCTTAAATTCCTTCTTCAGCACAATTAGTAAGCCCTGTCCTTGTGCATCTGGCCACCCTGAGGAGAATATGCTTCTAAACAAGATCATGATAATCTAATTTACAACCTTAAAAACTAATCAGTAAATAGTGAAATAATAACCTAATATAAATAGCCTTTTCAGCTTCTTACCAATGTAGGAGAAACTGATATAGATTTTATTTTTTTTAAGGCTGCAAACCTCTGCACATGCATCTGCAAATAAACCCAATTAAACAAAATGGGACAGCCTCTGGATGAACATGCATAGGATTGCTTTATTAAAATGTAGACTGATGCTAGATTAGCTAACTGCAAATAGTCCCAAACCTTGATAGCCCTGCAGAACAAGGTTGGGGAACCTTCCAGATGCTGCTATCCTACAACTCCCATCATCCCATTGGCCACACTGGCTGGGGCAGGTAAGAGGGAGAGATTATTTAAACAGAAGCATTCTGACCAGATAATGAGTAGTAGCTCCATTCTATTCTCTGCTGGTCGGAATATATGTAGAGTAGTTCTGAGCACCACATTTTAAGAAGCATGATGATAAACTGCAGCATGTTCAGAAGAGGGCAACTGGGATGGCGAAGGATCTGGAAAGCATGTCCTATGAGAAACTGTTGTGGGGGACAAGGAAGAGGAGCAGGGTATGTTTACCCCGAAGAAGCAAATATTTAAGTAGACATGAAAGTGGTCTTCAAATATCAGAAGGCCCGTCACACAGATGATGCTGACCTATTTTCAGTTGCTTCAGAGGACAGTGGCTTGCAGTCAGTGGACTAGGGGGACTTGGTTAGTCCCCTAAATGTTCCTGGTAAATTAGAATGATGGGGTCCAAGAGCCCTCCCGCCACCTTCCCAAAGCCCTCCCGGAGGCAGCAATGCTCCAATAATCTGTCAGAAGCCTGGCAACTCCTTCCCAAAGCCCAGTAAGTTTCTGACCTGCTTAAGATGCTCACACGTGCATCTCCCCCCCCCATCACCCTTGCAAGCTGGTGCCTCTGGCCCTAACTGTTCCCCTCCAAAAAATTTAATTGCATGCCATGGACCAGCAAGTTGTATCTAACCAAGTTATACTGAGAGTAGACACATTAATGGATAGAAGTTCATCACATCTATTCACTTAAATAGGTCTGCTCCAGCTATGGCTACCATTACAACCCAATGTTTAGAAACTGGAACTTGGAGCCTCCATGCCTGAACTTGCTAGTGCATCCATCTTAATTGCACCAGACCTCTTCCAACACACAGGGCCTGCTTGCGGGTTTTGTATAGGCACCTAGATGGCTCCTCTGAATAGAGGACTAGATGGGCCTTTGCCTTGAGCCAGCAGGACTTTTCTTCTCAACATGCTGCCACAGCAGCATGCAAGCTATCCCAGAACAGCAAGAGTTTCAGCGGCAGCCAATGCCACCCAGCAAAATTGGTGCTTGTAGCATTGGTCTCTGGTGTCCAATTATGCCATGTGTTGGCACAGGGTCCTTTAGAGGGTTATGGAGACCAAAAGGCTAAAGCTGCCCTGGTTTTGCTGCCCCCCCCCATTGACATGATCTTATAATTTTTGTTTGCAGTGAAAAAAAAGAGAAGACATAGCTTAAGGGAAAGGTGGGCAACTGGGAAGAAGACATCTACCGAAGATCTGGGCAATCGGACTGAAAGCACAAAGATCCACGTGATCTGGAGACGTGTTTCTCTCTTCAGCACAAAGCGAGATTCCTTGAAGAGCATGAGCGCAGAAGTGGCTGGGCCCAGTCATCTGAACAGCGATCAAGAACCTCAACCCGATACCTCTGAGAAATTTGGGGAAACTTACTGAGGAGAGAGAGAATGTGGACAGAGAATACAGAGCAGGCTATGGCAGCATTGCTGCAAAATACAGGCAGTCTTACAGCTAAGGGGAATAAACTTTAACTATCACGCATGGCTTTCTGTGAAATTCTTGGCTGCCTGAGATAGCAGATACCCATTTTGATAATGGTCAGGAAGAGAAAGGAGAGGACTAGTAATGGGAAGTGAGGAATTCAAACATTTTTTTGGTGATCGTAATTAATTATGTGGGAAAGGCTTGGACTTTTGACCCATGAACACAGCGAAGCAAGTAAAAGCCTGTCTTTTTATTCCTCACACCCCTTTCCATCAGATGTTTTGATGAATGGGCCAGAGAAAAAGTTAACATTTCCTACATTGGGGCCAGTTGCAGGTTTGAGGGACAAGAGATACCTTCAGTAAGCCTCACTGAGCTAGAGATGAGGAAACATCAGGCCTGGGGGCCAATTGTAGCCCTCCAGGCCTCTCTACCTGGCCTCAGAACCCTCCCCAGGCCACTTACTTCACTGGCTCTAGGTGCCTTTGCCAGGTTAGAATGCGCCTGTCCGTGCCTCTTGCTAGCCCTGATGGAGGAGAGGGAGGGATATGTGATTGTGCATAGAGACTAGCCTACTATGTTGTTGTTGTTTAGTCGTTTAGTTGTGTCCGACTCTTTGTGACCCCATGGACGAGAGCACACCAGGCACTCCTGTCTTCCACTGCCTCCCACAGTTTGGTCAAACTCATGTTGGTAGGTATAATTTACATCTGTTGCTCCATCCATTTTACCTTTGGGCCCACCTGCCACTGAAATATGGCCCTCGGAAGGTTGCCCATAATTAAATGTCGCCCTCAGGCTGAAAAGTGTTATCCACCTCTGGTCCACTGTCATTGCAACTCCTTTGCCTCGCCATTGCTGGACAGAGCATGCCAATGAGGAAGCAGGCAGGGGCAGCAGCTCCTCATCACTCAATGCCACTGCTGCTTCTCCTCTCTGGGCCAGACCAAGAGGTACATGAGTAGGTGGTGGTTAGACACCCTGTTCTTTTGGCCTTGCAACACCATTAAAATGCAAGAAGAGGAAGGTGAAGCAGCCAACAACGGTGCAGAGGGTGAGGAAGTCCAGCAGGGTTTTTGAGCGTGCCCCCAGGCGTGCCAACCGTTGATGCCACCCTGCACATGATAGAGAAATAAAGTCCCAGCAGACAGAACAGAAATATTCAGGGTCTTCCTTTCCTTTGAAGATTCTTAGTTTATGTGTATTTTTTCTTCAGTGGCCAAGGTCCACTTGTTTTCATTGATAGGGATGTTGCTGATGACTAGACTATTTAAAATGACAATTTGTTAACATTTATTTTAGTTCCTCTAAGTTAGACCTCTGTTCGCTATCTCTGTACATACTTGGCTTGTGTGGAAGTAGGTTTTTAGTTGCTACAATCACGCAGAGCTTGCTACATTCATACTTGCTTGTTTAGGATATTCAGAAAAAGAAAAGTTTTTTTCTTTCCAAGTGCCATCTGGCAGCCACAACAGATGGTGAGTGGGTTAGTTGGAAGACTGCCAACAGTGTTGGATCTGGCCTGCCCAATTTGTAGGTTCCAAACTCAAATTATGTTGTGGTTTACTGTGCACTTTACCTGGTAACACAAATACTCTGCCCCCAGGGAGCTTATTGCTGAAATATTGCCAGTGGGGTGGGAAAAATCCAAAGGGTAAAGAAAGGAAACAGATGCTAGCGCATATCAAGGTAACATTTCATTTGACTATCAACATAAGAACACAAGAAGAGTGTGCTGAATCAGGCCAATGACTTATATAGTCCAGCAGCCTGTTCACTATGAACAACTAGATGGCAGTGGGAAACCTGCAAGCAGGACCTAAGCACAAGAGCTGCTGTGGTTTTCAGCAACTGGGATTCAAAAGCCTTACTACCCCCGACAGTGGGGGAAGAGCACAGCCATTGTGACTAGTAGCCATTGACAGCCTTATCTTCCATTAAACTTTACTAAACAATGCACAAGGAAAGAATGGAGAATATGACCTCTTTGTAGTACTCTATTGTAGTGTTTCCGTAGTACTTCATTTGATTTTGGGGGACGGACTGTAGCCGAGTTGCAGAACATCTGCTTTGCATGTAGGTCTCAGGTTCAGTCTCTGTTTACAGGTAGGTAGCCGTGTTGGTCTGCTGTAGTTGAATAATAATAATAATAATAATAATAATAATAAATTCCTTCCAATAGCACCTTAGAGACCAACTAAGTTAGTTATTGGTATGAGCTTTCGTGTGCACATAAAAGCTCATACCAATAACTAACTTAGTTGGTCTCTAAGGTGCTACTGGAAGGAATTTTTATTTTATTTTATTTTGTTCAGCCTCTGGCATCTCCAGATAGGGCTGGAAACATCCACTGTCTTAAACCCTGGAGAACAGCTGCTAGAAAACGCCTCAACAGCCGAATCTCTACCTGTCACAACGTTTCTTCTTTCTTCTTCTCCTTCTCCTCAGTTTGTAGATTTAAGTTACGGCCCAATCCTACGCACATTTACTCAGCAGCCAGCCCGACCCATTTCAATTACAGCTAACTCCCAGGTAAATCCTTTATTCTGGAATGCAGGCCCCGCCGGCTCTTGGTTGCCTAGCAACAAAATCCCGACTCTACACTCCCCCCCCCCCGTTTGCCAAGGATCCCGGGAAGCGCCCGCCTTTTGTCGCATAGCAACAGAGCCCCGCCTCCCTCAACCGCAACGTCAGCGAAAAGAAGCCGCGTCGCTGGAGGGGCGGGGAGGACATACGCAGGCGCGCGCTAGCGAAGGAGGCGCTGCTAACAGACGTCGCTCTCGGCGTCGTGCGTGTGACGTCCGCCGCCGAGGGGGTACGTGGCAGTGACGTCGACGGCCCGCCCTCCTTTCGGCTTGTTTGGTCGTTCGATCCGGAGGCCGGTGTTCGGAACTGAGGAGGGAGGCAGCGCCTAGAGCTGGGTCCGGGTCCGCGAAGCCGGTGAGTCGGGGGTCCGCCTCTCATATATGCCTCAGGCTTCGCCGTCGCCCCCCCCCGCTACTCTTGCCGAGCGCGGTGCTCCTCCGTAAAAGTTCCCCCACCCGGTGTGGTCCCCCCTCCCGCTTCAAAGAGTTCCCCCCTTTTTCAGGGACAGCGGCCGGAGCCCTTTCCCCCTTTGTGTGTCCCCGTGAAATGTTTCCCCCTTCCCCACAGATTGTGGTCTCCAATCCCTTCTCTTTCGTGTCCTGCTCCAAATCCCTCCCCCAGCCTATTGGTCCAAGTCCTTCCTCTCGTGTGTCTTCACCCTCCCCTTTCTGACAGGAACGAAAGCTTTCCCCCCTCCTCCTTTCCTGGGTATCATTACGAATTGAGGTCTCTCTCTCCCCCACCCCCCCCCTTCCAACTCTCCACTTTCCTCTTCCACAGATACTGGTTGAAAACATTTCCCTTCTTTCAACCTCACCCGGATAGCTCAGTCGGTAGCAGAACATGAGACTCTTAATATTAGGGGCGTGTGGGTTCGAGCCCCATGTAGGGCAATTTCTGCATTCCAGGGGGTTGGACTAGATGACCCCCGTAGTCCCTTCCAACTCTACAATTCCATGATTCTATGTATGTGGCAGCCCCTCAAGAAAGGGCCATAGCTCAGTGGTGGACCGTGAGGACTAGAATCTTAATTTGAGGGGAAGGGCCGTAGCTCGGTGGTTGAGCATCTGCTTTGCATCCAGAAGGTCCCAGTTCCCAGCATCTCCAGGTTGGGCTGGGAGAGAGCACTTGTGTGAAACTTTGGACACCCACTGACTGTCAGTGTAAACAATACTGAGTTTGGTAGGGCTGGCTCTGTAGAAGGCATAAGAACATTCTGCTGGATCAGGCTACTGGTCCATCTAGTCCAGCATCCTGTTCTCATGGTGGCTTAACGGATGTCTCTAGGAAGTCCACAAGAACAATTTGAGTGCACAGCACTCTCCCTTGCTGTGTTTTCCAGCAACTGATATTCAGAATAAACCTGCCTCCAACTGGAGGTAGAACATAGCCATTATGCCTGGTAAATATTGATAGCCTTATTAGCCATGAATTTGTCTAATCCTCTTCTAAAGCCATCCAACTTGGTGGCCATCCCTGCCTCTTGTGGGAGCGAATTTCATAGTTTAACCGTGCACTGCAGAAAGAAATACGTTCTTTTGCCTGTCCTGAATCTTTTAACATCCGGCTTCCTTGACTATTTTCTAATTCTAGTGTTATGAGAGACGCAGCTTCCTATGTTACTTTGTGTTTTACTTTCTGTTTTGGCTTAGCTTCATCTATGTTTTCAGAAGCATCCCAAGCAGCCCGCAGTTTCCCTCGCTCTGACAAGCAACCCATGTTGTCCCTTTCTGAGGGTGATGGGGGAACCCCACTCTCCTTCCTGCCACCCTTACCCTACAAATTAATTGAGCTTTGGAGGGTGCAGTGCAACTACAGTAGTGCTTCTGGCTTTAAGAAAGGAAAGGAGGGTTGGAGCTGGTTATCTGGCTAAGGGGTGGCCAAGGCTGTACTGCCGAGGGTCCAAATATACCCCAGACTTTCCCCGCTTTACTGGAGAGGGGAAGGCTGGAGATGGATATTGGGAGACCCTGAGCTGATGCTGTTCACAGTTTGATGCTGAAGGGGTCTGAGTCCCACACTTGCACTGGGGTTTCCGAGCCCCTCTGAACCCCCAACACTACCGTAGGGGCCCTGCCTTCCTTCCTCTCAGTCCTGTATGCCCTTCCCTGGGTGTAAGCCCCATTGAATACAGTGAGGCTTATTTTCAGGTAAGATTGATTGAAGGAGAGGTACAGAATCCCTGTGTTCCAAGGCTGGATGTAATTTGTTGGATTCCTGGATAGACTGTGTTTGAACAGGAAGTTACTTTTTGACAGTTAGTAGATCTCTTCCTCTTCCACAACCCTTTCTAATGCTTTCTTTTAAAGCTGTCCTAGCTAGTAGGCACTTCACCAAAACTTCAGGCATTAAGTTTGATAAGTTTTTAAAATACTGATTTTATACATATTTGTCATAGGATAAACAAACATACTGCATTCAGGAAAAAAGTCAAAACAAATAACTATAGGTATGCAAAGGTTTCCGATTTGTTGGTCTTTTTAGGGTATCCACTTTTAGTGGCGCAAGTTTTACTAGCTGCCCATATCCACAGTGCAAGTTTGATTAAGTTAATTGTTCATTGTACTGCATGAAATAGCATGCCTGTTCCAAACCTGCTGACTCTGAGAAGGGGAAACAGTTTCTCTTTCTCCACTCTTTGTTAGACAATTTGTAATAATAGAAGTTGCTGTAATATTTCCTCCCCTCTCCCAGACAGTTTTTTTTCTATAAAAAAGAAAGCCCCACTTGACTTCTCTTTTCCTTATAGGAAAAGTGCTCCAGCCCTTTGATAAATGTAGTCATTCTTTTCTGCACCTTTTCCTGTTCACTTATATTGTTTCTGCACAGTATTTCAAATGCAGCTGCATTGTATATTTATGTTAAGCAGGGTCAGGGGATTCCAGCTCCCATCAGCCCCAGCCAATATGTCCACAATTAGTTTATTCCTGCCGATTGGATACCACTCACTCTGGTATCTTTGAAGGTTAACGGTGATCTAAAAGTGCTTCTTATAAATATAGTGAATGATAAAGCGTATGCTACAATAAATCTGTCTCCTTATATCGCCACAAAACTCTTTGTTATTTGTGCCAGCAAGGTGGTGGTTTGGAAGACTGATAATCTTCTGTTATTGCTAAGCGATTCAGAACTTGTGGGGAGAGTAGATGTTAGTTCAGGGGTAGGCAACCTAAGGCCCGTGGGCCGGATGCGGTCCAATCGCCTTCTCAATCCAGCCCACGGATGACCCAGGAATCAGTGTGTTTTTACATGAGTAGAATGTGTCCTTTTATTTAAAATGCATCTTTGGATTATTTGTGGGGCATAGGAATTCATTCAATCCCCCCCCCAAAAAATATATATAGTCCAGCCCACCACATGGTCTGAGGGACGGTGGACCGGCCCACAGCTGAAAAAGGTTGCTGACCCCTGTGTTAGTTCATACAACCACAAAGCAGCCAGATTCTCACTTGCCCAATTGGTATCACTACTTGGGCCTTTGTGAAATCTAAATTTCCTCCCACTGAATTAGGAGTGGTAGTTTTTCGAATCCAAAAGGAAAGCAGTGGAACTTAGGAATCTCTTGGATTCGTACTGAGCACTGTGGGGGAAGAAGCCGTTGCTAGTAGTTTAGAGCAGTTTGTCCTAGGGCACTGGGTGCCTTCGTTTGTTTTTCAGCTTAGTTCTGGTGGTGATCAGAGTTAACATAAAAACACAGAAGGAGCCTGGCTGCTGGCTCAGACCAAATGACCTGTCTTGTCCAGCATGTGGCCACTCAGATGCCCCAGTGGGAAGCCTACAAACGGGACCTGCATGAAACAGAACTCTCCCCGTCGATGGTTTCTAGAAACTAGTATTTAGACACTTATTGCTTCTGACAGTGGAGATAGTAGCCATTGACAGTGGGTTAGTAGCCATTGGTAGCCTTATCCTGGTAGCGAGGGTGTGTATGTGTTGGGAGCCAAGTGGCAGGACAAAGTGGTCTGCTTCAGGAGTGGTGGGGATTGGTGTCTGAACAGTGCAGCAAATACTTTTTGTGTTGGCCCTACTGGAGTGGTTGTGGTGCCATTTAGGCTCTGCTTCAGACAGGAAGATGTTTTGTTTTTTGTTTGTTTGTTTGTTTTTTAAATGATATTTATTAAAAGTTTAAGAATTACAGGAGAAAAAAAAGAAATACAATAAAGTAGCAAAAAATACCAATAACAAAACACATAAAACATATAAAAACCATACAATAGTAGAGCAAAAAAAAAAAACAGACAAAAAAAGAAGCTAAAAAACACATCCAATATTCCATATCTTTACCTTTCCTTAACTTATTTCATCGACCTCCTCACACCTCCCTTTTTTTGTATTCTAGTTCAATTCACTATTTCAGCAAGTTCTTCCCATCTTTCTCAATTTTGATTCTGTAGTTTTAACGAATTAACCTTAAATTTTTTCAATTTAACCCAATGTCAATCAACTTTTACTTAATTCTTTGTTGCATTTCTACTAAAACCATGTTAATTCATTCCCGCATCCCTCTAACACTCATTAATTTTACAATGTTTCTGTAAGTATACTTTAAATTTTTTCCAAACTTCTTCCACCGACTCAGACAGGAAGATGTTTTGGGCCAGCACTGCTATGTTCTTAAAAGCCACAATATATCAGTCAAAAATACTACAAATTCTGTGACAAAAAATCAAAACTCTTAGTTTATGAACTAATAAGAAATTCTAGAAATATATCACGTGTATTCAAGGACAGGGAGGAAAACACCTTTCGAAAGAAGGTTGGTGGGCGGGATGTAGAGGCTTTTACAATGAAATATATAAATATAAAGTAACATATAATATGCAAATTAGCAGTTATCTCAGTGAAGTAAATCTAAAACCCCTGGACAGAGATCAATGAAGTTATCTATGTGAATCTATAGCAGAAAATGAAGTAGGAAAAATCCCCTTAAATTAAAACCTGCAAACGCCCCAGGATTAGATGGCTTCACCTCCTTTTTTTTTTTTTTTACAAAATGTTTAAGGAGCAAGTTTCCTAAAATGGGGAGGCTATTCAACTTTATGCTCTGGGGGTGTCAAGTACCTGCCACTTGGAAGGAATCGTAGGTGATTGAATTTCAGAAACCTGAGACAGATGCCATTTTTGTATACTAGTATTGACCTATACCACTAATTTAAAAAGATGCAAAGATTTTTAGGAAACTTTTGGCAGACGGGTTGACATCCACTTCTCTTATCCACAATTGTAGACACAGATCAAGTAGACTTTGTTAAGGAGCAGCATATAGCTGATCCTATTAGGATATTAATGCAATCTACCTGGGGCAGGGGGAACCAAGAAAAGTAACACTGATAGTATCATTCTAGAAAAGCATTTGACAGTTTGGGCTGGGAGAATTTATTCAGCTTGGTTCAGAAACTTCAGGTAGTGCAGAATTCGGTGACCGGGTTGTTCGCTGGGGCAAGGCAGTTTGAGCACATTACACCAATCCTGGTCTGACTGCACTGGGGACCAGTTAGCTTCTGGTCCCATTTCAAAGTGCTGGTTTTGACAGAGCCGTAAATGGTTCAGGACCACAATACCTCAAGGACTGCCTCTCCCCATATAAACCTACCCTGAGATCATCCTCTGAGGCCCTTCTTTGTGTGCCTCCTCCCCTCAAGGTCCTCAGGGTGGCAACACAAGAAGAGGCCTTTTCTGCAATGGCTCCCTACCTGTGGAACACTCTCCCCAGGAAGATTCGACTGGCGACTTCATTATACACCTTTATGCACCAGATTCTGTGAAACTAGTTGCTAGAAATCAGCCTTGGGCTGATTTACACATGACGCCCTTTTAAAGTGTGTTGTGAGAGGGGGGATTATTTGTTTGCTTTTGTTCTTATTTTTATTATGTGCTTTGCATTTTCTATATTGTCATTTTGTGTCGTGGACTGCCCTGAAATCTATGGGTATAGGGCAGTATACGGAATTAATTAATTAATTACCGTATTTTTCGCTCTATAAGACGCACCAGACCACAAGACGCACCTAGTTTTTGGAGGAGGAAAACAAGAAAAAAATTATTCTGAATCTCAGAAGCCAGAACAGCAAGAGGGATCACTGCGCAGTGAAAGCAGCAATCCCTCTTGCTGTTCTGGCTTCTGGGATAGCTGCGCAGCCTGCATTCGCTCCATAAGACGCACACACATTTCCCCTTACTTTTTAGGAGGGGAAAAGTGAGTCTTATAGAGCAAAAAATACGGTAATACTATATCCGTTATTAGAAAAGTTGTAATTTCCCACAATATTTGTAACTGTTTTGAAAAACCTGTTTGAGAATTCTCAGAGAACTATCAGACTTAACGGACAGGACCCCCCCCCCCCCAAGATTCAGTATACAGAGTGGTACCCTTTGCCACCCCTGCTTTTTGCCATATCCCTGGACTCTTTGGCTACCAAAGTTAGGGGAGATGATTTGATTAAAGGAGTATCAGTGGAAGGAGTGGAACAAAAGCTTAACCTATTTGCAGATGATATCAGGGTTAGAAAAACCAAATATATCCTTACCAAATGTTCTTGAAGACGTTTTGTTAAGGTGAAATCTCGGGAATGGGATCCATCTACAAAAAGTCAGAGATGTTGCCTTTCAATATCGCACAACTGGATAAATTGCGCCATAACCAATCCAAAATTAAATTGTGCTAAAAGCAAATAAAGTATCTTGGAGTAATGATTACAAAAAGTTGGAAACAGTTAAAGAAAAAGAACAATAGGCCTTTCATCAAATACATATAATTAGATCCCTCAAACTGGCAACATAGTTGGGAACGGTCACTACTGTACAAATAATTATCTTACCTAAGTTAAAAATGTTATTCCAAGTCCTTCCTTTCTGTACTGATCTGCCTGCTTTTGAAAGATTTTAGAATCTCTTAATTTAATCATCCAAGCAAGCAAGACTGCCAACATATACAAATCGACATATTGGCGGGGGTGGGGAGCATTCCACCAAATTTATGACGCAGCCCATGTATGAAATGTAATTCTAATGATGAAACAGACCTCTCACATTTGTTGTCAATTTATTTTAAATCCCTTGGCTGTAGCACATCTCTGACTTTGAAATTATGGTCACTCTCTGATCTCCCCAATTGCTCCTTTCTGTTACCATCCCTTGTTCTTACATCAAAAGAAAAGAAATACAGCCCAATGGTTATAAACAGAAGGGATTGCACACGATAAGATACCTTTACAGAGATTTAAAAGCTCTAACAGGAGCCCAAGGAAAAGAAAAACTGGGAGAACTGGAAACAAGCTGGCTGCCCATACATCAACCTGCACGTTCCTTGGCTAATCACACAGTTCTTTCTCAAGCAAATAGACTGTTAAAGCCCATTGAACAATTAATTTTAAGTTCAGTGTGACCTCCCAAGACTCCCCCCCCCCCTAGTATTTATATGATTATTTGTGACCTGATGAGAAGTTTAACCTGACTGAAAACAATATGGGAAATTGTGAAATTAATTCTCAAGATTGGCAAAATGTTTTTTATTTTTTGATGGGAGGGTTAGAGCTTTAAATCAGTAACTGCTAAAAGCAGATAATATTTTTATGGTTTTCATGTTTGGAATAGTGTGTGTGTATGGAATATTGACCCCCCCATAAAAATAATTGTATTGGTCACTGATGCTCCTGTGGGAGGAAGGGTGAGATATAAAATTAATAAATGCAATAATAAACACCGTACTTGAAAGGGTTGCAGGCTTTAAGTCAGTGGTGGAACTATTGGCTCTCCAGATATTGAACTGCAGCTCCCATTATCCCTGTCCACTCAGCTGCTACCTGGATCATGGGAAGTTGAGTCTAACAACTTTTAGATTGCTCCTTGTGGATTTAAGTGTTTTTACAATGGGGTGGGGAAGCCTGTCTGGTGCAATTTGAGAGCAAGGTTGAAGTTTTCATTGCCGGGCGCTGATGACCATCTCTCTCTCTCTCTCTCTCTCTCTCTCTCTCTCTTTCTTTCTTTCTTTCTCTCTCTCTCTCTCTCTCTCTCTCTCAGCACCAGGTTATGAGCCTCCATGAATACGAGGAGACGCCACGGCTCTAGAAACACGGAGCAGGGCGTTTACCTGGGACCTTCCCAGACGCAAGTTCTGCCCCCGCTCACTGCCACCCCTGCCCCAAGCCCAGTTGCGCCACCTCCTCCACAGTGGGACACCATGTCATGTCAAGATCGCACCCAGGAATTTCTCTCCGCCTGCAAGTCCTTGCAGAGCAGACAGGTGAGGGCCACTGAAGGCTGAGTTGGAGGCAAGCGGATTTGGATAGACCTAACTCTTGCGGCCAGTGTGCAGAACTCCTGCAATTACACCTCTCTAGGCTGGGGGCCTGATAGAGACAGCTGTAAATCAAGGCATGGGAATGGGTGGAGGATGCCCTGAGCCTGTCACATGCGCTGTTCCCGATGTTAACTAAGGGCCAAGTGAGATGAGACATTAACAGCAATTAATGTGCATGATTTGTGTGCGTGCGTGAGAGTAATTGAATGAATGGGAGTGTGTGAGTGAAGCATGGCCTGGATCCCAGGAAAGGGGAGTTTCACTTTCCCTAATTTTCTTGGTGCTGATGAAAATCCACCAGGGGCACCTCCCCTGCCCACCAAGCTTCTGTTAAGTCCCAGGAAGGAAGTTTCCATTGCCACAAATGGAGACTTTCCTCTCAGTGCCTTTTCTAGTGTTTAACGTCACGTTATGTAATTGTGATTTTTAAAAACCTGTTTTATTGTTAAATTTGTACACCTCATTGAGAATGCTTATAACAGGATACTGGGATTATTTTATTGGGTATTTTAATTATGGGTGTTTCACATTGTAATGTTTTAAATGGGATTGTTTTGTTGTGTATTTTAACGATCAATCTTTATATATGTTTTGTTTGCGTAACTGGCCTTTATACAGCAATAATATGTAGTATATATAGTGGTAACTTGATACTTGAACAGCTTGGCTGCTGAACAAATCAGCTCCTGAGCAAATCGGTTCCCGAACTCCGCAAACCCGGAAGTAAGTGTTCCGGTTTGTGAATGTTTTTCGGAAGCTGAACTTCTGACATGGGTTCCGCTTGAGTGCAGGAATCTCCTGCAGCCAATCAGAAGCTGTTCCTTGGTTTTCAAACAGTTTCGGGAGTCGAACGGACTCCCAGAATGGATTAACTTCGAGAACCAAGGTACCACTGTAAGTAATTTTATAAGCTTAAGTGGCAGGTTGATTATTGTTAACGTTATCGTCACCATAATCAATTTATGATTGCATTCTACACTTATTGTCAATGCAATGTATAACAAAACCAGCAAAATAACCAGATAAAACACAAAACCCAGCAGATACACTTAAAACAAAACTGAAACTATACCCCCCAAAAAAGACACTCGTGGCATAGATCCATTTCTCCAGTGGAGAAAGCCTGTTGGAGCAAAAATGTCTGCTATTGGAAAGTACTGGAAAGTACAGATAGCGGGGCATCATTGTATCCTGAAAGGAATGCCATTCCACCAACACGGGCAGCCACCCTAAAAGCCCTGCTCTGAGCTACTGTGGGGTGGGCTTCTGAGATCTTTAGAACTTGCAGAAGAAATTCTCCCACAGACTGCTGGAATTTCCTGGGTACATAAGGTTGGCATCTAAAAATGCTGGAGACCCCCCAAAAATAAAGTTGCTTCTTTTTGTACCGGGCCATTGTGTTGTTTGTTGGGAGACAGGGAGCAAAGCGTGGCTGGTATTCTGACAGGTGTAGGTAGATTTTTTTCCACCTGGGAGAAGTTGGACCAGTAAAAAGAGAAGTGTCCAGGGATTACTCTTTCTTTCATATTTTTGTTTATTCTTAACACAGTCTCAGTTGTCTTTCATTTTCTTCTTTTTTCAGAATGGGCTTCAGCCAAACAAGCCAGTGCTGAACGCCATTCGGCAAAGAAGCGAATTCACTGTCATGGCCAAGTGAGTTTATCAACCCATCGCTTCATGGGGACGTTTCAGGGACATATGAGAATGTAGCACTGCAGGAGGAATCCAGAGAAATAGGTTTTCCCTATACAGTGTTGGGAGCCCAGCTCCACAGCCAGTAAGGTCAAGCACTCATGGCTGGTGAGATGGCAGGTACTGGAAGCAGGGAGTAGGGGTTAAGTTGGTAAGCGGTTGGAAACATGGAGGACAAGCTTGGAGGAGGGCTGGGGAATCTGTGGTCCTCCAGGTGTTGCTGAACTACAGCTCCCATCAGCCCTAGCTGCTATGACCAACAGTTGAAGACAATTGGAGGTTCCCTAGCCCTTGCAAGAGGTCTGTGAGATCTCAACGAAACTTGGAAACCACAGCTGCTTCTCCTTGCTTCTCTTGCAGCAGTGGGGGGCAGGCGATATGCGTGGGGGCTCTGGAGAAGTGAGGAGAAGCAGTATTGAGAGGTCCATGAGATCTTGCTGTGGAGTCCAGTAGCTGCAGCCACTTCTCCTTGCTTTTCTGGCGGTGGCTCCAGAGAAGTGAGGAGAAGCAACAGGGAGATCTTGCAAGAGCTCTGTGATAACCTGCCCGAAGCCACTACCACTTTTCCGACGGTGGGCAAGGCCTTTTGAAAATGTGGAATGTCGAAATCCAGCACACAGGGGTGGTCCAACACTGTGCATAATAACTCCTTGCCCCTTCCAGTTTTAAGATTTGTTAGTTTCGTGTAACTTGAACACCTGCTGATAAAATGAAAATGTAGGCAAGGCGGTTGAGTTCTGCATCCGTTGTTGTTAATTTCATTTTTTTTTTTTTTTGAATAATTTTTATTAAGTTTCCAATTAACAAACCAATCTTATCACATTAGTTATACCTAATTATACCAATACATAATGCACTCCAAATAATTAGCCAAATTTTAAATTTTTGTTGGGGGTACCCATGCTTCGAGTTCAGTAAGTTGTTGTTAATTTCAACTCCTTGTGATTCTCAGGCGGATTGGGAAGGACCTCAGCAACACTTTTGCCAAGCTGGAGAAGCTAACAATCTGTGAGTATTTGGAGTGTGGATGAAGCTGGAGCCTACTGTGGGGAGTGGGAGAAACCGATCCACATCACACCGTTACTGGCTGAGTTTTGACTTGTCATTTGATGTAGATGAAAAGCTGGGGAGGTGTTGGGATGCCAGGGGAGTGGTGTACACAGTGGTTGACACAGAATGCTGTGCTTGGACGAAGGCAGGGAGCTGGGCTGAGAGCAACTGTGGCACCTTAGCTTGTCCTGTCTAGGACAAGCTTCCACTTCCATAACGTGGAAGTCACAAGTGAAGGGAGAGGGGCCGGGCTTGGTTGGTGAGAATGGGAGTTAATATAGAGGGCTGGGAGCCTCAGGGCCTCGTGATCTAACCCTCAGGACTGTACCCAGTTCATCTCTCCCCTTATGGGCCTTACTTCAAACCTACCTTGAGTGTTTCTGCCTGGGCTGTGTCCTTTAGCTCTGATAACACCTCTTGCCTCCTTGAACCAAAGGCATAGGGAGGTGTGTGTGCAGAAACTATCCCACTCTACAAAGGTTACATTGATCTGCCTGTTTTTGCTTCTGGTCCCACCCACCATGTGGCATGTGGCTCCTGGAAGGTTGCCCAGAGGGGAATGTGGCCCCCAGACTGAAAATGGGTTAATGCGCTACACTTTTCTGTATCTTCAGTGGCCAAGCGGAAATCTCTGTTTGATGACAAGGCGGTGGAGATTGAGGAGCTGACTTACATCATCAAGCAGGTGAGCTAGAGGGCCTCCTCTGTCCTGCTCCTCCTTTGGCTGCCTTCGCTTTTCATTCCGTTGCATCACTTGGAATGGCCATTGGACGGGGAAGGAAAGCCAAGCAAGTGCCAGAGAACGTGGGAGGCAGCACTGTGGTGTGTCATGCTTGCTGGTTGCCACCTCCTCCTCCACCTCCAAGCTCTCTTAAAGGGGCAGTCTCCTGATTTAGCGCCTCTTGGCAACCTCATGTTGCCTCTTCAGGCAGTTCCTCTTTCTCTCTCTCTCAACAGGACATCAACAGCCTGAACAAACAGATCGCACAGCTGCAAGAGTTTGTCAAGGCGAAAGGCAGCCAGAGTGGGAGGCACGTGCAAACTCACTCCAACACCGTGGTGGTGTCACTGCAGGTCAGGCCTGAGGCAGAGGGTTGAAAAAATGCAAGCCTAAAAGTTTGCGGGCCTTAATGTCTTCAGAGCCAGAGGGCTTCCCCCATCCCAAAAGAACAGGACTTGGGTACTGTAGATAGCTCATTTCCCCCCCACAACTCAGAAGCAATAGAATAAATTCTGACAGCTTGGAAAATAATATGCATAATTTATTCAGCTTGCAGAAGTCATCTTTTTTTCTGGATGCAGAATTTGGAGGTATACTGTTCATGCATCCCTGCTTGCCTTTTGGATATTTTGGGATTAGCAGCAGTGACAGGGTCTGGATGTGGGAATAGGTTTTCTCTGGCCAGAGAGGGTGGCAGGAAGGTCAGATTTTGCCTTCCTCACTCTTCTTCCCTTCCCTTCTTTTCCAGTCCAAGTTAGCCTCCATGTCCAACGATTTCAAGTCTGTTCTGGAGGTGCGGACAGAGGTAAGTTGCTTGTAAGCCACCAATATCAAACTTTGCTAAAGTGAGCTTCCGTCGTTTTAGCTGCCTCACACAACATATGGCAGCTCTTGACTACACCCCCCCACCCTATAAACACAATTATAAAATGAATGCGTTATCAACCCTGATCAAAGGCAAAAGCAAATGGAGACTGCCTAAATTTGAACCTTTGTTATCTATATTGTTATCCCTTGTTTGGAGAAAAATGCACTAAAAAAAAGCGGAAACCACAGTGTCAAGTTTCCATGAGAGGTGGTGAAAAGTCTGTGTAAATTGTACAACCTACAACCTTATGGATCACCACCACTAGATGTGAAGCAAGCTTGGGAAACCTTTGGGCCTCCAGATGTTGCTGAAGTACAACTCGCATCAGCCCCAGTGGCCATGGATGATGTAGTTCAAGCAATGTCTGGAGAGCCAATGTTTCCCCACACCTGGAGGAGCTAGTGATATTATGCAATGGGCAATGGGATGATAGGGAAACTTTAACTTGTGCACATTAAGACCCACCGGCCTGAGTGCCTTGATTGCTTGGCCTGCCCTAACCCTCCCAACTTCCTTCCCCAGAACCTTAAACAGCAGAAGACTCGACGAGAACAGTTCTCCCGCCCCCCGGTCTCCGCCATTCCCCTCGCCGCAAGCAATCTAGGTGAGTCGGAGCAGGGAGTCCCCTGGTGCCAGAGGGAACTGGAAAGTGGTGCTGCAGGTACCCCATTGAAGGAGGGAAGGTGGGGTTGAAATGAGGTGGGGGAAGCAGTCTGACCTCGCTGGCTGATGTCCACAGGTGGCTCCGCTATGCTTCAGGACGAACGACGGCACTCGGGGGACGTGGCTATTGACATGGACAACCGGGCCAGCCAGCAGCTGCAACTCATCAACGAGCAGGTGCCTTGGCAGGGGGAGTGGGTGGGCCTGCAGACGTTTGCACTAAAAATAAGGGGTGTGAAGCAATGGGAGAGGCTGACTGGCTTTATTTCGGGTGTTGTCATTCTTTAGCTTCCCATGGTTGAGCTATAGGATAAGAAACATCTGTCTACAAACAAAAGCACTCATGAACATTCATGTCCCTGGTGGAACTCCCTGTTTCTTCTGAGCAGCTTTGCCCTCTCTCCTTTGGCAGCCTTGCTAATTGTAGCCTATTGGCTTGGGGGAGCCTGTCAGAATTGAACTGTCTGCTACTTGCATAGCCTTCCTTTGGGTTCTCACATCACACTAACGCAGGGATGGGGAGCCTGGTGCCTGCAAGCTGTTGTTGGGACTCCAATCCCCATCCTTCCCAGTCATTATGGCCAGTAGTAATGAGAGTTTTACTTCCAAGACCACCTGGAGAGCCTGACAGGTTTCCAACCCCTGTCCTAGACACACATCCCAACCAGTCAGGGATCAAATATTAAATGAACTTACAGAGGCATGAAGCAAAGATAGAGGCTGTGGCCTTCCAGATGTTGTTTAACTTGAGTTCCCATCACCCCCAGTCAGCATAGCCAGTGGTTAGGGATGATGGGAGTTGTAGATGGGAGTTGTCGCCAAAAACACCTGGAGGGTACCAAGCTGCCGAAGGCTGCTCTGTATCATCAGTATTGACCACCACATGGCTTCCTTGCAGTTGTGCCATATCCACAGATCTGCCTGGTAACAGTGGTACAGAAAAGAGAGCAGGCAGTCATAGAATTGTAGAGTTGGAAGGGACTCTAAGGATCATCTGTTCCAAACCCCTTGCCCACATCACCCGTTCCTCTTTTGTAGGATACGTACATCCAGAGCCGGGCAGACACCATGCAGAACATCGAGTCTACTATCGTGGAGCTGGGCTCCATATTCCAGCAGTTGGCGCATATGGTTAAAGAACAAGAGGAGACCATCCAGAGGTAGTGGGCAGGGGAGAAAAGCTCTGTTCCTCTCGAGGCAGCCAGCGGATTGCAGCACAAGGGTTGTTTGGGAGGAGGCTTGTGGGGAAGAGCCTGACTGCTGGATCAGGCCCACCAAGTCCAGCTTCCTGTTCCCTCCTTGGCAAGCTGGGCCTGAGCGCAGCAGCGACTCTCCTTCCCACTTGTGATTCTTAGCAACTGGTACACAAGGGCAAACCACCCCCAACAGACAGAGATGACCCTTAGCGGGGCGACTCACAAATGTTGGGTTCATCGCTTGACAACTGCAGCCAGCAACCAGCTGCTGCAAATCAAAAGGGGTGGCGTTACACTGGCCTGATACGTGCAAAATGCACTGTATGTTATTTCATTAAGAATCCTGGGAGGCAACTTAGTGTTGCTGTTTCCATAGGTCTAGTTACAGGTAGGTAGCCGTGTTGGTCTGCCGTAGTCGAAACAAAATAAATTCCTTCCAGTAGCACCTTAGATACCAACTAAGTTTGGGCTTTCGTGTGCATGTGTGTGTATCTGAAGAAGTGTGCATGCACACAAAAGCTCATACCAATAACAAACTTAGCTGGTCTCTAAGGTGCTACTGGAAGGAATTTATTTTGTTTCCATAGGGTTATTCCTCCTCCCCTAGAGGCAAGAAGCAAGCTGGCAGCTCCTCCTGAAGGCTTCACCTGCCCTTTCCCCCCCTTTTTTGCCAATCCTGTAGAATTGACGCCAACGTGGAAGATGCTCAGCTTAATGTTGAAGGCGCCCACACGGAGATCCTGAAATATTTCCAGTCCGTCACATCCAATCGGTGGCTGATGGTGAAAATCTTCCTCATCCTTATTGTCTTTTTCATCATCTTCGTGGTGTTCCTGGCCTGATGGTGGAGGCGGCTCAACCGCCCACCACCAGCTCCTCCTCCTCCTGCAAGAGCCGCGTTGGGACGCTGGACTCTTCTGTTCTCTTTGTAGCCGGCCTGGGGGCAGAGTCATCACTGCTGCCCACCATGTGCCTGGTGCCGAAAGGGGGCCCATCCTCGCTCATTTGTGACTCTCTCTTTTTTGGCTGCGGCTCTCGGCCTGGAGCGGGGGCCACCCCAATCGGAGTGCAATAGCATTTGGACTACGCTGTGAAGGGCTCTGCCCCAACAAACCCCCTTCTGCTCCCCAGATGGGATACAATCCAATGTGGGGGCATGTCTGTATGTAGCGGGACCAGGATCTTGCATCTCTTCCCCTCCTCTGTTCTATATATTTGCCCTTCCCCTTTGGGACTAAACAAAACAACAACACACTAACAGAACCCCTCCCTTCCCCTTTTAAAATATTACTGATACATTGGTGTGAGGTTTCAACTTCCCAGCACGGGCTCCCTCTCACAATTTGTTGGGGAGGCAGCTGTATCTCTAAAGTTGCAAGGCTTCTCTTGTCTTTTCCAGAGGGCTGTGGGCCTGATAGGGGTTTCTCCCCACTCCCTGTTTTCTATATTTAAGTTTCTTCCTTGCTGCTGCCTAGGCATAGAGAGCTCCTGTGTGCAAGGAAGGTTCTCTGAGTCTCCCGTTTTAGACAGAGGCAAATCAAGAGGCAGCCTTCCTCGTTGCGTCTCCTGCTCAAGGGAGAGATTTCTCACTGTGGCTAATTTAGGCAGACCAAATATGTTTCCCCCTGTGGCTCCGATCCTCCTGGCTGACGGAAGTCAGCAGGGCTTGGGCAGAGACACTGACGCCTCTTTTAGTTGCCAGGCACCCTACCTCTCCCTCTCTGAAAACAGATCTAACTCTCTAGTGCCTCCTCCCTGCTGTCAAACGGTTCAGGCTCACCCCCCCCCAAAAAAAAAAAGAAGTGGAGAAAGTGTCCTTGCTACCCCAACCTTACTAATCATTATAAGCTAGTTGCTACTGATATAACTGCTAAGCTCTAATCCTTCTCTTCCCCTGCCCCAACCTCTTTTTCGTTAGTAGCCTATGCTAAGGCCATTTCAACCCCCTGGCCTGGTTATGGTGGCTGAGCAGGAACCCACCTTAATGTCACCACCACACCTCCTTTTTTGTTTTTAGGTGGGTGGGATTTTGCCCACCCCCCACCCCTCCCCAGTTGCAATGGCCTTAACATTCCACTGTCAGTTTCTCCTGTGCCCTTTCAGATGAACGGGGGGGGGGGGGTAGGGGGAACCTGCTTGTCTGTCATTAACCAGTGTGAGATGGTGGTGCTACCCTGTGATCTAGAAGAGAGAGTAGCACCGGCTCTTGCCTGAAAGCTATTTTTTAAAAAAGCTTTACTTTAAAAACAACAACAACGGAGTCTTCTGCCCATTCTGTTGCTGGCACACTAGCCTGGATTGCGAACACTTTTATCTGCTTATGCCAGCCTGGGCCAAGCTGGTACACGCCAGCGTATTGTGGGCCACAGCTCCCATCTTCCCCAGTCAGCATGAGTGGCTGGGGCTGATGGCAGTCGTAGTCTTAAAAACCCCGGAGTGCATCAGCTCGTCCACGGCTAGCTTAACACTTTGCCAAGATTAGCTCCCCAGTCTGTGTTGCAATTAAAATCTACATGAAGATACAGCATAAATGAGTGGGGTGCAGTTTCTTCTGGGCCTTGGCCACTGGTCGTACAGTCCATCTTCCCAGCTCTTCCTTCCAGGGGAATGTAGCAGAAAGAGCTGCGGCGGGAGGTTCTGGCTGAGATTTTTCCGGCCCCTAAGGAAGCTCCTTTGTGCAAGTCAGGCGAGTTGGTTAATTTAACTTGGTACTGATTCTGCATCCAACACTGGCTTGCTTGGCTCTCAGGCAGAGGTCTGTCCTAGCAGAGGCATTAGAATCCAGCTCTCCCTTGCCAAACAAGTATAGTCAGCAGGTGTTCTTCCTGATTGAAAATGCTCAGAATAGCGCCTATCTTTTATTGGTTGAATTTGCTTAGATTGAATTCGACCCACCCTCCAGATATTGGGCTCCCCTCTGCCCCAGCCAGTGAGGCCAAAGGTCAGGGATGATGGGAGTTGTCCATACAGAAATATCTGGAGGGCTGTTTGTTACCCTTGAACTACCAGGTGTGGCCAACTCCCAAGAGATTGTGATCTACTTTCAGAATTTAAAACTGGCAGTGATCTAGCCCCGGTTTTGGAGGGTTCTGATCAAATTTGTTGAGCTTTTTTGGGGGGAGCCTAAGCTTTTTTTGGGGGGGGGAGAGCTGCCAGGATCTACCAGTGATCTTCCACAGACATCCGGTCATCTACCAGTAGATCACGATCTACCTGTTGGACGTGCCTGAACTAGACAGTGTTGCTGCAGGCCAATCTACACAGGATCCTTGAGTTATATTGGTGGGCGGAAGCGGAGAAAGAAAGCATGACAGAACATCAATAGCAGGCCGGAAAATATTGCAGCTTTGACTGGGAGCTCCAGGTGGGTGGAAATTAGGTCATGATTTTATGAGTCTCCAACTTAGACTATGTAAGGTAAGGCCTTGGAAACATCAATTTGCCATCCTGCTGGGAGAAGCTGTGTAATCCCTTCCTCACCCCGGGGTGTAGGGACCTAGATGCAGAGCCAGGGCTTGGCTTTGTGCCTGCAGTCACCACTGAGCGATGTGAAGTCATAACTTCTGAGCATGGGGCGAGTGCAATTCCTACAGGTACACCTTAAATAACCACCCCATACACAGCTCTTCCCTATCTAAGCGAAGGAGAATGCTCTTGCTACAAGAGCAATTCTCACTTTAGAAACAAAGTACTGTGGTTTTTTTTAAAGGCACAAAGATAAGCTCAGCATGGGAGGGAGAGAACATTTTCAGTTTTGTCTTTAGGCAGCAGGTGGGCACTACGAATTGCTCATAGTCCTTGAGTCTTGTGAAAGACTCAAGAGGATGTGTGTTGGATAAACCTCACCACAGATGAAAGTACAGTGGTACCTCGGGTTACATACGCTTCAGGTTACAGACTCCGCTAACCCAGAAATAGTACCTCGGGTTAAGAACTTTGCTTCAGGATGAGAACAGAAATCGTGCTCCGGCAGCGCAGTGGCAGCAGGAGGCCCCATTAGCTAAAGTGGTGCTTCAGGTTAAGAACAATTTCAGGTTAAGAACGGACCTCTGGAACGAATTAGGTACTTAACCTGAGGTACCACTGCAGTAAGAGTTACACCACTGCGATCTTTATTGGCCTGCTTTGTATAAGGTGGTTTTTCACTTAAAATCTACAATGCAAAAATATAGGGAACTTTTAGCATTCTAGATGCTGCTGGATTACAAATTTCATCATCCCTGAGCATTGGCCATGCTGCCAGAGGCAGATTTACATTATTTTTATGCCTCTTTTACATGTTTCCTTTTAACTCAGAGGCCCCCAAAGCAGCAAACGGAATATGAATACAAAAGAGAATGCAATAAAAGTACAATAAATAAATAAAAAATCATCTGCTGTAGTAGGCAATATTGGAACTAAATTTAACTCTTAGGATCAGGCATATACTATAAACTAGACAATAGCCACAGCCAGCTACCCCACTGTATGGCTCTTGCTGCAAGAATGAATCACAGATAATCAATTTTCTATGACACTGTCAATTTGCTTTTAACGTTTGCCAACCTAACAGAGTACCTAATGTTAACTCAAACTCACCATCTCTCCTCTTCAGTTTGTGCCATTTTTAGAGCTGTGGCAGATTTTGCCTATTGGTGTACATCCTCAGACTCAGTTAAGATTTCTTGCTAATTCAAATGTTGACCCTACAGCTCATCCATGCTGCCAGATTCACTGGCCTATGAAGCTGCCCTCTTCATAATTTGTTCAAGGTCTGCTTGCAGTTTTTGCTGCTGTTCTTCAGAGACTTCAAGCTTACCCAGCAAATATTCATTCTGAGCTTCAGGTTCAGAAAATGTGTAGTGTACATTGCGGATCTCCCTTTTCTGGTTCTCTTGTCATGTAAGGCCATGAATACATTTTTATTCATTGATGTAGAATTTACAGGTTCATTTTGCAAGCTAGCTGATTTGGATTTGGGCCAGCAGTAAGCTTCACTGAGCTAAATGGAGATTACGTCCTTGAAAATGTGTTTGGAAGTACAGTACAACCCTAGAACAAACAGTAATAATACTATAGGCTTCCTAGCAGCCAGTTCAGAGGCATCCGTGATGGCTAGATTAACACACAGGCCTCCACTTCTAGTTCCTTAGATCTCTCACTTTGCTGAGATGGAAGTGAGAGATACACAGAAAACAGTGAAGAACCCAAGATTTGGGCATAGGTACAAAATGCTTTGATAAGAGGCACTCCTTGAATTTCTGATTTGAACAGAACCTATTTATTTGGAGATCCAATATTTTAATGGTATCTGGGATTAGGTAGCAGATGCCTCCCTGTTCCCAAACAACAAAAAGTAGCAGCAAAGATTGAAATCCCTGCTCTTTCCTTTGTGCAAAAATGTATTATTTTTGCAAAACAGTGCATCTCCATGCAAGTCAGTGGAGCATGAGGCTTCTGTATGCAACGTGAGTGTGGGATTTGGCTTGGGAAGGAGCCAGGGTGCGGGCGTTTCAGTAAACTGAACTTTTTTGCAACTTTAGGAATTGTTTTGTGGGAAAATATGCAATACTCAAAGAGAATTACAGCAGGGGTTGGCATCATTTAAGCATGTGGGATTTACTTTTTTTTTTGCTAAAGCCCAGAGGTCCATCAGCAGAAACAAAGAGCATAAAAAGTACAAAAATTAGGCTGCTGATGTGGTCATGAGGCTCAGTTCCAGGATGGAGGCTTTAGACTGAACAAGTCCCACAGGCAAGGGGTGTGTGTGTGTGCAGATTCATTGTTCTTTTTAAAAGTCAGAAACCCTTGTTGAGCTATATGCACTTTTATTTGTGTAGGAGTGGGGTACCTATGGTTCTGCTGCTGTTGTTGGACACCCAACCCTCAGGCTATATGGACAGTGGCCAAAGTTGATGCAAGTTGTACTCCCAACATCATTTGTAGAGCCATAGGTTCCTCACTCCTGATACAAGCCATATACAGTGGTACCTCGAGTTACAAACTCCTCAGGTTACAAACTCCACTAACCAGGAAGAGTTACCTCGAGTTTAGAACTTTGCCCCAGGATGAGAACGGAAATTGTGTGCCGGCAGCACAGTGGCAGCAAGAGGCCCCATTAGCGAAAGCACACCTCTAGTTAATAAGTTTCAGGTTAAGAACGGACCTCCAGAATGAATTATGTTCGTAACTAGAGGTACCACTGTAAAGCCCTAAACTATCTGGGACTCTCGATACCTACAAGAACACCTTTCTATATATTGAGTAGCCAATGCAGTGCTCCCACCCAGATGTTGGAACTCTCAGGTCAACACTCAGGTCCCATCACCCTCAGCCAGTGTGGGCAATAGGGATGATAGGATTTATTTTATTTTGTTTGTTTATTGGATTTATATACTGCCTTTCTACCAAGGCAGCCAAGGCGGTTTACAATTTTAAAACAATAAAACAAATATATAAAATGTTCAGGGGCATATGACAGGGTATTTCCTGTAGTGGTTTCCGGACTCTGGAGCTCCTTCCTTTGGGGAAATACAACCCCCACAGTGGGTAGTTTTAAGGAACAAGGAAAGTCCCACCACCACACCTTTTATTCACCATGTGTTTGGTGAAACTATTTTTTATTCTTCTCTTTTACTCTGCACATCATGGAACTCTATAGGTGATTTTATAGTTTATCCGTATATCCTTTTGATATATCATACACAGAGACATGCATGTCATTTCTGTAAGCTGCTTTGGGCTCCATATTGAAGGAAATGTGAGCTCTAAGTCTTAACTAATAAATAATATAAATAAATAATAAATCAAGCACCCAGGGCAGCAGATCCCAAGCTGCTTTCTGCTTCCTCCCGGACTACGCTGCTGTTCGAAGATATTCTCTCCCTCCAGCCTACATTTTACATTGGCATGCCTTTTACAATCTCGAAAAACTCAACAAAACAACCACAGACGTTTCACAGGAGCGTAAAAGCGCAGGGGCCTCCCGTTTGTGTTTTATCTTTGCCCCAGCCCTGTTTGCTCGGTAGCTGCTGCCCAACCACAGCTGCGCGCCAAAAAAAAAAAATGAGATTCCTCCATTCATCCCTACGACGAGCGCCGCCCCCTCTCTCCGCGACTGTAGGTAGAACGGTGAACCGAAGGAGTCGTCTTCCTTCTCCTTTTAAACGAGCCGGAAGTAGAACTCCGGATGCGGAAAGCTCTAGCCGCGGCACCTCTATGGTCACAAAGCCGAGCGTTGAGGGCGCGCCTGACGTGCTCGCGTACTATAATCACCGGAGGGCGGGAGCGCGTCCGTTTCGGGCATGCGCAGTGCGGCGCGTGGGGCCCCCCTCAGTTGGATAAAAAATACTTCGTGAGGGAAAAAGCGGAGGGAGCAACTGGCTTGGCTTTCCAACCGACTCGAGAGCGGATTTATCATCGCCGCCGTCATTCTTGCTGCTACTGCTGCTATTCGAGCGAGAGGCGAGGTGCCTGTACCTCTCTCTCGGCCTCATCCTGCGCTCGGGGAAGCGCCGACGCTCCCTCAGGGCCGCTTCCCTCGATGGCCGACGGAGGAAAAGGAGGCTACAGCGGTGAGGAGAGGGACGGGGGCGGGGGGCTCTTGAGCAGCGGGGGGGGGGGGTCAGGTCAGGGGGGGGGTCTTCGCTGGCGTGAGGGGTGGGAACCGGGCCGAAGCCGAGAGGGTACTTGAAAGACACGGGTAGCCCAACGTGTTGCGCCTCCGGGTCCCGGCCCGCGTCGCTAGCGAGGAGCCCGGCAGCGCCTGGAGAGCTGTTCTAGGGCACGAGCCAACTCCTAGGGGCCGAGGTCCCTTCGGCTCCCCCAATGAGATACTTGAAGGGTCCGCCTCCCGCTAACGCCCCCCCCCCGAAATTGATGGGCAATGTCATTCACACGGCGCGTGTGCGCCTCGTGATCGATTGTGTGAGGCACGGCTTACCTGTCCGTCCCTCCCCCCCCATATTTTATTCAAGTTGGCACCCCTGCTCTAGGGAGTCAGGAACCTTTTTTGGGGGGGCGACTATGTGGGCCACTGGCAGTCCTGTGGAAGGAGGGATGGAAGACGAGGAAGGGTGGGTCGGGTTTGTGGACAGTGGGCCGGGATGGGAGGGGGGAGGAGCAGGAGGGTGGGGGCAATTAAGGCAGGGAATGCTCTAGGGCCGAAGGAGAGAGGAGGTGAAGACAGTGGCTCTTAGGGGGGGCGAGGGGGGTATGGAGGAAGGTGTTATGGGGAACCTTAGGCGGGGTAGAGGTTCCTTTTTGAGAAAAGGATAAGGAGCTTGAAGGCTTGAGAGTCAGCTCTTTTTGTGTCTATAGTACTGTCAATGTGACACACACACATGTATCACTGACAGGGGTAGGAGAACCTGATTTTGTACAAAAATGAAGCAGAGTGGCAGGGGCAGCTCCTTGGAGAGGGACAACTCCTTGGAGAGGGATAACTAAGAAGAATATTTGGATAGAGTTAAAGAGCACGGAGACAGGAATCCCACTATTTCAGGTCCTTGGGGGAAGCTGAAGGGAGGCAATGGTGGTGGTGGATAGGGAATGGAGACTTGTTAAGAGGCAGTGAATGGGAAGGTGTGTCCTAGTTCATGATATTCTCAAGTTGTCTGTGGAGAACTCAGAAGCATGAGGGCACCTTGCTGAATTTTGCAGGGAGCACAGAGTGTAGAAGAAGGCAATTGATGGCCCAAGGGTAGTCAGTGTGGTGTTCTGCAGACATTGTTGGGAATGCATCTCCCTTCAGCACCAGTCAGCATGGTCAGTGGTTCAGGGATGATGAGAACTGGAATCCAACAATGTCTGGAAGGTGTCGTGTTGGCTATCCCTGCTCTAGTTTGCTTTTTGAGACTTACCTGGTGTGATTGTTTCTCTGAATACTTTGCTTGACAGCCTTCTGACACTTCAGTTTTTTGCCCTTACATAGAACATGATGACCGTGTGGGTGGAGGTGGTGGCAACAGGGGCTTCCCAGGGAGGAGGCGAAAAGGTCGAGGCCCCTTCCGAGGAAAGATGTACAGTGAGATGAACCATCACCCGCGGAACTGGAGCAGCGCTGGCCCCAGTCCTCGTAGCCGACTTGAAGAGGAGGATGGAGATGTTCTCATGAGTGACCCTCATGATGTGCTGCGATCCCGCTAGTAAGTAAAGTGTTCTCTTGGGTGGACATAAACATACTTTAGTTTGTAGGCATGCTGCTGTTGCTCAGCCTCGGTTACCCCATCTGTCAAATGGGAACAGCGACTTATATCAGAAGACTGTAATAAGATAGGCATTATGAGTTGTATCAGCTAAGTTCCACTCAGTGTAGGCCCAATGAAATCAATGGATACTGCTAATTTAAGTCCATTGGTTTCAGTGGGTCTACTCTGAGTGGAACTTAGTTGGATACAACCCTAAGTGGGGGCGGGGGGAAGAACCACCTTATGTGCGGAATGACACTTCACCACCATTTTCCTGTAAGGTCTGAAGCACTTTTGAATCCTGTACTGGATATATAGTTTTCAGCAAAGAGAATATTCATTCCTTTTTCTTCGGAAGTACACTGGGGCGAAAAGTGTAATTCTCAAAAAGAATAGATGTTCCCTATTAAGGACACTTTTAAAAAAGTGTTTTTTGTTTGTTTGTTTTTTGTTTTTTTGCTAGTGAACCATTTAAGTGTGTGAAATTCATAAGATCTCCAGCCAACCCCATAGAAAGGTTTTTGTAGCAAGTCTAGGAAAAATAAGGGGACCATTTCTTAGGGCATCACTTGGTTAAAGGCAGGATGTGAATAAGGTCAAGGAGCTGGTATTAACGAAGATCAGAATGGTAAAAGCCTGTGACCTGCTCTGTTTTTAATGCTCTAGTTTACAGGCCCTCACACACCCTAGTTTAAAAAAAAGCATAGAAGGTGGAGCTCTTTGAAGGGATGTGAACCTTTCTTGCCTAACCAGGTACAGGTTCTCTGCTGTGGGGAGGGACTCTGTGCACATTTCCTGCACCTACAAAGATGGAAAATTGAGGTCATCTGAATCATTCCTCAGCATAGCACTTAACTGGCTGCAACCAGATGAAGAATCTGTGAAGTAAATAATAATAATAATCAGGGAACCGATAATTGAATGTATTCATCGTTTGGAAAAAGGGCTAGAATCACAAGTTACCTAGTTCATTGAGTAAAGTTAAGTTGCGGGTATAATTACCATTTAAATGTCTGATTAGTTCTGTAACATTTTTTTTTGGGGGGGGGGACCAAATGCTTTTTATTACTGCTTTGTCCACAGAAACAAACCAGCGAAGTAGAATAATTTGAGTGTGTTTTTTTTTTAAATAATATTTATTAAAGTTTCAAGAGGGGAAAAAAATCACATTAGTAAAGAAAAAATTAATAATGAGAAGAAAAAATACAAAGTAAAAAAAAGAAAAAACAATTAAAAACAATTTCATCTTTTCCTCACTTCTTTTACGTTTACTTGTTTCCCGGACCTCCTCTTACCTCCCTCTTTTGTATTCTAATTAAATATGTTAATCCAACAATTCCTTTCCCTCCTTTTTAATCCTAATCTTTAATCTTGATATATTGTAACTTTAAATTTTACATTTTACATATTAAAAACCAATTTTTCCATATTCTTTTGTGCCTGTACAGCTAGAAACCACTTAACTTCAATCCAACATCATTCTAACACTCATTAATTTTGCAATATTTCTGTAAATAGTCTTTGAATTTCTTCCAATCTTCTTCCACTGACTCTTCTCCCTGGTCACGGATTCTGCCAGTCATTTCCGCCAATTCCATGTAGTCCATCATTTTTATCTGCCATTCCTCCAGTGTGGGTAGATCTTGTGTCTTCCAATACTTTGCAATGAGTATTCTTGCTGCTGTTGTAGCATACATAAAGAAAGTTCTGTCCTTTTTAACACCGATTGGCCGACTATGCCCAGGAGAAAGGCTTCTGGTTTCTTCAAGAAGGTATATTTAAATACCTTTTTTAGTTCATTATATATCATCTCCCAGAGAGCCTTAATCTTTGGGCACGTCCACCAAAGGTGAAAAAATGTACCTTCAGTTTCTTTACATTTCCAACATTTATTATCAGGCAAATGGTAGATTTTTGCAAGCTTGACTGGGGTTATGTACCACCTGTATATCATTTTCATAATATTTTCTCTTAAGGCATTACATGCCGTAAATTTCATACCTGTGGTCCACAACTGTTCCCAGTCAGCAAACATAATATTATGTCCAACGTCTTGTGCCCATTTAATCATAGCAGATTTCACAGTTTCATCCTGAGTATTCCATTTCAACAGCAAGTTATACATCTTTGACAAAATTTTAGTTTTGGGTTCTAACAATTCTGTTTCTAATTTTGATTTTTCCACCTGGAAGCCGATTTTCTTATCCAAATTGTATGCCTCCATTATCTGATAATAATGAAGCCAGTCTCGCACTTTGTTTTTTAATTTTTCAAAACTCTGCAATTTCAATCTGTCTCCATCTTGTTCCAAAATTTCCCAATATTTCGGCCATTTGACCTCCATATTGAGCTTTTTCAAGGCTTTCACTTCCATCGGTGACAGAATAATTTGAGTGTTTGATCCAGACTCCTTTCTGGGCAAGGTTTCTCATATCTTAATTTGACACTCTGCTACACTCCATACTGAAATCTTGTTTTCTACTCCTCAGCACTCCTTACGGTCGTCCAAACAGAGATCGGGAGCGGGGAGGTCTAAGCAATATAAGCCTCACAGTGAGACAGAATCTGAGTACCCTAGAGCGGCTTGGCCCCAGAAGCAATGCCCCCAAGAGGAGCTGGTTCAAGGTTACAGTAAGTCACATGGGGGAGGGGAGGGATTTGGAAGCGGAGCTTGAAGGACCCCTGGCTGTTGTTGGCAGAGGTGCTCTGTTCCTGTAGAGTTGCTGTTTTGACGGACTCTTGCTTATTCAGTTCCTAAGCAATGCTGCGTGTCATTGGCTAAACTGTTTAGATTCTAAAGGGGAGGGTGAGGCTGGCAAAATGCCCTCCTAAGCAAAGAAGAACAGGCCAAGCAGGGGACTGAGAAAACAGCAGACCAGAGGCAATGAGGCCAAGGTAGGAGGTGAGGACTGAATTTTGAATGTTCCAGAAGCATGAGGAGAAAGAAAAGGGGAAGTGGGCAGAAAAGAGCTGTAGAGGTGAGGTTAGCTCTCATGCACACTTTGATCTGAAACAATCAGTCCAATCTTTGTGTCAATTCATTGTTAATTGTTTAACAGAGCAGATGGTTTACCTGAATAATTTTCAGACTTGAGTGTGCTGAAAACACAAGGAGCTACCGCTTTTTGAGTTAGGCATGAGAACATTGTTAAGCAGGGTAGAAAGGGAGCTTCCCAGTTTCAGTTCTGCTGGTAATCTGCAGGTCAGTCCTTCCCTACATGGTAGCTTTGCAGTCCCATGTGGTTTGGGAGGGGAAATAGCTAAACCTCACAGGATTGGAGTTGAGAGAATGCTGCCTTCTTGTATAACAGAAACAAGCAGCACTATGGTTTGACTTTGACAACCAAGCCTCTTAACACTGTGTATTTGGGGGTGGAGATTAAATGCATTTATTACTCCAGTTTCTATCTTGCCTTTATGCATATAACACCCAAGAAAGCTAACAGTGGGCTGTATCAAATGTTATTCCTGCTCAGAGTAGACACATTGAAATTAACTAACATGACTAACTTAGGCCCATTCATTTCAGTAGGGTACAATAAATAGAACTTCAGTAGATTCCACCCAGTAATAATACTACAATAACACATTTTAAAACCAATAAGTAAATAGAGCAGATAAAACCTATCAAAGATACAAATTGAGGCCACAGACATAATAAGACTAGTCATGATTTTTTTAAAAAAGAAAAGTCAGCTTGACGGGCCAAAGGATAGTTACATAAAAAAGATTGTGTGACTGTGAAATGACATTAGAGAAGGCCCTTAGGTCATGTCCTTGCATGTACGCCCAAACTGCAAACCCAAGGCTTCAGAAGAAGTGCAATTCCATCCAAGACAGCATGAATCCCCATTCCCTGATTTTAAATGAACCAAGTTCTTCACCAGCATCCAGGCCATTAGCAACACTGCACACTGATTCTGAACTTGAACAGGTTTTGGGGGGATTTAGATGGAAATGAGAGAGTTAGTCTCATCAGCATGTTCATAGAATCATAGAGTTAGAAGGGACCCCAAGGGTCATCTAGTCCAGCCCCCTGCAATGCAGGAATCTCAGCTAAAACATCCATGATAGATAGCCATCCAACCTCTGCTTAAAAACCTCCATGGAAGAGGTGTTGGTGACACATCCTCCAAACTGCAGAATACCTCCCCCAATGGTTCCATGTAGATGTTTAATAGCATGGGAAATGAGATGGAACCCCAAGAGATGCAATTGACCATGGCACCATTTTTTGAAACTGTTGCCCTAAGAAGGACTAGAGCCACCACAAACTTATGTCTCAAAGTCCCATCACACCCAGATTGTTCAGAAGGTTGATGCTACTGAAAGCTGCAGAGAGGCTCAGGAGAACAAACCAGGAGGGGTGAGCTCCCTCTTTTTGCCCAAGTTGGAAACTGGCCAGAAATTATCCAGTATGTGGGGGATTAAGAAGGAACCCCGCCTTTAAATATCTTAGCACTACCCTCTGTACTTGGTGGAACAGTACTATCTTGTGACAAGGCATTTGCATCTCCTCACTGGCAGGTTTTATGAGCCAGGAGGAGCAGGGATTGAGCAGTCAGGTCTCACTTCTCCAACAGTCCACGTCCTTGAGTTGCACATATTGAAATGTATCCAGAGACTGTTTGTACTCACGGGTTTTGCCCTTGTGTACAGTTGATGCTAAATATAGCTATACCTAAGCTTAATGGGATTAGGAACTTCAGTGAAAGTCATCAACCACTGGATCTAGACATCTTTTCAAATCTTTTCCTGAGCTGATTCTCCAGCTGCAGGCTTTTACATCTGATTTATTTCTCCCAACATGCCCAGTCCAGCCATTCAGTGTATATGCCTGGGTCAGCTGGTTTTGCTAGAGAGCCGATTTGAGGAGATGTCAGAGGGTGATAGGCCAGAGCTAGGAATAGAGGAGAAATTTGTGCAGTCTGCATTTTAAAGCGAACATACCTCATTTGCTGATCCCAGACTTAGCTGTCAATAAGATGACATATTTCTCCAAATTTTGCTCCACAGTTTTGGTTCAAACATGTGAATCTTTTTGTGGGGGATGATGCATACACAATTCATTTTTGTTAAGCAGGAAAAAGCATTGAAAGTAATAAACATATTTTAGGGGAAGAATGTACACACTTTATACACAATCTACATACAACTTTTTGTGTTACCTTTATCCACAAAAAAATGGGAAGGGATGGGCGTATGATTGACATGGAAACGGACACAGAATGGAAATAGGCTGATTTGTGCATCCCTAGCCAAAGCCCTTCAGTCATCCACAATGGACTTCCAGTTCCTTAGCCTTTGCACTTTCCTAAACTGGAAGTCAAAATCTTGCTGCTCCCATTTCACCTATGCCTAGAAACATCTCCCTTTGTTCTCTTTCCAGCTGAATTGTAGCATTTTTTATCCCATAGCTTACAAAATGGGTGCCTCCCAGGTTTCACATTTCCAGATTAGCCAAAAGCTTTTCTTCCTTCCCCACTGATGCAGTGAAAAATGTCCCCAACCTACCAATTGGCAAATGGACTTGAGAGCTGGATATTATTACCACATCAAAGCTTTGGTATGGTTCTGCTTCTTGCCTTGATTGGCTTTTTTGCTTTTCTCCCCCTCAGATTCCCTATGGAAGGAAATATGAAAAGGCCTGGCTGATTAATGCCATTCAGAATTTGTGCAGCGTTCCCTTCACTCCTGTGGAGGTAAGAGAGGCATACACATGTTCCCTGGGCAAGAATTTTCCTTTCTGTTTTACAGAATTGACAGTCTTGTGATTCCCAAATTGTGTGCTGCAATAGGAGCTGGGGTGTTCCTTGAAACCGCCATGTCAGATGCATCCAGCACCCATTGTCATTTGGATCAGGAGGTTGTATGTGGCATTGATTTGATCTTGCCCCCACCCCAGTTAGTAAATTGCCAATGGTATTCTGATAGAAGTTGCACCAGCAATACTCAGATTATAAGGTGCTGGGCAGGGGCTGCGTTTCCTTGGGTGTGCCCAGTATTGATTCTACTCAGAAAACTTAGCTACTGTTTTTTAGAAATGCCAAGCAAGAATGTTTGGTTAGAACTGGGGAAAAGAGGAGTCAAGGAATGGAGCTTGTGTGAAGTTCCTCAACTTTCTCCCATAATTCAAGCTCTATACACTAGCATCCCATGCTGCAGCTGACGGGTACAGGGGAATCCCTGAGTCACCACCATTGCTTAGAATACCCAGTTGCTTCTATAGGCCTTAACCACCTGAGCAGGATGCCAGGAGGCATTAATTGTACTTCTCTGCAATTGAAGGGGGAGGTACTGCTCTCTCTCCCCCCCCAGAACCAATCAATAAAATGTTAGTCATTTTTGAGCATCTGAGTGAATTGTGCCTTCAATTTTAATCTAGGAAAAAACTTACTGTGTAATTCAGCAGTTTTGGAAATGCTGGTGCTAGTGAAATAAAAATATCATGAAGGAATGCGGAGACTAGGGGTGGCATGAGTCTGGCATTAGCAGAATGTGTTGGTGATGGGGAAGCTTAAAAGATCCAAGCCCTGCACCTTCTGGTCACTCAAAGCTGTGCCCAGAGGCATTACAAGGCACCTTCCATGTTGTATCGTCTTTATTAATTATGAAGATCAGCTCCTTTTTTTTCTAATTAAAGAAGAATGAGCTCTGTCTCACACCAAGACCTTTTCCCCTCTTGCCGCAGCTACACTATGCCAATAATCGGGTAGTGTTCTATGTGGAAGATGCCTCTGCAGCCAACGCCCTCAAACAGGTGTCTCGAAAGATTGTTGCCCCAGATGGCTACAAGGTTGGTTTGTTCTTCCTCTGTGGGCCTGGGGCTAGTGGGGGGCGGGAATACATGAGGTTGGAGGGCGATTAGCTATGTCCAGACTAGTGAGGTTGCTTGATCAGTTATAGCTCTGACCTGCCTCATGTGATCGTCCTTTGCTGACACAGCTTAGATTCAAGCAGTGCCTGCAAAGGAAGAAAGGAAAGAATCAGGAGTGCACTCTTAATTATTTCCTTTGAAGTTGTGAGGTCAGGTAATTGAGAGATGGTCAACCTCGCCCATCGGCCAGAGTGGCTCAAAGGGGAGTGGGGGAGCTTAGGATCCAGCCCACCTGCAAGGTCTTGTTCTCCAGTCCTCTCTACATACATTAAGAAGCCTGGGCAGGGATTAACCTGCACCCATCCAATCTCCAACTGGTATTTCTTTCAGGTTGTGATACTTTTAAACCCATGCAGTCCACCAACATCTGTCCAGCGTGAATTGAAACCAGAGGAGATTGAGCAGCTGAAGGTGAGTGGAATGTGCCAGAACTTCAGTACTATTTTCTTGCCATCTACTTGCCAGTCTGCCCTGCATTCCCAGAAGTGGTTTGTGTCTGGTGTTTTTCTCTTTGGGAACCTGACAATGATCCTTGATTTTAAACTGTCTCAAGTGGTTAGCAAGTTGGAATGGGAGATGCCATCTGTCTTTAGTGGGAAAACAAGTCCCTGTTCAGGTTGTGAGTATTGTACAATCTCTTCCTAACTTGGTTTGGTTTTTTCTTTTGCTTCGGGTACTGAAATTCTGTTCTTCCCCTCAAGCAGGCAGGAATAAGCCTGTCTGAGGCCTTATCTATCTAATGGAAATTTTCTCTCTCCTTCCAGCTTTGCATGAGTAAAAGATATGATGGTTCCCAGCAGGCCTTGGATCTAAAGAACCTTCACACAGATCCAGGTAGGACACCGTACCCACCTTTTCACTGTTGGGACTGCTGTTCTTCTACACACCTAGAACTCTGGTTCCAGCTTCAGGGGCGGAGGTGGGTTTCTGTTGCAGATTCCAGCTGGCAGTGAAGTGAGATTCATGCTATTTTTTAACTCCCCAGATCTGGTAGCCCAGAACATTGACATGGTGTTGAGTCGCCGAAGCTGCATGCTAGCTGTGCTGCGGATCATCCAGGAGAACATTCCTGAGGTCATCCATTTCTCTCTCCCTTTCCCTCTTTTTCTTGCCTTGGTGCACTCAGGGATTGGTGATTTCTCTGAAATTTCATGCTGAAAAGATTTCAGCTTGCCCTCAAATGAATATGGACCCTTGTAAGTAAGTGGTCCGTAATTACAAACCATACACCAAACATCCTAGAAGGGGTGGCGGTATTGGGTTTGTGTTTTTTGTTTATTTGTTCTTGTATTTATCGTGTATTTTGTGTCTTATCTTCTGTTTTTATGTTGTGAACTGTCCTGATCTACAGATGGAGGGCAGTATACGAATGTAAATAAAGAAATCTTACTGTAGTTTAATTTATTTTTAATGAGGTTTTTTTATTAAAAAAAAACTGTCTTGAGGTGACTTGGTGGCAAAAAGCACATCTCTCACTCACACCTCACAAATCCCCCCCATCTGTCCTTGCAGCTCCTTTCTCTGAACTTGAGTGACAACAAGCTCTATCGCCTGGATGATATGGCTGAGCTGCCCCAGAAGGCTCCCAACCTGAAGATCCTCAATTTGTCTTCTAACCAGGTAGGGCTGGATGCTCACTAGCTCAGCCTGAATCTTCCATTGGGTAAAATCTTCACTCTCTTCACTATGCTCTCGTTCTTTCCCTCCTGGCTCCCTTCAGTTGAAGACAGACCGTGACTTGGACAGGTTAAAAGACTTGAAGCTGGAAGAACTATGGCTGGATGGCAACCTGTTGTGTGATAGCTTCCGTGACCAGTCTACCTACATCAGGTGAGCAGTAGCCCTGGGGCTGCCTAAGATGTCCTGGAAGGGTGTACCTCCACCTACCCAGAGGGCATTCAGGGCATGATTAAGATGTTTCTTGCCAAAAGGCCTATTTTGCCCTCCTAGGGGTGCCAGCTTGGTTATTTTGACCCCATAGCACCATCTGCCTCGGCTGCAGCCAAATCTCTGAAGATGCTGCATCCCATTCCTGGATCCTGAGTTGTGATTCTTGTGATAATGGTTTTATTTCAGCCAGATTGGAGCACTGCCCAGCCCCGTCTCCTCCCCCACCCCATATTGATATTACTACATTTATTAGCTGAAATTTGCTTTTGTGGATGATCTGCCATATCGCACCTCCCAGCCACCCCAGCCTTGCTTCCCTTCCTTGTGAAATCTTCCTTTCCCCCTCCCCCGCTTTTCTGTCTGCCTTCCACTATCCGCTCTGCGCACGTCACTTGCTTTTCTCTGCCCCCGGGGCTCTAGGACCTCAGGATGCGCAGCCTTTTCCATCCTCTCAAGTTCCCCTTGTGCACTGCCACCCTCCTTTGAGCCTGCCATGCTGAGCCACCTTGCTCGTGGCCTTGCCTGCTTCTATATTTATATATTGTGGCTCCCCAGTGCTGTACCTGGAAGTACCATATTGCACAGAGGCACGTGGAAGTCTTTCTTTTGGAGAATTGAAGCTAAGCTGCTAAATCCTGGGGTGCCCCTGGTGCGTTTGGCTCTCACAGATGGCTGGTTAGCCAGTGACGGGTAAGATTCCTTGCGGAAGGAACAACCTAAGACAGGCACAGTCGCACAGTGGCCAAACGGAGCCCTTCCGCCCGCCTCCGGGGAAGTTGGCAAACACAAGGCACCAGAACCCTCCTTCACAGGCTTGTCATCGGCGAGTAGCTTTTGGACAGCCTCTGTGCCGTTTCTAATGGGGAGACTTTTGCTTCTTGATGATCTGGGAGTGACGATGGTGCTGACTCTGGGTGGAGCAGCAGCAGCAGCAGCAGACTGAAGTGACAAGCTTCTTGCAAGTAAAACTCTTTCTCCCTCAGTTGTGCACTTGGAAGTCCTGTTTGTGTGGCCAAGGCATCTGTATCTCTGCAGGGTTGGAGCGTCAAGAGGGGCAGTGTGGAGGATGGATGAGGCTGTGCATCAGTAGGGAGGAGTTTCCAGGCCTTTTTTTCTTTGTTTCCATCACTCTGGCGTCCCTCTGCTTCTCCTTCCCCCACCCGCATCTTCCATGGTCATTAATTAGATTTGGGCCTTGATGCAGGAACTCTCCCAAAGCTGTTTTAAGTTGGGTGCCAGGAAGTTGGCTCAGGCATCTCCATGACCAGTGGGAATTCTTGTCCATTCCCCTACTTTCCCTTCCCTGCCCCTGCCCTCTGGCCTCAGTGGAGCGCTCCTCCTATAAATTGAGCCATGCGGGTGAGTACACACTCAGGTAAGTGCAGAGGGAGACTTTGAGTAGCATGGCTTTGGAGACTTCTGCCTCTCGCACCCGTGTGCGTGTGTAAAACTACCACGGGAAGAGTACCAGAGCATTTTACTTTAAAGACTGTGTTCTGCTACCTACTAATTTTTTGAAGTTGGCTAACTGTCACTCGCCCTTGTATGGTATCAAGTGACAGAACCATAATAATGAAATTGATCAACTTTTCCCTCAAATTGTCTGGCAATATTAAAGGAAAGCTGACTCAGCATTTTCTCCTAGGTGAGACTTGAGTCAGATTTTAATACGCAGGGTGGGAAATGTCAAATATAATCAGATGTCTCTTTAAACTGGATTGCAGTAGTTCTCTAATCCAGCATAAGCAGTACAATCCTTTTAACCCCATTCGTGTTGCTTCTTCCGTGGCTAACGGAAGATGCAGAGCCTAATACGGTTCCACGTGCAGCTTTAGCAACCCGTCCCTGATTTTGTACACGTTCTACCTTTGTTTAAAATGCTTGTACGTGTAAATTTCTTAGGCTTCCAAAGAAACATACAGTTTGAGAGCCTTGGGCGGGGGGCTTTTGTTAAAAGATTCTGGTAATGCCACCATTTTGTGGTGTTTCTCCACGCTCCTAAGAAAGCCCAGATGCGTGGAATGAAACTTGTGGGACCTGTCTCCTAAGTTCTTCCAGTTGGGGAGCTGGTTGTTGCTCTGTAATTCAGAATCCAGGAAGTGAGGTGTGGTGAGGGTTCTGAATCACCAGTGGGCAGCCTATATAATTTGGTGGGCATCTGTTTGGCCCAGGATAACAAATTGATAACTCTCCACCTCCTGACAGCAGTTGAGGCAACTTCTTTTTGCAAGACTGCCCATCTTGGTTTTAAAGAATGCTTTAGAGAATGATGGCCAGTGGCCAGGGTGGGTAGAGGCCACAACAGGATGTAGTTCAGGTAGCACTGGCTGAGGTAGGAAGATGGTGGTAGCAGAAGGTGGGGACCACCCAGGTAGGTCACGGGTGGGGGGAGGGCAGTGCTCTTGGGGCACAAAGCTCTTTCATTCACTCCTTTTCCCCTTTCTGACAGCGCCATCCGCGAACGGTTTCCAAAGCTGCTGAGGCTGGTGAGTGAATTGTTCAAATTCCAGGTGGATTCTGAGCCAGCTTTTGTATCTGACAGTACTGTTGCCTTACCCTTCTGCCTCTCCCATCACAGGACGGCCATGAACTCCCCCCTCCTATTGCTTTTGATCTTGAAGCACCTACCACGCTTCCCCCCACTAAGGTACAGAAATGCTTGGAAGGGGCAGGGGAGAGGGCCCGTGTTGCTGTTGCCCTGAGAAAGCTGGCGCCTTTCGAGCCCTTGCTTCAGTCCCATTGCTCGGTGTGGGCTGTGGCATAGGATGCCTTAGGGCTGGTGCTGAGTGGGTACTGGGTAGATTTTGCTTGGTGTTTGGGAGGAATGGAGGGGAACAGATTAACATCCGGCTTCTCTCTTTGACTCTCCCCACTCAGGGCAGCTATTTTTGCTCTGAAGACTTAAAAGCGTTGATCCTGCGATTTCTGCAACAGTAAGTAGAGTTGCAAGGTCTTGTACGTTAAAGAAAACCAGAGCCCCTGCCAACAAGTTTATAACCTGGGGGTTTTGGCACACACAAAAAGGGGAGCTGGAGAAAAAAAGAGAGGGTAAACATCTTAAGTTTTAAGTTAGTTCCTGGGAAGAGGGTAGTGGTAATGATGCTGGCTGGCATTTGAAAACCAGGGTTTGAAGTTGCATTCCAGTGTTTAAAACTTGGCTAGCAAAAAGGATCACTGACAGTACTGTAATTGAAAGAAGCAAAAGGGTTTATTGAGGCACAGTACCCCATAAAATAGGAACGCAAGTGGCGCTATGGTATAACCCACTGAGCCTAGGGCCTGCCGATTGGAAGGTCAGCGGTTCGAATCTCCGCAACGGGGTGAACTCCCGTTGCTCAGTCCCAGCTCCTGCCAACCTAGCAGTTCAAAAGCACATCAAAGTGCAAGTAGATAAATAGGTGCCGCTCTGGCGGGAAGGTAAACGGTGTTTCTGTACGCTGCTCTGGTTTCGCCAGAAGCGGCTTAGTCATGCTGGCCACATGACCCGGAAAAACTGTCTGTGGACAAACGTCAGCTCCCTCGGCCAGTAAAGTGAGATGAGCACTGCAACCCAAGAGTCATTTGCGACTGGACTTAACTGTCAGGGGTCCTTTACCTTTACCTTTACCTTTTTACCCAATACAATGGAACTAACATAATAGAAATAATAAAGTGGCTAAAGCCTCTCTTCTATTCTGGCTGTTTCTTTAGCAATGTTTGTATTCTCCCACAGATATTACACTGTCTATGATTCTGGGGACCGGCAAGGGTTATTGGATGCCTACCACGATGGAGCCTGCTGCTCCCTGAGCATCCCCTTCTCACTACACAACCATTCCAGGTAAGTTTACACTTCTGACATTTGTTCCCTTGCCATGGGAGAGGACTGCACGTTGCCCTACTACACTGTGCTTTGGTTTTGGTGTGACATGGTGTGAGACAGGCTGTGTGCACCCTTTCCAAAGTTTCTGTGCCAAGATGTGGGGTATTTTGCAACCTATACTAAGTAAACAAGAGTTGCTTGTATTAGTCACAAGGAGATTCAAAGAGCTGTGTGTGGATCTTGCACATGCCTCCCATTCAAGTATTTCACGCTTTGCAAACATGAAATCTTTTTGTAAGATGCCATACATTTGGTTGCATTGTGTTGATTGGGAAGAAGATTTGATGTTCAATAAATCTAACTAGACTGTTCAGAGGGCAGGGATTTGTGGTGCTTCCACAGCTTACTTTTTAAAAAATCCTCATACCAAGAGAGAGACTAAGTTGAAAGTACATGGAGCTGCTTGCTTTACTTTGGAGCCAGCTTGGGATTTAACCCTCAGCACTCTGCCTCCAAATCCAACATTTTGCCTACTGCAGCCAAGTATACACCTCCTGCTATGTAAAGAAAGACCTGGGGAAATGGGTAGGCGTTTATGTTCTTGTTTTGTCTTCAGGAGCACTCTGGCTGAATACTTCAAGAACAGCAGGAATGTGAAGAAGCTTAAGGATCCCAGTAAGTAATGACCAGTGGCGGGGGTGGGGTGGGCGTACAAGGCTACAGACTCTTTTAAGGACAGTGTGTAATCAGAAGTGTTTCATGGGAGACGGGCCCTGCACAGTGATTCTGCTGCGGAGGTTGGGACCCCAATGCACAAAAGAGGGGAGGTGCAATGGTGAAAGGATTTGGGACAATGCTCAAATCCGCACTGAAGCCCTTCATTCATAGCAGTCCAGTTGTGGAAGAGGATAACAGAAAAGCCCCTGATTAAAGTGAATAAACTGTATTGGTTGGCAGTGATTTTTTTATTTTTTAGGGTTGGGGCAGACGCTCCTACATTAGTGGATTGTGTCCCCCCCCCACGTATCTGCTGCTGGTTTCTCCACTTTGGGTTTACTTCAGTGAAGGTAGTAATTGACCTGCCCTCTGCTCTTTCTGCCCCCAGCCATGCGCTTCAGGCTCCTCAAGCACACAAAGCTAAATGTTGTGGCCTTCCTTAGCGAGCTCCCGAAGACTCAGCATGACATCAACTCCTTTATTGTGGACGTCTGTGCCCAAACGGTGAGTCAGGGGAGAAGGAACTGGCCAAGCACTTACCACCTTTCAAGGAGTAGGTGAGGTCAGTGGGCAAGAAGAAAGATGAGGGATGGGTTGTTGCTTGGCTGGAAATTTGACTTGCCCCTGATAGCCGATGGGAGTTGAGAAAAATTGCTCCCTCTATGCAGGGTCAAAATATGTGTTGTTCAGCTGGAAATCTTGGAATCTGGAACAAAGTGTTATCCCCCCCCCCCCCCAATAAGTACATACCCCGCTATTGCTGCTCACTTTTCAATAAAACAAAGGCAATTTACTTCCAGGAAAACCATCCATCGATCTCTTTTTATGCTGCTACTGTTTCAGTCCTTTTAGCCTGTTTTCAGTTGGCATGATTGTAGTTGTTTCTATTGCTGTAAGCAATCTTGTAAGCGGCTGTGAGTATTTCATAACAGAAAGGTGGGGTATACATCTTGATGTTAAACGATGTATATAACATCTGTGTGGGTTGCTGCCACAATCTCTTTGGCCTTGAGACCCTTCTTTTCTCATTGCAGAACACGCTGCTGTCTTTCACCGTCAATGGGGTCTTCAAGGAGGGTGAGTGTGCTGTTAAAAGGCTGCTTTGTGACACATCCTGAACAGTGGGAAAGCCAGAACACTTGCAGCACCCAGTGCCCCTTCTTGAAAACTCTAACCTGCGCTTTCTTTCTAAATTCTACAGTGGATGGCAAGTGTCGCGACTCGGTGCGCGCTTTCACCCGTGTGTTCATCGTTGTGCCTGCTGGCAATAATGGGTAAGGGCTATGAGCTTCAGGGCATTGACAAATCCAGGGATTGCAAGACAGGTGTGTCTCTGAAAGGGGAAGGTATTGGGAGGATGATGAAATATTTATAGGGGGATGAGAGACAGAGCCTTAGCAGCCATGTCTGTCAGGAGCTGGGAATGTCAAAGGCTTTTAAAAACAGCCCATGTGCTGGAGGCATTGGGGGATTGGCCAGCTTATGGAGGAGCAATCTGATTTCTCCCAGTGATTTATATCTGTACTGGTGAACCACTGGCCAATTTCTAGGGGACAGCCTGGCGCTGGTTGGGGAAGGGCCCTAGCTCAGTACTAGAGCATCTGCTTTGCATGCAGAAGGTCCTAGACTTAGTCCCCAGTATCTCCAGGTAGGGCCGGGAAAAATTCTCACCTGAAACCCTGGAGAGCTGCTGCCAGTCAGTGCAGGCAATACTGAGCTAGACCCAACAGTCTGACTTGGTGTGAGGCAGCTTCGTGTGTCACAATTCTTGCAAAAGATGTGGGGCTAGCATTGATTTTGGCATTTTCAGAAAGCACGTTAATGTTTAGAAGCAGGGGGGATGACAGATTAGTCATGCCTTACTTAACAGTTACAGTGTTCCAAAGTATATATTCTCAGTAAAATTTAAAGTGGTTCCTTGCAGCACAGTTTTAAAAGCCAGGCCATCAAGATAGGTTGATTGCCACTTGTCGAATCTAGCGACAATTCCTTTTTGCTGTAGTTGACTTTCCACAAGAACAGTGGGAGCACGGTTCAAAGAAAACATCATGCTGGTGTGTCCCATTTTTCTCTCTGACTTCAGGACCCATTTTGCTGAACATTGGCTAGATGCACTTCTAATATTTGCCGCGCTTTTTGCTACTGTTAGAATATGGCGACCTTCTCTCCTTGGTGAAGGCAGAAGCAAGTATAGTGTCTAGCTGTTGCTCCTTTATTTATGGGAGCATCCTGCAGTGCTTGGCAAGAGATACAAGCAAGCAAGCTGTAGGAGGCTCTGTGTATGCATTAGCAGATCCTAACCTCTTCTTGCCATCAGAGGGGTGGCCAGGAATAGTCAGGTCTCAGACTGAAAGGGTAGAAGGCAAAAGGGGCCATCCTTATGTTGGGTGTAGGCTTGCAGCCCATTCATTAACCACTCCTGGCTCTTTTCCCCTCCTCTGCAGGCTGTGCATTGTGAATGATCAGCTATTCATTCGTAAGGCCACCAACAAGGAAATCCGCAAAGCTTTCGTCATGCCAGCGCCCACGCCCTCCTCCAGCCCGGTGCCCACGCTCACGGCAGAGCAGCAGGAAATGCTGCAGAATTTCTCACTGCAGTCGGGCATGAATCTTGAGTGGTCTCAGAAGTGAGTCTGGAGTTGCTGGGGGCTGGCAGTTGGGAAAAAGGAGTGGGAGATGGTCTTGAGATTAGGGTGGGGGGCAGGGAGGGAAAAGCGGTTGCAAAATGAGATTAGGTTAGGCTCCTGTCTCATGACTTTATCATCTCTCCCTACCCTTGCCCAGGTGCCTCTTGGACAATGATTGGAACTACGCTCATGCGGCCCAGGTTTTTACCCAGCTCAAGGTGAGTGCCCTGGTGCCTTTCTAGAGTGAGACCACCAGAACCTGCTGCCAGGCTTAAGAACTGGAGACAGAAAGTGATGGCTGGGATGGATTTGCACTGCACTGCACTGTAGTTCTTTTACAGGGGAGAACCCTGGGTGCCTTTTCCTTCATTCTCAGGGTCTGATGTGCCGTATTTGAGGGTCATGTTTCCCCCCAGAGGAAGTTTGCAAGGAAAGCCATCCCCCTATGTAATATGCCTTGATGTGTGTATTCGGAGTTATTTGAAGCGAGAGCATCCAGAAACCATTGCTGTTGGTTTTTGCTCTTTTGCTTTTCATCCATAGTGCAGTAATGAGAAGCTGATATGTAGCAGACTTTGCCTTTGGACGGGTGACTGTCCTTAGAATATTTTGTCCCCTTACTGGCCTCTTAACTGACCTTTGGAAGAGGAGTCAAGTCCGGATTTGGGAAAACTTTTTTATCACAACCCTGTGAGCCTGGGGAAAACCCCTGGGTTCTGTTGACAGCTTCATGTTTGTTTGTCTCCTTGTTAGAACCAGACATGGAAGAGAGGTGGTTTTTGTTAACTTCTTACTCTTCCTTTTCTCTTCTAGGCTGAGGGGAAGATCCCAGAAGTGGCTTTCATCAACTGAGCGTTTGCCACCATTGCCCTTACCAAAGCCAGCCAAGCAGCGTTTTATCCTTTGGGTTCTTGTTTTGTAAATAAATGAAAGTTTCACTATGTAAATTAAAGAGACTCCTACCCTGTTGTGACTGTGAAGGCTGCACCTGTCCGTGTTGCCATTGGACTGTGGGCAAAAGCAGTGAAAACAGGCCCTTGTGGACGAGGCAGCACCTCCTGCCTGCAGCGGCAGATGGCGTGAAGAATTGCTGTGTACACTGATTTTCTAACAGACACTGACGACCATGGAAATCTGGAGGAAAGGCACTTGGATCATTTTTGGGTTCTCCCGCCTCCCTTTTAATTTGAAAAGCTGATTTTTAGCATACCCCGCCCCCCGCTGCTACCGACTTGGGAGTTGAGTCTTCTATGTGCCTAGAGTAAGAAGTAGTCAGTAGTTCCCAACATGCAACAAGGGTTATATCCCTAGAGGGCAGGGGGAATGGTAAACCTCCTAAAAGGCAGCGGCAGCAGCAGCAGCACCACCCCTGTGTCCTTTGAGGCACAATTGATCATCCTGATGGTGCCAGAGGGAGTGGGTTTCTTAGTTCTAGGTTGCTTTAGAGGACTTTAGGTATGTGAGACCCTGTATGGATGGATGGCCTCTGAAGCACAGCCCTTGCAGGACGTCGGATTTGCTGTCACTCACTGCTTAAATGAGAAGAAGCTTTGGGGTCTGCACACCTAGCAAGCTGTAGCTTCCGTGTTTCTTTTCTGCCTGTAGTTCTTGAAAACACTGTGTTTAGTAAAATTGTTATTAAAACCATGCTGTGCATTCATGTGATGGTGTTCTAAACTAGAGATAAGATCACTTCCTTTTACTATGTGGATTTCTTTTTCCGTTTTGGCCATGCACGACTTATGATTGTGGAAGTTCTGTCAAATGTACAAATTATGTAAATAAGAATATCTTCCCATCTTATTACTTTAAAAAGAAGTGTGTAGGGAAGTCCTAATGCTTTGGCCTCCTGACCTGAGTTTATCCTGCTTCCTCTGAAAAGGAGAGCAAGGTTATGTTAACTTTTATTTCTCCCCTGTGGAAGATGGCTCCTCTTGCAGCCCTGGAGATCTGCAAGATCCCCTGCTCCGTGTTATATACAGAGACGTCACTCAATGACCCAGGAGCCTTGGACGAAGCTTTATTTTTTAAGACCGTGATGGAGAAGGGTGTTATCCAACACTGAATTGTGCTTAGGTGACCAGAATTAGTTGGAAGGGGACTCACAACTCAAGTCCAAACCCTTTATCAGTGCAGGGAATCCACTGCTACAACAGCCCTGATAGCTATCCACTTTTAGTCTAAATCCTTTTTTTAAAAAAATATTTTATTTTCATTGTTTAAACAAAATTTAGATACATTTTTTTTTAGTCTAAATCCTTTTGTAATTTGAACCTGTCAGTTTGGGTCCTACCCTCTGAGCAACAGAAAATAAATTAGGAAGTGTTTCCAGAGGTATTTTAAACAACTCTATACACAGGAGAAGCGGAAAGAAATGGACATTGATCGATTTTTGAATATAAATGGACTACACAAAATCTCACAGGAAAAACAGCTAATGTTGAACTATAAAATAACAGACCAGGAGGTGGAAGGGGCTATCCAGAACATGCAATTAGGTAAATCTCCAGGACCAGATGGTTTGACTTCAAGATACTACAGATCTTTGAAAGATTGGTTAATACAGTGGTGCCTCGCAAGACGAAATTAATTCGTTCCGCGAGTTTTTTCGTCTAGCGAATTTTTCGTCTTGCGAATCACGAATTCCCATAGGAATGCATTGAAAATCAATTAATGCGTTCCTATGGTCAAAAAAAGTCCAAACAAAGCCAAATTTGGTACAACAACCTCCCCAACTGTTGCAAACCCCTCCCCAACTGTTCCCCCAGCCCCTCCCCAACTGTTCCCCCAGCCACCCAGCACACAGAAATTCAAATCCAGAATTTTTTTTAAAAAACAGCAGAGTGGCCCAATGGTCACAGAAAATCATAAAAATGCAGAAAAAAACCACACAAGCTTCCAGATTCTTGCAAACCCCTCCCCAACTGTTCCCCCAGCCACCCAGCACACAGAAATTCAAATCCAGAATTTTTTTTTAAAAACAGCAGAGTGGCCCAATGGTCACAGAAAATCATAAAAATGCAGAAAAAAACCACACAAGCTTCCAGATTCTTGCAAACCCCTCCCCAACTGTTCCCCCAGCCACCCAGCACACAGAAATTCAAATCCAGAATTTTTTTAAAAAAACAGCAGAGTGGCCCAATGGTCACAGAAAATCATAAAAATGCAGGAAAAAGACACACAAGCTTCCAGATTCTTGCAAACCCCTCCCCAACACCAAGTCCTTGAATTCCAAACACCCCAACCCAAAATCCAAAACCCCCCAAAAAAGTTTTAAAAGCTTAACTTGGCTGCAAAAGAAGTTTTGGAAAAGCTTCAAAAATCACCAAAGTCTTTAAAAACCTCAAAAAAGGCTACTATGTACACTGCGTTCTATGAGTTGCTCCTTGAAGTCAAGTCGCAACTGTATTAATGGTGTTAAGAAAAAGGAAACAAACTTGCAAGACATTTTCGTCTTGCGAAGCAAGCCCATAGGGAAATTCGTCTTGCGAAGCAGCTCAAAAACGGAAAACCCTTTCGTCTAGCGAGTTTTCCGTCTTGCGAGGCATTCGTCTTGCGGGGCACCACTGTACAACCATTGAAGGAAGTCTGTAATGAAATATTGGAAGGAAGAAAGGCACCAGAGTCGTGGAAGGAAGCTTACATTACACTTATACCGAAAACAGAGACTGAAAAGATGCAGCTCAAAAACTACCGCCCCATATCGCTGCTAAATGTGGATTATAAAATTTTTGCAGACATTTTGGCTAAAAGACTAAAAAAGGTGTTAGTAGAAGAAATCCATAAAGATCAAGCGGGCTTTATGGATGAGGAATATAATTAATATCTTAGAAAAACTTCAAGTGAATATTAATACTAAGACTGTTTTGATATTTGTGGACGCGGAGAAAGCCTTTGACAACATTTCTTGGAGCTTTATGAAGAAGAATCTACAGGGGATGGGGGTAGGCCAAGGTTTTGAGAATGGTATAGGTGCAATTTACTCAGAACAAAAGGCAAAATTAATTGTAAATAATGTAGTGACAGAAGAGTTCAAGATTGAGAAAGGGACACGACAAGGTTGCCCAATTTCTCCACTGCTTTTTATATCGGTCCTTGAGGTTTTGCTAAACATGATAAGAAAGGACCGAGAGATTAAAGGTATACAAGTGGGAGTTAAACAGTATAAATTGAAAGCATTTGCTGATGATCTAGTATTGACTCTACAGGAACCAGAATCTAGCACAAAAAGGGTATTGGAATTGATTCAAGAATTTGGGCAAGTAGCAGGTTTTAAGCTGAACAAGATGAAAACTAAGGTATTAGAGAAAAACTTAACTGTAAATGAGAGAGAGAAATTTCAGGAAGAGACAGGATTAACATTGGTTAAGAAAGTGAAATATCTAGGGGTTAATATGACTGCTAAAAATGTGAATTTATTTAAGGATAATTATGAAAAATGTTGGATTGAAGTGAAAAAAGACTTAGAAATATGGTCAAATTTGAAGTTATCATTACTAGGCCGAATTGCTGTCATAAAAATGAATGTGCTGCCAAGGATGTTGTTCTTGTTTCAAACATTACAAATTTTGGATAAGATGGATTGTTTTAAGAAGTGGCAGAAAGATATTTCCAGATTTGTCTGGCAGGGCAAGAAGCCTCGAATAAAATTTAAGATATTAACTGATGCTAAAGAGAGAGGTGGATTTGCCCTGCCAGACCTAAAACTCTATTATGAATCAGCTGCTTTTTGTTGGTTGAGAGAATGGCTGCTACTTGAAGACACTGATGTGTTGGACCTAGAAGGTTTTAACAACATATTTGGTTGGCATGCATATTTGTGGTATGATAAGGTAAAAGCACATAAAGCATTTAAAAATCATATTGTTAGAAAAGCATTGTTTAATGTATGGATAAGATACAAAGATTTGTTAGAAAAGAAAACCCCAAGATGGTTGTCACCAATGGAAGCGAAGGCACAGAAAAAACTCAATATGGAGGCCAAATGGCCGAAATATTGGGAAATTCTGGAACAAGAGGGAGACAGACTAAAATTGCAGAGCTTTGAAAAATTGAAAAATAAAGTGCGAGATTGGCTCCATTATTATCAAATAATGGAGGCATATAATTTGGACAAAAAAGTTGGTTTCCAGGTGGAAAAATCAAAATTGGAAACAGAACTGTTAGACTCTAAAATTAAGAATTTGTCAAAAATGTAAAACTTGCGGTTGAAATGGAACACCCAGGATGAAACGGTGAAATCAGCTATGATTAAATGGGCACAAGATGTTGGACATAATATAATGATGGCTGACTGGGAACAGTTATGGACCACAGGTATGAAATTTACGGCATGTAATGCCTTAAGAGAAAACTTAATGAAAATGATTTATAGGTGGTACATGACACCAGTCAAGCTTGCAAAAATTTACCATTTGCCCGAAAATAAATGTTGGAAATGTAATGAGACTGAAGGTACATTCTTTCACCTTTGGTGGACATGCCCAAGGATTAAGACATTCTGGGAGATGATTTATAATGAAATGAAAAAGGTATTCAAATATACCTTTCTGAAGAAACCAGAGGCCTTTCTCCTGGGCATGGTCGGCCAATTGGTGCCAAAGAAGGATAGAACTTTTTAAATGTATGCTACAACAGCAGCAAGAATACTCATCGCGAAGTATTGGAAGACACAAGATTTACCCACCCGGGAAGAATGGCAGATGAAGTTGATGGACTATATGGAATTGGCGGAAATGACTGGCAGAATCCGAGACCAGGGAGAAGAGTCGGTGGAAGAAGATTGGAAAAAGTTTAAAGACTATTTACAGAAATATTGTAAAATCAATGAATGTTAGAAAAATGTTGGAATGAAGTTATATGGCTTCAGCAGAAATGTTATAAGGAATTAAGTATAAATAGATTAATAGAGAATTAAAGGGAAAAATAAGGTCAAAATGTGTTAAGATAGAAAGCAGAGGAAGATGGAAAGGAATTGCTGAAACAACTAATAGAAGTGGAATACAAAAAGGGAGGTGTGAGGAGGTCATGGAAATAAGTGAATGAAAGATTGAAACTATTTGATGTGTTTTAAATTGTTTTTGTTTTGTCTTCTTAAACTATTTTTGTTAGTTCAGTGTTAGGTATTGTTTTTGTATTGTATTGTATTGTTTATTTTCTTTTTCTATGTAATGTCTAATTTGTTGGAAAGTAATAAATATTATTTAAAAAAGAAAAGGGGAAAAAAAGAAAATAAATTGGCTCTGTGATTTATGCCAAGAGTAGTGAATGCAGCGCCCTCCCCTAGTTGCTTGACTCCCAACTCTGAACAGCACCAGCCAGTATGGCTAATGCCACAAGGATGTTGGGAGCTGGTGCCTTGCAGGTGATGTTAGACTACCTTTTTACTCACCCTGGCCTCTACAATAGCTCTTCAGGTTTCATCAACTCTTAATCTGTCATCCAGGTTGAAGAGACCTAATATATTCAACCTTTCCTCTTATGGTCTCTAGATCCCTCTCCATCTTTGTCACCTATCCTCTGTACACGGCACATGTGGTATCTTTTTAAAATGATTGTTGAGCTCCTGGCGCTCCACAAACCGCACTCTTCACAATTTGACAATTCTCTGAGGGAAAGTATGTGCTTTCAATGTATCGTGTGCACTTCCCCAGCCTTGCCAGTTTTGGTAACTGACCGGAAGCTAAGGCTGCCCTCCCCAAAGATGGCGCCCGAAACGAGCATCCGCCTATGACTGTGTAGAGAAGGGGAAGTGGGTTTTTAAAAAAGGGAGGAGAGAAATACTACAATTCCCATGAGCCTCTTGGGCTGCAGCTGACCTTGGCAAAAGCGGTTCAAGAATGTTGCACTGCACATGGCGAGCAGGGCTGCGGATCGGGGGGCTGGCAGGTGGGGGGGTTGGAAGCTGCGGGGTTTGGAGGCTCTGGGGCCGCGCGGATCCACAACACCCCGTGCGCTTTTGGAGCTGGGGCGCGCGAAGGGCTGACGGCGCGGAGTTGCCTCGGCGATGGGGCGCCCGGGGCGTGCAGACCGCCTTCCCGTTGGATACTAATGTGCCCCGGGATGTCTTGCTTTTCCAGCACGATCGGGGCCGTTTTTTCCGTATTCTTGGGCTGTTCTGCGCCGGCCAGTTCGTGTTCTGGGCGTATCTGGCACACTTCGCTTTCCACGGCTTGCGGGATGTTAGGGCGAGCCGGCCAGAGCCGGATCCCCAGCATGGGGATCGCCCTCTGCCAACTCTACCGGGAGGAGCCACGATACAGTTGAGCTCCAACAAGTGGCGCTTCGGTTTCACTGCGTCTTGCCTGACCGTGGGTAAGGAAGGGCCGGATTCCTCTGCCCGCTCCTCCTCCGGGGTTACTTATTAGCATTGGTTGCTCTTCGTTGTTATAGAATTGTGGAATTGGAAAGGACCACGAGGGTCATCTCTTCCAACCCCCTGCAATTCAGGAATCGTTTTGCCCAGCATGGGGCTTGAACTCACGACCCTAAGATTAAGAGTCTCATGCTCTAGCGATTGAGCTATGTGCCGCGATGCGCATGGCGCTTTGCGCATTTTTCTAAGCAAAACAAAAAAGACCCCTAACCCCCGAGGAGTTTACAATATAAATTGCAATCTTACTTTCATGAAATTGTAGGTTTGCTTCTTGTCGGTGACAGATAGTATGTGGGGCACAGCAGGAAGATGTATCCAAACGTAATATTGTGGGTTTCAGATCCATGGGTTGTAGCCAGCTACAAGTTCTACCCCCAAATAGATCCATCGAAATTAATTTATCTAAGTAAGGCCCCTATCCGCACTATACATTTAGAGCAGCATCACTACCACGTTAAACAGGCATGGCTTCCCCAAAACAATGCTGGGAACTGTAGGGAACTGTTAACAGGACTGAGAGTTGTTAGGAGACCTCCCCTGCCATCTCCCCCACAGAACTACTGGAAAGAAGGATTGATTGTTAAGCCACTCTGGAAAGTGCAGCTCTGTGGGGGAAATAGGGGTTTCCTAACAACTCTCAGCACCACTAAAAAATGGCAGGCCCTGGAATTCTTTGGAGGAAGCCATGACTGTTAAAGTGGCATAATATTGCTTTAAATATAAGGTGCAGATGAGGCCTCAGCCATGCTCCTTTGTTTCAGGGGGTCTACTCTGAGTAGAATTAACACGGATACAACCCAGTAAAAATAAGACACTCCCTGCCCAACTCAGGCTTATAACCAAGACAAAGGATCAGATCCAACATCCATGGCTGGGGCAGGTGGGAACTGTAGTCTGAAACATCCATTAAGGCACCATCTTGACACAGGCCCCCAAATGTATCAAAGCAGGCGCAAGTCCAGTTTCTGTGGGAAATTGCACAGGTCGGGTACTACCACAAAACAAGCTTTTCCTTGACATAGGTCTGTCACAGCTCAGCTGGCAGAAGGACCTGGGCCATGAAGGTCTTTGAAGATCACAATCTCTTTGAATCGGGTCCAAAACCAGAGTAGGAGCATGTGCATTGGCGAAGCACTAGTACATGATGATTAAATTTCCTAGTCAGAAACCCAGCAACTGAATTCTGAACCACCTGCCATTTCTGAACCATCTCCCAGGGCAGCCTTAGGCTTTATCAGGCATTGCAGTAGCCTGACCACTAGGTTATCTCAGCTCGACTTGTCATCCTGCTCTGTTCCTTTGCAGGTTCTCTGATCTTGGCGGCAGGTTTTGTCTTTTCCCGACGCTCTGTGAGCCGGATCTTGCTGCACCGAGGTGGGCAGGAGGTGACCTTTACCACCTATTACCCCTTGGGCTGGACCTCGTCCTTCACGGTCCCTCTTCGCCATGTTTCCTGTATGTCCCATCGTTCAGAGGTGCCGGCGATGATGCCACTCAAGGTTAAGGGGAGAGCCTTCTATTTCCTGTTGGACAAACAGGGACGGATCACCAACACAAAGCTTTTTGACATCACTGTTGGCGCCTATCGCAAGCTGTGAGGCACAGCACTGCTAGAGGGAAAAGGCGCAGGAGACGGCCCATCCTGCATCCTAGGCTGTTGTGCAGATGGTGAAAGATGGACTGGCCACATCCGGCAGACAGATCCCAGGCCTAGAAGCGGCTCTTAAATGGCTTCTTAGCCCTTCTGTGCTTTGAAAAAGACAATTGTTGCATGATGTTTTGGGATAAATGGAAGCTCATCTGGAGAGAGAGAGAGTGAGGGAATGAGAGAGAGCGAGAAAGAGAGACTGAGATTGCACAGAGTTGCCCTGGATCCTGAGTTGATTGTTAAAAATCTAGAAAGAACCAACCTGATTTTTGCAGGGTTTTTCGTACCTCCCAACACACCCCAGCTGCATTCACAGTACATTTTTCTCTGTAATCTTTGGGATGACAGAGGGGGATGGGAAATATGTGCTTGTGTCTTGGTAGCAAGAATTATGGTTGTTGTGATGGCTGCTTGGTTGATCTCCAGGAACTCATCCTGCCTTAACTGGAGATCATTGAATTTCTCCTTTGTAGAGCTGCCACCTTTATTTCTGGAGAGGCTCCTGTGCTTTTTATAATAGGGAGAGCAAGGGAGGGGAACCGTTTTTCAGCTCAAGGTCCACATTTCCTTCTGGGCAGCCTTTTGAGGGCCACTTGCCAGTAGCAGGGGTGGGGTAGAGGCAAAAGTGGACGGAACAATGAATGTAAACCTGACTTTTGTTAGAGTAAAGTAGTTTCTACACACACCAATCTGTATCCTCCATCCATACAACCAGGAGGCATTATCAGAGTTCAAGGCTGCATTCCAGCCAGGCAGACACCTTCATGGGGCTGGTGAGGTGTGGCATGGGGAGAGTTCTGAGGGCCAGACAGAGAGGCCTGGAGGGCCACACTTGGCCCTTGCCCCTGAGATTCCCTGTCTCTGAGGAACTGTGATAGACACTGAACAGTCAAGTTTGTGCACCCCCATTCCCTGTCACTGCCTTTCCATTCCATGATCATTTCACCTGCTGAATTTCTGTCTGCCCCCCTCCCCAAGTGTTGTGGGGAGAGGGGACCAACCAAAGTTGACAATTGTCTCCTGTCTTCTTCCATTTTGGTGTGGTCTCACCAGCCACTGCCAAGTCTTGTTTTCCTGCTTGAGCAGAAGCTTCCTTGGCCGCTCTGGTTGCCATGGAAACATGTTGGCCTCAGTGGCATCAAGATGGCTGCCGTGTGGAAAGGGGAGCTGGGCAGCGGTGAGACTCCGGACATGCGGCTGGGAAGGAGAGAGCTAGAGAAGGAGGAGAGACGAGGTAACTGTCTGCCGCTTCCGAAAGAAGCTTTTGAAGCCTACTAGCTGCCCCTGCTAACCTTGCGTTTCTCATTCTCAGCACAGCCTCCCCTTCCGCTCCCCACCCTGTTCTTTTGCATTAATTTCTAAAAGCAATGATGATAGAATAAAGGCCTCCCCCTCAGAAGTATGGCACTCTGTGCATGCTCAGGGGGAGGCAGCTGATTAAGCCTCTTGTTCAAGCCATTTTATGGCTTGCGAAATAATAACCTTGTGGGCCTCTGTCCAATGGATTTCATGTTGGGTCCATTTTTAATCACCTGACCCTCTTTTTCCTCTCTTAACATATATAGGAAACCCAATTTGATAGTATTATTAATTATAAGGATTTTTCCTGCCCCTTCTCAAAAAAAATCATAAAATAGTAGACAGGGGTTTTGTAGGTGCTCCCAGCAGCAAACAGCTCCCCTCCCACAGAGTCTCTTTTTAGCTTCACAACACCCCTGTGAGGTAGGTTAGGTGGGGAGAGGAAGGGAGGGAGAGACTAGCCCAAGACCACCCAGTAAGCTGCATGACTGAGTGGAGGATTTGAACCTGAGTCGTCTGTCAAGCAATCTGACCACAGGGTGGGGAACCTTTTTTTCAGGCCCAGAGCTGCATTCCCTTCTGCACATCTTTCCAAGGGCCACACGGCAGTGGTGACTGGGGCCAGAGGCAAAAATGGCTGGAGCAATTAATGTAGATGTTAGCTTTGTACAACAGGCTAGTTTCTTCAGGCATGCTCCCCTCTCTGTCCTCCATCCAGAGCTGTAGCTAGGTGATCTTGCGCCTCTGGCAGAACCTTCCAGATTGCACCCCCTCGGCACGGACAAATTAGCTCTTTCTGCCTCTCCCCCCCCTCCACCCATTCAATTCACCCTCTATTTAAAACCATTTCTTATGAGGCAATAATCGATATTTATGGACATATTTTTAGCCGGTTTTGTGCCCGCAGAGCTGGAGATGGGGTATGGCGTGAAGAGAATTTCAAGGGCCAGATAGGGTTAGAGGGCCGCATTTGGCCTTCAAACCCGAGGATCCCAACCCCAGTTTAAACAGTATGCAAGTTAAGAACCATATGTTTTCTCTTTCCTCTTCCTGTCCTTTCCATTCTGGAAAATGGCAGCAACTCCCTCCCCCCTTCCTGCTACATCACATTCCGATTTTGGATGGCTCAGTTGACTTGAGCTGGCCTTTCGGACCCCCTCCTCTACTTCCACCACCCCACAAAATAAGCCACCCTTTATTTTATTTTAAATTGTTCCAGGGTTTCAGTGCAGCCCCTCCCTAGGAAGCTGCGGAATAATACTGCTGAATTAGCCTTAACACTAGGCCAAAGTCCCAAGTCTCTCTGACCTCGACCAAAGCATTTTGCTGAAAGCGTTTAGGTCCAGTTGGAGTCAAGGTGATGCAAGTCGCTCAGATTAGGGAGAAGAAACATAAGAAGCTGCCTTATGCTGTCTCAAATCCTTGTTCTGTCTTGCTCAGTTCTGTCTGGCAGCGGCTCTCCAGGGTTTCAGGCAGAGCATCTCTCCCATCTTGACCTGGAGATGTCATTGTGCAAAGCAGATGCTCTACAAATGGAGCTAAATCCTCGCAAAGAGAAACCCAGTACACCAAGGAAAAGAGTTCTAAGCCTAGCTTCCTCCCTGATGTGCTAGGTTTTATAATGTGCTGGGAATATTGCTTTTAGGATATGAGTGATCATTTGTGTCAGGGAACTGCCATCGGACGGAAGGGAGGTGAAAGGGCTCACACAGGTTGGGAGAGACGCAGCAGCTGAAGAGGGAACCAGCAGGGAGGTGAAAGGGCTCACACAGGTTGGGAGAGACGCAGCAGCTGAAGAGGGAACCAGCAGGGAGGTGAAAGGGCTCACACAGGTTGGGAGAGACGCAGCAGCTGAAGAGGGAACCAGCAGGGGAGAGGAGCTGAGCTGGAGGGATGGCTCAGAGACACTTCCAGCGAAAACAGTGGGGAGGTTTCAGGACCTCCTGTAAGAACACCCACTCCTCGCCGGAAACTGTCACGCAGAGATTCCAGAAGACGTGTTTCCGTTAAGGAGCTTTTATGTTGGAAGCGATTACGAAAGCAACCACTGTCAGAATCTGCTAGTGACTAGAGTAGCCATGTCTGAGGGGCTCCGTCACAGACAGAGGTTTGTGGACTTGAACAAACTCTGAGGGGATACGATTTTACGCACAAGCAGCTCATCATCCCATCACAATTTGGCAATGTGAGTTATGGAACTGGAACAGTCCAGACACAAATTTACCACTTGCTGGCACTGTGAATCTTGAACTCTGCCCCCACTCTGTTGTGCCTTCTAATTCTAAGATGCCAGGAATGAACCAGGGATCATCTTCTTGCAAAGCCCCTGAGCTATGGAGGGAAGAGACTCCCAGACAAGTTTGAGAGGTTGCAGCTTAGTGGCAGAGCCACTGTTTTGCATGCAGAAGGTGTTTAAAATAGAGAGGGGTTTTAAGATTACGCATGGTGTAAAGAAAGTGGATCGGGAGAAGCTTTCTCCACCCCCAACCCTCATAATACCAGAACCAGGGGACAGACAACAAAAAGAAGTACTTTCTTCACACAGCATGTACTTGGGACTGTGAAGTTTGCTCCAAATAGAGGCATTGATGGCTAACCAACTAGGATGGCTTTAAAGGAGGATTAGACAAAGTCATGGAAGATAAGGCTATCAATGGACGCTAAGCCTGATGGCGATGTTCTCTCACCACTGTTGGGGGCAGTAATGTGTCTCTGAATACCAGTTGCTGGGAATCACAAATGGGGAGAGTTGCTGTTGCGTTTATGTCCTGCTGGTGGGCTTCCCATCGGGGCTTCCCATTGGCCACTGTGAGAACAGGATGCTGGTCTAGATGGGCCTGTGGGAGGATCCAGCTGCCAACTATCTTCAGAAGGTGCCAGGTTCAGTCCCTGGTATCACAGGCAATAGGGTAAGAGAAGCCCCTTTATAGCTACCACCATATGGAATACACCCAGATAAGCCAAGATCTGACCCAGTACAGTATGTCTGTACCAAGGAACTGAATATCCTGACATCCGAGACAGGCACCCAGATGGATGCCCTCGTTGAACTCTTGTCCATTCAGTATGTAATCCTAGCCTGCTCTGAGTTAAGTGTTTGTGTATGAGAACCACCACTCCAAAATCTTCCACTGAGAGCAGCTGCCTCACTTTTTATCTTGATGGGGTCACCTGGCTCAAGGATGTGATCTTGCGGTACATCGTTCCAAATAAATAATGAGCCTCATTTCCATTGATTTTTATTTTATTTTACACATGCTCAGTAATTGCCGTGGTATTTCCAGACCTCCATAGAAACCCCAAAGACTTGTAGATTTCATTTTAACATAGGGTTTCTGTTTGTCCAGTTTCAAACTTGCAGGTCTTTCCATCTCTCTTTCCTTTCCAATTTATTTTGTTTACTCATTACAACAAATGCAAATACTGTTAACCTGGACAGTTTTTACTTAGTTTGATATGTTTTTAATTGTCCAAGAGACCAGTGGAGATAGCTTAACTGAGTCAAGAAAGACGACTCAGAAATCATTTTGAATGCTTTATTACAACATAAAATGTTATTGGGACATGCACCCCTAACACCAGTAAATTAGCAAATTTTGAAAAGTTGTTTGTCAGTTTGCTATGCATTCAGACACATCTTAAGATATCACAATGAAATTTTGTGTGATGGTTCCTGAGATCAAGGAGCCAGTTTTCATCTATGTTTTGATACAGTTGGGTGCCATTTTGAATCAAAATGGCAGACTGGACCGTAAAAACTTCACTGGTTGCAGAACTGTGCTGTTGGTTTCTTTCTTTCTTTCTAAAAATTTGAAAGCAACATCAGCTCAAAGGCTGCTCATTAACAATAGAGAAGATATGCTTATACACATTCAAATCTTAAAATACACTGGATGGTTGATCAGACCACCAAGTGGGCACAGGTCTTACCTAGCTAAGGTGGATGTTAATTGAAGAAGCATCAGCTACAGATAGTGATGAGTTGGAATGCTGTCTCGTAAGTCCAACATTGTGTTAGAACTAGCACTTTTTTCGGGGCCACAACCTCACACAGTGCCCCCAAACATACATTTTTAGGCGATGTGAAAGCACGGCCCTGAAAAAAGCGTGTATTTTGGGCTCTCATGTGGGTCATGTGAATCACACAGGAGAATGGACAGAAACATCCATCCCAGTTTTGGGACTCAGCATGTTGGAGGGTTTGGAAATACAATTCTCAGCACAGTGGGAAAAGCTATGATAAAGCAACGTGTATGCTCAGCTCTTGAGGTGCTGTTGATGAGCAATTTCAAGGGCCCTCCAGCACCTGCTCTCCTTCCTTTTACTATATATTCAGTTTATTATTTATTCAATTTATATCCCGCCCTCCTTCCCCAAGGAGCTCAGGGTGGCAAACTCACAAACAAGAAAACAGTTCAAACATCTTGCAAACAATTTCAATGAGGCTACAGGTTGGGAAAGCCCGCTACTTAAAAGGCTTGTTGGAAGAGAAAGGTCTTCAGCAGGCGTCTGTCTAATATTTAACAAGAGGGACACCCATAGGGTGGTTGTCATGATACTAAAAGCCAGATTTCTACATTGTGTGGCATCAACCTTTTGATAAGACGGTATCTGCAGGAGGCCCTCACCTGCGGAGTGCAGTGGTTAGTTGGGTATGCAGTGAGACCAGTGCTTTTTTCCAAGAAAAATGGTGCCAGAACTCACCATGGAGTTGTTTCAACAAGTGGCCAGGCGACTTGGGGCAGCCCTGAACAGATGCAGGTTTTACAACAACCATGTTCACCACTCACGGAGATGCTAAAAACTACTGCAAGCTGTCTCCCTAGTTGGTTTGGGGGTCGCCGCTAGTTCTGGTGCAGGTCAAATAAATGCGCCCCCGCCTCCCTCATTCTCTTAGATTCAGGCGAGTGGCTAGGGCAACTCGGAAGGGCCCTCGTGCAAACGTGCGCGTGTGCAACAGTAGAGGCCTGTCTGGAAAGCTTAAAGCCCGACACTGCTACACGGGAACAGAAAGGGAAATACAGATGGGCCCCCGTGCTGTAGCTTGACCAATCATGGCTAGGAGAGGCTAAGAGCTAGGTGGAGTCATATTTTAAAAAGTGTAGAGACTCATATGCGAGCCAGCTTCCATTTTGAAGCTGAGAAGTGCCTGAACTGTGCTCTGGCATGCTCTGGCTGAAAAAGGTGAGACCATCCTTCAGGTATCCTGGTCCCAAGCTGTTTAGGGCTTTACACACCAAACCCAGGACCTTGAAGCTAGCCAGTGGCTGATTGACTACAGTGGTACCTCGGGTTAAGTACTTAATTCGTTCTGGAGGTCTGTTCTTAACCTGAAACTGTTCTTAACCTGAAGCACCACTTTAGCTAACGGGGCCTCCTGCTGCTGCCGCGCCGCCGGAGCACGATTTCTGTTCTCATCCTGAAGCAAAGTTCTTAACCCGAGGTAATATTTCTGGGTTAGTGGAGTCTGTAACTTGAAGCGTATGTAACCCGAGGTACCACTGTATTTGTCAGTCAAGGGGGTGGTCTTCAGATAGAGGCCTGCACAAAGTGGGACCGATGACCAACCCCCAAATTTCCATTCCTTGGGTGTCTGCGACTGTATTTCTAAGCCTTCACTGCACGGGGAGAGGAGGGAAATGTCACATCTGTTCTGGGTTTTTATTATTGTTTTGATTCTGAGAACTAGAGCATTTTGGCGGCACAGCCGGTTCTCGGATTGCTTGCTTCCCTGGCACTAGGCCCGCCCTGTGTGTGATTCGCAGCCTCTACAGTCAGCACAGCAGTGGTACACTAAGGCCTCATCTGCACGATACATTTAAAGCAGTATCATACCACTTTATACAGGCAGTGCTTCCCCCAAAGAATCCTGGGAACTGTAGTTTGTTATGAGTACTGAGAGTAGTCTTAGAAGACCCTTCCTCCCCTCAAAGAGCTGCCAGTAGTGGTTTAACTATCAATCTTTCTTCCCAGGGAACTCTGACAATTGTAGCTTTGTGAGGAGAATAGGGGCTTCCTAACAGTACCCTTAACAGACTACAGTTCCCAGAATACTTTGGGGAAGCCATGACTGTTTAAATTGATATGATTCTGCCTTAAATGTATAGCGCAGACAAGATCTAAGTGATTGTGACAGATGTGGTTCCAAGGGGGCATGCAGGACAGACTGAGGCTATTTACACACCATAGGTGTAAAGCACACACCTCCCTCAAGAATCCTGGGAACTAGTTTGTTGGGTATTGTAACTCTGACAGATAAAATATCAAGTTCCTAGGATTATTGTGAGGGGGTGTTTGCTGCTGTATGGTGTATATGCAACTTCAATGCAAACTGGGCTGGAATTTGAACCAAAGCCTCTTGAGCATTATTCAACTCATACACTCTGCTGTTTAAGAGCAGTTGATACTCTTTCCCTTTCCTTCCAGTCCTGCAGTAACAGGGGCCAAAGTTTAAGCCCTGAATTGCTGCCAAACAAAGTTCTGCACCCAAGGACCTTGAGTTCCGGGGTTGGCCCAAGAAGGGGGAAGAAGGATGCTGGGAATTATGGCCCTGCTCTTTGACCATTAGAAATCATACTCAGCAATTTATCTGAACTCAGCATATTTTCGGGCCTATGTATGTATTCTTAAGGACTAGAATCTTGGAGTTTCTTAATTCAGGAGGTTGAATTCTGCAGTACTGATTCTCCGCACTTGGCAAGGTGGGGCTGCGGAAGCATGAGAACTGAAGTAGGTCTGATTTGAGAGCCTGATCTTACTGCCTGGGATTCTCTGCTGGATTCCTGTGCTGGAATAACCAGCCACGGTGGTTACAAAACACTGGGAGGCTGTGAGGTTTTCTAACTGCAATGTTGTTGCCAAAGTGAGGGAGCTCATTTGCCTTTCTGGGGCAAACGCGGCTGGGAAGGTAACATTTCTGACACAGATAAAAAGTTCAAAGTTTGTTTACAACTGCAAGCATTTTTCAAGCCGTTTCAGCTCAGTGGACTGGTCTGTGGCCAAAGCATTCAGCTCTTTTTGAACTGTAGGGGGTGGCGGAGGAGAGAGAGAGGGGGGGGGGACTCATGTTGCTCTCTGGCCAAGAGTGCCTTTATCTGTGTGAACTCGAGTGAGTCTCGGCGGGATCACGCAACAGGAGTGTGCACCACCATCCATCAGAGAAGCAGATAAACATGCGGCAATAACATACCGCTGTATTTTCCGCAGCCTGGCAAGGACCCAGCCTTTCTGCTTGTTCCAAATAACATTGAGCGGCACAACAACAACAGGAGGAGGAAGGATTCTGGGAATTCGGGGAGGAAGATTGTATGGTGTAAACACACTGGGGGAGGACAGCATTTAACGCAGGGAAAAATAGGGTCACCAGGAATTCTGTGCATCAGATAGGATTACTGTCTCTTTTTGCAGAGCTCCTTCATCTGCTTTGTAAGATGACTGAAATTTCCCTAAGTCAGGCACAGGGAGTCTTCTTCAGCCTAGGGGCCGCATTCCCATCTGGGCAACCACCTGGGGGCCGCAGGCCAGTGGCAGAAAGCAAAAGTGAGCAGAGCAATGAATGTGAATTTGACCTTTGTATGGTGGGCTAGTTTCTACACCCACATACAATAGTCCATTTTGGCAAGAAGCATTAATAGAGTTGCATTGCAGCCAGGCAAGAACACCCAGAGAGGGTGCAAGGCAGGGCTGGTGTGAGGCTGGGGAGGGTGTGAGGCCTGCAGAGAGTCCCAAGGGCCAGATGGAGAGGTCTAGAGGGCCACCTCAGGTTTCCCTAAGTTCCTTTGGCCTTCCAGGAGTTGCTGAACTGCAACTCCTAGCACTCCTAGCAAACGTGGCCAATGGCCGGGGACACAGAGAATTGTGGTTCAACATCTGGTGAGTCAAAGGTCCCCTAAACACCTGCCCTAAGTGTGGCTAACCACATAGCTGCCACATACCAGCTTGCTGTAAAAGACACAGGTACAGGAGCATATTTTAAAAAGGCGACCATCTTTTAGCTATGTTTCCAACAAGTTCGGTGCCATAAACAAAATGGATGCTCTTAGACCTTTAGTAAAATCCAGATATTTAAATCAAAGCAGAGCCCTGCCCCACACAATGAGGCCCCACATAGCATCATGGTTAATCCGGCTCTAATAGCTGCTAGGCCCTGAAAAGGGCAACCAGAAAAAAGGACATTAATTGTTATGTGTGCCTTGCTTTATCCCTGCTTTGAGATGCCTGACTGCTCCGATGGGATTTCAGATCTGGGATTCAAAGCTGGCTCGGAGCCCAGACCTTTATAGAGGCTACAAGATCTGGCCTGCAGGCCGGCCTCCTTCCCAGCAACGTGGGGTGAGAAGCACGTGGATCCCTTACTTAGCTCTGGGGCAGCCTCACCCCTGTTGAGGCTTCCTCCCACCTCTCCTCCTCCTCCTCCAGCCCTGGGCTGAACACAAGCCTGAACGTGATGGAAGCCTGACCCAAATGTTGGACAGGTATTTGATGGAAATCAAAAGAGGAACGGTTGGAGTTTAAGAGCCTTGGGAGTGAGGGTGCTCAGGAATGAGTGCCCTTCAGGACTTGGAAGAAAATTGCTAAGAAAAAAAGAGGAGATTCCATTCTGCCAGCATTCTTTGCCCAGGTTCTCTAGAAATAAGATATTGAGGTCAGATGGTTTCTCCCTTGGGTTGACAAGCCCAACTGGCTAGAATGTTTATATTTATTTAAGTAGTATAAGTAGTTAAGACTTATACCCTGCTTTCCAACAATGTGGAGCTGACAAAAAAAATCAGACATGTATTATTATTATTATTATTATTTATTTAGGCTTGCAATATTTTAAAAAATAAAACCAGCTTTTTTTAGTTAGAAAAAACTCCAAAACTGTTGCTTGCCAAAGATCCAGGACAAACCAGCACCTTCCAGAAATTCCCCCCAGAAGTCCCTATTTTTTATTATTATTATCAGTCACTTTATACAAAAGGAAGTTTTAAAGTGACTGAACTGTATAACACAGAAATTTTAAACAAGCAAACATTAAAAACATAAATACAAAATCCATAAAATGTGCATCCAGTAAGATATTAAGAAAGCCAATCCACTCTACTAAAAGATGAGCAATACTATAGGTGCACTAGCGTACAAAATACAAATACAACAACTATTTTTTTATACTATATAATGTCGGGCATGGAAGTGCTATTCCAGGCCAACTGATTACTACCCAGACATGCCTTGGTCCATGATGCCAATCAGGGGCGCCATCTATGCGGGGCTGTGGGGGCCGAGGCCCCCCAAATTTTCAATGAAGGGTCCGGGGCCCACCAAAGTTCTGTGGCAGCATGTACACATGCTTCGGAGCATCAGCACAACATGTCAGCACACCCCACAACACGTGTGAGTGACATCACGCCGTGGGAGACCAGGGTTCAAATCACCCACTTAGCCATGATGAAACCATCTGGGTGACCTTGGGCCAGTCATTTGTCTCTCAGCCTAAGCTACCTCACAAGGTTACTGAATCCCCTCTTGCTGGGCTTTTTGGGTCCACCAACCCTTCACAAAGGGATGCAGGTGGCGCTGTGGGTTATAAGCCACTGAGCCTAGGACTTGCCAATCAGAAGATCGGTGGTTCAAATCACCGTGACGGGGTGAGCTCCCGTTGCTCGGTCCCTGCTCCTGTCAACCTAGCAGTTCGAAAGCATGTCAAAGTGCAAGTAGATAAATAGGTACCGCTCCGGCGGGAAGGTAAACAGCGTTTCCGTGCACTGCTCTGGTTCGCCAGAAGCGGCTCAGTCATGCTGGCCACATGACCAGCTGTACGCCGGCTCCCTCGGCCAATAAAGCGAGATGAGCACCGCAACCCCAGAGTCGTCTGCGACTGGACCTAATGGTCAGGGGTCCCTTTACCTTTAACCCTTCACAAATATATGCAGGTCTGTTAGATGTACAAAATGTCTTGTGTGGGTGGAGGCACTGACACCCCCCACCCCCAGTTTAGGTGTCAGGTTGTTTTGGCAGCGGGGACAAAATCCACTTAGCTTGAGGGGAGAGGCAGGTCAAGTTAAAAGAGCCAAAGTCTGCTTTCAGTCTTGGCTTGTCTGAGAGTTGTTTACTGCCCTAGCAATGAACATTGGGATGGGGGGAAGGGAGGGAAAGAGGAAAAGAGAGAGAGAGGAGGACTGGAGCGTTGACAAGTTTTGCTGAGTCAGGAGATGCGGCTTAAGGTGGAAGACTCTGGAGTGGCTGGCTTCTTGCTGGGGGAAAAAATCTATTTTTTCTTTCTATCAAAGGAATTCCAAGATCAGCTGAGGCCGCGCTGAGCCTGCACGATTTATGACAAGCTAAGTAAGCACTGTAAAGAAATGATAAGATGTTTGGGGCTTTCTTTTCTTATTTTAGAGAAGGGAGGAAAAGGCAATTGTGCTTGGGAGAGACAAGATAAAGAGATTATGCATGGATTATAGACGGTTGTTATTTTCAGGTGGGATTCAGTCACATGTCACCAAATTCATGTTGCACAATAATTGTTGATTGGAAGGTCTTGCAACAGAAAACCGCTTTTTGTGATAAGGGAAGGGGAAAATGCACTCAAAAGTGTGTGGTATAAACTTTGCTTTGGCTCAACAGTCGTCTAACCTTAGAGGGTTTTTAAATAGCTTTTTGTTGGGTTTAATTAGCAAGGATCATAGGAAAAATAAATGATACAAATGAAGAGACCAAGTCTTCTTATGCCGTTTGTATATCACAAAAATAGCATTCAAAATTTGTACTAATATCTGCAACATATGGGTCTCACCTTAGAGGTTTTTAAGAATATTCAGCAGTTTCTAAATGCTTTAACATAAAATGAATAAATAAAATAACCTCCCCACAAGCAAATCAGGATGAATGCTGATTAAACAGCTGCCTTCATCTAATCTCCCATAGGAATCTGGCTAGTCTCTGTGAGAACAGGATACTGGACTAAATGGGTTATTTGCTTGATCCAGCAGCCAGGCTTACATTCCCCTGCAACAAATCAGGATAAATGCAGCAGGAGGCTTCTTTCAAGCCTAATTTCAGCATGGCAGATACTCCAGGAGAGGCCTCTGTGGGTGCATGTGTGCCCACAGACCCCACATTGACAACCTCTGTGTTCTAGCCTCTGTGTTGTACAGGATCCCTGCACGATTTCATGCCTGCTGCCCACTCCTCAAAGGAACATTGTTTGCACTTGAAAGCACCCAATTTAAGGCAGGGAATAATCAGTTGCTTCTTGCAATTGTCCCAAGGCGGATGTCTACCCCTTTGATCTCCCCACAGATGCCGCCACAGAGGCTCAAAGTCTGACACTGACTCCCGCCCTCTTCGTTTCTGGTAGAGTTCTGTCTTGGAGCTGAAATTGTATAGCAAGGAAGGATCTGAAAATTGCCCCCACTTTCCTCTTCCCACTTTTGCCTTGCCTGAGCAAGAATGGAGCATTGAATGATGAGAAACTGGCTGGGAAGTTATTTTCTTACTTTAATTGTTTAATTTTTGTTACTTATTGACTTCCTTCCTTTTAACAATTGATAGAAGGTCCTCGATCTGGGATGGGAAGCCTGCAGGCCTATGCAGCTCTCAGATGGAAAAAAGTTCATAGAAGGACAAGAAAAGTGATCAAGGGGGTTGGAGCAACCCCTTCTTGATGAAACTTCCAGGGCATTTTAGTTGAGAAGAAAGGTTAATGTGCCAGTGGCATATGTTAGAGGTATTATAAGTGGGTGCTTGGTGTGGAGAAAGTGAATGGGGGAAGTCTGTCTTTCTCTCTCTGTCACTTTTTTCCTCATAATTCTAAGGCTGCGTACACAGAATATCTTCACAGCACATTGAAAACTCACCTCTCCCCTCAAGGAATTCTAGGCAGTGTAGTTTGTCAAGTGTTGCTGGGAATTTTAACTCTGTGAGGGGTGAACTACCATGCCCAGAATTCTTTGAGGGAAAGAATGGGCCCCAAATGTGCTTTAAAGGCACAATGTGTACCCAGCTCAGGGACAGCCAGCAAAGCTGAATAACAGGCGAAAGGATTTCTTCACACAGCTCATAGTTAATTTGGAATTTGTTGCCATGAGAGGCAATCATGGCCACCAACCATCCAAGAGTGACCTCCTAAACTTATAACCGTCTTTTTCTTTCTTGCATATTGCATTTTGCTGTATTAAAGTTTGAATCTCATAGAAACATTGCGATACAGTGAAATAAATGGTATAAGAAACAAAAAAAGCAACCCCCCCCAAATCAAAAATCAACACGAATATTGAACAGGATGGATGTACTGTCTCTCATCTTCAATCGCGAATCCACAGAAACGCGGTGGATCACCAGCATGAAGCTCGCTGGCTGCTGGTTGTCCATGGACCACAGTTTGAGAATCTCCAGCCTAGCAGCATCCCTCTTGGCTGTCTCCTCCTGCAAAGCAACCCTTAGGTTCTCACGAGCATGAAAGCTTAGATGGAACCTCCTGGTTCAGAGGCAGTATACCTCAGTTAGCAGATGCCTGGCTGGGACAAACATTGAGGAGGGATGCCATGCACATCTATGCCTCTCCAGAGTCCCCAAAAGCATTTGGCTGGCTGTTCTTAGAGGCAAAGAGAGAGAGAAAGATGGACTTATTGTCCCATTTTTTTGTTGCGGGGTGATGATGATGATGATGATGATACGTACTCAAACGCCTTCGCCATCGTGAGGTTGGCGAGGCAAGATCCGTTCCACCTTAAGCGCCGGCCTGGGGGAGCCGGGAGGGCGGGACGGGGGCGGAGGCTCCGAGTCTATTTTAGCTGCCGGCCGGCGAGGCTTTGCTCAGAATCGGATCGAACCGGATTTCCTCGAGGAGCCAAGTTCCGGATCGTTCCAGGTAGAGATTGGAGAGACCCCACCTGCCGGGCTCGCTCCCCATTCCCCTGATTTTACAACCCGCTTCTACGCACCTCCTAAAGTTGGTATCCAGAAAGCGGATAAAGGCAGAAGAGAAGATCTGGATTACGGGGAGGGGGTGATGGTGGATAGGGTCCGGAGGGGGGGGGCAGAGCAGCGCCTCGGTAAAAGGAGCTTTCTGTTCAAAATCCCCCTTCCCCTCCCCATAGGATCGCCATTAGAGAGCGTGTGACTTTCACCCCTTATAATAGGGAGGGGAATGTATTTGGGGTTAATGGACCCAGGGGTGGCATAGTGACTGCTGCTGCTGAGGGGTTTTTTTTTGGGGGGGTGTCTAGTCTCTGGCATACATAAGGGGGTATTCCTGAAGAGGGTTTTGTAAGGGGGGGTTACTAGTATCCAGGAAAATAGGCAGTTTTTGGAGGGATGGAGGTTTAAAAATGGACTTTGTCTTAAATTTCTAAAATGAGAGGTTCTAAGGTTTGAGCCTGCTGAAAGGTTTTCTGTGTAGCTGTTCATTGTGTTTGGTGCCTCCCAGGGGGGGGGCACGGGCACCAAGGATAGGTTTGGAGGCCAAGCCTTTGATGAACCCTCAGTTGGATGCATGCAGGAAGGGTAGCCCAGAGGCAAGCTGGTCGCTGTGGAAGACGGGTGTGTTGGGTCAAGGAGAGCTTTTTCCCCAGAAAGGCCTTGTGAACTAAGGGGGCTCCCTCTGCTCCCCCTCGATCGCTTCCAAACCGCCTGCTTCCTTTCTCCCAGGTGGCACCATGACCTCCCCAGGTGTAACCCCCGACACGGAGCTCGACATGAAAGACGTGGAGCTCAACGAGATGGAGACCGAGAAGCAGCCCATGAACGCCTCTTCCCCGCTGGCCAGCTCGCCGGGCAGCCTGGGCGAGAAGAACGGGGTCGTGAAGGTGAAGGTGGCCGAGGAGGAGGAGGAGGAAAGCGCCATGGTGGCCAAGTTCACTGGTCTCTCCAAGGAAGAGCTGCTCAAGGTGGCCGGCACCCCCACGTGGGTGCGCACCCGCTGGGCACTCCTCATCCTCTTCTGGCTGGGCTGGCTGGGCATGCTGGCGGGGGCCGTCGTCATCATCGTCCAGGCCCCCCGTTGCAAGGACCTGCCCAAGCAGGAGTGGTGGCAGAAAGGCGGCATCTACCGCATCCAGGACGTGGCAGGCTTCCAGGACTCTGGGGACGACAACGTGGGCGACCTGGCAGGTGGGTGCTGCAAGCGGGGGATGTGGGGGTCTCTCCTCCCCACAAGTCCTAGCTATTCCTTTGCAGGAGAGGGCAGCGGCTCAAGAATAAAAGCCTTGCACTCAGAAGGTCTCTGGTTCAATTCCCAGCGTCTCCAGGTAGGGCTGGGAGAGACCTCTGGGAAGCTGCTGCCAGTCAGTGTAGACAGCACTAAGCTGGATAGACCCAGTGGTCTAACTCAGTAGCAGCCAGCTTCCTATGCTCTTAAGGACACTCTATTTGAAGGGTTGTGGCTCAGCATCGGAACATCTCAGGTGGGTGAGTGAGATATCATCGTTTCCAGATTCCCAGCTTTCCAAAAAAAGAGCAAGTATCTAGCATTTGTAGAACCCGAGACATGAGACAACAAGTATGAGCACTATTTTTATTTTTGTGTGTTCAGAAACTAACCTGATCCCCCCCCCCACCTGCTTAGAAAATTTATTGCGGACTTGTAGGTCCAGATTTCCTAGTAGTAATGTGATGTAATTAATGGGCACAGTGCTTGTGTGAATGCCAGTCAAGGACTCTTCCCTTTTCACTCCAGCCTTGAATGCCTGGGAGCGGGGTGGGGGGTGGGACCCATCATGAATATCTGCCCTCCAAGCTAGTTAACAGGGTGTTGTTGCTCAGAAGTAACTGATCTGCTGTAAACAAAACTTGAGAAGGTTCCTGGAATATAACCCGGGACCTATGCTTGCCTGCCCTTAATGCACCCTGCCTATTCCTCTCCACTGTAGTCAAAACGACTATTTTTCAATGCAGAGTTGCTGGCTAAAGTCATTGCAGGCAAGTCCCGCAATGAGGCTTCTATGGCTCTGAAAATCGCCTCCTGGGCAGTTCAGGATCTCCCTATTGGGCTTTTCTTGCTGTGCTCAGCAGTGCTCTGAGTACATGTGATTAGCAGCTGCCTCTCCACCCCCCCTTCCCCTTTGCTGGCTGCCCATCCACAGACTGGTACCAGCCAGACTTCCCTGTGCCAAGCAGCCGGTTCTATCCGGCTTTGAAGCAACCACTGGCCTTTGTTTCATCAGTTCTTGACGTCAGCGGGACGCTGACTCAGCACGGAGGCGGCTGGCTGGGTAAACGATTCGCAGGGCTCCACTTCCTTCCTTTCCTCCACTGTCTCAATCTGACCCCGCTTCCTCTGGAGATCAGGCAGATAGAGCCTCGTGGCTGGTTGTGTGAACCTGTGTCCTTATTTGCTCAGCTCTAAGTGCATTTGGGGGTTGGGGGGCATCCAAAGCTCAGGAAGGGCTTATTTTCTCCCTCACAAACATCCCTTTGAGTTTGGAAGTTTGTTCCCGGGCTAGTTATTAATTAGTATGATTTGTAATAAATAGAATAAATAAGCAAAACTGGGCTGGGAGCAGACTTCCTATTACATTTAGATTCTTCATTATTATTATTATTTATTATTACCAAAGTTTATATATTGTCCTTCATCTGTAGATCTCAGGGCAGTTCACAACATAAAATTACAATATAAAAATAAGAACAAAAACAAACCAATTAAACCAAATAGTGGTACCATTCTGCTCTTCCGTGGCCAGACCACACCTGGAGTCCTGTGTCCAGTTCTGGGCACCACAGCTTAAGGATGATATTAGCAAGCTGGAACATGTGCAGAGGAGGGCAACCAAGATGATCATGGGTCTGGAAACCAAGCCTTATTAGGAACACTTGAGGGAATTGGGCGTGTTTAGTCTGGTAAAGAGGAGACCGAGAGGAGATATGAGAGCCATTTTCAAGGCCCTCAGGGTGGCATGCATTGTTTCTCTGGTTTCTGTTTTTATCAACACAACAAATCTGTGAGGTAGCTGAGGCAGAGACACTGCGACTGGCCCCTCAAGGTCACCCACTGAGTCCCATTCCTGAGTGGGAATTTACCGTATTTTTTGCACCATAACACTCACTTTTTTCCTCCAAGAAAATAAGGGGAAATGTCTGTGCATGTTATGGAGGGAATGCCTACGGGTGGCATGCCTACGGATTTTCCTCCTCTAAAAACTACATGCGTGTTATGGTCGGGTGCGTGTTATAGAGCGAAAAATACAGTACCCTGTTCTCCCAGGGTCTCAATCCATCACTCTTAAGGTAGCATACATGTCTTTTTCTCTTCCTCAAGTTTACCCTCACAGCTTCCCTGTGAGGTAGGTTAGACTGAGGGACTGCCTGGCCACCCACTAAACTCCATGGCACAGTAATAATTTGAACCCGGGTCTCCCAGTGGTCCTCTAAAGGTAAAGGTAAAGGGACCCCTGACCATCAGGTCCAGTCGTGGGTGACTCTGGGGTTGCGGCGCTCATCTTGCTTTACTGGCTGAGGGAGCCAGCGTATAGTCCTCTATAATGCCTCTAATAGTCCTCCTCCTCCTCCTCCTCCTCCTCCTCCTCCTCCTCCTCCTCAGCCCTGTTAAATTCCCTGGCCTTTTAAATCTTAACAACAGAAAGTTCCAAATTGACACTAAGGAGGACTTGGGAAACCATTGTATAAACTATTGGCTCATATAATTTTCAAGTTTGTCTCTACAGCACTGAGGGCTGGAAGGCTCTATTGGATTGACTGATTGATTGATTGATTGATTGATTGATTGATTTACTGATTGATTTACTCATTATGTTTCCGTCGCACACAACTGCTGTGCTCTGTTGCAGACTGTGAAGCAAACTAAGAAACTGCACTTAAGTATGGCTTCCTTGCTCTGTGCAAACTGGGAACCGTGGCTAGTGTCTTCCAAACAAGCTATGATTTGTGTAAGCCAATGTTTCCCAGTTTGGATGTAACAGGAAAATATGGTTCCTGGCTTGAGTCCCTGCTCACACAAAAGGAGGGGCAAAGTTCGTGCCAAGGAGCCACAGTGTGCATGCATATTCTGGCTTGTAAAGTCAGGATTTGATCCTCCAAACTCGGCTTGTTAAGTCTATGGCCATAGTCTGTGGCCATAGTTGGGCTGTTAACTCCGCTGGCTGAGTCCTACATCATCTTTGGAGCTAGAATTGAGCAGGGGATCAACTCTCTTGCTGCACTGGCAGCCCAACCTTTATTCCCCCCCCCCCCATAACACCTTTGTTTCTTCCTGTCACTCCAGGTCTGAAGCAGCAAATTGATTATTTAAGTAAACTCAAAGTGAAAGGTTTGGTGATTGGGCCTCTCCACGTCAATCCTGAAAATGACCAGGCCGGAACCAACCTCAAGGACATCGACAAAAGATATGGGACGCTGGATGAGTTCCGGGAAGTCCTGCAGGTGGCAAAGAAAAAAAGTAAGGGCCAAGCGTAACCACAATGGCGACTAGCCCTTGCTCTGCCTCTGAATTCCAGTTCCTGGGAATCGCAAGGGAGGAGAGGTGCTGTTGTGCTCAAATCCTGCTTGGTGGCTTCCTGTTAAGGCACCTGTTTGGCCACTGTGACAACAGGATTCTGGGCTTTGGCCTGATCCATCAGCCAGGATCTTGCTCTTATATCCCTGGCTGCAGTGCCGGCAAGAGGTCTCTGCAGAAGTTCTAGGAGTCACCTTTCTGACTTGTGATGTGCCTTGCCTCTCTCTTTCAGGCTTGAAGGTGGTTTTGGATCTGACCCCCAACTATCGCAGCCAGTCGCCTTGGTTCAGCCAGGAGATCAGTCTTAACAAGGATTTGCAGGACAAAATGAAGGTGAGGGAGGAAAAGCACACAGTGGAGCATTGGGAAGCTCTTAAGGTTGCCACCTTTTTTGGGTGGGGATGGGGAGGAATTTCTTTACACCTGTGCCTGGGTATCACAGGTGAGGAGAGTTGCTGCTTGCTTGCCCACCCCCCAGAGCTCAGGTTCCCCCCATCTGATTTATAGAATTATTATTATTATTATTATTATTTATTTATTAATATGCCACCCATCTGACTGGGTTGTCCCAGCCACTCTGGGCAGCTTCCAACAAATGATATAAAAACGCAGTAAGGCACCAAACATTAAGCAAAGTGGGAGGGCAGCTTACGCCGTGTGCTGGCTCTTCTCCACTTTCCTGCTTCAAAGTGGATAAAATCACTGCAGTTGCGGCAGAGGATCCGTGGCTCCCTTCCCGGTGTGTGGATGCTGCTTTTAAGTGTAATTTAGTGCAACATTTGATTCAGAATATTTTTTTGTGTGTTTTCCTCCTCTAAAAACTAGGTGCGCCCTATGGTCAGGTGCGCCCTATGGTGCGAAAAATACGGTAAACATCATAGAATTGTAGCATTGGAAAGGGACCCCAAGGGTCATCTAGTCCAACCCCCTGCAATGCAGGACTATGCAGGTGGCCCATATAGGGTTTGAACCTGCGACCTTGGCATTATCAGCACCACGCTCTGACCAACAGAGCTAACTGGTTTGAGTCTAAATACTTTAGATCAAATTTAAAAACTAAACAAACCTGTAATTTGTCACATATGCCCGTCTCTCAAGCAACTTGGGGCAGTGCACATAGCATTACTGGCCTTGCAACAATCCCGTAAGGTAGGCTGAAATAGCAGCCTGCCTGGTTGAGGGAGCGGACTGAGCAATGGCCTCCTTAACGTGAAACAACACTTGTTCCTTATAGCAGGTGGGCCAAAATAAAACTAAATTCACCAACGGCTAATGAGCAGGGACTGAGAAGGAGGAATCAACCAACACAACAGGATTTGGGATCTTTTTTTAGTGACCCTTGAGGACTAACTGCTTGTCTGGTCCTGTTTTTTTCTTCCCAGGAAGCAATTACGTTCTGGCTGGAGGAAGGTGTCTCTGGGATCCAGATTGGGGGCATTGAGCATTTAAATGTACGTGGTGAGCCCATCCCAACCAATCTCCATTGATTCATCCTTCTCCCTCAGGGCACGAGCGCTTAAGGGACAAAGTGAATTCCCTTCTGAGCTGGTATTAAAGAGCGGTGGCCTCCTCTTGTCAGATATATGGAGGTTGTTTTTTTCTTACAGGGGGAGGGACTTTTGGGTTGTACAGAGTGGAAGCTCAGTGGCAGGATATCTGCTTTGCATGCAGAAGGTCAGAGTAGTTATAAGGCCACTTCCTGCATTCCTTCCTGTTTGGGATAGTGGTTGTGGGGTGGAGCTTGAAGTTCCTGCCCTCAGCGTGCATCTATCTCACTTGCCGAACATGTTATTTCCTCAGGACACCCAAATCCTGAGTGAGTGGAAGAACCTGACAGAAGAATACAGTGTGGACGACCACACCAGGTAGGTACCACCCCCTAAGATGCACAGCTTCCTATTCTGATCCCCTCCTCCTCCTTTAAGCTCCCAAGCTGTACTGCATACACATAGTGACTTACATAAGAAAAGAAAATCAAGCTGATAAATCTGTGCCAAAGCAAACTATCCTTCTGCCATTTCCACCCCTTGCGCCCCATTTTCTCTTAACTTTTAAAATTCTGCTTTTTGCTAATAATGAGTGAAGACAGGGGTGCCAATTTGAATAAAATATTGGGGTGCCCAAGTAAGCCCTGCCCTGCATAATTGATCACGTGATGTGGTGCACGGACACCATTTGAATGGCAATCCTCATCAACTTTGAGGGGGTCTGGTCCCCTCAAATATTTTACTGGGGCTGCCGAAGATCCCTCAGCTCCTAGGAGTTGGTACCTATGAGTGAGGACTAAGATGCCATACAGGGCGCTGGAAAAGCCCCAGTGCCTTCTGAGCTTCTACTGAAGACATGACAACCCCAGGCCTATTTGATCCATATTCCATTTAAAAAACAAAAAGCAAAAAAACCCCAGCTTCTAAACATGGTGTAGTTGTTGGATTATGACCTGGAAGAAAAATCAAGGTTCAAATCCCCACTCAGCCATGAAGCTCATGGGGTGATCTTGGACCAGTCACTGTCTCTCAGCCTAACCTACCTCGCAAGGTTGTTGTGCAGACAAAATGGGGAGGCCCAAGTATGCTGCCTTGAGCTCATTGGAGGAAACAAGAATCAAAATATACCTATATAATAGAAATAAGAAAGCACAGTAAAATCAATTGTGCTGTGCTTGGCCCAGGGCTTGTGTCACCTTGATGTCACTCAGCTGCCTCCCATGGTGGTCTTTCATTTGAGCCATCTCTCAGCGGTGGCTGGTGCCTATTGGCTGGTGGGGCAGAAGCAGGAGGCGTAGCCAGAGCCAATCACAGGCACAGCCACCTAATTCTAGTTTTGCCCTTCCTGCTGATTTCTACAAGGGCAACACTGAGACTGAGGAGGAGGAAGCTGAGAGGCAGGGCCACCCCCATCCCAGACTGGTTGTAGGCAGGAAAGCAGGCAGGTGGGGGTTGGCTGAGGGCAGACTGAGATCGATGGGGCAAGTGCGGCACTTGTCCTAATGAACCAGCCTCCACTGATCTCCATCTCTCTCTCTGCTCCTCCTTTCAGGGTGCTCATTGCAGTGACACGCAGGCAGGATGCCGAGGGCATCTTCTCCCTCCTCAACGAGACCACAGGCGTGGATCTGCTGAGCAGCCAGTACCTCCTGGGGCTGGTGAAAGGCGGCCAAGAAGACAGCACACGAGGGGAAGCAGCCGCCAAGATGATACGCCAGTACATCCAAGAAGCTGGAGACAAGTGGCCCAGTTGGAGTGTGAGTGACAGCCTTGGAACCAGACTCTGTGGTTGCGTCTGCATACGTGTGTGTTTGTGTGCGAAAGAGAGCAAGGGGAGTGGTTGGCCGCCGTTTGTGGCCTGTGTGTGGTTGGAAGCAGTCTTGTGCAGATGGCGAGGGCAGCTGGGTACACTTGCCCCAGCCCTCAAAGGGCTAAGCTGGCTGGGGGCCCCCACCAGGGAGTGGCTGCTTTTTTGCTTGAGTTTACAGTGTTATTATTACAAAACTCTCACCCCCAGGCCTCAGACAAGCCAGTTGCCTGCCCTGCTTGCATTTGCCTCGCGGAATTTCAACCATCGGCCCTTCAGCCACATATGGCTGAAATCGCGTGAGTTAAATGCAAGGGCACCACGGGTGAATTGAAGGTGAGCAGGCAGAGGAAGGAGGGAGATTTGCAGGCATAGACCACACAGCTGCTGCTGCTGCTGCTGCTCCAATGGCCCCATTCTAACTCAAGCTTGTTTGGATGCTGACTGACTGTCCTCCTCCTGCAGGTGGGAAGACCTGACATTGGCCACTTGGCCTCTCCGATGGGCGAGCCTCTCCTTCGCCTCTTCCACCTGCTGCTCTACACGCTGCCAGGGACGCCCTTCACGGACTACGGAGATGAGATCGGGCTGCGGGACCTGCCGGGACAGGTAGGGGTGCGACGTCAGGGTCTGGGTGCTTTGCTGACGGGTGGAGGGGCAGATATGGTGGGGTAGAGTGTGTACGTTGCAGGCAGGTTCAGTTCTCTGCGTCTCTGGGTAGGGCTGGCAATTTCCCCCCACCTGAAACCCTGGAGAGCTGCTGCCAGTCATTGTAGATAATACTGAGCTCAATGGACCCAACGGTTTGACTCTGTATAAGGCAACACCCTGTAGTTCTAAGTAAGATGCAAGCACTAGTCTGTGCAAGGAACCTGCATGTCCTTTGCTTCAGGCAGCAAGGTCTGTTTGGTCTCTTGTTTTGCAAAGGGTGCGTGGGAGCAGGAAGGGTCAATGAGGCTGAGGAGATACAGCAGCGGAGGCAAGTTTTTGGTGGTTCTTTCTGGTGGTTTCAGGAAGCTAGATGGGCCAATGGTCTGATTCTATACAAGGCAGCCCAGTGGAAAGGCATCTGCATTTTCATCAGCCATAGGCATGTAAATGTGGGTACACTATTTTTGAAGATTGGAGAGAAACCAGAGTAAGTGCTTGTTGTGGGGGGAGCATTGAAAGGTGCCAGGAGCTTTAATGCCCCCCACAGACGTGAAGGAGAGGCATTCCTTGGCCCCTGCTGCTGGATAACCCAGTTCTTGCCAAAGGATTGTAGTTTTCACTTTATGAAAACAAAACTCTTGGCAGCACAACATTGCGAAGGGGCCTGCTGTTTCCGGAGTTCCCATGGTTCCTAGCAGGAGGTGCACAAACAACAGCCAGCTGCTCTGTGGGCGGATGCTCAAGCAGCAATATCTATTTGTTGGACCATTTTAAGGCTTGCTCTGGGTGCAGGGAGCAGATCCTGAGTCTGTAACATGCTGGAGCTGGCGAAATACCTGCAAGGGCAGGGATGGGGAACTGTGGTCCTTCAGATGTTGCTGAACACCCAGCTCTCATCAGCCCCAACCAGCAGGGCCGATGGTCAGGGAGGGCGTGAGTTACAGTCCAGCATGTGGAAGGCCACAGGGTTCGCCTTCTGTTCTGGACACATGTCTCAGCCAATCAGGGATCACATATTAAATGCACTTACAGAAGGGTAAATCAGAGATAAGGGTCCTGTGCCCATCAGCCCTGGTCAGCTTGGCTGATGGTCAGGGATTTTGGGAGTTGTAATCTGTGGGGCACAGATTCCCCCTCTCTTTCTTAGGGGATCAGATCTGGCCCGGTGGTATCCTCCCCACCACATAAAAAGAACCCTGCTGGATCATGCCAAAATCCCATCTGGTCTAGCATTCTCTTCTTAAGCAGCCCAACCAGATTCTCTTATGGAAAGCTCTCAAGCAGTTCCTGAGCGCAGCTGTAATACTCTCCCCAGGTTTGATTCCCAGATACTGCCTTTCACAATGGATGGAGAACATAGCCGTCATATTCCATCCCACATCACATGCAGAAATGCAAACTCTTGTGTTTTTATAGTGTGTCAAGCCTCCCAGGGGCAGAATGGAATCTGAGCAAATTAAATGGACAACAACGTTACTTATATTTGCATTGTGGTTTTGGGACTTGGAAATTCAGATTTCTTCCTGCAAAACACTGGTGGTGGTGGTGGTGGTGGTGGTGGTGGTTTTTAAGGTGCTGCAATGGGTCGTGTGTGATGGGTCTTGTCTTTTTCTGACACCCCCCCCAAGTTACAGCCATGCTAATAGTAAGTTCTTTTCTCCCTCCAGCCTGCAGCCTCCAGTGTCATTCGTATGCAGTGGGATAATTCAGCAAACTTTGGCTTCTCGAAAGCAAATCAGCAGCAGGTTAACACAGCAGCCAGCAATGTCACTGTACAGGTGAGTTGCAGAAATGATGGGAGAAATGTGGGTGGTTCTTGCCAGTAATTTGCAAATTATATGAGGACACATGCCAGCATGTCACAAATAAATATATCCCCAAAATACTCGGCTTAATGCCAACCAAAACTCCACCTAGCCTAGCATCCTGCTTCTAACTGTGGTCAGCCAGATGCTCCCATGAAGCTCACCAGCAGGGCATGAAGGCAACAGCCCTCTCTTGTCATAGGAACATCAGAAAGACTGCCTTGTATTGAGTCAGGTCATTGGTCCATCTGGCTTTGTATTGCCCACACTGACTGGCAGCAGCTCTTCAGGTTTCGAGGCATGCGGCATCCCCAGCCCTCCTGCAGGGGCTGGGGATTGAACCTAGGTGCAAGGCAGTCTCCTCTGTTCCCATTCTTCTCCAGACAAAGTCCAGCCAGATAACTCAGGAGCCAAGCCCCGTGTAGTATAGACCACTGGTGCCAGTTAGGTCATTTTTAGACTCTGGACTTAACAGTCCAGCATGGAGGGCCTCTGGTGCTGATGTCTGCCCATGCCTTCACTTACCTCAAAACTGGGAAAAACTGGCCCTGCTGTGTTTGGGAACTCCCTCTTGCTCATTCTGCTGAATTGGGGCCCTGGACTTCTGCCTGAAAGGCCTCCCTTGCAGGCACCATCGAGCGGGAGAGCTTTCCCTTGCTGCTTGCCCCCAGTATCTGGTAGGCAGAGGCTTAGGCCGCATACACACCATACATTTAAAGCACATTCACCTTCCTCCCTGCAATAATCCTGGGAACTGGTTTAACACACACACAGAGCTACAATTCCCAGCAGTACCCCTAGCAAACTGCAGTTCCCAGGATTTTTGTTTGCTTGTACTTTAAGTTTATGGTGTGTATGCAGCCTTAATCTCTAAGCAGTTTTTATATTTTTAACGCCAGTAACGCTAGAAGTGGTTAATGAATAACTTTCCCCTTGTCTCTGTCCTCTCTTTCTTCCCCTACCCCTTCTGCACAATCCCTGCAGTCACAGAACAGCGACCCGGCTTCGGTCTTGTCGTTCTTCAAGCAGGTGAGCGAGCTGCGGGGGAAGGAGCGCTCCCTCCTTCACGGCGAATACACAGAGGCTGAAACCAGCAACCCGAGTGTCTTTGCCTACCTGCGGGTCTGGGACCAGAACAAGCGCTACCTAGTGGTCCTCAACTTTGCTCCCAGGGACCAGACCATCTCCATAGTGACGTCCCCTCCCCTCCCAGACCAAGTCACAGTGGAGCTCAGCACGCAGCCCACGGAGGAGAAGAAACAGCTGAGTGTACGGGAACTCAGGCTGGCTCCCTCGGAAGGGCTCCTGCTCAGTTTCCCATATGTGGCCTAGTTTGACTTGTGGCTCCCCCAGCCTGACAGGGAGGAGCAAAAGAGCAGGGTCTGTGCAACTGTCCTTGCAAAGGAGCAGCCTCTGAATTCTTGAAAGGGCGCAGTTTTCACAGCATTCTGATCTTCCTCTCTCCTGTATCACCTGATTTTTTTTAACACCTGTCTCTTCTCTCCCTCTGCTCCCCTAATTCCTTCACTCCTTGTACATTCCTTGACCTGCCAGTATCTGGAAAAAAGAAACTTTTTATAGTAGGAGGGGGGAATATGTGGACCCTCAGGATGTTGTTGAACTCTGACTCCCATGATCCTTAGCCAGGGTGGCCAGTTGTGGGGTAGGATGGGAATTGTAGTTCAATAACATCTGGAGGGCTGTGGGGTCCCTCACCCGTGGTGTAGAGCTTAATGTCCCCACCACCACCGGATACACTAACATGTCATGTGCGTGAACTGACTGTCCACAGCTCCAGTTTTGAATATCATTTCCACATGGTGTGTGTGCTTGTCATTTGGCTGGGCAGCTTTCATCCTTGAGAACTGACAAGTAAAGTTATATGTTTTTGTGCAAACTACATGCCCCACCCAGCTCCTTCTAAGCCTCTGTACTTTGTGGAATGAATATTACTGCAGGCGCATAGTGTCCGTGCGAGCCTGTCCTGTTCGTGTGCCTGTCCTGTTTGCCAAAACTGTTGTGAACTGGTATGGAATGAGTTTAATAAATTTCTCTCTGCTGACTCTTGTGGTTTCTGTTCAGAATGGTAGTGTTTATGCATGTGCACACAGCCTCTTTCAATTCCCCTGGTAAATCCCAACTCCTTGAACAGCACAGTCGTCAGTGGCAGGGGTAGAAGTAGTGCAACTGGCCTGGACTTACCCCCTCAACAGCTTGGGACCAGGTTTCTTAAGGGTACATGTGCTCCTCAGATGGGTCACCACTGAGAGTAACACATGCTTAGATTGTACTAGAAACCAGCAATCTGGAATCAATTATCAGCTGAAATTAGACAGGCACCTAAGTGTCTTGATGGCTAGTTGTCAACTGAATATTTTGCTTTAAGAAGTCTTTCCTTGAGGAGTGACCCAGCCATTTATGGAATATTAATTTTATATCTTTAAGATTTTTTTAAAAGTTTGTAGGAATGGTATTCATTGTTCGTTGTGTTTTGATGGCCTCAGGCTGTGACACAGTTTTATACATTTGTTAAAGAATACCTGTTAAACAAGGAGCATAATAGCTCTAGCTAGAAATAGGTTTGAGTCTGATGGAGGAGAGCCAGCAGAGAGGGTGTTTTCTAGACTGGGTGACTTCCAGACATGTGTTTACCTTGATCACGTTGCACAAGTGTGGAATTTGGGATTGGGACAAATAATTAAACAGCCTGAATATCTCTGGGCTCTTTTGCTTCTTCAAAACCCATATTTACAGCTGTAAACATAGGTTACAGTAGCTTTCAACCTTTTCTGACATGGGACTCGTCTTTAACCAAAATGAGCAGGCAGGAATTTTTCTTTTTGCCATAGATATATGGGGGTAATACTGCTGATGCTCATTTATTTTATTGCAACCCACCTGAGACCAGCTTCTGAGCTGGTAGTGGGCTCTGACTCAGCAATTAAAGACTAATGAATAATCTGTGGATACTAGCAGGCTGGGGCTTGGGGGCCACAGACAATGCTGTGTAGAGGATTGGGCTGTGGGTTTTGGGTACCCTACCATAATTTACACCCTTTTCCACAAAAAGTGGGATGTGTATGAATTATTCCTGCAAAAGAAACTCTTGTGAAGAGTTGTTAACATGTTGAGTTTTGGTACTTGTCTCTACAGTGCCTGCCTACGTACCCTTCACACGATACTCAAATGTGCTTCTTGTTACTGCCAAACTTCATTTAATTATTTTGTGAATTAGGTATTTAAAAATACAATCTGTGAAATCCCTTGGAATTTCAAAACCCTGCAAAAAGGATGGGGAGAACCTTTGCGGGGAGCCCTCCAGATGTTGGACTCCCATGAGCCCCCAAGACTTAATGGGGAAGGTTGGTGGGAGTTGTAGTTCAGCAGCACCTGGAGGGCTACAAGGTCCCTAGCCCTGCAGTAAACTGACAAAGGAGTACAGGACAGTTTGATATGCTTTCTGGCTTGCACTCTTTATAAAGACTTGAGGAATGAGGTTATCGCCCCTCTTTTATTGTTCATTTCTGGCCCCAGCCACTGCCACAGTGTCCTTTCTCTTGTCAGATCAAGATGAGCAGGTGGCAGCAAAGGTTGCAAGGTTTTTAGCTGGGGCAATTAGAATAAGATCCAGTAGTTGACTATTGATTCAAAACCGTAAAATGCATTTTATATAGTCGACTTTTTATTTATTTTCTTTGTATATCGCGTTGTTGTTTTATTGCTATGGCCGATGGCTGACGCAAATAAAGATTGGTTCATTCATTCATATGCTCCCAGCAGTCCTAAACAGGAAAAGAAATAGGAATTATCACACCCAGCCATCCCTTTTAAGTAAAGCTCCCCTTTACTTGTGTGCCCCCCCCCCGATTTCCACCTCCCCTTTAATCACCCTCTAAAAAATACCGCCGACAGCATCCCTCTCTCCTCCCCAACTTCCTCTTCCCCGTAACCCACTTATTTACATTCCCGCCCCCTCCTCCTTCCCGGCTCACAACACGCCCTATTTCCTCGCGGCTTTCCCTTTAAGCTGCCTCCCCTGACGCAATGCAGGTGAGGCTAAGCCAATGGGACGTCGGGCGGCGGCGCACGTGACTGCGGAGGGGGCGGGCCCGGGGGTTATTTAAAGGGCCGCCTTTCCTATTGCTGCGGCCGCGGTTGCCGGGGGCTCGCCGGAGGGAGGGGAATGCGCGTGCGCGCGGGGCCCGGGAAGTAACGTTCGGCGCTTGCCGTTAGAGCAGAGGGAGAAGAAGAGGAGGAAGAGGGCGAGCGAGAGCGCTTGCGCGAGCGGGGCAACGGCGACGACTCAGCCCCGGGTGGAGGGAGACGGACGCCAGCCAGGAGCCGAGAGGTCGCAGCGCCGCTTCCCCTCCCCCACGTCACCATGGTGAGCGAGGGAGGGAGGGGGCTTCAATGGGGAGGGGGCGAAGCGTGAGGTCATGTGAGGAGGGGGGGTCTCGACCTCCCCCCACTCCCGCAGTGTGGCGTCTTAAGGAGGGAAGGGGTCAGGCCCCTTTTCTCAATGGAGGCCTATATGGGGAGGGGACCCTCTCCAAAATGAATACATGTGTGTGTTGAGAAGGGGTCTTCCATCATGGAGGTCTTACGATGGTCAAGTTCAAGATAAATAAGGTTTTTAGGATTCACATCCCATCCCCCAAATAGGATGTGCGTGGAGTTGGGTTAATAAAAGATGGGGGGTGCTTCCATGTCTGATGGGGACGGAAGATGGGGGCCTTTGTGGCTTTTATCATATTACTGGGTCACGGGGGGGGGGCTGGGACATCCCACCAATGATGGCATATTATAGGGTGGAAGCTTATGAAGGTGAAGAAGTGGGAGGGGTTCAAAGTGTCTTTCCCCCTCCCACCCCCCATTTTTTATTTTTACCTATGTTGGGGGTTTGAGCAGCTGGAAGTGGATGGGTTAATAGGAGATGGGTGTAGAGGAAGAAAAAGCTGTGTATGGCCAGCTTTCCCCTCCCTTTGCAAAGGATGTGGGGGTGATGAAGTCTAAGGGGAATCTTTTAACTTCTCCCCAAAAGCGGGAGGAGCCAAGAAAGGAATTGCCTCAAAAACAGCTGCACCTGTGGAACACCCTCCCCTTGAAGGTGGAAGTCTTCTTGGAATGGGCTGGGGTGGAGGAGTCCCAAAAGGCCTCATAAAAGTATGCAGCCCTGGCAGAGAGAGCTTTATAAAGGTTGGGATGCTGAGAAGAGGATCCCTTAAATAAGGGGGATTTGATAAAAGTGTGGATAATTGGATAGTTGGGGGGGGTTCCTCATATTACCCCAAAAGTGGGGTGCTCAGCTAAGAAGAGGCAGTTGATAAAAACGGAGCATTGGTAAGAAAACTCCTGAAGGAGGGTGATGTAGTGATGAGATAATATGATAAAGGGGTTTGCATTTCCTGAAATGGGAAGAACATAATAATTTGCAAAATTCAGAGCAGGTGGATAGGAAAGGGGGTGCCTTTAAAAGAAGATTCTGTTGTGTGACTAGAAAACCTCATTTTGAGGGTACTTGAACTGCTGAGAAAGAGAAATGGTAGTGGACACCTGATGGGGGAGAAAAGAGGCTTGTGTATGCAAAGGGGGGGGTGAGAGTAAGAAGTGGAGGACACACCCTTTGAGGAGTTGTGTGCATGCTTGAGAAAATGACTGTGCTTAAGGCATCTCAAGTTTAAAAATGAGATAATGACAATATATAGACAAGGGTATATTTCAAAGAGAGGATGCATAGGAACGTTGGACTTGGTTGTGAGGAGTGGATAGTAAATCAAAGTTTTAAAAATGCAAAATAATGTGCTTTGTAGAGATCCAGATCATTGGTCCATCTTGCTCAGTGGCTCTCTGGGTTTTCTGGCAGAAGTGCTCCCTAGCCCAGCCTGGAGATGCTGGAGCTCCAACCAGGGACCTTTTGCATGCAAAGGAGGTGCTCTTCCACTGAGCTACAGCCCTTACCTAAGGCCTTGAGAATGGAAATATAAAGGGAGCAGGGGTGAATCCCAAGACAGATGATAGGGTTGGGAGATACAGTATGAGCAGACAGGAGGGAGGATCTGTGTTTGTTCTTCCTCTCCCTCATGTGGTTTCCATTAAAGAAAGAATTAGTGGAAAGACAGTTGAGAAACTGGAAAGAGGAGCTTCCCTGAGAGAGGATTAAAAACTCCCCTTATGATTATAAAAGGAGAACATTGAAGGGGTTGGTGTGATGTTGGTCACCCACCTTCAGATGAAGAGGGGAGGGGCACATGTTCCCAGGCTCTGTTGTGTCCTCCGACTGTGAAAACGCAGAGTGTAGCCTTCTTAGGGCAAAGACCTCCCTCTCTCCTGTTTTTGTGCTTATACTGCTTTGTAAACCACCATAAATGTTGGTTATAAGTAGAAAAATGCTAACCATCAAAAATGGGTTATTGACACAGGAACTTGGAGCATGTGATAAGGCTACACAAGGAAGGGTTAGGAGAACTTGAAGTAGGTGAGGTGGGAACCATAGGTGGCAAGAGCCCATCCAAGTTTGGAAGCGGGCAGTACAGGGTGCGTGGAGAAGAGAGTCAGAGAGGAGCTGGTGGCCTCATGTTGCCCTTCCTGAAGGCTGAAGTTGATGGACTGTACCTTGGGAAGAGCACCTGCTTTGCATGCAGAAGGTCCCAGCTTCAATCTCCAGGAAGGGCCAGGAGAGACCCCCAAGCTGAAATCCTGATGAACTGCTGACAATCAGTGTTGACAGTCCTGAGCTTGATGGACAAATGGTCCAAGTAAGCATAAGGCAGGCCTGTGGGGGTGTTCTGTTCTTAGTCCATATCACTCCCTCTACTTGGGTTGAGTGCAGATGTGAGTCTTTGGGAGAGAGTGGAGGCAACAACTGCATTGAGTTCAGAAGTCAATGAGAGTGAGTGAGTGTGTGTGTGTGTGTGTGTGTGAGAGAGAGAGAGAGAGAGAGAGAGAGAGAGAGAGAGAAAGAAAGAAAGAAAGAAAGAGAAAGAGAGAGAGAAAAATAAATGGGGTGCGGCTGTCATGGACCAGGAAGGTGAGACCTGCAAAACTTACTGATTTTCTCTCTCCTCCCCCACCATTCTCCATGGCCTTCCTTCAGGCTGATCAGCTGACAGAGGAGCAAATAGCAGGTGAGAAATTATTTTGCTCCTGGGGACAGGAACATTGGCAGCATCTGTCAAAATCTAAAGAGTTGGTGTTACCAGTTGTGTGGCATAAATGCCAAGAGAGCCAGCAATTGGTGCTGGACTTGGTCCTCCATCCAAACTCTTGCTTGGCCCTGAACGTCCTAGCTAAACTCGCTGCCTCACAATCTCCCAGCCTTTGCTCCTTTCCTGTGTAAAACAGGAGCATGTGTAATGTCCTTCCTCAAAAGTATTTCTCTGAATACTGCTTGACCTCTACCCTACTGATTTAAACCCTTAAAGCTGGCTGAGTGTACCTTGGAGGGAGGGGAGGCGCATGTTGATGTAGCTGCATCCTGAAAAAATGCTATTAAAACAGTACTGGGTGTTTGGGCCCAGGGTCTTTTAAGGGCTGATGCATTAGGGCAGTTCTATCCCCCAGCAAGACTTGGATAACCTGCATGGGAGAATACTTGCGTTCTTCCCCCAGACACAGCCTGGGTAGTCCTTCCCCTCTCCATACCTGCCAAGGTGATAACTGGGTTTAGGAGGAGGTTACAAATGTACTCAGCTAGCCCCTTTCCTTTCAGGTTTCCTTTCTGAGTTTGGGGGCTGGGACTTGGGTTGGAGGGGGTAATATCTGGCCCTGAGCTATCTCTCTTCCCTGCCTCTCTCAGAGTTCAAAGAGGCCTTCTCCCTCTTTGACAAGGATGGCGATGGCACCATCACCACCAAGGAGCTTGGCACCGTCATGCGCTCCCTGGGGCAGAACCCCACTGAGGCGGAATTGCAAGACATGATCAATGAGGTGGATGCTGATGGTGAGCTGGGCACTCAAGTCTGGGGACGGGTGGGAAATGGGGTAGTGCTGGAACAGGTATTGGATTGGATTGGAACAGTGCTGGAACTGGAGGATTGGCCCTCCAGTTAGGATTGTCTCGTTTCTTTGGCCAATTACATGGTGCAGGTGGGAAATTGACACATTTATTTTAGTCTCTGTAACTTGCCCTAGCTGAGGGACACGGGTGGCTCTGTGGGTTAAACCACAGAGCCTAGGACTTGCCGATCAGAAGATCAGCGGTTTGAATCCCCGCGACGGGGTGAGCTCCCGTTGCTCGGTCCCTGCTCCTGCCAACCTAGCAGTTCAAAAGCACGTCAAAGTGCAAGTAGATAAATAGGTACCGCTCCGGTGGGAAGGTAAACGGCGTTTCCATGCGCTGCTCTGGTTCGCCAGAAGCGGCTTAGTCATGCTGGCCACATGACCCGGAAGCTGTACACCGGCTCCCTCGGCCAGTAAAGTGAGATGAGCTCCGCAACCCCAGAGTCGGCCACAACTGGACCTAATGGTCGGGGGTCCCTTTACCTTTACCTAACTTGCCCTAGTGAAAGGTCTCAGGTTTGGGTAACAGTAGTTGCATCCTACAAGATGCATAAGCCCCAGTCCTAATTGGTCACAGCCAAAGTAGAAGATGGACGTGAACATTTGGAGGATGCTGGGTCCACAGCAGCCTTTTGGGTGAAAGCGACAGCAAGCTGTCCTTGGTGTGCTGTTGAAACCTGGGAAGGAAGGTGAGGAGTTGCCTTCTTGAACTCACAGGCTGATCCTAGTGGAAGTACAGCCTGGCTTGGTTGCAGGGGTTTGCCACCCTCTGGACTGATTATTCACCCACCACCCAACTGGGGTCCTGCCCTAGTTGTTCGTGGGTGAACTCCCTTAGCTGCCTTCTCAGCTTGAGGATAATCCAAGTTCAATCATGGAATGTTGTGGCTCCTTCCTAAAGAGAGCAGGGCCTATCCGGCACTTACATGGCCCTTTCCCCTTATTCCCCTCAGTTACTTGAACACACACCTGAAACTGGGTTTCTCCACCCACTCTGGTGTCTGGCAAAGCCATTGTTGCCCCGTCCAGGGGGAAGAGGAAAGCGTTTCCAGTAGCCATTGTTCCCTTGAAAAGTATTGACCCTGCTAGGCGGGAGGGCAGACCAGCGGACAAGACTTCCATGTTGCTACACAGGTGATCTCAGCAGCAGTTTTTTAGGCACAGCACTAAAGAGCTGACCCTTCTCCAGGGAATGGCACCATTGATTTCCCAGAATTCCTCACTATGATGGCTCGGAAGATGAAGGACACAGACAGCGAGGAGGAGATTCGTGAGGCCTTCCGAGTCTTTGACAAGGTAGGGGGGCTAATTTTGTGATGAAAAGATGTTTGCTAGGATTCTACACAACTTGTTCACTAGTGGAACTAGGGGCATTCTGCACATGCTCAGCATCCCTTTTCTCCAGTGGATGGCCTACAGCAGGAGAGATGTTTATCCCAGGTGTGGGGATCCTTTGGCCCTCCAGATGTTGCTGAACTACAACTCCCATCATTGGCAATGCTTGCTGGGGCTGGTGGGAGTTTTAGTTCAGCAACATCAGCCAAAGGTTCTGCTGTATCCCAGCATATGAGACTCTAATTCCAAGGCCTCAGGATGGGCTTGGAAAGAGATTTCAAGGAGCCCAAGGGTAGGAATTTTTGAGCTGAACCTGAATGTCAAAAGTTCATTAGGTCACATCAGTCCTATAGCTAGAACACTAAAACTAACACCAGCTTTCTTGCTGGCTAGCTGCTGTTCTTCCTGGTTGGGATCAACACTTTCACAGAGGTTTTACAGTCTCTCTGCCCTTTTAGCTCTGCCGCCTTGTTTTTCTTTGAAGCAAAATTATTCCAATAATTGGGAAAAGGTTATACAATAGAAACTGCTGCTTTTTAGCCAGAGATTGAAAATTGCTGAACACTTTTCCTAGGAACTACTGGCGGCAAGTCCCGTAGTGGTAAAAGCGTTTCCCCTTAGTGTCGGCCATTATGATCCTCCCTCTTCTACTACAGAGGATGGTTTGGTGTCCTACTAGAGATGCAATTGGTTCACATGAGAGAACAGTGAAGCCAGCAGGCCTGGCTGATGCTCCATGTGAACTGGGGATGGAGTTTTAAGTGCTTCCTAGACTCATTTGTGAAGTGCAGCTTTTCGGTGAGTGCAGTAACGTTCCTCACATGATCAGTCTCATTGAGTCGCTTTAGGTTTTATTCTGGGTGCCAAATAAACCCTGGGGCAAGAACTCCTCTTCCATCTGAATCCAGGCCACTTGGCCAACTGGCTAGGACATGAGGAATCTGTTCCCCGGGTTATCACACATGTTCCCCCTCCCTTCTTTGCAATTTGAGAGAAAATTGTCTGGAGAAAATGTCAAAACAAAACAAATATGCAGATAAAATAAAAAAAATTTCCTTCCAGTAGCACCTTAGAGGCCAACTAAGTTTGTTATTGGTATGAGCTTTCGTGTGCACTGTAAATTTGTAGAGAGGAATGGAGAAAGGGTCTCTTCAAGGAGGAAAACGTCTTTACAGAGGAATAAAAGTGGAAGGAGAGAGAAAATAACTGGGTTAGAAGCTGTGTAGCTTGTTTGGAAGTATTGTTCCATGGTCCACAGCGGAAAGGATCAGTGTCTGAAGTGTGGGGGTTAAGAACATAGGAAGAGCCTTTCTGTTGGATCAGGTCAAAGGTCCTCCTGTTCCAGCATCCTCTTCTTACAGTAGCCAGCAAGAAGGACCACCGCACAGCCGCATTCTCTCCTTGCATAAATAGTCACATGCATCTGTGCTTCTTCTTGATGTTTCTTTCAAAGTGCATTAATTTGCTTTATGGGGAGGATGGACAAGCCAGCTGTGGATGGAGTAATAGCTTATTATGGGTGTCGACATCCTCTGCCTCTCTCCCTTTCCTGGTTCCACACACAGGATGGCAACGGCTACATCAGTGCTGCAGAGCTGCGTCATGTCATGACCAACTTAGGCGAAAAGCTGACAGATGAAGAAGTTGACGAAATGATCCGGGAAGCTGACATAGATGGGGATGGACAAGTCAATTATGAAGGTGAGGAGGGGAGTTGGATGCGGTGGCACGAGTGGCACCACAGAGCCGCCATCCTCTTGGGCAAGTTGTCTTTGTTTCAATGGGTCTTGCTCAGGAATTATGACCCACATAATTTTCAGAGATTTGTTTAGAAAGATGGATGCCAAAAACTTGTGTAGATCTTTAATAAAGCCCCAAGAACCTCATTTTTTCCTAAAGTGATGGTTTTGACCTAAAAGCCTTGCATGGCTCTGGATCTCAATACCTTAAGGACTGCCTCTCCCCATGCAAACCAACCTGGACCCTGCACTTGTCATCTGGGGCCCTTTTCCAAATCCCCTTCCCCGAGACCTTCAGAAAGTGACAACACAAGAACGGGCCTTTTCTGTGGTGGCTCCCCGCCGGTGGAATGCTCTCCCCAGAGAGGCTTGCCTGGCGCCGTCATTACATATCTTTAGGTGCCAGGTGAAAACATTCCTCTTTACCCAGGCCATCATCCATTAAATAATTTATGACCTGTTAAATGTGGGAGGATTGTTACTATGGTTATTTTATTATTAAGCTGTATGTTATGTTATGTTATGTCATGTCATGTCCCAGGGTCTCTGGATAAAGGGCAGTATATAAATAGAAATAATAATAATGGATAATAATAATGATGATGAAAGGGCAGACTCTGGCCCTGGGACAAATAGTGCCCTGGACGAGAAGAGCCGCCTTTGTGCCCCTCCCCCATGGTCAGTTTTGCAGGGCTGCTCACAGGGCTTATGGGACTTAGGCAGGTGTGGTTTGCCCGTGCTACAAAGACTGATGCATGTGTGTATGAAGTCGGGGGCCATATGAAACAATTGTTGCATCCCATGACTACATGGGAGAATCCTTGCTCGCAACACCTCCTTGCCCTGGGATCAAATCGCCCGAGAGATGTGCTTCAGTTTGTGGGGATAATGGAAAAGGGTTTGGCTTGTGCTTCTCCAGAGAACCTCCTCCAAATTCCAAACCCCTTCCGGTGGAGCTTCTTTCTGCTTCCTGGAGCTACATCTCTTCTGGTTGTGGTTTGCTGCTGGCCTCCTCTCCGCTGCTCTCGCAGGAAAGCCTTGTGGAGGTTTAGGCCTCTATTCTTCATCATGTTCAGCACACACAATGGCTGGGGCTGCAAGTCCCCCTCCCTGAGCTCCATCACTCTCTCCGCAGCTACCAGAAGTAGGCCATTTGTTGGAATGAGGTAACCAGGCCGGCAAAATCCCCCGGGCCCAGAGTAAGAGTAGAATGGTCTCTAATCTCATTATTGAGTATTTCATTGTGAATATGAGGGTCGGATTCACGATGAGTGCAGTAGCCCAAAAGGAATCTTCAAACGGGAGATCTGTACTTTTGTTGACCCTGCTCATGTATCAGCTGAAGAGTGACTTGAGCAGCTGGAATTTTGCAGGAGTCCATGGGGATACTTGTACATCCTTTACAAGCTACCAGAAGAGGCACTTACCGCCCACTGTATGGATCTACACAGAGTGCTCACTGATGGCAACCACTCCAACATCAATGGTGCAGATATTTGTGCTAAGCTGGGTCATCTTTGTCAAATTCTCTCTCCTGGGAGAGATGCCTTGCAAGTTCATCCATAGTACCAAAATGACTGATGTCTTCCCAAACATCTGAGTAGCACTATGAAGTCTCCTGACACTACTTGCTTTCATTCCGTGCCAAAGTTGTTAAGCTTTTAGGGCAAAATCACAAAAAGCCGTTTTTGAGCACTGCCATGGACTGCCATACATCTGGATATGTCTTGGAAAATCCAGACCTGTGGCAGCCCTAGGTAAGCACTTAAAAGAATAAATCCATTATTTTTATCTTTTAAAATTCATTGGTAGGAGGATATGTTTGGAAAGGTACCTGCCTCTGGAATGTCCTGATTTACTTCCCTTTCTTCTCTCCTTTGCTCCTCTAGAGTTTGTACAGATGATGACTGCCAAATAAGAGAAGCAGCGGCCGCCCCTTTCCCTTTCCCTGTGCAGAATGGAAGGACTTGTTTGCTTACCATAGAAATCTTCTCCAGCTCCTCCTGTCTGTCTGGCACTCAACGCCTCCATTGATGCTTTAGCGGTTTGTGGCCATTCTCTGCTCTCTTCCCCCTCCCTCTTGGTTTACATGCTTGTGCCCGCAGTGGGTACAGCTGGGATGGCAGGAAGCCAATGGAGCGCCCTGGCCAGGAGAAGCGACACAAGGCCCAACTCCTAGCATTGTGGGTGGCCCAGTGGTGGAGAGGGGCTGCCATAGTGAAGGCACCCCTCCACCCTTGGCTCCACCGCTGCCTTGTGCCTGCGCTCCCTCCCTCTCCAAAGGCCACACCCCAGTTAGCGTGTAACCCTTGCATCCATGGACTGTTTTGTTCAGCTGAGTGCCTCCTTCCGCCATCTGCAGTTGTCTTCCTGGGAATATCTGCATATCTTGGGTATATTGTAACTGTTAAACCTCTTAATAATTGCCGTGCCCTACCCCCTCTTCCCTTACCTTCCAGTGGCTTCAGGGAATGATTCTGTTCCATTCCAGTTGGTGTATGGTTTCTTTTTCTTCTTTTGAATAAAGTCTGTGTGTTTCAAAAGGATGGGCCCAGCGTGCTTTGTCTAAAGACAGTTTGCTCCTTCAAGGCAATAGGCTGCTTCATCTATTCCTCTCACCGGCATGGAAACAGATCTCTGTAGAGTTCCCCTTCCCATGCAAAGAGCGCCTTTTCATTCTTGTCTTCCCAGAAACTAGAGAATAGCATTTTCTCACAAGCTTCCCACCTTGTGTGAATCATCACGGGGGCTGTTTCTGGTTCTCTTTTGGTTGGGGGTGGCTTAAAAATGGGGCAGACAGCCAATGGGGCATTTTAGCCTGTAGGGAGGTTTTATTTGTGCATAAGGGGTGTTTATGATGACCTCAGAGCAGCACCAGATTGGTGGAAGTCAGAAGCTACAGCACACTAGGTGTCCAACATGGAAAAGAGTCCAAAAAGTGGGCAAGGCAAGAGAAGGAAATTCTACACTGGCAGCCAAAACTGCAAGTGTGGCCACAGGGGCAGACGATGGGGGCTGCAGTTGGATTTCTGGGGCCTAATGAAAGCACATCAAGGGATCATCTTGAGTTCTGCATGTTAACCTTGACACATACCCTGTTCCAGGCCTCTTGCACCAAGCTGTGCACATCAAACCAGAGGTTGGGTCTGCTCATCTGGATTTACTGCAGGAATGCATCAACCACACAATTTCCATTTTGCCTTTGAATTATCCTGGGTCCAGTATATATCTATGAAATCAAGTTCAATCTGACCAGGTTTATCTCATGACTGGTAAGTGCTCTGGTTTTGGCTAAGTGGGCGATTGGACCTTGCTGCTGCATTTGGTGACAACCTCTGTTGCAATTGGAGAGGGAGGCATAGGCTTCCCAGTGCCAAGAGTAAGACAAAACACGTTGGCTTCAGAGGTGATTTTTATTTTCAAATAAAAAATACACAAGGTTTGGTTGCATGGATGAGATGCCCCTGATGGCTGGTTCTTGGCCTTTTGTGCTGCTTAGAGAAGGACTTAAGAATACATTCCCACTCAATCCTCCACCATCTCTTCAGCATAGAGTATGGGGGATATGGCAATTAAGACATACACGCACACACACACATACATATAAACACAAACATACATGGATACCCAGTTCCCCAAGGAGGGGGAGCCCCCCTCCCCAAATGAAAAAAGCTGCCAAGTGCAAAAAACATGAACGAGGGGGAGCAGCTGGCAAGACTCTTTTCGGTAAGCATCTCTGCTACAAATCTAAACTTTTTTAACGGCAGTTATTGTCGTGCTATTCCCGAAAGGGGAAATGTAGTTTTGGTACAGGTGCCGAGAATTCCTTGTTTGAGATCTTTGCAGTTTATTTAAATAGAGTTCCTTAGCTGAGAGTCCACTTAAAACAAGTTAGATGGTTCAAATAAGTCGCATAGACATATGCCCAGAGTTTCTCTGTTAAACACTGGCCCATCCACACTGGTGATGAAGCAAGAATGAGTTCTCCTGGGAAGAACAGACACGTGTTTCACATTCGCTCACTCCCAAAGGGAATGGAAGCAGAAGAGCTGTTTTGGGACCCTCTCCCCATCATACTGTGACCAAAACAAACACATTTTCTCTCCTCTAGTCCATTTTCCTTAAATTGGCAAGAAGCATTTGGGAGCTGCCCAGGAAATCCAATTCATCTCCGAAAAAAAATGCACTTTGTCATGCCCAGGAAGGGGGGGAAAGGTTTTTGTTGGAGGGGGAATATTATCTGCGGTTTCACTTTCCTGCCCCTCTATATCAGTTAAAAAGGGGGGTGGGTGGATACTTTGTGAAACATGGAAAAGAAAGCATATTGTTAAATATTTTCCCTTAAGGTGAACACTTTATATTCTAACACCAAAGCTAGATTAGCTATAAATAGTGAGGTGAGAGCAGTTTTCTTCAGCTGTTGAGGATGTAAGGTGATTACTGAGGGAATTCAAGCTAGTTAAGAGGCTGACCTCGCTGCATTTCCTGGGTTGAATGGATACAGCTAGTCAAGCCATGAAATAGATTCCAAAATTTCCACTTTTTGGGATTGGCGAGGGAGGAACCTATTATTTCCCTCTCTCTGGCTTCAAAGTTACCAGGTAGTTTACATCTCTAATTGCACTTCCCTTTAAAGTGACTAACAATGCACTCCTATCTATGTCTACTCAGAAGCAAGTGCTATTGTTTCAATGAGACTTCCTTCTATATAAATGTGTAAAGAATTGCTGTCTAAACCTAATTCTCCCTTTTCCTGTTATTATTTCAGGGCATTATTATTTTACTACAATAACATTTTCATTCCATATTTGATAATTCTAGACAGACACATACACATGCCTTTCTATTCATACACTTGCTATATACTAGAATTTCTTAGATCTGGGCCTCAATAATGATTACCACCTTAACACAGTCCTGCATCTTTGAGAAGAACCTGCTGGATCAGCCCAAAGCTCTATCTAGTCCAGCATTCTGTTCTCACAGTGGCCAGGCAGATGCCTATGGAGAACCCACAAGCAGGAAATGAGGACAGCCGTCTTCTGCTGTTTTCCCTCCCATTATTCAGAAGCATGGTGCCTTTGAGCTGGGAGGCAGTATACAGGTACTAGGATCAATAGCCATCCATTTAAAGCTCCATGTGAGTTCCATAGTTAATTACGCACCTTTTAAATAAGTCCTCCCTTTTATCTGTTCTGAATCTCCTACTAGTCTTCACTGGCTGACCTCAGGTTTCAGTCATTCCGCCTTAATCTGATTAACAAATGCTAGGTAATTAGAATCCCTCCGTGCTCTGTAAACACGTACAATTATTTGCTTTTAAAAGCTTGGACTTTTGACAAAATTTGAACATAACCTTTCTGCAACAGTAGTGTAAGCAAAATGGGGTTACAAAAAACCCCCACAAATTAATCATAGAATTGTAGAGTCGGAAGGGGCCCTCAGGGTCATCTCCAACCCACCTGCAATGCAGAAATCTCAACTAAAGCGTCAGTGACGTATGGACATCCAAACCTCTGCTTAAAAACTTCAACTGTTGCAACATGACTTTCACATTCATTTATACAGTCACAGATGGGCTGGGTCTTAGTAGTAAAAAAATAAATCTGAATTTTGGAAAGGGGATCTCTGTGCAAACTTCCAAGTTGTGATGAGCGAAATTCTAATTTCTGTTTATTTTAATGATCCTATCCAAGCTAATGCAATCAGGATCCTGCTCTCAGATTAGAAGTGAGCAAAATTCAACGCTTCCATTTTGTCTGTCTTAAAAAGTGGGAATAACTGGTTCTAACTAAAATCTGATTCCAAGTGCAGTTACAAGGTGTTAACAGAATTGGATTTAACAATGTGATTTAACAAAGTTCCTTCCCCATCTTTCAACATTTTATCTTGTTCTACCTTTTAAGTGAACAAGGAGATGGGACAGATTTCTGAAGCTGAGAGAATTATTTTCTCCCTTCCCACTGCTAAATTCAAGTGTGTTATCACACAAACTCCACCCCTCAAGCCTGCCTGCAGCATTTTTTATAATAAAAAACATACAGATATTTCTCTCTTTCTAAAAATATACTCTCTCTCTCCCCCTCAACATTCCCACCCTCTCATCCCATTTTTGTTTCCTAGAGTGCCTGAGCTTTAATATACAAAATCTCCCAGCACAGTTGATTCTGTTGTCATTATAAGGCAAAAACCAAAGACCCTTTTTGCCCCACATTATCAGAAATTTGGGGGAATCCCTCAGCAGACACCTCCTCCCACCCCCTACCCCGCTTTTCTGCAGAGATTCCTATTTGGCTTGTTAACCCATTTGCATCCATGGTGCATCCTATATTAAAGTGGTGAGTGATTCTGCCCCTCCCCCGCCCTGCCCCGTCCCTGTGATACACAGCCCTTCTTCCCTGCCTGGCCCTGCTCCTCTGGGTTGTATCCCCAAGTAGACCCATTGAAACAAATGTTCCCAAGTGAGCATGCCCATTCATTTCAGTGGGTCTGCTCTGTGCATTACTAATGTTAGAGACCACCCTCTGTCGTTTAACAATAGTAGGAGGTGCCAAAAAATTTCCTTGGCACTCGGCTGTCTGCCAGGATAAAAACCTGCCTGTTTTTTGTTGTTGTTTTTTAGCAGCCTTTCCCAGGAGAAAATGTCTACACACACCCTCCCGCAATACATGGTTTTGGACTCAAGGGAGGCAAATCCACGTCTTAATGAAAATAGCTCAGCCGTTTTTGGCCGGGTTCCTCTTCACTTGTAACCCCTGACTTTAAATCACCTGACTCCAGTCCCTCAGGAAAAGGGACCAGCCCCTCTTGTGCTTTCAGGGGGAGGGCTGGGACGGAGAGGCATCACCTCCACATGGCCTCCGCTTGATCAGTGTAAAAAAACTCCACACCTACAACCCAACCTCTCCTGGCCCCGCCTTTGCAATGGGACTGCAGGCTCTGAACCATCAGAAAGGGAACACGGATTTGGTATTTTAAAAAGCCTTCTTACGGGGCTGCCCTATGGTCTCCTTGTTCTTCCTACAGCAACTGAGTGCCCTGCAAGAAACACAAGGAGTCGTCCTCTGGGCAGGGGGTGGGAGCTGCAAATCTTTCTCCGCAGAGAGAGTTTTCCTCCGAAAGACGTGGGCCACTTTGAACAACAAAACAGACCCCATCATGAATGAAGGTGGGGGTGGGGTGGAATTGGGGGGGTGGGGTGGGGTGGAGGGAGGGGGCTTCCTCCCTCAACAGCAACATAGACAATAAATACCCACTTCCCTCCTGACCAAGCGATGCGCCTCCTCTCCCCAGGGTGCTATGAGGGAGGGTCGTGGCAAACTCTGGGAACCTTGGCTTTGTGGGAGCGAGAAGAAGTCGCGGAGGAGGAAGAGGAAGAGGAGGAGCTGCTGCTGCTGCGACGGGCTTCGGCGCCAGTGCTCGACATCTTCAGTTTGCGTCGCTTGGCAAGGGGGGCGTGCTCCACGCTCTTCAGGAAAAAGCCTTCGCGCTTGCCCTTGTTAAAGGCCTGGGAGAGGAGAAAGAGTTGAAGCTTGAGGGTTTGTCCTTTTGTCTCGAAACCCTAGCCACCTTTTTTAGGTTTGTGGGCAAAATTTGCGTTTTTGACGAAGTGCCAACCCATCTGGTCAATCTCTTCCCACTCCCCCAGATCAGCCAACAACCCTCCTCCAGAGGGCTGGAAAGAAAGTGCTTTTCCAAGTGATCTGGGATCAGATCCAGTAGAATTAAAACTATGTCTTTGAAAGCACACAGCTGAAAGAGGAAGTGGGGAAGAGTGCTGTTTTCCCACTTTCCTCCTTCCACTCTGCATACTTTTCAAGGGAGAAGGTAACCACCCTCACCGGATGGTAAAGCTGTCATCCGACTGCCATTTACCGTATTTTTTCACTCCATAAGACGCACTTTTTTTCCTCTTAAAATCTAAAGGGAAATGTCTGTGCATCTTATGGAGCGAATGTGTGGTCCCGGGGGCTGGGAACCCGGGCTTCCCCCGCCAGCCCCACAAGCTCGGGGAGCAGCGGGAGGCTGTGCGCAGTCTTTCCGCTGCTCCCCACCTGCTCTTTGGGGTTGGGGGAAACCCGGGCTTCCCCCGCCAGCCCCACAAGCTCCTGAGCAGCTCTGGGGTAGCCCATGAAGCCTCCACAGGGCAGTGGGGAGCCTTCATCCCGCTGCCCTAGGGAGGCTTTGCATGGCTATCCCTGTCTTTTGCGGGAGGTGGGGGACAGGACAGAGCGCGGCTGCCCTTCTCCCTCCTCGGGGAAAAGCCCCCAAGAGCCACACACACGCTCCACGCAGCTCATGAAATGGGAGTGCTGAGCAGAGCCTGGGATGCATACAGGCTCTGCTCAGCACTCCCTTTAAATAATCATAGAATCATAGAATAGAATCATAGAATCATAGAGTTGGAAGAGACCACAAGGGCCATCGAGTCCAACCCCCTGCCAAGCAGGAAACACCATCAGAGCACTCCTGACATATGGTTGTCAAGCCTCTGCTTAAAGACCTCCAAAGAAGGAGACTCCACCACACTCCTTGGCAGCAAATTCCACTGTCGAACAGCTCTTACTGTCAGGAAGTTCTTCCTAATGTTTAGGTGGAATCTTCTTTCTTGTAGTTTGGATCCATTGCTCCATGTCCGCTTCTCTGGAGCAGCAGAAAACAACCTTTCTCCCTCCTCTATGTGACATCCTTTTATATATTTGAACATGGCTATCATATCACCCCTTAACCTCCTCTTCTCCAGGCTAAACATGCCCAGCTCCCTTAGCCATTCCTCATAAGGCATCGTTTCCAGGCCTTTGACCATTTTGGTTGCCCTCCTCTGGACACGTTCCAGTTTGTCAGTGTCCTTCTTGAACTGTGGTGCCCAGAACTGGACACAGTACTCCAGGTGAGGTCTGACCAGAGCAGAATACAGTGGCGCTATTACTTCCCTTGATCTAGATGCTATACTCCTATTGATGCAGCCCAGAAGTGGATTGGCTGTTTTAGCTGCCGCGTCACACTGTTGGCTCATGTCAAGTTTGTGGTCAACCAAGACTCCTAGATCCTTTTCACATGTACTGCTCTCAAGCCAGGTGTCTCCCATCTTGTATTTGTGCCTCTCATTTTTTTTGCCCAAGTGCAATACTTTACATTTCTCCCTGTTAAAATTCATCTTGTTTGTTTTTGCCCAGTTCTCTAATCTGTCAAGGTCGTTTTGAAGTGTGATCCTGTCCTCTGGGGTGTTAGCCACCCCTCCCAAGACAGAACCCTGTGGCACCCCACTAGTCACTCTTCTCCAGGATGAAGAGGAACCATTTATGAGACCCTTTGGGTTCGGTCAGTCAGCCAGTTACAAATCTACTGAGTGGTAGCATAGTCAAGACCGCATTTTACCAGCTTCTTTTACAAGAATAATATTTTTTTTCTTGAATACCCCACCCCCCCAAAAAAAGTAGGTGCGCCTTATGGTCAGGTGTGCCTCATGGAGCGAAAAATACGGTATTCCTCTCAACACTCAGGCCCAACATAACACGAAAAGCAGTGTTTGGGAAACAAGATGGCCGTTGCTCCAGAGAAGCTTTGCGACGCCTTAAGGTTCATAGGGTGAGTGTAACCTATGAACCTTGCAGGCCGCACCAGCATAGGAGTGCCCTCCACTCCCGGCAGGATCCTCTGGACCCTGGTGCTCCTCAGCCATTACATTTCGTCTCATTCGGTTCCCCCAAAGAAACTTCCTGCTCGGGTTGTCCAACTTCTTACCATAAAGGCAACGTTGACGCCAGTTCGCACGGCAGGCCCTGAGCTCTCCAGAATGTCCGGAGTCATGAGGGGTGTGGAAGAGAGGGCACTTCCATCTTGGAGCCACTCGCTGTAGCGCAAGCTCGACATCTTCAGCCGCTTGACAGGATCCACTGTGAGGAGGCCTGAGAAGAAGAGAGCAAGCGAGGAAGAGGGAAGACACATTAGCAATGCTTACAGACCTTCTGAAATCCCCAAATCCACAGATAACCCTGGTTCAACATTATATTTGAGGGTTGTTTTTATGGATACAAAGGAGCTTCTTTCAGTCCTAAGGCTGGGTTTTTCCAAAACCTTCAGAATCTCAAGTGCAAAATGTTTTTACCTAATTTCCATAGCACCAACTGAGTCCCCTCAACCTTCCCACTCTCAAGACAGGAACATGCCATGTACGTTTCGCCTTAAGTGTATTTCCCCATCACCTCTAACCAGCTCCTTTGCCTCTTCAGAAACGTTCTTCCAGGCCTCGCCCTCCAGGGAGAATTGCCCCTCCTTGATCTTGTGCATGATCTCGGCTGCATGGTTCGCTGCGCTCCCTTCCTGACTGCTGTGGAAGGGGACTTGCCCAGAGAGCATGGTATACTGGAAGAGAGAGGGCAGGAGAAGAGAACAACAGAAAGGACAATGGTTTTCAAAATAAGTACAATTAAAAGCAATACAACTACAAACAGAAACACAGTGAGGAGTAAACTCAATTACCAGAAAACATAACTCGTTAAAGCTGCATTTAAAAAGGTAAAGGTAAAGGACCCCTGATAGTTTAGTCCAGTCGCGAACGACTCTGGGGTTGCGGCGCTCATCTTGCTTTACTGGCCGAGGGAGCCGACATTTGTCCGCAGACAGTTTTTCCGGGTCATGTGGCCAACATGACTAAGCCGCTTCTGGCGAAACCAGAGCAGCGCACGGAAACGTCGTTTACCTTCCCACTGGAGCAGTACCTATTTATCTACTTGCACTTTGACGTGCACACCTGAACTTAAATAAGCACCAGGTTGGCTATTGGCAGGGCTTTCTTCAGCTGGAACTCACCGAAACTCAGTTCTGGCACGTCTCAGGTGGGCCCCATTGACATTATAAGAGAACAAGGTAAACGCTTGTTCAGAAAATTTCTGGCACCTCTTTTTCTAGAAAAACGGCACTGACTACCAGGCTGCAAGACATCCATCTCTTTGTGAGGGCTATTATGTATAAATCCTCTCCTCAAGGATACATGTGAAGTTGTGAAGCACAATAAGAGTTTTCTATTTACAGAGCTGATAAAGGGAAGCCATACTTTCTCGAATTACCACATTTTTCACTCTATAAGATGCACCAGACCACAAAACACACCTAGTTATTGGAGGAGGAAAACAAGAAAAAAAATATTCTGAATCTCAGAAGCCAGAACAGCAAGAGCGATCGCTTCGCAGTGAAAGCAGCAATCCCTCTTGCTGTTCTGGCTTCTGGGATAGCTGCGCAGCCTGCATTCGCTCCATAAGACGTACACACGTTTCCCCTTACTTTTTAGGAGGGAAAAAGTGAGTCTTATAGAGCAAAAAATACGGTAGTCTTTCTTGACCAAGTCCCTACACACCCTGCTGTGTTCTCTCCCTCACTCCCTCTCTCCCCCCCGCCTCATTTTTTAATTGTAAACTGTAATTGTCAGCTGCCCGGAGACTTAGGGATAGGGAGGGATCAAAATAATACAGAAAATCAGTAACTACAAGTAACAGAAAGAAAAGGAATCTGAGTTTGTTAAGAGTACAATGAAGCAAGTTACTAGTTCTCATGCTTTGCTGAAGGAAGCACCGGAAATTGGTCAAGAAGTACTAGAAAAGGTGAAGGTGGTGCTGGATTTGGAGGGAGGTCCTGGCACTGCTAATCAGGAATGGGATGCAGGGTTTGGGGTGGGATGGAATGAGGGCGTGGGGAAGGAGAGGAGGAGACAGGATTGCTGTGTGGCAGGGGGCAGTGAAATCCGCAAAAGAAGTTTCTGCACACTCATTTTAAGTTGTGCCCTACCCTGCAATCTAGGATGATTTAAGGCAAAATATAGATGGTTTATTAAATATGTAAAGAGGCAGCAACGCTGCTCAGGAAAGGGGAGAAACCAGAAGAAGAGAAAGGAATGGAGGAGCTTGTGTTGTGGCCTGGATGGCACACCCCGGGTAACCACAGCCCTCAGGCCAGTCCCACTGACCTCTCTTCATTTGCACCGCGTCTCCACCTACCAAGATAACCCCCAAGCTCCAGAGGTCGCAGGACTCATCATAGCCCCCATCCTGCAAGAGTTCAGGTGCGGCATACTGCAGGGTGAAGCAGGGCGTCTGCATGGGCTGCGAGTTCTGGGGGCGCAGGCGGGCAAAGCCGAAGTCAATCACCTTCACGGGCGCTCCTTCTGACTCGTCCGCGTACAGGATATTCTAAGAGGGGTCGCACCAAACACAACAGCCAGTCTGAGTCATCTCTCTCTTTTTTTTAAGGGTAGCAATCAACAGCCATGCCTAGACAGAGATCTTCTCAGAAGAGCACCCTCCCCATCCCTGCAGCAAACCATAGGTCCCATGCGCCAGCTCTTGTGAGTTCTCTGGTAGCCTCTGAGCTCTCATTTGTGACCAGCCAGGCATGTGCCAGCTGTACCCAGAGCCTTTTAGGGCCAGTGGTCACAGCTGGAATTTTAAGGGAGTTCCGTGTGCACCAGTCACAAAATGGCTGCAGTGGGGGCGCGGCACGACACAAAAATAGATGTCGCGTCTAAAAGAGCAGGAAAAGAGCCAGCACCACAAAATGGTGTGGACATCCCTTCCCCACCCCCAGGGAAAAAAGGACACTTTCATGTTTGCTGTGCGCTAGCAGGAAATCCAGCTTTTAACATGGCGGCCGCTATGTTCTAGAATGCTCTGCCTATTTGTACTGTTTTCTTTTTTTAAAAAAAAATAATTTTTATTAACCGGCCAATCAAATCAAATCAAATCACATCACATAAATTTCGAATTACACAGCCGAATTTTAAATTTTGTTGAGGGGACCCATATTTCAAGATCCGAAGGGGGATTCTGATCATCTTCTTGCTACTGCGTTAATGTCCAAATCAATCCAAACAAAGTTCATAATTCTATCCAGTCTTATCTTGCTGTTTCCACATCTCATCTTGTTCGTATATTTTCTCTTTTTTCTTTATGATCTCTTCTGATAATCTCCTTAAGCCGATAAACACCAATAATAATCCTGTGTGAATTTTTCCGTTCATCCAATCCTCAAATCGAGATGGTTTCCATATATCATCGCATTCATAGATAACATCGCTCTTTCCATCATTAATCACAGAACTGTCGCTCTTAAGTCCCTCTGAGGAGTTTCATCCACAATATAAAAACAGCTCTATTTCTCTATTTCTCCTCCCAGACTTAAGTCCTCCGACAGAACTTCCCAATATGGCGACGGTATTTTTAACTGCGTCATTCCAAAGCCCTTATACATTCCACGCTCTTCTTAAAACATGCTTTGGTTAGAAAGTTTATCTCCACACAGACGTAAATCCACAGCTTAAGTCCTTCAAACGACATTTCTGACTTGTGAGCGGGGGGGATTCTTGTTTAATCACATAGAGGAAAGAAAGGAAAGTTTTTTCCCCCTCCCCCATCCAGTCCCTTTGCCATACCGAGTCTTGGCGTATCTTCATCTGATTGATTCGTGTTCCTCCGACTCGTCTTGTTTATCAGAGATCTCTTCTGTTAGCAGTCTTTACTCCCCCTCCTTCCTTGAAATATGTGCATTCGCTTCATCCTAATAATTTCTTTTGAAGTTCTTGCAGCGTCCAGGAGTGCAGAAATCCACAGGAGGGCATTCTGCCTAGTGCCCCCATCCCCACAAATTCGGGGGTGGTATAGGGCACAGCAGGCAAGGGCAGCCCCCCCCAATCCTGGGGGGGTAGGGAGGCTATTTACTCCCATCACAGCCTCCAAATTACCTCGTGTGGGTCGGAGAGATGTTATTGTCAGCCATCTTCTGATGCGCCCCTAGTGGCCCCCTCCTATTTGTACTGTTTTCAACACCTGATGAAAATGCTTTTGTCTGGGTGGCCCAATCCAGACATGCAATTTTATAATGTACACTGCTTAAACTCTACGGATTAGGAGTTGTATCCAGCTAACTCCTCTCACTATTAGACCTGCTGATGGCAAGGAGTCTGTTCTGAGTAGGAGTCAGGTGGATCCAACCCTTTATTTATATTTTGATAATGCTGTTATTGTATATCCAGTTGTTTTTAAAGTCAGTGTAAATATCTTATACTATTTTATGTAAACCGCTGAGAGATTTATGTATTTATTTGGTCTATAAATGTTGCTAAATCAATAAAAACTTCTTGTGGTCTTCGCCAAGCCTTGCTTGCCGCTGAGTCCCAGAGAACTTAGGAGGAAAGTGTGTTTTTGTGTGTGGTGTGTGTGGTGTGTGTGTGTGTAAAAGAGAGAGTTTGCTTTGCTGTCATTTTCCAGGAGGTATTGGCAACCTCTTGTTGCCTGTTCTCTATCATGGAGGCTGTAGGCCTCCTGTCACCCCTCCCTCCACACCAGCTCCCCACCCTGCTCTCCCCCGTTACCTCAGGCTTGAGGTCGCGGTGCACTACCCCGGCGTCGTGCATGAAGCTGATGGCGGAGACCAGGCTGCGCATGATCTGGCTGGCTTCCGACTCGCTAAAGTGCTGCTTCTTCTTGATGCGGTCAAGGAGCTCCCCGCCCCGGAGCAGTTCCATCACCAGGTACGTGTGGTACTGTAGGGAAGGAATGTGCCAAGAAAGAGAAGAAAGCAGCTCAATCCAAGAATCTCCAGGACACGGGGCCGGTACTTAAGCCCAGAGAACTACCTGGGAATAGGGGTGTGTGTCGCATCTGGCTCTGTGATTGGCAGGCAGCTTGCAGTGTCTGGATTGGCCAGAACAGGTTTAAGTTCTAGGAGTCGGGCCTTCTTTCTCTTCCTTGCCCAGCCAGTAGAGCAGTCTCTTTAGCCCTCTCTACAGGGAGGGCAGAGATAGCCTGGCGTGGAAAATTCACAGGACCATTACCTGGTCAGTATGGACGTCATGCAACTTGACGATGTTCGGGTGGGCTTCACAGATCTGCAAGGCAGCCACTTCGCGCTGTGTGTTCACTTCCATCCTGGATTAGGGGTTGGGGTGGGGTACGAAATGGGATTGCTTTTTTATTTCAACATCATACAAAGCAGCTATCAGACACATGGAAATACACTGCTACTTCATCTTTACTGTCCGGCAGAGAGAGGTGAAGAAGGAGCCAATGGCCAGGACCTATAAATCAAACCTCCAATCCATTAGGAACATAAGAAGCGCCTGCCTGCTGGTCCAGGCCAAGGGCCTATCTAGTCCAACATCCTGTTCTCACAGTGGCCAACCAGATGCCTATGGGAAGCCAGCAAGCTGGCCGGGAGCACTACAGAAATGCTGCCCTCCTGTAGTTTCCAGCTACTGGTACTTTTTTAAAAATAGATTTTGTTAAAGCTTTAAAAAAGATATGCACAAATTAAGATCAACTACAAAGTAACTTTTTATAATACAAAAGGATTTTAAAAAACTAACCCAAATAAAAACAAAAACAAAGGAAGAGGAAAGAAAAAGAAAGAAAGAAAGAAAGAAAGAAAGAAAGAAAGAAAGGGAAGAAGAAAGGAAGGAAGGAAGGAAGGAAGGAAGGAAGGAAGGAGAAAAAGAAAAGAGAGAAAAAGAATCCTAACTGGCATTCAGAAGCATTACTGCCTCTGACAGTGGGTTTAAAACACAAGCCATCAGGGCTAGAAGCCACTAAGACTCAGAAAGTAATTAAGGCTCTGCTGGATCAGAACAAAAGGCCCATGGAGTCTGGCATCATGCTTCCTTCTTGGAAGCCTAACAAGCAGGACATGAGCATCAGAACACCCTTCTCCTGCTTCTGGCAAGTGAGATTCAGGGGTAGACTGCTTCTGGACCTGGGGGTTCTACTCAGCCTTAGTCAGTGATGGAACTCTCTTCTTCTTCCTCTGCCATGGATGTGACCAACACACTTTTAAAGCCACCTTAAGTTCTCAGAGTCCCAAAACCTGTGGCAATGAATTCCCTTGAACTGATTATGTATGGCGAAAAGCAGGTGTGGAGGAACCTTTGGCCCTCCTGGTGTTGCAGCAGCGCCATTCTGATCTTCTTATTGAAAAAGAAAATGTCCATTTGACATTGTTCAATGTCAAAATGCCCTGTGCGTTTCTGGGCAGAAGAATTCCTTCGGGAGGGGGAAGGAGTGTGCATGGCAGTGAAGAGGACCAAGTACCTTTTGCTGATTATCTTGACGGCGAATTCTGCCCCGTTCTGGCGCTGCCGGCAGCGGCGGCACAAGGAGAAGCTGCCCTCACCCAGCGGGGTCTCTTTCAAGTCCATCTCATACTTTTGGAAAAACGAAGAATCCTGGACAGAGGAGGAGCAGCTTTAGAGCAGAACCCACAAAGAAAGAACTTCTCCCAAGCACACACACACTCTGGTGTGAGGAACATTTTTGGCCCAGTGGGGTGGAGCATTACCTCCCTACATCCTCATTGGCCAACACTGGCAGATGGGCAGGACTACCCACTTGTCAATCATCTGACACCATATCACTATCAGGTGACTGACAGGTCTCACCCCACTGTCACAAGTTCCCCCAAGGCAATGGGGGAGAAATAGGATTGTCTCCAACTAAATTCTACTCAGAGCTGACCCACTGAAATTAATGAACCAAAATTACTCATGTCAATCAACTGAGTGTGAATTTCATAAATTTAATCTGCCTACATGCTTGAGATTAAATAGCAAGAATAATAATAATCTGTTACGAATACACAATAAACCTGGAAAATGAAAGATTAGACTTTTAAATGCAAAATAATAATAATGATACGATGATATTGGTGATGCTAAGTAGCAGCCAGGTAGCTTTGACAAAGCCTGGATAATAAACAGTGAAGCCTTTTAGCCCACCATTTTTATTTTTATTTTTTAAAGCATCTCTGAAAGTGGATGGAAGCCTTCCAGCATTGCCTTCCTGGGGATACAGCTGCAGGATGAATGCCCGGGCCTACGGATGGCTGGTTCCAGAATGTGGGACAATCAGGCCTTGGCACCGAGTCCATGGGGCAGCTCAGCCAGAGGGGTGGGGGGAAGAAGTGTGTTTCTCTTGGGACAGCCCTCTGCTGACACAGCCCAGTGCCCTTCCTGCTTCACCATGGGCCTCCCGGCTGAAAACAGATCATTATACAGCTGCAGTGGTAGCCTCTGGAGCAGGCAATGAAGGTCTTTTGCCCAGGAGCCCACCAAAACATATCGCTGCAGGTAAGCCACTCCTGCACACCTGGCTTCTCCCCTAGGGAGCTTTTGCCCTAGATTTGGGACTGACAGGAACTATCCACCTCCAAATGTGAAAACGTTGTGAGGGCATGCTTTGAAGTGGTTGTCTGGAAAAGCCCTGGGTGGCACCAAACTCAAGCAACTTTGGTACTGTTGTTTTCTGTGAATCAGGGCATATTGTGGGAAAGATCAGAGAATGCTTCCCTTGACAACTGCCCGGTTCTCCCTAAGGCACTAACTTGTGGGCCAAATTTGGCCCGCCAGGCCTCCTCATGTGGCCTGTGAGGCCATTTCCTCCAAACTACATTCACCTGCCCTGTGCCTGAGGTGGGGCAGGTAGAGAAACGGCTGGGAAACATGTTAATCCCTGCAATGACCCTGTGAGGTAGGTTCAGAGGCTCTAACTGACTCCAAGGTCACTCAGTGAGCTTCATGACCGAGTGGGGATTTGAACCCTGATCTCCCAGGTCCTAGTCCAACACTCTAACCATTACGCCACACTGGCTTCCTAGAGTACTTCTGCTATGGGGCAGCGGTATAAATGAAGTAGGTAAATAAATACAGTGGTACCTCAGGTTACATACGCTTCAGGTTACAGACTCCGCTAACCCAGAAATAGTGCTTCGGGTTAAGAACTTTGCATCAGGATAAGAACAGAAATTGTGCTCCAGTGGCGGGGCAGCAGCAGGAGGCCCCATTAGCTAAAGTGGTGCTTCAGGTTAAGAACAGTTTCAGGTTAAGTACGGATCTCCGGAACGAATTAAGTACTTAACCCGAGGTACCACTGTATAGGGAAAGCAAAATGACACTTTGAGAAGGATCTGAAATATTTTCCTTGAAGCTTGAATTAGCTTTATTCTGGATTGTTTTCTTTGAGATTTTTTCTTTAAAATATAAAGTGGTATAGAAATGAAATTGACAACAACAACAACCACAGAGCTGAACTCCCTACATATCAGCTGATGAGTGGGGAGTTCAATCCTGCTTGGTCATTATTCCATCCCTGTGGGCCACCTTTGACCAATGGGCAGAACCGGATGTCAGGGACTGGCAGGACGAAGAGGAGTGGTGGGAGGTACCAGCTGGGGAACTCTCAAAGGAAAACCCAGAGGAGGAAGGCTCAGAGCCAGGGGATTGGTGGAGGGACACAGAGGAGCGGTCAGAGGGAGAAGACTGGTGAGAGGAGGAAGCTGGAGGGGCAACAGGGGTTAGTTAGCAGGAAGAACCTGTGACAGGGAGCAGTTCAGACTCCAAGGCAGAAGCAGAGGAGGGGGCTCAAGAGACTGCAGAAGAATCCTGGAAGTCTCCCCCTCCTGCTGCAAGAAGCTCCCCTCCCCCCAGACTCCAAGAACACACAGAGTAACGAAAAGAGCAAGTGTGCAGAGGAAGTTTGAGACTGCTTGGGGAACATTCAGGAGAGAAAGAGCCTTAAGGGTAGTAGGAGGTGTGGACCTTCAGTCCTGGCAACTGCTACATAGGGGCAAGACCTACTGGGAAGGGCTGCTGAGACCACAAGGCTGAGTTGTATTTCATTTCTTTGAATAAAGTGTTAATGTCACAGGCATTATAAATTTGCTTCCCTTCTTGCTGACCTGCATCTGACTCCACCCACCTGCCAATCAGCTGGTGGTGGTTCCCCCACCTGTCAAAGTTGGGCTGCGGTGGGGGGGGGGGAGAGATAAAGATCTGGCCTGCTAGGTCAAAAAAGCTTCTTCAGCCTTGCCCTAAGCTCAAATGCTTTCACCACCACGGCCTCAGCAGTTCCCCGCAACCTTCTGTGGCTCCCTGCTTCTCCCTCCCAAGGGCGGACGTTACCTTCATCATTGCACTGCGGGCCACAGCAGCACTTCTTGGGCGCTCTCCGTCCGGTGCCGCTCCGAGCACGTCAGCTGTCACAGCGTTGCGGTTGAAGAGGATGGAAGGAGCAATGAAGGAGTATCCCTTTAAAAACAAATCCGTGCAGAGGTTGGGAGTCAGCACGGTCCTCCAGAGTGCTTCACCCTACCTAGTACATGCATCTTTATGCACATTCCTTGGGCTGGGGAACTGCACTACGGAATTCAGAGATGTGCAAACATTAAAGGATGGCCGTGTTACCGTTCACGTATTGTTTTGGAAAAGAGCACATTTGATTACTTCGCCTTTCAATACAAACTGCATCACGTATCTCCCCAATGCCTAGTCTGGAAGGGCTTTCAGCCTGCGGTTCCATGTCAGGCCACCTGCTCTGCATGCAGGAGGTCCAAAGTTCAAGTCTCTTTGCATGTCATTGTAAGTCAGAGTACAGCACAGCATCTCGTCTGATCCCAGGACTAAGGTTAAGGTCTCTCTCTTAAACCATGACCTGCAGCCATAGGACATGCCATGGCTACAGACTGTGGTTAAGGAGAAGATAACCACGATCCTGCGTTCAGAGAACATGCTAAATTATTTTTCTGTCTATAAGATGCCCCCATGTATAAGACGCCACCTATTTTGGGGGACTCAGATTTAAGAAAATGGGGGAGATATATCTGTGTATAAGACGCCCCCCCCCTAATTTTTCACATTATTTTTTAGGGGGGAAACCTAGTATTATACATGGAAAAATACGGTAATATTTGGCTTAGCAGTGACCTAAAAAGCTGATAGAGGAGTAAAACAGCTGCCATCTCCTCCTTGGGTTCGTGCTAAACCACAGTTTGGCTTAACGTGACATGTGTCTGCAGCAGATTTATAGTTAGCTATGAGCTACATAGACCAATGGTTTGACTCAGCAGATGGCAGCTTCCTATGTTCTCGCAGAATATTTGCACATTTGGTTCTAGGCGACTGCAAATTAGAGAAGGAAAATGAGGAAGCTCAAGACTGCAGCTGAAAAAACGAGCAGCCGGGAGAAACCTGGAGGGTTGTTTAAAAAAAAAAAACCAACAAAGGGGAAAAAAACAAAAAAGCACTTTCATTCTAACGATGTGCTCCACATAATGAGGAAGTGTGTGCAAGATACTTCCTGAAAATTATCAGATTAGGAAAAAGAGCTGCATTTGAGCTGGGGAAAGATTCTCATCTGCAGCATTCCTCAAACGACATAAACATTTTTAAAAATGATTTCAGTGTAGGGCTCTGGTAACATTGTAATCAGTTGTTAGCTGGGCAATTGATCAATTATACCTGCATATATTTGGGTAAGGGGGGAGGAATTCCAAAAGCAAATGAGCATGCTTTCGTTGCCAGATTTTGCATGCCTATATCACTGCAGGCCTTGGCTTAGAACAGACACCCCCCTTTCTCACACAGGAAGAAATGACGCTTTTGCCATTAAAAAAACCTTTTTTTAAAAAAAAAGGTTTCTAATTTATTTGTCTTTGTAAAGTGGCGGGGGCAGGAACCACAAGCCTGGAAGGCCTGTCTGAAACCCCAGAAAGGTTCCTACTTAATATAATCCTTTAATTCAAAAATACAATGTCTTGTCTCTTCCTGAGAGAATGGCCAGAGCTGCTTTTGCAATCAGTAGGTCGCAGGTTCAATCCTCAGCATTTCCAAGTAGGGCTGAGAATGCCCCCATCTGAAATCCCAGAGAGCTGCTGCCAGCCAGAGTAGACAGTACTGAGCTAGATGGACCAATGGTCTCCTATGTTCCTAGTAAAAAGTTTGCCCTGGCCTGGAACGGAGTTGCTATCCTGAACAGCACCTGAATGGCCAGTGATGCTGAGCTATAGGAATCATCTGAAGCTTGTAGCCATCCTAGGGCTGCACCAGCTTCATGTCTACCCTGAGGGAGAGAGGAGATGGGGGAGGATAGGTTGCCATCACCTTGTGAAATAGATGCTCCAGCCAATGCAAGGGATGATCTGAGCTGTAATCTAATATCTGGAGGGGCCATGGGTTCCCCTGCCCTGCTTTAAAGCCAGGGAGGTTATGCAGAAAGAATCCAATATACAGTGGTACCTCGGGTTACATACGCTTCATGTTACAGACTCCGCTAACCCAGAAAAATTACCTAGGGTTAAGGACTTTGCTTCAGGATGCGAACAGAAATCATGCTCCGGCGGTGCGGCGGTCCCATTAGCTAAAGTGGTGTTTCAGGTTAAGAACAGTTTCAGGTTAAGAATGGACCTCCAGAACGAATTAAGTACTTAACCCGAGGTACCACTGTATTAGTGCATATAATCTGACACATTCCTATCTTCACTTTTCAGGGACTTCTCTCTGATCACTCTCTCCAGAGTATATCTCCTCAGTCCTCTTCTCCCCTCCCACTCCCCCCAAAAGCACGTTAAATGCTCTACGATTTCCCTCACAGGTAACCCCCCCCCAGTCTGCAATTTTGTCATCTTCTCTCACCTGCACATTTTGCACCTTTTCAACAGTCTTTTGGAAACAGGTACCAGGAATTTATACCCAGCATGGCAACAACTGCAAGCCACACTACAGGTTGAGATTCCCCCCCCCCCTTTGGCACTCACCTGGAAGAAACGTTCGAGGCTGGGAGGAGTCCCAGCGGGGGAGTAGATGGGCTCCAAGCTGGTGAATTCTTCGGCAAAGTTTCGCACGTCTAGCTCACTGCGGATGAGGGGTTTGAAGGGGGGCTTCACTGTGCGGGCTGCTAGCTCTGTCCAGTCCAGACCCTGGGGGAAGAGGATGCCAGGTGAAGGAGATGGCAAACATTGTGGACACAGGCTGCTGTGAATTTCCCCCATGGAATCCTGGGAGTTTCAGTTCTTTTGTTTTTTTTAAGCAGGGCTCTGGGCTCTTTTGGGACGCGGGTGGCGCTGTGGATTAAACCACAGAGCCTAGGACTTGCCGATCAGAAGGTTGGTGGTTCGAATCCCCGCGACAGGGTGAGCTCCCGTTGCTCGGTCCCTGCTCCTGCCAACCTAGCAGTTTGAAAGCACATCAAAGTGCAAGTAGATAAATAGGTACCACTCCAGCGGGAAGGTAAACGGCGTTTCCGCGCGCTGCTCTGGTTCTCCAGAAGCGGCTTAGTCATGCTGGCCACATGACCCGGAAGCTGTACACCGGCTCCCTTGGCCAGTAAAGCGAGATGAGCGCTGCAACCCCAGAGTCGGCCATGACTGGACCTAATGGTCAGGGGTCCCTTTACCTTTATATGTTATATATTTAAGCAATGCTTATGCTCCTCCAAATATTGTAAGTGACTCGGATGTGGGGGACAGAAGGAGCTGGGGAATGGCGATATGGCTGGCTCAGATGGTGCACTTTGCAGCTCGGGTGCAGGACCTCACCTTGAAAAAGGGGTGCTCTTTGATCTCCTGCGCTCCAGTGGGCCCTGAGCCCAGGCGCTTCTTGGGCTCCTTGCACAACAGCTTTTGGAGCAGGTCGCGAGCCACGGGGCCAATGAGCGACGGGAACGGAGGGTTGCATTTCAGGATCCGCCTGGAAACCAAGCACAAACTCGTCATCGGGAAAAGTCTTGCCCTAAATCCATCAAGCCACACACACACACACACACACTTTGTCTTACTCCACCTTTCTCTTACAAATAAATTTATGGAGGATAAGGCTACCCATGCCTATCAGCCACGATGGCCATAGGCTCCCTGCAGGTTCAGAGCCGGGATGACAGTGAAAGCGAGAGGTAATCACAGGACAAACAATGAGATTGGGCAATTGGCTTCCTGTCCCGCTTGTGGGCTTCCCAGCCACATCTGGTTGGCCACTGGGGAAGCAGGAGGCTGGGCTAGATGGAATTTTGATCAGAATATCACCATCATCAGTTACATTTCTATGCCGTTCTTTGTCCGAGGATCACAGGGCAGTTCACATTATAAAAACGCAATACATACTATAGTAACACTCAAAAAGAGTCGTCCCCACAACACGATCCAGCAGGACTGTTATTAAGTTTTTTATGTCTTGTTCTCTTTAGCTAGGGCTAGCCAATGAGGTGCCGCCCAGATACTACTGAACTCCAACTCCCATCTACCCCAGCAAACGTAGCCATTGGTCAGGGATGATGTGAGTTGTAGTTGATGGAGGGTGCCATATTGGTGACCTCTGTTTTAGCCCTTGACCCACCAATCAGCTCCTGCCACTCTTGGTAAGCCCCATCCAATCACAGTCCAGGCCCTGCTACTCATGTCAACCCCCTCCTTTTGCCCTATCAATTTTGGCGTCTCCCACTAAATCTTTTCCTGCTACCCATCAGCTTCTGCCTGTGTCTGCTCTCTCACAATATCCATCAACTCACACTTCTGACGCTAATCCATTACCCATCAGCCCAAGCAAACTCCCCTCTGTTACCCAGCAGCCCTGGCAGTTCACACCAATCATTTGCACGTTACCCAGCAGCCCTTGTTTCTCCAGTAGAGTCAGTCCATCCTGCCCCCCAAGACCCTGTTTTCCTTAATCAGCCCCAAATCCCACGCCCGCCTCACCTGGACACCTCGGCCTGCGAGTTCTTTTCCCCCTCCAGCGTGAAGGGTGAGGCACCTGTTAGCAGCTCAAACATCAGGATGCCCAAACTCCACCAGTCCACAGACTACAAGAAAGGAGCAAAAAGCATATGGGGTAACAACACGGGCTGGCAGCGGCAACAACACATATCCTTTCCCCCCCTTCCCTTCCTATTGAACATGTCAAGGTTTCATTGTCCTTTTACCTCTAAGGTCACGTCTACACCATGCATTGCTATCCCTGGAAACTGTACAGTGGTACCTCGGGTTAAGTACTTAATTTGTTCCGGAGGTCTGTTCTTAACCTGAAACTGTTCTTAACCTGAAGCACCACTTTAGCTAATGGGGCCTCCTGCTGCTGCCGCGCCGCCAGAGCCTGTTTTCTGCTCTCAGCCTGAAGGAAAGTTCTTAACCTGAAGCACTATTTCTGGGTTAGCGGAGTCTGTAACCTGAAGCGTATGTAACCTGAAGCGTATGTAACCTGAGGTACCACTGTATTGTGAATGGTGCTGGGAGTTGTAGTTCTGTGACAAGACACAGTTCCCAGGATTCTTTGGGGGAAGCCATGACTGTGAAAGCGGTACAAGTTTGCTTCAAAGGTACAGGGTAGATGTACCCTAAGAAACAATCCCAATACCCAACCCCTAGATTTGTCAATTAAGCCACATGGGTCAAGCCAGTAAAACAATGCTCTATATCAGGGATGGGGGAAATCTGTTGGAGGTGTTGGACTCCTCCTCCCATCAACCCCTGTCAGCACAGTGAAGGATGATGGGAGTTGTAGTCCAATGACATCTGCTAGGCTGCAGGTTCTCCATCCGTGCTCTGCATTAAAGTGGCATAAGTACAATATAAGTTTGCATTGTAAATCCATGGAGATAAATGGGCATTTGGAGAGGGCACTACTGTCCATACAGGTGATTTTTGGCTTTTCCTATGAGGTGGATACCCTAGCGGATTAAAGCAGCTGACTGCACTGCCCACAGCTAACAAGTTCAAATACTTTATGCCCTTTAATTCTTTCTTTAATTCCTTCTTGCCTCTAAAATGATCTTTCTGAACAGTTTGCCCAGGAAACTTGAGTAAGGTGGGCATAGCAGTTGGGAGAGATGAGTGGCTGTCCATTGGTAGGATTCTTAAGAGTCAGATACCCCCATTCTTGACTTTATTTCTGTGCTGCCTTTTATCAAGGCATGCTTGTCTCGAATTGGGGCCTCTGGAATGGAGGAGGCGTTTCCAGCAGCTGAGAGCGCCTATGCTGGATAAGGACTTCGGCTGCAAAGCCAGCAGCTGCAAGTTTTAAAATCCCTTGCATGGTACTTTTGCTCTGTAAATCTGCTGGCGTCCAATCCTTAGACATAGGAATTGAATGCTGTCCAACAAACCTTTATCTTCCCCTACCCACACCCCTAGTGCGTTGTTGATTTTTAAACTTAAATATGGACAAAGCATATACAGTGGTACCTCGGGTTAAGTACCGTATTTTTTGCACCATAACACTCACTTTTTTCCTCCTAAAAAGTAAGGGGAAATGTCTGTGCGTGTTATGGAGGGAATGCCTACGGGTGGCATGCTTACGGATTTTCTTCCTCTAAAAACTATGTGCGTGTTATGGTCTGGTGCGTGTTATAAAGCGAAAAATACGGTATTTAATTCGTTCCGGAGGTCTGTTCTTAACCTGAAACTGTTCTTAACCTGAAGCACCACTTTAGCTAATGGGGTCTCTTGCTGTTGCTGCACCACCAGAGCACGATTTCTGTTCTCATCCTGAAGCAAAGTTCTTAACCTGAAGCAATATTTCTGGGTTAGCGGAGTCTGTAACCTGAAGCGTATGTAACCTGAAGCATATGTAACCTGAGGTACCACTATAAATCACTTACATGACCTGCTTATTTGTCAACTGTTATTTTATCAAATCTTTAATGGCAAACAATTTCCGCCACATTCAAATAAGCACACACAAATGTGTGTGTGTGTGTGTGTGTGTGTGTGTGTGTACAGATCTGCAGATGCTCCAAATCCCAAGAAGTCAAAAAAGAAATTAGATTAAAATTAAAATTAAGACAACCTGTTGGGCCTTGAACTCCCACCTGTTGGCTCCCCAGCCCACCTCTCTTCCTCACTGGGCTATTCCAACGGATTAGCAAAGACCTGCAGAAGTCCTTCTTGAGGCTCAAGTTTCAAGCAGCCTTTTTGAACAAAAAGACAGATGCACCCAATCTTACAAGTAGGATGTGGACCCATAATAACAGACTCTATAGGGCAATGGCTTTGCCTGCGGGACTAAGGGCACTTACAAACTGCATCCTGGACAAAGGTCCTAGAAGCTACAACCCCAAGCTGGCTCCACAACAGGGGTGGGAATTCTCCAGCCTGGGGGTGAATCTTGGTCTGCTAGGAGATTCAGTTTGGCTTGTAAGGCGACTTTCTCGAAACCATGACCCCCTCTCAATCAGCTGACACCCGCGGTTGGTGTCAACTGATGGGTGGGGTTCAATCCTGCTGGTCGCTGCTTCATGAGTGTATTCCCATGGCAAGTGCATTGGCAAAGCAGATCCCTGCAGAGAATAGGATTAAACTGGAGCTGCTTTGTCAGTTTGTTTTCTGTGGGGAACGTGAAGGCAAAGCAGACCCCTCCCCCCACATGGGTCAACTTTGACAGGTGGGTGAGACCACCAGTCACCTAGCGGCAGATGTGTGGCAGTTGGGTGGCTCTGTTCACTTGCTGAAGTTGGCCCACAGGGGTAAATATCTGGCCCGCTAGGTCAGAACAGCTCCCCACTCCTGCTTCAACAGAAAGAAGAGAGAGTGAGTTTAAGCTATCCAAGGGATTTGAACTCTCAACAGCTGGCTCTTGAAGACAACAACTGTTGGGAAATGTGCATCAGAAAGTCATTCTTAAAAGTTTCCATTCTGGGTGGCCTCGGGTGCAAAAAAAGAAAAACAGAAATGAAAGTCACCTGTTGGGACTTGAACTTTTCAGAAATGGCCTAAAGCAGCTGCTGAACAGTAGGTCTTGCATGGTCTAGGGCAGAGGTGGGGAACCTTCCCCCCCCCCAAATGTTGTGGGTCTTCAGTTCCCATCAGCCCCCCTCCCCCCAATTCAGGGGCTCCAGGAAAAATAAGATTTTCCAAGTTAAGAGATGAAGTCAACAAAGAGGGGATTTGGACGTGTAACTGTTTGGTTCTACAGTCAGCTTACTTTGCCAAGAAGGCTCAGAGCCAACTTTTAAAGGGATACGAGTGTCTCCCTAGAATACCATTTGAGAATCTAGAGTCTGCAGTTTCCAAACAAAAACGAAAATGCAGCCAAGCACAAACAGAACTTCTTGTTCTTACTTTTGGGGTAAGTTCTCACTCTTGGGAACTGGCTGAAGGCTTTGCTTAGAAGGGTGTTCAGCGGGCTTCCTTGACCAGAAAGAAAGCCATTCAACATTAAATAGGGATTCAAACTCACGGGGATGGGGGAGGCCTAGGGACCTAACCCCTGAACTACAATTTTCATCAAGAAGGCTCATTGTAGGTGTTTCAATTCTAAGTGGCCTCTGCAGTACAAAAGACTGAACAAAATGAAGAACAAGGGGGATTTGAACTCACAACTGCTTGCTTTGTAAGCCACTGGTGCCTTGCTTGGAGCTAGCAGAAGCGAGCAAGAAAGCAACCACGGTTTGCAAGAATTGGAGAGGAAATGAAACATGCCAGTTTCCACGCCTTGCTGGGAGGGACTACTAGGATTGCTAAATTGGGAGCAGGGGTGGGTGGGAGGAAGGAACGGGTTAAAGCTAATTCCATAAAGGCATGACCAAACTGTACACTTTGGTGGTATTTGCCCCCCCCCCTTACAGACCAATATGACTATCTTGTTTTTTGTTTAAGTTGAGACTCTCCAATTTCCAGATTGCAAACAGCATACAAATAATTAAAATTTCTGCCATGAAGCCCCGTCATTACCAGAACCCTGTCTTTCTTAAACTAACCCCACTCCTTTTGCAACTTGCCTTTCTTTCTTTCTTTCTTTCTTTCTTTCTTGTGTGCATACACTGCTTAATTACTATATGGTACAACTTCCACAGCAATTTCTGTCTGACATGCTGTTTACAAATGAAGCTCTGGTCAGTTGGTTCTATGTACTTAGCTTGTTGAATTTCCCTTGGAAAAATAAGGTCCACCCTCCTCCTAATGCAGGTGTGGGGAAACCTCTGGCCCTCCAGATGTTGCTGGAACTGGTGGGAATTGTAGTTCAGCAACATTCGGAGGACCAGAGCTTGCCCACACATATTTTCATGCAAAGTCTTTTGTATTCATTTCCGGATTTCCTTGCAAATAATGATCTGTTCCCTGACCTGCCAGAGTCTGCAAGGCTTTGCCTAGAACCCAACTAGGTTCTATCCTGGCTCCATCCTAACCTGTCAGATTTGCCTTGCCCAACCCATAATTCAGTGGGTTCCACACTGGCGCTGCCCTTGACCTCTTGGATTCCACCCTATCTCTGTTCCTAATCAGCCTGTGGATGAGTGAGGTGGGTGTAACCGTATTTTTGAGATATGAAATTAGCCGCTTTCCTTTTCTTTGCCTTCCAGATTTGCACTGTCAGAATGATTGCCCCAGTTTCCAACCCCTCCCCCATCTACGCCACACAACTCACCTTGCCGTGTCCACTTTTGCTTCGGACAATCTCTGGGGCCATGTATTCAATGGTGCCACAAAAGGAGAAGGTCCGTTCTTTCTGTAGTGGTGGAGAGCGGACGACAAGAGAGGGAGAGAAAGGTACAGAGAGTCAGAGGGAAGGGGAACACTGAACATATCCAACTCCAAATCAGAATGGGGGCCTACCCTTCCTGAGTCTCCCAATTTTTAAAGCTAGGTGCTCCTGCTGTGCTTTTAGCACCACTTTTATGAGCAGGTGACAAGGCTGATGTCTCCACCGTGAAAGCTTCACCTGCCAATGTTGGAAACAGCACACAGCTGTTAAAGCCATAAGAGCAGGGCTGTTTTCTGTTTTTCTGGTCAGTTGGCAATGTGATCCATCTCAGAGGACTGAGTTTATATGAACAGGAGATTATGCGGCACCAAAGAAAATAGAAATGCGCTTGCATCAACCCTCAAGGATCACTTTATGAGCCCATCTTTTCACCTACGTACACACCCCAATATACACTGTTGAAGGCTCTTCATTCCTAGGCTGTATGCTGTCTTTAGCTGTGCACACACCATACATTTAAAGGATATTTAAAGCGCACGGCTTCCTCCAAAGAATCATGGGAACTGTAGTTTTCAAGGGAGATTGTAGTTCTGTGCAGGACAAATTACAGTCCCCAGGATTATTTGGGGGAAAGGCAGGCGCTTTAAACGTACGGTGTGTACGCAGCCTTCATTTACTCTGCAGTAGCACTGACCCAAAAGCCAAGAGGCAGATGCTTCTTTTTTCCGATAAAGATTCAAAAACACAACTGTCCTCTGCAATGGTATCAACAGTTCCAAATATAGCTTGGCAGCTGCAGTGTGTGAAATAGGCAGGCTGCGCACACCATGGTGCCTTAGGCTCCATGCACGTGTGCCGACCTACATGTGAGCCAGAGACAAAAGGAATCCATCTCCTTTCCCATCAACCCACCCTCTGCGCGCGCACACACACTCAGAGGTTTGATTTCTGAGATGCTGGGGAGGGAACTGGACCCTGAGGAATGACAACACGAGCAGCTCATTGCTCACACAATTCTAACAACACACCAGGAATAGGGGCAAGAAAGCAAGGCTGTCCGCAGTCAGTCCGGGAGGTCTACACACCATACACTGAAAACACATGACACGCCCCCCGAATTCTGGGAACTGTAGTTTCATAAAGTGCTAGGAATTGCAGCTCTCTGTGTGTGGGTAAACTACAGTTCCCAGGAATCTTTGGGGAAAGCCATGCTTTCTTGTTTTCTTTCTTTAATAAATAGACCGTATCTACTGCTTTGATTGCAAGAAAACCTCCAATGTGCTTTAAATGTGCTTTAAATGTATGGTGAATATGCAGCTGTATGGTTCTAACCTCACACTGTAGGTTCAGAGGTAGGTTTGTGTGTGTGTGTGTGTGTGTGTGTGTGTGTGTATGAGTGGATGCTCACGCAGGTTAAATAATTTGTGCATATTCTGCTATGTAAATTTACTTTTATTAAAATGTTTTTGTTTAGTCCCCCCCTTTTGCCTTGACTTGGGAACCTTCCCCCCAATATATTCCTAAGCTTCCTACCACATCAACGCAAAAAAATAATAATTCCAGCTTGAGGATGACATGTGCTGATTGCAGCTTGTTCTCCAATGACAGCTGGCTTTAACCCTCTAAACCAGGCATGGCCAAACTTGGCCCTCCAGATATTTTGGGACTACAATTCCCATAATCCCTGACCACTGGTCCTGTTAGCTAGGGGTGATGGGAGTTGTAGTCCCAAAACAGCTCGAGTGCCAAGTTTGGCCATGCCTGCTCTAAAGCATCATGGCTGTGCTAGCTGGGCTGAGTTGCAGCCCAAAATATCTGGTTAGTGAAGGCTGCTCTTAACTGTCAACCCACAATTCCATGGCTCCCTAGATCTTGACCTATTTCATAGGCCTTCACATTGATAAATCTCTTGGGATGAGGAAAGGAAGATGCAGAGCCAGGGGGAACAAGACTCACATCCTCAGTCACAAATTCCTTGCTCAGCCCGAAGTCCGTAAGCACCACATGTCCCTCGCTGTCCAGTAAGATGTTCTCCAGCTTCACATCGCGGTAGATGATGCCGAGCTACGGACAAGAAAGGGTCAGTGTTGAAAAGTTTAGTGTGCAAATTCAGAGATCCGGGCTAAGCTGGCTTCCTGCTTTACAACCTTCCATCTCAATGATCATTGCTAGATATATCGCAATGTTGAACACCAGAAATTGCTCAGCCCTAACGAAGAAGCATGCAAGCAGGATCTGAGTGCAACAGCACTCTTTCCCCACTTGTGATCGATTCCCAGCAACTAATATTCAGATGCACACTGCCTCCAACTGTGGAAGTGCAACATAGCAAAACTGAGCTCAGAAGTGTTTCACTCCTTACATACACACAATATTTGTTGCAAAGGTTTGGCATGATCTGCTTCTTAGCTCTTGAAGGAAATGCTACCCTCCATGAGGGGTGTAAGGGGTGTTAGGGGAGGGGTAATGCCTCTGGTGGGGGACGCACATCATGCTCTTTCTGGGGCAGTTTGTCCACCTTTGGTCCTCACCCTGCACTCAGCTCTCACCTGTGGCTTCTAGAAGCTGTCAGCATGCAACAACAGCCACACCCTGGAACAGCTTCGACTGGCCGGCTAAACCAGGTGAGGGTAGCCAATGGGTCTTAAACCCTGAGTGAGTTAGGGACTTCCCTTGCATGTGAAGACAGCCTCTGGAGGATTGAGCAGTTGAGAGCAGTACAGTGGTACCTCTAGTTGTGGACATGATCCGTTCTGGGGTGTGAAAAGTCCGCAACTAGAGCAGCACTTCTGCGCAAGTGCAGAGCGCAACAGAGTGCTTCTGTGCATGTGCAAAGCACGCAGAACGCTTCTGCAAATGCGGCGAAACCGGGAGTATACACTTCTGGGTTTGCCGCATTCACAAGCCAAAAAGACGCAACATGAACCTAACGCAACATGAGGTATGACTGTAGTTGGGTCCAACAGTTAAGAAGGTGGTTTTTGCACATGATGTAGAGGGAAGTTAGGGGCAGATGGCGTTCATCAATCTGGGAAGGTAGCCCATCTAGGAGAAGGAAAACTCTGATTCTAAACTTCCGCTGCCTTGCAGGATATCTTTGGGAGAAGAAAAGGCTAAGAAGAAAACCCTACAGAAATCTGGAGTCCCTAAGACGATTGGATGGTGCCTTCCAGCAACTCCTGTAGCCAAGCTGATGCCAAACATATTGCTCTGCTCTCCCTCGGACCACATCAATGAGTCCGAGAGGAGGGTCTTGTCGTCCAGGCAGGTTTGCACCCTGGAGAGGTTACTTCTGTGCTTCAAACACAGCATTTAGACTTCACCCCCGGAGGTGCACTCCATTGTCTCTCAAGACAGACATACCCGCAATCCTCCATGAGTTTGCCTCGGAATATATTTAAATAATAAGTTCAAGGTCTTTGAATTAGAAAGGCCCCAAGTTCTGTTCCATTTACACAGCATTGACGCTACCTGAGTTGAGGCCTCCCACACACATGACAATAATAATGGTATTATCATTGTTGTTATACTGTACTGTCTCACATTATTATTTTAAAGAACATCATAGCTCTCTGCAGAATAGCTCATGCAGAGCTGACCTTATGATGCACGCAGATCTACTCTAATCCACTCACTTTAATACAGCACATCCTCAAACATATAATAAAGCCTATTCAATCAAATTTTAAAAAAAGAATAGACTACGAACAGTTGAAATATATTGCCGAAATATTAGTATTTCTAACAGCCTCATATGCATTTACTAATGTATTGGGTTGTAGCCAACTCAGTTAGTCATGGCCATTATTTTCAGTGGGTCTACTCTGAGCAGGAATGGCACTGGCGGCAACCCATTTGATCCAGTGAAACTTCTTGTTGCAATAGTTTACAGGCCAAATAATCTCAAGCTTCATGAGATCACGCCTCTGAGTGCAGTGTCAGGTCCATTGTGCAGAATATTTGACGGATCTTTGCAGAGTAATACAAACAAAATAAATGCAAATCCCTGTCCCCAGCAATTTACAATCTAAGGTGAGGAGCCTCTTTGTTAAGAGTTGCATGCCCTTGGGACATAATTTGTCAGGGGTGCACATACAGCTAATGGGCAGAGGGCAGAGTGAAAAGAGGGTGGGCAATGCTCCTTTTCTCTCTCTCCTTCCTGCCCCACCTTTTTCTTTCTCTCTATGCCAACTCCTTTCCTTCATTTCATAGAATCATGGAACTGTAGAGTTGGAAGGGACCCCTGAGGGTCATCTAGTCCAACCCCCTGCAATGCAGGACTCTCAACTAGAACATACATGGCAAGTGGCCATCCGAACTCTTGAGGGCCAAATTAAGTTAGGCCCAGGGCTGCAAATTCCCCTGTCCAATCTGTAGTTTTGATTAGCAGGTAGGTGGAGAGAGGCAAAGCTATTGATCTAAGAGAGAAAAGGAAAGAAGTGGGGAGGAGCAATAGCTGTGGCCTTGAGTTTGAGAAGAGTAAGAAGTGAAGATGCTCTCTGAAATGAAAAACTGCCTTATATGGTCAGGTTATTTGTCCATTTGGTTCACTGTGAATTTACTCTGACTGGTAACAGATCTTCAGGGTCTCAGGTGGGAAGCCTTTAAGACCCTGGTGGCTGCTGCCCATTGGGAAGGCAAGGAGCCCAGTAGGAGGAGGAGCCAGAGCCAATGGCAGGCAAAGCCAACTCATTCCAGTTTTTTGCCTCTCCTCCCCCTCCTTGCTGAGTTCTACTAGGGGCAACAGGAGGAGGAGGAAGGAAGCTGACAAGCAATGCTACCCACCAGGCTGGATATAAGTAAGAAAGCAGGCAGATGAGGACTGGCTGAGGGGCAGACTGAGGTTGGTGGCTCCACTGCCTTGATAGACCAGCCTCTGTCGCTTTCATATCCACACTAGACATTATTATTATTATTATTATTATTATTATCATCATCATCATCATCATCATTATTTTTGTACCCCACCCATCTGGCTGAGTTTCCCCAGCCACTCTGGGCAGCTTACAGCGAATAAAAAATTGTAAAACGTTTGACATTAAAGATTTCCCGATACAGGGCTGCCTTCAGATGTTTCTTGTAGTTGTTTATTTCCTTGACATCTGATGGGAGGGCGTTCCACAGGGCAGGTGCCACAACAGAGAAGGCCCTCTACCTGGTTCCTTGTAACATCACTTATTGCAGTGAGGGAGCCGCCAGAAGGCCCTCAGAGCTGGACCTCAGTGTCCGGGCTGAATGATATGAGTGGAGATGCTACTTCAGGTATACTGGGCCGAGGCCGTTTAGGGCTTTAAAGGTTGGCACCAACACTTTGAATTGTGCTTGGAAACGTACTGGGAGCCTATGTATCCAAACAATGACTAAACCTTACTCCTCGGTAATGACATGGTCTGGTCCTAGCGTAACTCCTACTACTTACCCACCTGTGATCACTGTGATCGGGTGTCCTATATATAATTATATAATTTGGTACTCAGCTAAGATATACTCACAAATAGCTGTAAACCATTTGCCTATCTTTTGAATCGACATTCATGTTTATTAAAGCATCTACTTTACCAAACTTACTTTACTGGAATGCAAACAAAATATCTTACAGATCTCAGGAAGTTATGAATCATCACAGCATCTTATAAGCATTATTTGCAAAAAAAACAAAAAACAAAAAAACTACAATTAAGAGTACAGATGATCAAACAATTGCAAAGTTCAAGCAAACTATGCTGTATTATTCAATAACTAATGAAGCATATATCGTTAAACTGCTAGCCTTCTTGAACAACTTCTTCCTTGCTTTCTTGTTGGTGAACTTATCATTTTGTCAAAAGACATTTGCCTAGCAGGTTTTCTTCTGGGAGCTTAAGGTGGCTAGGCTGCTCTTGCCCTGTGGTAGGTGATCCTTTGCCAATAACCCACAATCTGTGGGATGGATCCGGTTCTGTGATCAGAGCCCACCTATCCTGCAGTATCTGGTGCACATCCCTGTCCCAGCCCATCTCACACTGGCCAACCAGATGCCACAATGGGAAAGTCACAGACAGAAACTGAAGGCAACAGCACACTCCCTATTTGTGGCAGGTATACAGATGCACACTGCCTCTGATAACTGAGCACCAATCACAATGGCTTCTTTGTCTGCATAAGATAACTGCTTCCAGCCTGGTGGAGTCCCTGGGGCCCTTCTGTGACTGCTGTTTGCATCAGGCACAGCTGTTGCCACTAGGAGTATCGCTCCTGAAATGGAGGGAATCTGGATGAGGATGGCAGTGGGGCAAAGCCCTTCATTCCCAATCCAGCTGTGTTATTTACTTTTTGAAGAGCATTCATGCAATTATACTAACAGCACAACCCTGCCTGGTTTGGTCACACCTCCCTCCCTTCCCACTTCTCACCTTATGCAAGTGTTCTAGCGCCAAAATGATCTCCCCACTGTAAAACCGCACCTCGTCTTCGGAGAAGTGGTCCCGTTGGTACAAGTGGGTGAACAGCTCCCCACCGCTCACATAGTCTAGAAGGGAAGAGGGAGGCAAAAAGGTTAATTAATTCCCAGGGTCCAACCTGAAAACAATCCCCCGACCCCCCACCTTCAAAATATTATGCCCTCTTCCTGATTCATGGCTTTCAACAGATTCTCAAAGGGGTTCATGACCAAAAATGGTTAGGAATTCCTGTTCAAGATGACTTAGGACCAGGATACCTCAAGGACAGCCTTTTTCCAAATGAAACTGCAGTGTTATTTATTTATTCCTCATAGGCCTTTCTAGGGGTCTCTACATCATCTGAGATGAGGAATGTTATGATCCGCCTTTGGAACTCACTTGCAACATCCTCTTTGTTATCTTTTTTTGTACCAGGGGGAAGCCTTCATTTTAAATTCACCCAGGCTTTGGGGGGTGTTCAGTTTCTGGACTAAAGACTTTCCCTGACTTTTTTTCCAATGTTCTGCCATTGCCATCTCCTTCTGTTTTAATGTATTCATTATTACTGATGTTATTTTGTCTTTATGAATAAAGAGCTCCCCCCCCCGAAATTTATATGATTGTTGTCTTTTAAACAAATTGTCAAATTCATTAGAGAGGTTGTATACAAAAAGTGATATACAGATGATTAAAACAAATATTTATTCCCCCCCAACCTTTCAGAGACCATGTTTATTTTAATTTTACTTCCCCACCCTCCAACCTCTAGTTCTTCTGTGTTTTATGCTGATTGTTATTATTGCATTGCTGGGATTTTAATTGTATTCTTATTTGGGGTTTGTTTTGTTCCTATTGCCATGCTTAATTTTGATGAGTCCCAGTTTAGGAGAAAAGAGGGATATAAATACATTACATCAGTGGTTCCCAATTGGTGGTCCGTGGACCCCAAGGGGTCCACACAACCCACCCAAGGGGTCCGTGGCACCATTCATATAACAAAAACTACCATAGAGATATCAAAGTTTTCAAAATTTTGGGGTCCACGGCTTGGCTTTTGAAAAACAGTGGGTCTGCAGTACTTAGCTAATTGGGAACCACTGCATTTAGCAGCAGAAGTAGTAGTAGTAGTAATAACAATAATAAGTATAAACCACTGTGTGGTCATTCCACCCCACTGAAAACCAGCATACAAAACCGCAAAATAAATACATAAGTAAAACCATAACAAATATTACAGTGGTGCCTCGCAAGACGAAATTAATCCGTTCCACGAGAGTCTTCGTCTAGCGGTTTTTTCGTCTTGCGAAGCAAGCCCATTGACGGATTAGCGCTATTAGCGCTATTAGCGGTTTAGCGGCTATTAAAGGCTTAAAGGCTTAGGGGATTAGCTGCTAAAAGGCTATTAAAGGCTATTAAAGGCTTAGCAGATTAGATAAAGGGGGGGGAAAGCGAAAAAAAAATCTCAAGACTCGCTTCGTCTTGCGAAGCAAGCCCATAGGGGAATTCGTCCTGCGAAGCAACTTCAAAACGGAAAACCCTTTCGTCTAGCGGTTTTTCCGTCTTGCGAGGCATTCGTCTTGCGGGGCACCACTGTATTTGAAACAGAATCATTGCCTCCCCTCATCTATCCTCCCAGTTCCATGTCCGTCCGTCCCCCCCGGTTTGCACCCCCACGATGCTCATACCTAGGATAAGGTGAAGCTTGGAGTCTGTTTGGAAGGCGTAGTGGAGCGTCACAAGGAAGGGCGACTGGCGCACATGTTCCAGAACCATCCGCTCGGTGCGCGTGTGCTCTGTTGTTTTGGCCTTGGTCACAATGGCCGCTTTGCGCAGCACCTTCATAGCATACAGCTTGCCGGCATCGTGACCGCTGAGCTTGCGAACCAGGAACACCTTTCCATAGGCTGGAGTTGAAATGGCAGATGGGTTAGGATGGCTATCCTCAGAACTGCAGCCCCCTTACTCAACCCCTACGCCTGCTATCTTGTGGGCATTAGGGGAAAGGCCTTTTAAAAACACACACACACACACACACACACACACACACGGCCTTTGTTGTAATAGGCTGCAATCTAAATCTCTGGTCTCTCCTGCTGGCTGGGGTGGGGTGCGAGATGGGGTGGAGGTCTTTCTCCATCCAGCCTAAAACAGTTCTACCAGCCTCCATCAGCTGCATGACACCAGTTTCACTCTTCAGGTGCAGATCGCATTAGCAGTAGTGCATAAAAACCCCTGATGGCATTAGGTCCCAATCCATTTATCTTGGAGGTCTAAGGTTCCCCACTCCTACCCAGTGGCTGCCTCTATTTCCCATATTCTTAGTTTCATTGCTTCTTTTAATTGCAGCGTGTGGAAAGCATTTGATTTGTGTCATTTGATGAATGTCTTTAAAGTATTTACACTGTGCCTTTCTGTCAAAAGTATTCAAGGCAGCTAACAAAAACAGCACAATATTATTTAAATAAATAAATAAATAAATAAATAAATAAAATTATAATTATAATTATAAGACAGGAACATCAAATAAGGCAGGAGCAAAGCAGTGTCCTTAGAAGGCTTCAAACTTATTTTTCCTCAAATGCCTGACAGAATTGAACTGTTTAAATTTGCCACTGAATGGAGAGAAATATGAGTTCCAGATGAACATACTGGGGGGAAGGATTCCATAAACCTGGGTGCCACCACTGAGAAGGCCCTGTCTCTGATGATGGGGACACCCAGCGCAGACCCTGCATAAGAACAAAACAGCTCTGCCAGATCAGATCCAAGACCCATCTACTCCAGCATCCTCTTTCCCATAGTGGCCCATCAGATGCTCCAAAGAAGTCCAAACACAAGCTGAAGCAACAAATAGCTTTTTCCTGTTGTTATGTTCCCAGCATCGGGTATTCAGAGGTACAGTGCTCTTGCACATGAGAGCTCTGTTTAGGTATCATGATGAATAGCCATTGTTAGACCTCAGCAAGGAAGCAGGTCCATATGGCGAAAGCATGCTTAACTCAATGATATTGCTTTAGAAAAGGGGTGGGGAATTCTCAGGCTCAGAGGTTGAGTATGGCCTTCCAGAACTACCCCCCAGGTCACACCCCTCACTGACCTCCCCCCAATTCCCCCCACATGTTTTTGCATGGCTGGAATGTGCTCTTGAACTCCGAAAATGCCTTCTACTATTCAGGATGAAGGGTAAAGAGGGTGGATGAGTGCAGAAACTAGCCTAATGTACAAACATAATATTTACATCTGCTGACCCACCCACCCCACATATGGCCCTCAGAAGGTTGCCCAGAAAGGAATATGGCCCTTGAGTTTAAAAAGGTTCCCCGTCCCTGCCTTGAAGAATATCAGCAAGCAACTCCAAAGAATTTCATTTTTCCACCTTCAGTTTCTGACCACTTTAGAAAACTGAGCCTAAACGTATGCCATCTTTCGTTTCAAGCTCTCTGTCAGGCATCAAAATATATTTTTGCTACACTGTTTTCCAACTTCTGCTTTACAACTTTGGTTTTCTTATTAATTGTTATGCATTTGTGTGCCGTATTACCTCCCCCAAATAAAATAGATTCTATGATAGAGCTGCTTTCGACTCACCTCCGGTGCCCAGGACCTTGAGTAGTTCAAAATTCTCCATGCCAACTTTCTCCTCATGGCCTGTCAAGTTTGCTGTTGAGGGAAAATTCAAAAACATACACTTTTCAGGTGGGAAGAACAAGGTAGAACTGGGTGTGTGTGGAAGGAGAGGCTGAACATCAGGGAGACCTCCAAGACCCCTTTCCTGACTTTCCAGCTTTCCATTAAAAATGAAAAGGATAAAGAGTAACAGTGCAAACCTAACCTTGTCTACTCAGAAGTAAGTCCTATTCAATTCAGTGGGGTGCACTCCCAGGTAAGTGGGGTTAGGACTGCAGCCTAAGACCCCAGTCCAACTAACACTGGTCACAATTTGATTCCCATTGAAACTAATGGAACAAGTTCATTGCCAACCTCGTTGCTTTCAGTGGGATCCACATCATAAACCTATACAGTACATGTCTACTCGAAGGAAAGCCCTGCTGAGTTCAATGGGACTTACTCCCAGGTAAGTGCAGAAAGACTGCAAGCTTAGGACTGGATCCAATGTTGTGTTGGTCCTAATCAAAGACCCACTGAAATTAACTAACATGACTGAGGTCCATTCATTTCAATGGATGGACTTATGCGACACCACCCCTAGTCGTCACAAATTTAGTTGGATTGAGGTCCACATATTTTACTTAATGGAGATAGAAGGGCCAGGCATGGGGGTGAGCTGTGTGAGCCATAATCTTCTCATTTACTCATAAAGAAGTTAAATTTGATTCTGCCTTCTGGCATTCTGGGGCCTATTGCTATTACAAGTATTAATAATAAACATAATATTATTAGATACTATATCTTAACCGGCCTTCAGCACAAGGTCCTAGGGCAGGTTACAGCAATGTACCATTACAATATTGAAATAAGCTAAAACAACTTACGTTCAGAAGATTTACAAAGTGTTACAAGAGACTGGTGCTTATTTTTCCCGAACTGTATTGAAGTGATTTAAGAGGAATGAAATAACTTTTAAATTAAACATGCTGGCCCATTTTTTAATGAAGGTGGTCACTATTTATTTATTTATTTAACAACTTTCTAGAAAAGAAAATTAGAAAAACTGACAGAAAGCATTTACACTGGGTATATATTATAGTGCGTTGAAAAAAATACCTTGGGTTGTATCCAACATTAGTCCTGCTCAGAGCAGACACATTGAAATGAATAGACCCGGCTAACTTCAGCCTATTTTCAATAGGTCTACTCTTGAGTGGAATTTAGCTGGATACGGCCCTTCGGATCTTGCGAATGATGTGTTTTGCTACACCCGTTTCCCCGAGTGTCTACACTTTAGGCCCAACCACCTGGACCCACCACAAAATCTCTGGCTATGGGGCACGGGGGCGGGCATTGTGCCAATGGTGCTGAGACACTTCTGGCCCTCCTTCTCCTCATGGCACACTCCCTTTGCTCTCGCACGGCACCCGTCCCCACCCTCTTCCCTAGGGTTCTCGGGTGCACAGGGGAGGAGGCCCCATTTCCGGCCTATGAGTCACAACTTGGCCAACTCTGAGAGGGGGGGAAAAACGGGCCCACACTTGCCCACAGGAACACCTAGCCCAAGAAGGCCTGCCACAAAAACGCAGCCACTACAAAACACCCTCTGTAGGGCTGCCGCCCGGTGGCTTATAGCTTACAGTGGTACCTCGGGTTACATACGCTTCAGGTTACAGACTCTGCTAACCCAGAAATAGTGCTTCAGGTTAAGAACTTTGCTTCAGGATGAGAACAGAAATCGTGCTCCGGCGGCATGGCAGCAGCAGGAGGCCCCATTAGCTAAAGTGGTGCTTCAGGTTAAGAACAGTTTCAGGTTAAGTATGGACCTCCGGAACGAATTAAGTACTTAACCCGAGGTACCACTGTACAGTGTTTTCTAATTTATTGCTAATTGCACATTTATGGCCACATCTTCACCTTAAAACAGGGTGCTGAGGGGAATAGTTCCCAGGAATATTTGGGGGGAAGCCATGACAGTTGCAGTGGAATCCTGGTGCTTTAAATACATGTGGATGTGACCTATACATGGGTATCAATATTTTCTTAGTCTTATATGTCATGCTTTAAAAAGCAGTGTGTGTGTGTGTTTGCCTTTAATTGTTACCCTCCTCATTTTCATCCCCTCGCAAATACTGTAGCTAGTTTTGTTTTATTTATTGGCTAAAAGCATTTCACTAAATAAGAGACCCAAGTCTCTTGAGTGTATTTAAAATACAGTTGTCTCCCCATAGGTCTCCTTAAGAACCTGCTTTTAATGCCAGCAGCCTCAGCTCTGTTACCCTGGTGGGAGGAAGGGTGGGCTATAAACTGAAATAGTAACAACAACAACATATGCCACAACAGTAACATTCACTTTGAGCATGTGCAGAGTACATCTGCCATCAAGGAGTTTCTAGTAAATACAGTTTGCAAGCAGACAGGTCCCCTGTGTTCCTGTTATATAAAGCTCTCTCTCTCTCTCTCTTTTTTTACGAGAAAATATTCAGGGGAAGATCAGGTGCTGTACAAATCGCCTTGCTGGATCAGACCAAAGTCCATCTAATCTGGCATTCTGTCTGCAAGAGAGGCTTCTGGGAAACTCAGCAGCAAGGCATGAAAGTATACTGCCTTCCTCACAAGCAAGGCCTGCTCTCTGTTCTCAGCATCTAGTACTCAAAGGTATACTACTTCTCAACATGTAAGTTTCACATTTGAGTCAACACCTTTGCCCAACCAGGTGCCCACCAAATATTTCGGACTACAGCTGTGCTAGCTGGGACTGATGGGAGTTGTAGTCCAAAGAGTCTGGAGAGCATCAAATTGGCATCAAATTGAAGAAGAAACGAGAGGGGATGGAGTGCATTTCAGGTCATGCATAAGGTAGTGACATGGCCCGACAGACAGTGTGATTGAGCAACTCCTAACCTTCGCCCAAATTAAGATATTTGCCCCAGCCTGGCATGCAAGGTACAATTAGGATGCTGCTGCCAGACTCTCACATTCTGCTTCTCATATGCCAAAAGGATTGAGAAACATGTGCCTCTTGTGTGCGGTGTGTGTAAATCAGGTGTGGGGAACCCTTGGCCCACCCAATGTCCATAGAATCATAGAATTGTACTACAACTCCCATCCGCCCTAGCAAGCATTGCCAATGGCCAGGAATGGTGGGAGTTGAAGTTCAGCCACATCTGGGGTAAACAGCCAAGGTTCCCCACGATTGATGTAAATGGTTTTTAGTCTGTCAGGGTCTCCGTCTCTCATCTGAACAGAAAAAAGGTTTTACACAAACACACAAACACAAAAATTACTCCAAGAGTGGTATCGGATACCATGTTTTATTTATGCCAAGGCTCAACCTTTCTTTTCTTTTTTTAATGGTGGGATTATGCAAATCAACAAGCGAAAGTACCTCTGACCGAGGTGCCGGGGAACCTGTGTTCCTCCCCCACGATGCTCTTGGACTGCAACTTCCATCATCCCTGACCACTGACCATGCTGGAGGGGGTTGATAGGAGTTGGGGCCCAACCACATCTGCGGGACTCAGAGCTGTCCCACCCTTGCCTTAAGAGCAAAGACCTTTGCCTCATCATCACAGCACCCACCAACACAAAGTTGTATCTGGAAGTGAAAGGTCAAGATGTTTGGATCAGAAATGGTGGCTTCCCTGCAAGTTTGCACCACAAAGCATGCAATCATTGGTACCAACTACCCTTTATTATTCGCTATTTCCCCAGCCCTCTTTAAATGGAGGATGCACGGATGCTGAAGATGGCCAGATCATTTTAAGAGCCCCTCTCTTGAAGCGAGGCGACTTTTTTTCCAGTGGGGGGAGGAGGAGAAGGAGCAGATCTCTTACTCCAGACAGCCTTCGCCAGTACACTGTTCTCACAAACACACACACACACACACACCACTTCCCACCACCCACCTGCCAACCGCCTCCAGCCGCCCCTACGGCTCCCTCCCCTTGCCCCCACCTGCCAATCCAGGCGGGGGCGGGCTGGTGATTCAGCAACACCCACCCCCACTCCAGCTGGGTCGGGAGGCGGGGCGTGCATAAATTAGGGGCGGAGCTCCGCCACTTTGAAAGATAACACTCTCCCAGGCCCTCGGGTGGGATAGGAAAGGCTTCTCTCTCTCTTTCTCGACTCCCGACGTCTCTCCGCAACCCCAGGCGGGTCTAAGCGTTGCCCAATCGCGCCCTCTGTCTCTCGGCAAAGGTCTCCGGGCACAGCCGAGCCGGGATATCCGCTCTCCTTGCAAAGCTGGCTGTTTTAGCAAGGGCAGAAAGCAACTGGTGTCTCTCCTCCTCCTCCTCCTGCGCCCAGGTCACGTTTATCCGCCCTCCCCGAAATCCTGTGCATCACCGCCAAGATGACTCTCGCTCTCCTCCCTTCCACCGACCCAGTTTATACACCGAGATCTGCAGTCACCCCCAATCTCCTTTATCACGGACGAGAAGCGGGACCTGCGTGCCGCTGTCCCCACCGCGGACAAAACCCCTATTCCAGTTTACGCGCTCCAGTTTAATCTCACTCCAAATATTAACGCCGCGCACTCCCGATCGTGTTTACACACCGCGATCGGCGCCCATAAGAAGCCGTGCAACCAGCCGACACCCCCCACCTCCTTGTCCCTCAACGTGCGCCTTCCTCGGATCAGGTCGATACGCCCCCCGATGCGTTCCCTGCGCTCCAGCAGCGCCCTCTCCTCCTCCTCCTCCACGCGCCTCCAACCGGGTCCTGAGCCGAAACCCAAGGTCCCACCCCGCCGCCGCCACTACGGTGCGCCCTGCTGGGGGTCATCTTGTCATTCCCGGAGGAGGAGGCGCCGCCTGGAGGGTCGGGGGTCCTCCTGACCCCTTTCCGCAGATTCTCATCTGCGGGACCCTCAACGAGCCAACCCCAGCCCCAACCCCGCGCGCCCCGCCGGAGATCCCATCCCGGGGCGCCCGGGCCAGCGGCTCCACGTCTCCAAGGACCGCCCGCGCGCGCGCCAAGGGGGACCCACCCAGCTGCCCCCTCCCTCCACACACACATGCCCGGCTCTCCTCCCCCTCGATCGCCTGGTTACCGTCAGTGAGAGGCAGCTCCACCATCTCCTCCTCGGCTCCGCCGTCCCCCATGGCCAGGCCGGCTTCTCCTTGCTCCCTTCCTTGCCCTCCTCTCGCGCTCTTCTCCTCCTCCTTCCTCCGCTTTGGTTACATGGTGCGGGCCCTGCGCTTCCTGGTGCAGCAAGCAGCCCGCCGCCGCCGCCGCCGCCTCCAGGCCTGACTCAAGCGGCAGGAATGTGACAGCAAGCAAGAGGAGGAGGAAAAAGCCCAGGGAAATCAGGGGACCCGCCCCAGGGAGGGACAGGGGACCCCCTTCCTGCTTAACGCGCCCCCTGCCCGAAGTTCCGTGTCACCCCCGTGCCTGGATTCCCACCACACACGCACACACGCTCGGACTTCCTGCGGGGCCCGTCTCGGCCAATCCCAGGGACACGCTGCTTCTTGGGGAGGCGCGCGGTGGTTTTTCTCGCTGTCCAGCGCCTTGCACCCCTGCAGGAGCGCGATTGTTCCCGGGGATCTTCGCCACCTAAGTTTTACTCTGAGTAGACTCGTTGGAATGAAAGGATCCAAATTAGGGGGCTGTACCTCCAGCTAATGCTCGTCTTACAGACCCATTAGAGTGATTGTACAGGACTGACTTAGGACCCTTAATTTCAGTGGGTCTACTCGGAGAAAAACTTAGATGCAATATTTAGGCATGTCCATTTGTTTCAATGGGTCACAGGACTCCTCCAGACAGATAGATAGATAGATAGATAGATAGATAGATAGATAGAATTTTGTGCAAGTGAATTATTGCTGTGATGTAGAGGTTAAAGTGGAGGACTAGGACCTGGGAGGCCAGGTTTAAATCCCTGCTCAGCCATGAAGCTCGCTGGATGATCCTGGTGGCCAGTCACTGCCTCTCAGCCTAACCTACCTCACAGGGTTGCTGTGAGGATGAAATGGGGAGGGAAAGAACCATGTTGGAGGAACGGTAGAATAAAAATGTGATAGTTAAATAAATAAATGGGGAGGTTATACATGGCACATGGAAATGATGGTATGGTGTCTCTACACAGGACCCAGAATATGGGAAGCACAATAATAAGCCCTCCTGCTACATGGAGATTGGCATAACTCTATTTATATATTATTTTGGAATTTATTTATTTATTAAACATGCATACCGTTCTTCATCCGAAGATCACAGGGAGGTTCACAGCATAAAAGTGGGAACACAAAATACATAATAAAACAAACAAATCAATAAATCCCTCCCAGATTCTGCTGTGGATTCTGCTAAGTGGACTCTGCCAGTTTCCCAAGGTCTCCCATGTGGATTGTTGGGATGGGAGATGGGGATCAGCCTGGGCAGGTCAGCTTACTCACAAAAACTTTTTTTTTTGTCACAATTGAGTAGAATGTTTTTGCTCCATCTTTGATTTTTTGTTTGTTTATTGCACTTATATTCCATCTCTTACTCCAAGAAACTTAATGTGGCACACACGGTTCTCCCCCCCCCCCCATGTACGTAAAACCTCTAAGTGGCTTACAAAAAAACAATAAAATATACAATAAAATTTAAGAACAATACATTAAAAAAAATCAAAATGCAATTAAAGCCAGCAGTTAAGCTAAAATGACAGGTTAAAACCTATGCCAGTTTTTGTCTGAGTGCAGGCTTGTCTAAACAAAAAAAGATTTTAGCAGGCTCGGAAAACATTTTGTACAGTGAAAGCCAAGATGATCTATATAGCCCAAATGTCAAGTGGCGGCGAGGTCCAGAGGGTAAGTGTCACCGCGCTAAAATATTTCTTCCTTACAAGTGTAAAACAAATACTATGTGGCCCTTTTAATAGTGCCAGTTCTGCAAAATCAAAGTGGTCAATGAGGCATATCTGGTGCAAGGTGCACAGAGCATTGGCTGGAATGGACAGAGAGGGATGGTGGAACAATAGTTAGGCTAGCTTGATTGTGTCAGCCGTAGCATTTTGAAACAGGAAGGAAGGGATTGTGCAAGGGAAGAGAAAAATCGGCAACTAGGCCATGAAATAGCCTGTCTTTGGCCTCTGCTGGTAGGAAATCAAAACTATGCTAAGCGGGGAGAGCTAGTGGAGTGTAGGAACTTAAAGCAGACGTTGCAGAAGTGGCTAGTGTATGTGTGTTTTGGAAGTGCTGCATACTCAGTTTGCATCCTCACTGGGAACCAGATTTATTTGAAGCTCGCACCTCTCCCCGTTATGCTGTACAGTGGTACCTCAGGTTAAGTACTTAATTTGTTCTTGAGGTCTGTTCTTAACCTGAAACGGTTCTTAACCTGAAGCACCACTTTAGCTAATGGGGCCTCCTGCTGCTGCCACGCTGCCGGAGCACAATTTCTGTTCTCATCCTGAAGCAAAGTTCTTAACCTGAAGCACTATTTCTGGGTTAGCGGAGTCTGTAACCTGAAGTGTATGTAACCTGAAGCATATGTAACCCGAGGTACCACTGTATTGTTTTTAACACTCAATTGGGAGCCGCCTAGAGTGGCCGGGAAAACTCAGCCAGATGGGGGGTAATAACAACAACAACAACAACAACAACAACAATAATAATATTTTGCCTGTGATAGTGGTGGCTGCAGCTTCTTTGGTCTGGTGGGGCCGAAGGCAGGGGAGCCCAACAGTAGGTGGCGCCAGAGCCAGTTACAGGCAGAGACAGAACCATGGGATTTGTAGAATTGGAAGGGACCACAAGGGTCAATGTGGGGCTCAAACCCGTGTCCCTGAAATTAAGTCTCCACATGCTCTACCAACTGAGCTATAGATGGCTCAGTGTCTAGTTTTGCCGCTATCCCCCCCACTCCCTGCTCAGTTTTACAAGGGGCAACATGGAGGTCTAGGGAGAGAAGACAAGAGCCTGTGCCACCCCCTGGACTAGATGTAAGAAGAAAGGGAAGGTGGGGGCTAAGTAAGGGCAGCTCAGGTTGGTGGGGTGCAAGCTTAAAACTGTGTACCTAGGTAGATAGGCCAGGATCTACTGCAGTGGAGATGAGGGCATATGGGGCACTGCCCCACCATTGTCTGCCGTTAGCTATCCCCTCCCTCCCCCCTCCCGGCTGCCTTCTTTCTTGCAGTCAATCCAGTGGGTGGTCCTGCCTGGCAGCTTCCTCCTCTGTAGTCTCAGTACTGCCCCATGCATAACTCACCAGAGAGGGGGAGGAGGATGGGGGCAAAACTAGGATTATTTGGCTCTGCCTGTCATTGGCTCTAAGGGATGCGGGTGGCGCTGTGGGTTAAACCACAGAGCCTAGGACTTGCTGATCAGAAGGTCAGCAGTTCGAATCCCCGCCACGGGGTGAGCTCCCGTTGCTCGGTCCCTGCTCCTGTCAACCTAGCAGTTTGAAAGCACATCAAAGTGCAAGTAGATAAATAGGTACCGCTCCGGCGGGAAGGTAGACGGCATTTCCATGCACTGCTCTGGTTCGCCAGAAGCGGCTTAGTCATGCTGGCCACATGACCTCCACGGAAGCTGTACGCCGGCTCCCTCGGCCAATAAAGCGAGATGAGCTCCGCAACCCCCGAGTTGGCCACGACTGGACCTAATGGTCAGGGGTCCCTTTACCTTTACCTATCATTGGCTCTGGTGCCCCCTGCTGTTGGCGTTGCCTTCCACACCACCAGACTCGATGAGCACCAGCCCAGACTGATCTCTGGGTCATGTGCCACAGGTCAGGCAGGGCTTCCACCTCTCAGTTGTTTTAAAAGCACATTTTACCTTTATACATACTCTCTCTCACACACCATTTCTATCCTCTCCATGCAGGAAAGCAAGAAGCATTAGCAAATGTTCAAGGACACATTCCTGCCAAGCTGATTTGCAGAAGCCATCCAGGATTTTCAACTGGATCCCCCCCCCTCGACTGACCTGAAGATGCCAGGGACTGAGACTGGGACCTTCTGCATGCAAAACAGATGCTCTGCCACTGAGCTACGGGCATTCCCTGAAGACATGGAAACATAGGAACAGCTCTTCCCTGTCGAAGTGATATAATGCTACTTTAAATGTGAAGCGTAGAAGGGACATCAGCCAAGGTGTTATGTCACCAAAGGCAAAATAAGTTGGCACCTTTGTGAGCTCCTCTCCCATTCCCTGGCAGTAAAAATGCACTACTAATAATAAATAACAGTTTGCTGCTCTTTCGTGGCACGCTAAACCAGCCTCCTCACTCTCCCAAATGCTTGGGCCGGCCCTGCTTCTTTTGTGGGAAAATGATCTCACGCACCTCCTGCAACGCCATGGTGCTAAACCAATACAATATTTTGTGCTGTTCACATTCCACTCCCAGAAAGACTGGATTGATAAATAACCATAAACTTTATTTTTAAATACATTACTTAACTGCAACAATTCGGGCCCATCACCCTTCATACATATTACATACATCTATGGTTGCAGTGCTCAGACTCAGCCCCTCCCCACACCTGCTGTTCAAACTGGGTCACCTTCTTTAGAGGGTATTACATCACTTGCTTCAAAATGCAGCGATCCAGTAGCCCTGCTGCAGTTGAGGGGAGGGAGAGTGCTCCTGCTCATCTGGCTGAGTGGGGACCTGGATGTCTGCCCCAAAGTCCTGTCCTGACAGCCCCACTGCCCATAGGCATCTGGGCCCCCACCCAAATGAGACCCTGTGCTTTGCATTCATTTAATGCCTCCCCATCGTTCCAATAAGATGTTCACATCAGTTCAGGTTTGGAGAATCAGAGAGGGTGAGCCCTCTTCCTCCACAACATCACGATGGACGCTCAGGGGTTTGTTCCTCCTCACCCAGTGGCGGTCCTGAGAAAACCAAAACAGAAAACACACAATGAATTGCAGAAGCTTTGTGGGGCAATGGGTCTGTCCATCTGGCTGTTAACCAGAAGGTTGGTGCTTTGAGCCCACACAGGGATGGCTGTGAGCAAGATTCCCTTGCAACTCCACAGTTCTAGGATTCTGTGAAAATATTTATTACAGCCTCGGATCCTTCCTTTTTTCTTTTATGATGATGATATAATAATAATAATAATAATAATAATAATAATAATAATAATTTATTATTTGTACCCCGCCCATCTGGCTGGGTTTCCCCAGCCACTCTGGGCAGCTTCCACAGAAACCAAAAATACACTAAAATCACACATTAAAAACTTCCCTGAACAGGGCTGCCTTAAGATGTCTTCTGAATGTCAGGTAGTTGTTGATCGCTTTGACATCTGATGGGAGGGCGTTCCACAGGGCGGGCGCCACTACCGAGAAGGCCCTCTGCCTGGTTCCCTGTAGCTTTGCTTCTCGCATTGAGGGAACCGCCAGAAGGCCCTCGGCGCTGGACCTATATATATCCTTTAGGTATACTGGACCGAGGCCGTTTAGGGCTTTAAAGGTCAGCACCAATACTTTTCTTGCTTTGATCTCTTCTTTTTCTCCTATATTATTGTTGTTATTGTTGCTTTTTGTGTATTAGAAAATCTATCTATCTTCTTATCATTTTGATCCCCACCCCCTGCTCTAGGGTGCAGGGGCCTAATTTTGGTAAAGAATAAGGATTTATTTGTTATGAGCATCTCCTAACACATTCAGAAAACAGCAGTTGCGAAGGAACCACAAATTTCTTGCCATAGGACCTGCTCTTCATGCTGGAGGTCCTGGGATCCACCACCAGTGCCTCCACTTAAAAGGATCCGGGCCTTTCCAGATTGTCACTATTCCCAAGTGAGAGATTCCATCACCTAACAGCGAATTCAGGTTACGGAACCAAAGCTTATTTGGAGGTCCTGAGCAAAAATAAGGCCCACTTCCCCAAAAGGCAGACCTACCCATCCCTTTGCATAGGCTTTCCCATGGGCATAGCCAATATTTTTTTTGAGGGGGGCAGGGTTTTTTAGGGGGGCAGAACCTCAGATTTATATTGATTCGTATTGATGAGCTACGCCCATGTGCTCTCTCCACCCCATCTCTCTCATCTCACCTCTCTCCTTGTCACTCTTGGAAGTCTGGCTGGGAACTTCCCACTCTGCCGCAGCTTCTTCGAAGGAACCCCCCAGCATTCCAAGACGGCGCTGGCGGAAGCGCTGGCGAGGGGTGTCCTGCTCTTCTCCTGGGCATTCCACCGCAGGCAGCCGTGAGCTCAGCCTATGGCGGCGGAAGGGCGTCTGTTGGCCATCCAAAACACTGAGGGTGCTGCTTGCTTTCCGGAGAGGGGCTGGTGAGCTGGGGGTGCTGGAAACTTTGAGGGCAGCAGGGTTAAGAGGAGAAAAGAGGCAAGTCAGGAGACAGCAGAGCTGGGCAGGTTGTGCCTCAAGAGAGAGAAGCCCCAAACCTCTCTGCAAGGCTCCATAATTAATAACCATTTGATTGCTTACCCACCCTGCACAAGAAATTGAAATACAACACTAAAAGGCTTTTTAAAAACAACATTAAACATTTTGCTCCACAAATAAATCCTGCATCAAGAAAATTCTGCAACCTTGTTTACATTATGCCAATCCGTATAATGTTTTGTTAATCTGCATCATTTATTCTGCATTTCACATAATTTATTTTAAATTTTATTTAAATATTCATAAACTGCACTCATATAAAATTTCACAAGGCGGCATACGGACTAAAAACATAGTATTACAATAAAAAAGGGTCAATAATTAATTAATTAATTAATTAATTGTCGTAAAGGAGGAGCACCGAAACTCTTAGCCTCCTGGGCTAGAAACTTGCACCGTCTATTTAAAACAACTGAAAGCTACAATTTTTGGGAGGGTGAATTCTGATCACAACATAAAATTCCATGCTTGTGCGGTTATGATCCTGGAATAAAAGCATCTCTGTCTGTGGTCCTAATTTCTTTCTTCCATTCATTTATTGCCCTTTGGTGTAAAAACATCGCCAGGAGAGCTTACACAATTATAAAAAGGAAACAAAAATACCTTAAAACAGGCGCAGGAAACCTGTGGGCCCTCCAGATGTTGTTGGACTCCAGCTCCCACCAGCCCCAGCCAACATGGCAAATGTCAGGGATGCTGGGAGTTGTAGTCCAACACACCATTCTAGAGCAGGAGAGGGGATCTTTTTCAGCCTGAAGGCTGTATTCCCTTCCAGCAACCTGCTTCAAGCGGCGGGGGTCATGCCAGTGGTATTTGGGGCCAAAAGCAAAAGTGGGGAGAGCAACAGATGTCAATCTTCCTTTATTTAATACATTAGGCTGCTTTACACACACACATTCACACTCCCTTCTCTGTCCTCCAGCCAGGCAAGCAGTAGGCATTATCAGAGTTCAAGGATACATTCCAGCCAGGCAAAGCTATTCAAGGAGGGTTGTGGCCTGGAGAGAGTTGTTGAGAGCCAGACAGAGAGGCCTGGAGGGCTGTGTTTGGCCCCTGGGACTGAGGTTCCCCCTCCCTGGTTCCAGAGAGCCACCACTTCTGCCCCTATGCCTTCCAATATACTAGTGAAACCCGAGAGCGAAAACCTCTCCACTGCCCCTGCCACGACTTTCTCCTCCCTTCTTTCACCTGTTCCATCAGCCCCACGTCCTTCCTGCCCTGTTAGGCTCTCGCTGCTCCCAGCCCCCTCAGCCATGGGGCGCAGCTGCTCATGGGGGGCTTCCCGTCGGTGTTTCACCAGCTTCCGTATTTTCTCGGCAATCCAGTTACTCTTCCTGTGAGGTAAAAAGCGGGTGAGATAAAAGAGTTGCGAAGAGGAAAGGAAAAGGGAAGCTAAAGGATGGGGTGTTCTGGACAGTTAACAGGAAGGACCTTCTACACTCAGTGCATCCCTGGACTATAGAACTGGCTCTCTCAAGAAGTGGTAAGTGACAGTCACTAGTTTGGATGACTTTAAAATACAGCTACATCTACTAGTCATGATGGCTATATTATCTCTGGCATGATCAGAAGCTGTATCAGAGCTCCACAAGATTATCCTTGGAATAAGAGAGTATAAACAATGGCCCTGTTTTAATCTGGTACGTGTTGGGAGGGTGAAGAATTAGCCAATTGGAGCATGCTTGTCACAAGCTCTGCTAGTGATACAAGAAAACATTGGGGTTAGCTTTTACAGCCCAACTCCCCATCAAGGGACCCAGTATCATTGTAGGTCAGAGAAGAAAGAGTAGAGGCAAGAACCAATTGAAAAATGCAAGGCTGATCTTTATTTTCTGTTGAAATAGAGTCCCCCCACCACCCTGCCTTGCAAGGAGGCGAGAATCCAGAACAAAGGTATGTGGCAACTTTTAAAGACGTTAGAAATTACCCAACCCTCAGCCTAAAACCACTCAAAAGCATCATAGGAGTGTCATAGAAAGAGGCGGGTCTACAACAGACATTTGAGTGTGTCACTTGTCTCCTGTCTGTCAAGACACCTGATAATGCTTGCTGATTGCCTTTTCCTAGCCAGCCCAGCCCATTCTTTTGAAATGGTAAATATCTCAGTTCTTGAATGCATTGCCACAGGCCTACCCATTCTAGTGATAAGTTTATCTATTTGAAGGATTTGTAGGATTTTTAAGTGAAAAGAACTATTGGGAAATGTTTTTCCAAGATACTTCCTTCTACTCCATAGAAAATATTTGGGTTCATTAAGAGTCAAGATGGCTTCAGGATGACTCTATGAACTCAAATAAAGTATCTATTTCCCCCCGGAAATATTTCCTAATTTTTGAAGGGTGAAGGATTCGTTTTCTGTGTGTGGGATGGGGGGTTTCCGCTATGTGTGCACCTTAAAAATTTGTGTAACACTAGGATTTAGAACAGAAGATTGGGGAACCTGTCAGTCCCTCCAGATGCTGACAGAACTGCCATCATGCCTGACCATTAGCTCTGCTGGAGGGGGCTGATGCATTAAGGGTTCTTATGAAGACCCCAGGGACTACAAGTTGCCAAATTATTCTTGGACTTACTTGCCACGAGGAAGTGCTGGCTCCAGCACCCGGTACTGGTCCATGATCTTCTCCACCAGCTTCTGCTTCTCCCGACGCAGCTCGCCCAGTTTGTCTCTAAGGAAGAAACCGAGTGGGATTTAATGCCAAGGTCCTCCAGGCTGCAGAGCGTGCTGGAGGTGTTCAGGACAGCGCAGAAAACTTCAGAGGAGGCCCTTATGGAGTTCTTGTCTTGGATGTGCAGGCATCTACTAGAGCCACACAGCTATCAGCTACCCGATGTCACACACTTGCACCTGGCACTCAATTTAATCAGCACTGAAGGCAACCCACACTTGCAAAGAAACAATCAGGAACAACTCTAAGGGCTGTTCTTTTGCAGCGACACTTTTAAATGACAAACGTGGAGGAAAATGGTCTTGTGGGCTAAATCAGGACCCCTGGTGGGCCAAATCTGGCCATTGGCCTACTGGTTTCCCATGCCTGCTTGGCAGATTGAATTTATTCATCAACTGATCAGCTACTATTCCTTTAATCAATAACTACCGTAGCTTTAGGTCTATCTCCACTTGTTTTAGTGTCATGCATTAATTCTGCCTGTGGGCAAGAGGTTCCCCACAGATTTCATTCATACATCAATCAATCAGCTACAATTTATTTATTCTACTTAGCATCTGTCTCTACTTGTTTCACAGGTGGGTTGTCTCCCACTCACAGGTACTGGCGCTGCTCCTCTTGGAAATGCTCCCGGCTCTCCATGCTGTGCTCCAGCAGGCGTCTGTTCTCCCTGCTTAGCACCTGAATCTCTTGAAGAAGGTGTCGGTTCTCCTCCTCCTGGTTCCCTTTCAGCTGGGCCAGCAGCTACGGGTTGTGGGAGGTGGGGAGAAAGAGCATCCCATTAACAGGTGGAATTAATACCCACCTGTTAACAAACACACAATGCATGACAACCAACCCCGCATGCAACCAACTCCACAAGCTGACTCAACTTGCTACGCTGGCACAGGGATTCTGCTGAAAAGGTAACAGCTGCATTTAGGGCTCCCCGTCTCTCCTGTCATGTGTGAGGATGCTCACCTTTGTCGTGATGTCAGCACACCATACATTTTCCTTGCCTCAGCTAGGAATGACGTGATGCAGGAACGCACCATGCGATGACAATGTGGGGGGTTTCTACACTATTGAGGTGTGGACATGTCCTCTCCATCTCTCCATGTCTTTATTAGCAGTATCCATATTGGATGTAAGCCCTCAAAAACCTAAATATTCAGACACGTGCAACGTCATGCGGCCATCCAGACCCCTTTATATGGCCCTTGCAACTAGGCCCAGAGGCAAATTTAGGGCAGTGTGACCAGTTCTACTGCACTGGGCACTGAACCCAGGGGGAGTTGCAGGGCGTTGCAACTATGACATAGTTAACTGGGCAGAATGGAAGGCAAGAGGCAATGGGGGTGCCAAATTTTGGCCTTGAATTTGAAAGATCAAAGCCTGCCCCTGCTAGGCCACGCCCACTCTCCAGGCCACTCCCCTTGCTGGTTCTGCTCTGCTCCTTCCTCAGCTTCATTTTTGTCTGCCTGGAATGTGCTCTTGCACTGTGACAATGCTTCTTGCTTGCCTGTCTGCACGGAGGCTGGAGAGATGGGTGGCTGTAGAAATGGCTGACTTCTGCATGGCTGGAATTGAGCCTACTGTACAAAGGGCAACAGCCCCGTCCATTATTCCACCCGTGTTTACCCCAGCCCCACCCACACTAGGAATTCTAAGAAACCCCCAAATCAGCGCAGTTTTGAAAGGTTCAGTCCTCCATCTTGATTCAAAATGGCACCCACCCAGCTGTATCCAAACACAGGAAAACCTGCTCCCCAATCTCAGGAACCATCATTTGAGATTTGGTTATAATCTAAGAGGTGTCCAAATGCAGAGAATGAACTACTTTTGAATAGAGGCATTCCCTCCTGTGGGTGAGACATTGGGGGATGCCTCTTTTTAAGAAGATGCTGGCTGTAACATATGCCTGCTTCACGAGAAAGTAGCAAAAGGTATTCCCACATATTATAACCAGCATTCTCAGTGGTTACAGCCAAGGAACAGCTTTCCCACTTGATCTGCTGCAGACATGGACTAGGCCAGAAGATGTGTGTGATGTATAAGGGGATGGGGAGGGTATCCTTACTTCACACTGGGTGCTCAGGCGCCCTAGCGCCGTGTCCAGTTGCTGGTTCTGCTCCTTCAGGGCGTTGCTCTCAGCCTCCAGCCTCGCATGCTCCAGCTGTAGGCTGGTCACCCGGTTCTTCATTCCTTGAAGCTCTCCCTGGAGGTCGTCCCGTTCACGTTCTGTCTGGCCCAATGCCTGCTTCACCCTGGGGAATCATAGAATCATGCAATTGTAGAGTTAGAAGGGACCCCAAGGGTCATCTAGTCCAACCCCCTGCAATGCAGGACTCTTTGCCCTATGTGGGGCTTGAACCCACCACCCTGAGATTGAGTCGCATGCTCTACCAACTGAGCTATCCCAGAGTAGATGGCTGGGAGTGTCACAGAGCGCTTGCCGTGTACAAAGGAGGTCCTTGTCCCCTTGGCTTATCCAGTGGTGGGGAAACTCAGGTCTGGGGGCCAAATGTGGCGACGCAGGCCTCTCTATCTGGCCATCGGGACTTTCCCCAGGCCACGGTCTGCGCTGGCCCTGCTTCCCACCTTCCGGGGACACATTTTGTCCAGGGACAGATTTGTAAATCGGGGGACGGTCCCCAAGAAACGGGGATGTCTGGTAACCATACCCTAGTGCCAAGCTCACCCCATTTCCTCAATACTGCGCAGGTGTAAATAAAAGATGGTGGTCAAACAGGTCACCTGATATCATTAGGTACTCCGGCAATTGACAGGTGGGCAGCTACACCCACCTATCTAACTTGGCCGGTGTGGGTGAAGGGGGAAAGAGCTTGGCCTGCCAGCCAGATCCAGTTGTCCACTGCTACATAATAAGTATCGGCAGGTTTGGGGCATGCCCGCAAGGGCTGGCTCCCACCTTCACCCCTGGCAGATACACCCTCCTTACCGCTCATGCTCCTCCTTGAGGTGCCCATGCAGTGCTGCCAGCTCCCGGTGCTGTCGTTCAGCTTCCTCCAGCCGCTCCTTTTGCCCCCGAAGTGCTTCCTCCCGCTGCTCAAGGCCAGTTTTCTGCCCCAGCAGCTCGCTGTGCCTGCGGGAGAAGTCTGGGTTTGACTTAGGCAGACGTGCCGTTTAGGAAAAGGCCTTGTGCTCCCCGCAAAATGAAAAAGACTGGGGGTTCTGTTGCTTCTTGTTATTTCTGCTCAGTACTCTGGTTCCAAAGAAATCGTTCTCTCATGTTCCCCTAAGGCGTGGGGAATCTGTGGCCCTCCAGATGCTATTAGGACTACAACTCCCATCATCCCCTGCTGGCTGAAGGGGGCTGATGGGAGTTCAACAGGTTCTCCATCTCTGTTCTCAGGGGATTAGACAAATTCATGGAGGATAAGGCTATCAGCGGCTACCTGTTATTCATAATGATAGGTTATAAATATAATGAACACGTAGTGTTGCCTGTGGTTTAGAGCAAGGATGAGGAACATCAGGACCAGGGGCCCCATGCGGCCCTCCAGACATCTGTATCTGGCCCTCAGGACTCTCCACACAAGCCACACCTCCTCTCCAGTACTGCTCCACCCCCTCCTCAAGGACATTTCCCCAGCTGGAATCTCTCCTCAAACTGTGATAAATTGGCACATCTAGAATATAGCTGACAGTATGGAGGTAAAAGTCACATAGTTCAATCCACTTTTGGCTCATCACTGGCCCTAACCTGCCTCACAGGGCTATGGTGAGGATAAAATGGGGAGAGGAAGAACCACATACATCACCTCAAACTCCTTGGACAAAAGGTGGGATATAAATGTAATAGAGAAATAAATAGAAATAGACCTCCCCACACACACCAACAACTTACAGATTCCCTGTCCCAGATTTACCTGGCCTGCAGGTCACGGTGTTCCTGCTCCAGGCTACGCAGTGCCCCTTTGAGGCTGGCATGTTTCCCCAGCAACCCCTCCAGGTCAGATCCCTGCCTCTCGTGCAGCACCGTCAGGCGGTCGTGATCACGCAGGAGGGCATCGTAGCGCCCCCGCCACTCCTCCCTCTCCTGCTGGGCACCCCGGGCTTCTGCCTCCAGGACAGACAGCCTCTGCCGCAGCTCCAGGAGCTGGGATTCCAGTAGCGTCTTTTGGGAACGCAGAGATGCTGCCTCCACCTGCCAGGATTGCAACAGGGATATGAGAGCGAGAGAGAGAGAGAGACGGACACATTGTAAGCTCCTTGGGGCAGGGAGATTTAATCAATCCAATGACAATTGCTCATACAATCCTGAACAAGTAAATTCAGTTGATTCACTCTCTGTTAAGTATATATAGAAAGCAACCTTAGGCTACGTTCACAGCATACATTTAAAGCACATTTCCCTCCCCAAAGAATCACAGGAACTACAGTTTGCCGCATCAGCTAGCAGAGGGAGGAAGAACAGGATGCCATTCGGGATTATCATGGAGACACTTTCAAATGGAAGTCACTTTTATTCATATTTCTTCTCCTTTGCTTTTTGCTTTTATTATACTCATTTCTTTGCTTTTACCCTCCCCCCTCCTTTTAGCCTGAGTGTGAAAGACATGTTGGATTTTCTGCTTGAATCCAAGCCTGTGACTATGGGAGAAGCAAGACTTTCTGAGGTATTAATGCTGTGAGCCCCACCATCGTGGGCTCAGGCTGCATATATGTATAAATAAACCATATATAATAAAGATATGTCTCCAATATACATAATTCCAAAGGAAATACAAACCCTAGGTAAGCGCCTGGACCCCCTGGAATCTTGCACAGCTTGAAGTGGTGGTGCGACATTTTATTACCATTTATTTTTTAATCGTGTTCTAAACAACTGGCTCACGCCAATTTTCACATGAAGTAATTAAGAACAATTTAAAATGCAAAAAAGTGAATACATTCAGAACAAAACCCTGTCTGAGTAGACACTTGTGGTGAATACCCATTTATTCAGCTGGGAAAGCCTGTTGGAACCAAATTGTATTCAGTTGCTTCCAGAAAGTGCAGGTAGTGGCTTACCTGTTTTATCACAACAGGGATGCTATTCCACAGAACAGAGGCAGCCACCCTAAAAGCCCCGCTCCAAGTTACTACAGAGAGAGCTTCTGAGATCTTTGGAACTTGCAGCAGAAATTATCCCAGAGACAGCAGCATCTACTAGGTGTGTAATATATAAGTCAAGGGTCTTCCTGTGCTCCATAGACTTGAGAAGGTGGGAAGACCTGGATCCGTGTTCCCAGGAATCAGCTCCCATCCCAGGGGCAGAAGAGGCAGGGGTGCTTACCTGCAGTGCGCTGTTCTGAGCCTGCCACCTCCCGCTTTCCTCCTTCGCATCGGAGCTTTGGCCCCGCAGCCCCAGCAGCGCCACCTGCAGGCTGCTGACTTGCGAGTCCAGCTGGGCGAGACGCTCGGTTAGCGCCGATTTCTCGGCCTGCAGAACGGCGTTCTGTAAAGGCAGCACCCGGGTGAAATTGGTATGGGGTAGCAAAGTTGGAAGGCCTTCCACAGCTGGCTGGGGAGGTGATCTCCCCAAAGACATATAGCACTGGACCTGGACCAGCCTTCACTGATCTGGGGCCCTCCAGAGGTTTTGTACCACAACTCCCGTCGTAGCCGTCTGCTCACCTTGCGTTCCACTTCAATGAGTCTCGCACTCAGGGCCTCGTTTCTGGCATTAGCCTGGAGTGGCAACGGGCCTGAGTTATGTTCACTCTGTCCCTCCTGGGTCACAGGCGGCTCCTCCAAAGGAACAATAAAGCCACTCTTTGCCTGGGGAGAGAAAACAAAAGTCTAGTTTTGGGGAACACCAACCTCTGTGCCTGAGGGGAATTGCACTGCAGTGGTTGAGGCCTGGGCTCAGGCCCAGCCGATAACCACACACAACATCCTCAGGAGCTGCCAGGGCTCCATAACTGGGCCATCGATTGCCCCCAGGTAGACTATCTGAACTTGGCAGCTGTGTATCATTTCAGTTTCCTACAATGATCCCATGACAAGGGCATTGTGGGATATTGAAATGGTGGCTCCAAACCACCCAGCACACTAAAACCACAGAATGCCATCTCTCCTTGGACTATATGGAATTGGCGGAAATGACTGGCAGAATCCGAGACCAGGGAGAAGAGTCGATGGAGGAAGACTGGAAGAAATTCAAAGACTATCTTCAGAAACACTGCAAAATTAAGGAATGTTAGAGTGATGATGGACTGAAAACAAGTGGTTTCCAGCTGCACAGGTTAAAGTTAAGGATAGATTAAGATTAAAGATTAAGATTAAAGAAGTTTAAAGAAATGGAAATTTGATTTTAAAAGGGGAAACTTTAAAGTTATATGATATTAAGATTAAAGGATTAGGTTTAAAAAAAAAAGTTGAAGTTATATATTATAACATTTAATTAAATTAAAGATTGGGATTAAAAAAGTGGAAAAGAAACTGCTGGACAAATATGTGGATTGGAATACAAAAGAGGGAGGTATGAGGAAGTCCAGAAAATAAGTAACTTAAAATTGGAAATGGAAAAGAGAGTTTGTTTTTAATTGTTTTGTGTTTATATTGTTAAGTCTTGTATTGTTTTTTGTGTGTGTTGTTTTTCTTTTTTTGTTGTTTAAAACTTTAATAAAAAATTATTAAAAAAAAAAAAAAGAATGCCATCTCTCCTTAGGGCAAGGATGGGCAAACTTTTTCAGAATGAGGGCCACATTCTCTTCTGGGCAACCTTCTAAAGGCCACATGCCTTTGGTGGCAGGGGCCAGGAGCAAAAGTGGGCGGAGCAATGAATGTAAATTTTCCTTTTGTACAGTAGGCTAGTTTCTACACACTCTCTCACACACCTCCAGGGAAGCTAAGAAGCATTATCAGAGTTCAAGGACACATTCCAGCCAGGCAAAAGCACTCAAGGAAGGCATGAAACAAGGCCGGTGAGGGGTGTGGCCTGGGAGAATGAATGTGGCTGAGGAGACGGTGTTGTCAGAGGAAAGCCCTGAGGGCCAAATATAGGGGCCCTGAGGGCCACATTTGTCCCCTGGGACTGACATTCTTCACCCCAGCTGTAGGGCCCCCTCAAACCTAGAATGAGCCTTGCCCGGGCTACACGTGAGACAAAACAAGGGGTAAAACAAGAGGTAAAATAGATTGCACCACTTCAGACTGTAGGCGGCAGGTTCACATTTTTTAATGCTAACCTGCACTGAAGATGTATTCAAAAGTAGCTTTCCCCTCTTGCGGTGGTACAGTCTACGCTTCTAAAGTCAGGACACTACCACCTCATTCTGTTGCTGGGCATGAGCCCAGAAGTGCCCTGATGAAAGGACACCTTTCCAAGTTCTCACCTGATGGTTGTTTGTGTGTTGCTGATTGAGGGCACGTAGTTCCTCAAGCTGCCTCTTGAGTGCGCTGTTTTCCTCCTCCAGTTCCATCTTCTTCCCATTAGTAGGTCTCTTTTGGTTTTCCTCACTATAATGCCAGGAAGACACGAAACATACATTAATCCCAGGGCTTGCCAACATGGTACCCTCCAGACATGGGGTATACATTTCCCATCGTCCCCAGCCAGCATGGCCAATAGCCAGAGATGATGGAAGTTGTAGTCCAAAATTCCCTTCAGCCCAGTCAGGACAGCCAATAGCTAGGGATAATGGGAGTTTTAGTCCAAAACATCTGGAAGGCACCCTGCAATTATTATTATTATTATTATTATTATTATTATTATTATGGCTTTTTTTTCCAACAAGCAGGGAGCCACTGCAGAAAAGGCCCATTCTCATGTAGCCACACTCTTGTCCAGAGGGCCTCAGAGGATCATCACAGTGTCCAGGTCGGTTCATATGGGGAGAAGTGTATGAGGCATACTAGTTTCACTTATTCAGACAAGGGATAATCCACAGCTGTCCTCTTCAGAAATTGGCTGGGAGAATTCTGGCCTGGTATGCAAAGAATTCTGGACAGTTGAAAACCCTAGCTTAAATTGTGCCACCACTCGGTAACCTACCTGTGGTGCTGCTGCCTGCTTTGCATCCCAGCCTGTGGGCTCTCTTCCTTCTTCAGCAGCTGCTCCTTCAGCTGAGCCAAGACGGCTTCCCTCTCCTTCCCCTTTGCCTTCTCCCTCTGGAGCTCCTGCAACAATTGACATCATTTGAAGGGTGAGAAATCGAGGGGGTTTGGGTTCTTTGAAGCAGTTTCTTTGCACTGTTCACTGATCCCTTAGAATGCATACCTGTCACCTTATGTCTACGGTTCAAATGTATTGTTATTTTAATATGTTGTAGTTTCTACATCAACACTACTGTTATTATTATTAAATGGGCTAGGTGTAAGTGAGGTTAGGACTGAGGCCTAAAAAACATCCTCACTTTCAATTAGGTTTATTCAATCCGGCCCTGAACCCTGGATTAGCTGCAGAGAACAAGGGCGTGGAGTTCCACCCACCCAAATTGTTGCGAAGCTGGTTTGTGAAATAGGACAGCTCATAGTTATATGGAACTCACTTCCACAGGAGACAGTGATGGCCACTAATTTAGATGCCTTGAAAGAGGATTAGACAAATTAGCAGAGAAGACAATTTATCAATGGCTACTAGCCATGATGTATATGCTGTGCCTCTACAGTCAGAAGCAGTGATGCTTCTCAATACCAGTTGCTGGAAACAGCAGGCGGGGAGAGTGCTCTTGTCCTTGGGACCTGCTTGTGAGTTTCCCACAGGCGTCTGGTTGGCCACTGTGGGAACAGGATGCTGGACTAGCTGGGCCATGGGCATGATCCAGCTGGCTCTTCTCACATATCTATGTTCTTAACAATGTGTCAAGCAGTGGTATTTCATAACAAAGTGCAGGATATACATATGCATTTTGGACAACAGTTGTGCGAACACAGGTTAAAAAGCCAGGACTGGAAGCAAAGTTGAGCGAACGGTAAACACAGCCCTATTGGCCCACATTATTTTGCAAAAGGATCAGCAACAAGCAAAGGCTCAGTCTGTGGTCCACCAGAAAGTGGTACAATTAATCTACTTGGCTTTATTTTATAAAGCCTCTGCGGCTGTTCTTGTCCTGTAGTGCCCTCTAGCGGGCAAAGCCAAACGATAAAACACTTAACATATGCAAGCAAAGTATTTTAAACTGGCAGGAAACAATGCCAGGGAAATTTGGAGAAATGTTGTGTGTATGGCGTGCACAACAATAAAGCGGCTACTTACACACTGCCAGAGAAGAGGAGCACACAGATCTCCATGCAGTTTGCATGTGCTAACTTGCTTGTATCAATAGATGCATATTGAGAAATAATCTCACTGTAGCAGGGAACATGACTGACCAGAGTACACATCATCTATTTAAAGCATTGTTATCCCACTTTTAACACGCATGCCTTTGCCCTAAAGAATCCTGGGAACTGTAGTTTGTTATGAGTCCTGGGAATTGTGGCTTTGTGAGGGTAAAACACAGTTTCCAGGATTCTAGAGGGGAGGAGGAGCCATTTGTTGTGCGGATGTGACCATTGGTGGCAGAGACAAGCACCAGAACGTTCTCAGCGGAAGTCTGGGAGCTGCCATTTAAATTTTCCCACAGCGCCCCAGACCAAGTGTTACTCCTAGATATTGTGGGGTACTTAAAAGGCAGCCTGATGGGGCAGGGATTTGTTTTTTTTACTTACTTACGACATTTACACCTGTCCCTTTAACTTTTGCTTAAGGAGCCTCAGGGACAGGCTTGATCCCAGCTCTTATGTTCATACTTGCTTGACCCACAACACATATCCAGTTTCTCTTTTACCTCCTCCAGGAGGGCTGAAGCCTTTTGCTTGGCGTCCATTTCCTTCCTCAGGTTTGCTTCCTTCTGCTCCAGCTCCCCGAAACGCTGGGCGGCCTCCCTCAGGCTGCTGACCTCCGCCGCCTGCTGCCGGCTCTGGGCCTCGAGGTGGACGAGACGCAGGCTCTGAGCCGCCAGGGCCTCCTCCTGGGCCTGGGCCTGGGCCTGGAGGCGCCGGTTGTCTTTCTCCAGCTGCCGCCGCAGGTTCTCGGCCTGGCTCAGCATTTCCTCCAGAGCCGCCTTCTCGGCCTCCGCCTGAGCCAGAGTCACCTTGTGCTGCTCCAGGCTGCGCTGCAGGGCCTCCAGCTCCCGCCGGGCCTCGCCCAGCTCCTCCTCCGCCTGCCGGGCCTTCTGGGCCAGCTGGGCCCCCTGCAGCCGCTCGCCTTGGAGGCTCTGCCGGGCTTCCCTCAGCTCCAGCTCGGCTTGGGTGGCTGCGGCCTGCAAGGCCTGGGATCCGGCCCGCAGCGCTTCCTGCTCCCGCTCCAGGGCCTGGGCCTCCTCCACCAGGCGCTCCGTCTCCGAGCGCCACCCCTCGCGCTCTCGCTCTCGCTTCTCCAGGAGGTCGGCGTGGGCCTCCTGCAGGCTCCTCAGCCTCTCTTCCAAGCCCGACGCGCGCTGGGACTCCGCTTCCCGCAGCTTTTCGGCCTCCCCCAGCGAAGTCCGAGCTTCCAACAAGGCCGCCTCCGTCCCTGACACCAGAGCGTCAGTCTCTTGCTTCGGGCCCTGGCTTTCCTGCCTTTCTGGGGCCAAGGCCTCGCTCTCTCGCCGCTTCTGGGCCTCTGGCAAATGTTCTCCAGGGTCTGAGGCCTGCTTGCTTGCCTCTGACCGCACCTCGCTTTGCAGCGCTTTTAGCTAGACAGGGCACATAAGAGGACAGAATTTATTAGCACAGTGAGACTGCCAACCGTTTCGGGCCAGTGGGCACGCTTGGCATTTTGCTAAAGGGCCGTGGGTGCCTGCCACAAAATGGCTGTCATTATGGCGTGGCATAGCACAAAGTGGCAGCTCTGGTGGTGTTTTTTTAAGGCCAGCTGGTGCACACAGGAACTGAGCAGGAACAGCAAACAGTCTATTGTGGATTGTGTATTTCTGAGATACTGGTGGGCATATCAGTGCCCATCAGAGCTGCAATGGCAACCCCTATTAGTGTGCTACCCGGAAATTGTCCCCCCCTTCTCCCCATTCCTGTCTTTAAGAAACAACTCTCCCCATATTCCACCCCCCTTGCCCCACCATGCCTGAAGATCAGCTAGGGGAGGTCCCGTTTTGTGGGCCTCTTTTATCAGAAACTCAGTTGATGGGCAGGGACTTTTCTGCTGTGGCACCTTCTGTACTTATGTCTCTGTCAGTGGAAGACCACTGCTATTGATTTGCATCAACTTCCCAGGAAACAACGCGTTCAGGATGTTGGTTGTCCAAATTATCAGAGAAAAGAGGAAACTGTCAATGTGTCTGGGGTTAAATGTCATGTTCTCTAGGGACAGGAGGAGCTTTCTGAAGGAGCAGGGACCGTTTTCTTTTAGTTGATTATAGGTACGGTGCTCTGGGAGGCTTTTCGGCTGAAGAGCAGGGTACCAAATGCTCTAAATAAATACCTCTCCATCAAGGACTGCGTTCTTTGGTTCCAAACTCCTAGACTTGCTGGGATCCTCCAGGGCCTGCTGAAGCCTCCTGCGCAGATCCTGGTTCTCCCTCTCCAGGGTCAGCAACCTTCCGATGTCCTCTTTCACCTCATCACTCAAGAGAATAGGCCTTTCAGAAGGACCTACAGAAGCAGATGAAGGGGGGGAATACATTTCTGCCTCTAGAATGACTCTGAGGATCTTGCTAGAAGATGGAAATGCAAGGCCACACTCACCACCTGGGGCCCAGTCACCTTCTAGTTCTTCCGCACGGAGAATGTTGATGGGCTCCGCTAAACTTCGCCTCAGCTGCCTCTCAAGAGCCAAGTTTTCTCTTAGAAGCTCCTCTGTCTGTTGGTAGAGCTGGTCCCGTTCCTGTGTACAGAGTCTATGCTTAAATTTCATGGTGCTGTACAGTATTTCATGGATATCAATTCATTGTTAAATTTCATGCTGCAGTTCCGGTCACCTCACCACAAAGAGTTGGAAAAGGTTCAGGAAAGGGCAACAAAAAATGATCAAGGAGACCGAGTGACATCCCCATGAGGAAAAGTTATGACATTTGGTGCATTTTAGTTTAGTCCTCCCTGCTGAGTTCCACAAGAGGCAACACAAGGTTTTATGTTGTGAACCGCCCTGAGATCTACGGATGGAGGGCGGTGTACAATTTCAATTAGCAGCAGCAACAACACCACCATGGAGATTAAGGAAGAGGAAGCTGACAGGCACTGCCACCCTCCGGACTGGATGTAAGCAAGAAGGCAGGCAGGTGGAGGATTGAGGGCAGAGCGAAATAATAATAATCATCTTATTATTTATAACCCGCCCATCTGGCTGTGTTTCCCCAGCCACTCTGGCCTGCTTACAGCACATTAAAAATTGTAATACATTAGACATGAAAAAATTCCCATACAGGGTTGCCTTCAGATGTCTTCTAAAAGTCAGATAGTTGTTTATTTCCTTGACATCTGATGGGAGGGCGTTCCACAGGGTGGTTGAAAGTTTGGGGGGGGCATTGCCCCATTTGCCCATATGGAGCAGCTTCCCCTGGGTCTCTCACCTCTTGGGCCTCGTTCAGGTAGCTTTGCAGGTGCAACTTCTCCTTCTCCAGCTGGCTCAGGTGCTTCCCCCGGGCGCGAGCAGCCTCCAGCTGTCCTTCCATCATGGCCTTTGTCTCCAGCAAGGCCTGGGAAAACTCGCGCTCCTCCTGCCCATCCAAAGCAGCTCATCAAACACCACAGCCAGATCTAGGTTTGAGGACCCTTCTTCCGCCCTGTGTCAGTGCCTCCCCCCGCTGCCCATGCCACTCAGGTCGACTTAGCTGGCAGGGGCAAGCGACAATAAAGCTCCAGACAGCTCCCAGTGAGAGTCTGGGAGCCACCATTTTAAATATCCGCAATGCCCTTGGCAGAGCTTTACTCCTGGGCAGGGGTGAGGAATTTGTTCAGCATCAAGGCTGCATCCTCTTTGGGACAACTTTTCAGGGCCAAAGGGTAAGTGGTCAGAGCACTGAATGTAAATGTTGCCTTCATAGAGTAGGTTAGTTTTTGTGCACATGCATAGTCCCTCTTCCTGGGAAACTCTGGGAATTGTCATTCCACGAGGGGAATAGGGGATTGCCTACCAATTCTCCACACCCTTAACAAACTACACTTCCCAGAATTCTTTGGGGGAAGCCATGTTGAAAGTGGCATTGTAGTGATTTAAATGTGTGGTGTGAATGTGGCTGAAAGGACACACACACACCCTTTTGATAACTGATCACTGGCCAGTTGTCAACCTTACCTTCAGCTGGACGCGGCACTGCTCCAAGGCAGGCAGCCGCTCTCTCAGGGCTGCCAGCTCCGCCTGAAGCCGCTCTGTCCGCAAGGCCTTCTCTCGCAAGGCGTCCAGCTCATCCCGGTACAACCCAGCCAGGCGGGCCTCGCCTACCAGTGCCCGGTTCTGGTGAAAGCAGGAGAACAAGTTAGAAATAAGTGGCATGGTGAGTGGCAGGTGAATTAGGCACAAGGAGGCAAAGGTGTATGGATAAGTCACCTGGGGTTGCTTGGACTCAGGGTCCCAAGAAATGCTATTTTGTCCCTGCCAGAGCTGCAGCCTCACAGGGAGAGGACTGGGGAGGGGGCTGGTCCCCTCAGGTCTATTCTAGGCTGTGGGTTGTCTATGTGGCACCCACAGCTGCCAGTGTGCCTGCCAGTACCTCCTATGGCACCCACAAAACGTCTCACCAAATATCCCCTTAAAAATCCACAATACATACTCTTCCTGCTTAGTTTGCACTTACTCAGCCCCTCCTTCATTGAACACGTCCCCTTAAGCATGCCCACATTTCATTGGATGCCAGGACTGGATCCTCCACCCTCCTTTCCATTCTGAAGAGAGGTGCAAAGAAAGCTTCTCTCTCTGCAAGTGGTGGTGGCAGATGCAGGTGCCTTTTCTACCATCAATGGGGCAGCCAATGGAGAGGCATGCCCACACCATTTTGTTCTCCTCACCCTCTTTTTTCTGTCCTGTAAGACATACCATCCAACTTTTCCCATGTCACAATCTTGCCCCCCAAAAGCTCTTTTTCATAGCCCGAGAGTGAGGAAAATTGCAGCACCCAAAATGGCCGCCGCGATCTTGCATGAAAAAACAGGATGTCCCTTTTTTCCAGGACACTTGGTGGGTATGTTAAGATGGGGCAGTCATTATGCCATGCCCCCATAGCAGCCTTTTAACGTTATGCTGCACCATGTCCCCACAACAGCCATTTTGTGACTGCTGCTCACAGCGCTTTCTTCAACATTTATTATGTGCCCAGTGCTCTCCACTTGTCCTGCCCTCAATAAGGTTGCCAACTTTTCCCGGCCTCGTTCCTAAATGTTCAGCTTTTGTTTATTAAAACAAGGAAAGAAAGGGAGGCAGGGAAAGAAGGCACCAGGAGTTACTCCCGCTGGGCTTTTTCCACTGCCCTTCCCATAACAAGGCCAGCTATCACCAGCTGCCCTGAGGGAAGGATGCCACCACCTGCTCCTGTTCCAGCTGAGCTGCCCCCTTCACATCTCCCACCAGCTGCCCAGTGTGAAGGACCCCAGTGACCTGTTATATTTTGGTATCATTTACTACAAGCGTAATAATGTCTTTCGATGTAAGCCACCTCGGAAGGATGTGGTTTTGGAAAGGCAGGAAGTTATTTACTGAAAGTATTTATAACCCTCTCTGCAGCAGGGAAAGGAGGGGGGGGGAAGGTTTCTTAGAAGTGGCTTGCAGTGACCAATAATCAGCAGTTTTCAAGCTTGTGATCTAAAAGACAGGACGCACAAGGAAAAGGGGAGGGGAGGGAGGAGGAGGAAAATCAAACCCAGGCACCAGTTCTTAATTACAAAATTCTGGCTTCCTGCAGTTGTTCTGGACTGGATGTTGGATGGGGCCAGGCTGGTCTCCCCCCTTGCCATGAAGCTCTTTCTGGGAGGCAGGGGGTGCAGCCTCCCAGTGGCCCTTGATTCTGTGGCCAATAGCATAGGCCAGAGTGTGCACCTTCAGCTCCTCAGTGCCAGGACAACTCCAGCCTTCTGCGTGGCTTTTTTAGCAGTACCTCCTGCCGCATCTTTTGAAGCTGCCCCTCCAAATCCTTCCGTTCATCCTCTTGATCTAACATTTCCTCCATCTTCTCTTCCCTGGGGGTGGGGAAACAGCACAGTTTTGTTTTATTTATTTATTAATAAATAAAAATATGAGTTTTTATTTTGCAAACGCTCTAAGAGGAAAACCATACGTCAGATTTTTGGGTGAGTTAATGAGCTGGATTGCGTATTACCACTCCAATGCCACCGTGACCACAAATCATCATAAATGCACAATAGAATTGATAGGGGCTGGAAGGAGCTCAGAGTAATCAACTAAACGCTGTGCCCCCAGCATAGAAATAGGAGTCAGCCACATTTTTTCAAATAAAGAAAACATTGTTCGGAACTTACATCAGATACCCCAAAATGTTCATAGGAGATAAAAGGGTCCTGTTTATGCCCTTGCAGAGTTAGGTGGGGAAATTGAAGTGGGAGAATAAAATCCAACCCCCCTATCTTCTCTAGAACTGCTGTGGCCCCCATTGTTTTTTATGCCCCACAGATGCCCACCCCCATGCTTGACTTTTTTTTAGATGTCTGCCCCACTTCCACTCACAGCTCGTGCTGCAGACGCCGCACCTGGGCCCGAGATTCAGCAAGCTGCACCCCAAGATGTTGACGGTGGCCCTCCAGGGGGGTGACTAGGGGGTGTTCCTGTTCTTGCTGCAGTTCCCACAATTTCTGTAGAGGGAGATAGAGTAAAGGATGAAGCCATGTGGGTAGAGTGTGGCAGGCAAATGTGGCCCTCCAGGCCTATTCATCAGGCCCTTGGGACTCTCCCCAGTCAACATCACTCCCTGAGTGTTTTTGCCTGGCTGGAATGTGTCCTTGAACTCTGGTCATGCCTTCTGCATGAGTGGATGGAAGTTAGAGGGGGTGTGCCCCCAGTCATGGCTAGATTCAGGTTGTCATGATGCTGAAACAGATCCCAGGGCATCTCTAGGCTCAGGTGCCATGTTTCTCTGAAAAGCCAGCACTTTGAGAAGAGGGCGGGAATTAGAACCACACGCAGCCCATTGCATCCCTCACCTCCAAGCCTGCGTCTCGCTCATGCACCAGCTCTTGAATCCGAGACACCACATTTTGTAGCAACTGTTCCGTTTCGGAGGGTCCCAGTTCCTTCCACTGCAGCCTCACCATGTTCTTGGGCTCCTGAGTCACCTGGGAAGGAGAGGAAGTTGTGCATGAGAACATGCTGTGGCACTGACCTCTTGTATGAGACACACTAGAGTTGCCTCAGGGGATAAATTAAATAAGGTTATGGGCATCTGGTGAAGACATCCCTGCCCTGTCGCTGGTGTAAAAAAATCAACTTGAAATGCAGCAGGACGGCTGAAGTATAGGTGGATTCCCACGAGACAAGACACAGCAAGAACCTTTATTGAACTACATAACTGGGAATCAGGCAAAGCAACTCCTTATATACATTCCTGAAAGCCGGGGCCACTCCCACTCCAAACGTGACTCAGTGGCGTAGCGTGGGTTGTCAGCACCTGGGGCAAGGCAAGTAATTTGCGCCCCCTAACCCGTGGATTTTAGTAGGGGCAGAGAGCTGCGAGTGCGAGCGCGCCCCCCCCCGATGTTGCGCCTGGTGCGGCCGGCCCCCCCTGCACCCCCCACGCTACGCCACTGACGTGACTGGCTGTCTAAACTTCCAAGCTGCAAATCACGACTCAGAGTTCAAGGACCAATGGCAGAGGCCCAAATCCTGAAATGTTCTGTGATTGGACATCATGTATCGAATGAGAACACAGGAGCTCAGAATCCTTAGTCCAGACTGAAGCTCAGGCAAACACAGACCACTGAATACATAACAGCGGTGAAGGAGGGAATGGTGACAACCTCACTCACTATGTTTCAACCAATGGGTGTATACATATAGCCAGTGCTTACTTCCATAGCTGTCAACCTTCTCTTTTTTGTGTGGGAAATTCCCTTATTTCAGCGCCGTTTCCCGCTGCTTCCCGCTGCTATCCCGGATTATTAGATATCCATTAGACTGTCTCCGGGACAGGTGAGGCTGCTGATCCCTTATTTTTAAATCTGAAAGTTGACAGCTATGCTGCTGATCCCTTATTTTCGAGGCTACTGATCCCTTCTTTTCAAATCTGAAAGTTGACAGCTATGGCTTACCTCACAAGTTCTCCTCACAACATTCCTTCCATTTTGCTTGGGGATCTGCCCTATTCATACCAGGCTTGAAGTGCAAAGCATGATGGGAGAGGGAAAGTAACACAACCCACACCCTTCCGCCTCAAAACCCAGGCCCAGCCTTACCTCTTGGATGAAAGAAGCCAAGGCAGCCTGGGTGCTGATGTCAAGGGTCTGGATTAGGCCAATGATCTCGTCACGCCTTTCACACTGTTGGGATGTTCAAGGAGGGCGATCAGGTTCTCTTACACATTTAAATCACATGGCTTCCCCACCAAAGAATGCCCTGGGAACTGTAGTTTGTTAAAGGGTGCTGGGAACTGTAGCTCTGTGAGGGATAAATGACAGTGTCCAGAGGGGGGGAAAGTGCTTTAAAGTGTGTGCAACCAGTGGCGGACTTGGGGCTCTCAAATTTCTGCGTCCCCTGCCTCTCACGCTTCCGTTCTACAGCATGTTTTGGCACCCCCTGGAGGGCAGCGCCCAGTGCAACCGCACTATTTGTGCTACCCTAAAACCACCTCTGGTAAAATGCCCCAAACACACTTAGGTCACACCCCCACACCATACATTCAAAGCACATGGCTTCCTAAAGGATCCTGGGAACAGTAGTTTGTTAAGAGGCATTCTGTGAGGGGTAAACTACAGTCCCCAGGATTCTTTGGGGAAAGTTATGTGTTTTAAATAAATGTGTAGGGTGAATGTGACCAAACACACATTCATGCTCTGGACATAAAATCAGTTTAGTAGGTAATTCCTCTCGCTCCAGGGAACTCTGAGTGTTTTAGTTCTTGCTGGGGGTCAAAAGTGTTTGTAAGAGGTGGAGGCCCAGTGGGCCCAGTCCCCCAAATAGTTTCCAAAGTGCCTTGAGTATTTCTGGGTAGGTAATGAATTTGGGGAGGATACTGAATTGGGGGGTAATCTAGGTTACGAGGCAGGATATTAATTTGGGGAAATCCATTTGCTTTATTTTTATTTTAGTTGTGACTTGCTTAATACAAAAGGGGGGGAATCTAAGCAGCTTACAAAGGGCACAGCATAAAAACAGACAACAATGCAATAAGATCATTATCAAACCCATAAAACAGAGCAAGCAACAGCTGAAAACGTCATCAGCAACAGAACAGTTAACATCCTCTGCCAAATGCCTGGGAGAAGAGCTACACTTTTACCTGATTCTGAAAAGGATATTCACGACATGGTCAGGTGGGTCTCCCTGGGGATGGCATTCCACAGACAGATTACAGGGGCCACAACAAAAAAGGCCCCTTTCCATTGTCTCCACCCTCCAGCAGCTAAATTTGCGCCCCCTGCCCACTCATTCCACACTCCAAAGTACCTGGACAGCACTCCCAAGCAACAGCAGCAACAACTTCTTCATCTCCCCGACAGCCTGTGCTGGATCACACCATTGCGGGGGAAAGGGGGAGAAAGTGTTAATGTGATATTTGAAGGCAAATGCACCCCCATGCCTGGTCTACGAGGTCCAAGTTCCAGAGCCAAATTTTATCCCAACTGGGGTTGTGGCTTGCAAGGATTTTTCTCATTTGAAGGAGCACAAAGCTTGAGGGAGGCCTTCTGATGGCATAGGTCGTATTTGGTAAAAAAGGAGATCAGGCAGGATTCCGCAGGAACAACAACAACAATTATTGTTTTTACAGTGGTACCTCAGTTTACGAACTTAATCCGTTCTGGAAGTCTGTTCTTAAACCAAAACCGTTCTTAAACTGAGGTGCGCTTTCTCTAATGAGGCCTCCCACCACCGGTGCGCTTCTTAGACCGAGGTAAAGTTCTCAAATCAAGACACTATTTCCAGTTTTGTGGAGTTTGTAAACCAAATTGTTCTTAAACCGGACTGTTCTTAAACCGAGGTACCACTGTATTTTATTTATATGCCGCACATCTGACTGGGATGCCCCAGCCACTTTGGGCAGCTCTCAACAAAATATTTCTTTTTTTTTTTAATAAAAATGTATTAGATTTTCCACAATAATAACAAAAACCACAAAGCAGAATGACACACAAAAAGAAAAAAGAAAAAAGAAAATACATCAATGAATGAAAGAAGAAAAAAGGAACAATAAACAGATAAACAATAACAACAAACTTAATTCTTTACAAATCCAACATTTTAAACATCTTGGTTGACTTCCCCTAGTCCCTCCCTTCTGAGTTTCCTTGTAGTTGAAAGTAGCAGCTTTCCAATATCATTATTAAACTAAAACAATTTCCAATTATAGTGCATCTTATTCACATTTCTTAATATTCTAAATCCCATTTATTCCCAACAAAATATTTCTTTAAAAAACACAATAAAAGATCAACTGTTAAAAACTTCCCTGAACAGGAAAGTTCGGATCCATCTGTTTTGGTGGTTTCAGCACCACAATTTTTCTCCCAATAGGCCTACCTGTGAGAGGATCTTGGGCCAGAAGATGTAAATTAGGAGGCAATGAAAGAATCAGTTGTTGCAAATCGTTCTGGGGAAAAGAAGAGAGAAAGAGCATGGAAGGGGAGAATAATAACAGATAATTGAGTGATGTTGTACTTATTCCTCAGCATGGCGTAGAGTAGAGAGTGTTGTAGTGGTTAGAGGGTCAGACGAGGACATGGGAGACCACGGTTCAAATCCCCATTTGGCCATGAAGCTCACTGGGTGACTTCAGGCCTGTCACTGCCTCTAAGCCTAACCTACCTCGAAGGGTTGTTGTGTCGGTGAAATGGTTGTGGGGTGGGGGGAAGGAGCATGTATGTCAATGTTACGGGAAAATCTAGGTGTGAGGCTGCTCAGTCACCCAGTTCGTTGGGCAAAGCCCGCGGGTCCCTGCAGAATAAAGGAAGGATTCCAGCCACCAACCGGAGCAAATAGCTGTAGACCAAAGTTTATTGCGCAGTAGGTTCAAAGAGGAAATTTGAACCCTGAGGATGGGGTGACAAAGACTTTTAAAACTTTCCCACCACATCCCAGAATACAGTTTGTACAGCATCATTGCTACATCATTGCTACATCACTGACATGTCACAAAAGGGGAGGGATAGACCGGGGTTACACTAGTTTAACCTTCGCAGACATGTCCAGACAAGTCCTTGGTACAAGATTAGCATAGACAAATATGTCTTAAGTACCCACCACCCGAAAGTACAATAGAACTTCCTTTGCATGTCTGGAGCCTGAGGCAAGTCAGGTGATGAGATTTGGCTTCCCTTGGCTAACAATGAGCCCAGAAATTGTCACCTCTGGGAACTTCCTGGAGTCCTTTTTCAAGGGGAAAATAGCTTTGGAATGGAGGAAACTGGCAAAGGGGTTGATTTTATATTATTTTTAAAGCTAGGTAACTTCCCTGAGCTGTCAAGTTGATAGGATACATTCAGGCATGATATTTGTAACATTTAACTTTAAAGATTTTCGTAACAGTCACCTTGAGCTCCTTGGAGAGAGTGCTGAGAATTGTTAGCAGACACTCCACCCCCTCCTCTTAGAGAGCTACAATTTCCAGAGTGGTTTTAACAGTCAATCCCTCTTCCCAGGGAATTCTGGGAATTGCTAAACACACTGAAGAAATCACAGCTTCCATAGTTCTTTGGGAGAAGCCATGGAATGTTTAAGGTGGTTTCATAGCACTTTAAATGTATGGTGTGAATATGTCCTCAAATTACACCAGTTTAGCCCTGGCTAAAACGGGTTGAAGGACATACAGTGGCATATATCTGGCTCAGCTGGGGTGCGGGATTTACATCAGAGTAGTCCTGGCTGAGCCACAACTCAGTTGTGCTAAATCCATACTCTCTCATCCTGGTGGTTGGTTGGTTTTGCTCTGTTAGTGACCAAACTATATAATGACATAATCCATACACCAAACACGGCTGTTTCTATTAAAATACTATAACAACATACTAGAACAATTATTTTATAAAGCACTGAAACCCCAATCAGCTTCCAGTCTTTTTGTGGCATGGGTTGTGTCAGGAACGTGTGGGGACAGCAGAGCAGAAGCCATGGGTTCAGATCCAATGTGTGTTAAATCCTACTCACCTGGTAGAACCTGCGCAGCCGCTGCAGAAGGCCCTGGAGCATTTGCAAGCTGTGTGCCTCTTCGTTTTGCTCACTCCACGGAGGTTGCGCTCCCCCAGGAATCAGGTCTCTAGGAAAGGTAACCAGGCACATTGGAAGAATGAGTGGAGGGAAATCCTGTCCCCAGCAGCAGAGAAAATATACAATTGTTTTACTGGCCTAGCCAAGTTTAAACAGGGAACAGTTATACAACAGACTGGTTCAGCAAGTTATCTCTCTCCACAATAGATTTTGGGAACTGTAATTCTAATAGGATGATCTGGGGATCTCTAACGTATGGGAAATGTAGTGTACGCCTCACAGGGCTAACCATGGGTTGCAGAATCACAACAAATAGACAGACAGACAGATAGACAGATAGATGAGCAGTAGAAGTGCAGTGGAGTGTGAGAAGAGGTGATTGCAACATTTTGGAAACAGAGCCCGGCGGGTTAGGATTTGTAAATAAAACATTCCAAAACAGAACATTATGCTGCTTGTTTCATTTGTTATTCTGAACCAAAAGTATTCTCTGCCAGAGGGGAGGTGCAATCCCAGGCGGATGCAGAGGTTTTGGATGCAGTTTGGACTAGCGTACATCTTTGCAAGCAAATTCTCCTGATATAAGGTGTCATTTTCAGCTGTGTGTTCATTTTCACGGACACTTTCCCCAAATAAAGGCATTTTTATAAACGTTGTTAGGTCAGGAGAGCTGCAGAGAACATTTTGTATAAGTGGTGAATTTTGAAAGTGGTTGTGTTTCAGTTTTCCTGTTGTTTTGGAAAGAGAATATTTGATAAATTAAAGTTTTGTTTTATTATTATTTAATATGATTTTTTAAAAAAATTTCTGATTTACAATTTCAGATAAGCATTTTACATTGAGATATCATTGAGTTGCCTTCTTCTCTTTCCATGGTTCATTTTACATATATTATATCCCTGCATAGTTGACAAGAATTATGCCAATCAGTTTTCCATTATTACATCCATCAAAACCTATTTACACTGTTGAATTTTTCTTAATGCTGTCAGCGTTTTCAGCTGTACATAATTATTTTCCCTATACAATACTGTATTCAATAAACGTTTTCCGGTAAATGAAAGTGGAATCAAATCACTTTACACACAGATTATTTTTTGGTAGTGCTTATTTTTCCTGCGTAAAAAGCCAACATCTTAAAAGTGCTATAAGCTCTTATCTATTTTTTGAACCAACAATATTCCCCCCAGAGGGAGGTGCACCGTTCCTGGAGGTACTGCAATACCAGGTCGATGCATGGAGTGGATGGAGCAAGCCCCTATTCCATCTCCCAATTCCAAAAATCCATTTAATATATAGTCCTCAAATAGAGGACATATCAGATATTAAACTGATAAGAACAGATACTACACTTGATCTTAGCCAAAAGGCCGAGAAGCGATACCAAAGGAAGCAAAAATTAAGCGGGTCTCCTTTCCCGTTGCCTTTTCAGGTGTCGGTGGGAACCTGCGTGCTGCAAACCTCTCACCGCCGCCTCGGAATCAGCACCGTTTCCAATTCCACAAAATACACTCGGACAACGTTTCTGCTTTGTTGTCCAGCTAAGCAGCCTCTTGATGGACAGTTTAACCTTAAATAAAGTGGATTTTGTCGATCTTGTCAATTTCTCAGCCGTCTGCCTCGTTGCTCTGATGGCCATTGGTGCTAAATCTGCATAAACCCGCCCATTTACCCGCCATGCGCTGCGCCACTGTTAACTCGCTGCGTGCCAGCAGATGTCCCAAAAGTTTCCCCTTGATTCTGTTCCCTTGAGAGCATCCTGCAAAAACACAGCTGTACAAGCTGAACTTTCCTGCTGACATTAATATCCGTGCTCCTTAGCGGAGGATTGTTTGCTGGAAAAATGTTCCCTGCAAAACACTGAAATGCTGAAGAAGAAATTCCTGTTATGCCACAACAGCAGAAAATCTATCTGGTTTCATAGACCCTTTGAAAAGATTGGCCAGTGAAGCCAGATTCTTTTCGTTTACCTGAAAATGCACGGTACTTGCTTCTGCCCTTTCAACTTTTATTTGAGCATGAAATATACAGCTGAATCCTGAATGATTCATACAATCTTTTTTTCTTTTTATTGATTTTCCTTAATTGAATGCATTGGAAATATCTCTATTTGCAAATTAACATGCTTCAAGCACATTGAAAAGAACCACAACTATATCTGAGACTGGGATGGAAGGTTCTGTCAATTTCGGTTCCCCCAGTTTCTCATTTTTTGAATCTTAAATTCAGTTCTCCATGTTTTGCAGCAATTTGCAAATGTTTGGTTTTTTAAAAAAAATCCTCAGGAAAATTCATCAGCATTTTGATACAATTTTTTCCTCATTTTGGTTTGCATATTGTTTTGGAGAGTGTAGATTTGATAGATTCAACATTAAATGTGCAGGGAGTCAAATTTCTCTTCCATCCCTAATTAGAGCTTGGTTGGCTGGTCAGTTGGTTGCAACTGTAACAAAAAGGAGGCTTGTGACACGTCAAAGACTCCTGAATTAATTTTGGCATACAGTTCCATGGACATATTACTTCTGAACGTTTAGTTTTTATTATTGTTGTCCTTTTATTAATAATATTAAAAGCATCCAAAACAACCTGATGTCTTCAATTTAAAAATAATATGAGCAGGATTTAATCTGATAATTAGCTTTCATATACAGTTACTGGGTTGCAGGGGATATAAATTCTGGGAGCCACCCAAAAAAAAACAAGAAAAGCAGTAGTGGTGGTTAAATAACTTAAGAAAGCTATTAACTTAATAATACCTAAGCAATTGAAAGAGTGTTTACTTCCCTGGGCAAATTTTCAGTTCATAATAATTTAAGGATTCCCCTTAAGTCCATGAAGCCTGATGTTCTGTACTGTCAGTGGCTATCCAGATGTAGGTTACAAAATGGGGGACCAGACTTTGCTGCTTGCCCCCCCCCAACCACTGGTATCCAGTGCCCTGCCGCCTCTGAATAGGAGGTTCCATTTAACTACGCTATGTTTCAACAGTGGGGAATCTGTGGCGTATCAGGTGAAGACATCCTTGCCCCCACCCTGTGAACAACAGTGTGAACAATCCCGTGTCAATGCAGCTTCAAACACAGTGGGGGGGGGGGTGACCTCACTGCTAATATAATATAATATAATATAATAAATGCATTTGTTCTGATTTGCTTGCAAAGAGGTTACATAGCAATGTGTATTCATTCTGATATCCTGATTTGCTTGCGCACCGTTTGAATGTGCATTAATCCATCCCACAGTGCATCCCCCCCCCCCATAAAATATGTTGTTACAGGACATCAGAACATTGTGAATTAAATTGTACAAACCTAAATTTCTCAGTACTGTATCTGCTTTTCATTATTGCTACTATTATGTTTATCTTTCACCTTTCCTCTGAGTTGCTCAAGGTGTCATATATGGCTCTCCATCTCTCCATTTTATCCTCACAGCAATATTGGGAGGTAAGTCAGGATAAGAGATAGTGACTGGCCCAAGGTCACCCAGTGGGTAGTTTTAATTCTGGTCTCCCAGTTATTATTACTCTAACCACTGCACCACACTGTCTCTCACTTGAACCCCTCCCAGAAAATACTGACCCTCTAGAGGTGCCCCAGTGATCCGCTCAGTACACTATGACTCACATTATCTCCATGATATGGATGAGGGTGTCCCCACTGACCAGCTTGAGGAAATATTCTTGTGCTCCCTCATGTCTCTTCTTCCTATGGGGAGAAGGGGGCTGGTCAGATCTCAAGTAAGTCAGCGTCTCCAAGGTTCGCACCTGTAAGGAGAAGAGAAATTTGATTCAGTTCATGTTTGTAGGTGAACCTATCTAATCCACACTTTCATACCCTCCAGCATTTCTCTGATGAAAATAGGGATGTCCTAAATAATAATAATAATAATAATAATAATAATAGTAATAATAATAATACCCCATTTGTCTGGGTTGCTGCAGCCACTCTGAGTAGCTTCCAACATATATAAAAACATAATAAAACATTAAAATTGAAAAAACTTCAATATACAGAGCTGCCTTCAGATGTCTTCTAAAGGTTGTATAGTTACTTATCTCCTTGACTTGGACGTCGCATAAGTCCACACCCTCCAATATTTGTCCGATGAAAATAAGGAAATCCCAAGGAAAAGCGGGACATTCCAGGATCAAATCAGAAACTTCTTTTTTTTTTTTTTTTTTTTTTTTTTAAATATTTTATTAAGGATTTTCTTGTTTTACAGAAGTGTAGTGCCTCGTATTTTTTTTCCCATGTAACATTTTTACAAATCCGTTTCATTTGTTGAGGCATTAGGGGGAGAAGAAAAAAAAAAAAAAAAAAAAATCAGAAACTTCTGTAAATCTGGGACTATCCCTGGAAAATAGGGACACTAGGAGGGTCTGTGATCCGGCTGGAAGGCTTTTCATAAGTTCTTAAGTCCAGTGTCCAGTTCAGCAGAACAAACCGCCAGGCCCCTAAACACTGCTGGGCTGGCTTACCACATTTCAAAGGAAGTGAAGCAATACACATTACCATGTAAATAACCCCAACTTATCAAGTCTACATTTACCTAACTGCAACAAGAAGCTTAATATTTGGTGGGTTCAGTAATAAAGTTTCCCAAAATCTTACCTACCGGTAGTTGGAAACCAGGGTCAAAGTGTTTTCTGCTCGGTATGTGTGTTCCAATTATGTGTGCGTGTGTGCACCTGTATGTACACACACACACACACACACAAGCAAATAAATAGTCGATCTGCCCAACTTGCCATAAAATTACCCAGCAGACCACCGGTGTCAGGCGATATATTGCCAAAACTCCCGGGCTCAGCATGACTTCAAAACCAGGGATATAAGGCCTTTATTTAGGACAACCCAGAAGAACAACACCCCCTCCTCAAAACCTCCTGCCCCCCCCCCACAGATGCTCACCCAGGTGACCAGCGGCCCCGAGACAAAATCTTCCAGCATCTCAGTGAAATCTCCATCCATGGTGCCACCAAAGGGGCGCCCTCTCCTTGTTGGTTGCGCCTTCTGTAAGCGCTTAAAGCTTACGGTAAACCTCCTTCCGTAATCTTGGGCCGATGAGACTGATCGGTGGGTGGGGGGTGGAGGGAGGGAGGGAAGCAAGAGAGGAAGCCACATAGGATGAAGGGACTGATTTCTTAATTTCCGCCACGCAGGAAGCCGCCAGTGCGAAACATTTCCTCGACGAAAGACTTCCAATTCTCAGTGCACCAGCCTGAGTGAGGCATTGCAGGCTTGCTTTGCAGGAGAGGGCAACGCTGACTTCATTTCCCGTTCTTGCTGCAGAAAAACCACACTCGAGAGGCGGCGATGGAGGAACGGAGAGGGCAGAAGTCATCTGTCGCCGCCTCAAAGTGGCCCGTCAGGTTTGTGGTCCGAACTGTTGGTTGGTGGAAGAGGCCTGCCTTTCGCACATCCGTTACTGTATGCCAGAATCCTAATAGTGAGCCAGGCTTCGAGGCGATGGGACCATGAGGCAGGAAGTTCCACTGACTCCTGTCCTGACACGTCAAGGGCAAAGACCTTCAGGTTCAGAGGCCAAATGTGGCTTCTTGGGGCTCTCCCCAGACCACATCCCATGGCCGTACCCCTCACTAGCCCTGCTGAGTGTTTTTGCCTGACTGGAATGTGTCATCGAACCCTGATCCTGCCTCTTGCTGGCCTGATTGAGAGAAAGGGGTAGGCGAGTGTGTAGACCACAACTAGCCTGTGGTTCAAAAATACAATTTTTATATTAATGGCTCCACCCACAACTAGCATGTGGCCCTTAGGGAGTTGCCATGAGGGGAAGGCGGCCCTCGGGCTGAAAAAGATTCCAGCTCCTTGACCACTGTGGCCACATTCACAATTATACCACTTTATATGGTCATGGCTTCCATCAAAGATTCCCGAGAACTGTGGTTTGTTAAGGGTGCTGAGAGACCCGTACACAGTGCTGCAATTCACAGAATTCCCTGGGAAGAAGGGTTGGCGATTACACCCCTCTGGCAGTTGTAGCTCACCAGACAGGGCATTCCGCAAATGGGGTGCTACTACCAAGAAGGCCCTGTCGCAGGCCAGCGCCAATTGATTGCAATTCCAATTTTGTGATTAGGCACGAGATGAAGCAAAACAGGAAAAATGCATTGGGTGCTGAAAGCAGACTCTTGTCAGGACATGACACAGTCAGGGGCACCAGCTGGCCACGAGAGGAAACTGAATTTGTGGCTGAGTGTGAGAACATTAGCGCCTGAGAAAAATACGAAAGAGGGCTTCATCCACGGGCCTGTTCAGTCTACTCTCTTAAGAGAGACTCAGCTAAAAATAAATCTCTTGTGAGGAAACTTTTTTTTTTAGCTTCTGCTTCAGATTGAGTTAGTGACACATTGGGGAAACTATGAACCCATCGCTAGTTTCAGAAGGGCTGGAAAAGCATCATGGACGTGGAAAAAGTGGTGCCTTTTGTTCCTGTGGCAGCAAAATAGCTTCCACTCATACATACATGATCAGAGGATGACAACCCAGTGCCCACAGGTGCCTGGGTGCCCACCAGCAGCTATGGCACCTGCGAAAAGTCCCAATGAATACCTCCCCTCAGAAATCCACAGGGGCCAAAATTAGGAGCATGCTTGTCCCATTTTGGTTCCTGTCTTTTACTGCTTTTACATGCAGCAGCCATTTTGTGCAATTACCATCAACTTATTAATCACCTCCTGAACAACTGCCTTGAGGTGATTTATATATACAGTGGTACCTCGGTTTAAGAACAGCCCTGTTTACGAACTATTCTGTTTGCGAACTCCGCAAAACTGGAAGTAGTGTCCCAGTTTGCGAACTTTACCTCGGTCTAAGAACGGAAGCCGAACAGTGGAAGGGCATTGGCGGTGGGAGGCCTCATTAGGGAAAGCGCGCCTTGGTTTAAGAACGGTTTCGGTTTAAGAACGGACTTCCAGAATGGATTAAGTTTGTAAACTGAGGTACCACTGTAAATGCATTTATTATTATTATTATTATTATTATTATTATTTACTGTCCATCTGACTGGGTTTCCCCAGCCACCATACCTTTACTCTATCTGCTGATGACACTCAGCTCTATCTGCTGATGGATGGCCACACCGACTCGGCCCCGGACACCCTGACCAGATGCTTGGAAGATGTGGCTAGATGGTTTCATGGGAGCCGATTGAAACTAAATCCTTTGAAGACAGAGGTCCTCTGGCTGTTTTGGGATGGTATGGGGATGAGGGACCAACTCCCTTCTCTTGCAGGGGCCCAATTAGAGCCAGTGCCTTCCGTTAAGAGTTTGGGTGTAATCCTTGATGCCCCCCTTTCCATGGAGCCGCAGGGGTTAGGGTTAGAGGCTCCTCACGGGGTCCCTGCCATGGGAGCATATTCACCCAGTCCTTTACCAGTTGCACTGGCTCCTGGTGGAGAATCGGGTCAGATTTAAGGTGCTGGTTTTGACCTTTAAAGCCCTTTGTGTCTTAGCGCCCTTGTATTTACGGGACCGCCTCTCCTGGTATGCCCCACAGGGGACCTTAAGGTCCATGAATAATCATAGTTTAGCGGTCCCAGGCCCTAAGGAAGTCAGATTATCCTCCACCAGGGCCAGGGCCTTCTCAGTGGTGGAATGCTCTGCCCCATGAGACCAGGGCCCGGCAGGATTTAATTTCCTTCCACGGGCCTGTAAGACAGAGCTATTCTGCCTGGCTTTCCATTTGAACTTAGCCTGATCTTTTATTCCACTTCCTTCCTTCCCCTTCCCCTTTTTATGAAGATTACCCGCTCTGGGATCCCACAGCTAATTTCCCCCTGGTCTCCTCGCTGGCCCAAATAGGACTAATTTAGCCAGCTAGCCCTGCTGTGAATAGTAGCTCTCTTGAGTGGTCTCTTCACAACTCCTAACATGCTTAACAAACCTACAGTTCCCAGGATTCTTTGGGTGAAACTGTGACTGTTTAGAGGCTTTCCCCCAGCTGGATAAATAAATCTTTTCCACAAGCATCCACCTCTGCTAGGGTTTTAGTGTTGCTTTAAATGGTTGTGGGTTGTTTTTTCCCCCTTCATTTTTAACTGGTTTAAATTATGTGTAAATTACCTTGAGACGGTGCTTTAGAAGACGATTAATAATTCAACGGTAACAACAGGAACAGAAACAATAAGAGCAGCAATAAGCAACTGAATGCCATCTTGGCATGGGCGCACCCTCAGTTAACAGAAAACCACAATAGAGAAATCCAGTATAATTTTTATTTCAGGCAATAGTGTCCAAGATAACGGAGTCAAGACAGAGAAGGGATTCAAAGCAGCTACATACATATCCCTGCCCTTGTAAAGGCCAAATCTTAGAAGCTGTGAGGGGGAAATAAATCAGCCCACCATCCCTTCTGCATAGTAAGAACCAGGTGAGGGTGGGTGCTTTTGTGCGTCTCTTGCTGTCAGGGTTTAGGAGACGGTTAACAGCCGCGGTGTCCCAGGTCTCAGAGCTGAGATAGGATGTTGCTGGCCAAACTGCAGGTGAGGCCTGTGCCATCCTCTTCTATGTTGAGGGCCTTCACCACACCATCTTCGACTACCAAAGAGAACCTGTAGGGGGAGATAGAGATGGAAGAGACACACGGCTCAGGACAAGCAAAAGTTTAGATTTTTTACATTTGGATGGTGACTTAAGAAGGCCCCATCTGCACTTATATGTTTAAAGCAGTGTCCGGCCACTTTAAAACAGCCATGGCTTCCCCCAAAGAACCCTGCCAACTGTAGTTTGTCAAAGGAGCTGGGGCCCCTGTTCCCCTCAGAGAGCTACAGTTTCCCAAGCAGGCCCAAAAACAATGCAGGAAATGAACCTCCCTAATATCAAAGAGCAGGGAGTTCCAAAGTGTAGGCGCTTCAACTCCAAAACTTAGTGCTTTCAAAAACAGGGCAGAGCTGCAACCACCTGAGCAGTTCTAACAGCCAAACTCTCCAGAGTGGATATGTCAGTTTTGGTGTTCTCAGTTTCTCATTTTTCCAGTCATTTTAAATTCAGGTTTCACATTTCTGAGGCAATTTGCTATATATATTTTTAAACCTGATTAAAGTTCTTCAGCGTTTTAGTGCTAATTTTATCCCGAGAAACAGCATTTTTTTATACAGTTTTGACTAAGCTACACATTTTTTGCAAGCAATTTCTGCACATATATATATATATTTTTAAAGAGATTGGATGGCAATTGTGATGGGATGATGAGCTGCTTGTGCGTAAAATCGTATCCCCTCAGAGTTTGTTCAAGTCCACAAACCTCTGTCTGTGACGGAGCCCCTCAGACATGGCTCCTCTAGTCACTAGCAGATTCCGACAGTGGTTGCTTTCGTAATCGCTTCCAACATAAAAGCTCCTTAACGGAAACAC